CCGCCGATCGCCATTCAACACGCCTGGTATTCGGCATGGATAAAGTACCCGCCATAAATTGTGCAATACATTTCACTCGTAGACAATTACCCTCCTTGTTTCAAACGATGCGGACTTCCGGGTTGCCTGCTTGGTAGTATAGCCCAACTGAAACCGGGAGGGCTTGGATCTTGAAAGGGCGGCATGTTAGCAAATTTCGCACAGATGCGGAATTCTCGCTTAACCATACGTCTGGTGGATGATATCTTACATACTCGATACCTCGTGAAGGGGACCAAGTCACACAATGTTCCATGGTACCACTTTTCACACAACAGATGGTGAGCCATATCTCTGGCGGAAGCGAGAGGTTTGACATTGCTAAGATTTGCCAAGAGTTGGCGCAGGCCATGCCGTCCAATCAAGATAGAAGCTGTGGAAGCTTATCACCTGCCCGCTTGGGAATGATTTGCGGAAGGCTTGTCACCTTCCCGCTCGGGGATGATTTGTTCTTGGCATGTCCGGGGTTATATCAGTCTTAGGAATAGTGCATATCAGTTACGAGGTATAGTAGTGAGACAATCACGCTAGCCATCCGATCACCAACCGTGTCCCGCTGGACTAGCGGCATGCGATGGAACGCTACATCTCTCCAGAGTAAGCGTGTCATTGTTTGGTCGTTCGAAATGGCAGCGAACAAGCCTCATTTCATGAATCCTCATTGGACGCCCCCGCCGATCACAGCAGAGCTTATCACGGTGCTTAGGGTACCCAAGCAAGCTTCTTCTTATCAAGAAGTGCCACCCAAGCAGGCTTCATCCTATCAAGCTTGCCACCCGAGCAGGCTTCATCTTATCAAAATGGAACGCCAGACATCGCTAACTCCGCTTGCACAATTTCCAGCGGCTACCAATGGCTAAAACACCAGTGCCCGACCTCTCGTGGTCATTCCATTGTGATGTTACATTGAGAATAGCGACAGCTGAGATTCAATCAGACAACTCCGCCCACCTAGGCACTTATTAGGGGCCCTTTGACCCTCCGACGACCGTGCTCTCATCCTCGCGCACGACTTCGCTCTTGTGTTTCTCACTCTCAAACTCCATTGTCTTTCAGCCATGGAGAATATCGTCCCTGTAACACATCCAGCGTCAGAGCTGGATGTGGTGACCGAGCAACAGATGCGCAAGCCGTCTGTCTCCGCCGTTGAGAAACCCCAGGTCATGGAACGTAGCTGGGGTTTCGCCGCTCGTACCGACAGCACCGTGACGTACGAAGAATACGTCTACTGGGCCAAGATCGAGCGTGAGATGGAGGTTGAAGAGAATAAAGTGTTCCAGGCTGAGCACGGCTCTCCCCTGAAGGACTCGATCAAGAACACTTTTTCGAAATCCGGCCGAGCGAAGACGAAAGCAGCAAAGGAGGCCAGACTTCAGACCTTGGCAACTCTTGCAGAGAAGCAGCCTGGGGGTGTTGTTGTCAATGATTCCGACAGTGGTCATCCGGTTGAGAATGCGCTGAAGGTCTCAGACGCAGAATGGCGTAATGCTGCTCGTGCACTCAGAACTGCTAGCTGGGGCCAGATGTTCTTCCTCATCACCACTGACATTCTCGGTTGGTCGGGTGCACCGTATGTACTCTTCGATTCTCATTTGAGTATCGATCGTGACTGACAGTTCAACATAGATTCGTCTTCGCCAGCGTAGGCTACGGCACAGGTGTAGCTCTCTACCTCATCTTTGGTGTCTTTGCTGCCTGGGGCGGCTGGGTTATTTGGAAAGTTTTCCTCGATCTCGACTCATCTCGCTACCCAATGCAGAGCTTTGGTGACCCATTTTTGCGCCTCTACGGTGTGAAAGCTCGTCATTTCATCAATATCGCCCAGTCGCTCCAGCAGTTCTTCACCGTGGCTATCCTGATCTTCAGTAAGGCTTTGAATATTGAGCAGATTGCTCATGGCAAGGTGTGCTTTGTGGCTATGATGGTTGTCATCATGGTCGTTGGCATGCTTGGAGGATTCATTCGGAGCTTGAGAAAGATTGGATGGATTTCGAATGCTGCCGTGTGGTTGAACATTGTGAACTTCATTATCTGGTGAGTCTTCATCCTAAGCTGTCCGTTGATGTAGCTTGCTGACCGGCGTTTCAATAGTATGACTGCTGCCTCACACTTTGCCCCTTACTACCCAGCAATCACAAGGTCTACACTTATCAAGACTATCGAGCCCATCAAAGTCTTTGCTGGCATTCCACCAGATCAGTATCAACAGCAGTCTCCCGGTTTTGCCGCTACATTCAACGCTGTGAACACCATGGTCTACGCATACGCGGGCGCTCTCCTCTTCGTTGCCTTCCTTTCGGAAATGAGACATCCCTTAGACTTCTGGAAGGGGATGTTTCTTGCCCAGGCTTTCATTTGTATCGTCTACATGTTCTTCGGTGTCTTCGTCTATTCCTTCTACGGCCAATATTCCGCCAACAACATTGTGAACGTTGTAAATCCGTATGGCCTACAGACTGCCGGCAACATTCTCAGACTTCTCTCCGGTTGGATTGCCATCATCATGTACTTCAACATTGGCATGAAGACTGTGTATCTAGAGGTTTTCCAGTCCGTTTTCAACTTTCCCTCAATCGTTGAAAAGAAGGGCAAGATCCTCTGGTACCTTTTGGGACCATGTTACTGGATCCTCGCCTTTGTCGTTGCGGGAGCGGTGCCCAACCTCAACGGCATCGTCAGCTTGGTCGGTGCTGTCTTCATGATGAACTTTACATACACTTTCCCAGGCATGATGTACTTGAGTAGCATCATCCACAAGGCTGCTGAGCTTCCTGGCGAAGGCTTCAACCCAGCTACGCGTGAAACAATCAGGCACGACAGCGGTTTGAAGAGATGGATGAGAGGATACAAGAAGACTTGGCTGAAAAGCACCATTGCAGTTATCTACATTCTCCTTGGCCTCGCATGCTGTGGAATGGGCACCTGGGCTGCTGTTGAAGGTTTGATTGCCGTTTTCGGACCTGGCGGAACCGTCGCCGTCAGCTTCGGATGCCCTGTGCCTGTGTAGGTAAATACAGTAATGGAGAAGAACGACAGAAGGAACATCTGGCTTCAGGCTCGGATGCAAGTGCCTGTATGTCTTAATACAGTAACCGAGAAGAACGACAGATGAAGCGTATGTATCCAGCCATAGCTAGCTCATTATGTAAGTATGCACGCAATTGCAACAGCTCAAAATACGTGGCCCCCTGGAGAATTTATCACCGCGTACTTGTACCGGAGCAACATGAACTAATAGCTACGTGGATTCTCATTCGCTGACAGAAGACTTGGTACGACACAACGGATGAGCCACAAGGCAAAGTGATTATTGTAGGTTCTAAAATGCAGAGCGCACGTTTATTTGGATGTCTTCGGAATACCACTCATCTTTTCTGATGCCAGAAAGTAAGCAGACATGCTCATGTTCTCACACCACTCCCGTGGTGGGGTATCAATACATAATATCGCGAAGATGTCCTCTGGTCGGGTGGCCACCATCTTCCCATGCTCTCAAAAACAGCGTGCAACTGGGAGCACACTTATGAGAGTGAAGAGTCTACGTACAAGCCTAGGGGGAGGAGAAAAGCAACACAGGGTCATGTGGGGAGATTAGGAGAGGGCACGCCTATGAGTACGCTGAATAAACGGAACGGTTTGTAAGACACGGAGATATATATATTGGCATCCAAGATGCTAATAATAGAAAAAGAGTCGTCTAGCTACGGAGTGAGTGCGACGTAAAAGATATGTTACTGTACATATGCTTCGCACTAAGGATGTACGAAGTACGAAGTATGGAGCAGATCAAAGAGATTATTGGATCCATCAAGGAACTCCAGCTTCGGGCTTCGGATTCCCAAGACTGTACTCTTGCCGATAGTCGTGTAAAGTATCCAGGTCCCTGGAAAGATTTTGTCCGGGGCCGGTGCTCACAATGGGTTAAGCCGTTAAAGAGTGCCGTCAAAGCTCTTGGATAAAGCTAGCTTCATGTCGGATATATTCTACACAAAGGTATCAGCCGCAGATATTTTACGTCGAATTATCCGTATCATTTATCCCCGTCGCTTGAATTCACTGCCAAGATATGATCTGTGACTTGAGGACAGCGCCGCTCAAATCACAGGAGGTCCTCGAATGGCATTGGTGTGGATTGCCATTCACCTGTTCCAAAGCAGAGTTCAAGGGACCAACCTCGACTTTCGCTGTCTCCCCTGCCGCCAGCAGCTTCTTCGCGATCGAAGTTCCACATCGCGTTGAGATTAACTGTCAGCCATGGTTGGCCACATGGATTCAAGGTTGTGGTATAATCGACCTTCAGACAGATGGACCGATGCGCTACCTGTTGGTAACGGAAAGCTAGGTGCCATGATATATGGCATTCCGGACCATGAACGCATTCAGCTCAACGAGGAATCTGTCTGGTCAGGCGGTAAGCGATCTAGACTGAACCAGAATGCTTCTGAATCTCTGGTCAAGGTCCGGCAATTGTTGTGCGGAGGTGATGTTGAAGCGGCAGAGCGACTAGCAGATCTTGGAATGGCCTCGACTCCGGTCAGCATGCGGCATTACGAGTCACTTGGCGAGATGAAGTTGACGTTCGATGCAATCCCAAAATCCTTGGTCAAGGAGTATGAAAGATGGCTCGATCTTGAGACGGCAGTTGCCGGCGTAAAATTCTCTGCTACCGATACACTTTATGAACGGGAGATCTTTGCTTCTGCACCTGACAACATCATCGTCCAGAGGCACACGGCCAAGGGGATTCAGAGGCTGTCCTTCCATGCCATGATACACCGACCATATGAAATGCTGAACGTCGCTTATGATACATCCTACAATGATGGAAAAGATACTGCTTTTATGATCGGGACGTCTGGAGGGTCTGACCCAATCACTTTCGCAGCTGCGATCAACATTCAGACCGACGGTAAAATTGAGGCTTTAGGCGAGTTCTTGTTGGTCGAAGATGCCACAGAGGCCATCATACTCTTCACAGCGGCTACCACTTATCGGACACCGGATCCCATTACAACACTGCAAAAGACGCTAGACAGATCCAAGAAGCATTCTTACAGCCAATTGCGCTCAAGGCATGTTGAGGACTATCAAGCTCTTTTCCGAAGCTGTACACTGCAACTTGGTCACCCAGAACCCAGTAATTCGAGACTCCCTACCGACAAACGAGTCGAGGCCCTCAGAAATGGCGAAAGTGATGTTGGTCTTCTTGCACTTCAGTTTCAGTATGGCCGCTATCTGCTGATCTCTTGCTCGAGACCTGGAACGCTGCCGGCTAATCTGCAAGGTATATGGAACAAGGATTACATGTCAGCATGGGGTTCTAAGTACACCATCAACATCAACACAGAGATGAATTACTGGTTGGCTGAGGTCACCAATTTGTCTACCCTGCACTCTCCACTATTTGACCACATTGAAACAATCTGTCAGTCTGGTAGGCAGACTGCTCTAAAAATGTACAACGCTTCTGGATGGGTTGTACATCACAACACAGACATATGGGGTGACTCTGCACCACAGGATCGCTGGCCTGCCGCCGCTTACTGGACACTGGCGTCTGCTTGGCTCTGCACTCATATACTCGACCATTTCTTATTCACAGGCGACACGGATTTCTTGCTCGGGAAGATTGATACCATGTCTTCCGCGATCGATTTCTTTTTGGATACTCTACAGCCCGTCGAATTGAACGACAAGGCCTATTTCGTCACTAACCCAAGTGTCTCGCCTGAAAATGTGTATTTCACTGCGACTGACAATGTCGGTGCAATGACCATTGGCCCTGCGTGCGATTTCCAGATCCTCCGACAATTCTTTAATGGCTTTGTGTCTGCAGTCTCCTCGCTTCCAGAGAATCCCGTCGATCCATCTTTCATCTTGAAGATCCAGGAAACCGTGGCGAGATTCCCTCCCACTCAAATTTCTCAGCGGTACCCCGGTGTCATTCAGGAATGGCTGCACGACTATCGCGAAGCTGAACCCGGTCACCGACACATTTCACATCTATATGCACTATACCCAGGTACACAAATCCTCCCGCCTGGGTCATCTGGTCACGATGCAACCATTTGGGATGCTGCAAATCGCACGATTGAGCACCGACTTGCAAACGGCGGTGCTGGGACAGGTTGGTCACGAGCATGGACTATCAACTGGTATGCTCGTTTGCTTAACGGCGAAGAGGTTGCGCGCCATATCTCCGAGTTCTTCACCCAGAGCACTTATCTCAATTTATTCGACGCGCACCCGCCGTTCCAGGTTGACGGAAATTTCGGTTTCACGAGTGGCGTCGCAGAAGCTCTGCTGCAGAGCCATTTTATTAGGCTCCCAGGTAATGTTAGAGAGGTATGGCTTTTGCCTGCTCTGCCTGCTTCTTGGGGGTCGGGCTTGGTGAAGGGTTTGGTTGCTAGAGGTAGTTTTGTAATCAACATTCACTGGGAAGACGGAATCGTCAAGAATGTGGAAATGGAGAGCCGCTTGGGCGGCACTATTGTGGTAAGATACGACATGCAGGGAAGAAAAGGAGTAAAGGTCATTCCACGGGCAACTTATGATGGCTTCAAGGAGTTGAGCAATGGTAGATTCGAGCTATCTACGCGCCAGGACGAGACATATAGTTTTACTATTGAATACGCTTGGTAGCTCTACCAGGTTACCCCAGCTATCGAAAATCCACTTTCGTCTGTCAACTCTACGCAGACAACGCGAAGTTCATCCTTGGTGGACCAGTCCTCAACTCAAGAGAGCAGGCCCAGGCAGAACTCGAAAGAACTCCATCGTTACTTAGTATTTTAAGCCTTTGGAGATTCAGTCATCCCATGTGGGCTACAGAAGCAGCATTCGAGCCTCGTCGACGTTGAGCAATCTGAAAGAATTAGCGCGTCACACGTATTGTACATCGATACCCTTCCCCATTAGTTGGACTCCCGGGCAACTATCTCAACACCTTCGACGCGCCAAGTTGCACCCGTTCAAATACTACTTCTCAAGCTCGTGCTTCAAACACAAGTCTGGGACGACACGTGAATTTTGGTCCGGTTCCAGGAATGACAGCTGTCATTATGATATTTGACTTGCCAACAAGCGAACGACATCTCCTAGCGGGGTCCATGTCATGCTTCGGCACCATCCGAGGAAACAGTTCCACCACCACGCGCAAAAGACAAAGCAAACTGACAAGTATGAACAAAATTCTTCAAGCTGTCGTTGGCAGCTGAACAAATGGCTCCCTTTCCATCGATTGAAGTGACATCCATAGCAGTGATCCCTCGAATTATTCCACCCCTGACTACCCATATTACTCGAGAACGAAAAACCTATTTGCCATTTACAGTTTAATCCTAGCGGGTGAGCGAAGGCCGCTCTAACCTGTGCTTTAACTGAGCCCCTAGCTGAGCATCACTAAGCGCTCCCTGCGAACTCCCTGAGCGAACCCACTAGCGGCCTAATCCGGCCCCCCGCGATCGGCTACGCTTACCTCTCAGCTAGGTACATATTTTAGACGAGGGTTAGGGAACCTAGTAGATTTACGCTATTACCTAATTTTCCCCTTAACCTTAGTTTTAGCGGTACGGCCGATTAAATTATATATTGTACTAAGAGTAAGAAATCTAATTAAGTAAAATAGTAGCCTACGAGTACGGTACGGTGTACGGAGAACACATTTAGCACTGGAACTCCGCCGCTGGCCTTGCCATCTCAAATTACTTGACCTCGGCCTTTAACAAGTGATTAGAACGAGGGTCAATGTGAATACGAATTTAATGACATTTTTCATAAAGAATTCCTCTCTCGTGCTGGGAAGACCTGGACAAACCTCTTACTGATGATACCCCAAAGGCTCAACGTAAGGATGCTTCCTTCAAGAGTGCCTTTCCAATATCCGTTATATCTGGGAGGACAAACCATGATAGCTGTATCTTGTCACTGTGCAGGCAGGTCGAGCACATAACAAGTTAGCTCGAACAGACTCTCGTCACTTCCATAACCAGGTCCAAGTAACCTGAAAGGTAACGCTGTGCATATTGTCAACAGGATGATGTCTGGCTGACCAGGAAACTCACCTGAGGGTACATTACATACCTTAGCCTTCCGCGGCCTGCACTCCTCGTCCTTGCATAGTCCCCCGTCCTAGAATTCATATCATGATTGGAGCCTTGCTAGTGTGGGCGTTTTTGCCGGATTTTGCTGCGACAAGGAACCTTGATACATCGAATTCCTTATGATTCTGAATAGTTACGGTTCAGGATCCTTGAAGCCAGGTTGCCGGTCCTATAGAATTCGATTCTATTCGTGACTATCAAAATTACGCCTGTGGAGAATAGAATCAGAGTCAGCTATTCCAGTCGGATTTATTGGCTCTGGCAGACTCACCTCTCGAGACCAAAATATACGTTCCTCGATAGGCCGATATCTTCAAGGCTGAGGATACATCATCTCGTCTCCAGGTAGATTATGGAACAGAGGGCTCCAGGCCGCTATTTCTGTGTCGGTACCAAGATTAAATCCCTGCCACCAGCTAGGTCAGGTTTCAAGATCTCTGAGAAGCGGATTCGTTACCTACGTCGCACGGTCCAAAGTCATCCAGGAATATGCTCGCATCGAAAACCGACCCAGGAGCGCCGAGCATCGACATTGTCCTGTCTGCTTCGCCTGCACCAAATGCTTCGGCATTTAGGCGTAGGCCTTGGCCGTTGGCTGCGCGACTGACAGCAAGTCGTGCAACGCGAACCAGATCGGCCGGCATTGAAAACTCAATTTCAAAATTCGTCGCCAAGTTCACTCTAACAAAGTATCCTGCCGCTATATCTAGGACTGCGAGATCAGATTGAACCGAAGCCTCCCCAGGTCGTTGAAGGATGTGAAGGAATAGGATTATCATCGCATACATTGGCGTATGGGTTGTATGGCTGTAAGAGTTGTCAGTTGTGCCGATGCAGCTTGCATCTGGATAGCTTACGCCATGGGACTGTTCACATCGACAGAAAGTAAGCGAGTGGACATGATGGTTGCGCGGGATGCGGTTGCTACTGCGATCGAAGATTTGGTTGCTTGTTCAAGAAAGCTTGTGCTGGGGTTTTGTGTTCCTGTCCACGACCATGGACACGCCATTGGAAAATGAAGGTGTAGGACAAGGTGATAGTATGTGAAATGAAGAGCCAATGTTTGATTCAACGTCAACGTGCTGTCAAGGTCCGAAGTGTCCACTGGCTTATCAAGGTCCAGGTGCAGTGACAGTGATTTCTTCAACCCCTGGAGCTCCTCATCCAGCTCACCAACAGTTTTGGCAAGTTGCTCTTGAGTCTGTCCATGTGCTCGTACCTTGGACAGCCGTTTGGATACCATGGAAAAGAATCGATGTAGCTTGGTCATGAACATGGGGTAGAGTGAGTGACTCGCACCAGGACCAAGAGAAGCATCCGGGACGAGGCACGTAATCTCATCATCGTCAATGCCCTGAGTGCAGCCATGTTAGCAATGGAAAACCTTCAAATTATGCAGGGAGTCTTTCTTACTGCCGGGCGTCCCGTGCGTGCCACGATCGACGTCTCAAAACAGTAGATGGCCCAGAAGATGCGGCTGCGATGTAAGACATCTCCGCTCAACAACCCCCATGAAGGCGCCGGCTGCCTGTGTAGGCCCTTGGAACAGGCGAGGTGCAGAGCGCTCGACCCCAAATTGTACTGGAGGGTGATACTTCCCAATCCTTCAGCAAAGTGAGCCTAAGCATGTCCAGGCAAACCGTAAGACTTCAAGCGCTTCCTCAATTCAAGGAAAGTTAGGCTTACCATCAGAATCACCGCCTGAACCGAGACCAAAGATATGCGCGTAAACATTAGATCTGAATAAGCAGAGAGTGCACTCTCGAAGAGAGGCCAAGAAGCGGCATATGCCTCCGTGAATGTATGTGTTTTCGACATCTTCAGGCGACAACCATACGCGAATACAACTCTCCGTAAAGCAAACCAGGAAGGGTCATCATCTGTGCCCATCGTCTCAAAGTGGGCGCGAAGTCGAGCCTCGAACCAAGGTCGGTGTAACACGCCAAATGAGACTTCTGGTGCTTTTTCAAAATATTCTGTGCCACATAGTTTATTAGTTGCAGTGTGATCCTCTGCGCTTATCAACCTCAACACACTCACCGTTTGTGAACTCCCACGCAGTGTCCAGATCTGGATCTCCACAACGTTCACGTGGCAAGTGACCTTCAATTTTCAACCTCCGGGTCAAGCTTCTAAGGAAACCTTGTGCGCATTGTTCAAAGCCCGAATCTTCGACTTTGCTGGTGACCCAAGCTATTCCTGGTTTTGAGAAAATCGATGTCATGCATCTGGGGCCTGCCTGGGTCAGATATCGAAGATCGTTGTCAAGATCAAACGGGTCCTCACCGTGATATTCCGAGTATGGCTACCGAAGTCATCTCAGCTGACGTTCCTTGCGCTGATAGGATGGCTTACCAGTTCCGTGGGACCGATACCACCGCTATCCGCCTCATCGCCTGCAAAGGCTTGAGGATCGCATACTGATTGCTCATGCAAGCCTGTGGAGGAGACCGACATCTGCTCACGTTCTAAAACGTGGGCTGTTGTCCGTCCTTGATCTAGAGGGTAAACCGAATCTGCTTCCAGACTTGCAGGGAACGCCGCTCTCGGGCTTGTTTGGCTATGATGAGTCCCAGAAGCATCATGATTGTCGTTCGGACTCTCCATAGACCAGGCGCGCCGCGTGGAAAGTTGCGCGGGCTGAGGCATGGATTGTGGCCGATCAGAATTGTTGCTAGGGCCTCTGCCATGACCAGGTGCTGGCCGACCGCTCCGGGCAATGCCACTCGATGTCTCGAGAATATCAGGCAAATGCTCCTTAGCTTTGTGACTACGAGGATTCTGGACACTCTTTCCCGCAGATCTGGGACGGTTTTCGTACCGGGTGCAAACTCGGCCCCGATCAAGGCACTGCGTACAGGTGCTCCCTTCACCTCCATTGCCTGTCCCTGTCAGTTCAACATGTCTCAGGAGCCAGCACCAGGGATTTCGCATAGCCAACATACATCGAACTTTTCTGCTACGGCAATAATCACAAGCCCCAGATCTCTTGCGAAACGGCGAATCCCTGTCGTTTATGGCGGTTTTCAGCACATCGCCACTGCCACTTTGAGCAGAGCGGCCGTCGAAAACGATGTCAAATCCCATCGAGTGCATTTCTCGCAAGGAAAGTTGACTGCGCACACAAAGGATGGACTCCTGGGGTTGTCTTTTCTGAATCTACATCTACGATTGATCCAGAGAGCTCTACGTCAAGTGACTACTGGATCTGGCTTCACCAAGCGCCGCGGGCGAAATGCTCCGCCGAGAGTCTTGGGTCTGGGGAAGTTATGTAATCTGGGGTGCGGAGCAATTCTGACGGAAGCAAACTTCGGCCCCGAACAAAGAGGGATTAGTGGCTACGGGCCAAGGGTTAGATGGGCCCATGGGATTGTTGGCAGGCCGTGGGTACGGGGCATACATATGGTTTACTAGGACACTCCTTTTTCCAAAGCCTCATCATTGGTGATCAGCACCTATCCTTCTCAGTTAACTTCTACATCGCCATGAGAGTCATGAACCATTCCAAAGAGTCCAACTCTCATGTTGAGGACGCTCTTGACCTTAGCACGACGCCGGCTCAAGTGGATAACCTCGCTGGAGAAGAGAAAAATGCTGAGGTCCATCTGAAGACGTGGTTGCTGATTGGTGTGCGACTCTCTCTGACCCATGTCACTTGTTCCTTCTCAGCTCCGCCACTGATAAATTGACTAGGCCATCAACTTGATCTATTTCACGCAGCTCGTCAACCTGGTCGGCGCGGGCTCGTTGGCACGAGATATTGCTTCTGTTGTTGGAGGAGGCGTGGATAAGCAGATATGGTTTACATCAGTTGTGGCCATTCTTACCACGACTTTGAGTATTCCAATCAGCCAGGCCGCAGACTATTGGGGTCGCAAACCCTTTCTGACCATCTGCACCTTCCTTGGATTTGTGGGCAGCATTATCATTTCCCGTGCCAACACGGTGAACACGGTCATCGCAGGAATCACAGTTTCGTCGGTGTCGTATGGCGCGCAGGCACTCTTACATGCCGTTATCTCGGAGGTCTTGCCTCGTAAATTCCGATCATTTGCACAAGCCGCTGTAAATGTTTCTTCAAGCTTAGGGGTCATAGTCGGCGCCTACATGGGAGGTGCGTTGGTTCGGAATGGGCACCCAGAGCACTTTCGGATCCACTGGTATGTTACAGCCGCTCTCTACGGAACAAGCACCCTGGTCACAGCCTTGTTCTATAATCCACCTCCTCGGGAACTTCAGGTACTTCTGTCCACCTCGCAAAAGATCCATCAATTGGACTGGCTCGGCTATGTGCTCCTAATCGTTGGCTTGGTGATGTTTTGCCTGGGCCTCTCATGGTACCAGTATCCTTATGCCTTCGACGATGCACATGTACTTGCGCCGTTTGTTGTGGGCCTCGCCTTCATGCTAGCCTTGGTCATACATCAATGGGTACTTAAAAAGGACGGCATGTTTCATCATGACCTTTTCCAGCACAGAACCTTCCCAATCGTCAGCTTCTGCAGCTTTTGCGAAGGCCTTAGTTTCTACTGCGCGAATGCCTTTCTCCCATTCCAGCTCAGTTTCTACACGACTGACCCTCTATTTATCGGACTGCATTTTAGCATCGGAGCCTACGCGGCCATTGTCTTTGCTGCTCTCGGAGCAACCTACTCCTGGCGGACAAAATCTCTTCGCCCACCCATTGTGCTTGGATTTCTCACCTTCACCACCTACAACGTCCTAATGGCAACTGCAAATACCAATACCCCCGAACGGAATCTCTGGGCGTATCCCGTCCTCTTGGGCATGGGACTCGGCTGCTGCATTACCCCTTTAGTCGCTGTTGCACAATTCGCCACACCTGCTGCTTTCATCGCCATGGCGTCAGGTTTGATGATCTCTGTCCGCAGCTTGGGTGGGTCGATTGGGCTCCCTATCTACAACGCCGTCTTCAACAAAGTATTAGCCGAGAATCTGGCCCAGCGAATCGCAGCAGCTGCAACAGCCGGAGGTCTCCCTGAGTCTTCCTTGACATCATTCATTGAAGCCATCGTGTCCGGCGATGAAATTACACTTCAGGAAATCCCCAATGCTACGTCTGAGGTCATAGCTGCTGCAACAGTGGCGATGAAAGATGCCTACTCGATTGCGTTCCGTTATGTCTGGGTCACCGCCGGCGCATTCGGATTCGTCGGCTTGATCGGTGAGCTGAAGCCTTGCCCTGCCACTCAAGGGCTTTAACAAAGACTACCCCCGTGCTAATTTATCTTTGCAACAGCATGTTTCTTTATTCGTGACGCAAAAGGCGACTTCAATGAGCACATTGATGCGCCCGCTGAAGGTGAAGTTTCAGGGCCACAACGCTTGCCGCACGCAGTTAGCATGGAGAGATGAAGGTGTCGTTCTCGGGTTGAATTCTTGCTTGTCACCCTTCCTTAAGAGTTAAGGGAAGGGCGAGTAAGATTGATACAGACGTAGTTACACGGATTCGACATCAGGGCGCTTGAACCGTAAAAAGAAAGGTCCAAACACGCACAAGAGAAACATTCCCGATACCTCTAAAAGAAGGAGGAAGGTGAAAGGATAATAATCATAAGAAAGTTTTGCGTTGACCCTTGACCCTTAGCCATAGACCAAGAAATTCTCTTGACTAACGAGTTTATAACTGATTTCGTCCCGGGATCCGCAGGCGTCCATAAAGGCAATGATGATTATTTGCTGATGTAGCTCTCCTTGGCTTAGCCTGCCAGTGAGGTTTGTAATCATACGTAGGCCGCTTGGTGGCATTGGGCATTGTTGTGGGACGAAGCAAAGATCGGCAGTAGATACTGGAGCTGTCCACCGACCTCTATCCGTACGAACGCAGCGAACCATTCATTCATTCTATTCTTGCCTTCAAGGGCCTTCATGCCTGATGAAAGGATCCGCTTAGAAGTGCTTCGCGAGAACTGAAGATTTCGTCTACTTTGCGATTCTTGTAGGTCACTTTTCCCCAGCTCAACGGCCGTGCTGTAAAGCATTCGTTCCAAAGAAGCTTTCTCCGTCGAGGTTGACCACCTCAATAAATTTGAAATTGGAAACGAAGGTGCGTGGCTGTCAGAGTTTCGGAACCAGCGAGTACCTGTGAACTTCCTGAGGCCTCCCTCGGGACGCGACTCAGATGTCACACTACCCGCTTCAACCGCACAAATTACCCGCAAGGTTATTTCCTTCTTGGGTGTCTGACATGCATTTCGGAATGCCTTGCAACGAGCACAGCTCCTGGAATGTAATTACTAGGTATTTGACAAGCCTGGCTGTTTCATGGCCACTTCTCGCCGTGGTGTAAAAACCAAATCACAGCGTCCGCCTTTAGGGAGGACGAGAAAGTGGTCCATCATGGTCATGCTGTCCTCTGTGCATTGCAGGGCCAACCCAACCGAAAATTCTCTTATCAAAGCCGCCGTGATCAATTTCAGTTCCATGAGCGCCAGATTCTTGCCGATGCATGCGCGTGTGCCCTTGGAGAAGGGCATGAACATCTCCTTCATCTCGTTCGATTGGTCGTACAGGTACCGAGTGGGATCAAACCGGTCGGGGTCCGTGAAAACACTGGGGTCGCGCTGGGTTGTATAGCACTGCATTGAGACAGTCGTCTGTCAAAACTACTATTAGCACATTGGTCCTGCCTGCTCTGGGGGCACAGGGCTCGGCCATACACGCTCTGGGACATGGATCCCGTTGAGAACCCTTCCACCTGCAGGAGTTTCCCTTGGCAGGCTAGCCGGCGCCGCAGGGTGGAGCCGAAGGGCTTCTTGCACAATGGCGTCAAGTATTGGCAAGTGGACCAAGTCAGCGTAAGCGGCAACGGAAGTAGTGCTCTGCGCGATATTCTGGTCCAGTTCCTCGCTCAGCCTCTTCTGCCAGTCTGGTTGCTTTGCTAGCTCCCAGAACATATACGTGAGAGTCATGCTTGTTGTGTCTGGGAACTTGGTCAGTTTGAAGTTGATGGTAGAAGTCATCTTATAGCTAGCTCTGCATTACCTGTACCGGCGGAGACAAGATTAGCAATCTCGGTGTAGATTTCGAGATCCGTAAGATTCGGCTCGCCGGTCTCCGACTTCAAGCAAACCACTTTACTCAGCAGGTCTTTTCGTCCTGACTCACGGCCGTAGGTTGCGAGATATCTCTGAAGCGCTTTCCGACCAAACTTTAGAAGGAAGATCTTAGCCGACTGGTTGGGTTCTTTGTCCTTGGTGAGATAATACTCACTTCATGTGCCCTATTTCTCGATTCAAATAGGTGGCGGACCGACGGGAGCGGTGTGTGATTGAGGATCTTGTACAATGGTGGGAAGTTGGCCTCTATTCCAGCAGCAATGAAATGTAGATCCATATCAACGAGGAACTCAGGTGGGTCGCTGGTGTCAAGGCCTCCAAATGATTGCCCCAAGAATAGGTCACCTATCGTTGTGGTGCATCACGGGTTAGATTCTAGAATATCTCAGGGGGTTGGCATTGTCGCGCGCGTGACTTACCGACAACGTCAAATGCAAGCAGCCTGAAGAAGTAAACCACATCTATGGGCTCGTTCACCTTCTTCCACACGAGCCCAAGGAGCTTCTCAATGTGTGATCGTATCAACGGTTCTGTGCTCGTGAGTGATGACTGTGCGAATGCGTGGCTGAGCAGTCTGCGTCTCTGGCTGTGGTCGTCTTTATTTCGCATGCCGAAGATACCGAACGGACGGAGGCTCATTGTGTCGTAGACCTCGGCCTTCATGAAGCTAGTCTGCTGCCCGTAGATCTCCTTGATGCACTCGACGTTGGAGAGGGATAGCTCGTTGGGTGCCACTCTGACGGCATGGCCATACTTTTTGTGCAGTTCATGTATCGTCCGAGTTCGGCTGCCACTGAGGTCGACGAATGTCAGCCACAGTGACGTTGCCCGGGCCATGACCGGTCCTGGGACATGGCGCAAAGGCGAGAAGAAAAGGTTGTATATAACCTGCTCCAGTCAGCGGTGCGGTCCTTGTGTTGACAATGACTTTTCGCTGACTCTTAGAGTTGCAACAAGACCAATGCATAGTCCACCTAAAAGAAGTCCCCATCCTAGCCGTACTAGAACCGCGATCTCCATCTTTACGGGATTGACGCTACAAAACCTCGAATATCGGCTGGCTTCCCTGCAAGTAGAAGTTTTACGAAATCCAATTTTGGGACTTCCACCTGAGTTGACGTGGCCCTGGTCAAGTCTCAACACGTAGGTAATAAACGCTATGCTGCAATGTAAACCCGAAGAATGGACCGCGGCGGAATAATCCACTCGGCGCAAGGGCGGGAGCTTCTAAATGCGGGAAGTTAAAAGCGGTCCGGTCAAAACAAGTTAGGTTGCCAACTGGAAGGACAAGGGGTGATTGGGGCCTTTTTTCGGTCCCATTGAGACACACATGGAGTGAGAGGTACTGCCATACATGTACATAGCTCGGGTTCAGCATCTAAATTGATGCTGTAGCATTAAATTTCAGGCTGGAGGCGTTCAAGTTTGGGTGAAAGACTTGTACTACCTAAGTTCCAGATTTCGACATGGTTAAAATAGTGTTAGCCGGTGGGGCGGGAAGTGAGTTTATAACTCGAAGAGTCATAAATGCGGCTTACGAGACAGCGACCGCGTTACAATGTACTAATGGATCGGTGACGCCTAGAAATCGGACGAGAAGTTCTAGATGGGCTCGTGGAAGCCCAAGCGCACGAGATCGTGGTATTCACACGCTCAGTGAGTAATATTGGTGCGTGCTTTGGCTAGTATCGCCGTGCCTGATTTCGCTCCGTCCATCTCTCAGGCTCCTTCCAAACCATTACCACCACAAGTGGAGGTAACAAAAGTCGATTACACCGACATTGCTGGCATGACAAAGCACCTTCGGGGCACGGAGGTTGTGCTTTCATTTATCGTGGGCCATCTCGATCCAGAAGGTATTGCCCAGAAGAACCTTGTGGACGCATGTATTGCAGCTAGAGTGAAAAGGTTTGCACCAAGTGAATGGTCAATGTAAGCATATCCAGATTTGAGGGCCTAGAAAGAGCTGATCCTCTCTTTCATAGAGCTAGTAATAGTGGCAGCGCCATGTATAGGAGCAAGGATATTGTTAGCGCATATTTAAGACAGGTTAATAAGGATAAGAAGGTAAGTCCGACGCCATTCAAATTTGTCCTCAGAGTAAACATAGCCTAGAGGTTAGAATTCTGTCTCTTTCAGCCAGGCTTATTCCTCGACTATTTAATTTTCCCACACAGCACGACAAAGCACGCCCAACTGTTTTGTACACCTTGGGACCTGCAAAATCGCCGTGCTATTATCCCAGAGGGCCCTGACTTTCCGCTTGTGTTGACCACCGTTGGAGATCTGGTAAAGGTCGTGGTCGAAGCTGTGACTTTCCAAGGCACGTGGCCAGAGCGAGGTGGGATATGTGGCAATAAATTCATGAACTCGGAGTTTTTGAAACTCGCAGAGTCAATTAGAGGTGAAATACGTTGACGAGTATTATTTATGTCGGACTAACCTTTCATCACCACAGGTCCGATACATGTGGAAGTCGCCTCAAACACTGATATCGACAACTTGTCTTTTAAAACGTCCTGGATCCCTCAGGCTAATCACGCTTCCTTATCACCAGAAGAGCGAGCCTCGATCTCGAAGCAGTTCTTGGGCATGATTCTCACGGCTGTGAGAAATGGTGCTTTTGGTGTCACAGAGGAGTGGAACCAGCTTCTACCGAATGTTGAGATGACCAAAGCAGAGACATTTCTGCGGATGATCTGGAAAGATTAGCCTCACGGTACCTAATAGCGCTAGAACACCAATTCGGGTGAACAAGACCTCGGAGGATGATAAAGAGATCGTGTGCCAAAAGCCGTCCACCGCTACTTTCAACGCTCAGACATTTACAGCTACTGGATGTTGCCTCTGGATGATACCATGATGCAGATCCATAATAAAGAGCGTTTTAGATTCGTTGCTTCAGGAACTCGAGCAGCTAAACGTGTATGAGTAAATAATGCCGTGCATATTTGGGCGTTCTTAGGCCTGTCCTTCGGGGACCCCGTTTGTCTTGCATGTCCCTCTGGGGACGTGGTAGGTGACTTCGAGCTTGGGAAGAATGGGTCGAGAACCAAAGAATGAAACTTGGTCATGCAACTCAAACCCAAGATTCAAACCAAAATGTGACCTCTACATTCCTGACTTTGGGAAAAGACTTTTCTTTGCGCAGGCGGTAGTTGCATGAAAGCTACACAGATATAGAAGTACATCATCTGTTCCGGTCCGCACTAGCCCAGTAAATGAGCTTTCTCCGACGCAGGAATGTTTGACATTCATGAAAAGAGAATCCCACCATTAGCATTCACGATACTCCCTGTAGACCATCTGCTTGACTCGTCGGCAAGGAATGCAACGATCTGGGATATATCATCTGTAGTAGCTATTCGATTGGCAGCCGGTGTATCTTTTTGACGTCTTTCCCAACCGTCGTGTACAGCCTGGGAGGTGTCTCGAAGCCACAGGTCAGTGGCCACAGGACCAGGGTCCACACAATTAGCAGTGAGATTGTACTGCTGTCCAAGTTCTGTGGCAAAACAACGGGTCGCACCTTCCAGGGCTGCCTTAGAGCTCGCATAGGCTATCATCATTGGAGGCCCAGCTCTAGCCGCCACACTGGAGATATTGACGATTCGCGGGGATGCTCCTAGGTGAGGAAGGGCGGCCTTGAGCAGGAAAACAGGCATTCGAACATTTACTTCCATGGTGGTATCCCAATGCTCGTGCGTCAGATCTTGCAATGATACATTCTCGCCATAGCCGGCATTGTTGACAATGATATCGATGTGTCCCCATTTTTTCACCGCTACTTCAACAACCTGAGTGGGAGCATTTCTATCGGTGCCCCTTGCTTGGATCATTATAGCCTCCCCTCCCAAACTCTCGATATCGTTCATGAGGCCCTTTGCTTGGGCCTCGCTGGAATTGTATGTCAAGACAAGTTTGGCTCCGCGTTTTGCAAGCTCCTTAGCTATCGCTGCCCCAATGCCGCGGGACCCACCCGTAACAATAGCAATTTTGTTAAACAATGGCTGCACGGACATAGTTTCAGGGAAGGCAGAAGGTCGCAGGAAGGTGGTTTGGCAGATCAAAAGGGGTTATGTGCTTTCGTCTGAACGGACAAGAACTGTGCTCAACATGCAAAGGGGGCGCTTCCGGAGCAACATCAGTGTGGTTCTTTCAGTGCCTAAGTCCCACAAACTCGTCCTCTGAGGTGTTCGGGCACGGGTCGCTGAATTAGAATGTAGGTGGTGGATACGATGTTCGTCGGACAACACTCGATCTAGGCCGAGGAATCCCGGTGCCGCAACGAATGTGACCGGAGCCCGACTTCTTACTAACGGAACTGAGTCCGCCCATCGGCTCGACTTCTCCTCTAATCTCCACACGGACGAAACGATGGCATTCAAGGGGCCCCGTGGGGGACCCAAGCTCGCGTTTTGTTCATATACTAGTGACTTCCCCGTCCCGACTCGCTTGATGCGACTTGTCACTTCCACCAGACCCTGTTGTTTGCTCACCCACAGTTTCTTGGAATTTTGAAGGGAATCAAAGCTTTCACAAAAGTAATTGACAGTGAGATGTCTACAAGGGCCACAGATGATGGCCACCTTGGAGGGATGAATGCTCCTGGTGATGAGAGGTCGAGTAAGAACGAGGCAGGGTCAAAGGAGCATGTCGAGATTCTCAACCTCTCGGTGCCGAATCTTGAATATGATATTTTGGACGAGGAGCCCGCACTTCGTGCTCGGACGTACATTGCTCTTGCTGCCATGTTCATGATGAACCTGGTGATGCTTGTTGCGCTCATGGGTCCGCCTACTTTCGTACGTTAACCTCTTCCAGCAAGTGTCTCACAGAAGCTCTCACTGACATTGTTATCCGCCAGTTGACCGCTATTGGAGAGGATTTTAACGACCAAAGAAATGTCACTTGGGTTGTCAATGCTCTTGGCCTTGTCCAGGGTGTATTAGGACCTTTGATTTCCTCAGCCTCAGATTTGTTCCAAGCTCGAAAACCATTATTGTTGGGCTCATGTGTTGTATCATTCATTGGTTCAGCCATAGCAGCACGAGCTGGGACGATATATCAGCTTGTTGCTGCACAAGCATTAATTGGTGTCGGTTTTGCAAGCGTTCCCCTTGCCTACTGTGTCCCAAGTGAAATTGTGCCCAGAAGATGGCGTCCGAGTAAGCGCTGAATAGCAGTTTCAAGGGACGGTGCTAACGATACACCAGTGACACAAGCTACTATGAATACTGCAGCCTGTATCGGCGCTATCGTTGGACCGGTTATTATGGGTGGTTTCCTCCAAGTTGATGGAAGGAGTGGATGGCGGAATTTCTTTGTATGTTCGGAAAGCTATCTGAAGTCTTATCCTTTACTAATAATGTCCAGTGGGTCCAAATGGGTCTCTGGGGATTCACCGCTTTTGGCATCTTTGTTGGTTATCGTCCCCCCAAGCGGCATGCAAGGCTAGATCACCTCTCAGTGCTCCAGAAAATCAAGCAAATGGATATCCCTGGCTGTACCCTACTTACTATTGGTATCACCTTGCTCCTTACCGGACTCAATCTTGCAGGCGGCATGTATTCCTGGACTAATTCTCGTGTTCTTGTCACTGTTATAGTTGGGGCTGTCACATTGGGAGCTTTTGGACTATATGAGTGGCGTGGTACTCAGACGGGGATTTTCCATCATGAAATCTTCAACGGACCAAACGGTACCGGGAAGACAGCGACCATTTCCATTTGCCTTATCGGCGTAGAAGGCTTCGTGGCCTCTGCATACTACTTGTTTTATCCAATCCAGTGGGTAGTTCTCATTTGAAAGTTGCGTGTGCATCACTAACGAGGCAAATTAGGGTGGCAACTCTCTTCACGACAGTACCTATGAAGGTAGTTGCTCGTCAGGAAGCATTCTGGGTTGGGTGTACTATATCTGGCCTTGCTTTTGGCTATGTTAGCACGAGATTCAGGATTGTTCGAGAGCTACTCGCTGCTGGGCTCTTGATTTTCACTGCTGGTCTTGTTGGTCTCGCTACGATACAACCAGGGCATTCGCTGAATTCACTTATCTTTGTCACTTTAGCAGGAATTGGATTCGGAGCTGTGCTTATTCTTGTGGTCGCAAGTGTTCATCTTTGTACACCACACAAGCTCATAGCGACGGCGACAGCGGTGGTCACCACAACACGTGCCCTAGTAGGGGGGGTTGCCACTGCGGTTTTCTCTGCGGCATTTCGCACAGCTCTCGAGCAGAAACTTCCCCTTTACGTCTCTGAAGCTGCTGTTAGCAACGGACTCCCCATAGAGTCCCTTCCTACATTCATAGCAGCATTCCTCAACAATGATAGCTCCGCATTGAGCAGCATTGATGGAATCGACACAACAATCATCACCGCCAGCGCTGCTGCCATGAAGCAGGCCTATGCCGACTCGGCGCGGATTCCCTTCATTATCGCGGCTCCAGTCTCCGCACTAGCGATTTTGTCGTGCTATTTCCTGTCAAACCTGCAAAAGGAAATGAACTATCGAGTGGACGCACCCGTGGAAGTCCTACAGACCAAACACGAAAAGCAGCACAATAGCTCTGGCACGGCATAAGGCCATGTCACCCAAATAGCGATGCCAAAAGGTCTCTGTCGAGTGTTTTGGAGCATAGGTCAAGTGTCCTGAGATGCTAGAGTCATGCTGTTGAACGATTCGTGCAAAGTCAACTTCAGTAATGGACCGCTGTGGCGAGTGAGTCAGACTAGCCTGTGAATCAAATACCGCTTTGAGTTCGGTTAAGTCAGATTCCTCTTCACAGTTTCTGATCCGCTATGTCTGCGACAAAGTATGGAAGTTCTTCACAGTATGAATAATTGAGGCTAGGATTCTACATCCTGATGGACAGAGTTCTGTTGTGCTCTGAAAAGTGTAAAGAGTTCATGCGTTGCCTCGGCCATAGGGCTCATCTTGTAGAACTTCAAGGCTCAGAACACCTCAATACGCAGGATTATTGATGGTACTATCGTTTCCAAAGCCAACAGGAACTTCGGGGCCCCATACTGAGGTTGGACCAACAACCTCTCTCCCAGTCCGTTTGTCTTCATTCACAACATCTCCATCGGCATAGTGCTCAATCTTAAAACCGCTAGGGTCTTCCCAGTAGTCGAATATTTGACTACCTAGTATGTGTCGGCCTACGCCCCAGACAGCTTTCCACTTTCTCTTGGTCAGCCAGTCGTGGCCGATAAGCTGAGTATCAAAATCTGCGATTTCATACGAACTGTGATGAACATAAGTTTTTGGAACCTCCGGCGGCGCTCTCGACAGAAACATAATGTGATGATCCGAGAACTCTTTCCCAAGGTCAAGGTGCATGAATGTCATGACATCGAGATTGGCGATTTCGGGATGAAATAAGATGTCCGAGTGTACAAAGTTGAAGTTAGAGGTGTAGAAATCTAGCTCCTCGTCGAATTCTTTGCAGATGTAGCCGAAGTGTCCGACTTTGTGAATTAGAGCTGGACCCTCATGATATCTCTGGTATTCGCCGCAACGCCTTTTTTCAAATGGCCCATTGTAAGGACCTTGGACTTCATGGGTTGCCGAGGGAGGGGGTTCTGAAGGGTCAAAAGGGCGCTCCTCTTGTCCGTAGATAATATGCATAAACGTCTCGTTGGGACGGGCAATCGTACAAAGCCTACCACCGCCAGGCACTTCTGTCAAGTCACTTTGCATCGCGCCAGGAAGTTTGCATGCTTTATCGAATTCGTGCTGGTCTCGGGCGACAAATGCGGGACCCTTAAACCTGGGTTGATCGTCTTTGCTCTGACTTGCAATGTAGATCACAGGATCCCGTCCATATCCTCGAAAGTAGATTGTATCACTAGTCCTCTTTTCTATGATAAACCCAAAATCTTCTGCGAAATTTGCAAAAGCGGAGAGATTAGAATGTTCAAAATACACATGTCCGATTCGAACGAGTTGCACCTTCGAGGCATCATTCTTGACATCAGGGATGGACATAGCCGCCTCAAAAGTTTCCCAATTGGACTTGGAAGCGTGTAGGAGGATTGTGATACTCACAGAAAACTGATAATGCAAGACTTCGGGCTACAAGATACGAATCCGGGGTCTTATCCCTTCTCTATACCTGACTAGGGTTTGCCGGGACCGATCGATTTCATCCAACCGATGCGGAACATGACCAACGCAGAGACCGAAGAAGCATATCCACTTCCGCACCCCTTGCCATGGTTCACGCTGAGTGAGTTAGACAAGCATGCCCAAAACCGAAAAGCGACCATAAAGCTCTCCCGTAAGGCCGCCGCTTCGGATTTGGCCCAGGATGGTTAGCGTCATTCCGAAGTCTTTCCAGCCGAACGCAGCCATTGGTATGACTACTCACTCGATAGATAGAGTAAACTCGATTTCCTGTGTCTAAGCATACTAGTACTCTTCAAAACCTACCTCACAGACTTCCTTGTCAGCAAGTGAAAATTGTAGATCATAATGTCATCTCCGAGAACCCTCACTCCTATCTCATGGTATGTGACTGGACACAATGAAGCCGACGGTGAATCCGTGTTCCATTCTGACATCAATACTACGCCGCCCGTGAGAAAACAACCGGACAATATTCAAATCTTCGACTGCTACTTGACACAAGGGTTTCCCATCGATTTAAGCGGGGACAAAGACATTCGAACATACGAACACCTCCTCCAGAACCCTCCAGGAATTGTGGTTCCTAATGGCTCTGCAGCCCGGGTTGTTGATATCCCACCAGGCTACACCTCACCCATGCATCGCAGCATGAGCTTGAACTATAACTTTGTCATCGAGGGAGAGGTCGATGCCATTCTGAGCTCGGGCGAGGTGAGGACATTGAAACGTGGCGATGGAATCGTTCAGCGTGCCATCAACCATGCGTGGAGGAACAACAGCCAGACCGAATGGGCGAGAATTACTGCTGTTGTCTTGCCGGTGCAACCTTTCCAGGTTGGACCATCGAAAGGGAACGCTTCGGGAGCCCAGGATACGGAGCAAAAGAAAGAATAGTCAAGTCATACGTTGGATATTTATCGGGATTCGGCCCCCTCAGCACTCGAAACCGGGGCTTTGTCCGCGGTGCGGCTGTGGGCATAGATCTAGTCATTAAATGAGAATAACGTTGTATTGTCTCTTTATGATCATAGTTCATAGCGCGGTTAAACTCTTCTTGGTCCCTCTAACTTCCATTTAGCAAATTCTCTACCCTCCTGTAGGTTGCAAAATTCACCAAGGTGAGCTCTCCTCCTCATGGGTCAATCTATGAGCTGTCGTGATGTGCTCGGAGGCTGGTCCAAGACGAGGTCTTGCTGGACTATGGACCCGTTAGTCTCCTATCTAGATATTTTATCATGGGCAGGCGGGTTTACCGTCCAGGCTCCGAGGCAATTTGCAGGGTCAACAGGACCGCTTCCTGCGCTTCTATGAAACTTCCCCATAGAGGTGGCGCACATCATCGGAATGATGGTGACATGGTCCGAGTCCCTCGTAGTATCTCATATTCCCCATTTTTTCACAATACCTTGTCACCCAAAACCCTGTTCTAGATGTAGTCTCCGCATCGGATAACTGAGCTTGCAAACGCCTTTCCCCTTTCAGCCGGGACCTTTTTCATGATCCCCCAGTCCTTCGATAGTCACGCTTGCCAGACAGCGGGGCCTAAAACAAATCGATCTTCAATAAAGCCGGCACTTGCAAAATGAACAACATAAAGCGTTCAAATATGTAACTCAAGATCATCACCTTATTTCCGATACCCTTTACAAAGTTCGTGCTGGAAACTATGGCTATCGAGGCTTTTATCCGCTTCGCGGACTCGGACGGGACGGAGAACTATGGTGAGGTCTCTCAGCAGCAACTGGCATGTGATCTTCGAGGTGTCAGCGTGCCAATCTTGGAAGGAACTCCCTGGACAGGCTTCAAGAGACTCGATCAGCAGAAAACTGTCTGTCAGGTATGCTGCGATATCTACTCGTATGTCCGTCAGGATTCAGTACTGATCAATACCCAATTATCTAGGTACTTTGTCCGCTTGAAAAGACGCCACTCATTATCTGTATTGGCCTGAACTACAAACAGCACGCGGAGGAGTCTAAGCATGAGATTTCGGAATACCCTGTCGTTTTTACTAAACCACCGGATGCTCTTGCCGGTGAGTAGAACTTGGTGAAAGTTGCATGAGCTTGAGGAGAGACTAAATTATTACACAGGTCCATTCGATGTAATCAAAGTTCACCCTGACGCCCAGAGCTATCTCGACTACGAAGCAGAATTGACGGTCATCGTAGGCCGCGACGCCAAAAATGTACAGGCCTCCAAAGCACTTTCATATGTCCTTGGCTACACAAACGGCAATGATGTGAGCGCTAGGAATTTCCAAGCCCCCAACGCAAGTGGTGGGCAGTTTTGCTATGCAAAATCATTTGATTCATTTGCTCCTATTGGGCCGGCTGTTGTGTTGGCGAGCAAGATCACCGATCCCCAGAATCTGCGGCTCTACAGTAAGGTCAATGGAGGCATTCGACAGGAGACAAATACAAATGATATGATTTGGACAGTGAGCCAGCTTATAGAGCACTTGAGTCGCGGAACCACATTGCGAGCAGGTACTGTCATCATGACCGGCACCCCAAGTGGTGTTGGAATCTTCATGGAACCTAGAGGAATGGTGGGGCATGGAGATGTGGTGCATGTCGGCATGGACGGTCTAGGAGAGCTTGCTAATGAATTCGATTTCGAGAAGTGAGAATTACACGGGGAACGACAAGGTTAACATTTTTAGATATAGAGTGTAGAGTTTGGCTCAAATATCTGGCCTAGATGGCAAACCACACATGAAACCGGAACAGGCCTTTAAATAGAATTCGATGTTATAATGTTTTCTTTTGTCCCAGTCTTCTTTCGCGACTTTTGCTTGGTGTAAAACAAAATGAGGTTTCTGAAGTGGTCGATGGGGGTTGCAAGACGAGCTGACGATATGCAAGCCTAGGAAAGAGGCGACCTTGGATCATCTGACCAGCTCGAATAAGGCCGATGCGGAAAAAATTGTCTTGCTCGGTTCGGTATTTCTTCACTGAGATGGATAGAAATTCGCACAAACACGCACAGCAGCACCGAGGTACTCCTCATTCCCTTTACCAATGACGTATCGTTCTTCCTGCAGATTCCATTCGAGCACAAGTGGTATCCGAATGGTCCCACTTCGGCCCATCTACATCCCTCCGCGGGCGCACTTTTGCGGCTGGTTCGGAGGCCTGCTGGTTTAAGCCGATCCGTAACCCATACCGCACATAGAAGCCAGAATTCAAGCCATTGCGATCAACAATGCGGAGCACTTCGGCCTAGAATTACAATCACTCTAGATTTACCAGCCTCGTTGAACCGGAGGACCTTTACTTCTATACTCAACTACAACCGAACTTTCTCTCTATAGTCGGTCACGTTTGCCTCTGTCGACCTACCAAAATGCCATATGAACTCAGGAATCGCAACGTTCTCGTCACAGGAGGAAGTAGGGGGCTAGGGGCTGTGATTTGTCAGAGGTTTGCTCAGGAAGGTGCCAATGTAATGATTAATTACGTCTCAAGCGCGGAGAACGCTAGCATAGTTGCGAAACATGTCGAGACCTATGGTGTCAAAGCCTTTATTGTTCAAGGGGTGCGAAACATACTCACCTGACGAGACGCTCATCCACGCAACAGGCAGAACTATTGCCTTGCTAACGATTGCAGGACACTGGAATCCTGCACGATAACATTCGCATTGTCCAGGAAACGCTGGAGAAGCTCGGTGGCCTAGATATCATCGTTGCCAACGCTGGCTGGACGAAAGTGTGCGATTTTAAAGACCTAAATGCAATGAGCGAAGAAGAGTGGAATAAAGTTTGTTTCCTTCCCTGCGCCGCCGAAGCATTATTTTGATGAATATCAAATTCTTCTAGTGTTGGTCAACAAACGTGCTCTGCCACCTTAGGCTGATGCAAGCTGCGCAACCTGTCTTTTCCACTAATCCTGATGGCGGCGTCTACCTGGTCACTTCCTCTATTGCTGTGCGTTACCCGAGTGAGAAGCTTTCAGAGTGAGACTAACTGAGCCGGTTAGGGTAAAACACAAGCTGGAAGTAGCATGGCATATTCCGTAACGAAAGCTGCTGGTTTGCACCTCATGAAGTGCTTAGCTGCCACTCAAGCGCCAACGACTCGCATCAATGCCGTATTGCCAGGACTTTTATTGACTGACTGGGTATGATGACAAAGCTACTTCACACTCTCCAAGACGCTGACATTAACTCAAGTCGTCGAGATTCAGCGACGAAAATATTGCTCAGTCAAAGGATAAGGCGGTGCTGAAGCATGAGGTATGTCCCAGGCACCAATCCTCCATGAGTATGCCGCTGACATTTGCAGACGTTTCTGGATGACTGTGCAGATGCATACATCTACTTAGCAAAAAACACATCCATGACTGGGCAATGCGTTACTGTGGATGCAGGTCTGACACCTTTCTGAGGATGCGACTTACATATTTGAGTCCACAATTCGCTTCACTGTCGGTCTCGTTAAACTTAGCTCACTAACCGCATCATGGCCCTTTATTCGCCAACGATAGAGCTCAATAGATATAAATCATTGCGAATGGAGATTACATCTTTCATAAATTCGTCGAGACGGGTAGAGCGACTGGTTTCATTTTTGACTTGAGTATTCGAAAGCTTTGATATAAGGTGGCCGAGTGCAAGCACACAACGTGCTCATTCTCAGACATAGTTACAAACTTTACAATCGACATGTGTTCCGGTCCGAACGCGAAAAACATAAAGACCGGAGTTCATACTCGGTTGCAATTGACAACATGAGGAAGAGAGTATCAGGATTGACGTGCCACTGCTCAGCCATTTCGATCATTGCATCTTGATAGACTACTTTACGCTTTAGGGCCTGGACTTTCAATCCACCCTTGGATGGCCTGACGGTGATACCACTGAATGAGCGGGATCAGCCTAGCTCAGTCATGTTTCTCCCTGGTCACAGAGTTCCGCATCATTCTGGGGGGACAGCATGGTTCGGCACGGGAGTATTAGGGCGGGCGACGGAAAAGTGTCAGCCTGGAGCTACACTTCCATTTATATTCGGGGCGTAACCCGCACATCTACTTCGTTATCGGCAACATTTCTTTAGGACACGCGTTGCAACTCCGAAATACGATCATGAGGAACTTTTCACGGAAACGGCTTCTTCACACTAGTCTCCAGTGCGGACGGGCTTAACGCGCTGGCTAGTAAAAGTAATTCGTTCGATCCGCGATGAGCCTGCCTAGGCTCCTCAATCCCGCCGACATACTCCTCTGCTCTCCGCGGCCCGCAGGACCACGTTAGTCATTAAGAGCCTCCCGTGCCTTCATTCGCCAAATTTTCGACGTTGCTACCTCAAATTGGAGGCTATCGACTTCTAGCAAGTGCGATGTCGGTTACTCTAATTCTATCGGTACTCTCATTCTCATTCGTAACCCCTATGCAAGCATTGTGAACGGTCCAAATGACTGGGAGCATTCATAAAGTCGTCGTCGCGGGAGCAGGCCCTGCCGGCCTCCTTGCCACATACATGCTGGCCAAAGAGGGTATCTCTGTCGATGTTCTGGAAGCGAAGGCAACGATTGACACTTCACCCCGGGGGTTGGCATATGGGCCGAGTGCCAAGAGGTAAGTCGCAGGTTTCAATTACTGCAGCTGGGAAAATGAGCTGACCAGGCTCCTTATAGAGTGTTACAAGATGCGGGCCTTCTCGACAAGATCACGTCTGAAGGGTTTCTATCCCGGGACTTCACATGGCGGAAACTGGACGGTACCATTCTAGTGTATGCGAGTGCTGAAAGTGATAGAGATGCTTGGGTCGTGAATCCTGTTGGGTCTATCTCCGCATTACTCCTTGATTTGGTGCAGAAGATGTCAATCGTTACGATTCACTGGAATTGTAGAGTCGTTGATGTTGGCCAGGATGAAATCGTGGCGTGGGTTGATGCGGTTGACCCATCGGGCAATAAGAGCAGGTGGGAGGCTGACTACGTGATCGGTTGCGAGGGTGCACAGAGCGCTGTTCGTAAGTCATTGTTCAACGGTCGATTCCCAGGGTATACGTGGCCCGCACAACTCATCGCTGTCAATGTGAAGCCATCCTCCCCAGTGACTCATGACAGCGCCTTGCTGACGAATTCTTCAGTTCTCCTACGACTTCCTTGATAAGGCGGGTTGGGCCGATGCACAATGGGTAGTCGACCAGGAAAAGTGGTTTCTCTGTGCCCGTATCAATCGTAAGGGCCTTTGGCGCATGGCCTATGGTGAGACCCCCGGACTTTCGATCGAGGAAATAAGGAAGAGGCTCGATGATCGCTTTCGTACCACGTTGCCTGGTAACCCAGAACCACATCAATTCCAAGTCATGAACTTGGCTCCCTACACAATACACCAGCGGCTTGCAGAACGGATGAGAGTGGGAAGGGTTCTCCTTGCGGCCGATGCCGCTCATCTCTGCAATCCCATGTTCGTCCCTTCCCTTCAGATTTCTTACATGACCTTGTCTAAACATTGTATAGGGGCGGACTTGGCCTAACCACGGGCATTGCCGACATCGGAAGTCTTGTGCAAGCCCTAGTAGGCATTCATACTGGACAAACAACAGATATCATACTGGATATCTATGATGAAAAGCGTCGTGCGATCTTTTCCACAATAACTGACCCAATCAGCACAACCAATATGAAGCGTATTATGAGCGATGCCAACGAGGTCGAGAAGTCAGATCCCTTCTTTGACAATGTGAGGCAAGCTGTCGAAGATCCTATCCTGCGAGAAGAGGCCTTCCGGGTATGTCGTTATCCCCACAGCGTCGGTGTCTTATCAAGCTATTCCAATTTCCATGCAGCCACTGACATATATGCGAAATTTAGAAGCAGATGGAGATAGGATGTGATCTGACCCAGTTTTACGATCTCACTAAAGGTATGCAGAATGGCAGTCCTTGACCCCTAAACTGTCCAGGAGGTGTCGGGTACAAGAAATTAGTGAGACATCAGAGGACAAACAATAATTGTACCTTGTATTTCATGAAGCTTTTACCGTGGTCGTACAAACTTGTCAACCAGTTCGTGTCAGGGAAGTCTTGTACCGAGAGAATACTTCTCGGCACATAAAGACTACGAAGGGATATTACCAATATAGCTCAATAATATTCACTACCAACTGCAAGATCAGATGTCCGCGAGTATATTGAGATGTCTTAAACGCTCAACTATAGCTTGGTAGAGAAATAGCCACCCTGAAGCAAACTTGGACAATTATACTACGCTCAGGATAATCAGCCTACTCGAGCAACTTGATGACTCTATCCACAGTATAATATTCATGTCTTTTTGTAAGAAGTTTAGATGTCAACCACCGTATCATAGGGATTCTCCCAGCTATATTACTCTTGGGGTAGGCTACACGGTCAAGGACTTCCCCACCGCCACTGGGCCCTAGCAGGGAGGCTTCAAGCAGTTCATTCAACCTGTTCGATACATGGAAGCTTTCAAGTTCTCTTCCGCTCCTCATCTATGGCATATGAATCAGAACATTCCATTGCAAACCCAAAGACTCGCAAGTAAAAGGCTGTGCATTGATAGCTGAACTCAATGCAATGAGGAGCATTTTTCTGGAACCGAGCCTCGACCCAAAAAGAATTTTTCAGACTTTGCGTAAACTCATTCATGGTATCCCGATTGATATGCCACAATTGGTCATATTCACCCATAGAGTACTGTACTTGTACTGTGATTTTCTCCGCATATTTCGCATAATAGGTCGGCCACTGGATGTTAATGTCGTAGAGTTCTTCCACAGAGGTCGACGACATTCCCTTCCGAGAAGTAAACACAACTGGGTCAAAGAGTTCCGGGTTGTCCCCTGCAGCATGAGAGATCCTCTGTTCGAATGGCATATGTATTGGCTTGCCTCTTAAGCTTTCATCGGAAAAATATGAGGTGAGTTGCTGGGTTTGTGGCTTGGTCGACATTGCTGAGAGAACAAGGCCAGAGAGCGGGTATGCTGGGGGATCGCTCGCGTACATTCCCGCTGCCACAGTGGAGACAGCCCCTCCTATTGATTCTCCATAAAGGACGATTGATGAGGCGTTTAATGACGCTGAAAACTCTTTCCATATCGACGGTAAAACTAGATTGTTTAACCAGCGGCCATGGCGCTGGATGAACGTGTTGCCAATGTTGCTCACATCGGTAGACTCCCCATAACCTGGTCGATCGACACAGACGACTGGAATACCCAGCATTTTGCTCAGAGATCGCAGGCTATGCTTCGGCTCAAAGTCGAAGTAGTCACTATCATAAGCACCACCAGGAACACATACTAGGAGCGGAATTGTCTTTGACGAGAACTCGTATTTACGGTCGAGCTCAAAGTATGTCTTGCCGGTGACGACAGAGCTGTCTTCGAGTGTCAGACGAAAAGAGCTCATGATGGAATATCAAAACTGGCTTGGCTCTGTGACAGACGAGAAGCGAACGAAATTTGGGTACGTTTTAAGAGAGTCCAGCAGTCCAGTAAACTCACACTTCAGGTTTCAAGACGGGATGCTTCCAAGAACATCCGGATCGCCTAACTCTATCAATGTTCAAATGAATAGCCGAGTGAAGCCAAGTATTACCCGATTGATCTAACTTCTCTTGTGCGGCTCCCGCGGCGGAGGATCAAGAATGGTAATGCGATCACCTTGGGCCTGATTGGGCGATTCGGCATATCCACCCTCCGCATTGGCCCTCCGGGTCCGAAACCTGGCTCCACCCGCAGAGTCGCCCACGGCCGCCCACATAAAGTGGATATCTATGTTAGCGTGTCGTGACGGAGGGCACTTCTATTCCGTTTCGTTTACTCTAGGGATCCTTCAGAGCGGCAAAAATAAAGCTATTCCGACTCTGGGCTGTTGCAGAAGACGTTGTGCTCGGATTGACTCCCGACCTGGGCCAGCTTCATGACCTTGTACACAGAATTTGACATGTATATCACCAACCCCTGGCACCCACATGTAGCACATTCCTTGGAATATGGGGATATAGAATATATTGCTTCTGTCATCTAATTGATCGAGTACACCGAGTTATGAGAATGTTCAGACGATCATTTACGTGAAATCGTAGGAGATTGCGCCAGGAACAGTTGCCGACAGCTCTATCTGGAGGCGCTGTTAGTATTACCCACATACGCACGTGGACTCGATTGCCTCCGAATATGTGCAGCCTGAGCCACAATGCTATCCTTAAGAATTCGGAGAACGGAGTCAGGTTCAAGCTAAGTCCATCGCCAACGCATTAGTGCTGTTCACGACGCGTAAATCCTTGCTTTGATCTACTCTCCAAAGCCGTCATACAAAAGGACTTTGTGTCTGTTTGCTGCAGCAGTAAAGGATACTAGGCCCTGGATATCAAATTAGAATACCTTCATGCGACGGCTTTCGTCATGGCTTCTACATCGGTCATTCAGCACCATTTCAGTCCTCTAGGCCCAGACGAAAGGATCACCATTCCCGAATTGTTTGGTAAGTATAACCCTGACTATGTTCCCGCAAGCAAGGTTGTCCACATCGACACTCTGGCCAATAAGAGTATCACATATGGCGGCCTCCGAGATGAGGCTGCTAAAGGTGCTTGGGGCTTAAAACACAACTTGGGAATGAAGGAGCAAGATAGACTTCTCGTTCTCGTGCCGAACTCAGTATGTGAGCGGAGACAGCATCATTTACGATCTCTAACATACTGCTAGACTGACTTCATCGTCCTATGCCATTCCACGCTCTGGCTTGGCGCTATTTTCTCGTATGTCAATGAAGGTGATTGAAAATCGCAAGCTCATCAGTCAACAGCCCACTCAACATTGCTTCACTTCCCAGTGACATCGCACACTCGCTATCTCTCATTCGACCAACCCACCTGGCCATCGATCCAGCAAAGTTAAACCACGTGAAGAAAGCTTTTGAGATTCTCGACTGGAGCGGTGCTTCCCTTCCTATAGTATTTACTGTGACTCACAAGAGTTTCGGCCTCAAGTTGGTAAGCAGAGCGTCTCAACTCAACAAGGTCGCTAACGGGTTCCAGTTCCCAGAGGACATTTCTGGCCGGTCCCCCAATGAATCATTGCGACCCTTTCAGCTTGGAAATAGAAGCGCCAAAGATGTGACTGCCATGGTCATGTTTTCATCAGGAACTACTGGTAAAACCAAAGGTGTCCAACTTTCTCACTACAACATCGTTTCCAGCTTGATACAGGTGCGAGCCGCTATCCCCACACTTTTGAACTACAGTACCCGAGGAGTCTTTTTCGCACCATGTAAGTCGTCCCAATCTGAGGGCAGATTGGTTTTCCGCTGAAGTTACATGCAGATTGTCATATATATGGCATGAGTACCGTAGTACTGAGTGGAATGTATGTCGGAAACTTTACGTGCGGTATCCCGACGTTTGATTTCAATCTCTACTGCAGCAAAATGGCCGAGTACGAGGCTACAATGGCTCATATTGTGCCTCCTATTGCTATAGCACTTGCCAACTGGAGCTTGTCTGCCAAGTACGACTTATCCTCGTTGAAAGTAATCCTGATCGGCGCAGCGCCGACGAAGAAAGCTCTTCAGATCAAACTCAAGGCGAGATTTGGTGCGGACACAAAAGTCATCCAAGGCACGACGACAACCTCACTTCTCCCAACTTCCAACTTGTACTAACGCTTACGTAGGGTATGGCCTAACGGAATGCTCCCCAAGTGTCACGGTTCAAAGTCCATTAGATAACGAGGAAAACATTGGAACCATTGGAAGACTAATTCCGGGCACGTATGAGATCTATCCTGGACATTATATCGGGCTGTGCGGATGCTAAGATGGAAGCAGGGATGCTCGGCTCGTCGATCCCGTCACATTCAAAGATGTACCTTTCGGAGAGGAAGGGGAGCTCTGGTTGAAGGGCCCGCAGGTGATGATGTGTGTTTGCCCTGCTGCCATATCAAATGGTTTATGCTGATCAAACGTAGGGGATACTACCGCAACCCGGAGGCTACGAAGGCCACATTCTCGGGTGGATGGCTACGTACAGGAGATGTGATGCGACTCGATGAACATCAGAACCTATGGGTCACTGATCGACTGAAAGAGGTTTGCCACACCCTCAATAGTGGAAGAGCTAGATATTGAGCTGACGTTGAACAGATGATAAAATACAAAGGGTTAGGATTTACCCATACAAATCCAAAATTAGACTTGGTGATGCACAAGCTAACTTGCCGTTAGATTCCAAGTACCACCCTCAGAATTGGAAGACCTTCTACTCAAGCACTCTTCCGTCATGGATGCCGCAGTCACCTCGATATATTCCGATGAACAGGCGACTGAAATCCCGATCGCCTATGTGACATTGGTAAATGATATCCCCTCCTCACGGAAACCACAAACTTTACAATATATCCGTGAATGGTTTGATGGGCAAGTGGTAGGCTACAAGAAGCTGCGTGGAGGCATCTGGGAGCTAAACCCGATACCCAAGACGGCTTCGGGGAAAATTCTAAGACAGGAATTGCCTTGCAAGAAAGTGGTGGCTGCGAGCAGAGCTACGAAACTATAGTGATGAAGATAATACGTAGTATTAATTCCTTCAAGAGTTTAGAAGCACGGTCTACCCTCCTGCGCGACACTGCAGGCCCACGGAAATATATCTTTCGGGAATCTTATCCTCAACCCCTAGAAATGATGAGTCCATCAGCGACATGCCTCCAAGGCTCTTCCATAACCTATCCTCCTATATTTGCTTTAGAACTGCGCGAGCAGCTCTGTCCTCCAGTGTACTTGCATTACTTCACCTACTAATATTGAGACAGCAGACTAGTCCCAGTTTGTATCACACTAGTTGGTGCTAATTAATAATTAGATGAAAGTTGTCCGTATTAGGCGCATATTTGGGTGGTACTACTCCGTACAATGTTACTAGTATTAGTAGCTTACATTGCTATACCAGCAAGCCTCTTGGCACCCACTTGGCACCCTTCCTTTGGCCTTTGCTACTCATCATTCATTCCCCTTTTGTTACCCATCTCCCTCCACATCTTGTTCACTGTCCTTGATATCCCCAAGCGTCCACGCCCGCCACCTGCAAGCCTGATATTTGCAATGTGCATCCAGTATCAAGAGAAATCGCCGAAGCATCGTTGAACATTGACCCTTCTAGCCTGTCGCTCTCCCCGTGTTGGCGCCAAAGGCCCACTTGATCCACCGTAAAACTCACGTGACTCGTGTCTGACCAGAGCATTTCCAGGAGAGAAAAAGACTCAATACCCACTCATACGGAGAGTCTCGGAAATTGCCAAATGACATGGAAAATCGCTCATTTTTGATCAAGACGCTAGTAATTTTGTATATAATACAGAACAGCGTACATAGATTTGACAAAAGACAGAAACCTCAATGCTCGATTTGATTGAATGACTTTTCCAACACTAGTCTTGCCTCCAACACCCCGGCTTGCACAGCGGGCCCAATCATCAACGTCGAATGGCCACGGCTGCAATACCATCGAAACCATGGCAGCATTTAGTTTATGATTCGGACCCCTATACAAACCTGTCAATGGTTGGCAATGGCCTTTATGGCTATATTTTTTCAGCTTGACAGGGACCGTGTGGTTAAGGTTGCAAAGGCATACCCGCTGGATCCCAACGCCACAAATTCTAGCCTTGCCGACACAGAATACGTGAATGATATCAACCGCAAATCAATTAATAACGAAGTCGAGGTCTACAAGCGGCTTGGTCGCCATAAGAGGATTAAATCTTGCCTTCAGACAACTAGTTATGGGATTGAGTTAGCCTTCGCCAACGAAGGCAATCTGCACGATTATATCAACACCAAACCTGAACCATTACAGTCGCTGAAAACTGAGTGGATTTTATCTGCAATCGACACGCTAAGTTACATTCATTCCCAGAGGGTTTTGGTAGACGAAATTGCACTGCGGAATTTCTTAATGGCTGATGGACAGCTTAAACTTGCCGACTTTGGGCAGTCCGTGTTATTGCCCCTATCGACAGATATGGATACCGTTTGCGACAATGATGTAACTACGAGGATTGAGATTCTCCATCTTGGCTGGGTGATCTATTCAATTGCTAAGTGTAGTGTATATCCGTATTACTTCTTCGACAAGCAACATGATATGCATTAGCCGAAAGAGCTTCCCTCTTTAGAGAACCGTTTCTGCCGGAGTATCATTGACCGTTGCTGGCACGAGGAGTATGTCAACATGAAAGAGCTTCAGGATGAGGCTCATAAAGCACTCAACCGAGGGAGAAAGTAGCCAGTTTGCTCTCTGTGAGTTGCGGACATGCCGCGAGGTGTTTCCGACGGCTTTTCGGTCTTGGGACATTGAGCGAGGTTTATCACTCACTGTCAGCATTAAAATAACCTATATTGGGTCTCTGGAGGGGGTCAATTCAGACGACCAGGGACTATGGTATGACAGGAGTTCCTTTCCGACCCAGCTGCCTTCCACCCCAACAGGCTCCAGTACGGGCGCTTAATGAGCTAGATTGTAGAAGCATATCTCCATGAAAGCAACCATTGTAACGTTGGTAGCCCGAAGGTATGCAAACAACAGCCTAAAAGATCCCTGCACCTGTTCCGGAGAAAATTCGTTACTAATCGCTGAGCAGAACCCAGTGAAGGCACAGTCCCAGTCACAGTCAAGTCACAGTCAGCCCCACTTCACTTTAATGACTTGAATGGTTAGTCACAGTCATTTCACCAGTCATTTTCTCGGTTAGACCTTCCTAATCAGGTTTAGTACAGTAAGAACAGGTCACGTGAGTGCCTAGATCCACTGGCTATATGTAACAGCTCCCCCATGAGTACGGAGTACCTAAGTACGAGCAGCGTTCTACCTTGAGTTGAAGCGTCTAAGCTCGAACGCCGAGCACGTGCTATTGAAAGCCACCTCAGTTCACGCGAGAGGCCTAGAATACTGCATTGCCTCTTTGGCTTGGCTTCTCGCCAATGCTGCCCTGAATACGAGCCTTGGAAAACTTGACTTCTCCCCCGAATTGGACGAGAGCGAGGCCCTTGCTCTAATTTAGATACGAGAAAACCAATCTGTGATGTGGCATTCTACTGCCGTTTTCGGATCATCAGGTACGAGGTGATTGTCCATGTCGAGCTAGTGCTAGCTACAGCTATTCACCAGGACTGATGAGTTAGGTTGAATCCCATACCCAGAATGCTTGGGCATGTTTATGCCATACCACATACTCAATCATCTCTGGCTTAGCCGAAGCTAGCTTATCATGCCAACGTGCGCAAAAAGGCCTGATCATAGGGTAGTGAATGACGATGGAACAACTCTCATGGTTGCCGCCGCCACTCAGAGCCCGATCGAGGAAGAGGATGTTTGTTTATGTCGAGCACAGAGCATGCGACTCTATGCTGCTAAGACATCATCGTTATAAGAGTTTGAACAGTCTTGGAGCAAGAAGACAGAGGATCAATACTTGCTGAGCCCAACGTCCTCCAGTCGCTAACCTTCTCTTTCTCTCCTTCCTCAAGAAAGTTACCCATTACAACCACAATGCAGATATCACTGATCACATCCACCCTCTTAACCCTCTTCGTCTCGTCATCATGGGCGTGCTCGCGCGTGACATACAACAGCACCATCACCGATGGCAATCGCATTACGACGGGCCGCTCAATGGACTGGTTCATGACCACGAACGCTAGCATCTGGACCTTCCCAGCTGGCATGTCACGGAACGGGGCCGCAGGAGCGAACTCTCTGACCTGGACATCCAAGTACGGCTCGGTCATCACAGCCATGTACGACGCCGCCGTGGTTGACGGCATCAACTCGAAAGGTCTGACCGGAAACTTCCTGTACCTCGCCAACGCCAATTACGGGACACGAAAGCCATCCCTCCCAGGCATCTCCGTCGGCGCCTGGCTACAATATTTCCTCGACAGCTACGCGACCGTTGACGAAGCCGCGAATGACCTGTATACCGCCGAGGGGCGGGAGAAGTTCCAAGTCGTGACCGCCGAACTGATCCCAGGCACCCCGTCTCTCGGCCACATCTCGCTGACCGACGAGTCGGGCGACAACCTGATTCTCGAATACCTCGACGGGGTCTTGACCGTTCACCACGGTTTGCAATACACTGTCATGACGAACTCACCATCATACTACCAACAGCTCGCCATCATGGAATACTGGCTGCCGATCGGCAACCAATCGCTCCCGGGCACACGCCGACCCGCCGACCGCTTTGCGCGCCTGTCGTACTACAACAACGTGACCGCGCCATCGTCCAGCCTCGAGGAGTCCGTCGCCATCACGGCCTCCATGATCCGCGCCGTCAGCGTGCCCATCACGCCGTCGCTGCCGGGCGAGCCCGACGTCGCGACCACGCTGTGGCGCACGTACGCCGACACCCGCGCCCTGAAATATTTCTGGGAGAGCACCGTGCAGCCCATGTTTTTGTGGATTGATCTCGGCGATTTCGACCTCTCGATATTCGGCCAGGTCATGCTGCTTGATCTGCAGGTCAGCCCATACTCGAGAGTCGGGAATATGAAGGGCAAATTCGTGCCGAGTGCGCCATTTCCTTTCTTTCCTGTTGGCGGTTCGTGAAAACACTTGTGAACTTTGGGTTTTGCCCTTGCGCTTGTGCTCGTACTTGCTCCTCTTCGGCAGCAGCATTTTCTCAAGGGGTGAAGGGTCGTCGATAAGGGTTTTCATTTCCTTCACTTCTGATTCTCCAACTTGGTCAATACTTTTCTTCTTCTGAGACTTAAATTTTTTAATAAGACACCTTTCTCAAAGTCCTAGGGCTGACATGGCTACAACTAATTAAACATGTGGCGAAGAAGGAACGGATGAGAAGCTTCTTGGGCACTATTTGAATTGTCAAGTAGCGTCAGCTACACTTGACATCTCGCTCGAATAAGGTCAGTCCGATCAGTCCGATCAGGGACCATGGCATAACCGTAGAGACCAAAAGAAAAACGTAGAGGGACTCGCGCATTTTCACAGGGATCTATCAAAGAACATGGTAAACTTCTCTCCACTGCTGGATGAAGTATGGTAATATGCTAGTTGGGGCTGAATATCCGAATTCTATCGGTCAGCTACAAAAGACGAGTAGGTAACCCTATTTCCGCCACCCTGCCCCTTTCAACAATCCAATCATTCCAGACCATGAATGGACAAATTGAACGCCGCCATCTGCGCAATACCACTTTAAATCAGATTCGTCTATGCTGCTGCCCTACTTCCTTGAAATACTGAGTAAAGAGTGCGCAAATGTAGATGCAACCCGGCTTGAAGACAAATGGATGAAACTCCTCGGACAAAGCCATTGATGATCCAGACCACTGACCGCATGAACACCGTATAAAGAAATTCCATTCTCATGGGGGCAGCGCTGGCCCAAAGTTCTTAACACCAGACATGTCGCAGAATCGGATATCGAGAGATACCTCAATAGGTAAGAGAGGATAGAGAGAAGGCCTGACGGTTAAATCGCCCCAGAATAAGTAGGGCAAGAAAATGTCAGGCAGAGAAGGCCCTGGAAGGGATTTCCTCTAGTTACGACGCAAAGGTTGATTGGAGGTTGACGAAGGCAGCTGGCCCACCATCTTGACTCAACATGTCAACCAACACTTCGGCCTGCTTCCAAGTGTTCTCCAAGGCGGCAGATGGTGATCGACCGAGGGAGACTGAGAGAATCAGTATGATGCGGAAATAACAATATCAGAATGCAACATACCTAAGATTGCAGAATTCAGTTCTTCAGCAACTGTCACCCTTCCAGAGGAGTCTAGCAAGTGGCCATGAACGCTGTCTTTCGGGTCATTGTAGGCGACTAAACTGAAAATGTCCTGAAGGGTCTTTGCATATTCGCCATCCTCATCACGATACTCCCTCTGCAGTTCTTGGCCATACAGCATGGCTTCATTGATTAATTGGTCGTATTGAAGGAAATTATCGGTAGATGGGGCTTTGTCAGAGTCACTAGTGTGCTGAATACCATCAGTATGAGTATCGAGTTCCATCGCCTGCGCAAAGTCATCATCAACACCAGAGCCTTTTGCGTGGGCGGTACTTGGTCTACGTCCTTCTTGGGCTTGCTGCTTTTTATCTAGTTCCGTGGTTTTGCTAATCAATTCAACCCATTTCCGACACTTGAGTCGGAAGAGGATGCCTGGATTCTCTGCAAGCACAGTAGGAAAGTGTGAATTTGTGACTTCCAGGGCTTGGTCAATATCTCCGGAGAGAATAGCTCGTCGCATTTCTGCTTGGTCAGTATGCGAACGACGTAGGGGCAGGGATGTGCTTACGCTGACGATAAACAGCATCCGCATCATCCCTTTCTGGACGACTTGGTGCTGCTGTAGGCAGGGCATTGTTCAAGGACTGTTTCTCTGCTCGAACCTCCTCGGAAAAGGCTTTCGCTGTCTCTACATAACCGTCATGTGCTAGAAATTGAGCAACGAGCTCTTGAATAAAACTGCTTTCCTCTCGTGGTGGTCGTAGTGCCGTGGTCTTTGCTCGCACGATGTCGTTCGATACGCGAGCTCTTTCTGCACACATCTTGTCATTGATATCAAAAACGAAAGGCCGTTGGCCGAAATTGACAGTCAGAAGTGCCCCGGAGTGTTTTTTCATGCCAATTGTAGGGAATGGTCTCAGATCCTTTCTTAATTCGCGAAAGCAGACCCCTAAGTCCTGGCCATTCTTGGTAAAGAAAGCATGACCCGAGTTGAAATTGATGCCGCAGCCGATGACATCTCCAGCACCAAAAGTCGGTCCATATTGTTTGCCTGACTGCTCTCCAAAGAACATCTTCCCATCGTCACCGTGATAGCCCCAGGAATGTGTTTCCCAGCCAGCCAGACGTTCGAGAGATGCTTCTGCAGTGGAAAAACCAATCGCTATGGCGGTATCTCTACTTTTCTGTTTGATCTCGACCTCGAAGTAGTAAATCCCGCAGGCCGGTGACATAGGATAATCGGCACGCACAGAAGCAGCCTCAATGTCGGCTTTGCTTGCAGAGCCACTGTACTTCAGGTCCTGCCCGTCGTTCATGACATCCAAGCCGGGATATTTGTCCTGTTCACTCCACCCGGTTGGCAATGGCATTAAGTGTTCTTCCTCTTTAGGCGGATTACTTTCAATGATGTCGTACGTCATGCCTCGATGAGAAGGGGCCATGCGGTGAACATTAGTGCTACCAGCACTTGTAGATAGCGGATTCAGGGCTGAAGAGCTGGACGGTGGTTGTTCTCTCTCCCTCCGGATCCTTTCTTTATGAGCAGCTTCCAATTTAGCAGCATAGCGAGAATGGCGAAGATAAGATGGGACGAAGAAGGGGTTGGAACCCATGATTCCAGTGCCCAAAGAGGGTATATTGGCGAACTTTCTTGAATAAGCAGGTAGAGGAACGGGCTCACGCCAATTTGTCCGTGTCGCAGGATCGTAGTCTTGTACAGGAGGCCTTCTGTTGTATTGTTCGGAAGTATGATAACTTGGCAGAGAAGAAGTGCTAGGACTTGCCCCAATAAGATGCGCAAATGCTCCGGACCGGGTAGGAGTTAGATGGGGTTGATGTGAGGTGGCGCCGGAAGCGACAGAGGCGTATGATAACCTTCGAGGGATATTGCCACCATGCTGATTGGATCGACCACTGTTGCCAGATGCTGCACCGTCTGTCATTGCTTTGAGGATTGAAAGGCCTGGACTTACCAGAACGAAAGGATGTTCTGGCGCCTGGTCGAATGGTTGGATCTAAGCGGGTGGCAAGATAGGTAGTATTGGTGTTGTTGAATGAAGGAGGCCAATCGGGAGGAGTCTCTTCAAGGCAGGATATGCATGTGAACAAGCATGTTGCTTGACAAATAAGGAGGGTAGATAGATGGCCACGACAGGGATGTGATCGAAGACACGTTTAGTTAGAATGAGGAGTTCTGTGGTTGTGGGCAGTCGTGGGTTATCACGCTGATATAGCTGGCATGGATGCTGTCATGGCTTGCAGGCCGTAGATGTGCTCATTGATCACATGACACTTAGTGACCAAGGTTAAGTTTGCCCGATCTGATGAGCCTTCTCATCACGTGCTTCAACTAGTCCATCCGCTAGACTACACACGAGCGCTATATGCCGTAGGTATTGTAAATGGTTGGGTAATTCAGGATAATGGTAGTCATGCTGATGCGTGCAACCCAGAACCTGAGGCTTCTTTTTGATCCTTATTGACCAAGGATTGATCATATCGTTTGACTAATTGTACATGATCCCGAGTAAGATTTCTTTGCTGTTTGCAGAGTAGCAACCAGCTCAACCGAATTTCGTGAGAAAAGACCAAGATACCCATTTTAATGCCCTCTGGCAGTAGTATACTCCATAACAGTTGCTGGGGTTCCTCTACTTCTCACCAACACCATTTCATAATCCATGATTGTCCGTCATACGCCTAGACGAGTGCTGCCTTCGGCCCATAAACTCCACGCTGAAATGATAGTAGTCCCAAAAATTGTCCACTCCAAAAGTTTTCCTGGATTAATGTTGTAATCTAGTATGCCTTGTCCCAGACAATCATCATCAAGATGCTGACATGCCAAATGTTAGGTTGATGCATTTGTTATATGACGGTGCTTGCAATTAGGTAATGCAGCACGTGGCGGCTGAAAGGTGTCCTCAGCCTCGGGCGGTAATACTTGGCGTCTGCTCAGGCATTGGGACCGGGGAGCTTGCTGCTGGAGTAGACAGAAGCATGGTATCGGGTTGATCTCCGGCATTGCTCATGGCGACATCACTCTCGTTTGGCTTGAGATCACTGCTACTCTGTTGCGAGATTTCCCGAGCATCACTTGATTCTTCAACATTGGTTAGGTGTAGCGTCTCATTGCCTCTCCAAGATGGAACATCCCAGACGATTCCGGTGAAGCTTTTGAGTTGGAATGGTTTCTTGTTCCACTTGCGACAAGGCTTACCCGAACGATCGAGTGCTCTTAGACCGGCATTAATAGCCCCCTGATTAGCTTTGGGGCCCAGTTTGTGGCCTGTGAAACCGACCACGGCACCAGCTGACACTCTGGTAGCATTGTGATCGATGGTACCATCTTCTCTGCGAACAAGTTAGTACTTCTGGAGGGAACGAGAATGGATTGATCACGTACAGTCTTGGTTTCTTCTTTGGACCGGGTTTACCACGCGGTTTTGGTGTCCCACTCGACTCTATCATTTGTCCTAGACTCCTCTTGTATCCCGGGGCAGGACCTTTACGTTTCTTGGACGGATCCGATGCGTTGGTATCACCATTTGAGGGCGCAGGCGTCGAGTTGGACTCGGATGCATTGTCATTGATATCGGGGACCTTCAATGTCGAAAGATCCTCAACAGCAGGGGCTGGAGAGGAGGCCGAGGATGGTGTTGATTCGTCTTCTTCCTTGGCTGAGGGGGGGGCTGGCTCGAAGCGTTGTAGAAGTTGAGGTGACAACTTGAGCACCACAATCCTTGCTTGCTGTTTGTTCTTGTCTGCTCGGCTGGTCGCAGCTGAAGGCGAACGCGTCGGGTTTGAGGATGAGATAGCCATCGTTGTAGGCAATTACACGCCGATACGACGAGGAGAATAGGAGTTGGTAAGAGAGGAATTAGAGAGGCGACAGGCGAGTAGGATTTGGGTCTTGCAAAGATGGTGAGGGTGAGGGTGGTGGTGTTGGTGGGGACAACAGACAAAGAGGCAGCAGTTGAAAAGTTTGCCGGTTGCAAGGCAAGCGTGGCTCGAGCTGATAGTCAAGGTCCTTTGTAACTCAGTTTGGGGTCAGGCGGTGGCTAAATTATTATTTTTCGGTCAAGGGAGTGGAGCTGAGTCTAAGTTGTTGGTAATTGGCGTCAGGGTTGTGGTTTTGGTGAAGAAAAGAGGTGTTGGCAACAAGGTGTCATGGTGAGGAAGGAGGAGTGGTGGTAGTGGTGGTGACAAGTGATGAGATGAAGGGGATGAGACGTGGAAGTGGAAGTGGATGAGTGTGGCCGGATCATGATGGATGGCTTTGGCTTGGAACGATGGGTTGGGTTAGGATTGGGATGGATGGGATTTTTTGGGTTGGGTTTGGCTGCGCTGCAGTGCCGTTCAGGTTTGCAGTGTTACGGAGACGGAGATGGCGAGGCGTCAGGTTCAGTAGTCGGAGTCTCAGAGACGAGAGTGTGTGAGCGGAGGGGAGGGATGGAGGCCAGGAAGGGCAGGAAGGCAAGGAACGCCAGGGAGAGGATGTAGCAGGAACACGAACCACAACCACGACTCGCTTAGTGGCCGCGCCTGCCAATGCAGAGAAGCCAAGCCGTACCAAGCCGGCTTAGTGGGACTCTCCGTGTGCGCTAGCTGAAAACAGCCGAGTCAAGCGTCTAATGGCAATGCGTGACGCTCTGATGCTTTCCCCTGGTTTCGTCAACCCGACCAGCGTAGAACCAAGCATTTTTTTCACTGGACGGATGGGTGCTCATTCTTGCCGAGATCATCAGCACGGTTAGGGCAACAGGGTGAGCACTGTGCACCGAGCAATGAGCACCGAGCAATGAGCACCGAGCAAGGAGAACCAGCCATGAATCCTGCAAAGAGGAGACGCCTGGAGTCAACCCAACTCACTCTGAATAAACCTTTTCGTTCACCGCTCCGCACCACCAGGACCACCTTGAGCGATGGAAGTGATATGGCTGCTAGTGGTGCAAATCCTCACGTAACAACTGCACCTGCTCTCCATCATGCGTCGCCATCCAAGGCATCCAACTTCTCGCTTGCAAGCATTCCTGCGAAGGGCCACAACCAGTACGCCTTACTGACTAGGAAGCTGCATAAATTACGACAGTCACTTGACATAGCTGAACAAGCCCTACAAATCGTGACCTCTGGTCAAAATGACCAACTTGAGGCGTTGACCACAAAATGGAAGTTCATCGCTCATGGTGCTGCAGATGAGCTCTTCATCGACACGAAAGCTCGAATTGACGATATGGGAGGGTTAGAAACATGGACACAAAAAGCTCAGGACGATAAACTTCTATGGGCTGAAGATGAACGGCATAAAAGCCATGGCTCGCAGAGCAGTATACTGGAGCCAGATGAAGATGATACATCGGTCGAACCAAATCTTTCCCAATCACCCAAACCCATCGTCCACCAGGTAAGTCATAGCCTCAACGCCCTTTGTGCAAACTAATATACCGACAACAGGCTTTCACAATGCAATTGATGCTGAGACAGATGAATGTCGACCCAACGGCCATTGGGTTTGACGAAGAGTCAGAACGGTGGGTGAACTGAGCTGGCATAGCCTCTGCAATCGAAGCTGGCGACCACACCAGACCATGGAACACGTCTGATGCGCATTTCTGGCTCCTGGACTTCGATACAGATGCAAATGCAATGTCCTTCTCGCATTCTGTAAGAACATCCGATTCTTTTGCACGGCTGTGCCATCCCCGGGCTAAGCCATGTCACATAAGCGTGTTCTCCGTCCACTAAACCCCACATCAGTACTTCGTCAGAAAAGACACTACTGCCTACAAGAGGCCTAAGATCGATCTTTGCAGCGCTTACCAGAAGTGTCCCTCATATAGTTCTAGATCATAATTCGTCAAGACCGCCATCCAAAGGGTCATCTCATGACTGGAGGACGGCCCTCTTTATTCCATACCACTCGACTCTTTACCCATTCGACCGCTTCTTTCACACCTGACCCTCGAAGTGCACTCACTGGGAGCACACGACTGTCTCGAATCATGCCTCCCTTTTCGCCTTCAAAGACTTTCCTCACAAACCCTTCTTTAATCCTCACCACCTCAAGTGAATCTTCACGGTCCTGTTTGTTCGCTAGAACCAGTATTGGAATCCCCGCAGTCTCTTCGTTCTCCAGCACACTCTCGAGAACGGCCTTACACTCGTCTAGCCTGCCCTGGTATAAACCAGATGCCAGCATACCTGGTGTCATTGGTGTCATGGGCGTCCAGGGCGTCTGAGGCTCCTCGTCATCGACTTTGCCAATATAACTTTTCTTCCGCCCGTGCCAGCCTGGTGTTGTCGGAGCTTCGTCGATCTCTCCATTCCCTAGATCCGTGCTGTCTACCACAAAAACTACCGCGTGTGCACTTTTGTAGTAACTTGTCCATAGTCTTCTCAAACTCATTTGCCCACCTACGTCCCATATCTTCAAGTACATGTCTGGAAGATCGATAGTCGCCACATTCTGTCCAACAGTGGGGACAGTGTTACCCGCGGTTTCTGAAGGTGCCGCATCGCCTGTCGGACCTGCTGCAGGATCGGCTGTCGTGTTGAAGAGGGCTTTGATCTGGGTCAATAATGTCGTCTTGCCCGCGTTGTCGAGACCGAGGAGGATGATCGAGTATTCTGGCGACCTTGGTTAGTCTTTGTCTCACCTCCGCGTGGCTGCAACGCCGGTGCCTTACCTGGCTTGCTAGTCGCGTACAAGTAAAGGGATCGAGCGAGGTGATACATTTTTGTGGCAGGCGACTTAGGAGAATAAACACGACTGACTGCAGTCAAGGAAAAGAAGCCTGTTCAACGGCGACGTATGTCATTTTGTGGCTTTGCGCTTGGAAGAGGCCTAACTAGCGTTGACTGTCTAAAAAAGAGATGTATTTGCAGCTCATCGAGGGCAGCCTCTTCACTCTATCTCATTCGTGTGGACATGCCATCCTCATGGAATTTCGGAAGGTTGCCAGTGTCATCGAGGGACACTTACTAGTCAAAGCCTCACGCAGCCTTGGGCCTGACGTGGCCCCGAATTGGGAGTTCAGGCAACGGCAGGCCGATAATCAATCCGGATTAATGATTTTCCATAGACGCTCTGGCGCCTGGTCGGAGGGTCTCTATGTACATTCATATGTTCTCCATTCCTGCCAACTGACTCTTTCTGGAAACCCATGGCCCATCAAATGCATCTAGGACAGCAAGCAGTTTCAAGGAACAACATCTGACCTTTGACCCTAGCTTGGTCTCATTGTGAATAAAACAGGGTAAGTCAACAGAACCAAGAGCCTCGTCTACCAGACCTGCCGGATATTATTTGTGGCGGACTTTCACTCCCCATCCCCTGCGCCTCGATATTAGTTGTGCCGTCTGTACAACTGTGCTCTCAACAAGATTGGCTGGAGATTCCACCTGGGCCAGCGGGGCTGTTTCTAGTAATGTACTGCCCTGAGCTGCTCCCTTGCTTTGCCTTCGCCAATTTCTTGTGGCTTTAACTGCTTGACTTGGTCCATCAGTCAGTCGTTTGAATCTGGCCCCTTTCAGCTATCGACATGGGTGCTGACATCGACAAAACACGTGGAGAGATGACCCAGGTCTATGACTGCCAATGTCAATTTGTATGTGATAGCGCACTTCCAAGAAACAACATCTCCAACGCCCATGCTATAATCCAGCCATAGACTCATATGGTTCAGTGTCGAATCCAGACGCATTAGAAGAGATAACTTATTTGAGAACTGATTGGAGTATGTCATCAGTGGTAGACAACTGCGGGACAGACGACAGTACCGAGAGCGCTTGTAATCCTGAATCGGTTTCAGGATCGACACACAGCCTTCACTACAGCATTTACCGATGTTCGGCTCGAAAGCTCATCCACATCCATTACAGAGGGAGATTATCCAGGCGATGGGTCGCTTGGAGACACCTCTAAGGGCGCGAGGGAAAATGAGGCTGGGGAGACTCAGGAAAGCCAGGAAATCATCTCAATCACATAGGACGGACTACTGCAAGTCAAAAATATTTAATCCTTGGTTGGAAACGGTAACTGGGGGCGGTAATTCGTGGCCAGCAGTGTCTACACAGAATCTGTAAGAACCGATCCACAATCCCTCATCTAGGATATCATAAGGAAGACTCCCCGAGCCCCACCATAAAATACCGGGTACGTCGTTGGAATGGTGTGCCTCAGAAACTGAGGCCTCATTCTTTTTTTTATGATACGACCTCTGCTTCCAGCTACCGGAGCGAATCGTCAGATCTCATAGCTCGTGGGGACGAGATCGCCCGAACAGTGATAAATGCGTACATTACCGAGTCCGCACAGCTGCCTCACCAATCGCGGTACGAAGTGTCCCATATTACCAGCGATGCTATGAAACGAGCACTCAGAGCCCAACAGATGAGGACCCAAGAATGATACCAGAGTATCGCACTCAAGCACGGGCGGCGGGTTGAGTTAGTAGAGCTTCCAGATCAGGTCCAGAAAAGTTGCTTCTTGTGAAACTGAAAGTACACGATCGACATCAAATAGTACGTCTAGAACAGCCTATGAAAGATCCTCACCAAAGCGAGGAGCACCTGAGAATAACGACGAGGCTGAAGAAGCTGCTTTCAAAGGCTCCAAACACTCCAAGAATCTCAAATCTTCCCCATCTGAAGTCGACTACAAGCTTCTAGCCTGCCCCTACTTCAACCTTGACCGCCAATGGTACTCAACAGACAATGCAACTGACATCAAACTATTGTAAGTACTCTAACTGCTGCCCCAGAGTATCCACCGCCTGAAACAGCATCTCCGCCGTGTGCACCGACGCCCTGATCGCTATTGTCCTTGCTGTTTTTTCGCCTTTACATCGCAGGGAATACTCCAAGGTCATACCCGGCACTTTTTGAGTCTCTTACCGACGATCTGTCCGGATATCTTTGCATTGATGCCGTTCTTAGAAAGCATCCCCATTCACATTGCAGGACTCTTAGTTTGCAAACCGATCCCTCTCATCATTTTGAGAAATCTGGCTGCCAGGTCTGTACGACTCACTGTAGGCTTTGCCCAATCGTTCTCAATGAGAAACAATGGTGTGTGTGCATCTGGTCACAAGCAAGAGCAAGAGGTAAGAAAGAGCTTCGTCATTAAGTTCGATGTGGCATTTATGTCCACTGCCCAGAGGGCAATCCAATACATGGTATGGAGACTGGTCCTCTCTCTCGCCCGGCCTCGAATGTGCTAAGCACAATCCTATTGACTTTGGACATGTCGAAAAACCACACCATTGCCAAGTCTTTCCTCCTTGCCGAAATTGACAGATCCGGCACTATACGGGGTCGAGGCATGTCACTGCAGCCCCTGTTACTTGACAATACAACCAGGAAGAATAGCTAGAGCCCAGAAAATTATCCCAATAGTGGAATAGTCAGGCCTTGCCTCGAATAACAATCTCAGATGTATCAATCATTAGATTGTCCCGCCATCGTTGCTTCCATGTCTACTTAGGAGAATGGTCCTGGATTGCCTCACCTTTATTAGTGTCACTTGGGGCATTGGTCACGGAGCGACTTTATGTGTCGTTACGCGGGGGTTATCATCTTTGTCGTCTTGCTTTTGGTCTTTTTTCTTTTGGTCTTTTTTCGTGGCGCAATCGCCGCATCGGGCGTCCATATCAGCAGCTTTCCACACTGGGCGTGCACAGACTGGCTTTTTCCCGCATCGATAAGTATTGGTGGTAATACATCCACATTTCCACCAGGAAGTTTGCGTGTAACACATTTTGCGATTCCCTTAGAATTGGAGTTATTGCTTGAATGTCTGGGAACGATCCCTTGGGCGGTGGGCAACTGTTTCGAAGTATCGTTATCAAAGAGCGGTGGTTATTTATTTTGAGTATACTAGAAGAGTGTGAGGAGTTCAGAGGGTCTTTCTGGTCCCGGAAGATTCGACTTCTGCCTTGTATATGTATGATGTAAGTGTGCAACGAGGAGATCGGTTGTACAGCTGGATTTTATACCTATCTTCCTATGAAGCTTGGGAGTGATGCTTCGCAAACAGCGCATGCTTCTCAACAACATTGGCACCTACAAACGGGGAAGCACCGATTGCGAGTTGCCTTTGCTTCTTCATACGTTTGATTGCACGCCTTTTGGATCATAACAATGGCCGTTGGTCGCTGTTCAATGTCTCCCACAAACATGAACTGAGATGGTGTTGGACACTGGACAAACCTGGGTCGCAAACACCGCTACAGGCGTTTCCATGGCAGCTTCACATTGCACGCATATCAAAATATTCAGCACAGTTCTTGTGGATTTGGTCCAACTATTTCAGCAACGACAGTACACGAATACCGGATAGCCGTGAACCAGCTGCAGCTTTTCACAATCGTCTGAGCGACGTGCAAGCGAGCACGAGAGCATGCGCTTGCCTCCAAACGCCCGGGTATTTGTTCATCCTTTTTGAGCAGACTATCGTCTTGCCTCGATTCGTCCCCATCACGTTGCCAGCATGCCTTTGCTTTGGTAAGATTGAACTTGCGGGATACCACATATCGGAACCTGAGACAAGCATCTAAGAAACTTCCCTGGCATAGATGTGCAAGTCCTTGTGTGGTGCCAATGAAATTGTCGGGGGTTAGGAGGTATATGAAGAAGTCCCAGATATCTGGCAAGGATGAAAATCAGGTCACCATGATGATAAGAAAACAAGAAAGACGAAGGCTTGTGCAATGCGATTGTTGGGCGCCGTTGAAGTTTACCGTCTTGAACACAATTTCAGCCTCGCCGAGGAGATGGGGTCTCTAGGCTGTACTGTAAGTATCATGTACGATAAGGCCGGGAGACAGCATACGGCTTGTGTAGACGGTTCTCTTCCTTTTTCCTCTGTGCTTTTTCGTTTCAGGATTGTCCAAGGCAGATAGCCTACTCCCTATCAAGCTGAATTCTTTCTGCTGCTGTTTGCGCTAATACTCGACTCGCGCGTACTGGCTCTCAGGCCACGTGACGCGCTAACGTACTTTAGATACTTAAGACTCGGTAGCGTTGGCGAGAACGGCTCCTTTATCGATCGATAAAAGCGCCACTACTTCAGCGTCTGGAATGCTTGTCAATCTTGGAAAAGAGACTCCTGGGTATCAATTGCCTAGTAAATTTCTATATGAACTAGAACTGAGACTATAGAGTGGCAAGAAAAAGAGATCTAAATCATCATCCTCATTGACTCGTTTACGTGTGCAAGTTGCCAAGGATGGGTCCAAGAGCTGCATAGAGTGACCCCTGCATTGAAGACGTCGTAACTATTATTTCTTAGCACATCCGTTTCATGGAGGTCTCAGTCGACGTCTAACAATCGCAAACGTTTAGTGCGGACAGGAGCCTGATAGTCACGAGAAATATCGGATCAGCTACTCTTTGCTGATATTGCCACACCCTACTCTTAAAAACTTCCGAGGCAGCACGCCATTATGGACCTTGCCAAGGACATGGCCCTCGAATGTCCAAGTCCCGAACCTGATGATTCAACCGTTTGCACAGGCATAACACCACCCGAAACAATCACTGATAGTTTCGACGCCGTTGGCAATGCCGAGTTGAGAATCCCTACGGCACCTGCACCTGGAAATACCTTTTTCATACGTTCCGTCGCGTGTGGACGCTTTCTCAAACTATTTGACGGGAGACTTGTACTAGGCCACGAGGACGGCTGTAGCTCACATTGGAATTGCGTCGAAAAGGATTACTGGCTCGGCTTCAAGAACATGGCGTCAGGAAATTACCTAGGTCACTCTGGGGGTCAAAAAGCTGATCTACGCTGCTCGGTTCCGCATCACCGCCAACATGAGTACTTCACTATTCGCCCAGTTGAGGGAGAGGATTATATCGCTTATGTTTTACTCACAACTTTTCGGGAGAGACTCTCGTTTGTGAGGATGGAGGTGGCGAATGAAGTGGAAAGCTTGGTGACATCCAACAATGGCAGTGCTTCTGACGGCATAGCTTGGGAGTTTCTAAAGGTCTGACTCTAGAAATGCGTCGCATTAGAGAATAGTACTGGAGGACATCCTCACGTGGTCGAAGCAGCACCATTTGGGTCAGCAACATGATCTTGACTGAAGTGAACAACATTTGTGTCAAAAGACATCAGGCTGCACGGTCGCTGCTGTACTACGTCTGCGGGCCATTGCGCGATGGCCGTCCAAGACTCTTCAACTGGTATTTACGAGTAGGAGCACGATCTGTGCTCTGACGAAGAACTGCGATCCCACTCAGCCAATTACGTGTCTGCAATATCGAGCAGATTTCATAGATTCCATGGAGTAAATGAGGGTGGGCATTTGGGAAGATTCGGGGCAGTGCCTCTATTGGAATTCTAATGTCTTTAACCACCAAAGATAAATTTTTGTTTATTTTATCCTCGGCAATGATCAGTGAAATGTGCAACTGCCTGCAGATGATCTCGAGTAGAAGTCTGGGTGCTATCTTAACCAATAAAGAGGTTAATACTCCGCTGAGCTATCCGGGGTGAAGTGTTCTTCCGGCTGATAGATTTTGCCTGACAAGAGACCTTTAGTGGGCAAGTGGTGGGAGGGTTGGCGTCAGACGGCAGAGTTTCATCTCCAGGGATCAGTATCACGTCGCCGGCAGGACTGACGCGCCTCAGATTTCTGGCCAGATTTCACTGTTTCCGTGCACCTGCGCAGGCGCAGGCGAGTCAGTCAGTTCAAGCTCCATGCAAACAATGGGGGCCGGGTGTTGAATTTCCATATTGTTTCATTCTCCTTTCCCAACATGGCCGACGGGTTTGCCACCCAAGCGTTCTCCCTCGTCGGATGGGCATTTCTTCCCAACGTATGTGCTGTATTCCTGAGCACTCGCGAGACCAACGACTAACAATGAGGACTTAGTATGCAAGTGCCATTCTCCAGTCGTTCTACTATCGCCTCACCATCCGAGCCGGGCAACGACGCCCCCAGCCTGGCGAGCCTCTCTATGCCTACCACAATCGACGAATACGCACTCTCGTGCTGAGCCTGTATTTAATCTACACTCTCACACAGGCTCTTTATGACATCAAGCTATCAGCAGATTTCTATACGATCCTCGGGGTGACACCGTGGTCAACAGACAGAGAGGTTCGGAGTCGTTTCCGGCGACTGGCTGCAAAATACCATCCGGACAAGTTGCATGAAAACGGCCAGTCATTCCCTGGAGCCGACGCGGTGTTCATGCAGTTCAAGCTGGCACATGATACAATTCTGGATCCCATTAAACGCTTTGCCTATGATCGATTCGGACCAACGATCGTGCAGGTGCAACATCCTGGACTGAGAACTGTTCGAGATTATGTCTATATTGGTCTCCGCTCTAAGATTCCAGAATATGTGGTTAGTGCCACGTCGCTGTTTGTATTGAACTACTTCTGGTTGCCCAAATGGGGCCAGCTTTGGAGGTATTTCGCTGTGGCATGCATGGCATTCCTAGAGTTATATTTCCTGACTCATTCGTGGGAGCCTCCAAGATTAGTCTTGCTTTGGGCATCGTTGGCTAGGAAGTGTTTCCCACAATTATTTCCACCACATCTGCTGCCGTTTCAGATACTAGAATTGGCACGGCGACTTTCAATGTCCCTCAATATATTTATCTCGCAGCTCGCACCTCCATCAGCACGGGATCAAGCAGCCAAAGACCTACAAATGCAGCAGCAGGTGGCCCACCTTGCACAAGTGGCAAGTCGGCTGGATACCGAGTCAGGGTCCCTACTGCAACTGGGTCTGAGCCCATTCCAGGGTCATCAGGAGAAAACCGAGATCCTAAAATCGGGGATGAAGGATTCACTGCTCACGGGCGCATTACGGAAGAATCCTGAAGTCAGGGAGGCAGTGCGCAGGGCTTTAGCTCGACGAAGAGGTGGCATCACGGAGCAGCAACCCGAATGAAAGTGTTTAGAAGCACAGATCACTAGAGAGATGAGGATTCGGTGGATCATTCGTTGGACGATTTTGCCACAGGGTCACAAGATCTCCTCCATCATTAACTTCCTCGAGAGCAAACAAAACGTAGATGTTAGTGGGCACGCTTGATTATTTTGCTTGTTTACAGTACAACGGTCCAACGGTAGACGTCAATAGTGAAAGTGTCAGTCAAGTATGGGTGGGCCTCCACCCAAGGTGACCGTTTGAGAGGCCCAAACAGTGGGTGGGGCTGGGCCAATCAGTGGGAGATCGCGATCGAAGGTTCGCCCAGTATTGGCAACAGAGTGACCACTGACCACATCCACCAGCATGCAGCATGGTGGCATGGTGTCACCAGGGTCTATCCCAGAAAGCAAGATTCGTTGCATCTCCCGAGTTCTTGGCACCGCCGGGGCCCAAGATTATCCGACACCGAGTCGCGCAGCACCCCAACCGGCAACGGCGACATTGTCTGTCACCCAATTGTACCATCTCAACCTCACCGAAGCCACCCCCTCGTCCTATCTCTGTCGACATCTCATAGCCATTCATTATATCTGACGCCTCTTACCGAAATGTCCTTGTCATGTCTGCGCCGTTCAACACCACCTCCCACCGATTCAAGTCCTTCTGCCATACAAACAATGATATCCCCACCTCTCCAAGCATCGACGCGCGCCTGGACCACATTCCCGATGACCTCGACGCCATCATGACTCGAGCCAATGACACCCACCCGTCAGATCCTGATGCGAAATTACTGTGTTGCTGTGGCAGACCAGAATGCGTTTATCTCGAGAACAACAACACCGTTCTTGGCGGCATCGAGCGAGACCTCGAGACTGCAGCCAGACTCGGTCAGGTATGTGCTTTCCCTCACTGAAGTGTTCGCAATCTCGAGGATGTGGTCTGGTCGCTGCTCTTGCTTCATGATGAAATGACCAAGAACTCTTTCCTTGACCTGTTACATGGCCCTTCCTTCATCGTTGCTATACATCGATCTCTCCAAAGCCACCACCTCAAATGGAGGTTTCTGTGCCAACAATGCCTTGTGTGCTGGCGTTTGACAAGAAGGAAGTAGGCGGGGGGCTGACTTTTGCTCTTCAGGCTCTGCTCACTCGCCATGAATCCTACGTCGGCGATTCTCAGCGCGAACATGAACGACTCACCCAGTATATCGATGACCTTGAGCAGGAGCGCACCATCCTTCAAACAAAGAACGAAAAGATCGTCGAAGAGAACCGCGAACTCCTTATCCAACTTGAAAATGCAAACTCGTCGATTAAAGAGAGCGACGAACACGTCAGAGGCCTTGAGCTGCTTCTTCGGGACTGTGAGATTGAAGTTCAAAGGTTGAATTTTCTCACCCGCCGCACCGAAGAACTCGAATTGCAAATGCTGGACATGGAAAGAGACCGTATGGCACTCTCCCGCAAGGTTGATGATTCCAATGAGGAAACAAAGAGCACCATAATGAGATGGAAAGAGAGTGAGCTGAAGGTTCGCCAACTTGAAAATGAGGTGCAGAAGATCGAATGGGAGGCTAAACAGGACAAAGAGCGTCATGAAGAAGTTATTGCCCGACTGGAAAGAGAGCGAGTCTTGGAAAGAGAACTGGGTGGGGCAGAGGGCAGGCTCAAGGGAGCGGCTGCTCTTCAAGGCCTCAAGGGGCAAGCATCAGGTTCCAACGTCGTCAGCCACTTTGTTCGAGACATCCTCCAGGACAATGCCAACCTCCAAGCCGGCATTGCTGAGTTACGCGAGCTCTTGCAAACATCCAATGACGAAGTCCAAAATCTACGTGAACAGATTCTTTCGCATCAGCCTATCGACTTTGATATTCCTGGCCGAGATGGTGTCAGTTCACGCCCTCTCAGTGAACACCTCAACTGGCCTTCAGCGATGAAGCAAGTACAACAAGAAGTTCATGTGCACCACCACTATCATGCCAAGATTGCAGGTAAGAAGGATCGAATTCCCACTGTCCGCCGGTCTTCCCGCAAGCGCGCAATCATGGGTCCTAGCGTGCTACCGTCTCCTCCTGACTCCTCTGCTCCATCAACGCCTACCGCTGGCCCTCACCGCTTTGTTTCGAGCCCTATCCTTCCAATTGCCCTACATCAACCTCAGGCCAGGCGTAACCGGTGGTCTGCGCAGTCGGCTGCTACCGGTACGTCTCAACTGTCAAGCTTTCCAGGCTCTCCAAGATCATATTATGAGCGAAGCAGCACCATATTTGACCGCCTGGAGGCTGGTGAAGACTCTTCGAGACCTACAAGTCCTGAATCTGCTGCTGGTCACTCTGAGTCTATATTTCACCACATCAGTTATAAGAAAGCTGTTGATGAAAATGAGAATGTTGCGCTCGGAGAGGAAGACTCGGTAGCTGATGTCTTCGACGACTTGGAACCTGTGCAAACAGAGCCAGTCGAAGAGCGACTGGACCAAATTGAAGAGGAATTGGACTCCGCCAACAATCATTCCCGTGACCTTACACCAAAGCCTTCTCAGATGTTGAATACGCCGAAACGGATTCCCATCATTTCCGAACCCAGGCCACCAGACTCCCCTGGGATACAAGCATCCTCGGAGAGTTTGACCATCACTCCTGTCGCACCTTCAGAACTCCTGGAATCAGCAGAGCCACATCATACAACCGAATCAGAAGACTCCTCCAATGCCTACAACTTCCACAACGTTCTTGATATTGCAACCCAGCCTTCACTTCGACGGAGGGGTTCTCATGATTCACTTGTATCGATTTCGGGGATGGACATTCATATCGCGAAGCGTCCTACAACATCCACTTCCCAATCATCAAGCCTGCTGAAAGGAAACCGGGCTTATTTTACCAGGTCTCCTTCCGCGACACGGACATACGCCAGTGCACAGCCCCTGGCCACTGTCACAGAATTCACTGCTCTCAGCTCAACGAGATCGTTCAGCTCGAAAGCGCGTCTCCCATCCGACTCGACGATACCAACTACAGCGACGCCTTGCAAAGGTACAAGCTTGAGCATTGAAGCTCTGAGTGGCCTTGCAGCCTTATCTAGCCCAGTGCAAACAGAATCATCCCCCGCATCGGGCGGAATCACTCGTTTAGTTGGTGGTTGGGTTCGAAGCAAATGGGGCATCACTCCTGTCAAATCAAGCGGAGATCTACGTGCTCAGGCTCAAGCACGACCGCCAGTACCAATCGAACCCTTGCCATTCTTTGGCGGCAGAGCACCAGGCATCAACCAACCTGGCTCGATACCTGGCTTCAAAGCAACTCGCAATGCGCCTACAACCGAAGTGCAAGTCAACATGGTGGATGCACAAGGTCTTCAAGAGATCTTGGAGGAATGATTTGTTTTCTTGCGTCCGTTCAAGATACCCCCTGAGTGTCTATTCTTCCTCTTTACTGTACATATAACGTCTAATGCTATTCACTAATTTCAGACTCGGCGGAGGATACCCCAAACGATAAGTTGGACTATATATAGGCATGACTGATGTTGCATAGCATGGCGCATATAACCGCTGATCGGGGCTAAATCGTGCAGAACGTCCCAGATATGAAGGGCACTATAATACATACTCTACTTGGAAATTGCGCAAGGCACTTAAGAATTATTCATTCTTTTATTCCTTTTCTTGAACTCGGTGGGCTTTGAAATGGATATATAGACATCCACTGTGATCTTCTCCGCATTGCAATTATACGAAGATTTGCATGTTTTCACTGGGTTATCTTACCGTTATCTTGGTTGATTCTGGATGATCTTCAAGTCCCAAAACACAACGGCGGGCGCTTCGACTAGGAGAATCTCGTCTTGCATAAATTCAATTCACAAGTGTCAAAGGAGACAGCGCGAAGGGAGGACAGAGACACTCTTCAGCTCGCAGCTGGCGGAATTGGAGGATGTGCCTTTCGAAAAGAGGCCATGGCCATGCTTCTCGTTCTGATACATAGAGAGTCTATCCTCGGAAGGGCTTCGCTGATCGGACAAGAAGGGTCTGGCACTGGTCGGGGATCATTACCAGATCCTTCAGAGCCCATCAGACCCCGCCGAGACTCCGTGAGAGGGCTCAAGCAGCGCGTCGAGTAAAGGCCTCATTCTTGTTTGGGCAATGAATACCAAATCGCCGCCACAGGGGCTACCTCCTTCTTTGTCTTAGTTGAGTTGTAATCATTGGACAAAGTCCCTTGACACGGTCCCATCGAAAAGCAATAATCTCACTGGCATTCGATCTTTCTCTACGTCTTAGGATCTTCTGTATGCTTGTTGCCCCGCGGTTCGTAAGTGATCTCCGATGAGGCTGCAGAGTAGAAATGTCCCGAGAAAGGTGTTCCTGGAAGCAAGATCTGGAGGAAGGTAGAAAGGAGGTTGAGCTTGGGTTTGAGCCGATTCTGATCAATTTGATGGACAGCGCTACCGTGTCTTTCGCCTTTCTGTGCTGTATTCACTGAAGCCCTGCGTCAATTGCTTCCTGTTGGCAGCCTTTTTATCAAGATAATTGTCAAGCTCATAGTCGAAATAATTCCCCTCCCCAGCACATCCTACTAGGCCCATGAAATCCAGAGGTAATTAGCATTCAGCATTCCATGCGAGTGTAGAAATATTCTCAAACCACTATGTTTTCTAACCTCCAATTCCCTTTGAGAAGACATGAACCAGACCCTTTTTGAAGAAGACAGGAACCTCAACAGTTTCAGACCCACTTGAGCCTTTGGCATGATTCCCGGACAAAGCTGGAAAGGTAGGTCATGTTCGGTCGACATTCCAGGTCCATGTTCCACGCTTTAATCAGTGATATCATCATCAGCTTTCCTGTGTCTAGATTAGCGAGTGTAGATGACTTTCAAATTTGAAGTTCCTATTACGTTGTAAAGGAAGAGGTCTGAAGCAGTGTGATGTATTAACAAAACGTCTAATATCCACAACGGGCGGAAATCCTCTCCTCAAGTATCATACAACTCTAGCATTCCAGCAGAAAGTTGAAAGACTCTTGTATGGACCGAATTTGTTTTCTCTGTCTGTAACCTGCTCCTGAACAATTTGTTTCGACCCAGTTCTGTAATCTCATTGACATGAATGCATAGTCTCATGTCGTTTGTACTTTTCGCCTTGCGAGACACCTAGCCGAAGTGGTTTGAGTTTAGCTTGTATCAAGACTGAGAAACTCCTGCAGCGCTGAACAAAGTTTTTGAGATCCTTGTCGGCGGTATTGAGGTGGCGTAAGACTTGATTAACATCATCAGGGCTGTTCAAAGTATCGATAAGAACTTGCGACTGATTTCCGACGGAAAACTGAGTTGATGGACGCCCAACATTGTACGCTTCGTGAAGAGAGCGATAGCTATCATACATAGCATTTGCCCCATGCCAGAGCAGTTCAGTTCTAGCCGATGATTGCATGCGATGACCTCTATTCTCAACCCTGCTGCTAGGTTCTATGTCAGTAGCTTGAAGCGCTGAGAGTAAATCAGTGCACTAATCCATGCATCAGTCTGAGGATGTACATGAAGCTGTGGCTCCAGCGTGGGCTGTCTAGAAATGAGAAAAATGGGATGAACAGAAATTCGCAGTTATTCCATGTGGCAGAAGCAAACCGCTGGGCATTGCTCCTGCGTTCCGTTGAGATGCATAGGAGATAAATGTCGGCATGGAGTTGGCACCAACAAAGGCCGATGGCTCATCAGTCTTCCCAATAGCGGCAAGTAAAGCGGCGGAAAAAAGTGCCAGTCAACATTGCATTTGAGAGAAAGGAACAAGGGCCACCGAGCAGGCATTCTCAAAGCAAGGTCAGGGCGATTAGGTTGAAGCTTTGTTCTCGCGGAATTAAATCTCGGCTGAGGCAAAACCACTCAATGTCGGCTGCGTGCTTACCTTACGAGTATACTACACCGTCGGATTCCCCAGAGTATCTGAAAGACTTCACAGCATTGAAAGGAGCCTTCCCGTCAGCAAGTGTGTTTGTGTCAAGCCTATCGTGATTTTGAACCGCACAAACAGTAGCCTCCTTTTCCACGGCCTTGCAACCAGGTTGGTCTTCTGGGCATTTAGGCCAGGCCGCAAAAGAGTTTTCCGACCAAGTGCAGAAACGTGCCCAATTCAGTATTGTCTCTCTCAGTATTTCAAATGAACAACACTAATGGCGAACTCCCGCGGCAATGCTTCACTGTGAATTTTGTTTGGTGTACAAACCTTCGGTTCAATGTCGCGGACTTGAATCCTGCGATCCAACATATTCTTCTGGTCGACGACTGATCAAGTCCCACCACTAGACTTGGTGAGGTGTGTGCGCTTATCAAAGTTAGGGTTCACCGTTTTAGGCGCACTATCTTGATCTCTGTCGCTACCGAGTGGAAGAAACCAGAGTAACGTAGTCCCTCTGGTATGATACATTTCACATCGGTTATACGAAAACCAAGATCTTCCTGACAGATTGCTGTGAACTGGGAAAATGTGTGCACATTCCGGATTGTAGACGAGATCAGAATCTGGAGTCCTGGATTAACATCACTCAATGTCTTGAGAAGTTCGGCTAGAGGCCTGAGAATATCAGGATGGTAGGTGATATCTGCACCAATCACCAAGTCATAACGAATGCAGTCTTTTCGAGCATCTCGGAGAACTTGTTCAAGCTCCGACTGGTCGGTCCAATCCAGTTGCTGCACTTGTGGAGGATTGTGACCATGTAAGGTGTCGTTGGCTTTATTGAGATCAGCATTTGTCTGAAGGCTTTCGCAAACATGTGCGAGACCATCCGTGGCTAGGACATGCCTGGCATCAAGTTCACCGGCACAAAGGAGGGAGAGGAAGCCTGTCCCAGCGCCCAGTTCCAGGACGTTCTTCTTCTTGACTAGATCTGGTCGCTCCATCATAAGATACCATGCAAGGTGCTGGGCAGCTTCCCATGTGCGAAGTCCAACATTGTTGCCTCTGGAGAGTAGATTTTGGGCTTCTTTAATTAGTATCGGTCGTACTCCAACTTGATCCAGCGGAAGGGGTGGAAAATAGCTGTGAACTTGTGCTTGCTGTGCATCTTCAAATGGCTGCTGCTGGGGGATTGCTGAAAGAATGCCCATGTGTTCCATTAATAGATCAGAAACTTGCTGTGAAGAGGTTAGATGTTAGGGCAACGAAGCTATGGGTCAAGCAGATGTTTTAAGGTAGTGGCAGAATGGATGAATGAGCAAGTTGGAGTCAGCCTACATCTTCTTCAGGATTTTTGCATGCTTTCTCAATATCCGAGATGATATGCTTGAGAATCCTTGCTTGATACTTTGGTGGAGGTAGATATTTGTTTCGCGAAGAGTCAAAGAAATAGCGGTAGATGCAGTCCTGCACATCTGGATTAACCAACAGTGAGCCTGATGGATAAGTCACGTCGTTGATTTGCTGCATGTACTGTCGATAAAATTTGACTACCACAGGCTCCAACTCTGCTCTCGAGATATCCATGGCTGACACGAGCCTGGTCATCGTTGAGTATCTGGCAGACAACGCAGGACGCAGTCGAGTAGCTAATTTGCAGCCAGTGACTCATTAAAGGAGTATTCAACAGCAGGTTCAACGGGAATGAAAGTCTTCGAATACGAAGGGTGTGGTGGAGATTGGATTACTCAAGGTGGGACTGGAGAAGAACTACAACAAAGAAGAACTCACACTAACCAAATTCGTCTCTTACGATCACGTGGTGCCAAGAGTTACAAGTGCCAAGCCCACAGCCAAAATTCGCCGGGAAGCAGCGACCTTCCGCACTCCTGGCAGTCTCGAATTTCAAGGCGCAGTCAATCTACAAGTCGACCACTTCCTTTCGAAAGGTCACCTTCCAACCTCTCACATTCTCTTGATTGCGTGTCCTTTACCAGACAAATCCTACGCAATCATGGCCGATTCCGCGGTTACCGTGCGAACCCGCAAGTTCATCACCAACCGACTTCTCTCTCGCAAACAATTCGTTGTGTAAGGCTTCCCATAATTATCCACCGAACGCAGTACAGCAAAATCAACAAATACTCGAGAAACCCAGAATTACTGACTGTTGCATTCTTCTTACAGTGATGTCCTCCACCCCAACCGTGCCAACGTGAGCAAGGACGATCTGCGCGCAAAACTGGCCGAGGTGTACAAGTCAAACAAGGATCAGATCAACGTCTTCGGTCTGCGGACACAATACGGTGGCGGCAAATCAACAGGTTTCGCCCTGATCTACGATTCGGTTGAGGCTCTCAAGAAGTTCGAACCTCACTACAGATTGGTCCGAGTTGGCCAGGCTACCAAGATCGAGAAGGCCTCCAGACAACAGCGCAAGCAGCGGAAGAATCGTTCCAAGGAGTTCAGAGGTACAGCCAAGACGAAGGGCGCCAGCAAGGACAAGAAGAAATAAGCGTCACGACCATAATGGCGGTAGCGGCGTAGTGATTGTGTGTTCTTTGTGGGCCAAGAGCGGGAATGGCAGTGGTTCTTGAGGCCAGGGTCCTACTGGTCTCGTGGTTGAAAAGTGGAAATGGTAGACGGAGGAAATTCCACCGAGCAGATGCTTTTGAGCTGCGAAGACCTCAAGCAAGACAGAGGCAGACACCAAAGAACCCTTCGATAAACAACCATCGATTGTGTACGGAGGGCCAAAATTTCTCTCGAAGTCGAGAAAGGGGCAACTACCGGCGCATGAGATACAATGCATTGAATTGAACGTTCTAGGAAATTTGCAATTGATCGTGCGTAAGCCTTCTGCCTCGGTATACTCTCACTCAACTCCGCTGAGTCCAATCACTTCTCGATTCTTCATGCCGCATTCTGATTTATCAGGTGCGGTTTGATTCCAATTGAATCTGGGCCCAAGACTGCGTGCCCACCCTATTGATTGCTCCTCCGCGGCAAAGCGTGTCTGTATCCCTATCGATCGCCAAATTACTAACACTGGCGTGATCCTTTTCCAGGTCGATATTTTGGTACATGTTAACTACCTAGATACTACTGCTGTTTGCTTCCACCCATAGAAAAGAAAGCCGATGGCCACCTGTTTTGCCATGCAATTTTCATGACTCCCAAGAGCCCATGATCGAAGTCAAGCTCCGCCCACATAGCCGAGAATCCTGTTCATCTCATCCCTGAGCAGCATGGTGCTTGGGACTCAAGCATCAGTAATAGCGGCGCCACAAACACGTGTGCCATGGTTGGAGTACACCATACAGAAGAATGTAACTGACCTCCCGGGTGGTATTAAGGATCCTCGAAAGGAACGGGAAGCCTTCCTCTTCACACCATCCAATATCGCGAATTTTGTTGGTACAAGAAAAAGACCATTGGGAAAGAAATTTGACTATATTTCGTCATCCCGACGAAGCTCCGAAATGAAAAGACAAAAAGTTAAACGTGTTGTAGGTAGTAAGAGTGTGGTCAATGTGACGTTGTGGCGAGTTCTGTGTTCCTCGACCTAGTGCAGATGATTTTCTGGTTTTTTTAGGTTTAGGCATTGGAGTGATATGTGCCGGGGTCTGTTTTTGGGACTGTAGTTCCAGACGGAAAGGAGAATGGCAGGTGTAAGAGTACTCATGTCGAATGATACAGAATTGGGCCAAGGACTTCCTCAACGTTCTATCCTAGAAGAGACAAGGTGAGTTCGATTCGATTCTCACCCAGGGTTTTTAATATCCGGAAGAAGCATTACTCATTGATGTGATGGAAGATCTGGTCGAGTCTGTAGGGCAACTGGCACAATCGGGACTGCAGTCTTCCGAGCCTGATTCTCGTTGTGACACCGTGGGCTGTGTGCTGCAATATAACAGCCCGGCGGAAACTTGACCTGAGGTACCCCTAAGTTGCGAGGTACACCCAGTTATCGCACTTGTGTAACCGTATGACACCGAGGGAGCTTCTGAAGCTGATCTCAAGTTATCTTGTGAAAGAATTCTCTGACTAGGTCGCTGGGAGTGGTGGTCTTCGGTCGTTGATCCTGGGGCCGAAGGTTGGGGTTCGACGATGCCGGTGGGAAGCCCTTCTGAAAGGGGTGTACTGGAGAGTGCTTCGTTCAGTGCTAAGTGGCCATAAGCAAGCTCTTGCAGCCGGTATGGAGTGTTTCTCTGTTCGCTGGCCTGGGCTCGGCCAGCTCCTATCTCGACTTGAGAAGTCATGTTTGTAGTTGATGTTGAAGCGCTGATGCTCCAGCCATTAGAGTTTCGCTGACTCTGATTCGGAATGGTCAAATTGTCCATGGTAGGCTGTGCTGCTGCCAGGTAATTGGGCGCTCTGATTGGATCTGGTAAGGTTCTGTCGGATGGGAGGTTTGATGCCACACCAGTGGATTGGAAAGGTAGCGGAGCTTCAGTAGATTGTGCATAGGTAGTTGTGGGCAGATTTGTGTTTTGTTGAATCGGAGTCTGTTGCTGATCCGACCACATTGCACCTGGCTGTGGTCGCACTCCATTTGGATTCACATAGTAGCCGTTGCGTGAAGCCATCGGGTCAGTATGGGGAAGAATGTATGGAGGTGGCTGGCTTAAATAGGGGCTAGTTTCCTCTTCTTCTCCGTAGGTCGGATACTGAGCAACATATGAGGCTCTTGTCCAGTCAATATTCTGAGCTGAACCGGCATATGAGCCATATTCAACACTGCTTGGTACTGTTGGATATTGCATTGGTGTTGGTGGGTTGTATCTTGGAGTCATTGGAATGTAGGTCATCCGATGATGAAGGTGTGGGTAGGGTGAATATCGGTGATTTGGCTGCTGCCATGCACGAAGAGCCAAGGGTGCTGTCTCCATCGAAGAGACCTAAGAGCGTTAATCGGTCAGCCTCTCCACAATGTGGCTCGAACTCACCCGTAGGAAGCGACAATTGTCAGCGTAGCCTGCATTTTTGCAGTTGATACAACTCGAATTTTCTCCCTCATTGCCACTGCATTTGATCTTTCGTTTTCGACATCGCTCACACTATATCCATCATTAAATGAGTCACTTGTATTGAAAGGAAATGCGACATACCGCAACCGGAACCCGCTTTCTTGTGCCTCCAGCGGTTCGGCTCTCTCCTTCTGAAGAGGGGGTGGTTCTATTGCTGAGATGACTGGCAGTATCATAATGTTCTGGGAGGTGAGTATTTTGACCCAAGGGCATATGAACTCCCCGATCAGTTCGCCTGAAGAATTCAAAGTCTGCACCATACAGCTGCCGGGTCGAGATCTAATCGACGCAATCAGTAATGTAAAACTTGAGGCTGTGGGTTCTGACCATCTTGACAGCTAGATTCCCACGCAAGCCCAAGATATCAAGCGAAAAGCCACCAGATAGAAGGTGCCGAATCAATCTCGCTGTCTTCAGAGCTCAAACGCAATGCTTCAAGCCTTTGCAATAGCAATCAGTATTGACGAAGACGAAAACTCCGATAGATCAGACAAATGTACCCTAATAATAAAGATAGCCGGAGAAATAGAGCAATAACAAGGATCATTTGTGGACGGGCCTCTTCAAGGATGCAGCCCAAAGGAGCAAATGTCGTTGAAGAGTTTACGCCACCTCAGACCGGATATGTCATGTCAGAACTTCTCATGGTTCGAGGTGCCCGGCGCTGCTTGAAATCAGGTCTAGTTTAGGCCGTCATGGTCGAATTGTTGCCCATGAAACCTAAAGGTGAGATTTCTTTGTAACGGGCTTCCTGCAGGCTTCCGTCAGTGTCACGATGATGCTTGGTCGACAAAAACAACCTGATGCAACAGACGAAGAACTGCCTGGCCAGCCGTAGATGAGCAGTGGACGCCTGCCATATCAGTTGTGGAACATCTTCGACCAAGATGGTCCAATGGAACTGCGATATGCTGTAATAGTCAACCCTAGAACCCGTATCAATCAAGAGAGTAGGTTGCATTGGAGCTGAATGCAGCATCGACAGGTTCCGTGTGGGGAAACGAAAGAGGTCTTGCACCCTCCTTGAAGGCATACATAGAAGTGAAGGCGTCACGTCTCAGGAGGCAACATTCTGTTAATGTGCAACCTGGAGTGCTGTTGGTCCTTACTGATATCAGTCATGGGTCCAGACTAAGGATGTTTGCTACCTCTGTGTTGCACCCATGATTGGTTGTAGATCTTGGATTCCAACCTGAGTGTATGCAGCCCACTTCAAGCAAACTCGCAAGTTGTGAGGTCACCCTGAAAAAGGATCGGCCTCAGAATACAGAAGCTGTGCATCTCAGTTCTCACCAACCAACCCTGGGTGAATATGCTAGTCGCGGTGGGTGATATTTTGCAGACCGACATTGCGGGCGTACACAAGAGGGCTGCAATTTTCGTTTTAGTTTCTTCCTTCCCTACATACTCATTCACGTGGCAAGGTCTCATGGATGGTCCACACAGAGTGCATGAGACATTCGTTTGCAAGTGGTGGTTGTCGAAGGCGGCAGACTATTTCGTGCAGTGACGGGGCCAGAGACAACGTCCACATGACAGTCAGCACCCGCTGAAAGGCCAGTAGTCATTGATAGTTCCAGCTGGTCTTGTTTAGCTGCGCAAGGTCAACCCCTGATCAGTCAGCTGCAAAAAGGCTGCGGAACATTGCAGGGGTGCCTTGGTTTCACAAGGATGTCAACAGCAATAACTCCATCCATCAACGCTCTCATATTCCGACATATTGACAAATTAGAACGAGATTCCACTTTGATGTGCAGTGGTACAAAGGCGCAATGTGGCCAAGATCAGGCCCCAGTAAGACTGGCTGAATCACCAACTAAGGACAGTGAGTCTTGTGATTGAAAAATACGTCCACTTTGGACTGCGGGTGCTAGGGCATCTCAAGTCGTTCAAAACACCCCAAGGGCCCTGGAGCTCCAAACGAGAGATTGTTAGGATCCAGAATAAGGTATCTTCAGTAGAATTTCAATCAATAAAGTAATCCTGCTCGCAGAGGTCGAATTCTGGCACGAGGAAGAATGCCTTAGTGGTTATCTGCATTGCCACGTGCTCCTAGTCCGTAGACTCGCGAAGAAGACTGCAAATACGAGTGATGTATACAGCTAGATCTATTGTGGAGAAAGAAAAGGAGGTCGCAATTCCAACCAAGGATGGTTGGTTAGACCTGCCATCGAAGCGGGAAGAAGGTGATGAGGAAGACGGTTCGTGACAGAATCGGGGGATTTTTGTATGACCTTTCCAGAGCGAACAGTCTTGAGGGTGAGTGCGTAGCAGGGGCGAGCAGACTTTATCTCTCTCGAGCAGCCTTTGTCGCGAATCGTGATAGCTTTGCTTTGCATCACTGCCAACAGTGTGTGCACACCGTCTCGACACGTTGACCATGGAGAGAGGCTCGAGCACTCACCTGTACGAATAAGAGTCCGTTGCCGCAAGTGTACTTTTCATCACACTTAGCTCCTGGGAGACCGGGATCGCGACAGAGGCCACAACTTATGTTGTTGTAATGTTGACTGAAGGATTGCGAGCAGCCAGGACTCCAGCAGGTTGCCGCGAAAGGGGAATCTCAAGCTTGTCAAACAAAAGCAAAGTAATTTCACGTCTGACTACAGAAGCAGCACAGGAGGTTGAGCAGGCGAGTGTGACTTTGCCGCCAGTCAGACACGGAATTTATTCTCCATCACCATCACCTGATGACAAAGGATGGGCACCGATTAAAGCCGCCACTAGTGCGGGACTAATGGCTCTAGCGTGCTCTACGTGCCACTCGCCACTCGAGTCTCGTTTACGAGTAAATTTGTGCCTGTCAGACAAATGGGCGCCGACATCATTTTGTCGGTCTTGCCGGTTCTTATCCTCCCAATTTCATCTCCCGGATGCAGAGTCGTGAAATGCATCCTCTAGCGTTATGCCAATGTTAGCCGATCCTCTTCCGACCCATGATCATTATTGTCATGCAAGACCCTTACTTCACGACGCCCCGCCCTCGATTTTTACAGACACAAGTATCGACAAGACATGTCATTAGACTGTCAACATGAGCGTCCTACTCGAAACGTCTTTGGGTGAGATTGTGATAGATCTTCACGTGGACAGCGTACCCAAATGCTGTGAAAAGTAAGCCTAGGGTCATATCAAATGTCCAACTATTTCTAACACAAGCAAATACAGCTTCCTAAAACTATGCAAGGTCAAATACTACAACTATTCTCCAGTCCACACCGTGCAAAAGGATTTTTCATTCCAGACTGGAGATCCTCTTGGCCCGGACTCGCCTGATAGTGATGGTGGTAGTTCAATCTGGGGCTTGATCTCTGGGCCAGCAAAGAAAAGCTTTATTGCTGAGATTGACCCTAAGGTTAAACATGCAGAACGTGGCACGGTCAGTATGGCCACAGTGCCTTCAGCCAAGGATTCTGATGAACGACTTGCGGGCAGCCAGTTTATCATCACACTTGGTGATGCTATCGACTTCCTCGATGGGAAGGCTGCCCCTTTCGGTACAGTTGTGGAAGGATTCGACACCCTTGAGAAGATCAACGAAGCATTCACCACCTCGAGTGGGAGACCGTTAAAAGATATCCGTATCAGGCACACCGTTGTTCTTGAAGATCCCTACGATGATCCACCTGGTTTGGTTATTCCAGATTTCAGTCCTGCTCCAACGAAAGCTCAGCTTGCCACGGTTATGATTGCTGACGATGAAGAGCTGGATCAAGAAGTTGACGAGGAGGCAATGGAAAAGCTTCGAAGAGAAAGGGAGGCTCGTGCGCAGGCTTTGACTCTTGAGATGGTGGGCGATCTCCCTTTCGCTGAAGTTAAGCCTCCGGAGAATGTACTCTTCGTTTGTAAACTCAACCCTGTCACACATGATGAAGACCTTGAGTTAATCTTTAGTCGATTTGGGAAGATATTATCCTGTGAGGTTATCAGGGATAAGCGGACGGGCGACAGCCTCCAATACGCGTTCATTGAATTCGAACATCAAAAAGACTGTGAGCAGGCTTATTTCAAAATGCAGGGGGTTCTCATTGATGATCATCGTATTCATGTGGACTTCTCTCAGAGTGTGTCGAAGTTGTCGGATACCTGGAGAGACGCCACTAATTCAAAGAGGGCGAAAAATTCTGGAGGATTTGGGGGTATTGCCAGTCTCGAGAAGAAGAGGCACTACCGTGAGCAAGAGGGACGCCAGTCTGGTGGACGTGGCTATCGCATGGTGTTCGACAAAGACGAGATTCGCAGAGAAAGAAACAGTCCACCGAGAACAAAAGGACCCCAGAGTTCTCGAAGTCGAAGCCCAAGTCCTCGACGCGATCGCTATGACCGCCGAGGAAGGGATGAAGAACGACATCACTCATATACGTCAAACAAAGACAAGCACAGGGATTCAGACAGAGATCGCAAACATGGTGGGCGACGTGAACACCGATCAGAAAGAGACCGAGAGGGTTATGGGGACTCTCGAAGGCGTGAGAAGAGCTACAGATGAAGTCCCGGAGGAAATGGTTTTGATTGGTTTGAAAGAATGACGTTACAGAGCACCTGCTCTCATAGTAGTGTGACAATCAAGGAACTTTGAAATGGCCAGTCCAGCCTCATGCCTTGTCGCTCTCCTCATGTACAAAGCATGGAGAGGGTTCCTGCGTCGCTGGTGACAAAGTCAACGTAAAGATGCCCCGGCCTTGTCTCATACAGATGGGAGCTCAGGCTGCTGGGCTGAACCAGTATCAGATAAAATATCATTGGTGCCCTTGGCCAAAGTGGCCCAATCATAAGGTCGAATACGTCACTACGAGGCTGAAGGAGATTCAATTCGCCCCTCGCGTCTCACCGCGCTAGAGCCACTTCCGTATCCCGGCTGAAATTCAGTGACTTCTTGTTTGCGTCCTTGACTGAGGCCTTAGACTGCAACCCTTTCCCAAAGAGAGTGGGACGGTCTCCGGCCCCTTCTTCTTACCCAGCTCCTCCCTTTTTCTTCCCAAGCCCAAGACACACCGCCGTGAAGAAGACAACGACTCTATCCAAAGTCTCTAGCACTGCATTAGAATGGCCGGCTTGATCCAGAAGACTCTGGAGACGCTTCACCTAAGCTCTCCAGAGAAAGGCGCCCCTCCGCAAGAGCCAGATACTGATCAGGTCAAGTCTCTACGTGAGAAGTATAAGAAAGAAAACCAAGAGCATGTTTTTGCATTCTACGATGAACTAGACACTGCAGGCAAAGCATCACTGTTTGAACAACTCTGCACCTTCGATCCTCACCGCATCAACATCCTTGCAGACAAAGCATTACACCCTCCCAAGGAATCCAACGAGACGCCATCCCTTGAACCTCTTCCCGCATCCGCATCTGCTTCACTGCTGGATGCCAATCAAGAACAGAAGGATGGCTGGTACAAAGCTGGTCTGGACCACATCTCCAAGAACAAAGTAGCAGTGGTGCTCATGGCAGGCGGTCAAGGGACGAGACTGGGCAGCTCCGATCCGAAAGGCTGCTACGACATTGGTCTGCCCAGCAGGAAGTCCTTATTTCAGGTTCAGGCGGAACGAATCAAGAAGTTACAAGAATTGGCCCAAGCCCAGAGCTCCCCTGAAGCTGAGCCAGTCATTCCGTGGTACGTCATGACTAGTGGCCCTACAAGAAAGCCAACAGAGAAATTCTTCAAGGAGCACGAGTACTTCGGGTTACAGCGAGAAAATGTCATCATTTTCGAGCAAGGAGTGCTCCCTTGCATATCAAATGAAGGAAAGATTTTGCTGGAAAGCAAATCCAAAGTTGCGGTTGCTCCCGATGGCAACGGCGGCATTTATCAAGCACTTTTGACTTCAGAAGCCCGGACTGACATGCGGAAGCGCGGAATTGAACATGTCCAGGCATACTGTGTCGACAATTGCTTGGTGAAGGTCGCGGATCCCGTGTTCATTGGCTTCGCTGCATCCAAGGATGTTGACATTGCCACCAAAGTTGTCCGCAAGAGAGCCTCCAACGAGCCGGTTGGTCTGATTGTTCAAAAGAATGGAAAGCCCGATGTGGTAGAATATTCAGAGATTGACAAGGAGACGGCAGAAGCCAAGGACAGCTCGGATTTGCTCAGGTTCCGAGCCGCCAACATTGTCAATCACTACTACTCCTTCCGATTCTTCGAAAGTATCGAGGACTGGGCTCACATGCTCCCTCATCATGTTGCTAGAAAGAAGATCCCGTTCATGGACCCCGAGAAGGGCGAGACTATCAAACCAGAGAAACCCAATGGCATCAAGCTTGAGCAATTTGTGTTCGACGTGTTCCCGCTCATCGGTTTAGACAAATTTGCCTGCTTGGAAGTTGAACGCAAGGAAGAGTTCTCACCGTTGAAGAATGCTCGTGGTACTGGCGAAGACGATCCCGATACCAGCAAAAAAGATATTCTGGAGCAGGGTTCCCGGTGGCTGCATGCTGCTGGTGCTATAGTGGTATCCGAGGAAGGCGAGACAGGCGTTGAGGTGTCACCACTCATCAGCTATGTAAGTGCTGTTGCTTGTCTACTGTTTGCAATGGCCGTGATGCTAACTATCCTAGGGTGGTGAGGGCCTTGGATACCTACATGGACGAGAGATCCGGGCACCAGCAGTGATTGAGAAAAGCAAGGGAGAATAGTTCGACGAAGACAGGGTTACGAAGGTTCTAGTGCTTACTGGGCTCATATATGGGTGGTTACACATCAGACAGTCCCAAGACGATTTGCATACGGCTGCGAGAAGGCTGTGAGAAGTCATGATAGATATTATCGCTACCATACCCCCAATTCGATTATGATAGTCGTCACACGCACAAGGCGTCCCCTGGTGTGCTGAGAACCCCAGTGTTTTACTCGACTGCAGTGGTCTGTCTCAGCGTCAGCTCAACGACACTCCCATCACAGCCATAACAGAACTGAAACATATGCTCTGTACTCCGTATGCCATCCGTTCCTCCCTTTGGCCCCCATCAAGCGCCACTTCTCCTAGCCCAATCTGGAATGGTCTGCTTCAGAAGAGTATCCACGTGATGACGCTAGTCCAATTTCAGGCAGGGCCCGATCTTGGCTTTTCCTTGCGGCCCTCAGACTGGAGACCGTCTGCTTTTTGCTTGCGCCCCATCTCAACAACCATCCTTCTTTTCTATCCGCAGGGAGTTGAGCAAGTCGCACGGTTTCTCGGAGGCTGAGAGTCGTTGGAAAGTTGTTGCGTGGGAAGTTGCGACATTCGTGAGTCTACCTCCGCGTGCATTGACCGTCACTTAATACCCCTCTGTCTTCTGCAAAATTCCCCCTCTCTGCACCTATCCGCAGCTTCACAGGGTCGGCGGCTAACCCTTCAGCCACAGGTGCGGGCCTTTAGGATATAGAAAGAGGCTCCAATTGAGCAGGTATGCCATCAGACATCTGTCCCCTTGTAATATGTTCCCTCCCGCCTTCTTGCTTCCGGTTTGGACCAGCCGGTCTCGATGATCTCAGATCGGCGTTGTCACTCGCCCGTTACTGTCTCAACTCGCGATCGCAGATGAGCACACAAAGCATAGTCTGACTTTTTGGCGCTAGCAATAACGAACAGCTGCGACAGAAAAATCAAGATGTCGTCTCTATCGCGTCGCGCATGCTACAAGTGTGGCAATGTCGGCCACTACGCAGAGGTCTGTACATCATCGGAGAGACTGTGTTACAACTGCAAGCAACCAGGTCACGAGTCGAACATGTGCCCCCGACCACGTACTACTGAGAGTACGTTCTACTTCTGCTTCGTTTCTACCATATTTACTAATATCTTTCAGCAAAACAATGCTATCATTGCCAGGGTCTAGGTCATGTCCAAGCCGACTGTCCAACCTTGCGTATTAGTGGTGGTCCCGCTGGTGGTCGCTGCTATTCCTGCGGCCTGATCGGCCATCTGGCTCGCAATTGTCCAACTCCAAACCCGAGCGGTCCTCCACGTGGTGCTGGGCGTGGTGGCTTCGCTCCATACCGCGGCGGCTACAATGTCACCAACAACCGCGCAGCCACATGCTACAAGTGTGGCGGTCCAAACCACTATGCTCGCGATTGTCAAGCCCAAGCAATGAAATGCTACGCTTGTGGGAAACTCGTAAGCTGCTCGTGGTCCTAGTTTGATTGTTCAACACTAAATCCTACCAGGGGCACATCTCTCGTGACTGTACTGCTCCCAATGGGGGCCCTCTCAATGCAGCTGGAAAGACCTGCTACAAATGCAGAGAACCAGGACATATCAGCAAGGACTGTACCAACGTTGAAGCAAATGGCATAGCCCCAGCTGTGCCCAATGGTACTGCTGCTGCTGATGTGGCCGCACCAGCTCCAGCGGCAGATGCTCAGGATATTGCCGTTGCAGCTGCGCCCTCAGCCGCTGTGGCATAAGTCATCTCAATCATCGTCATCAATCGTACCACCCCCATCAGCGGTGGTCTTTTTCTTTCTCTATCTTTTTTCCTTGATTCATGATTTTGCGTTGACCCCTTGATTCTTTTTGCAACGAGTCATCAACCTGCAGACAGTCTTTTCCGGTATCATCTCTAGCCTTCACTCGTCTTGCTCCCTCAAACATTGTTGACGACACCATCGGAGGCTATGCTCATTGCTTTTCTTCGAGCATGCATCGACGTCTTGACGCTTTTCATGATCCGCACAATATCTAACTCAAAAGTTCACCAAACGCCAAGGAACGCATCATTGAACGGGAAGTTGGACGAATATACGACCAATGTATTCAACGACGAACAACTTGGGAGTTCCCGATTGACTGAGAATATCCACCCTCTTCATTTTCATTACTTCTGGCATCCTCCATACGAAACGAAACGACACGAACCACCTTGCATTTCCATAAAACCAAATCTTACTTTTTGCCTTGCATTCTTCCTTATCCGAAAGAACCCGGGGCTCGGGGATCTGATGGAGTTGGGAGAGCAGGAATGACTCAGCACAGCGCTTCTATTTTTTTGGGACGAGACCCAAGTTCCAAAAGGATTCAAACACGGGGGAACGGACGAATATCGACGACGACCAAGCACCAATTTGAAGCTTGAAAACTGGAGACCGTCGTAGTGAGACAATGGAACCAACAAAGAAGTCAAGCAGACCAAAGCAGTAAGAGAGCAGTTAAACACTCGAATAGCGCGGGTGAGGAGAGTAGAGAATCAGAGCGAGCGAGAAAGGAGAGCAGAACGAATCGGTCTTGAAAGCGTGTGGACGACCAAAAACAATGCAGTGTGGTGCGGTGCGGTGCGGTGCAGTTTTTGATGAAGTCTGCGATGGATGCTTATCTCGTCTCCCGTGGGACCGACAGGTTGGAAGTTGTTTCTTTTCCACAAGACAACCTCTCAACCGAGTCCGCCCCGGAAAGATGTGCTATGGGCATCTGAAAAGTAGACAGAATCTTATGTCCCCTGTTCCCTCTATCCTACCAGGGGTTTTCCTTTTTCTTAATTTCTTCAAGTTTTCAAGCCTTCTGTCCAAAGCATTACACCCCTCCCCCCGGCGCCCCCGGCACTACTACGATGCATACGAGAAAAAAATGCAGACATGGTCCCCCCCCTTTTCCCCCAACTTGACAGCTCACCGTAGACATCCGCGCGTAATGTTTTCGGTCTCCCTATGTGAACGCATTTCTCGTCGTTCTTCGTGCTCGACCGGTCAGTCGGGTGCTGCATGGGTGTTGGGTCCCGGAGAATACCTTTTATTCCTAGATGTGGCCTGTAGACAATCCCACGATAACGCATGGTAGCAAGGCCGGCCATTCGATGCAAATCACGCCAGACGCGAACTTGCATGGCTACTGAAGGTCTCGAGTTTTCTTTTTATTTCTTCGCCTCGGGGCATTTCACTTGATTCACATAAATCGATGCGTAGAGCAAGTGAGCAATCGCAAACTGGAATGTACGCATTGTTTTTCGAATCATACAAAACATAAAATGACACCCCACGACGCCTTCGCGATCTGTAGATGCTGAATGCACTGGGGTACTGAATGACGCGTACGTACATACTAGGAAAAATTCACGTTGCCCTTCCTTGCTTCCCCCTTTGATTCCCATACCCTAAAATCAATGAAACCCTTCCGGTGTTTGCTTTGCGACGCCCCCCATTCCAACCTATTCCCACGACATGCTTTTCTTTCGTATCGCATCTCTTTGTTTCTCGCTCGTATTCCCGAGTCCCATGCCAGCTATTCTGACCCCATCTCTTGGAAAGAGAATTGAGCAAGCAATCAAGCACATTGAAGCGCGGTCGCATTTCGCCAATAAACCTCCAAATCCCAACGGTTTTCGGGTTTCTGTACCTTTGTTGACGCCCTGATCCATCATCAACAGAAAATGGGCATCAATTCATATCCATCCCATCCTCTTCGTCACCTTCTGTTTCTTCTGCTGCCTCACTCGGTCGATGGCTTCGGCGACGATATCGACTGCCACCAACGCCAAATGAGTCAACAGCGACATCGTCCAGTTCCTCACCGCCGACCACTCTGCCTTCCGTGTCAACCACTTCACACAGTTCCATCAAACTCTGTCGACTCAGGCTACGAAAACCCTCTGTGCGAACAATGCGACCCCAGTTCATCAGACAGAACCTTGCTGCTCGCGCTTTCAACCATTCCTCATCGGTCCGGCCTGCACGCTCCCAGATTACAGCTGCATGGTCAATGTCAATTTCCCGGGATAGGCGATTGACGCATAGAAGACGGAGTTTTGGCATATCATAGAGGTTCGCCATCACAAGCATACCAGCAACATCGGTGAGATCTCGACAGAAGGCCGGATGTGGAGCAATGCTGTCTGTATACAGGTAGTACAAGAATGCACGGACCACAGAGTATGGTTCTGGGATGTGTAGGCGAGATGTTTGGTATTCGATCATCTTGGATGCATAGAGGCGCTTGAAATGTGGCCACCTCGCATGGAGAATCATCTTGTGCACATGGATCGCCTGGCTGACATTGGAAGTGTCAGAAGGGAGAATTTGACTGCCAGTGGAATTGAGAGAGAATCGAGCTTGAGAGTCTGTATCTGAAATAGTGGACTCATAGTCCATGGGTTCATTGTTTGCAGTGATAGTGAAGTCCGTCATGCTATTAGATTCTGGCGGTTGATCGAACATTAAAGCAAGATCTGAGCCGAGGGCTGTTCCAACTCCACTGGGCCCACTGTAGTGGGTTTGGCGTTCAGTGGCTAGAATTCGAGACTGCTCCGAAGAGGATGACATGTCTTCACTCCCTAGAAGACCATATCTCCGCAAATCGACGGCTAGAATTTCGCTGAGTTGCAGCTCTTGGTTGGCTGCCGCGGACTCTTCAGCCGAAGATCCAAGCAACCAGACCTTGGTCCCATCTTCATTGATGGTGCAATAATGCCATTTGTAGCCTGGTTGGAAGAGTTCCGGTCCCTCGACCAAACGTTGCCATCTCAGAGAGTCCAGCTCCAGCGATGATAAATTGCATTCATTGTGACGAATTGTGGAAGAAGGAGTAACGAAGTCCAGAAGTGCGCCTGAGGAACACACATGGAAGTGAGTGCCGGCCGACTGCAGCGGGACATGTGGACCAGAGACAAATTTGAGGGACGAGATGGCGCCTGGAGCTGTTGGCTTCTCTCTTCTTGAGGATCGGATGTGTACACTGCCCGAGTTTGCGGCATACGTGTCGATGCGGTCTGCTCTGCCAGGGTGCTGCCATGGATCTTGCCTGCTCGAGGGAACTCGTCCCATAGTAGAAAATTGCCGTCCGGAGTCGGAAAGTGCAGGGCTACCTTTAAGGTCTAGCCACCAGATCTCGGACGGCCGCTCCATGTCTGCTCCTAGGCCTCCAAGAACCCACAACCGGCCGCCCCAGATCCAAGCACTGTGGTCAAATCTTTGTACAAAACTCCATGTCTTTGACCACGTCCAGGTTTTCAGGTCAAGATAACAAATATCATCAAGAATATAGTTCGCTTCGCCAGTGAGGCCTCCGATGACGAAGAGCTTGTCTTCATAAACTACAGCGGCATGTCGCGCTCGACCTTTGGGGATGGGACCTTGAACATCAGGCTGGGTCCAATGGTGATCTTTGAGATTGAGGATGACAACATCAGACAAATATTCTCTGTGTTCGTTCTCACCCCCGTACACGAGTAACTTGTCTCCTTCGTAGAGCGAGGCTGAGTGGCCCATGCGTACGCCAGGGATGTCTCCATAATTGTCGACTAGCGCCCAATTTAGCGTCTTCAAGTTCAGCCTCAGCACGTGATTGTAAACTTCGTCTGTAAATTGATCGAAACCACCAAATGCATAGATCTGGTCATTGCCACAGTAGGTCACTGAAGCATTGACTAGGCAGGCAGGTTTTTGGCCTGTTGTCTTGGAGATTTTGGGCGTTACTCCATCCTTGGGGCCAAGGCTGTTCTTAGCAGGACTGGTAGGCATTAAATAAGTCGAGCCAGTCGGCGTGCTGGTACCAGAGAGAGCTGATCTATTTGACGCAATGCCTGCCCATGCGGCAGCTGCGTTGGGAGGGAATAGACTGGTGATAGACGGCTGAGGCAGGGGCGTAGAAGGATGAGCCATCCTAGGCGACGATCCAGGTCAGAGTTGTAAGAGCAAGAGATCGGGAGTTTGAGGGCGGGAGAAGGGAGAATGGTCCATCCACAAGGACTCTATCGACAGGAAAGTAGGCTACCCGAAGGCCAGACATAAGATGTGCGTCTTCTCGATTGCTAATTGATGATTTTTGATGATTTCATGGCAGTCGAGATGGTTGAAGGGGAGTGAACCCAAGAGTTTGAAGAAAGCGAGAACGACCGGGGGTTAGAACAGAGACTAGGCCTGATTAGGTGGGTACCTAGCGCTAAATATTATTTTTCCGTCTGCCGGCTTGGCGTGTATCGAAGTGCAAGGAACAGGCAGCTGAGCCGAGGCCAAAACTTGTCGCCCAGCAACGGCAGGAGCCAAACAAAGAGTATTTCAGCAGCGTCACTCAACCAGCAGCTTCGAACCTTTCTTCCTACCACATACCGCTCCATCCACCTCCTTCAAACTACCTTCTACCTCATACATACTTGCATGTGCATAGCATACAGTCCACTAGATCTTACTTGCATCCGCTAGATTCGATCGACCCCCCGATTGCATTGGCTGCCTTGCATTAATCCTACACCTTGATCGGTTATTCAATCATCCAACAATTGCAGCGACAGAGAATAAGATACTAACAATACGACCAATAGCTTTTCTCAGGATCCATTCAGTTGAGACTCTTGAGATATCACTGGATTGCTAGACTCCAAGCACAGACTTCCATCGACAAGTTCTGAATGCATTAATCGACAACATTACTAACCACCGAGATCTTGATTGAATTTCGGATTAAAGGACCCTGATCGAAACATTGAATTGTCCATTCGATCATTAAATAGCACATCACATATCTATCATGGCTACCACCTCTGTATCCACCCCTCTCAAGAGCCATCATGGGCTATTCTCAGCAAAGACGGCTGGTGGCCGCATGCCTCTCACTCCATCTCCCAGAGCGAGAACGACAAGTGTAGCCACCAACGGCTCTTCAACCTCTCCGTTCACTCCTCCCCGAAAGGACCAATCTATTCACAAATCCGAAACCTCCACCTTATTCGCTCGATCCGTATCACGATCAGTTTCCAAATTCGCCTATGCCAATTCTCCCAAGTCTAATATTGCCAAGGGAAGAACGTCTCCCAAGCAACTCGACCTAGGTGTCTCGGAGTGGACACTGACTGGAACTGGGCCCGCATCGACCAGCACACCCTCAAGAGAAAAGTCAAGAAAGGACAACGCATTGAGATCAAGGGTGGGCAAGACTACTATCAGAATCCCTCACAACACTGCAGACCGTTTCATTCCCAACCGTACCGCCAGTACAGGTCTGAACACTACCGGGTCAGGTAAATCGGATGAGAATACTCGACCAAGAACTGCTGGTGCCGATGGCTCGACTGTGCTTGCTAATGCCGCCAGTGCCTTCGATATCTCTGCGCGAGGAGCGGACGCGGACATCACCACGGCGTTGGAAAGTCTTGGTTTGGAGGATGACAACATCAGCTCATCATATGCGCGACCCAACTCTGATTCATCAGCATACGAGTCTTCCTTAGCCTCAGCTTGTGGGATCTCGACAAGTCAACGCATCCTGGAGTTCAAGCCAGCACCCCCTGAGTCATCCAAGCCAATTGATCTCCGATCTCAATACAATCGTCCATTGAAGCAGGCCAACACTCAATCTGCTCAATTCCGTCGACGGATCCAGTCGGCACCTGAACGGGTGCTGGACGCACCTGGACTTGTCGATGACTACTATCTGAACTTGCTCGACTGGAGCTCTGGCAACCAGGTGGCAATTGGTCTGGAACGCAATGTGTACGTGTGGTCTGCCGAGAGTGGTACAGTCAGTTGTCTCTTGGAGACATCACCCGATACCTACATTAGCAGTGTCAAGTGGTCGGGGGATGGAGCATATGTTGGCGTTGGTCTCGGCTCCGGTGAGGTTCAAATCTGGGACGTGGAAGAGGGCACCAAGCTCCGAAGCATGTTCGGACATGACACTCGTGTGGGTGTGATGGGATGGAACAAGCACACATTGTCGACTGGAGCACGCAGTGGGTTGGTGTTCAACCATGACGTCCGGGTCCAGGAACACAAAATCGCGGAGCTTGTGTCGCACACATCCGAGGTGTGCGGATTAGAGTGGCGCTCGGATGGCGCTCAACTGGCTACTGGCGGAAATGATAACCTAGTGACCATCTGGGACGCCCGTTCCTTGGCCGCACCGAAATTTGCGAAGAAGAATCACAAAGCGGCCGTCAAAGCTCTTAGTTGGTGCCCTTGGCAGTTGAACCTCCTGGCGACTGGTGGAGGATCCAACGATCGAAACATTCACTTCTGGAACACGACGACAGGCGCTCGGATCAACAGCATTGACACTGGATCACAAGTGACGAGTCTGAAGTGGAGCAATCACTACCGTGAGTTGGTGAGCTCCAGCGGCTTCCCAGATAACTCACTGAGCATCTGGAGCTATCCTACGTTGGTGCGCAATGTGGAGATTCCGGCACACGAGTCGCGGGTTCTTCACAGCTGTCTGAGCCCAGACGGACAAATGCTCGCAACGGCTGGTAAGTGGACATGATTGCGATTTGATTACAAGCGAGGTACTAACGTGACATAGCTGCGGATGAAAGCTTGAAGTTTTGGAAGGTGTTCGAACGGAAAGCAGGCATGAGCGCGGCAGCGTCAAGGGAAGGCGGCGTAGGCAAAAACGGGCAGATGGCCAAGCAGATGACAATCCGATGATGCAGGTCACGGATATCTCCATCCTGTATGGAGAACTTGAGCCAGCATGCGACCATCGACCGGGGGCTTACGACTTCTTTTTGGCCTGGTGTTGGTGGAGACTTGACTTTGTTGCATTCTGGGGATGATGGAATGGAATGGAACGAGATTGGATGCTGACGAATGACATGCGAGGACACACTGGGAGGGCAGATGTGTGACTGACTATCAGATGATATGCTTGTTTGAATGTTTTATTAGCAGGTACAGACGTGGTAGTTAGTCGTTCAGCATGGACATGACATGCAGCGCTGCTGTACCTCGTATCTTGTACCTCGTTCGGGTGTCAGTGACTCGGTGTCCTTGCCGACCCCTCGGTACTGGACTAGCACCTGTAAAGAATAGCCGGGAACTCCTTAACCTCTACATGGGGACATGCTCTGTATCTACTACCGTTGACACTACATCTAAGTAACCACCTAAGTAACCACCTCCTTGATTTCTTGATTTCTGTCCGAGTCAACCTTGCTCACTGAAGTTGGCCTTTATCCTGTCCCCCTCGTGGGTGCTCATACGGTCAACCCTCAAGGCCACCCCGGCCTTGTCTTGGTTGGTCGGTCGGTCTGGCAACGGGCTCGAGGGCATGTCCCTTCTTACATAACCCATGTCCCCTTTCTTCTCCCTCCCTCCTTCCCAGCTCCCCACTCGTCCGCCTAGCCAAGCCCCATGTCCCATGTCCTATGGCTCTATTTTCCCCGGGCGCCTACGTGCAGCTGGTTCTGGCACGCCGTGTCTTTTCCCTCAATGTTATTCGTGGAAAAGGGCGGTCCCATTCTCCAGTGAGCCACTGCTATTCTTCCACTTCGCACCAGGTACTACTCGTCCTAGCTGCTCGGTATCCTTCAGCCCTTCTCCCTCCCGCACCCTCTCTTCCTCATTGTCGGCGCTTAACTCTCCTCTTCCGCCTATCACACCCCCGCCTCGTCGATTCGACCCGTGATCTTCTGCACGCTTAGGCAAGCCTCTGCCCTCTCCATGCACCTGGCTCGTCGTTCTATCACAATTAAAGCTCCCCTCCATTGAGGGACCAGGGCGGATCACCAGCTCGTGGCAGACCAGGGGCCTGCTGCTGGTTCTGCTGCCGGGCCCTGGCTCTTTGATACCGCTTTGGTCGTTCTGCCTCTCGCTGCCTCTCTTTGATGGATCCCAAATTCTCCGGCTCCCTTGCTGTACCGTCTCTGTGCCGTCTCGTATCTCGCTAGTCCATCTACCAGCCCAACTATCTCCCCCTCCATGTCTCCATGTCTCCATCCCTCTATCCCTCTATCCCTCGCTTCCCTTCATTTCCAGCCCAACTCGTAGCCCCACTAACCGTCTGTGCGTTTGCTTCTCACCACCATCCTGTCACCATCCCACCATTGAGCGGTCTCGCTCGACGCGCTGCCGATCCTGAAACCGCCGGGCCTTCGGTCCTCGAGCTTAGCATCACATATACACCTCCTGGCTGACAAGCTAGGCGCGGCGCGAGTCTACTGTAACTTCTGAAAACTTTCTGCCCACATACGAGTAATGTCCTCTTTCACACGGGCCACCGACTCGCTCGCTACATACTAACCCATCCGAGAAAAATAATCAGATGCACTGGTTCAGCCTATCCATGCACTCTCCCTCTCCAATGCCTCCCAACCCATGACTCCATGAGTGGTAAGCCCTCTGCCATCCTAGTTCGCTGTCGCGCATGCCATGCGTCTGTTGGCCAGCATGCAGGCAGAAGAGGCCGTCAGGCCTCCTGGAGACTAGCAGTATTCTCATTCTCCATTCTCCATCCACCGTCCACCGTCCACCAGCACCAGGATCAGGTCCTGTGTATTTGCTGCTATCTTCTGCCTCTCAATCTTTCCCCCTCCCTTCATTCTTCGAGCCTCTCTTTACCGGCGAATTCTATCGACTCGTTTTCTTCTCTTCCAATTACTGTCTACCACGTCCTTGCTCGGTCTTTCTGTCAGTAGCGATTGGGCATGTGCACCCCGACGCTTACTGACCCGTAGGCCGGGCGCGTGTGTTGTTACTGTTCCATCCCAGACGGAGACACCAACCTCCTCACCAACCCACCCACCCACTCACCTCCTTCACGGCCATCCTAGAAGCTCAGGACGCTCCCTGTGCCAGCCTGCATTGCCGCACGCGACCGTTTCGCTGGCCGCAACAAACTCTCGCCGATTTCCTGCGACTCCGCTGCCATCGCCGCAACCTTCAAGTGATCCATCCATTTCATTGATCGTTTGGAGCGTAGTCTGCCTTGCCGACTACTTGTATCCCAATAGTCATCCTCCCCGTCCACTGAGTGCGCAGACGCACTGAGAGGCAAGCGCAATCTTTCCTGTTGGCATCAATCGACCCTTCCCTTGATGGTCGATTGTGCCGCAGGACAGATAACATTTGCGCAAGATCATGATGGCTGTGCGGGCTTCTGTGGGACTCAGCCCATCTACAACCCCTCTCATCTCCGCCTTCTCTCCAGATTCGCCTCGCTATGTCAGTGCTATAGGGTCGAGGTCATCTATGTGGGCTAGGTCGTCCCCATCCGCGCCGACACCGTTGCTAACAACCCCAGGTCCATTCTCGAGAGGAGCAGTGTGACGAGTAACAGCCATCTCAGGGCTCCGCCTGCCAACTACATAACCTCACCTCAGGATCCAGTTGCTCCTTCGCCCATCTCATCCGACGTCACTCAGTTCGAAGACGTTGACGACGCCGTTGAAGAGGAGGAAGACGGTACCGAAAAGGGCTCTCTGGCAGGCGACGTCACAAACCCCAATGAAGAAAGCAGTTCATCCGTCAATCCGCCCCCCAAAGACGAGACTCATCGCTTGTCAAATGCACTAAGGGTATTCCATGCCATCCCAATGTCTGTCCTGTTCTCTATGCTTAACTCTGGCAGGTTGACATTGGTCCCGCTCTGGAGCAACGTCTTCGCGATAAGACCGAAACAGACAACGAGCCACAGTCGGTAATACACATCCCAACGGGTTTTGGAAAATTCGTAAGTCCACCAGAGGTGAAGCTTGGTAATGCCCATCTGACGTGCCTGCCCCGCAGCCACATGGTCCTACTGTCGAACATAAAAAGCTCGATTCGACCCCAGAGAGCCCCGAGAACGAGTCGTCAGAAGAGTCGGTGGAGGTTGAAAGAGCAAGGGCTGGCTCAGTCGAGTCCAAGGTATCTGAAGCCACTGTGAGCACCGTCACCACGGTAAAGAAAGACCCGCCACCGGAGAAAGACACCAACCCAGATGAGAAGAGGAATACCAAGGTCGGTCAGAACTCCACCGCCAGTTGACTATGCTAACTTCAGGACATCAGCCGCCCAATGAAGTACCGATGCCTCCGTCGCCTCTACAAACCTCGCTTCCTACACTCACTCTGCATGATTGGTCTACCACCCCCAGGGCTCAGACGAGGCAGGACTTCGCTCCTGTAAGCCGTCCTGGCTCTAGTTTAGCTAGTAAGCGCCTCCCTACCTTGCCTTCTCCTACTTGCTGATTGAAGACAGGCATCGAAGAGACCGACGACACAGACCATCCCAGCACAGAGGATGCCAGAGAAGAAGCTAATGTCAGACAAACCTTCCTTCGCAATGCCGAGGCTGAAATCGCCGCCCTTCGAAATGCGCTATCGGAGTGTTGGACGCTCTGCAACACCTTGGCCAGTCTAAGTCATATCCATCGAACACGAATGTTTAGCTTTTCCGGCCGTGGGGACATGCAGGAGCAGGCCTGGAAGTCTTGCTGGAAGCTGTGCCAAAATCTTTACAACACTCGAGATGATCACCTGACCGGATCATACTCCCACAACTCATCAAGACCAACGCTGGACCTCTGTCGAGAGTTCTGTGCCGCTCTCTTTGAAGTAAGAGTTCGCGACAATGAAGCCGCTGACTCGGTGTTGAGAGTCAGTTTTGAGTTGAACAATCATCTCTTCAATACCCACGACAGGAGTCTCCCCGAGGCTTTTCGTGAGAGGACTCTCGACTTTTACATCACACTGTGCCATCGACTGATGAAACAAAAGGCCAAATCCGCAGAAGAAACTGACTCCTTACTCAAAGCTTGCTGGTCTCTCGCCGAAATGCTGTTCAGTTTGCGCCAAAATCGGCGAGAAGGAAAGAAGGCTGATGAAGAGCTCCTTGGCTCCGCAATTCAAGCGTGTTGGGAGCTTTGCGACCTCTTCAGAGAAGGATGGACTCAGATCCGTCCAGAAAGAGGGACACCTAGACCAAGTCAAACGTCTTTCACACAGGCCTTCAATCAAGCAAAAAGATCCGGATTTGTCCCCCTAGACGAAAATGGCAATCCACGAATGCTTCCAGAAACACCAACGACCATCTTCGAAGACACCATCACCACAATCTCACCCGACGAAGCACCAATCCCCAACATCCTCATCCTTGGCGCTGAAGAAGCCTCCCGCATCTCCAGTTCGTCCAACACCTCGGCAGCATCGGCAGCTATGCCGACACAAAGGACCAATCTAACACCTTCGGCCATGCGAATCAACAACCCCTTCTCCCCTCATCCTGTCCCTCCAGCACCTACCTCCGCTAACCCAGGACACCGGTGGGCATCTTCTGCATCCGTCATGTCCGGGCCACCATCAGCCATCTCAGAGGGTGGGCCCAACCCGATGTCCGCAACAACCGTCTCCACGGTGCGTACACCCTCCGACGACCCCACGTTGATCCTGCTAAAAACCCTGTTCGTGAAAGCTGCCATCATGACGAACAGGGGCTACACGCGGGCCTCGTCCGACTCCAACCTGAACTCCTTGCCCAACTTCGTCAAGAACCTACCAGACAATGCCTTTGGCACCCAGAGCTGGCAGATCGCGGTGCTGGAGAACTACCGCAAAGCTGTTGCCAACGATTCCGGTTTCCGTAACCTCGGCGTTGCAGGCACAATCGGCGAACGTGGAAGAATAAACGCTGTCGAGGTCGCCCGTGCCGTCAGGGGCATGACCAATTGTGTGTACGGATTTGGATGGTTGAGGGACCTCTACCGCTTCGTCTTCGGATACTATGTCGAGGAGGCACTCAAGGCAGGCGATGGCAGCCATACTTCGAGGCGCGGTGGAAGACCTCCAGGACCCGCGGCAAGTCTTGCTGCCGCTGTCATGGGAAATGTGAGCGCGACCACGACGACACCAGGAGGCTCTGTGAGTAACGGCGCTCCTGGTGGAAATGGAGCTGGCGGGAAAGCAAGACGCACGGTGAGTCAGTAATTACTTGGGAGGAAAGGACGTTATGATGATCGTGGTGACGAGTTTACTGTTTCCTCCCCCGTCTGTCATTTCTGCCCTCCCTTTCCCCTTGTCCCAATTGGTGCTGCGGCAGCAAGCGTTGAAAAAGTACACAATTCAACCCCATATGGACAAATAAGGCTGTCATTTGTGTCGACGGTCGATCGACCATGAATCCAAGACTTGAACCATGTTCCCCACTCCACATGGAACTCGGACGAGAACTCGAATTTCTGGAACCGCATGCCGATAAACTTGAGAAGGACCTAGAAGAGCAATATTCATCCTGGAGAAATCGCCTCGTGCGGACATCTCCAATAGGTTAAAGTTTAAAGGACCAACGGGATTCACAGACTACATTGCTATGCAGGCGTCCTAGGATCGAACCAAGAACGTTACTGCACCAATATCGTCATCACCAGAACAACCCAAAATTTCCCACAAGTGACACAATACGAAGAGATTTTCACACCGTCGTCCATATGTTCCCAAACCATACCACGAGTTGATAGAAAACATCGTCATTCCCCATTTATATACCCCCACGCCCCCCTTTATCCTGGAACAACAATACCATCATTCTCCTAGTCACCAACAAATCAACAACGGGGAACGAACGACGCAGACAGTTCCAAAGCTGAGGAGGGGCAAAGCAGAATCTATGCAAAAGGTCGAATTGGGTTCCTGAGAACAGAGGGGAGAAGAGCCAGAGCCAGAGCAGAGCCTAAAAAGAGGAAGAAAAGACGAGGGAAGCACAAGGAATGCTTGAAGAGACGAGCTAAGGGCGTTGGCCACGGGGGAAGAATTTTGCCATTGCATGGCTCATGGTTCATGATGATGCCATCGGCCACACGCCACAGGATAGGAATCAGGATATGATCGGGAATAGGAAAGGGAAAGGTTTTGATAGGACAGGATGGGATGGGATGTCCTTTTCAGCGCTCCAAGTGATATCTCTTAGTAGCTTAAGCACCACCGCTGCTGTTGCTGTTACTTTACTACATACATACCCCCTCACTAATGACGTTACGGCGGAAAAGAATCAAATATTGCTTTTGTCCCTTCCCTGTTCCCTCCTGTCTCCCCTTCCTTCCGCCAGACTGCTGGTCCTGGGCGACCTGAGGAACCTCGACCTCTGACACCAACTAGTCATCGAAGCCTCGATCGCCTGGGATTCCGGTAACGCGGTGGAATTCCCAACTCTCATTTGTAGATATGGACATCGCGTCAGAGAATGCGTGATTTATTCTGCTCATGCGGCGGCCGTGGTCGGCTGATCTCCCCGCTGCCAGGTTTCTGTTGATCCTGCGAGAATTTACGATGATTGATCGTGTATCGGTGCTCACCGATGCATCGTCATTAACGTACTCCCCGGCCACGCCGCTGCCTCCTTGTCGGTCTTCTAGGATTATAGAAGGCGGGGGAGATCGAGAGCGATCTCGACGTGTGGGTCGTTGCCCAACCCATTCCTTCACCAGTTGAGTTGCAAGATTACGATTGACAGTCGTATAGGTCCCAGAGCCCGCTTCTTGGATTGTACTGCCTCTAAGTCGCAAATTTGTCAGATAGTTGGATGGCAGATCCCTCGGGATATCCACCATGAGGGTAGACGCGCAGATAGCAAAAAGGAAGATGGATAAAGATTCTTGGTCCTTGCTAGAATTTACTTTGGAAAGTGGTGTCATAGACCTCAAGCATTCGGCCTGCTTGACTAACAAGTTGGAATATTGACACACGAAAAACGGTGATTGGCATATGCACGTTGTGTTGCAAGAAAGGGTAACAGGTTGTCGCATATGAGTCCAGAAGAGTATCTTTTCCAACTCTTCCGCCGACTTCGATTGGAATCCCACTGCGCTAGAGATAAGTGCCCGGTGTCCGGAGATGTGGTCTTGCGGCAGTCCACATAGTTCTCGATGCATATATATCTGCTGCCTGATGTCGTCGAAAATACTGGCTAAGCGTGTTTCAGCGGCCAAATTTGATTCCGAGCTCCTTTTTTTGGTGTAGAGCTAGTGAAAACAAAAATTGTGCTTCTCTCAATCTGATAGCAGGGTGTAACGACCCGAAAAACTCAGGCCAGCTGTCCAATCGCAGCAAGTTGCTGATCGGAACTATGTCCACGGGTTGTCCCTTCAAACGCGTTTGATAAGTCATGAGCAAGGTACGTGTCCCGACATCACTATATATGTTCTGGATCTGTGGATTTGTAAAACAAGTTAGGCATATTGCCGCGAGTTCGGTGCTTGTCTTTCCATAGCAAGTTGTGCATAGGCCAATGGTCCCCCAGAGCAGGAATTGTAGTACTTTTTCGCTCTTGACCGTGGGCCACAGTCTCCGAATCCGGAGAGTATCTGCTATGGACATATAGTACAGATGAAATGCGTCCTTAGGCTCGTGAACAACGGTAAAACAGTCTGCGAGTTCGTAGCAACGGCGGACTGCGCGCAAGGCAATTGATTCTTCATCACTCCATATATGCTCGGGACATATGTTGTCATGTAGTATGATTGAAGACTTGCGGCTCTGGTATTCAAACTGCGATGAATCATGGTCTCCTTCCTGAGTCTGATTTGGACCTCTGAGAGGCACATGAGATCTACGAATGATTGCGTTCAAAGCAGCAAACAGATTTTGTAGAGCAGACCTTGAAGCCGCTTGGTCGCCAGACCCTGCAGCAATGCTTGCCTCATGTCGAGCCTCTTCGTTTATGACTTGATTGATATTACTGCCCAGTGTGTCATCAAGCATAACATGGTCCTGCACCGAGGGCTGCACGGTGTTATCACCATCTTCGTAATGAGGGTTGGATTGGTCGTTCTGTTTGGCAACTCGAGCAGCAAGTTGTGAGTAGCTTAGGGGGAGCAAGTTAGCTTCGCCTTGAGTCTGTGGGTACTTTCTCAAGATAGATACGAGATGATGAAGCCGTGCTCTTCCCGAAGCAGTTCCACAATCTCCTTCAAAGCATGACCATTCTGCCGGTAAACTTGGACCTGAGGCTCGTATTGCAGCCACTCTTCTTGCGGGAGATTCTTTGCCTTGCGTGGATTCTTGGGATCCCAAACCTTTATGGAGACCATGTCGAATCTTTGATTCCGGTCGGGAGACAACAAGGGAGAACACAAGATTGAGAACACGGCTGTCGATGTCTCCGGCGCTTTGAAAGTGAGCAAGTTATTGAAAGTCAAGTCAAGAAAAGATGTTTCCGTCTGTATGGGAGTGCAGCTGCAGGCTTTGAGCGGTCACTCTCTAGATTTAAGGAGAAGGAAGGAACCATGGTGAGATGTGGTGAGCCCATGAGGCTGACAACCTTGACCGATGCCACTTTTTATTTCCGCATGAGGACTAGTTTGGGCGGCGTTTGCAGGACGCGGTCAAGGGCTTCCCGGAATCCTCTTGTGAACTTGGTGAAGGCAGGTAGACGGGCATCATTCACTGGGTACACTTAGTACTGATCATTGAAATCAGGCTAGTACAAGATTTCCTGGTCGCAGAAGCGCTTGTTACCATTATTCGTAGGCTGTCCGCGTCCGATGTTCAAGCTGCCCGTTGCTAGTCCCCCCCTGGTGTCACAACTGGACATTCTTTGCGCAATGATCAAGCCAATTGCGATGACAAACCGCCGGCGATCGAAACGGGACTTTGAAGGCTCAAGCAAGGGTGGAGATAGGTGGGGAATGAACATCGATTTCAGAGGGTATACTGTCAAGCACGGTTGTGACATGTCACATACGAATGCTCATGGTCAAGACCCAAAGTCCCTGGTGGGACTTTGTGGGCGCCATTTCTTTTGCCCTGGGTATAACAACGAACGTGTGGTGTCGGACTGGGTGTGTACTCAAGGCAAAAAGGACAGCAGGAAAGATCTGCATTGCAATCGGCATGGCCCATTGCGCGTCTGAGGCCATGGCAACGTACAGCACGTACCGTACGAGATCCAGAATCCAAACCAGTCCCCCACTGCTTGAAAGAGGTAAAAGATGCTGACAAGGAGGCCTCCATTGGCACGTGGAGAACTTTCCGTCATGCATACTGAAAGGTCGCAGCACAAAATGCCCATCGCAAGGCCAATGATGAACATAGCCTATTAGCCAGCCTGGTCATATACTAGATGCCAACAGTCATTGCGCCCAGGCTCGACTAAGATCCAATAAGTCAAGGCAAGTTGGGGAAGCCAGCCTTGCCAAGAAGGGTGGTTTTTCGGTCTCTTTCATCCAGTCACCGATGGATTACAATTGAGAGGCTGTTTTATAGTGATTGGTGAAATGTTGATCACAAACAGTCGAGTTGAATGGCTTTCGACCATGATGGATGCGGATCAAAGACTCGAAGAGTGATACTCTACATTATTCGCCAGGCCCGTGGAACCTGCTCTTGACGCATGGATTGACTTGTTGCAGCAGTCTGCTTGGTCTGTCAGTTTCTAATACCCTACTCCATTATTCGTTTATGACTGGATGGTTACTGAAGCCCTTTGTCATGGAGAAGGGGAAGACGAGAGGCTGGAGTGTTTGGCAAGTAGTGCGGATAACCAAGAAGGCCAGAAGTGATACGTACTATAGCAACGCGGCTCAAGCGAAGACAGCATCACGTGTACTAAGGGAGTAATCACGTGTACGGCTTCTCTAGTTCCGTACCTCGGTCGCGGCTCGTGGCCCGTGACTCGTGACGCAATGGCGAAGGAAAGGGGTGTCCCTTCCGCCGAGAAAGTGAGCGAGCTACGCGGTACTAGTGCGTACTAGCACCCCCTAGCTACAGAGTACTTGGAGCCGTACTCGTAAGTTGACGGTGGACAATGCCTTTGGATGCGAGGTACTTACTGGACGCATGGCTGGGTAGGTCAGGTGCCCCAGGTGGGTGCCTTACGAGTAGTTTCTTAGTACCTTCGAGTATTATGTACTCTTCTTACTTGGCACCTCGCACCCCAACAACCAGAGAGACCACAGATACAATTCCATGCTTTTTCATGCCGGAGACAAACATTTATCCCCATGACCCTGCTTATCCTTCTCTTCCATCTGGCTAGATCCATCGTGTAATCTTTTGGGTCGATCCTTTTTTCATCCATGTCAATGAACGCATCCCTTACCTAAGCCCTCCGGATTTGGAGTGGGTGAGTGGCACCCAGGTGGGCATCTCATACTCTGCATGGGGAAATTGGGAAAATGCCATTGCACTGGGGTGTTTGCCCGTCTCTGGTCCCGGGGGGGCCCATCTGGCCAGCCACAGGCCCCGGAACAAGCCCAAAGGGCCCACTAAACCATGGATCCGAGCCACTCAAGGCCCGCGGGGGCCTCAAAGCACGCAACTCCTGGGCTCCGAGCTTGGCGGACTGCAACAGTCGTTCTCGAGGCTCTTCCTCACGATGCCATCACTACCAGCAACACGGAGTGGTGCTCATCCACTCAGACGCAGCCGGCATCCTACAAGTACCACCCTCAATGCGCGTTACGATCCGATGTTCCCTAGAAACGACTACAATTACAAGCCGGTCTCTATTTCGCTCGGCCTATTCGTAGGCCAATTCAGTCATCGCTCGATTCCGTGCCATCGCTCAAACTCTTCCTGATGCCCCGCTGAAAACCTTCCTGTGCTTGTCAACCTCTTATCTTACGTGTCCTCCACTCCGCTCCCGTCTGAAGCCTTCGTCCACCTCTTTTCCTCTGCGCACTACGGTTTATCCCTGTACGCAGTTGCAGGTTGTTGGAAACGACCATTGCGAGATGCTTCTTCTTGATGAACATCGATATAACACCTTCCCAGAGTCGCCCAACGACCTCAAATCAACCCGCTGCTGCGGCATCGTCTGAGAAACCTACGCTCAATTCAAAGCGCCCTCCTGGCTCTCCGTCCCTGCAACCCCTTCCCATCAAGCAATTCAAGCACAGTTTATTTGGCTCCGGCCAAGGTCCCTTTCCTGATGCCTTAGCCGCGACACACCAAGGTCGATCCGATCGACAAGGTTTGGTTGCAGACACTGAGAGCTTGTCAGAAACAAGCCACATTCCCTGCGTTGCGGGCAGTGTATCATTCCTCGAGGCTGCTGCGACTGTGGTCGCGCGCCCGGACCGTATGGCTAACCCAAGGTCTCCTATACCTGGCCGAGGTGTGCCTACAAGTTCAATACCAATTCGGACCTCACCGCACGCACACCATCAGGGAGGAGAGCAGAATCTGGTGGGAAGAACAAGGGCACAGTCGGATCCCCGAAAGCCTCCTGGCTTGCAACTGTTGAGTTCCATTGGGCTTACCGAGTATCTCCAATCTGACGATCGGCCTACTTTTGTCGTGGATATTTTAGACTTGGTCAATACAGCCGCTCCGGGACTACGTTTGCTTTTCGAGAATCCGGCACTCAAGGCGCAATCTTCTATGTTAGACCACGTGCAAGGTAGATCCGAAGACCCTACTTTACTCCTTGACCTCGGTACGCCATTCGCCGACTTTAAAGCTTGGGTACTTAGTCCACTTACAGATCCTGACATTGTCACAACATTCCCTTTTGGTGGCTACGTCTGGCACACATGCCTCATCCGAAAGCGACTACGGGTAATTCACGGTCGCCAGCATGTAACTTCATCATCGACCTCCAACAAAACACAGATTCGACCTGGCATGCAACAATATAAAGGCCTCGGCTCCGTTTTGTCCTCCGTTGTTCCCGTGCGCAGCGATCTTGCCTCGCCCAGCTATTTCGATATTCCTGCACGGCCAAACCAAGATTTGCCCCAGACCCTCCAGAGCTTAGTTACTTCAGATATCTCGCCACGGTCGCAAGCGGATCCTTCACCTGCCTCACACGATGCGACGGAATATAGAGACCTAATCTCAGGCCATATTTCTTCAAGCCCCGAGGAGATCATGCTACCATCGCATATCAGCCTGAATAGAGATATTGGCATGGTCAAAGACCTGCCTCAGCCTGGATTTTTCGATTGGACAAGATTACCCATCTCGCCCTCCTTGCCTCCTCATGTTCAGTTCGCCAGAAGCATTGACTGGGCCGCGACAAGTCTGGGCTCAATTGAAGAATGGCCTGTGGAGCTTCGTGGAATGTGCAATTTGATCATGGCAAGTCCTCACCCGTCCGCAATGTATTGGGGCCGAGAACATGTCGCCATCTACAACGAAGCCTACGTGCTACTTGCAGGGCAGAAGCACCCTGAACTAATGGGGAGTCGCTATCGAGACGCTTGGTCTGAGATATGGCATGCTTTGGAAGACGTGTTTGACAATGCATTCGAAAATGCTCAAGCGACAATGAAGGACGATGACTGCCTTTTCCTCTTTCGCAATGGCTTTCTAGAGGAAACATACTTTTCATGGTCGATTATTCCCTTGATTGGCGACAATGGAGGCGTTGTTGGCCTGTACAACCCTGCCTTCGAGAAAACTCGTCGTAAGATCGCAGAAAGGCGCATGTTGACTCTGCGAGAGATAGGTGAGCGCACCGCCGATGCTCGGCAGGTTGCCCAGTTTTGGGATTTGCTGTTGAAAGGTCTTGAATACAACGAGCTGGATGCTCCTTTGGTATTGGTGTACTCGTTAAACGAAGATCTTGCAGATAATGATACTGGATCTTCGGTCTCGAGTGGAGCAGCATCAAACAAGGTCTGTTACTTGGAGGGCTCCTTAGGGATTCCAGCAGGTCACGCGGCTGCGCCTCCTGTGATAGACATGAAGACGAGTACCACTGGCTTTGCATCTTCCTTCAGGCAAGCATTGACTACGGACCGTCCTATTGTTCTTCGCATTGACGACGGCACTCTTGATGACAAGTTGCTGGACGGTATTGACTGGCGTGGTTTTGGCGATCCTTCAAGGATTGTTGTCATCGCTCCAATCCATCCCACAACCGGGGAGTCGACCTTGGGGTTTCTTGTCATGGGCACCAACCCCAGGCGACCGTACGATGAAGACTACGACCTTTTTATTCAATTACTGGGTCGACAGCTGGCGACCTCAATTGCATCGGTTGTTCTATTTGAGGAGGAGATCCGGAAGGGCGAGCGCGCTGCTAAACTTGCAGCTCAAGACCGAATAGAGCTGAACAATCAGTTAGTCGCGAGGACTCAACAGGCAGTTGAGGCTGAGAACAAATTCACAAGGATGGCGGAACTGGCACCGGTCGGCATGTTCATAGCCAACATTGACGGCCAGATTACTTTTGTCAACAATGCCTGGTATGACATCTCATCCTATCCCCGAGATGTTCAAGTCCGTGATGAGTGGATCAAATATATCGTGGAGGAGGATCAATCAAAGGTCGTGGAGATGTGGAACACCATGTTGCTGAAAAGACGACCTGTATCTTTGGAATTCCGATTCAAGACTCCATGGCGTGACAGGCTTGGGAATAAAGGACCTATGTGGGTTCTGACCAGCATATCTCCCGAGCGCAACGATGATGGCAATCTCGAGCGAATCTTCGGCTCCATGACCGACATTAGTGTCCAAAAATTCGCCGAGAATTTACAGACAAAACGAATGGAAGAAGCTGTCGAACTTAAACGACAACAAGAGCGGTACATAGACACGACATCCCATGAAATGCGCAATCCGCTGTCTGCCATCCTCCAATGTGCAGATTCAATTACGGCTTCGCTGGCCGAGTTACAGATTTTCGACGGTGTAACCGACGATCAGAAAATTATTCTTGACACTGCGGTAGACTCGGCACAAACAATCACTCTCTGTGCCCAACATCAAAAGCGAATTGTAGACGATGTCCTGACACTGTCGAAACTTGATTCGGCTATGATGGCTGTCGCCCCTGTCGACACAAATCCGATCGCTGTTGTTCATAAAGTTCTCAAGATGTTTGAGGCCGAGCTCAAAACTGCCGACATCACGTTCGAATTGAAGTTCGACTCGTCGTTCTCTTCTTTGCGCATAGACTGGGTCCGATTGGACCCTCATCGTTTGTCACAAGTATTGATCAATCTAATGACGAATGCAATCAAGTTCACAACAACTCAGGATATTCGAATAATACGAATGCATATTGCGGCCTCCGGCGAGAAACCATCCAAAGAGGATAAATGGAAGCTTACGTATATCCCATCTCGATCCTCCAAGAACAACGATGTAACAGCAGCCGCTGAATGGGGCCTAGGTGAACCGCTGTACCTCCATTTCGCTGTGCAAGATACTGGACGGGGCTTGGATGAACTTGAAAAGAAACAACTATTCCAACGCTTTTCTCAAGCTAGTCCTCGCACTCACGTAACTTATGGTGGCTCTGGTCTAGGCCTTTTCATTTCAAGAGAGCTGGTTGAACTCCAGGGTGGAGAAATCGGCGTAGCCTCCGAAAGTGAAAAGGGCAGTGTCTTCGCTTTCTATGTGAAGGCCCGAAGAAGTTCAAACGGACCTGTGGAGATCTATGAAGATCCACTGACTTCACCGTCTCAAAGCATGAAAAGCTCAAAAGCATCCGGGCTAGTCGGGACCAATTCCAACATCCCCGCTGCAACTTTGAAAGGCTTATCCTCCTCAGAGTCGACCCGACCCTCGGAATCTACGACTACCCAGACGAAAACCCTCCACGTTCTTGTGGTGGAAGACAATTTAATTAATCAGAAAGTACTTGCCGCTCAACTTCGGAAAATCGGCTGTGTAGTCTATGTCGCCAACCATGGAGGCGAAGCCATTGATCAAATCCGACTCTCAAAGTTCAGTCGCGACAGAGTCAAGGACGGTGCCGAGATCGATGTGGTTCTTATGGACCTGGAGATGCCCGTTATGGATGGCCAAACTTGCGCCAGAACCCTTCGGGAGATGCAGAACCGCGGAGAACTCGTTGCGCATATTCCTGTCATCGCGGTCACCGCCAATGCACGAGCAGAACAGATAGAAATGACCTTGAAGAGTGGGATTGACGATGTTGTCAGCAAGCCATTTCGGATTCCTGAGCTGCTGCCCAAAATGCAGGACAACATTGCAAAGTTTGCGGGCCAGTGGGAAAAGCTACGCTAGGCTTGCCTAGAGCCAGGTTCATTGATGATGATGGATTTACGCCTAGTGAATGGATGCGGCCAAGGCTATATAGATGGATATAGAGGGCCTCATCCTCTGCGAAGTATATACATATATAACACCCAGCCGTGCAACGCAGGGACGACACGGTCACGAACCAGATACCCATTCATAGTTTAAAGCCCCTATATGAGCAAACGTCATTGATGCGATCACCATCATAATGATCAAAGGGATTGGTAATCAGCTCTGATGCCTCCTTCTAGATCCACCACATCTGTACATCCATCGTACATGTTGGAATTGAGCCAACGCTGTGGCGGTAAAGGGGTGAACCTCGTCCTACGGTGGCGTACAAATGGACTTAGTGGAATTGCTACAGGGGGTCAAATGGTATGCCGTACTTCTGTTGACAGTGATGTTGGCCAGCCAGGCCAGTGCCTGGCTTGACAACAGTTGGATAGCCATATCAGATACTTTTTGTACTCGCATTGGCTGGTTTGCCTGCCAAGAGGCACAGTCCAGCTGAGAAATCTATCAGCAGAGTTCAGAAGATGAAGAGGTGAAAATGGCTAAAGGTTCAGCAGTCTTGCGTCTCAGCGGCCATAGTGGAAGAGAATTCCTTTCAGTTCCGCTGGCTTTCACAGGACCACCTCGTCGGAGGATCTACAGCGGGTCACGCCTCATTTCAGAAGCTCTGAGCACCAGAACCCAGCGTCGTGCTTTCCGCAACGACACGATAAGATTCCAAAGACCATCCTTCTCCACCAGTACAAGCTGTCGTCTCAGACTCTCATCATCAAACGAACAGCTCGTGGCAGACCCGGCCCTGGAGGCAGGCGAGACGCAGCGCAAGGCGAACAACAACAAGATCTCATGCGCACTGTTCGACCACGACGGCACCTTGTTGTCCGGACACAAGGAACTCACCAAGACACAAATCGCCGAACAGTTCGACCTCCGGTACCGCGACTTGCGGGATATCGACCTGCGCTCCGAAGGGATCACGCGGATCCTGGTCCGGCCCAAGACGATCCTGCTGCAGTTCTTCGACCTGTGCATGATCATCCAGGCGGACGAGGCGCTCCTCGTCAACCCGGTGCGCGGGATCGCGGGAACATCGGTAGTGGCGCTGGACCACGACTTCGAGAAGCGGCTGTCGTCGAGCGCGAACGAAGCCGCCGACGTGCCGCCGCTGCCGTACGAGCTGCGGGCCGTCGAAGCCGCGCTGGTGGCGGTGCTCTCGATCCTCCGCGAAGAGCTCCTGGCGGCGCGCGACTCGGCCGTCGAGAGCGCTGAGCAGCTGAAGCTGGAGTCGGGGCTTGCGGCCGCCGAGCTCGACCGCGTGTTCGAACACTCGCGGCGCCTGGCCAAGATCGAGTCCAAAGCGCGCCTCGTCCGCGAGACGATCCGCGAGCTCCTTGACACGGATGAAGACCTCGCTGCCATGTACCTCACTGACAGCCTGGCTGGCCGCCCGCACGACATCAGTGACCACCAGGAAGCCGAGTACATGCTAGAGGCGTACCACAAGGCCGCCGATGCACTGGCGGAATCCGCGGCGAGTGCGATCGATGTGCTTCGTCGGAGGGAGAACACGTTCCGCTCGAGCCTTGCGGTGCAGCGCAACCAGATCATGTTCCTCGAGGCGCGCATCGCCATCCACACGCTGGGGCTTGCGGCGGGCACCCTTGTTGCCGGCCTGTTTGGGATGAATCTCGTGAATTACGCCGAGGATGCCACGTGGGGATTTCCTGTCGTCACCGCTGCGTGTGTCGTGCTGAGTACGATCTTGTCCGTCTATGGTGCCAGGAGGCTGCGACGCATTCAGAGCCTGAAGAGTCTGGAGAGCGGCCCTGGCGGTTTGGGGCTGGAGTTGCGCATGAGGTCAAAGAGGTCACATCATAAACGATAATGGTGATGATGATGATGATGATGACGATGATGATGATGACGATGATGATGATGATGATGATGATGATGATGATGATGTTACTGTTGTTGATAGAGCAGATTGGCAATATTAAAACCTTGTTTCTACTTGCGGAAAGTCTTGCATTAGGCTCTTTTATTTTCGGGCGCCTTGCCTTGCGCCCGCTCGGGTCGCTTCCAATGCAAGTACACATAGGAGACATTGTATCGGCTTTAGCGGGGAGCGGAGGGCGTAAGAAGGAACTTTGTCGTGTGATGCGTGTGAGAACTTGAGCGAGGAAATACAGTTAGTAGCAGCGTTCTTAAACCTTTGGAAGTCATTTCAATATCAATGATTTGAGAAGCTACATAGTATTGGAACAATTTGTATCTCGGTGTATCTCGGTCAGGCCTGTAAATCTGAAGCAACCAAAACCGCCAAGCCAATACTGCGCTCATTCTGTTTGCGCCTGTGTCGTGGGAGAAGAACAATGCTTTGGGGGGATATCTCGAAGGGTCATCATGGGAGACTGGGTCATGTAGAATCTTACAAAAAGCCGTCGCAACGCTGTTTGGGAAATCACACCTTTTAAGAGCAATGGAAACATTGTGACATGACCGGCCACAGAGCTTAAGTTGGGACAGCTTTGCGCTCCATGCTCTTGCGGTGGTGCTGGTATCGGCTGTCTGAGCCGACTACGGGTGCTGGGTTGGTGACATAGCCATCATTATGACCGGACATGGCTGTGTGGTGATATCCATGGGTGCCGGCGTGATTTCCGTTGGTAGTTGGCAGTGCGGCGTTATGCTCGACGTCGCCGTCTCTCCTGCCACCGAGAACACCATTGTGGTGGTGGCTGTCGTGCGCGTGGGTACCGGTACCTGAAGCAAACGTATTGAAGCCGGTTGCCGCGCCTCGCAGGCCGTATGCCGCGTCGAAGGGAGCGCCGCCGTATGCTTCCACGTAGCCCCAACCTGCTTTGCGGGTGAAGACCGCAGTCTCGAAGCCACCCGCGCCTGCGGCGCCAGCACCGTAGGAGAAGGGAGTGTGTCGAGTGAGTGGGATGTGGTTGAAACGGAAGTCCCAGACAGAAGCGTAGACCATGCGATACGCGGAAATGGCGAACGTAGAACCGATGACTGCTCCGGCAACGCAGTCGTACCAGTTGTGAAACTCGTCGATGGTCAGCGCGCCAGTGATGAGTGTAGCTGCGAGTACTGGAGCGTACAGGGCAATCAATTTCCACATCGCCGGGTGGTGGTTGCTGAAGACCTTCATCTTCGCATTGAGGTAGAAGTACAGGTAGAGAAAGCCTGCCCATGCAGCTGTGCTGTGACCCGAGGGCATGGATTCAAGAGAGTCATTGATCTGGTTCTTGTCGCCGCGGCAGATGTCGCTCTTGAACATCAGCCCTTGGTATCCTTGGCCGCCTTGCGCTTCCATCAGGGCTGGATCCGGATCGCAGACCGACAGGAAATGGGGCCGCAAGCCGCCGATGAGCCATTTGACGAACACCTGGAAGACGGCCGCGCCGATCAACGAGTACAGCAGCCCGATGATGGCATTATTTACATCCCAGAAGGAACGGATGCGGATTTGCATGACCAAAAAGACGAATATAGGGACAAGTGCAGCCAGTAAAGCAGCAGCCCAAATGGGGACGATCTCTTTGCGGAGAGGATAGGCAAATCCAGGATAGACGATCTCCCCATCCCTGAAGTTGACTGGGAATGAACGGCTCGGGGCTGGGTCGGCCATGTAGACACCCAGGCCAATAGCACCCATGATGGCCATGGTGACAATATCAAGCCAGGTGAATTTCAGCCTGAGACAGGTGTTAGCATTGAACTGAGTCGGTGTATATTCTCGCGATATTGCTCACCATTGCCCAAAACTGGGTCTCCGGTTGAAGTGGCCCGAGTCCAGGTCAAAAAGGGGTCTTCTGGTGCCTCCATCTCTCCGGGCCCGACGTTTCTCGGCCCGATGCCTATGGCCATTGGTCGCAGGATCATGAGTTCTTCTAGTGAAGAGACCCATAACGGCGATGGTCAACTAAGGCACCCGAGCTTGTAGAGTGCAAATGAAAAGAAGCAAGAGGTACTGCTCTCAAGTGCCTGCGACCAGGAGGCAACTTTACTTGGAAAGGATGGATGGAGGGATGGATGGAGGGATGGATGGGAAAACAAATTCCCATGGGAACAAACGCGAGTCTACTTACATACTACTTTACCTCGATTTCCCAGCTGCAAGAAATGCACCGATCTCCCATGACGCAAAGGCTGTGGTCTGGCATGGCATGGGTGTGGGGATGCGACAAGCTCATGCCTTGTATTTTTGTGGCGCACGGTTGTTAGGCGATTCATCGTCCTCCTTTGCACGAAATCAGTGTCAAAAGAAGGGCGGCTTATTGGACGGATGCTCGAAGATCATATCCAGCTTGCATCTCCTAGTTGGGCGGCCAGATGCCAAGTGACGTGTGTGTGGCTAGTGACCCCTCTCGCTGCGTCACCTCATGTAGTCCTTTTTGATAGAGAAGTAACAGCTGTGGTCCGAGGACACGGTCAATCATGAGTTCAAAAATCACTTAATGTGGTCGGCTCTAGGAGTGATGTGATGAAACCTCTTCCACTGAACGTCCTACATGGTAAAGCCTCTACTAATCAATTGTTGAGGACGCCGTAGAAGGAGAGCAAACAAGCATTTGGTCAAGCATTCTGAAGCCAAAACTTGGCAACAGAAGACATGGGGCTGCTGTGGCGTCGACGCCACACTTCTGCTTGCGGTCGTTCTAGGCTTTTCTGGATGCGCGCTGCTTCTAATCTGGAAGAGGAAGGAGCTGAGTGGTGGAGACACAGCTCATATATATACTGTAGATATAAACGTAAGAGGAGATCTAGGCAGGGGAGCTCGAATCATACAAGATCAAATTATTCTTATTCATGCTCAGCGGTATGTATACCTAGGCCCGATGGTTGGTGAACGTGGTAAATGATCGCAGCATATATCCACAAGTAAGAACATCTGACAAAGCAATGAGTCGTGATGTATTCCTGGCTACATAGAAAGTCGAGTAGACACATATCTGGATCCGTTTTCGCGAATGTACATGGTATTTGCCTCCCAGTAACGAGCTCAAGCGCCGTGCCACAGGACACTTCCTACTTCTTCCGAAGAATGCGCGAGCACCGATCGCCGCTTGCCAAATGGTCCATCTTCCTCAGCAGTGACGGGTCAAGCATAGTTGGACCAATCCGGTCGTCCAGTTCCTTTTGGATGCCTTCATTGCTACGAGTCGAAGCTTGAGCTGATCCCGTTCCCGTTGAGTCGAAAAGTCCATGTCTTCCTCCCCCAGATGATCTCTTTGGTCGAAGCCCCAGAGTGATAACGCCAGTTCATGGTCAAATTGTCGTCTAGAGTATCCGCCACCCATCTATTCCAGTGAATCAATCCAGTTCATGCCCTCGAACACCTCCATCATCTTGTAGCAAAGGCTTATGTCGTCGCCGGGTTCGCCACCAAAAAGTTTGATCTGCTCAGCTTCGATCTTGACAGCTTCCTTCCTTTGAGCCAGTTCGCGGGTTTGCCAGGCTGCATATCGATTATGCCATTGCTTGGAAGCAAGGGTTGTGTTGGAAGGATTGCGAAATATCGAGGGCATTGGAGTCTGTTTTCGACTAATTGATGTCGTGGAGGAAGGAAAAGGAGCGCTCGGGTGAAACGGTGGTGACAGACTATCTGCAATGTCGTAGTTCAGGACAAGTGTAGTATGGTTGCGGCCTCGCGGGCGCACCCTTCTACGATTGTGTTTATGTGCCATCTTCCTTTTTGGTATGATTTGTATTGTATTGAGATTCAGGTGTGGTGTGTGGTGTGCGCTGTTGGGAGGTCAAGTGAGTGCCAGCTGGAATGGAAGTTCCATGGAAGGAGAAGAACACGGGAATGCTCAGAGGGAGTGAGGTATAAATGTTATCCTACCAGGGATGAGTCTTGGGTAGGCAGCATAGGCAGCGTGGAGTCACATGAGACCAGGCGTGAGAACTCTGCCAGGCAGGTTGATTGCGAATGAGTAGTAGTATGACGAGAATTGGGTATGCCCGCGTTGGGAGATGGGTCAAGGCACAATGATGCTGTGTGGTGTGAGAGTCATGGACGGGGTGGCGTGGACGAGCACGCCGTGAACGGCGACCAGCAGAAATGAGTCACGACACCTTTTTGCCGTCGTGGTATGAGCCATACCACTCGACTGTATTGCGTGACTCGCCAATCTTGGGTCATAGCCAGAGTTGAAACATCGAATGAATCAGGGCGGATTCAGCAGTTGGCCTGACTGCTCCTGCTGCTGATAATCCTATTCCCCTGTGGGTTCATAGTAATCTTTGGTCTGCCATTTTTTGTATGTCGCGTGTTTTCAAGCTCAACATCTGATTTCAGGCAGAAACCGGCCGAAATCTTGGCGAAACCAACGGTGCATCATTGATTCTTGAAACGCATATCTATTGGGGCCGCTATACTTGCCTCTGTACTCTACCGTATTGGAGAGGTTGGACTCGAACAGCTTCCTCCTCGGTATTCTAATGTTCGAAGGCGCTGTCTGATGATTAGTGAAGCAAACGTGTGTATTGATCTGGCGACGGTCCTACGGGCCTGTCAGGTACCTAGAAGACCTTAAAAGTATATGTTGCTCCTGACATGATCGAAATGCCCCTACAGCACCGAAAAACAAAGCCAATCTTCGCGCTTTCGCTGCTACATTTGGCTCCAACACGAGAGCCCCTAACCTGGTGATCGATGGGCGCCCTCCTTTTCAGAATGGTGAAGCGAGTAGGATGAGCCTGGTTAGGCTTAAATTGACTGGGTTTTGGAAAATTGGTGTGAGGTTGAAGCAACGAACTCGGGTGCATCGCTTGAGTTGAATATAAATACTGAGAACCCAATTTGAACAGAGATGCTTTGGTCTTGAGACGGTATTTTCTACATGCTAAATACGCCAAACATCCCAAGCCTAATATTCACTGAGCAACCCTCCTCACTCATGCAAAGTTTGCTGGTGATGATCCAGGCATAACAAACAACAGCCTCTCACTGATGAAAACTTCCCATCTGACATTCTAGGTGTCGAAGCACCCACTCCCGAACTTCACTAGTGATTCTCTAAACAGAGGGCCTCGCCTTTCAAACGAAAGATCGGCGCTTACCGAGCCATCTTCCAACCCAGTCCGTTAGTCCCGAGGGAGCATAGACGATATAATTCTACATCCCAGCCCTGGAGTTCGCTCGGAGCTTGATGCCGCCGGTCGTTATTTATAGGGCCCTCGGCCTCTTGGGGAAATAGTGGAGAAGTGGCCCAGCTAAGAAAACAGCCGAGGTTCCCAAACATTACTATCCAGGTCCGGACTATGATCGATGAGCCAAGGGAAAACATTGTTATCCGCGGTTATAATTCATACTCAGACTTCCCACCAAGTTAGCTACCCAGCAAAGAAGGCTACTTGTCTTTGGTTTTCTAAATCTGCCCGTGAAGCGGTACCACAGCTGGACATCATGACTTCAGAAAGCGATCTTCGAGTGTCAACACTGTTCGATTTCCGCGACTATGTCGTGCTTGTCACTGGTGGAGCGAGCGGATTGGGAGAGATGGCATCACAGGGTTTCGTTCAAAATGGAGCCAGAGTCATCATCGCAAGCCGGAAAGAAGCCGAATTGAGGAATACTGCCGACAGGTTGAATAAAATCGGCCCAGGCAAAGCCGAGTACATTGTCGCCGACCTCAAGGACAAAGCCGGAGTTGAACATCTGGTCGAAGAAGTCAAGAAACGGACAGATCGAGTGACAGTCCTGGTCAACAATACTGGCGTAACGTGGGGAGCTCCGTATGATGACTTTCCAGAAAGTGGATGGGACAAAATCATGGCCTTGAATGTCAAGTCGATTTTCTACACGACTCAAGGACTACAGCCACTCCTTTCGAAAGGAACCAACGCCGATAAGCCCTCAAGGGTAATCAATATTGCGTCGATGGCTGGTATCGCAACCTCAGATGTCACGTCAGGCGACGATGGTGGGCTTGCGGCGCCAGGACATGGAACTTTTAGCTGTACGTCCACCTCAATCAAAAATGATCAAAAGGAAGCTAGAAGGCGGCTAACATGGTGATTCCAGATGGGCCTTCGAAAGCAGCTTGCATTCACTTGAGCAAGATCCAAGCATCGAAACTTGCCCCGTTGAACATCATGGTGAACTGCGTGTGCCCGTGAGTATTTCATCTGTGGAGTTGGGTTTGTCCAAGCGATGCTAACAAACTATCCCAGTGGCGTATTTCCATCACGAATGACAGCTTTCGGCATCGATAAATTCATCGATACGATCTTGGAAAGACAGCCTACTGGACGAGTAGGCAAACCGTCTGATTTTGCAGGATTGATTCTCTTCCTCAGCAGCTCGGGGTCTGCCCACATGACAGGCAACGTGCTTGAGATCGATGGAGGAAGTACACTTAGCGGATGGAGAAGCAGCAAGAAAGGAAGCAACCTATAGACTTGGTTGGCCATCTGACATGGAAAGTGTTCTATATAGTGCAAGTCTTCAATCGATGCCCCTACTAGTACTGGGAGAATGCATCCTTATTTATGATACATCAAGTGTGTGATAGACAACTAAAATAGTTTGGGTTATTGCGATCTATGCGTCTGACGGGATGAATTAGACATGCACCAAAGGCCAGCTTACTGATGATCACAGCTCTCTACCAAGCACAAGACTCTTCCTTCTGCACCACCGTGGTAGTCTCCCTTGAAGACCTCTGTCCTCTATTTACTTCGTCTTCCCCACGTGATTGAGCCGTCGCCTCTTTACCCACCTTGGCTCACCTGGTCCCGGAGCCCTCCTTAGGGAGGGGAGGGAGAAGGAAGGGCGGTTCCCTAATCCGAACGACTTCCCAATTCTTCTGCACTGCTTAGTTGGGCTCCTCCTTTGGTAGTGCATTTGTTCGAATCCTCAGCTGGTAAATCATCAGACGGCTGGAAAGAGTGATGCGATGTGTAGCCAATGTAGCTTTGCCGTAAGGCGATAGGCGATAAGCGACAAGGCAATCACTGTCTGGAAGTCTGGAAGCTCCCTGGGGGCCTAAGGCTGAAGTATGAGCAAGATATGACAGCGACTATGGGCTTGAAGCCGGAATCAGTGTCGTGTTTGCGCTCTCTGTGCGACAAGGAAACGTCCCTGCATGCCAAGGGTGATAACGACAACACATCTCATCCGGGACACTCTATGAATATACATAAACCAGACCCAGCTATCTTCGCTATGTCAGGCTTACGTGGTATTGGCCTTTTCAATCAGGTATACCAAAAGCAAGCCTGGTATTGTAGCACCCCTTACCGATGGGGGGTAGAGGATGCAGTACATTCAGATGTGATTCTCACACTTCAACTCATCTTGAAATAATCACCTGTGAGTATCTAGGAAGAAACCCGTCTCTGCCGCCCGTCCCTGCACAAGCAGTGCCACTCAGACATTTCCGAACAGCAATTTCCCATCTACTCATCGTCGTTGATATCGACGACCGTCTGCTTCCACTTGCGAGCTGGGACATGACGCTGGAACAAAATGTCGATCTCACGGAAGGACCGGTGCTTCATCTCTGGAATCCAGATCCAAGCCATGGCGGTGCAGATGAAGGCAGTGCCAGCCCAAACGTAACCGCTCTTGCCGCCCAGGTCCCACTTATCAGTATTGAGCATGTAGCTGGAAAGGAAGATACAAGGAATATTGACCAGGTAGTAGGCACCACGTCCGACACCGGTTGTCAGTGGCCTGAGACGAACGGAAGATGTTTCGCCAATGATGACCCATGAGGCAGGGGCGGGTCCCAAGCAGAATAGGACGGAGACAATCAAACCGAGTGATGCTTGCGCATTACTAGCCGCCTTACTGGCGCCAACTGAAGCCGCAATACCGAGCACGATTAAGAATCCACAGTTGATAAATTGACCATAGACATAAATTGTGCGTCGGCCGAGGTATGTGGTGAGGATCCAAGACAGCATGACCATTATCCACTGGAGCGCAGAAGTAATGAGACCAAGTGCAAATGCGGTGTTGTCTGCCATGCCGGCCTCTAAGCTGGTGTTAGTCTACTATGAGGTTGTAGGAGATGGTTAAACTCACGTTTGAAGAAAAAAACCGCTTGATTGGCGATCAGATTGCCCGTCAGATTTTGAGAGGCGTACACACCGCACACAATCAATGTACGGTAAAGATCGGTGCCTTTCCACAGTTCAACAAGACTAGGCTTCTTCTCGGTCTTCTCAAGCTCGATCGTGCGACGCATCATTGCAACTGCGTCGGCGGGATTATCATTTGCACTCGAGCGTCCAAGGCGTCTAACCGCCTTCTCTGCCGCAGCCAGATGACCCTTTCGTACGAGCCACCAGGGTGATTCAGGCGCAATGAAGAGTAGGATGGCGAGAGGAGTAGGAAACATCCACTGGAGTGCAATGGGAACCCTGGTATGACTGTCAGTATAGGGCTCCTCGAGGCATCGGAGCGACGAACCTATATGCTGAAGGGTCATCCCTAGACTGGTAGTGGTACGTGATACCGCCGACAATAATCGACCCTATAGCCCAGAACATCTGCAACATCTGCGTCGCCGGAGCTCTCAGTCTCAGCGGCACAATTTCGGCACAATAGGCGGGTGCATTGGCGATAAAAATGCCCCACGGGATGCCTTCCAGGATCTGGGCCGCTAGAAACATCCCCTGGCTGTTGCCGAAATAGAAGATGAAGATGAAGGCGTTCAAGAACATGAGACCGCCAATGGTTGCCCATCGATACCCAATCCAACTGGTAATGGGACCTGCCATGAAGACACCGATGAAGGCACCGACTGGTCCGCTACACTGGAATGCCGACTGCCATGAAGCTTCGATAATGAAGCCTCCCTCCTTGTCGCTGTATACACCAAAATCGTCGGCGAATCGTTTTGTGGCTATGAACTGTCCCATCAAGAAAACACAGTATGACTCCATGATCTATCGCAGCGTTAGAGACAAGATCTGCCTATCATGGGGCAAGAGCTTAGCTTACAATGGTGCACGACATGACGAATGCCCACCAACTGGCAGCGGGATAGGCCTTGACAGCCTGGAGCACAGTCATGTCATGTTCGATCTTCTCGGCATCGATGGCGCCGGTTCTGTCATAGGTGACCTTCTCGCCGACATTGTAGACAGGCCCGCCCTTGGAGGAGGACTGCGCCTCGACCTCCGGCACCGAGTTCGGCGTTTCTGTGATGACGTTATTCATGTTGACGACTTCTGAGAGAAACGTGAGGGACGATGAGAACGAAAGAGAGGTAGGCAGGACGGGGTTTCTAGATCTTTATGCCTGCGACAACACGCTCGTGATGGTAAAATCCCGATCTTAGCTCAATCGAATGAAGCTTGCTCCGGACGTTGGCCTCCACAATCCAACATCTCCACTAGATAGGGTCATTTTCCGGTGCACCACGGTACGTAGTAGCAGCATCGCATTCACAACGTCGCATTCGGCTCGCCATCACTTCGATCAAGCTCTCTTATTAGCTATAGTGGACACCGGTGCATCTTGCCCCGAGTCGCCCTAGGGCCTGCGTGTAACGATGCAATTTTAGTGATGGGGGCACCCCGGGGTGGGCTCTTGTCAAGCGGAGTAATCTGATAGCGGTCGGGGGGAGATGCACCGGTCCCATAGGCCATACTTCTCCGCAGTGTCAGTTGCGGGGCGTTAGCCTGTCGGCTTATTGCCTCACTCAGTTAGTTCGCCAGTGTGGGCAGCGTGAAGTGATCCGGACCCCCTTGGGCGACCCCGCATTAGCCCGCGATGGAGGTGCACGGCCCTGCCTTCGAAGGACGCGGCTACACTGTCTGTCATATGCCGGGCTGAAAGGAGGAAAGACCAGCGGCAACGCCTTGCGTCTTCTCCGCTTCCTCTTCCTCTGGGCTTCTGGAGACCCCAGCCTCGTTCGTGTCCTATCCTGTCCTATCTTATTGTATCCGCCTCTCAGGTCCAAGCCCGATATAGCTATCCTTTGTATGCTTGATGGCATCGCCAGCAGCGCTGCCTCTTGACCCTGACTCTACCTTGGCCATAATCCTGCCTTTCTAACTGACGTTGCAGGAGGACCTAAGGACAGCTATATGTGCTGTAGTGCAAGTGGTGTGATGTCTTGTCATGATGATGTCTTGTACAGGAATGAGGTCGCCCGCGCCCTCATATAGCTCCGCGCCTGCTCCCGCGCCCGCGCCCGCGACAAGCCGCTAATATATGTCGATGACTTCTGCCAGTGTTCTAGAACAAGGCGGCAGGCTCTAATACTCCCAAATTTTGGTCCTCAATCAATGAGACCAAGCGAAACTACCGAGTACAGGATGCTAACTGCTGAACCACGTGGCGACTTGACACCGCTGACCAGAGCAACGTGGGCGGGCCATGGCCATGCTAAGAGCAGAAGTACAGTACCTGGTGTCGATTTCACCACGCGGGGTATTTCCCGATTAGTTGCGAAGGTTCCATGCACCGTCTTTACAGAGAGCCTAGTTTCAAGACCTCAAGATCCTTAAATTGGTGCCCTGTACGGATACTCCGTAGACGGCTGTGTACTGTAAGGTGAATATATTCTTCGAGAAGACATACCCACGTCTAGGGTGTGAGCATCTAATAAGAGCAGGGCGGCGAAAATCGGTTGAGCAAGGCTGATGTAATAATCAGCAACCAAGGAGGTTGCCAGCCACCATGAACGGCAGTACTCCGTATACCCCGAGTATAAGGAAAGGTAGATACACTTAAAGATCCATACTATTCTATTTCGCGTCTTCTTTATGCGCTCGCATCTACATCAACCCCTAAACCGAGCACTTGTCACTAAGGCGTAGCCAGCCTGAGGAGCTCAAGCCGGATGGAGCCGAGGTTGAGCCCGGTCACAAAATAGGTGTGGCTCGTGTTGTCGGCCCTCGAGGCCCCGGAAGACACGGCAAGGCGACCTATGTCTGATAGATAGAATAAGCAGCGCAGAGCTCTCCGAAGCGATCAATCTCATGTACGAGTACTCGTAATGTTAATAGCAGGCTCTAGAGTAGATAGTAAGGTTTAGGCGGCAGCGTAAGGGTAGGGAATCTGCCAGGTTCCCTGACACCGCTCTGAAATAGGTGTCTAGCCGAAGGGCAAGAAGATGTAGCTGAGTTCTAGGGGACCAGATTGGGTAACGGCGTGTCGCTCGGGGAGTGCTCAGGGAGCACTCAGTGGTGTGCAGTTGATGGCTCAATTAGAGCCCCGCTTAAAGCAGCGCTCACCCACCCTCTAGGATTACACCGGACATGGTAAATAGATTTTCCGGTCTCACGACAATCCGCCAGTGGGGTTTGACCTGACATGACCTGACCGGTTTAATTATTTCGAACGACCTACCTCGTGAAATGCTCCTGCGTAAAAAACAAGTATACTTCGGTACCTCGTGTCTGTAGAGCACGACAGACAAAGCGTTGTTACAGGATGTAAAGTACTGACTGAATACGAGGCTTGGCACTAATCGTCAGTGGCTGGAGTCGCTCAGGGTGACGACGGCCTGGGAAAGGGTAAGCAGTCCTGTCGCCTCGTTGCCACAGAGGAATGACGCGTGGTAGCCCCAGTAGTCAATCTGGTCCCCGTCCAACCCCCCAGGTGGTCCTCCTTTAACTAAATTGGTGCCTGTTGGGAAAGCTTCTAGGGCATCCACGAGCCATGGTAAGCTGTGGCAGTGGGGACATGTCGCCCCGTAGGTTGTGGCTTGACACCTCTCAAACTGGTTTCAGCTCCCCCAATCTGGTCTTCTCTCACACCTTCTCGCCTACGGACCACCAGCTAAATCCCCTAATCCTTTAACCTTCAAACACTCGGTCCGTCAGTGCCATCCCTCAGCTTCCTACCCATCGTTACCACCCACTGCAAAATCCATCCTCCATCCTGCACAAATCACCATGGTGGTATCTTGTCCTTTGTCCTTTCCAAGGAGGCATTCGACCTGATTGAACATCCGTATTGACATCCTTTCCGATTGCTAGACATTCCAACTGCGGCCATCTTCAATTGCAATCCTCCATCGTCACTTGGCCCAACCCCGCCTGCGCCATTTCTCAATACTAACTGCGACTGCATCACTACTTTGCCACCATCCGAACCCATCCATCCTTCTGCCTTAGTTCAGCTATATCCTGTGAGCGATGCAGCCCGGTGCTGACCAGATCCAACATGAGCGAAATGCGATGACCTTCCACACTTCCATCCGATCCTTTTACCCACCGCATCACTCCTTTACGACCTCGATGCCTTCACTCCCCGGCAGTCACGGCTGGCATCCAGGTCGATTTCGACCGGAGACAGACGCAGCACAAACATCAATCGTCATAAACATCAATGATGGCGGATCGACAAGTCGTGGGTTCCTTATCGGTATATTATCTGCTTTTGGTTCAGCTGGTGTTGCCGTTCTCGTCCTTGCTATTTTCTTTTTCTTCAAGTACACGAGTCGAGGTCGCATTCTGCTGGATCGGATAGGTCGGCCTGGCGAGTTTGATGATGAACAAGCGTTCGCGCACGAGGAAGCGGAGGCTTTGGAGTCGATGGATGAATTACAACGGGCTGAATATCTCCGGGCAAAAGGTATGATCTTACGAAGACTCAGTTTCCTGATAGCATCAAATTAATATGCCCCAGCTTTCACTCAGGCAAACCCCCCTGAATCTGTACAGACCGATATCTCCCTGTCGCAGTTCCTTGCCATACAAGAAAAAGGTGTCTCAGCTTGGGAATTCGAACCTGAGTTGGAGATCGCCAACTGCTTTGTTGAGGCCAGGACTGAAATTGAGTTTTTTGATTCCGAGTGTAGCGTTCAAAGCAATCTGCCAGTTCCAAAACAAAACGAGGTGTACTATTGGGAGGCGAAGATATATGATAAACCAGAGTCCAGTCTGATCAGCATTGGGATGACGACCAAACCATACCCTCTATTCCGTCTTCCTGGTATGTTCTACCGTCATCGGTTGCATTATCAGGTCACTAATGTTGAAAGGCTATCATAAAACGTCAGTCGCATACGTTTCATCCGGACACCGCAGATATAACCAGCCATTCGCCGCGACTCTTTACGGACCGACATACGTGCAGGGCGACGTAATTGGGGTGGGCTACCGTCCGAGAACTGGAAGTATTTTCTTCACGCGCAATGGAAAGAAGCTGGATGAGATTGCACACAATTTGAAGAGCCAAAACTTCTTCCCAACCGTTGGCGCCAATGGGCCATGCACAGTGCATGTCAACTTTGGTCAGATGGGATTCGTCTTCATCGAAGCCAACGTGAAGAAATGGGGATTGGCTCCTATGACGGGAAGCTTAGCTCCACCACCGCCTTATGGCAGTGAGCAAGGCAGTATACTTCTCGAGACTGGGAGGGAAGGCACCAGACAGTCCGCCTACGAGCCAGGCCACTCAAGGTCACGCAGCGGCCTTGCTAGGATCACTGGATTTCCAGGCGGCAGCCCAGGACCTATTCGATCCCCCACCGACATATCGTTAGCACAACTTGCCCACGTATCCACGCAAGATCTGCCCAGTCAGGGGACGTTGGAAGCAGGAGATATACAACATCAGCCAGTGGAGAACACCCCACAGGGTCAGCAAATCATACCGCCCCCGGAATATAGCAGTCCTGTCGGTAGTCGACGGAGTAGTGGTGGAGGCGATGAAGAGGAACGTCGAGGACTGCTGGAGGATCGAGCACGACAGCCCCCAATTCCGACGTACGATGCTGCAGTTGGCGAGGCGGCTGGCCCTAGCCATACATGAGATACCCCTTACTTAGTTTGAAACGAAATGAACAGTACAGTCCTTTATGACTAGCGATTTAGCCTCAATTGGGCATGCCTTTGGTCCATGAGTATTGGAAACAGATGAAATAGATACGGTCACACGTCAATGTCACCATTCCTTGATGCTGGTATTTTATCCCAGGACGAGTTCACCGATCCTTGCATGGAACTTCTAGGCGATGGTTTCGATCACCTGATCTCCATCCTCGTGCAACGATAGCCCTGCCATCTCATGCGTACCAGCCTATCGCTACCAGGATGAGGGGATGATTTGATCCTTGTCATCAACGGTAATCGGGAGACCCCCGTACAGGGAGCAATGAATGTGTGTTCAATGAATGCGTGTTTCCTCCGGCTTCAGACACGATTCGTGCACATCAAGAATGGAACCTATAAAGTAACTGCTTATTGCTTCTGTGACCTTCTCGGTTTATGATGCTAGATTGAAACCTTGAAACCTCCTACTCACCTTCGGTATACAGTATTCATGAAGTGACTAAGGTATCAAGAATAATGAAGTGGATTCGTCCCCCGTAAGTGGCTCAAGCATAGTGGCTCCGAACCTCTACGGCTCCGAGCACTTTCAAGTCGCCAATGATGCACCTAAATTACCGGGATCCAGGCATGACGCACTGACTCTGGGCAGTGGGCAGTGGGCACTGCTGAGTGACAGAGCCTGACAGACGCCGGACTGCACCTGTAAGTGAGATCCATACTACTACAGACTCCAGACTCCATACACCATCCAACCAGAACTGCCCAGTGGTTGCTTGTCAGCCGCGAACTCTGGCCCAAAGCTTCAACACTTTCCATTAAAGCTCATTCATTACGGCTGGTTCCCCTGCTCCTGGTCCTCCCTTTTTGTTGACAGGTGGTTCTTGAGCTCTGGCCTTGTTCCCTTGACAATGACCCTGGTGCTCTCGTCCCTGTACATTTCAGCCCTCTCATTGTCCACCGCCCTGTTATGAATCACCCCAATGTGACAGCCTGCCTTTCCTATTAACCTGACCTCGCCCATCAAGACATCTTGGTCGAACTTGATAGCTCACGCAGCCAGCCTGCCACAAGCCCAACTTCACCGGATGGCAAGTGCGCACAGAATCCCCGGAACGCACGAGATCAACGGCGCTCCCTTTCCCTTCCAGTAGCTGTGCGTGCTCGGCTCCGAAGACGCCATTGTCGGTTGTATTAAAGCAGTTGGAACATCTGTGTGGGGAAGAGACAAAGAATCTCCATTGTGCAACGGCCCGCGGGAGTACAAAGGCAAAGAGCCTTCCGATAAGGAGCCCGGGAGTCACAATCACAACCACAGCCAGGCCGAGGAAGATCACTGCGGCACGCACGAGTGCGCAGTGCACACATCCCATCCATGCGAGAGCATCATGCTCGCCGCTCTGCTGCCTCAGAGCTTCCTGTCCATGGCGAGAAGGAGGGCGCCTCGTTCCAGGTGATAGTGCTGGTAAGTTGACTTGATAAAAGCATGCGCAGGGGATCTCGTCTGCCGAAATGGTGTCGATGGTTCCTGTGTGGTTGCGGTGCGTGTTGCTTCTGGGCCATCTCTTCCCGATGGACTCGCCTCAGCGTTGTTGTATGGCGTTGATACCGGTTGTGCTTCACTGTCGAGTCGTATGCTGATACCCCCTCCCCATAGGGACATTCTGGTGGGCCGCGTGAAGACACTGTGACGGGCATGCTCGTGAGAGCCGCTCAGACAGAATGGCGCAAGAGTTCCATGATTGCCGTCGATGCTGGCGCTCATCTCGCCAACATCATCCACATCCTCGAACGAGAAATGCCGCCTACCTCGGAGAAAGTGCCGCCCAAGGGTTATTCCCATTTACTGGAGCATGGCCCGTTTGCCGGCATTAGCTTCCCCTGTATTTCTGCAAAGGCGAATGCGCTGTACATTTTCCGAGATATCCTTCATGCCTTTCTCATCACCCATCCTCACTTGGACCATCTCTCAGCCATGGCCATCAACACCCCGGCGCTGGAGTACGGCCGAGAGGCCAAAGCAATTGTTGCTCTACCGTCGACCATCGAGGCCATCAAGAACCATATCTTCAATGACTGGCTTTGGCCGAACCTGTCTGACGAGGGACATGGCGTTGGATTCGTCACATATCGGCGACTGATCGAAGGCGGGAATCCAAGGCTAGGCTCGGGCGACTCGCGAGGATATGTCAATGTTTGTGACGGCCTTGCAACAAAGTGCTGGAGTGTGAGCCATGGAAAATGCCACAGGCGAGCCCACAGCGTATCACACCAGCATTCCGATTCCTTTGGCTGGAATCAGCCCGATTACAATTTCTCCTCTAGGAGGCTGTCCCGAATATCCGACGACCATGGCTATTTTGCTGCCGTCGCTCACCAGCAGTCCCAAGCTCCCTCGCAACTCCCACCTGCTCCCATGACGCCTGGTGTTGCCGGAGCACCAGCTCATTTCGACCCCAATCACATGTTCGAACCAGTAGCGAGTTCTGCCTTCTTTATCCGGAATGATGCGACTGGCAACGAATTGCTGATCTTCGGTGACATTGAACCCGATAGTGTGAGTATGTCACCCCGGAACTACATTGTTTGGGACGACGCGGCCGGGAAGTTCGCCAGTGACAGTCTCAAAGCGATCTTCATCGAATGTTCTTATGACGATAGTGTGCGCAACGAAGATCTCTACGGGCACCTCTGTCCGAGGCACCTGATTGCTGAACTGACCTTCCTTGCACACAGCGTTCTGTACAGACGTAAACAACTAGCTAATGAAGAAGCGACTTCTCCGATCGACGATTTTACCGACGGCCAGGGCCAGGACAAGCTGCTTGATGCGTCTGCTTCATCGTCAGCTGAACCCGGCATGAGCATGCGCCAACCACCCACACCCAGCGAACTGAAGCGCAAACGCAAACGGGCCACCGTTAACGGCGACTTGCAGACGACGCCAGAACTCGCACCTACGAGCTTCGACACCGTACCCTCCCCCTCACAGCCTCTACCCGGTGCATATGTCGGCAATCGAGCCGTTTCCTCGTCGAGACGCAAGACATCGCATCCCCACCACACCTCTGACACCATCGTCGCGGCACCAATCATCGCACCCATGCCGGCTGGTGGGCGCGGCCGCTCTGTCCAGTTCCAGCCTCCGACATTGCCAGGAGCGCCTAGTGCTACTCCAGGGGCAGCAGTGGCAGGAGCAGGAGCAACAGCTGTAGTCCCTCCTCCCGTGCTGAGGGAGAAGCTCCATGAGCCCCTGAAGGGACTGACGGTCCATATTATACACGTGAAAGACACGTTGATGGACGGGCCCGACCCTGGGGATGTCATCGTTGGACAATGCCGGGCTCTCTCAGAGGAGGCAGGCCTGGGCTGCGAGTTCAATGTCACCAAGGGTGGGCAGAGTATTTGGGTCTGATCTATGCGATTTATATGACCATTCTTGTGTTACAATTGGGGAGTGTGTAAAACATATTCTGGTGTTTCTCTAGGGGGATCATGTCTACGCTTGCTTTCTCTCTCTTGGTTTTCTGGGCGAGGCCTTTTGGATTTCAGTTGAGATTGTAAGTCTGAGTGCAGCCTGATGTTGCTAGGCGTCTGTTCAAGGGGCCAATAGCTAGCTAGGCTCACGAGGAGGCAAGTTTGTCTTGATCTGCTTTTTTCCCCACGTACTTTGTTCTCCCTATCTCCTCCCATCATGATCAGACAATGCCGCTATCTTTATGACGCTGGCCTTCCTGTCTTTCTTCGCACTTTTTTCAGCCATAGTGTCACTCGCGCAGAAGGGGGCGCCTCTTTCTGTCAAGTCAGGAATGATCACTCGACGATCGCCGAAGCCGGCCAACATTCTCTTCTGTTGTTTCCCCCATGGGTCCTTCCGCCTCCCCCCCCCCTTGGGCCTCGCAGTCACCGCCTTCTGCAGCCTGTGCCCGCGAGTGGATCTCGAAAAGACATCGACAGATAATGTTTGGGCGGTGGCCCGCAAATTTGCCACCTCGATCGTAGGGCCGTTATCCTTCGAATTGCAGCCACTGCCCAGAGTGGCTCTTCTCGGGAGATCTGGATCAGGCGATCACATCCACACAAGTCGGACGCAATGAGCGCCCCAACAACTCCTTGACTTGCGTCAGGAGTTCGAGCTTCAGGCAGTCATGTTCCGACTCGCACTTCCTCTTACTGTAGAGCCCGCCGCGGCTCTGCTCTTGAGACGATCTCGAAAAGGCAACGGAGGATACAGGTTGCTCGGGCTGAGGTTCCCACTGATGCAGCTTTAATGCTCTACCAAAATCATGCAGGTGACCGCTGCTCCATTTGTCGGCACCAGGCAGGCCCGTTGAGCGTGGACGAAGATGAAGATCGCATCCAAAGTATACTGGAATGGACACGCTGTTGACGCGTCTGTCTGAGGTCAGTGTGGCTCGGGTGGGTACTGTGGTTGCCTCTGCAAGTATGGTTATGGAGCTTGAAAGATGCCGAGAAGCAGTAACAAGGGGGGACCAGGCAGCACCAGGCAGTCCTCTGACTCATCCGCCTGAGGTCAATGTGGTTGGGAAGAGCCACCATTGTCCCCTGCGTAACTATGTCCGATGGAAGATGCCGGTGATAGGAAGGTGACTGGTCAGGGGCTTGTTCCTGCTAGTTGAACCTTGCGTGTTCATTGCTCAAGCTATCTGCCATCTGCCATCTGCCATCTGCCCCCCAGCGCTGTCTAGATCTACACCTACACCTACATCTACAGCAATACATACTCCAGCCCCCGGCAGTTGCTCCAGGTGGCGTCGATGGCCTGCATTAACATTGCATTCAGCGTGTGTTTGTGGCAGTAGACCGTTGCCAATGGTTCATTGGGGGCCTCGATGGTGGATCTGAATGACTGGAGAATTAAGCCTTTCCAGAAGTGGGCCTTCAACGCCTCTCCCGACGATCGACCAGCCAGTCTCGTCCGCATCCAAACAAATGCAGATCTGTTTCAGCCTTGTTCGCCCATCCAATATCAGAATCGACGTGCACTGCATTCCGAACTCCCACTTCATCGCGTTTGGCTTCCCTTGAACCAAAGTGAATTGTGAATTGACTTTCTATGGTCCTCCCCCGTCGCTGCTGTAGAGAATTCACTCGCCAGCTGCCTTGAACCGCCCAAGATCATGCCCGGGCCCCCCGGGCTGGCCAGTCGCGATGCTTCGTTCTGCCAGGGAACTTCACTTCATGTTGTATTGTTCTCGCCCAGCCACTCGCGAGGGAGCTTTCTGCCATATAACTTCACTGCATCTAAAGTTACCCAGATCTCCTTCACTGTCCGCCTGCTCTTGAACAGGCAGTCCGGCTGATCTGGCTGCTCCGTCACAATTATAAAAGCCCCCATCTCCCACCTCCCCAATCTTCCCTTCTTTCCTCTTCATACATTGTTGCTAGGTAGGTCTTCCGAGGCACCTTGCAAGCCCAAAGACATCTCAACACTGCCAGCTGAGGTGTCTGCAACACTTGCAAGGTGGGTGGTTGGAGTGTCACCTTTCTCCCTTTCGTAGCCCTTTCTCACTGCTGAGCGTCTTTGTCTGCCAGCTTGAGCCTTCTTCGCCCTCTCTTTTGGTGATCGGGTACCTCGGTTGCTCTCATCATCATACACCGCCCCCTTTTCCCATCCTTTCTCACCTCCCCTTCCCTCCATGTCCTTTGTGATGTTGCTGACACTGAACAGAATTGTCTTCTTTCTTTCTTTGTTGTTTTTTTTGGCTTCTTTCATCACATCATACCCTGGTCAGTATCCTCGATCACCTTTTGTGCAGCTACTAACCATGAACAGTTTGGTCTGTCTTTTTTCTTTGTGGTCTCGAACTCATCTTGATGGGTCGCTCTGTAAGGTCAAAACTGAGGCGCCTTGCAAGCTTATGAACCTCTTCAACACTGCCCGTTGAATGTTTGCGGCCACTTGCAAGGCGGGTTGGAGGCGTGCCACCTTTCCCCCCTTTTTCCAAAGCTGTGCGTCTTTGTCTGCCAGCGACTTCTTATCCGTTGTTTGTACTTTGTACAGCAACACTTCTTTCAAGGCCGGGTTCTCAGTTCAACATTGTAAGTCCAATTCCCTCCGTTCGTTTTGCTGACAGTGAAATAGAATGTATTTCATTTTCTGCTCACAGTAGCACTCACTCATCTTGATGGGTCGCTATTGTAAGTTCAAAACTGAGGCGCCTTGCAGGCTCAGTGACCTCTCTCAATACCGCCAGTTGAGATATACGCGGCCACCTGCAAGGTGGGAATGGAGGTGTGCCACGTTTGAATTTTGAATTCTTTTTAAACAATAAGGTGTGCGTCTTTGTCTGCCACCGTTGCGCTTACTCGTTACTTGCAATTTGTGTAAGTAACACTTTGTTCAAGGCCGGGTCCTCAGTTGAAAGATGTAAGTCCTCCCTTCTGTTGTCTAGCTAACAGTGAACAGCATGTTTCTTCTGCTCATAGTAGTACTCATCTTGATGGGTCGCCATTGTGAGTTCAAAACTGAGAGCGCCTTACAGACTCAGTGACCTCTTGCAACACTGCCCGTTGCAATGTCCGCGGCCATCTGTAAGGCGGGTTGGAGGAGCGCCACCTACCCCATTCTCAAAAAGCTGTGCGTCTTTGTCTGCCAGCGCCTCTTACCCGTTGATTGCACTTTGTGCAATCAACACTTCTTTCAAGGCCGGGTCTCAGTTGAGCATTCGTAAGTTCTCTTCCCCTTATTGTGCTGCTAACTGTCAGTAGCCTTGACAATTCATCATCACTTTTCATCAACCATCAAGCGTCATGCTTGTCTTTGGAGAAGAGTCTCATCGTAGCACTACCTAGGCTGGTGCAACGTGTCGTAATGGTGTTCTCCTCAGGCAGCATCAGTCCCTGCCACGAGTTATTCAGCCACTCCTCTGCGCTCATAGACTGCCTCGGGTTCAAGTTCAACCCCGAGGCGCCCAGTATTCACCGTAGAACTGCACCACAGCGTTCTTTAATAATGTACTGAATGCCGCATGCTGATCAAGATGTATAGAACATGTAGCCATTCGAAACATCAGCAAATCGCGTGTCAACGTGCAGAACATGAAGACTCAAGCTTGGGTCGAATTCTAGGGCCCGTAGGACCAGCCCAGTTAGATCACACCATTGCCATTTTCCTGTCTCAAGGCGCTTCACAACGTCTTTGACTTACGGTTTTCGCCCTGGCTCGACTCTTCCTCATTCACAGTGCTGCTGGGTCTAGGTGCCTCCTAGTTTGTGATCTGGTGGAAGCTGTCCAACTCGATTGTGGTCCTTTCTTTTCCCTCTACCCGGCACGGAAAAACTAAACTGCCGTACTTCGACCTTTCCCGTCTGCCCTCTCTCGGATTCTTCAGTATCCCCCCATCGTCACCGTTGTTTTTCCGCCCATCTCTCTCAAAGGCTTCGAGTGGATTTCGTATTCACCATCCACCTGGTTCTTAGCACATTGGACATGGTTATGGACGGCCAAGAGTCTCCGGTATCCGTGGACAACAACAGACCGTCGCCATTGAAACGCAAAAGAGCCCGCGAGAGATCCAGGGTGACGCGTGCATGTGATCGGTGCAAAAAGTGAGAATACACTTTCTGGACATATTTGCTGAGGAGCACCGACTTACTGACAGTTGGAAACAATTTTAGGAGGAAGATCAAATGCAATGGCAGTCAGCCGTGTGATTTTTGCTCTAGGGCAAATATCAGCTGCACTTTTGACTCCACCTATGCCAGGGGCCGCATGCCTCTGATCCCCCGGGTGTCCGATGTGGGAACAAGGAGCATATCATTCGCAGTAGAGGATGAAATGATACCTAGCAAGAGTCCTTCGGTCTCGGGGCAGCACCCAGACGCGATGACATTCACGGAACCAACGCCGCAACGTCCCATGGATTCAAGCAATCATGATCCCTCGTCAAGATATCAAGCACCATCTGCTCTAGCCTACGTGTCCGCATCATCACGAAACTCTCCAGAGCCTTCTCAGACTGATCAGCAAGGCCACTATATTGGGCCAGCGTCCGGGGTTTCTTTCCTTCTCAGAGTTCAGAAGCGCCTGGTTCAAGCGATTTCGTTTTCCCACTCCAGTAGTATCTTTACCTTCGGTGATGCTCCTCTCCATCCTCCAGAATTTGATCCTTCTTTTTGTATGATGCTCCCTCGAGATGACGCTCAGCGCCTAGTTGATCGATACTTCGATTTTGCGATGCCGACCTACCGCTTTCTTCATCGGCCTACTATTCAGGAGTGGTTTAAAGAGTTTTATGATACTCTTGGGCTAATGCACGACCAGCAGAGTGCTCCAGCGAAAGTCGCATTGCTGTTCATGATATTTGCTCAGGGCAGGGTTTACATGCCTGACAACGATAGGCCGGGTCCATCAGATCTGAGGTGAGAACATCATTTGAAGGAGGTTGTAAGGCCCGTCAAGATTAACCTGGGACAGTGCTCGGTATTATCTAGCAGCTGAACATCAGCTCACAAAGGAAAGGGGCTCGATACGCCTAACGAGTGTTCAAGCTCGCTTGCTGCAATGCTATTATCTTCTTACTCAATCTCGTATTAACCATTGTTGGAGTCTATTCGGCACAATGGCGCATTTGGGCCTGGCTATTGGCCTCAACAGAGACCGACATCCTGATGCAATGAATGGATTGAGTCGCGTGGAGGCAGAATGCCGCCGGCGAACATTCTGGTGTGCATACACTTTAGATGCTTACCTGAGTGCTGCCCTCGGCCGGCCGAGGTCTTTTCACGACGAAGACATCGATACCGAGCTTCCTGCATGTGTTGAGGATGAAGATCTTGCGACAGAGCATCTTGACACTTCTGCCGTCAACAGAGGGCAATCAATCATGCTTGCCCCCGTTGCACACATTAGGTAAGACCGTCCTCCCTGAACTTCGAACGCTATCTAACGAAATAGGATCGCTCGGATAATCAGCAGAATTTTGCGGGATCTTTACTCTATCAAGCCAATCTCAGCTAGTCGCCGGGTCGTTTTGACGAAACAAATCTCAGAAGACCTCAGTGCCTGGAGAGCAGATTTGTCCCGTTTTCTGGATGCTGACTACTTCAGCACCTCTCTTCTTGTTCCGATCTACCAGCGTCAACGGAATGTTCTCAATCTCACTTATTGGCATTCGATAATTCTCACCCATCGATCCTATATTCTCAGAGACCTAATGCCGTATCCTCATCACACTAGAGGTGCGGGCAACAGAGACCGACAGACTGAGGAAAGTGTCCAGCAATGTTTAATGGCTGCCATCAAAACCGTGAACACAATTGATGACCTCACGCTAAACCGTCAGATGTTTCGTGCATTTTGGGCATGTGCTCGCTCAATCCTTGACTTCAACAGAAGGCTGACTGGTCCTAGATAACGGCATACTTTGCATTCACCGCAAGCATTGTGCTCTACATCTACGTAATTCAGCAACGAGCGTCTCCACCAGAGACCTACAGAGAATACTTGTCGGCTGCTACAAGATGCCAATCTCATATTTTGGCAATCGCCGAGAAAGGATCACTATCAGAACGTTATTGTCTAGTTTTGGAGGAGCTACGACTCGAGGTACTGCGCCAAACTGAACGTACACACGTTCCCATGACAAACCTGGGTGAGATGAATAGCAATCCACATGAGAACAGCCTCCAAGCATCGTCCATTCCCATGGGTGGCGATACAATGACCGCCACAAACTACACAGATCTAATGGGCGACCCTCCGATTGATTTCAATGACATGCCAGCTACTGGCCTCTCCGACTACTCGGGGTGGGGACAATTTGCTTCCATGGTTTCGTCAGGACTTGGAAATCTTGACGCTTTCCTCAATGACGATCCTTTCAAGCTCTGAATGCTAGCGTCAACATTGCTCGATTATTGACAAGATAGGCAAAACGACTCAGGACTCCTTCGGGCCCATGTCTCCGAATGATGAAGGTTCTCGTCTCCGAGGTAGCCTAGCCACATACAGCGCACCTAGAGATTAAACCCCACGGAATGGTAGAGACGGGCACGTGTCCCACTAATCTAAAGACTGGTGCTGTCACCGATCCGACGGAAAAGTGGTGGTAATCGTATTACGCATCCGGGCTTGGCACGGGAACCAGCTCCGCCTTTGAGCACCAGTTGGATATCAGCCAATCATTTACAGCGAAGGGAGACGTGGGACAGAGTATGGTCGGCAATTATCCGACATATATCATGCACACTTCAAGGAGTTGCTTACATGGTCGGCTCGAGATCTGATATCAGCTTAAGACTCTTGTTTCGCGATCAAACCACTCTTCGCAATTTAGACGCCTCGTATCGAAAGCCACATGATGATATCAGCAATGTCCAAGCGTCTCGAAGGGAAAACAGTAGTCATCACCGGCGCATCGTCAGGCATTGGACGGTCTACAGCCTTCGAATTTGCACGCACGTGCTCTCAGAATCTCAAGCTAATTCTTACCGCTCGCCGTGTTGACAATCTCAACCAGATCGCAGCAGAAATTACCAAGGAAGTCGGTGATGGCGTCAAAGTGCTGCCGGTTCAGCTGGACATCAACAATGCGAGCGAGGTGAGGAGCTTCGTTGAAAAACTGCCACTCGAATTCCAGCAGGTCGATGTGTTGGTCAACAATGCGTAAGTAATGTCCTGGTTTTCTCACTAGAGTTCAAATCTTCTGTAGCGTCGAGAAGGACACTCTGCGAGACTGTTCCATATTCAGAGTCCAGACTTGACTAACGACATTAACAACAACAGTGGTTTGGTGAAAGGTGTCGCCAGAGCCCCGAACATTGCAGAAGAAGACATGAATGTCATGTTTGCGACCAACGTGACGGGCTTAGTGAACATGACCCAAGCTATTCTACCCATAATGCTCAAGCGGAACAACGGAGAAGGGGCAGGTGATATCATCAACATTGGTTCGATCGCAGGTCGCGAGGGCTATGTCGGCGGTAGCATCTACTGCGCAACCAAGGCTGCTGTTAGAGCATTTACCGAGAGCTTACGCAAAGAACTGATCTCGAAGAGAATACGAGTCATCGGAATTGATCCTGGACAAGTTGAGACAGAATTCTCCGTAGTTCGATTCTATGGTGACAAAGAAAAGGCCAATGCCGTTTATTCGTGAGTACCATGACCATCGGATTTTCTGCAAGATAGCAGTGCTAACCAATGACAGGGGATGTGAGCCATTGACACCTGATGACATCGCTGAGACGATAGTCTTTGCGGCAGGAAGGAGGGACAACGTGGTCATTGCTGACACCCTAATCTTTCCCAACCACCAGGCCAGTGCGACGGTCATGCACAGAAAATCGTCCTAGAATAATGAAAGCCAATCGCAGAGGAGATGGAACCGAACCAAAATCAAGGACAGATTACGCCTGACAAAGGGCGAGACAATCGGCATAGAGTTTGAACAACATAGACATGGTACATGGTTGTAAGACACGGCGGCAGACCAGCTTAGACTTGGAGACAACCCATTTTCCAGACGGTTGAAAAAGGCTTGGCTCCTTCCTCGTTCTCCAATGATTGTTCTTATCCGTCGGCAATTGGCCTTTGCGTTTCCGAGCCGTGTCGTTTTCCGTCATATTTGGCTTGGGAGCATATGCATCCTGCAATACCTGCAGGACCACTTGTAACAGAGCAGATTGCGGGTATATCGTACCACCTCTGCTTACTGGCTTAATAGTAATCTTCAAGCCTGTTGACTTGTCAATGCTAGAACATCGGCTTTTATCTTTGCAGGAGGGTTAACTCATATATCATCAGTCCACCAAGATATTTTGCATCATGACTGCTACTGAGGTTATCACTGCCCTTGCCGAGCACCAGGCACTGACGAATGGCGCTTCCAAGTATGTCAATGGAGTCTCATCAAACGACTGTTCTGCGTCCCTGAAAGAGGCCAATGTTTCGGAAGGATCTGCCATCGTCCAGACCACCACTGATGAAAAAACAACATCCAACCCAAACCTCACACCGGATGCAGCGACTGTATCCGTACCCAGAGTGCCACCAAGCGGAGTTTGGGCTCCCGCAATCACATTCTTCGACCACAGCACCGACACGCTAGACACCGACTCCCAAGCGAAGTACTACAAGTATCTATCGAACAGCGGTCTTGCCGGGCTGGTCGTCCTGGGCACCAACGCTGAGACGTTTCTACTGACCCGCGAGGAGCGGAAGACACTGGTCGAAACGGCGCGTAAAGCATGCGGGCCGTCGTACCCCCTCATGGCCGGGGTTGGTGGGCACTCGACGAAGCAAGTCCTGGAATTCATCGTGGACGCCGCCGATGCAGGAGCAAACTACGTTTTACTGCTACCACCAGCGTACTTCGGCAAACAGACAACTCCGGCGGTAATCGACAGCTTCTTCAACGACGTTGCAAAGGAAAGCAGTCTGCCCATCGTGATCTACAACTTCCCGACCGTCTGCAACGGAATCGACCTCGACTCAGCGACCATCTCGCGCCTGGCCAAGACACACCCCAACATCGTCGGCGTGAAACTGACGTGCGGTGCCGTCGCGAAAATCACGCGTCTGTCCGCAGAGCTGCCCGCCGACCGCTTCGCCACGTTCGGCGGCCAGTCGGACTTCCTCATCGGCGGGCTCGCCGCCGGGTCCGCGGGGACTATTGCTGGCTTTGCGAACGTGTTTCCCAAGACGCTCGTGCGGATCTACGATCTGTACCAAGAGGGGAAGTTCAAGGAGGCGATGGACTTGCACAAGTTGGCTGCGCTGGCGGAACAGCCTTGCAAGGCGGGCATCGCGTCGGTCAAGTATGCTGCTGCGCTGAACACGGCCAAGGCGGCGGGGATTGACGGTGCGCTCGAGAAGTTGAGGCCGAGAAGGCCGTACGTCGAAGCGAGCGAGGCGGAGAAGGCGAATATTGAGACTCAGATTGCGGCACTGGTGGGCATTGAGGCATGTCTCTAGTTAGACTCTAGATGGAGAACTTGTAAGTCATGCATTAGTGGGTACGAGGTTTGCTATGCGGATCAGAAGATTCTGAACTAGAAAGTGATTGAAAGACGGGCATCGAGATAGATAAGGTGGCATCATAGAGACTCTCTAAACTTGCGAAAATTCACCTCAGGAACTAAGCCCCTTCCGCCCCTCTGTCGTCTCTTTGGTCAATCTGACATTGCAGATCTCTAGTCAGCCGGTCACTCTGCTTTCGCACCCCACACCTTTTCGAGGAATTCCTCGACCCGAGTAAATCGATGATCTGGGAATAATGCGCTCATCTCATCGGATACATCCCAAGCACCCTTGGTACTACTCAGTAGAATCCCAATGGACACAATTTTCAGCATCGCCGCGGCCTCGGCCGGGGAGACTGCGGCGTGCACCGCTTCAAGCGTCCATGACGTCTTGAGCTCTCCGGCTTCGAGGTCGGAGAGTTGAGCCTTCTCAACGATGAAGGGCTGCCCTAGATGTTATTGTGTCGGGTCAGTGTCTGGGAAATCTTCTCCCCTCTTCAACGAACTATTGGGTCCCCAGGCGACACTCTGGGAAGGAAAGAATGCTACATACCTCGAACTCTCCCTCCGATCTCAATGATCTGCGAGAAAGTGCACCGGTTGCCCCGGATCCCACCATATATAGGCCATTTCCCCTCATAGTCGACTGCTCGAGCAACAATGGCAGCCAGGTCTGCGGCCGTGGTCAGAGTCATGATGGCGTCTTCGTGACCAGCGACGACGATGGCTCGTTTGTTCTGGATGTCGAAGAAGGTTTGGAGTGGGTCGATGTACTTAGATGTCTTGTGCGGGAAGGCAAGGTAGTCTAGGAATATGCCGGGTTGGAATAATGTGTATTCAATGACCTGTTTTATGGTCAGAATGCGGCAAGCAGAGGCTCGATAGATGAGAGGGGAAACTTTACATTTTCTTTCTCGTTCACCTTCTGAAGATACTCCCTGATCTTCTCTTTTCCTTCCATGAATGGCATGTTGACCGTTTTCTTGCTTTATCCATGGTCAGCGTCGCGACGAGTTGTAGAGTGGTTCTGTCCACTATGTTTGGTAACTACCTTCCATATTCGCTTGGTGCGAATCGTTTCACACCAGCTACGATGGCCGCATCGATCAGATTCTTTTGTGCTTTTTGCTCGGGGTCCGACAGCAGCTGAATGAAAGACAGGAGCGTGTGGATTCCTTGAAGTGCCTCCACGAGGCTCTCTTTGTCGTTGTAATCCACAATGCGCCAGCTAACCTCCGATGGGATCTTGCTGCTGCTGCTGGGAGCTTTCTAGCCGGACGTTAGTATCTGATAGATTGGCCATGGAGCTAGTTCATGGATATTCCTCACATTCCTGCTCAGGATCGTAATCTCATGCTTCTTCGCTGCGACGAGGGCGTCAATCACTTCTCGAGACACTTCTGTAAAGCATATCAGCCCTTAATCCAGTGTAACTTTTGACAAAATTTGCTGCATACGGCCTGAGCCACCTGCTACAGCGATCTTTACCATCGTTATGCTTTTCAAAACATATCTCCCAACTTGGCAGATACTTGAATAAGGAAAGAGCTTACTGTGCCACAAACGCTCTTATGAAATGCAAAACCTAATGCCGATATATATGTGACTCCATATAGGCCGGGTGAGCCTTTCGCCCGCGGATCTGTAAAGGGAGAGGTGTCGGAATTCGTACCATATTGGCCAATTACGGAAAACGTCAACTTGGTGCAATTTGGCATTTGCAGTTTCGATATTGTTTGAATCCCGCGGAGTATAGAGTTTTTTGACGCCCCTTTATGTGGAGAGGTTGACCATGCTCCACACAAGGCTTCCAAGTGGTGGCCAACCTTTCTCCGCCGCGGCGGAGGAGTTCGCCTTCCGGCTCTCCAGGTTACAACTTATCACTTCACTTCCTAGTTAATCTGAGAGGGCGAAGATTATCTTGTCGTATTCTCAATTTGCCATTGCAGAAAGTTATATTACGCACCGCGGAGCTAGATCATGTAATCTGGACTTAGATTGTTGACCTCCGATATTTAGTCTCTTGGAAAGGCCGGCATCAGCTTTACGCTGCCAAGATGCAAGAGTGGTAGGATGGACATTTCAGTCAGGCACCATCCGTCCGATCCGCGACCATGGAAAGATCGGGCACTCCGAAAAGACGGAAGATCCGCAAAGGTACGCAAAGTTGCTGGGAATGCAAGCGACGTAAGATCCGATGTACCTTCAATGCCCCTACCGAGGCAATCTGCGATGGCTGCAGAAGTCGGCAGACCAGGTGCATCAGCCAGGAGTTCTGCGAGGAGAGAATACCGATAAGTAAAGAGGTCAACAGGCTCAACCAAGCGGAAGACTCGTTCGAGCAACCGCACAAGCGAAACATCAATGGCGAGGGCGATACGCAAACTGCGCAGATATATTCTCAAGAACCGCCTCGCAGAGCTGGCAGTGACAATGGCAACCGTAGAGAGGTGCTATCTCCTCGGCCTTTGCCACTGACTGATGTGAACCTGGAGAGGCAGGCCACCAGCAGCATCGACCAAATATCTGCGGCACTCACGGCGTTGTGGCCCAGTCAGCATGACCTTGATATCATCTTGAGTGTCCCGGTTGGAGTTTCAGTACTATATCACGGTGTGGTGTGCATCCCATACTCTACTTTCTTCGCCAAGCAGATACCTCCGCCACAGAACGAGCTTCAGCTACCTCCACCAGGGTCACATCCTGTCATCATAGCAAGGAAACTCCTGATGCTCAGTACCTTCTTACAAGCCATCCCGCCATGTTTTACAGAGAAGCTAGTCAAACTGACTTGTAACCACCGCATCCTGATGTCGAGTATCGTTGATATTGTTGGGAGACTGGTGACCAGCAATGACGAACTAGTCAACTCACTGGAGGGGATCGAGTGTATCATGGTCGAAAGTATGTACCGGAACAATGGCGGCAACCTTCGGCGTGCGTGGTTGACAAACCGAAGAGCGATGGCTATTTCGCAGATGATGGGACTCGATGCAGGAAATATTGCCATCCTTCCGAGTATGGTCCTTGAAGAGGACACTCGATCTCGCATCGACCCCAATCACATGTGGTTTCGTCTTGTCTGCTCAGATCGATATCTGTCGTTGGTCCTTGGACTTCCACAGTGCTCAGTGGAAAATGTGTTCGCTACTCCAAAGGCACTTAAGGGTTGTACTCCCTTGGAGCGTTTAGAACGCTTGGAGTCGTTCGCTGGTGGGCTTATTCTCCAACGCAACAGCGCCGAGCGGCCCAATCTTGCAGCAACCCAGAGAATTGATAAAGTACTCCAGGAAGCGGGGGCATTGATGTCGCCACAATGGTGGATGATGACTCCCGATCTTGCGGTGCTCGCCAGTAACACTGCAAAGGCTTTTGAAGAGACAACTCGCCTCACCTACCAATTCACACATAACAACCTCTTAGTACAGCTTCATCTGCCCTACATGTTACAACCACCTTCCACCTACCCAGATTACGAATACAACAAAATGACCGCGACAAACGCCAGTCGTACGATTCTGACACAATTTCTACACTTCCGTGGGTCTACTTCGTTTGTTTCGTACTGTCGTGGCATTGATTTCATTGTTTTCATTGCGAGTACGACGTTGTGTCTTGCACACATCGAAGCCCGACGTCAAAAAAGGCTCGTGGCTGGGGGTGGTCTTACTCCTTTCCAAACTCTTCAACACCAGCGGCAGAGCGATCGTGGCTTGTTGGAATGTGTCTTGGATACAATGAAAACAATGACCCAAATGAACAAAGATCCTGTTGCATCTGAGATCGCTAGAATCCTCCAACCGCTCTTAGATATCGAGTCGGATTCCGCCAAGGGCCAATATTACCAGACAAGTGCTTCATTAGGGACTGGTAAGCACGAGCCTAAAGGTAGTATATGTATGGAAGAGGTACAAAACCTACTCCGCATTCATATACCTCATTTCGGAACAATCAAGATAGAACGTCATCATCTCCCACAAAGTAACGAACAGGCGTGGTCGCTCTCTGGAGAGCGGCTGGAGCCTGTCTCTCAAATTGGCCGAATGAATCCTCCGATAATGATGGGCTCCGAAGCTGTAATGCAGAATAGAATGCAAAACCTCCCTCACCAGAGGGGAGATCACTCTGACAACTACTACCAATCAGACCAAGAAGAACTCGATGCTGGGCGCCCCAAAGATATTGACTGGCAAGCTGTGCTGTCAAATTTTGAACCAGCGTGTCTCCCACACCAATCCCAGACCGAATACACCGGCCAAAATCATTCGACTTTGGATACAACGAGTTGCACACAAAACATTGATTTCCTCGCCGACTTTGACCACAGCATAGAAGAATGGCCTTTGCAAAATGTCGATACTGCTCTGTTCAACAGCCTTCTCCAAGGCTGCGTGAACTCAAGTGAAGGAGGCTAATCAGGTCATTAAGATGAACAGAATAATTCAAATTTCACAACACGCCAATCGGTGATATGTTTGGTTTCATTTTCATTGCAACCATTATGATCTCAGCTCAGTCTAATTCTACTCGTTTCTCCTGACAGAATTCAATCCGAGATTTCGTGGCTATCATTTCGTCCAGAGACACATTGCCCGGAAAGTGCTTTACAAGCTCGTCCCGGCAGCAGAGTGGACGCTGTCTCCTTTCAGCGCTTTACAATACATGCTTGAACAAAGGGGACTTGTCTCCCATGTCAAACAACTCTTCCTCGGTATACTTGGTCTTGGCCTCCTCAGCGACCAGAGCCTTCCTTGCATTTGCGAACTTGTAGCTCCACTCCAATAAGAAGGCGACAACCATCCCAGAGGCGCCAAATGCCAAAGAGAGGCCGAAACCAGTATAGTACTTTGGCTTTTCACTCTCGAGGTACATAAAGCTGCCCACGATGCCGCCGACGTTGCCGACACAGTTCATCAGCGCAATACCGATGGCTCGTCGAGAAGATGGCGCGATGTTGTTTGCATTCCACGATGCAGCTGCGGCTTGGATGGGGTAGATGCCGACCACAGCCAGGACGACCGAGAAGTATGCAACGCCCTTCTTCGCTTGGAGCTCTCCATGCAGTGAAATAATGACTGAATAGGCAATGGTGACAATTCCCATGGGAATGACAACGAATGGCATTCGCCAGTAGAAGCGGTCAGAAAGTCGTGCAAATATGATGGCCGAGATAGCTGCCGCGACATAGGGAGGTGCAGATGTGAGCTGTGCGTTGGTGGAGCTGAATCCCATGGCCTTGGTGATGCTGGGCAGTGTGAACTTGGTACCTGTTATGCAGATTAGCTATTCATCCAGACATATTGTGGAAGCGGCAGGGAAAGGAGGGAGAGGCCTTACCATAAGAAAGAGCCGACTGGCAGATCAAGAAATAAGCCTGCACGTAAACCCTCCAGTTCGTGAGCACGATTCTGAGATCTCTCCACTTGAAGCCGGATTCCTCCTCACGGAATTTTCCTCCTTGCTTGATGAACATGGAAAGTTCCAGGTATTGGATCTCCTCGGGATCCAGCCAGCGTGTTGAGAGAGCCGGAGTGTCGATCAGGAGGAAGAAGCACGCAATGCCCAAGACCACGGTGGCAATGCCCTCGAGCAGGAAAATCCATCGCCATCCCTGATATCCGGCGACACCGTCCATTTGCGCGATCGCTGCAGCCAACAGGCCCGAAAAGGCTCCGGAGAGAGCGCTAGCGCAGTAGAAGTACGATATCCGCGTGGCGAGGTCCTTGGGCATGTACCAATAAGAACAGAGATATATGGCGCCAGGAAAGAAACCCGCTCTATCGCATCGCAAAAGTTCGATTAGTATAGAAACATCAAACCCTGGTTCTCGTGTAGGTGCTTAATGCGAGAAGGGGTGAAGACTCACTCAAAGATACCGAGAAGGACTCGCACAGCCATTATTCCCGAAAAGTTCTTGACGACGCCCGTCAACGTCATCACGATCCCCCAGCTCACAACCAGGATAGCGAGATATGTAGATGGCCGCTTGAATTTCTTGAGTAAGATGTTGCTCGGGATTTCGAAGAGAACGTAGGGGATGAAGACTTCAGAAGATGTTAGAACGCGTGCGAAAACTGCCAAGGATCCGGGGACCCGAGTCCTTGATCGTGCTCACAGATAGATAGAACAGTGTTGTACTGCACGCCAGTCATGTTTAGGTCTTCGATCATGCCCTCGATCTTCGCGTTGCCGATGTTCGCGCGATCGATATGCGCGGCCAGATACAATAGTGCGAGCATTGGGATGAGTCTGATATCGACCTTTGCGCAGAACGTGTTAGCATGAATGACGGCGAAATAAATTCCGGCCCTGCGAAGGAAGCACCACTGGCGGAGTAGCTCACCTTTCGAAAGATCCTCTTCCGCTTCTCTTCCGGGAAGTTTGTATAGAAGTCGGCATCTTCGGCGGTTAAGCCCAAGACGCGGAAGGTGTCGATCTCAATGATGTGAGGAATACCCTCGACATCGTTCTGCTTGCCTTCGATGAACTCGACCTCATCCTTTTGGAACGACTTTCTAGCAGCCATATCTTTTCTTTGAGAAGTGCTGGTGTGGACCTTGCAGCTTGCTTGCTTGCTTGCTGAGTTTGGTTCGAATCAAGCTCCAGAGGGTGAGGGGTTTCTCGCTCCTTATGTTTTCAGATTTACTGGTCCAGCTAGACGGCAGGTTGGCATTCATAAATAAGCAGTGGTCGCAGCGGAAAAGCCCTGCTCGGTCCTGCATGGCGTTGACAAGACTGGGCAGTAGCGTCATGGCAGTCCCCCCACGGGGCTCCCAGCCTGATCCAGTCCTTGCTTGAATGGCGGGGAATGCTGGGGTCCCTGTGTCTGGGCAACACGGAAAAGGAGCCTTGGCTGCTTCAATATGCTTATCCGCCCTGTTTAAGCGGAGGGGTAGCCTACTTTCCGGGACACCGTCCCGACGGTAAGCATCTTTCTCGATGTATGTGGTTCCGACGGGAAGCTGAACCTCGGATCAGGCAATCATTCACACCACCGTGCTAATCTTCCCCGCTTGGCGGCCCTCATATCGTGCAGATCACGCGGAAACCGTTATCCAAATGACGGAAAAACTTGATCAGATCCCGAGACTTTACTGCTTTGCCGAGCTGATGAGTTGATGCACACCAAGACAGGAATATTCATCGGCAATAGTGCTGCTTAAAAGGTAGGTGACAAAAATTCCCACTGATAGTGTTATTAGTTGTTCGGAGCGTCGCAGTGGACGGTTTCGGTGTGAAGGCAACATTCTCGAGTCTTGGAATTGACACTCGATGTCTAAGCATTTCCAAATTAAAGATGTCATTGTCACGCCGGTGGCATTTCATGACATGCCCTTGCTGAACACCGTTGGCGTGCATGAGCCGTTTGCACTGCGTAGCATCATTGAGATTGTGACGGAGGGTACGTATGGACTGGGTGAGTCGTACGGGGACTCCATACACTTGGGCCGACTGCAAAAGGTAGCCGATGAACTCAAAGGACTGTCAGTGTACGATACCAACTCCATATATAAAATATGCTCGGACTCTCTAGCAAGCGACACCAGCACTGGTGGAGATGGTATGGCCGGCATGGTCACGACTGCGTCTGCCACTGACAAAGTCTTCTCTCCATTCGAAGTTGCTTGCATTGATATTCAAGGGAAGCTAGCAGGCATTCCTGTGAGTGAATTGCTCGGCGGCCGGGTTAGAGACAGTGTCCAATACTCAGCATATCTCTTTTACAAATGGGGAGGTCACCCTGGCGAGCCGGATGATGAGTATGGCCCAGCACTTGATCCTGCGGGTGTGGTGAAACAAGCCCAGAAGATCATAGATGAGTATGGGTTCAAAGCAATCAAACTCAAGGGAGGAGTTTTCCCACCGGCTCAGGAGGTTGAAGCCATTAAAGCACTACATGCTGCATATCCAGGCGTGCCACTGAGGCTTGATCCAAATGCTGCATGGACAGTTGAGACTTCGAAATGGGTTGCAAAGGAGTTGGAAGGGATTGTCGAATACTTGGAGGATCCGGCTGGAGAGATCGAAGGGATGGCAGCCGTGGCCAAGGAAGCATCAATGCCCCTGGCTACGAATATGGCCGTGGTAGCCTTTGCTCATCTCCCACCCAGCATCTTGCAGAATGCTGTCCAGGTCGTCCTGTCTGATCACCATTTCTGGGGTGGCCTGCGGAAGTCTCAGACGCTGGCCGCTATCTGTGCAACTTGGGGAATGCGGTTGTCGATGCATTCAAACAGCCACCTGGGAATCTCCCTCGCTGCCATGACGCATCTTGCCTCTGCAACTGTGAACGTCGACTACGCCTGCGACACACATTGGCCGTGGAAGCGTCGCGATGAGGATGTTATTGTTGATGGGGCGTTGAAGTGGGCCGACGGTGGAGTGGTTGTGCCAACTGCGCCTGGTTTGGGGATTGAGCTCGATAGAGAGAAATTGGCAAAACTCCATCAACAGTATCTCGACTGTGGGCTTCGAAAGCGAGATGACACAACCTACATGAAGAAGTTTCAACCAGAATTTTCTGCTAGTATACCGAGATGGTGAGGTGGGGCTTTAGTGTGAGTGGTTCAAGGTTGATTCTTCCGCAGTTACAGTCTAGCGGGGAGCTGGTGGCGCTGGGAGTGTATGCGGTATAGACGCCCAATCTTGACTTAAGGCTCTCGGCCCCCAGAAGGTGGAGAGTTGAAGCATTGAAGCTACCTGGACCAGGGCAAGACCACCGTGAGGAGCATCAAGCGAGGAGGTGGCACAAGGCATGAAGGCTGAGGCGCAGATAGAGGACTGCGTCAAGAGCCTTGGGCCTGTCACGAGGGGAATTGAGGCATATAGTCGCACGGAAGACCAAGCCTTATCTGTCCAGTTCCGCAGAATATGATAAGAAGAATGATATATTTATGTCACAAGGAGTTGGGAGAACATTCATCGACTTCCAGAGTCACCCCGTTGACGCCATCCAGGCACAAGGTTGACTCCCTATAATAATCGTAATCAGTACTGTATCAACCCAATAGGCACCACAAGGCTCCAGCCAGCCATATCAAAGACCTTGAGGCATGTACACGGGCGGCTTTCCTACCGACACCGTTCGCCTCCGATCCATTTCCTGCGACGTGCCCGGTGACGAGAGCATCCGCAACGGGCGTCAAAGCGCCGGCTAGGATGACAATCCCCAGAGACTTTTGTACCGTTGAACTTGCAACCGCCGACGTCCGACAGTATGGTGAGAACTGCCAGAATGCTGTAAGACCCAGGATCGACAGACCTGTGGAGAAATTTCGAATGCCGTGGGCGTAGATGTATGCAACGTGATGCAAGATATTATTTGGCTGTGACTGATCCGCAAGAACTGATTCTTTGGTGCTGTGCTTGGTTTCGTGGACAGTCTGGCTTAGCATTGGAAGGTCGACGCCATACACGCGAGCAGCCTGGACTGGTGATAAGAAGCTGTAGATGCCTACAATGAAGCCGCCACTACCAATGAGGGCTGTCAATGTAGGAAGAGCCCATGTTGGAGGTTGGAACGGCGACATTACCAAAGTTACACACCTCAGTGCTGCAGCAGTATATAGCGTCTCTGAAGATGTTTATCCTTGTCCTCCCTATGTGATGGTCGATTGAAGTCGAAGCAAAACTCAGGCTGATTTGGCTAGAGCATCCTCGAGAAGAAGATGGAGAGACGTGGTTTAGGGTGGAGTCTAACGTCACTCATGCACCGCTGGAGCCTACTTCGCAGCCTGAGCAGCCCGCCCGGAATGCTCGCCTCGGAATGAGGCTTACCTCATATTTCTGAATTTTTGGTCCCATTACTTATCCGAAATCAGAGATTGAATCCCGTCGCCTTCGATTTCCGTCTCTAGATTCCTCTCAACCAGAGTATTCAATCATGGTACATTTAGAGTATCCTTACCAAGAAAGGCCGCTTTAAGGCAGCCTGCCAAGCCGCCCGCATGCCTTGGCATTGACGGTTAAGGCGGCATCATCCACGATCCCGATCTGGGTAATGGGCCATCAAACGTCACTCAGTTTGGCAAAAATTCAAGTTGCTACTTTTGGTGACGGATGTAACTAAATAGTCACATTTCTTTGGTCACACTCGTTTTGGCACACTGCCCAGTGAATCCGAGCCAATCTAGCAGGAGATCCCACTGTGCTTCCGGTGTTGTGCATTTGGGTGTCTTTGACGCCACCAAGTCCACACAAGTCATGGCCGAAAATTCTACACAGGAGGCTCAGGTGAAAGTCACTGATGATGTCAACTCCCATCAGTCAACCATGCCACCTCAATCAACTGCAATTAAGCGCAAAGCAGAAGAAGAAGAACCTTCCAGCCAGTTGCGGGATAATAGGAATGACAAGCGACGAAGAGGAGCTGCTCCGGTCAAAGAGGAATTCTTGATCAAATCTGATGACACAGTCCAGTCCTTGTCGCCTCAAGATGAAGCTGACGATGATGCCGCCGAGGCTTTCCATCACCAGGATCGTCAGCCCACAGGTCAGAACGCAAAGGGCAAGCGTCGTCAAAACAAGGCTGGTCAGAACAAGGCACGTGACTACGGTAGTTCAAGGGATGCCATTGGCCTGTGTTCATCCAGGACTCTCAAACCTGAGTTCTCACCAGATCCTTGTCGCTTCGAAGAAAAGTGTAAATTTGCGCATGACATACGAGAGTACCTGCAACAGAAAAGAGAGGATCTCACGACTTTCAATGGTTCGTGCCCAGTGTGGGAGACGAAAGGTCGTTGTCCAGCTGGGTGGAAATGTCGATTTGTGGGCTCCCACTCCAAAGAAATTGAACACGAAGATGGTCGCAAAGAGCTTGTACTCGTTGAGGATCCCGCCAAGATTGCAATTTATGCCCGAACCTCAGAGGAGGAGGATGAAGTTGGTGTCACGAACACGCTCAGCTATCAACAGCGAATGACGTTGGCGAAACGACAGATAGAAACACCTAAATCGCAATCGTTCTTGGATTGGCTAGAACGCACCACGCAAAACCCAGCAGATCAAGACCGAAGACAAGGCAGGACAAACGGGTCACTTCGCAATTCCTCGTCACCAGAGCCAGAAAACGGAGACGCCTCCAAGGAGTTACGTAAGGCCGATTCAAGAGCATCTTTTACGGATTCGCCCTTGAGACCCTCAGAGAAGCGAAAGTTGTATTTTGGTGCTGAGACACCCATTATGGCACCATTGACAACACAAGGCAACCTCCCCTACCGGCGACTGTGCACATCACTAGGGGCCACGTTCACATACTCGGAGATGGCCATGTCTTTGCCACTTTTGCAGGGGCAGAAATCTGAATGGGCCCTGATGAAGACACATGAAGCAGACGTGCTGCCACCCACCTTCACCGCCAAGGGAAATATTGTGTATGACTATGATCAGAGTCGAGACATTAGTTTTGGTGCGCAGATTGCAGCCAACAAGCCTTGGATTGCTGTCAAGACCACAGAGGTGCTAACGGCAATGCTTCCAAAGGGGTTGAGAGTAGTTGACCTGAATGTCGGCTGTCCAATTGACCTTGTGTATCGAGAAGGAGCTGGCTCAGCATTGATGGATGCACCTCAAAAGTTGGATAAGATGCTTCGAGGCATGAGCTTGGTTTCTGGCGAGACCCCTGTAACGGTGAAGATCCGCATGGGTACGAAGGATAAGCAGCCTACGGCACAAAAGTTGGTGGACCGGCTTGTTCTTGGAAGCCCCCAAAATCGGGGCGATCCCTGCGGCGTGGCAGCAATCACTCTTCATGGACGTTCAAGACAACAACGATACACTCGGTCAGCAGACTGGGAATACATTGCAGACACAGCGGCATTGATCAAGAGCTTAAACGAGAAATCCGATGCATTTGCCGATACCGTCGGCGAGGTTGATGAGCGAGACTTATCGAACGGCTCCCAGACAGCGAAGAATGGCAAAGTCTTCTTTCTTGGGAACGGTGATGTGTTCTCCCATGAACACTACTACGAGCACTGCGCACATGCAGGAGTGGATGGGGTCATGGCTGGGCGAGGGGCACTGATCAAGCCATGGCTTTTCGAGGAAATACAAGCTGGCCAATATCTCGACAAATCATCCTCGGAGCGACTTTCAATCATCGAACGGTTCTGCAGATACGGGTTGGAAGCATGGGGAAGTGACGAGATCGGGGTGGGACAGACTCGGCGTTTCCTATTGGAATGGCTTAGTTTCGCGTGTCGCTACGTGCCGATAGGACTGCTGGAATATCTCCCACCGAACATCCAGGATCGACCACCACGGTTCCGAGGCCGCGATGAATTGGAGACTCTGATGGCAAGTGACAATTATCAGGATTGGATCCAAATCAGGTAAGTACTGGCGAAGGGTATTACGTTGGGGGAGAAGAACGTTTTCTAACAGCTGCATAAAAAAACAGTGAAATGTTCCTCGGCAAAGCACACAAAGACTTCCGCTTCCAACCCAAGCACAAGTCCAACAGTTACGAGATTCAGGCCGAGGGATGAATGCTTCTTGACAGGAGATGGGGACATGCACATGCCACGTGTCAATTATCGAACCAAACCGAATGTGTCGACGAGCAAATGACTGAATAGACCTGGTTCTAGCCACGGCAATCCAGAGATTACATGGTTTCAAGGCATTCATTAGCAGTCAGCATGGTGTAGCGTCTGGCAGACTTCTTCTATAAATATCAATCCTTCCTGGCGCATGAAATCGATAATCCTTGTTCAAACCGCGATACGCCTCCCCAGCCCCCATATCAGACACGCTCGGCTCCCGCAGGCCCTTGGCACCAGCACCTTGGGCTCGTGTTTTTCGGCTGTAGCAGACTAGCAGTACTCCGTACTCGGTACTCTGTTCGGAGCACAACTTCGTAGGCGGGCGCGGCGCCTATCCGTACGAGCTTACCGACTATTGATAATTGAGCCTTGAATAAGGAAAAGGAAGGGATCTTGCCGAGTGCCTCGTACTGAGGGCATCCACATCTCTCGTCCCTCGTGTCTCCCAAGCTTCTTACCCGAATCCGGCGGCTTGGTGTAAGCTACTACTACCAGTCTACTAAGTGAATTATCTACTCCGTCCTCTGCAAGCCTGCGTAGTGAGTGTATCACCCCGTGGATCAGAATCCTGTTGCTCGTTCTGCTGGCCTTGACCTACAGAAGCCAGCCACCCACAATACACGGACCGAGCCAGGTTGGGAAGTCGGAACCTCCGCAACCCTGAGATCCTTCTCTCTGGCCATCTGACCACCGGGGCACCTGAGACTTTGACGAATTGCCTGATTCCTGCGTAAGCGTTGATAAAGCCGTGGGCGGTCTCTTGCAAGCCTCGTCTCGCGATCAAAAACTACGACCTTTTTATGCATACGCGTATGGTGGTGCTCTTTTGCTTGGTAACAATACAACCTGAAATTCAATCACGATGTCTCAACACGACGTGATAGCCAGTCTGGCATCGCTCCCCTCGCCCATTCCCGAACCACCGCCAGGTCAAGTCTTCACGTCAGAGCAATGGGATGTACTATTTTCCATCATGGAGGTATTCTTTCCCGAGCTCTCGACGGCGGCTCAAGATGCAGACTCATCCATCTCCACCGCTCAACTGGATGAGGCAATGGCCGAGCTCAGGCGCTACCTTCCAGAAGGAGCATCTGACGAGGTCGCAAAGAGATATCTCTCTGAACGGACTGTCTCTGACCCTGCATTCATTGCAGCTCTCAAGCGCAAGCTCAGTCTCTATGTGCCCAAATCAGATACACAGGGACTAGGCTTCGTCTTCAGCGCCCTCAACACCCACGCAGGATCTTATCTGCTGACTGGATACACCACCCCTATACATTTACAGCCACTGGCTAAACGCACGGAAATCGTCTGCGGTTGGGCGACCGCTCGTCTCCCAGTTTTCCGCAAAATCCATCGTTCCATGGGCAGCCTTGCCAAGATCACATGGGTCAACACGTCCACCGCTCTCCTTCGAATGGTCGATTATCCCGATGTTCCCAAACATATCGAGCGGAATCCAAGCTATGACTACAAATTTCATGACTTCACCTCTTCATCTGCGCCGACCACGGTCTCAGCGGACGTAATCATCATCGGCTCTGGCTGTGGCGCCGGCGTCGCAGCGTCACACCTCTCCCGAGCTGGTCTCAACGTCCTGGTGCTGGAACGCGCGTATCATTTCCCGTCCACACACTTTCCCATGCGATCGCAGGATGCAGGAGAGCATCTGTTCCTCAATGGTGGTGTGATCGCTTCCGACGATGGTTCAACGGGTATCATCGCAGGCAGCACGTTCGGTGGCGGAGGCACAGTCAACTGGTCCGCATCCCTACAGCCCCAGCATAGCGTCAGGAAAGAATGGGCCGACATGGGTCTTCCTCATTTCCTCGGCACCGAGTTCCAAGACTGTCTTGACACGGTATGCAGCCGGATGGGCGCCGCGCGAGCCAACGACCGTGCAGCACTGAGCAAAGTCGAACTTAACTTCGCCAACGCCACCTTATTAGAAGGTGCCCGCCGCTTGGGCATGCACGGCCACATCGTGCCGCAGAACACGGCCTCGAAGCGGCACTTCTGCGGCTCTTGTATCTACGGGTGTGCAAGTACCGACAAACAAGGTCCCGCGAACTGCTGGTTCCCAGATGCTGCCGCACACGGAACCGGGTTCGTTGAAGGCTGTCTCGTGGATGAGATCACTTTCGCGAGCGACCGGACCACCGCTACAGGCGTCAAGGCGATATGGACATCTCGCGATCGCAAGACCACACGAACGCTGAACATCACGGCGAAGCGAGTCATCGTCGCCGCCGGCGCTTTGCATTCCCCATTGGTGCTGCTGCGCAGTGGGCTGACAAATCCACAAATCGGGGCCAATCTTTACCTCCACCCGACCACCACGACCTGGGGCGTGTGGAAGCAAAGAACCGACCCATGGGACGGACCGATTCTGACCACGGCTGTGGACGCCCTCGAAGACCAAGACGGGCGACACCCCGGCGGTGTCAAGCTCGAAGTCACCTGCTCACACCCTGGAATCGGCCTACTCACATACCCATGGCGCGCGGCCGAGACACTCAACGCCGACAAGGGCGGCAAAGGCAACCTGCATTCCGCGCTACGCTTCAAAATCAACGCAGCCAAGCATGGACACGGGACAGGATTCCTCGCCCTGACGCGCGACCAGGACCCCGGCCGGGTATACATCGACCCGAAAGACCCGATGCGACAAACCCTGCGCGTGGCATACACGACCTCAGCACGCGACCGGGCCAAAATCCTCGAAGGCACGCTGGCCAACGCACGCATCATGTTCATCATGGGCGCACTGGAGATCGACACGGGGAACACTTCGACGCGCCGCTGGGTGCGGCCCAGCGCGCGCGACGCGGCCAAGACGGCGCAGGACGACGAGGCTGAGTTCGAGGCATGGTTGGCCGAGATCAAGACCGCTGGCGTGACGAGTCCGGATCCGATGACAATGGGCTCCGCGCATCAGATGGGCACGTGTCGGATGAGCAGTGGGCCGAAGACGGGCGTGGTTGACTCACTGGGGAGAGTGTGGGGCTCGAAGGCGTTGTATGTGGCCGATGCGAGTTGCTTCCCGACCGCGAGTGGTGTCAATCCCATGGTTACGACTATGGCGATCGCTGAGTGGGTGAGTAGAGGGATTGTGCGCGAGTTGGGTCCGACTTGAGAGCGAGGGCCGTGTGGTTGAGGGACGTTGTACATGTTCTGGATCGTGGAGAAGGGAAGAGAAGAGAGGCGAGGCGAGGAGGTATTGGTCAATCTAACATTCCGAGCTTATGACGGGGCACGCAACGGGCAGACTGTAGTGCGAGGCATCAGCGCAGCTTTGCTTTGGGATGGAGTGTATTATCCACGGTCGCCACTCTGACGGACCAGGGAAGAGAGGGGGAATTGGAAGAGTAGAGTCGACAGAGGACTTCGGTTCCGTTATGTTCGACAAGAGCCCGCCTATCTGTCAATTCCCTTCTTATACATCCAGAGAGTTCTTCATCGGTCCCAAGGACCGCTTTTGACGGGTTCGTTCAGCTTGCATTCGTGTGGCTTATCCAACACCCAGATTCAATCCAAACCAGTCCAAGCCGTAGCTTAGTCAGCCGTGTAAAACTATTCATGTTGCCTGCACTGTTCACTATGCCCAACAGACACTTGGAGGCCTCCAAGGGTCCAAAGTGAGACAACAGCCAGCGACTACCGCCTGTCCGTCGATTCAATCAGCTCCAAGCAGAAGGAGAGGAAAATCAAACAACCTGCTCAGCATTTATTTCAAGAAGGGAATTTTCGTTATCATAAAGGCGCTCGCTCACAGTGCCTGTAAGTAGTGGATTTCAACTTGTGAAGCTCGTCACACATCCAAGTCATCGCTAAACCCTTTCATCATCTCCCAGGTCCAGACGTCTTTTTGGCGACCCCAATCTTTGTCCTCGACACCTTATCGGCGAACTTCAAGCTCGTGATAGTCTCACTAAGACATTTCTTCTCTGGGGCAACCATGACAAACATGAGGGTTTTGCTGTTTCCTCCAAGACTGAACTGGAGAAGATAGGTGAGCTTGCTGTTGCGGTACGGTATATGAGATCCAGCGGAGGATGAGCTTGTCGATGTGGCGCCATTGACACTGTCTCGCGGGTTGAATGCGCCGGCCGCCTGTTGCTGACCAAGAGCTCCAATCACATCGCCGAGGCAGGAGAGCGACTTGTTGATATTCTGGGTTTCCTTCAATCTGGCACCTTCAACCTTCGAGTGAGAGAGCCGTTCTGATCCTGCAAGATCAACCAGATTCAGGGTTCCCTTGCTCTTCTGGCCGGTAATTGAATTATAACCTGCAAGTTTAAGAATGAAGACAGAGTGACTTCGACTGCTTCGTTCGTTGGCTTTCGTGGCCGCGACCGACCTTCTCGACATTGCTTGGGCCAGGATCCCTTCCACCTGCTCCTGGCTGTCGAGGTTCAGTGTGGTGACATCCGTAATGGTTGTCTCACACGAAGCCATATCATGTCGAATTTCGTGCTTCTTGTTTGCTCTATCGTTCTCTCCTTCTTTGCCCAGGAGATCGCGCAATTCTTCGTTATAGACTTCGACAAAGCTGCCCTCCATGGTGTACTTCCAGCCTCTGTTTTCGAGTTCTTTACTCGTACTGTAAATCTGGCGCAGTGCCTGGGGAATCATTCCATCGTCTGAAGACATTGTGTAGGTCTTGCCAGAGCCGGTCTGACCATATGCAAAGATGCATACGTTATAGCCATCGAGTGCCGATTGGATGAGTTGACTGATTTCCTCGAAGATTTCAGCATTGTTCGAAGTGGTGTCGAAGACACGGTCAAACGAGAATTGATGTGTTTTGGTCGTGACTTTTCCGAGACTGTTCGTTTCCTCCGGACCTTTGACTTCGATGTCAGTCGGCTCGTCGTCGGCTTCCGGTACGGTTATTTTTGCTGGCTCTTCCGCCTCATCGCCTGTGATAGGCCGCACGCGGCAGAAAACTCTGATGTTACCTTTTAGTTCTTGCACTTGATTGTGCAGTTTTCGTCGCAGCATTTCTTCCTTCCTAAGTTTGTCTTCACACTCTCGTGCCTTCTCGATCGCGGCGTTCATTCTTCTCTCCATCGTCGCATATGATTCTGACTGCGATTTGCTGTCCGACTCGAGATACTCCACTTTCGCCTGCAGTGCTTGTCTGGCGCTCTCCATATTGGCGGCATTTAAACCCGCATTCGACAGGCTTGTCCGCAAATCATCATTGAGGAGTTTCTCTCTTTCCAGGTCCGCTTGGAGCCTGTCAACCTCCGTCTTCATGGACTTTATCTCTTGAGCCTTGATCTCGAGGTCCATTTGATATTGTTGTTTTTCAACAATACCTCGGGTTGAAGCTTGTGCAAGAGCCTCCATCCGTTGGCTTCGCTCTTTGTCAATGTCCTCATCAAGACGCCTCCTCAACTCTCGTAATTCCTCACGATGATCTGCTTTGAGACGATCCAGATCATCTCGATGAGACTGTCGATGACTTTCTATTTCAACCCGGTGATGACTTTTGAGTTCTTCAATCTCAATTTCCAGATCGCGCTTGTCTTCTTGTCCAGCTCGTTCGGTGGCTTCGAGGCGATATTTTGTGGTTTCTAGTTCGCACCTCAACTCGATGATGGATTCGGTCGTGGATTTACGTTGTTCTTCGAGACTCACGATAGCATCTTTGTATGTGTTGTTTACCTGTTTAGCTTCTATATTTTCGTCCATTGCCTGCTTGTAGTGCTTGCAGACATCCTCGTACATTCGCTCCATGTTGCCATACTGTTCCTCGGGATCCCATGATTCTAAAGTTGAGAATTTAGTCAGAAAACGATTCGCTTGGCTCTTTTGAGGTGATTGGGTTTTGACTTTAGGAAACTTTGGGGGTACAAATATCACAGGAGCAGTTGTACTGGCATGAGGAGAAGGCAGAGGGATCTTGGCAGGGCTTCCGGGTTGCTTTCGGTGCGGCCGGGGAGTCTCTGGACGCAGTGACATCCCTGCCAACCTCGCGGTGATGGAAGACGTACTACTATCCCTTTGTAGTTTGCTCAGCAAAGGGGATCGCTGGGCCTCTGCTGGGGATATCCGATTGTCCTTCTTGGGAACATGCACAGATCCGGTCCTCTTTGAGGCAAGAGAAACAGCACGAATCGGGGGAATGGGTATCATACGTTTGGGTCCTTCTTGTACTCCTCCACGGGTTCCTAAGGCGGTGGCGGGTCTCGAGCCAGCCTGCTTCCCTCTATCTCTTGCGAATGATGATTTTGGTCGTGCCAGGCTCGTCGCTGTGGGCGGTCGTACACCACTGCCTACGCTTGAAGAAAAGAAGTTGGGGGCGGTTGCTGCGGATACACTTTTGGAGAAATTGATGTTGGTTCGGCTTGACTGCGATGATGGATTGCGCGAGAGGCTGCCAGATGGCGCGGCGGGAATGGTTGACGTATAGGACTTTGGGATGGGGAGGACAGATTTCGCCGGTTCGCCAGCGCGCTCTATCAGTGTTTTCCTCTTTGCGGCAGGTTCTGGTACTATTGCTCGTGAGTGTCATTGCCCGTCTGTGCCGAGATATACTAACAGTTCGATCCTTGACGTTTGTGGCCGGTCATGGTAGGAGGAGGCATAACAATTCGAGAGTTCGTTGCCGAGGAACTCATCTCGACAAGGTGTTTCTGTGGAGAGGGGATGCCGTGTCGAGCAGGCTGAGGCAGTTGCGATACAAACTGTTGATGCATGTCAATCTGGGGGTGTCGGGTGTACTCAGACGTGGTGGTCATACATTCTCTGTATCGGCCATTGTGAGGCAATGTCGGTATCTCCTGTCATACAACTTTGCAGTCCTATGGAGACTCGACGGCCATAACTGGTAGAGGGTGGATCGATACAAGACAGTGAAGTGGTTGGTAAGACGATGATGGGAGGCATAAGCCATCGTCCAGAAGGGTTGTGAAAACATTGTTCCTATTTGGGGTTAGCCGAGTTATGGCTTGGCAACGGGAGCGCATCGGGGGCGCGGCGCCATCACGTGCTAGTCAGGGAATACTGGGACAAGGCGAGGGACTCCTCGAGAACTCCTCCGCTACCATCATCAAACTTGGGCCTGTGGACAATACTAGAATGGTGTCGCAAGATCTTGTGACGCCGATTGCGATCTTTGTTGAAAATAGCCATTTGATGTGAGAGCTCGCACTTTTATCGGCGCAATCAGACATTTGTTGTTGTGGCTGCGCACAAAGCCCAAGCGGACAGCTGCCATTGATACTCTTGTTGCCCCTATTCTGTGCGACCTGGGCGCTGTGGCCTCATCGAATGCCCATTTTCCCACCTTTGTGCTTGAAACACAGCTGAGGCAGAGCAAGTCGATGAATGAATATTTCCACCATGATGCTGGACCATGTCCCTAACACTCAAGCCGAGGAGGACCCTTCCCATAGACTGAGCGGTCACTCCACCGGGTATGGCCTTATATAATCACCTGACATTTTCACCACCACTCCAGTTGCTGCCAACCCGGCGTAATGGACCACTTGATCCCTTTGTCATACTGCCGTCTTACCAGTTCGAAACATCCTTCTTGTCTGGATCCACAGCTTGCTTCCCTTCTCCTTCTTTGATAACCCGATCCAGGACCTTGACCAGTCCTTCAACTTCCTCAACGGTGTTGTAATGGAGCAGAGAGCATCTCACTATCCCATCGTCAGGATCAGGTACTCCCAGGACCTCTTCAATCAACCGCTTGCTGTAGAAGTGCCCAGCGCGACAACCGTACGGCGATCTTGCCTCGATTGCATCAGTAATCCCAAATGAGCTCCTCCCTTTGACCCTGAAGCTAATCACAGGTACACGGAGATTCCTGTCCGACGATGGCTCGCCATATATCTTGATCTGACCAGGCTTCGAGCGCAGGTAAGCGAGCAAGACCTCCTGGATCCTCTCTTCTTGGACATGGATTGTATCCCAGCCGACTTGATCGAGATAAGAGACGATGTGGGGGACGGACTGGACCGATTCGTAATTCCCAGCAGCCAGGCCTAGAAGTTCCTCCAGTGTGTCACCGTGTTTGAAATAATGACCTAGGCTTTCTATCGCCTTCTGCCCCCTCTCACTAACATACGCCAGCGCAATATGGGGGCCGTACACTTTGTACCAGGAGAAAGAGTAGAAGTCTACGCCGAAGGCCTTGACATCGACCGCGGCATGAGGCGCATATGCTACAGCGTCCACCGCGAACAAAGTATCAGGGTTGTTCTCACGAATCACCTTAGACAAAGCTGCCACGTCAGTAACTGTGCCGAGGATATTCGAAGTGTGTGTGCAGGCGACTAGCCTTGTCTTTGGACTGAGTAATTTCTTCAAGTCGTCGGGCTCCAACTTTGGGTTGGAGTTTGTGTTCTTAGATGGAACCCACCACTTTACGGTGATGCCCTTCCACTTCGCCACCTGAACCCATGCAGCTATATTGGCTTCATGATCAAGCTTTGATAAGACAAACTCTGAGTCAGGCTCAACCTTCAATGCGGTGGCCAGGTTGCGGAACAGCTGGGTTGTGGATGCGCCGAACACGATGTCTTTGGGGCTCGCATTGACATATCTTGCCGCTGCGATGTATCCGTCATCGAACTTGCTTGTGGAAGTCTGAGAAACTGGGTATGAAGCCCCAAGCTGGACGTTTGTTTTGGTGAGATAATCGGTGATGGCCGTGATCACCGACTGCAGAACTTGAGCACCACCAGCATTGTCCATGAAAACCTGCTTCTGTGCAAGGGCGGGGAACTGGGCCCGAACCGCCTGCTCATCAAATGCTGAAGATGCCATCTTGAGGGTGCTAGTACCCAGGAAACTCAAATGTGTAGACGACGCGGCGACGACACCAAATCCCTTTTAGTCTGCCTATTCACTCTGGCGAGAAAATCCCCCCTGAAGAGATGGAATAATTGAGAAGAAGTAGGCCATGATGCCATGGACTCCTGCTCTGCGCCTTTCCGGTCGACAGAAGAGGAAGGTGGGCAAGTCCGTCGTTGCGTGGCGGGTTGCGTGTATTCAATATGCGTTGCTGGTCGGTAAACTAAACAGACGTCAGCGTTGCAATATTCGAGATCCGGAGCACGCCTCGCAAGTTGGACCCCTACCTGGAAGGCCGGGTCAATTGAGGAGGACTTGCTATCCTGAGCATCTCCTGTTTCTTGACTGAAGGTTCTAACGTCCTTGGCTTGGGCCGTGCAGCCAACGGCAAACATACGCCGTTACGTCGGCCAACTTTGTTTCCAGTTGAGCGACCGGGCGCATTACATATTCAGTGTGCTGTCTCCACCAACTGTCCTAAATGGACAACAATATGATATTGCGTGAGGCACAATTTGCTCGTGCATCGCAATGCAAGGCCTCGTGGTGACAGACCTCTTGCACTGGGCCCCAAATCCCTCGTGGACTTCACTGACTTGAAGAGAAGCCTCTCCCTCCACAAGGGAGACGAGGATCGCAAAAATCACCTCGGCGATTTTCAACGCACCGCCGCTGACAAAGCGAGCGGCTCCCTCCTGGCACACGTTCAAGGTCTTGTCACTTGTCACCCATCACTGGGTTCAGGGACACTATCACGAACGAGAGTCTATCTTCCAGACATGGAGATGCAGCCGCTTCTATCAGGTAAGCCACTGCTTTGGCATGGAGGAGGACAAACCACCTGAGAACGAATGCCAATGAGGTATAAATTCCGATCTCTGCACGAGCATCATATTGCAAGAAAGCAGCGAGGCCACACTACAACCTCTTTGTCCTATTGGTCCTACTCCCTTACCGCTTATCCCTCCTCTTCCTCCTCTCCGAGGTGCCACAAACAAGCCACAACAATGGCCACCCCGTCCCAACTCTTCAACCCAGTGGCCCAAACAACACTACTGGTAACTATCTACATTTCACCAACGGACCTCCCAGCCTTCCTGACCGCAATGCGACCATGCTGGCAAGCATGCTCACGCGAGCCGGAATGCATCTTCTTCGACGTGCACCACTCAGCGAGCGAACCTGGGACGATTCAACTCGTGGAGGTCTGGACAAAGGATGAAAAGTGGTTTCAGGAGCATCAGTTGACCAAGAGCTACTATGAGCCGTACCTAAAGATCACGGAGCCAATGTGGGTCAAGCCTCGGAAGATGGAGTACTTTGAGCGGTTGGGTGGGTGGTGTTATGTGGATGGGAAGTACTTGGAGGGTGTGCAGGTGACGTGAGGATGGGCGGGCACGAGGCAGGTCAACTGATTCACCTTTCGGGGCCTTGTTCAGGCGTGTTGCATCATCTTGGCCCAATTTCCAGCATTGATGATTGATGATGGCCGTTTGATGTCAGTGCTTGTCCAGCGTGAACTGTCTTGTTGTGCTGCAGCCTTGCCCAGCCTTCACAGCTGTCCAGACTCGGTCCCTGCACGGAATTCAGGTGTTAACAAGTCATGGCCTTGGGCCAAATGAATATACTACAAGATAACCACGCGAGACCATGACAGCCTCTGTGAAGACTTCTTGTATTTGAAATGGGCTGGGAGCTCGTCGGCTTACAGTTTGTTCCTCATCATTTTATTTTACTTCTTTCTCAGTCTGGTACTGACTTCACCGAGCGAATCACCCACCAAACAGGACCTCCAAATCATAAGGCGGGAGCAAACCTCTGCATCACCTCCCTCAATTTAAGCCTCAAAACTTCCTTACGCTCCTCGCTGCACCAGCTTCCCTCTATCGCGTTCCAACTTATCGTCGACCACTCCACCGCACTGAGAGCAAATGCATTCTGCACCGCGCAGAAATTATCCAGAATATATCCGCCGAAGTAAGCCGGGTCGTCGCTGTTAATGCTGAATTTCACGCCGTTCTGCAGGTAGACTTTGATGGGCAGCTCAGCGACCGATTTGACACATCGCAGCTCCACGTTCGACAGGGGACACATCGTCACCAGGATGTCCTTTTGCGCGAATTCCACCATGACGGCTGGGTCATCGGGGAGCTTGATCCCGTGGTCCACGCGTGTGATGTGCAGGTCATGCAGAGCTGAGGCCATGTAGTCGACGCCGCCCTCCTCGCCGGCGTGCGCGGTGAGTTTGAAGCCGCGTTTCTCCGCATCGCCGAAGGTCTCCTTGTACAGGAACGGCATGTTTCCCAGCTCTGTGCTCGATAGCCCTAGACCTCGGATCACACCGGTTTCGAGGTCCGGAATTGCCTCGCGGTACATCATCTCGCCGTCTTGGACTGGCAGATGCCGTAGAATACACACGATGAGTTCGGATGAGATCTCGAAGTCGGCTTCCGCCCGCTTTTGGGCTTTCTTGAAGCCTTTGACAACGGTGCCATGCGCGACACCCCGTTCCGTATGCGCTTGTGGGTCGAAGAAGACTTCCGCGTGCAGGACACCGTCGGCATGAGCGCGACTGAAATACTCATAGGCAAGAGCCTCGAAATCTGCAGCCGTGATCAGGACTGACATCCCGATAAAGTAGTAGTGGAGAAAGTCATCGAGGGAGGTGAATTTGCGATACCGTTGGAGGAGTGTCTCTGGGGAGGCAAAGGCAGCATCTTCGGAGGAGGGCAGTGTGATGTTGTTGCGTTGTGCGAGGGTGAAGAGCAACTCTGGGGTGAGTGAACCTAGGCATAGTATAGAGTTAGTATGCCTTGTGTAGATCGTACAGACGAGTACAAGTAGCTGTTGAGCTCAAGGCTCGCATTTAAAGAAGATTGCTAGTTAGTGCATTCACGTAGGTGGCAAGTAACGTTTCCCCCTTCCTTCTCATTCCTTTATCCCCATATCTGAGCAGCAAAGATGGCTGTGACCGCTCAACAGGACATTTGCGTGTTCCCTTGGCATCTCAAGGGACGGACTGACGAACTTACCTTCCAAATGCATATGATGCTCGCACTTTGGCAGGGCCTCGAGGAACTGGTGCATGGATCCTTGACACATATTCGAAATTGCCAGAGCCAGACTATTGCCGCCTAGTCTGTGCTTATTCCAATGCTGCCAGAGATCCGGTCAAAGCACCTAGCAACTTCTGCGGTGTATGCGGTAAGTTTCTAACTGAAGTTTGGTGAAAAGGTGTTTCTGATGGAGAACAACTCATGCCCCTTGCTCTGAGTAGGCTTTTGTTGATATATAGAACGCAGAGGCAAAGAGATAACAACCACCGATAGGAGCCACAGGTAACTTTTGCTCAAAAGTCTGTTTGCTGACTCATCAGCCGCCATGTTCTATCTCGGGTGTCTCTGGATGCCTCCCTCCGAACGATTGGGAATTGTCGATGAACGACAGGGATTTTAACTCTAGCATTCTGGGCTTCTAACGATATCCCCCCCCTGTTTTAGGTCCAAGGGCTGTAACAAGTGCTCGATGCTTTGCTGTTGGTTCAATCTGTCCCACTCGATGATGTAGATATAGAATTCACCGTCACGCACGGATCAGTAGCTGTCATTACGAGCAAACTGCTTTCCTAGGCCGACTCCTTTACTTCTGGCATTCACCACCGCTTCTATACACCTGCCCACTCCCTCCAGGTCTCCCAGAAGTCCTACATGGCCTCGATCAGTCTCGACTCTTCCTCCCTTGACGCATCTATAGCCTTCTGGCAACTGCGCTGCACTTGCAAGGACAACGCCATCTCCGGCTGCAAACGCGAGATCGTCAAATGCATCGTTGTACTTAATTGCTTCAAGGCTCGCCACTCTTGCCCCATACACAGTTGGTACTGTTTTCCCAAACATATATGCGAGTGGTGGGTAAAGGTTGTTTTCCTGATGACTGGGTATGAACCTCAGTTGTTGCCTGAAGACTTGCACTTCTGCCAGCGTTCGATCTAGATATTCTCGGGCAACATCTTTTGGGATGGTGACAGTGGTGGCAATGTTGGGACGATGTTGATTCTGCTTCATTGACGGCCCTACCATTTCTTCTGCATTCTCCTCCAGGCCGTTGCGAGCATCATGAGCTCTATCCTCGGCAGCCTGAGCAACAGCGGCAACGTTCTGTCTAGGTTCTGATCTTTCGGAGGATTGACCACCGAGCCATGATCCTATTTTGTTGGATGAGTTGATCGAATCCGAAAGTGCGCCAATAATGGACTTTCTGCGTTCGATGTCCTTGTTCGCGGCATAGAGAGGTGGGCTGATACATGGAGACAACCGATACTCATCCCAGGTGTGAGGATCGAAGAAATCCAGATCGTATCTTTCGTTCGTATGTTTGTGTATGAAACATCGGCCGTCGTCAGGGAGAAGTGCAAAACTTGTCCTGATTGTGAACGTCACCTGCGCCGTCAACACTCTGGAGCTAAGCAACACATCATCACCATTTCGGAGAGGGCCCAGAATGTTGACACAGTTCTGCGGTGTCCCGGCGTATATGACTCCAGCAAAGAGTTCGGGCCGTTGATTGACAGCGTGCCGTGTTATCATCCCACCCAAACTATGTGCAACTACTGTTGCCCCACGCATTTCTGGCGGTGTTTCAGGATGATTGCACTCGAGTGATTCCAGAAACTTGATGAGTCTTTCACTCAAAAGGTCGGGGCTCAGCCGCCAGTCATAGCCCCAGTCATGTACGCGGAGTTTGTTTTCACGGGTATTGGGACACTTGTTCAAGTGCTTGAGTAATCTTCGGCAGATATCAATCGGGCCAATATGCGACAAGACCCCAGATGGGATGATAGACTGTTCCATTTTCTCTTCGTCTTCCCTTGTTAAACCGACTTCAAGGTCAACTTTGCGAAGATTCAACCCCACCTTTATAGGCACCCAGAGCTGACGGTGCGGTGGCTGCGCCGATCTCAAAATGGAGCCACGATAGCCCCCCAAGATGACGACGTCGCCGGTTAACTTTGATAGAGCTTGTGACAAGATTGGGTGAGCTCGTTGTTGCGAAGTTTCGACTTCCATTCCTTTTTGAGAATTGCGTAAATCTTTCAGGGTCGTATATTGGTGGTGACGATTACGGTTGTCGGAGTCTTGGAGACCAGTCTGACTCTGACTCTGACTCTGGCCTTGGATCTTGTCAGGACTAATCCGACGCTTTGGCGATGGGCGGATGAGGGGCATTTTTGGAAGTCTCAAAGTCGAATTCTGAAAACTATCGGTTATAGCTTTGAATCGAGAGTTTGCCATTTCTGCCACATTAGCAAAAGCGCTGATATCGTCATATGCTGATACACCAGATATCCGTCGTTGAATGTAAATGGAGCTCTCTGAATTCGAACGAGGACGGCTTCGTAGCGAAGATGTTCTAGAAGGCTCAAGCAGTGACTCTACATTGCCATCAAGCTGATTGAATCTTGCATCTGAGCCGATCCTACGGAAGGGTGGAGCTTGTTGGCTACCGTCGTCTTCGAGTGGCTCCCGTAAGGACCACCTAAACCGAGACTTCTCTATGGGGCTGTTCTGTGATGTATTTGGATCGGAGCCAGTGGTTTTAGTTGCTGAAAGAACCAGAGACATTGAGCTCATGTTGAAGGAGGCTGATGGAAGGTCCGGTAACAATTTTCGTAAGTTAGACAAAATAGCCGTTGGGCCTGAGGAGGAGCGGCGCCTTCCCTCGCCACCGGCAGCGCTGAGGAAGGACCTTGTCAATGATTGTCTGATCGTGGCCGGAGCTTCGATTTGCTCTTGAGGGGAGTCCTCCCGCTTCAGGACGTTCTCCGATCGCCATTTCTGTGGTGGAAACTTGTATTCCCAAGGTGAAGGAGGCTTTTGTGTTGAGTCATCTGGTGGTCGAATTTGCGACGGGTATGATCGGTCGAAGGAGAGATCTGGAGAATCGAGTTGATCGTAGTATCTCATAGGATGTTCTGTAAAGGATGGAGTTCGCGACAAGGCTGGCTCGGCAGGCCTTTCATTAGAAGCAACAGTTTTCCTGCGGAGTACATGTCGAGGCGGTGGTTTTATAACGGAAGGCGGGATGCCAAGTTGCTCAATGTGCTCAATGTTCTCGCTCAGTTGTTCATTCAATGGCTGTGTTCCTTGGAAATATTCGATGGGCACATTCAGGGCACGCGCTTTCTCGGCTACAGGAGTGTCGGGCGATCTCATGTGGGTCTGCTGTCGACTAATACTCACCCCGATTAAGTCATGATCATAGAGAGCGTCGGTTTCGACCTGCAGATTGGATGGATGATCTGAGCCGGACAATCTGCCATTCTCATCCAAATCACCATGACCATCGAAGACATGGTTCCAGTGCTGGGCTTGGTCTGAAGCGGAGCCGCGGCCAGACAGACCTGAACCAGTGGTTGAGTGCATATCGGAAGGACAAATACATGAATCAGCGACGACTATTTGAACATTATCACCTGGTCCGGGGCGAGTTTAGGCACAGGGAACGGTGGGCCTGATATATGTTTTGGTGGATTTGCGGAAAGACAAGCTGAGATTCGGTGCTTACTTTCCTAGCTCAGAGCGACGTTCTCGGAGACTGACGATGTACATAGGACATTGAATATGCAGTAGCTCGGATAAGCGAATGTCTTCGGCCAACGGGCGAAGCTGAAAGGATGATGAGCTAAAAATCTTGGGTTACAGAAATAGTCAGCGACATAAAGAGGAAGCGATGCACAGCCCGATAAGGTAGTAGAGGAATGCAGTTCATCCGTTGTGTAAGAGGAAGTGACGGACAGATATTGAGAGGAAGCGAACGAGAGGAAGGTCAATAGAGATCAACAGAGGTATTGCCAATACATTGACAGTCAAGCGCTGCCACTGGCAGGTGCTGGCGCGTGCTGGCTCCTTGAGGGACCCTCGAGTCTCGAGTCTTGACATCCGGGTCCGGAAACCGCGGATCCAAGCGGGAATCCGTTCCGAGTCAGCATGGCCACAGAGGATGATAGTCATGACTCATGACAAGGGTTCGGTATTGTGTTGCACGGTGCCATTGCTGCGGGAGCGTTTTGGAAGCTGCGAGATAGTACTGGGATATGACTGGACGTCTTCAAGAATAGTCGTTCGAAAGCTCAAGAAGCTGCTGTTGCTGCAGGACAAAGTGGGCAAAGCGGACAAAGTGAACAAAGTGGGCAAAGCGAGCAAAGCGAGCAAAGGGGGCTGACGGCTGCCATGAAGCCATCAAGCCTGATCGACGCTAATGCACTAGCCAATGCTTGTTCAACCCCATCTACTACGGCGCATCATTCAACTTCAGGGTACTCATATACGAACCTCGTACATTGGTGTCGTGACGGTGGTAGGCATTCTGCAGGCTGCCAGAACCTGGTATTTATTGAGACTTGAATGCTTCGCTTGGCCGCTGAAAACGCGCTGTTACTGACTGGGCGCCACGTCATACCCCTAGAACACATCCAAACAGCAACCTGGCCTGACCAGCATAGAATGGACAGACAGGTGGCTATCCTTAACCTCTTTCGGCTGCCTGCTTAGCGAGTACGGGGTTCCCATCCCCGCCCTGCCAGGCTCCATGCCGCCCTGTCCGCCCTACGACCACCCTGACAACCAAATACATGGCTGCATCGCGCTCTTTGGTTTTCCTTTTACTCATCAGCAAAGAACACCATATGAATACACAGCGTACACACGCGACACGTCCAGAAATTATGCTTGTCATGCCCATGGATCTGTATAAGACTCTTCAAACAATGATTATCGCAAAGAATCCAACGGTTATGGCGAGGAACAAACTTGATGCCTCGATTTGGGAATCCCAAAGACTGTTCGAGATGCTGGAGGAGATATGGGAGGAGATCTTGGGGGAACGTAAGGCGGATGCCCTATCGAGCCTGCGAAAGGGCGTTCAAACCAACAGATCCGATGCCCAACGCTATCTCAAGCTCGGACAAAATGGAGTGTGTGAATAGTCTTGCCGACTTGATTTTGCTTGGGAAGTGTTGGTGGATATCTGGGAGAAGTTTTACACCTTCCTCCTCCGCATACGACAAGCCATTCGGCCCTCAAGAAGAGTTTAATATTGCTGGTAAAGATAGTGTGGCCACTTCTACTATGCTTTCCACTCTTGCAATTCCCTAACAGACTCCGTCCTCCTTGTACGACAAAGCCTTGGACAATCTGGCCGGCTCTGGTTGTCTTGTGGGGCGTGTGTTGGATGTTCTATGAAGGAGTTGACTCGGACTGGACGTATTTGGAGGGTCTTCCAGCTGGTAGCAATACAAACTGTCTGTTCAAGGATATTGCTCCAATTGATCCATTTCAAGGTGATTTGCTCCTTTATTATTTGTCCCAAGATTAATCCTTCTTTCAAAAATAGATTTCAATCCTAGGGGCATCGAACTTGAGGTTGCAATATGGAATGAGGCTGTTCTTCACCGATCATATTTGGGGATGCGGTTTGAATTCGACGGACTCCAATAGGCCATCGATCATAGCAGTGAGACAGCTATGGTGTCTCACCAAGTCGGACCAGGCATCATCAACCCACAAGATACTCTACTCCTGCCTGCCGCGAGTCATGGAGTTGGTATTGGGAATTTAAATTCCGCTATTCCAGCATCGCCTGCTGCCATCAGCACTATCCAAAATGGCTCCGCTCAAGAAACAACCTGTCCTACGAGTCTACTACCACAGGGAGCCGCCGATGGGATGAATCAGGGCAGAGACCAGCGAAACAAATCAGTCCGGAATTCCAAATACAGTCAAACTGAGCAATACTTTTGCACCCACGAAAATTGCAACCGTTCAGGATCAGCTTCAGGCTTTAATCGCAAAGATCACTCGGATTAGCATCTTCGTGGAGTCCACAAGCAGAAATTGGTCCCCAGATTGCGTGGAGAATCAGCTGGTACTCTGGCAAGTATTCTACAACCTACCACCACCTCCAAAACCACTGAACCATCCAAGAAGCGGAAGCGCGACCCTGAAGAGGAACTGCGCTGTGATGATGGTGAAGTACTCTCTGTCAAGCTCGCACGAGAACGGAGCCTGCGCCAACTGGCCGAGCAAGAGAACCGGCGTTTGCGCCAGAGAATCGAGAACTATGAGGTGCGAATGCAAAAGTATGAGGATAGGCTGGACCGAGTGATGTCTCTGCTCGAACAGGAGAGAGGGAACGACATATCCTAACAGTGCCTCACACTTGCTTGCATTTCGTAGGTCACCGAATTGTATGTCCCTCATTGTCTTGAGACTGATCACCAAATCTCTGTGGGGCCGCCCGCCTTTCGCTAAGATCAGTCAACCCGGCCCCTCTCAAGCTGCGGTTGGAAGCGCCTTCACCCACACTTTCTTCTAGCCACATTCCCTCACATCAAGAAGGTAAAAACCCCCTTCATCCACCGAGGCACAATTATGTTATATCTTCCCTACACGTGAGCTCGCGCAATAATTCAAACCCATTTGCAACTCAACAAATGCATCTGAGCTTCACTCAATGATGTCCGTGCTGCTGACGCAAACGGCCTCTTATGGTCATGCAAGATCCGAAACAAGAGGACCATCAAGTATTCACCTTTGTCTTTCAATGCCGGTGAGTCGCGTTTCCAGGATGTAAATGATCGATGATTCCGCACCATCCATGAATCACAAGAAGATATAATATCGACGTGAGTCGCCGGGTTAGAGAAAGTCAATGAATCATGCCTGTCCCTTCCGACATTCACCAAAATGAGACGGTGCATTGTGCATATAAAAAGCTGGGGCTTGGTCCAAACTAATGAAACGAGTGGACTTTATTTCTTGCTTTGGTCTGGTCTGAGCATTGAGCCTGGAATTGGTCTATGACTTCTGTCAAAGATCACATTCGCAGAAGGACAAGAATGTCGAGAAGAAAGGCGCCAGATCTCAAGTGGATCGGCGGCGACAGCCGGTCCAGTGTCTGGTTTGCATTGAGTAAGCTGCTGATGCCTGCAGAGCATGAGCGCGTCGAAACAGTCCGGAAAAGCAGGCAGGCACGGGTACAGAAGGCAAGGGAGGAAGCTTCAGCTGCGTCTGCGTTGGAAAGGACCACAGAAAATGCCGGGGCAGATGTTCAAGAGGCACAGAACACCGAAGAAGGGGAACAAGAAGAGGAAACATCTCCTACTGCGGACGAGAACAAAGCTCCAGCAAGTGGCGAGGCAGAGACTGAACCGACGGCCGACAACGACCCCAAAGAAAGGGCCGATGGGATGTCAGTGGCCACCAACGAGAACGATGGACAGGAGACACCGCAAGCAACAGGCAACGATTCATTAAAGACTTCTCCCGGCGATGCACAGCCTTGTTCTACGAAAGGCCACGGACAACCGGAATCCCAGGCTCTAGCCGGTGAAACTACACCGAATGGTTTCAGCAGAGTCGCAACGATGGTTGAAACACCAACACCACAGTCTTTGGTCTCAGGGACATCATGAATTTGAGCCTGGCCCTCCATCAAGCAGGCCACCCTCAACGGTGGTTCGTGCCCGACTATTGCAATCACCAAGGATTCATATTCTTCAGCCGGTTCGCCCTACCGAGCCCATGGTTGAAATCAATCAACAACGGCCGCCGCAACCACTGACATCGCCAGAACAGCAAAGCAATTCTATTCTATTCGCTACCACCAGCTCTCCCCTACAGCGTAATCCATCCCGCCGCGCCTTCTCTAAATCACCATTACTACCGTCCATCTACCACCCCCTAGCAACATCAAACTCAATATCAACCTCAACACCCCTGCTACAGCCACAATCCCGCACACTACTTTGACCGCACCAGCACCTAACGGCATCTCACCACCCGGACGCACGTGGCGCGACATACGGATATTGGACCACGCCAGCATCAGCAGCAGTAGCAGCAACACACCACACACACCAACCATGCCTTCCTCAGTACCAGCTCCAGCGCCCAGTAGAGGCTCACCCCCACAGCATTCGGCTGCGCGAACTATCAGCATACCGCCGGGACGTCATTTCGACCTCCGGGGCCCAGGACCACGATCAGCACCAATGCCATCACCTTGCTGGTTCTCCCTCAGCAACTCTATATATACAGATGGCGGATGAGAGATACATGGGTGCTGCTACACCGTCCTCACTTTGGGGGGGCCATACAGTTGAGCTCTACATAGCAGATGAACCAGCCCGTCCGGGAGATAGAGAGCGCGCACAGCAATTACACCAAACCGCACAGGCTGGCCCGCGGCACATATATGTAGGCACCGCATATCCCACGCAAAGATCTAGTGCCCTATCTAACTAACATCGCCACGTACAGAACTCCCACCATGCGAGCGGCGGTGGAAGGAAGGCATGTGCATATAAAAGGCACATACTGCACATGCTGAATCCGAGATTGAAATACATATAGGGCATCTTTCAACCTAACTCGATTTTCTGGAGCGTATGCTCTGGTCTCCCTTTGTTTGGGAATGTTTCTAGGGAAAGGTGTGGGGGAACATATACTGGACAGTTGTACTATCTACTAGATAGTGGCACTGTTAGTCTTGGACGACAGGCGATACGAGGCCCCAAGTCGGAGGACGAACCATTCTACTACATATTATGTCCACGGTCAACCGAGGGCGAATACAACGCATGATGGTGCGCTGTCGTCACGAACGCACAGAGCCAGCAGAGAGGAAGCAGCATTTGAAACCCATTCCATAGAATGGTCCCGAATAATGTTCATTTGAATGGAATCCCCACTGCATTGCCATCGTGTCGATGTGACTAGTGGTACCAGTAGTAGATGTTGTAACTAAGTAATGGTTGGGATGTTTTCGCATGCCCCTTGGTCCATGTCTAGAGGATCTTCGAAGAATGTCTGCTCATACACGCACACAGCCGACCAGCTTTGCGGGGCTACCACCACTAAAAATCCGCCTCAGCAGTAAAGATATCCAGGCTTGAACAAGGCTTCTTGCTGGTCGTGTTGCTTGTTTGCTGACTCTGACGAGCCCCTTTCTGATTACCCTTCAAATGGTGTTGGTGAGCGCGGATTGCTGTGAAGAAGCCCACAATCAAATAGTGCGATACCGTCTAGACGCTCCAGTTCAAAGCACAAGGATGTTTCGGAGCAGCCTGAATTTCCATACCACACATGCAACAGCTCCTCCGCTTCAACCCTGACAATCATTCGTGAACAACTGGGATATCGGGCTAGCAAATCCCAGATGATGAGCCCTTGAGTCAAATTCCACCAGTAAAGGCAGTTGCCCTGGTCTGAACGCCTCCCAAACTTGAACAACGCAAGTTAGTCATAAGGTCGTTCAATGCTCAATAGTATCATACGCGTATCCATCGATTCGCAGGCCTCATTACATGAAGGTTTGGCAGTGATGATAATGTGTGCTGACAAAATGTGAGGTTCACACTCGTGGTCGCTTGGGATCAGGGCCAATATTGGCACGTTGTTCCCGGATGCGAATTGCTTCAGTTCCGTCATCGACAAGTGTTTCTCTGAACCAAGGATGCTTCAAGGCTTCTTTTGCTGTGATTCTACTCTTCGGGTCATAGACGAAGATTTTCTTCAGCAAGTCTAGGAGTTGCTTGTTGAATGCAGTGTTGGCTGGAATGAATTCCTGAAAACGATGTTAGCATGACAACATCAAGCCATGGATCAAAAGGGGAACTCACATGAAGATGCTTCATTGCCTTGACATATTTCCTTGACGCCTTCGACGTTTCGTTGTTAGGGTATTCCAACTTTCCTCGATTGAAGAATTTTGCAGCAGGATTTCCGTTGGCACTTCGACTACCTTGAGAAACTTGCTTGACAAGTTTGGCGTCAATCTTGCCATTGCAGACTGCCTCCATCATGGCGAGATGTTCCAAGTTGTCATGAGTTTGGAATAGAGCATCACCCGTGAAGAACTCGACTAGTATGCACCCTATGCTCCAGATGTCGCAAGGAAAGCTCCAACCGAGTTGCAATATGATTTCGGGTGCACGATAATGTCGCGTGGAAACCACAGAGGAATGGTACTCGTCGTCAAAAGTAGCAGAACCAAAGTCGATCAGGCGGATTTCGCTGTCCAGAAGGACTCGCCTTTGCCGAGCGGTTCTAGAGTTGGTGTGTGAGGAGGAGGGTATCGTGCGGTTGTATGTGAAGGTCTGATAAGCATTGTGGACGAGCAGAATGTTCTCCGGTTTCAAATCAGTATGGATGAGGTTAAGATCATGCAAGACTATCCAATGTTAGTTAATGGGAAAACAAGGAAAATGTTGACGATGACACCTACAAGCCACACTGGTGAAGAGCTGCCGTGCGAAGCTCTGGATCTGCGAACTGGGAAATGGCACAAAGCCGTTGCCTTTGAGAAAGTCGAAGACACTCTGACCTAAAAGATCAGTGACAATGCAGATGTGATTCCGAAAGTCGAACGAGTCTCGCAGGTGGATGCACTTGTTTCTGTTGGTCTTGTCGTTGAGTGCAAGCGTGGAAAGAACACGCAGTTCGATGCGACTAGCATCGCGATATTTCTGAACCGATCTGATGATTTTGACGGCACATTTTGTTCTCTTTTTCTTGTCGAATGCTTCAACCACTTTTCCAAAAGTACCCTGACCGAGCAGTTTGATAATATCGTCTGGGAGACGTCAGTGGAATGGAGGGTTTGAGGGAAGGGACCTGGCATACATCTATCAGTCAGAGGTACATTGGGACTAACAATGTAATGACCGTCGTCGTCGTCAACTTTCTGGTGTTTGTGCAAGTTCTATTTATGGTCAGCCAGTGTGGTTTAAGGTTTGTCAGCAGAACCGAACATACATCACGAATGACTGGGACATGAACATCGCCAGCCTTGCGAAGCGGTTTAGGAGGTGGGATGTAGTCTGCAAATGCATCTGAAGTTGACTCTTGTTGCTTCCTTTTCGTCTGGGCCCTGGTTTCTTTCTGTGGTTGGATCCGCTTTCTTTTCTGCCCTGCTCTGACATCTTCGTAACTGCTGCTAGCGTTGTTACCGGCATAGGACTCGAGAGAGGTGGGAGCGGTCACAGTCTGTAGGGACGTTGTTCGATCGCCAGACTGGTAAGAGGCAGAGGAGGAGTCACCGAATTTGGTAGGATGGGTGGAAAAAGTTGGGCTGTCCGAATACTCGATTTCATAGCCCTGGTCGACTTTTCGTTTTCGGCCGGCGTTGGTAGTGTAATTCGAGGCATCTGCTCTGGGTTGTCTGTTTGATGTGTTGGAGGTGGTTGCTGGGTACTGTGGCTCAGGTGAATCATCGTCGATAACAATAATTTCTTTGGGAATGCCATTTTTGTAAAATTCATTCCAGTCTGGCTGCCGTTTGGAAGCAGACTCGGTGGTGGAGTTCTGCTGGGAGGGAGCCATTGAGATATTGGATGGTTGCCGGTATGAAACAGCGGGCGAGGGTTGTGGTCGTGGGTACTGAGGAGCAGCCGGGTAAGAAGAATGGTAAGAGGTCGTCAGTCTTTGAGGCGCAGGAAGAGCGTTGGTTGCGGGGTATGTGCGTGTAGAAGGGGAATAAAGATTTTGATGGGCATAGCCATATTGGGAGTGGTGAGCAGGAAGAATCGTGGTTGCTATTGACGGAGTGGACATTGTGTCTGGAGGAAAGAAGTCGTAGAGGTTGAGCTGGTGGTTGTGGTCGTGGTGACGGCGGTTGTGGAGTCAAGCCAACACCGTGCCAGTGGATCGGCAGAGGCCGCAGTTTGCAACATACGAAAAATTGGGGGGGCGAGATTTCTTGGATTAGACCGGAAGTCGAGGGTTTGTAGATGAAGGAGGCAGTGGTGACCGTGGGGATGTTGAGGAATAGCAGTGAGGGTATAAGACAGACAGATAGAGAGAAAGAATGGACCGTGGTGGTCAAAGTTGGACTCCCTGACGAAAGACGAGTGTCGCCCTAGGTTAGGTGCGAATGTGGAACGCCGGACCTGAGGAGGAGGAACCCTCTCTCTTAGGATGCCAGATCCACACTCATATTTGATGATAAGAGTTACGAGGAAGAGAGAGGAGTGTATTAGAGTGAGGAAGTTGAGGGTTTCAGGGACGAGGAGATTTGCAAGAGGCGATGATGTCGAAGATTGAGGTGCAAGGTGCGAGGTACGAGTTGGTGAGGTGGTGAGGTGTGTGGGCGGATGGGGTTTGAGGAGACGGACGCGGACAGACGCAAGAGACGCAAGAGACGCAGATGGCGCACAAGAGAGCCCGCCTGGGTAGTGTACGGGATACCTAAGCGGCTAAATCGCTAGTGACTCCAGGTAGTCACAGTGGCAGACTCTTGGGGGATCAGGGCGCACTTTCAGGGCATGCCCAGGCGTGCAAGAGGTGGCCGACGGGCCAAGGACGGAGTAGGGGCCCACGAGTCCCAGACCAGACGGCCAGTCTACTCGACACGTCGTATGTAACTGTACAGTAGGTGCGTGTGCAGGTCGTATTCTGGTGGCGTCTTGCCCGCCCAGCCCAGCATCTGCCCTACTCAGCGGCTGAGCAATCAGTACCACGCTTAACAACTCCCCGGTATGTGAATAATACGTGTACGGAGTATCGGTACTGTATGAGGAATTGAGTTAATTCCAGGTGCTGTGTCTTGGACAATCCTTTCTCCATCCTCCCTGTTCCTGGCCACCTAATTCCAGATCAGGATCTTTTACGGGGCCTGAAGGTTTCCTTAGGTGCCTTTATTACTGTTATCATGACTGTTTTACCGTAACTCCTGTTGTTGTTTCTACTATCATTGCTCTCAATATTAATATCTTTGTTACTCAACACCCCGCTCCTCCATCTCATCCATCTTCACCTTTTGCCCTTTCGCCTCGACGGGTAGCGAATGAGGAATCACGAATTCACGCTAAGAGATGCGCCAATTGCAGTCGTGCCCTGTCCACATCTCTCTAACCACTGGCACCACTGGCATCAGGGTCATCGGTGGCATCACTACCCAACTCGGTCGCGGACCCCTCGTACAGAGTATGGAGTACGGAGTACACAATTACCAGCCATGACAAACACCCAGGACAGGCAAAGACTGACAAGACCTTCTCCGCGACATTTTCTTTCTCCTTGCTACGACCGACTACCGAGTTCTCACCCGGTCTAATACGCGATTGTCGCTTTCTTTCCCTCTTCCCTTCTCGCCCTATGACACACGCTTGTCCAACCCGCCGTGCCTCCGTGTGTGTGTGTGACGTCGATTGTCACGCCTGGGGGTGTGGTCTGTTGATATCACTAGTATTTATCTACAGTACGCAGCCCTCAATGTCACAAGAATTGGGGTTCGTTATTATCGTTGTCTTTCATATTTACTCTGAATGCTCCCGATATGTCTCCGTCCGTTTCTCTCGCGTCTCACCCACGCACTTAGGATTCAAGAGACGAAAAAATCGTGCTTCGGGCTGTCCTGTCAGACAACAGCCTAACAGCCTCACTAACATGTTGCCCGAGGGTCAGTGCCACCCACCCCTCGCCATCTCCCATCTCCCATCTCCGCCCACGCCTGTCCCTGCACTGGATCAAATCCGCCACCACCGCCGCCGGAACGATCTCTTCCCCACCGAATCTGCCATCCAACTGGACAAGCGAGTTGCCTACCTCTTCCTGGACGTTGGAGACACGAAGACGACATGATCCGACTGGCAAACCGGCACGGTAACCGCTCCACTGTCCAAGTACCCAACAGTTGCAGGCGTTATTATTGACACTGCACGCTGCCCCTTCGTGACCATCATGCTACTTGACGAGGTCCCGAGTACGGAGTACTACGACCACCGCTCCGTCCGCTCGCTTATATCCCTACATTTCTACATGGTTCGTGTCGTCCAACGTCGGGTAAAATATGGTTCAAGGGCGCCCTTACCACAATATTAAAGTCACCAAGCCCATTTTCAGTCGTATTGGAGTCAGTGTTGAAAATTGGTATTGTAATTATCTTACACCTGGCATGCTTTGTCCCGCGGCAGCAGTTGCCGGTACTCACTGACAATCCCCATGCCATCACCCATGCTTGTCCTTTGTAATGCCCGCGGTAATATCTAGCAATCCATATCGAGAATCAATTTTCTGGCAAGCTCAGTCCTCGCAAATATGACCTAGATGCTCGTCCGTCACTCTCAAGCACAAGGAACACATCCCGCGCTTGAATCTTGCTCTCTTTGCCTTCGTCCCACTGTCCAAATTGCTTTTCTTTCACCGCGGGTCGTGCTCGTTCTGGTGCTGGTGTGCCGACTGCTGACGAGGCTCCTGATACGAGAGGTCTTCCTGGTGTTGCGGCCGGGCTAGCTCCCGCCCCTTTGCTCGCATTCATCCAGTCATAAGTCCTCTGCTTCTTGCCTCGACCTAGAAGTCCCGAAACAGCCATACGTGCTGCTTCGTTTGCTGACTTATGCTGTTGCTGCTCAGAGAATTTCGATTCCGCCAGCTTTCGCTCTTTCTTAGTCGTCTTCTTCTCCGATTCCAGAGCAGCCGCCAACGCAGCTTCCTCGGCCGCTTCTACACTGGACCCAGCTGTGCCATCAGCGTTGGTTGCCGTACGTCGTTTTAGCCGTCTCAATCGTCGGGCGTCCTCGGCCTTTCGCTCCGATGTAGACGACTTCTCCAAAGCGTCTGTGACACGTGGTACGCTAGGGATCTGATCACCGGGGCCAGAAGGCTCACTGTTGGCCTGTGACTGTGAGAATGTCCCTGGTATTGTGTTAGTAATTGGCGTGCGCTCTTAGGTCAAGGAAATTTCTCACGTTTCAAACCGGTGCTACCAGTTGGGCTCAGAGCACTTTCCGGTAGATCAATCATCGGCCGAGCTGCAACAGCGATGTCTTTCCAGTCTTCCGGTATCCTCCCTTTGGAATGCTCCAGTCTTTCGAGTGACATACGTGATGAAGCGCTGACCAGCCCACTTAGCCGAGCTTTGGCCGCGAGGCTGATGACCTTCATGATCTCCGACAACCGCTCACCCTTCTGCCCTGTATCGAGAATGGCTTGTCCCTTGTCAATTACCCGTGACGCCCCTTCTAAACCATTCACCCGTACCGTTGGTGGCGGGCCGACTTTCTGAGTGTTGACCAGTACGCCAGATTGAGGATCGACCAAATGCTCGGATATGCTTATATTCCTGATCCTTTCATTCAAAGCTCCTCCTTGAAGAAACATATCCCACAATGGGTGCTGGCTATGCCGAGCCGCCTCCCAATCCTGACGGCCTTCCTCCCGTTGTTGAACCTCCTCTGCCGTTGGCTGATAACCTTGGGTTTGTGGTGGTCCATCGCCCAACTGCTGAGATCCTCCTAAAACATCTCCACCCGGGCTTGCTTCAGTGAATGAATTCTGGCGACTATCCAGCCCACCAGGACGAGACTGAAGGGGTGTTTGAGGAGTAGGATTATTATAGTAATCAGGTCGCACAAGCATACGTGCTTCCTCTTCGATGTTGATTCCTGTTCCTGAAAGAATATCCTCGTAGTTGTTATCCGCCGTTTTATCGGGTGGTCTCTGCGGAGGGGCCATCAACCCAGGTCGGGGCACAGGAGGTGCAGCGCCATTGACCGAAGCACCTCCGCTAGGCGTAGAGGGCTGGCCAGTTGGAGTGCCGACTTGGTTCTGAGTGGGAAAAGGAGATTGAGCTTCAGGTGAGAGTCGTAACCTCTTCGCAGGTGGCTGGGAGAATTGAGGGGAGAATTGCTGAGGCGAAGGTGACGAGTAGCCTAGACTCATCGTTGGGGACTGCGGTCCCAGTGGACTTGGTCTCCCATTAGCGGTAGGAAAGTCGCGGTGGAAAGAGGTCTGAGTGGGAGGGAGAGGAGGTCGCGAAGGCGCAGGTTGTGGTTGGGCCATGGTGATTGACCTGGTCAACTAGAGATGAGGGTGATGGACTTTGTGATGGTTGGTCTCGCCTTTCCCAAGGAGCGCAGTTGGACGCTCGGCGCTTTGTTTGCTTGTACCATGCCTAGGAGAATTTAATCGTCATATGGGCAAAGTAGAATATTGAATACAGATCAACTTGGGCAGGAAGATGAGATGGTGATTGAATCAAGTGATGGGATATGGGGTTAGAAGCGCATGAGCAGGCGGAATAGAAGCGAAGATTCACTTGTCAACGCCACGTGACAGTGTTACCCGGTATGTCACGTGATACCTACCAGCAACCGATGCCGTTCTCAAAACATTCCTGCCGCTTGTTCCTCTTCCTCACGACCGCTTGGATACAACACAAACTTCCGACACCCACGACTTCTGTACTTCTACTGCTAACACGATATTCCCCATAATAAGAAGCTACTGACTACAAGTTTCCTGGTTCGATAAGCCCCTCACCTACATTCATTTCTAGATTGCTATTGCAAGCGCAATCAATCGACCCTGGACCTTCCACGACCCTCCAATACCCATATCAGACGATGGCCAACAAGAGAAAGGCTGCTGCCATGTCCAAGGCAGAAGAAGATGAGCCTGTTGATCCCTCTGATGAGTTGGTCTTTATCGGTCTTGGGGGCTGTCAAGAGGTTGGTCGATCATGTCATATTCTCCAATATAAGGGCAAGACTATCATGGTACGATCCCAAGCTACAGTGCGGCACAGAGCAGAGGCTGATCAAGATTTAGCTCGATGCTGGTATGCATACGGGTCGCGAGGGGATGTCCGCTATGCCCTACTTCGATGATTTCGACCTTTCCACCGTCGATATTCTCTTGATCAGCCAGTAGGTCTATATTTCTTTCTGCCCCCCTTCCCGTCCATGTTCGCAGGCGTTTGATTTATGGCGATGCAATTATCAAAGATGGAGGACCCAGATGGCAATTGAAGCACAGGGCAAGACGATTCATCTTCTTGAACACTGTACGGTTGATGTGACCACTTTGTTTGGGGCCAACTTGTATCTAGACCAGAAATCAATACAATTTTGTTGGCCAAACTTCATGCTTCATCCAGCCTCAATCCGTCTACTGTCTGATCACTAGCTCTCTGGGTTATTTCATCACTGAACTCCTTCGAAATGGTTGACCAGGTGGCTGATGAGGAGTGCCCAATAGTTTTCATCTCGACCATGCGGCAGCCCTCCCTTATGTCCTTGCAAAAACAGACTTCAAAGGCCGAGTTTTTATGACACATCCAACCAAAGCAATCTACAAATGGCTCATACAAGATTCTGTCCGAGTCAGCAACACCTCCTCCACCTCCGACCAAAGAACGAGTCTATACACAGAAGCCGACCATGTCTCCACCCTTCCCCAAATCGAAACCATTGATTTTTACACTACGCACACAGTATCTGGTGTCCGGATAACGCCATATCCGGCTGGACATGTGCTGGGAGCTGCAATGTTTCTTATAAACATTGCCGGTCTAAATATCTTCTTCACAGCGGACTACTCCAGAGAGCAAGATCGCCATCTTGTAGCAGCAGAGGTCCCAGATGTCGCCACAGTCGGCAAGATTGATGTGCTCATCACAGAGTCCACGTTCGGAATTTCAAATGCTCCTCCTCGAGCAGAGAGAGAAACAGCCTTACTGAAGGCGGTCTCCAACATCATCAATCGCGGTGGCAAAGTTCTCATGCCCGTCTTCGCTTTAGGCCGAGCTCAAGAGCTTTTGCTCATCCTCGAAGACTATTGGCAACGCCATCCTGAGCTGCAGAAGTTTCCAATCTATTACACTGGTAATACGGCTCGAAAGTGCATGGTTGTCTATCAGACATACATCAATGCTATGAATGACAATATCAAACGTATTTTCCGTGAACGCATGGCTGAAGCTGAAGCTGCTGGCAATGCAAAAGGAGTCAGTGCTGGCCCATGGGATTTCCGCTTCGTACGAAGCTTGCGTAATCTAGATCGATTTGATGATGTGGGCGGGTGTGTGATGTTGGCGTCTCCGGGTATGTTACAGTCAGGAATGTCTCGAGTTCTACTTGAGAGGTGGGCACCAGATCAGCGAAATGGTGTAGTCATGACTGGTTACAACGTGGAAGGTACCATGGCAAGAACAATTCTATCCGAGCCAGAAATGATCCCAGCAATCATGAGTGGAGGTGGAGGCGGGCCTCCCCAAGCCATGGGTCGACGAAAGGACGATGGTGCTGCAGTAATGATACCAAGAAGATGCACTGTTGAAGAGTTCCAATTTGCGGCACACGTCACTGGAGTCGAGAACGTCGAGTTTATCGAACAAGTTGCTTCACCTCATGTCATCCTAGTCCATGGCGAACGATCACAAGCTGCTAGACTGAGATCTAGGCTATTGGATCTTAACACACGACGCTTGGCGAACAACCCCAACGCACACCAAACCAAGGTATACAGCCCAGAAAATGGTGCCGAAGTCAAGATTCCGTTCAAGAAAGATAAAATTGCCAAAGTTGTGGGCAAACTCGCTCAGATTAACCCTCCCGCCAGCGACACAGATGAGTCAAGGGTCGTCAGTGGTGTACTAGTTCAGAACGGCTTCAAGCTAAGTCTCATGGCACCAGAGGATCTACGAGAATATGCAGGTCTCACGACAACTACGATTATCTGTCGTCAACACATCACTCTTGCAGCTGCAGGCATTGATCTGATACGATGGGCGCTCGAAGGGACATTTGGGAGCATAGAGGAGGTCGGAAAGGCCAAGCAAGAGCCCAATGGCACCACAAATAGCCACGACTCCCAAGATGGCCACAAGGACGAGCAGGAGGAAGCAGACGAGGAAATTATTGCTGAACCACAGCGGACTTTCCTCATCATGGGCTGTATTACCCTTGAGTGGTCTGGCCGTGAGAAACAGATCGAACTGGAATGGGAAGGGAACACTATGAACGACGGAATTGCAGACGCAGTCATGGCTGTACTGATGACAGTAGAGAGCAGTCCTGCGGCTGTCAAATACTCCTCTAGCAAGTGCGCACATTCACATCACGCTCACGCTCAAGAGATTGGTACGAAGCCTTTACGAAACCAACATGCAAACATTGCCCCCGAAGATCGATTTTCAAGGTTGTGCCTGTTCCTCGAAGAACAATTTGGAGATGGCGTTACACCAATTGAGAAGCCGAAGATACAACATGCAAATTCCAAGGCTGTTGAATCCAAGAAAGAGGAGCAAGGATCTGGAGATGAGGATGAAAGTGAAGATGACACCGAGAGCGCAGAGATAGATGAACGCGCAAGACTGGCGGCATTAGGAATCCCTGTTCCCGGACTCGAAATCAAGTTTGACAAACACGTGGCCAAGCTGTGGTTGGAAGATCTCGAGGTGGAATGTGCGAACAGCATCTTGCGTGATCGTATCAAGGCGATCGTCGAGAGAGCCGTGGAGACTGTAGCTCCGTTGTGGAACGCCAGGGAGCAGGTCACGGCATGATATGATGGCATGTTTCATAGATCATCTTATGGACTTTGATTAGATGCTGGTATGTACTCAGTGGCGTCAGTGCAGATCACGGTGGAAATTGACGTTGGAGATGGCTGGAAATGCCACCCATGCTCTCTGACAGATGATCACCAGACCAATACTTCCCAATCATGATGGAGTTGGCATGTCACTCATATGTACGAGATAGGGGAAGGGCTCTGGAATACGCAGCCTTGCGGTCTCAATGATAGTGAAGGGATCGACAAGAATCTCCACCAAGCTGATCCTAGCCACCTCGTCTCACGTCCGAAAGTTGCAGTGGCCTTGTCAGCAACTTACACACAGTAGCGCATGCACCCACATTGCTCGATTCACATACGGCAGGCTTGCTATGATGCGTGGCTTCTCTTTTCGTTAAACCTGTTGACGGCGATGCCGTGCTCCGTATATCACCTCTAGTCAGAAATCATCGAACTTTTGTCTCGGACATCATGACACATCCAACATGATATTCATATCTGGCCTGACCGGCCTAATGCCTTGTACCTCGTGGTCCACCTGCCTTCCTACTCAGCGAGCCACATACCGGGGTTTGCGGGGAGCGCCCGTTGTGGACCGATGTTCTGCGCATCACTAGCCATGCTTGCTTGACTCTTCAACCCCGAATCAGCCCCTCTCTCCCACACTCTGCCTCGGCAGTGGAGCGCAGGTGTGATACATCGAAGCATGACCATGGCAAATGCCACGCTTGATGCCAGAAGGACATTTAGGCAGCCTGCCAATACCGAGCTGCAAGGTAGTGGTGGATGGACTGTATAAGCAGAGGTCAAGAGACTTCACTTCTTTGCGCCTGATCCGATACAAACCCCTAGCTCTCTTTTCTCATCGGTATTAAGATCTGTCGCATCTCTTTCCTCTGCGTGGCGACAAGGAACTTCTTTTCGATCGTCAGATCAAGCCCTAGGATCTACTCACCATGGCGGAATCAACAAAGACTGCTATCATCACAGGTAAGCAGAGGTCTTCCTTGTCGACCACCTCATCTCCAGAAAGAGATATTCCCGCGGTTGATACTCTTTACCAGGGGGGCTGTCAGGAATCGGCTTGGGCCTGGCCCGGCACTTACTTTCCAAGGCGAATTGGCGGGTCGTTATTGCGGACGTCAGGCCAGAGGCGTATACAGCCATATCTTCAACTCTGGACGCTGAAAAACACCTGTTCATCCCCACGAATGTGGTGTCGTGGGACAACCAAGCGGCACTTTTTAAACAAGCATACGACTGGTCAGGAGGACGGATCGACTTCTTCGCCGCCAATGCCGGCATAGCAGAAAAAGACCATATCACCATGGGTTTTCTAGGGCAGGGTTGGGACCTGGAAGCCGAGCCGCCGAAGCCAGACCTTCTTGCCCTCGAAGTCGACGAAATTGCTGTCTTCTACGGCTTGAGATTATTCGTGCACTACGCCCGGAAAACAAAATCGGCACTAAGGGCATCTTCAACCCCTTTCAACCCGAAAGTCGTCATGACCGCGTCGACCGCAGGAATCTACCCTTTCCCTCTCGTGCCAGCATACGCCGCAGCGAAACACGCGGTCGTCGGCCTGGCCCGCAGTGTAGGGCTACCGCTGATGGCCACCGACGGCATCGCCGTGAATTGCATATGCCCGGGGTACGTCGACACAGGCCTGACCCCGAATGAACTCACCGTTCTCTGGCCCGCGGGAAATATCACGCCGATCAGCACACTGGTGCGAGCATACGACGAACTTATATCCGACACCGGCACCGTCGTTCAAGACGGCAAGAGCGACGGGAAAGACGGCCAGGTCAAGGCGGGTCAGAGTGTCGAGTGCTCCGTCGATAGGCTCTTCTACCGCGACCCGGTCCCCTATCCGGATGAAAGCCAGAAGTTCCTGGTCGAGCAGTCCTTCTTGCCCGATGGTGTCTGGGCCAGGGGCATGGCTGCTGCGCTGCAGAACGCTCGTGCTGCCGCGGCGAAGGCTTGAGTTCACATTTTGGTGGAGGAGGGCACAATTCTAAGTTTGGTATGCATGTAATTCAAGGCAGAATGTTCAAATGATCGAGAAAAGAATATAGCATTGAAACCTCTGAAGCTGTGACTTCATGCAATACTATGAATGAATATGTCTCTATTCATAACTACAAGGCACGCCTATTGAAGGGTGTTTATGTCACTAAAGCGTTCCACTGTGGGAAAACCATCGAGGCGGGAGATATGAAGGGATTCTCAAAGGGAAATCTGACCCAGAATGGACCAAAAACTCGCATCACCAGAAATATCAAGAACTGAATCGCCGCAAATTCAAAATCATAATTCGGGAGAGCTTCTAATGTTTAAGGACTGTAGCGAGAGTTTGTAGGATCCTGGTGATGGCAGAGGAACCGCATTGGATAAGTTCTGTAATTAGATGCCTCAAGGTAAGTGAGTCCTCCTAGGATGTGTACCGGACATGAAAAATCCCAATGCAATACTATTCAAAGTCATATTCCAGCAAACCCCGAACAAACAAGTAGCGTAATACAATGCAGTCCATCCGTACCTAATTAAGCACACAGCGGATAGATAGGCATCATCAATTCCAATCTCCCAACCTCACTCAGACTACGCTCTCCTGCTAGACTATGCCTGAGCCTGAGAATGATAGAACCAACTTACATCGCCCTTCTGTCTCAACTGCTCACCATATCCAGCGGACCAGGTCGTGGCATCTGACTCAATGGTTGGCCCTGCGGCTGGTTTGGACCGCTCCCCACGACGGCGCGTGGAGTTGCTGGTGCGTCGCTCGGGAGGCTGCCCATCGGCGTTGGCACTGACGGATTTGACTCGCGTGGAGCCATGCGCCTGGCGCTCGTCTTCCCTCTGCATCTGCGCGGCCAGGTCGTTGCCAACGCGGGCGAGGTGTGAGAGGCGGCCGTTGCCCTTGTTTCTGACGTGGCCTTCCTGCTGGCCTGTGGATACTTGGTCGCAAGGACGCGTGCTAGGTCGGCGTTTCTCGGACGTGGACTCTCGAGTCTTGTCTTTCGCCTTGCGATCATCGTCTTCTCGGCTTATCTTGTCGCGAGCGGAATCAGGCTTTGCGTGTGCCGCCAGGTGTTTTGCGTCTGGTTTGTTACTTCCCTCACCATTCTTCTCCCGAGGAAATTGACCATCAAATCGCTTGGGCGTCTTCAGTCCCTCAGGGACCATTGCACCCCGGCTCCCCTCGGATATGCCGAGCGTACTACTGGCTAGGCGGTTGCGGCCGCTGGTATTCCTAGTGTTGTTCAAGTCCACGTGGCCGAGGTCCCGTGCGATGTCGTAGTATATGCGCAGGAAACCCTGGGTCGTGTTGGATGGGTTGTCATTGTCTCTTCCTCTCACCTCGGGGAAGCGATGCTGTGGTTCGCGTGTCTTCGGTGAGATGGCAGATGAGTTTCTTTCTCTGATGGTCGTGATGGGCCGTGAGGACTTGGTGGCCGATGAATAGTCCTGCCAAGCAATATTGGCCTTGCCATCACCACGAGGGTCGTCGTCGCGGAAGGGTGGCAGGATATTGATGTATTCGTCTGCTGGGCTGGGTTGCGGTTTTCCGCCCGAGAAGGTCTCACGACGAGTTGAGTATTGCGCCTGCTCTGATGTATACCGCGAACTAGCTGGTTCGGCTGATTTCCGCTGCTGGTGCTGGGTTTGTCTAGCCGCAAAACTGAGTTGATTCGTGATGACCGATCCAACGAAGTTGCTATCAAAGATGACACTTTCCCACGACTCTCGTCTTGATGCCGCTATCGGGCGCTGTGGCCGGCCTGCAGCCGAAGGATACGCTGGGGGTTGTTTGTTCCAGTTCTGTCTCGGAGGTACATAGACCTCTTCTGTCTGCTGCTTTCGCTCTTGGGCTGCCTTCTCGTCGTGAAGTGCCGTCTGAGGTCTGCGGCTGGATTCAGGTTCGTCAGAAATATACGGACGTCGGTACTGAGTTCGTGGTAGCTGCGTTGAGGGAAGGTGTTCGCCGCTCATCAAAGCAGTGTAAGCGTCCACCGATGCTAAATCGGCGTCCCCACCATCTTCGTCAAGATCGCCCATCTCTTTCCGTCTGGCTTGCTTTGTGGGAACAATCTCTTCGCCGTTATCCTCAACAATTCCATCATCAGCTTCGAACGTCTGAACTGACTTCGCAAAAGAAGTCTTCACCGATTGACAATGCGGACCGGCGTTTTGGAGTTTCTTCTTTAGCGAGTGAATCTTGGACCTCAGCCGCTTCAACTCAATAGCTTGCCGCTCATTTTTCTCAAGCTGTGAGTCCATCAGAACTGGCTGGCCCGTCACATTTTGTATGTGTGTTACCATGCTATGCATCCATGCATCGACCCAGACTTGGAGTCGAGGATTCCCATGCTTTGCAACATGTTTGTTGGTCGCACGTGATCTCACGATGCACCGCAAGTCTAACAGGGTTTGCATATTCCCGGCGATGCATGAGAGAATACAAGCATCGCATTTACTGGCTTGATATCTCCATGGTATGGTGTGGGATGGAACGAGGAATGTCTTTTCAAATGTGTCGTGCTCCAACCACAAAGCGTGTAGGTCTCGCAATCTAGATACGCGATCGATCTGCTCCTCAGTCAGCAACTCCGAATGGGAAACCAGACTGTTGAGGCGGATTCCCACCTCGATCTGAATATGATGAAGGATGACATCAGTGACACAACGGTTCAAGCCCTTGTGCCAATCACATGAGTCGATGCAAGGATGAAAAAGTAGACGAACCAAGCGCCCGGGACCTTTCAGTTTGGAAGGGAGTGTCTTGATGGTCGTCTTGATTCGCTGTTCTTGATCTTGACGATCCTCTTTTGGTCGGAACTGAAGGATGTTAGCTAGCTTCGGGATATGTTTGCTGGGTATATCCCCAAGAGAGAAGCCAAAGCGCATGATGTTCGAGAAGGTCTCAGATAGACTCACGGAGAAATTCTCGCAGACAATGGCAAAATGTTGCGAGTGATGTACTAGATCAATGAAGGAACGTTTGCCTCTGAGTAGATTTGGTTGGGGAGAGTGCAAAATTTCCCTCAGGTTTAAGCAACAGGTTAGCTGGTGGCAATCCGATAGAAATTGTGATCAAGATGGGTCTTATGAGCACAGGCAATCAATGGCCCTTTGAAAGAAAGCCCGCGAACCACCCCTCGATGTCCTTTGTGTGATGGCACAGGCTTGATTGCCTCCAAACAATGGATGGACAAAGATGTTTTAGCAATAGCTGATAAAGGAGAACAATGGCAGGATGCAGCCTTCACAGCTTGGGTCAGAGCGAGCGATCCACAGAGAGAACAGAAAGTGACGAGGCTTGGGTATAGATATGGAATTCAAAACGAAGAGCATCCATTTCTTTTTGTGTGGTTCCTGCCCAATATGTTATACACATTAATAGTCTTGTAATAAATAGATGGTGTAGAAGCCTCCCTTGAACTCTCTCATGTCGATGTTGGCCCAATTCACAATTTATCCATGTTCCCTGCCTTAATCAACTGCAATATAGCGTCCATGGATTCGGTCGTCGTAATAATCAGCAGTTACGTCTGTAATAGTCTCAATGCGCCCCATCGGCGTGTAGGATGGCATGGCTTCTCCCGTGCAGGCTTCCGGCAACACGATCGGAAAGAGCCTTAGCGTCAAAGCCACTAGTTTTCCGTCTCGCGCTCCGTCTTGGAGTTGCCTTGACGCTTTGTTCCTCCCTTGCCTCTTCTTCTAGGACTTTGGCCCCACCATTAACTTTATCGTCGAGGACCTGCCTCTGGCTAGACATGGCTTGCTGCTTTGCTTTTTCCATGTCAAGCTCTGGGGAATTTACCACTGAAGCTTTTTGAAAGGTGGGGGTAGTGTCCGCATCGACTTTCTTCTGCGCAGCAATCCTGTCACGTTGATACCGAGCTGAAATATCACCTCCAGTCCATGCAGTGTCCAAGAGTTTGTCCCAGAAGGTGAAGAAAGGTTGGGAGAAATTGGTCTTAATCCCCCAGCTCTGATGATGAATATCATGGTATGCAGCATTGTTCGAAGTGATGTGCTGGATTGGATCCCATGGGAAAGCATAGCCACAATGATCGTCAACAGTCTTGATGGTTGAGCAAGTAAAAAACCACATTCCTTGCCTGACAGTCATTCCCGTAACCAGATAAGCCAGGCCTGTACCGAGAGTATCCAATAGAAATCCTTCCAGAGGATGGTTATACAACGCGCCGAAGGCATAAGGTACGTAGAGGCGGTGATGGCGGGAATGAAGAGTCGTGTACAGCCATTTATTCATGTGCATGGCACGATGGAGGAAGTATTGCCATGTGTCAACAATAAGGATTGCCACGAGAAACTGAAGGGACGGAATTCCCGCCCAGTAGATTGCTTTGGCTACAGAAAGTTCCCAGGGAGCAATTGTCTGGGTGGAGTAGCTACCTCCGGACAAGGCGTTGGCAAGTTGTGGATATGTGCTGACCTTGTTTGACAGAGCGAGGGCGTCGACTCCGAGAGCGGCGAGAAACGAGGGAATGTAGGACTGGGTAAGACGTAGACGTTGGGCCCAAACTGCAACATCATACTCTTCTTTGCCGACGGTCTCTGCAGGATCGAAGTGGGCGAGGAGTAAGCCGAATGCAGTCTGAATGATCTGCTGCAAGACAACATCTCGAACGACTTCGTATCTGGTGACGTGGTTCCGCTTGAGAACTTCAGCCGGGGTGTGCAGTCGATACTGGGCGCAAAAGTCATAGCTATCGAGGATATGAAAGAAGATCGAGACGACCCAGTAGGCTACGACTGGAGCGAGGAGTTGAAGAAGAGGATCGGAGATGCCAGGGATCAAGGAAGGGCGAGGGGTCAACGTGTAGGAGGGTAGTGGAAAACTTGTAGTTGTATTCGCCATGGCGTTTGACCATGCAGTATAGCAAGTAAGTGGTTTGAATAGAGAACGAGGGTGGTGGATGCAATGAATGCAAGAAAAGTCGAGTGGGATTACTAGATTGTTGCCCGGGTGGCTCGGAACTGATGGGTTAAGGAGTGACAAGGCGGAAGGCGGGCGGTTGGACAGGAGGTACTGGTCTGCGGGAATACGGAGTATTTGATGGTCGAATAAAGAGAGAAAAGTAGTCAGGGGTACGAATGAAGGGAATGGGGAGAGATGAAAGGACGAGGTTGACTGTTGTATGAAGACAGCAGGTATGCACCTGGTATATGATGTGGTGAACCCTTGATGATTCAAACTGCGTCGCTTGAGTGAATTTGCCACCGGCCTGACAGTCCCTGCAAACCGTGACCAGGTCTGCCGCCTACAAGCTGCACCTGCTGCAGGGCTGAGCCACAGGAGACGGGAGGATGAACTGGAGTTGGTAAGGCCACCTCCGTCTCCGATCACGGATTTCCTGTGCAAATCTCCTGTCGTTGTGGAACTAGAAAATGATACGAAATACGAACCATTCTCATCTCCTGATAAAATGTTATTAGCCACATGTCACCTCTCATGCTCACGTGGCGTGTCAATCTAGGTCACGTGGAAAGATGTCACGTGCGTGCCCAGATTGCACCAATCTCCGTCAGAACTAGCGGCTTTTCCTCCACTAGCAAAAGTTCTCGAATCTTTCCTCCACATTTTGGATTCACCCCTCCAGCAGGCCTGCGCTCGTCTTTTCTTCTACGCATTCCCCCTCGCGTCGCAACATTTTCCTCCCACACCCTACCTCTCGCTCCTCTATTCATCTCAGATCTTACTCTTCAACATGATCATCTACAAGGTAAGAGATCCCGGTAGCCCTCCAACAAGGCTGCTTCTGCAAACATACCCCGCCTTGAGCAGCTATTTCCTAACTTTTCTCTTCAGGATATTTTGTCCGATGACGAGATTATCTCGGACACTCTCAAGATCATTGATACCAATAATGGTCTCTGGGAAGTCGACGGCAAGATGGTGAAGAAGGGCGCGGACAACTTCGGTCAGTTATTCCCACATTTTAAACCAAGCTGCAAACCCTTTTCTTACTCATTTCTTGTAGTTCTCGATGGGGCCAACCCATCTGCCGAAGGCGAAGATGCCGATGAGGGTGGCGATGAGGGAGATAATGCCCCTGTCCTTGATATTGCCGACCAATTTCGACTTCAGAAGATCGAGGGTGGCATGTCGAAGAAGGCTTACCAGGCTGAACTCAAGAGTACTGCTTCAACACCCAGAAAGAACAGAAAGGGCCAAGCTAACTGTGTGTTTTAGAGTACATGAAAGCGTTGGTGGAGAAATTCAAGGAGGACGGAAAGTCGGCGGAAGAAATCAAGGCTTTCCAAACCGATGCGGCGGCAGCAGCCAAAAAGATTCTGGGAAATTGGGAAAACTACGATATCTACCAGGGAGAGTCCATGAACGAGAATGGCATGTACGTGCTAGTCGACTTCCGTGAGGATGGGTTGACTCCATATGCTACAGTCTGGAAGGCCGGCTTGAAAGAGTACAAGGTGTAGGACGATCACGAAACCTCAGACACGCATACACACTTAGGTGACTGGCACGATTTAACGAAATCCACCCAAAGACTGGCCTCAGCGGTGGTCCGTTGACAATGAAGCATACCAAGAACAATGATAGATGTTGCAACCTTGGCCTAGCACATGGCTAGAAATGGATATCAGCATGTTTTTGTGCTGTTCAGAATTTGATGCCAACCAAATCCATCCATGAAGTGTGATTGATGACAACTTGGTTTGATCTTGGGAAGGCTCCCACGTGCATCCAGGCCATGTAGAGACCTCAAAGGCGGTGGTGGTGCAGGGGCCGCTCTGGCCCAGTGGGTGGTGGTGAGCTGAGGTTCCAAGTCTCTCAAACTAGGCCTCTTTCAGCGCTTGATCCTTCTACCGCCACCACCGTGACTGCCACAACACGAGCCTCATTAATTATTATGGCCAGTGAGCAGTGACCACTGCTACGGGGCTCTCCCGGGGCAGGCACCCACTTTGTTCACCTGAATGCCGAGAGGGGAGGCACGACTGCGGAATCTCAACTTCCTCAAACTTGTCTTCCGTCACTTCAACTCAACTCCCTCTACTCTCTCTCTCTCTCCACTTCTCCCTTCGAGATTGCTAGCGCATTCTGCGCAGCCTACTTAGTCTTCCCATGTTCTAATAACTTCGAGTCCACTCTCTCTCCGTCATGGCTGCCTTTCTTCGCAATGTATTGTTTTGCCTGAGTCTGCTTTCCGTTGCCCTCTCCATCCCAACCGCTGATTCCACCCACCAATCCTCCCTACGACTTAATGATCCTTACTCTGTCAAAGAGCAAGCCTTTGGCCCCTTCCGCAAAATACGCGATTCTATAATCGAGAAGATTTGGTCAATACCCTCCAAACCTGCTCTTCACTCCTCGACCTCTTCTTCTCCAAGGACTCCCGACCACTTTCGTGCCCGCTATGGCAATGATGTGGTTCTACGATTCCAGTTGAAAACTGAAGACGACGTCAAAGCTCTCATTCAGGCCGCGGATATCCTGTTCCTCGACATCTGGGAAGGCACCAATGAATGGGTGGATATCCGAGTTGCCAAAGACATCGTGCCTTCCTTCATTGGACTTCTACCGAGCACTCTCCACAACTCCTATACTCCTTTGATGCACGATCTTGCACGCGCTGTATATGACACATATCCTGTCTCGGCTTCTTCCCAAGAGAATACTCCCTGGGCCGGCCCAACCACTTCCCACCACTGGAGAGCCAATACACCACCTCCCCAGGACCTATTTTTCCAAGATTTCCAGCCCTTATCGGTACTCTACCCTTGGCTCCAACTTATTGCCTCTCTATTTCCCACCCATACAAGTTTGATCAGCATTGGGAAGTCTGCAGAAGGTCGGGAAATCCCTGCCCTCCGAATTGGCACTCAACGAGACTACACTCAAGGCAACGATCACACTACTCGCCATACCCTTGTCATATCTGGAGGTTCTCATGCTCGTGAATGGATCTCTGTCTCAACCGCGGCCTACATCGCCTATAGCCTAGTCACTAGGTACGGGCATTCACAGTTCCCTCATGTCACAAAACTGCTCGATCATTTTGACTTGGTCTTCATTCCTGTCATCAATCCCGACGGCTACGAGTATACCTGGACCACTGACCGACTTTGGCGCAAAAACCGGCAAGCTACAGATATCGCTTTCTGCCCTGGTGTCGACATTGACCGCTCATTCGCATTTGGATGGAATGGCCGCGATGGCCGAGAGAACGCTTGCAGTGACGATTATGCGGGACCTAACCCGCTCGCCGCACTGGAGGCTCGAGTTCTGACAGAATGGGCTCGAAATGAGACTGAAAACAACAACGTCACCTTTGATGCTTTTATTGATCTTCATTCCTATTCACAGGAAGTCCTCTACCCATACAGTTACACTTGCGATGTGGAACCTCCGAATCTTGAGGACCTGGAAGAAGTTGCGATGGGACTTGCCAAGTCATTCCGTTTGACCAACGGGCACTACTATGGTGTGGAAAGTGCATGTGAGGGAAGTATTACTTTCCAAGACCAGAGCAAGAGCGTCAGAATACAGACTGATTCCGAGGGGGGCTCCGCTCTGGATTTCTTCTACCACGACCTTGATGTCAAACTTGCCTATCAAATCAAGCTTCGGGACACTGGCACCTATGGATTTTTGTTACCACGATCACAGATTGTACCTACCGGAGAAGAAGCGTACGAGGCTGTGGTGGGCCTGGGCAGGTGGTTGTTGGGCAATCATGGCATCGAAAGTATTCATGAAAGAGACTCTGTCTGGGGTGTGGAAACGAGTCCCACTCTTGCACAAAAATCGAAGGTTGCGCAACAAGATACAGCAGCGATCCCTGAATTTGGAGAAGACGCCGATGAGTACGATGACCAGTCGGCGTTTGAGCTGAGAAGGAGGAGGAGACGGTGAAACTATTATTTTATGTTCTGAACATCCTTCCAACGCAAACTTCAGATTGACTTGGAGTCTACGGGCGCCACCTGAGCACTACTGGCGGCGTGATGATGTGAAATGATTGTACAGTAGCAATGCGTATTCAATGGAAATGCATAGTCAATGGCACATTGTGCCCTTCCCACCAAGCTCTCGATGATTACTCTTGCTCCCGATTTCTTGTTCTTGGGTTGATCAGACATCCTTCAGCTTCCAAGGCTTGATATTGCTGTCCACAAGGCTGGCCGACCAGCGCACTGCCCGGTGCTTGAGCCAGTCACATGGCCAAGTTGGTTTAGAAGCCACCAATGGCCAACCTTCATCACAACCTTCCCGGTCGGCCTCCACGAGATGCAAAAAACGCCTTGCGGATCGCCGTTGCTAGGCTTGCTGGTGCTGGCGCCGGTGCCAGTGGATGCCAGTGGAGGTGATTCCTTACCTGCCTCCAGCCTATTTGCTGCAGTTTGTCGCTGCACAGCCGTCCTATGGACAGAACAGAGATTCATGGCCAGACCATTCTTCCCAACCTCAGAACTCCGCTCATACTGAATCTGAAGCCTTGTTGCTTAGGAACAACTTCAAGACATTATTACTCTGTGCTCCAGACACTTTCCCCGAGCTCTCGAGTTCCAGGCTACTCCGACTTCATCTTGGTTCTGTCCCAGCCTCATCCGCTCTCAGAACCTTCGACCGACCCTCACAGAACATCAATTTTCCAATTTGCACCAGCAGACGCCCTACAAAAATGCAATGACCGACAGATTCTTGCCCTCCCCTCCAGCATTCCTAGGTGTTGCTTAACTCGGGACGATGGCAGAAGTTTTAGGGATCGTAGCAGGTGGCGCCGGTCTCGCGTCTCTCGCCATACAAATCCTCGATGATGTTCAGAAGATCAGGGAACTATACAATGCAATCCGAGATGCGCCATCCGAATTCCAATCACTCCTGGATGAGATCCAGCTGCTCTCCATGGTCGTGTCTTTGTTTGCAAGAGAGAGTGCACAACTAAAGTCTGATCATGAGATTGCTGTAGCTCAAAGCCAAATCGTTCGACACTGTCAAGGCATTCACGATGAGCTGAGGCCCATCCTCGCACAACTAACGAATTCGCTTGTTAGCCGTAAGCGATCGGTCTCATGGATCTCCGTGAAATCTGTTTTCCAGAGAAGGAAAATCGATCAGATGCTGATGAAGCTGGAACGTGCCAAATCGACCCTAGTGCTTGCCCGACTGTATGTTCTCTTATAATCATCGACCGCAGCTGATAGCTCCTAGCCTTAACATTACCCATTCCCCGCCCCCTAAGCAATCCTGCGAGCACACAGTGGCTACTCCATCACCATTCCAAAAACCGAACATCTGTCGTCTAAACAGCGATGTCAAGTCCATGCCAGCTATAAGTCGTTCATCATATTCTCTGGGACTGGGCAGATTGACAGTTAGCCACGGAAAACCTCGGTCAGACGAGGAAGGCGACGCTGTGACTGCCCGATTTGCATTCGCGCCGTGGGTACTCGACTGGGCCATCACCACCACGTTCCGAAAACACAATGGCATCCTCAATATATCACTCCAGCCAAAGTGCTTGGTGAAGGTCAATGCTCCTATCTTCAGAGCATGCGCATTGGGGGATGCGGACGCTGTGTCATATTTAATCAGCACAGGGAAAGCATCGCCTTCCGACACCACTTTGGGATGGCACCACCCCTTTGGCTGTATGTACTGCTTTTCCTGGTCCGCTCTTGCATTTCATTCAAAACTCATTTGGCTCAGGTTCTAATCATATACAAGGTTGCCGCGGCATGGCGTCAGCCTGAGATCTGCAGGAAGCTGATTGACCTAGGAGCAGATATATCAGCCCTCCTAGATGAGGAGGATGAGTACATCGACAGAACTCGGTACTGGTAAGTCCATAACACAAACAGTACATTCCAATGGAGCGGCATGGCCAGATCTGCAATATATGCCTCGCTCCGGGGTCCCGGTCTTGCTGCTAACGCTTGCCAGGAACCCCTTAACACTCGCTTGTAAATCAAGATTGCCCAGGAGTATTATAGAAGGTCTATGCCGAGATCAGACTGGCTTGGCTGAGATCTATACGAATCGACGGTTCAATGTGAATAACCAGCGTGACACCCTACGTGTGTTGGTGGAAGATGGAAACGCAGAGATCGAACAGCCCGCGGGCAGATTCGGATTAGTACCTCATTATACAGCATTGCATTGGTTCTCCGGCCCTCTGGACACTTTCTGCTGGCTTTCTGCAGAAGATAAAATCACTCTGATCGGTGCTGACTTGCAAGAATTCTATCTGTCTGTTGCCATTATAAATCCTATCCAGGGGGTGGAGTTTTTTAAGGCTGCAGTGAGCAAGCATTTGAGCCTTCGCCAACTTGACTCAGCACACTGGTTCCATATGAGGTTTCCGGAGAGCTTTGTCTTCCGAGTTGTGTACGAAAAACTCACTGAGGACGAGCAGCAGGACTTAGTTGATACCATGAGACTGAGCTTGAATGCAGGCATCGACTTTCATAATTCAGGTTGTCCTGTGCACACTCCACTCACTGCTCGGTTTCATCATTCCATCGATTGGTACATCCGATATGAGTTGAGCGGAGTCATTGATTGCTCTAGTTGGTCGTTTTCATCTATCGCGGCTCCCTACACAAAAAGGTTGAAGCGCTGGGCCGACCTTTTAGAGCAAGCGGGACAAGACTTGGACGAGTATGTGAGAGTTGACAAGGAGCGTGGTCTGAACAAGTGGATTCAATGCCGAACTGGGTTGCTTGATAGAAGCAACGATGACTACCTCGCCAATCTAATGGTTTTAGTCAGGGTTTTCCTCGGAGTAAACAGCAAGGAAGAGAGATTGAGAATCCGAGTGGTGTATGCTACAAAGAAGCGCTGTATAAGCATACCAGGAGAATGGGTCCAAGAGCAGTCGCACGAGGAGTCATCCTCCGAAGACGATGAGGGTTGGACGTTTCACTACCCCTCTGTGGATGACGATATATCTGAATATGACTATGATGAGGATGAGAATGACAGTGAGAGTGAGAGTGAGAGTGAGAGTAAAAGTGAGGATGACGACGACGACGACGACGACCGGGGCGGCACAGAAAGATCCCAGCTCAGAACCGATGGTGAGGAACTCGTGATCCGAACAGCCGCCTCATAAGCGCGTTTGATATCAAGAGAAACAAAGATTTCCCACGTGGGTGGCAAGAGGGACTCTGATCCTCGAGAGGAACATGAGCTACGACAATCTGATGATATCCTCTAAAGCAAGCGTGGCGAATCTGGAAAAGGGGGCAATAGTATGTTCCACAACCAGGGGGTCCTATGAAGCACTCATTTAATCTGTATGCATATCCAGCAATTCCCCGAACGATAACTACTCTTCTCTCTCGCGATGTTTTTGGGTATGGAGTACATCACCAACAACAGTTGGTTTGGAGTGGAGTCATTGGCTATTATCTGTTCACCAGTACGAGGGGGGCTGGGTACATACTCATCATTCAAATTCAACTTCCCGACGTGCAATTTATCGTTGTCGACGACTACTTCGCACCTCCGCACAATACATACCTACCTAGTTAGGCACCACCTACATTCGGGTATACATACATACATGCAGTCCACCTTCCTGTGGAGGTGGATCCCCTTGCACGCCCGAAAAATCTAACCCAGACCCCAGGAAGTAGTACCTGTCGGTGGGTAGGGTGGACTTCACGGATCACCACCTCTCGGAACTCCTTTACGACACTTGATGGACCAGCTAGACGATCGCAACTACTTCCTACTTCGAGATGACATGGAACTTTAAGTCAGGAATGAAATGTCTGGTTACGCAGTTGTCCATCCTACATATGCTAGAAGTGGCCTCTGGCATTGGATACCACATGCCGTTCCATACCATGATACCATGCCGGTCCAGCTCACGCCAATCCATACCACTTTGATGCTGCCGCAAGTGAAAAAAAAAAAGGTTAAGATAGAACATATCTCCATGCGGCATATCAATATCCACAAGACTGCCTGTCGCTGGTGCGTCCTCCAGCCACACACTAGTTGTACTTCTCCATCCCTCCATCCTCCCTATGCCTCGTTTACCGATAACCGAAGCTAATACCCCAGGAGGCTCACATGCCCATCTCCCTGTGCTGCGCATGCCAGGACCATACGGTGAGGATGGTACGCAGTGGCTACGATGGGACTTTGATATCCTCTACCACTGAGACTCCCACCGACGACTTGCGCAATACGGCTGGCCAAGGGCTCAAAGACACCCAAGGGATCACCGTTCGTGTTGAAACTTCGCACCTCATGTCGGTCCGTGCCAACGGCGAGTACAGGGGCATGCTCGTGCACCGAGAGGCTGCGGAGGAGAGTCTTGGACGACGATATAGTGGTTGGCGTCGGTGCACCATCCAGAACTTGTTGCTGTCCTTGTCCTGACAGCGTACTACTCGAGGAGCCCGTCGCATTGAGAGTTAGTACCGCCTTGTCATTTCTTAAATCCCAAAGCTTGACCTCGCCGTTGCGACTGGCAGAAACAAGTTCCCTTACTCCACCTCGCTGCATATGTACGTTGCTGACCCACTGTCGGTGCTCACGCCAGATCTTGACCATTGCTGTACGTGGGTTGAGGCGTTGATCAAATACGCGTACCACACCGTCGCCAAAGCCCGCTATAAAGATTTGGCCTGCTACTTGGTCAGAGGTCAGACTGGTAACGCAGCTACTGCTTCGTGCAGGGATGTCCCCAACACAAAGCTCCGTGGCTGCATTCCAAACTTTGATCACCTTAACATCTCCCGCGACGAGTGCCTTCCCTTGACCTTGTTGCCAGTCGAAAACTAATCCTGCATTTTTGTTGCTAGGAATTAATTCTGTCAACGCGCGGAACGCAGTGATGACTTTAACCTCAGCTCCACTTTGGTAACCGCGATATACTTTCAGAACACCATCGGAGCTGCCAACCATAAGAAGGGGTTGGTCGTCTTCATTCATGAATTTGGCATCATTGATTCGACTTCCAATGGGGTTGCCATTGCTGAATCGATTAAGCCGTTCATTCTTCTGGAAATCCCAAATCGTGATGATGTCTTTGTCATCCGCAATAGCTAGATGGTCGTCAAACTGATGAAACGTCAACTTGGTTGGCTGACTGTGGTTGTTGATGAGACCCTCCAAACGTGTCCACCTCGAGCTCCCTGCTTTGCCTTTCAATGGCTGGGTGTCTGCGATGATCCGCTCGTTGCGTGTGCGTCGCCACAAACGAGAGTTATAGTCCGCCGAACCTGGCTCATCTGGATCATTAGGCCTCATTTGCGGCTCGCGGAAATACTCTGTCGACCATTCCAGTAGAGAACTCTGAAGAGGAATCGTCGGCCGTGTCTTAGGATCTAGTGGCATGAATCCAGCTGAAGTTGGTAGATATGCTGCTTGATACGCGCCAGGAGTGCTACTCGCGTTCAGTGTATCAGGCGGACGGCTCCATTCTGGTGGCAATCGATTGCGGGGGGTACTGAGAGGCTGAACAGGCTCCCTTGTCTTGCTTGGGGACGTTTGTGGCGTAGTTTCTCTAGTAGGACTGTCTGATGGGTTGCCAAATGCCAGATTTCGCAGCGAGCTACCAGCCCGTTTAAGACTCAGTGACAGATAACTCTGCTGTTTTTGTAGCTGTGGGGGTGTCGTCGTACTAGATTGTCGATCGATTGCTCGAAGGGAATCTCTTGACGAAACTTTCTTGAGATGAGCTTCTTCTTTCTTCGAAAATTTCAGAAGGTCATCAATCACTGCCAATGCCATGTGACTCAAGGGGGAGTTGATGAGACTTTCATGGACTTGATCTACGATTAGGGAAGCATTTCTGGCAATCTCTGGGTGAGGATCAACAGAGAGAATCAGAATCTGGACCCAAATCGATCCATAAATTGTGTTCGCCGAGATGGGGACTGTGCTGATGTTATCACGGGGGTCAAACACACTCGGCTCGGTTTCCTTGTAAGGGTGTTTCTCTCTTTCCTCCACAAGCTGCTCGTACGCTACTACCATGAACTTGTTCTCATGGCGCTTGACAAAAGTGGAGAGGAATACGATCAGCTCCTTCCGTACCAAGGTACTGCCGTCTGATGTCATGAAGAGGACAGAAGATGCAATGCCCTCCTCGACTTGGGACACCTGGTCAGTGAGATCAGGAATACCTAGGAAATTGGTGAGAGCATGGAGCATGGCTGCTCGAACCTCTGGGACGGGATCAAGAGACAGCTCGCACAGTCGAGCATGCGCTGAGCACCTGATACCCATCCATTTCGCATCTGCATATTCGCACCATAACATACTCAAGCACAAGCAAGACCATTGTCTAAGTAAGGGGTTCTCGGGCTCTAACATGTTGAGGAGACAGGCATTGAAGAGTTCTGGTAGCAGACATACGGTCTGACCCGGAGGATATTTCTTGCAAAATGTGGCCACAATGAATGCACACATCGCTCGATGCTCACTAGCATTACCAACAGGGATATCAGACCGTGGACTCATGATAGAGATGAAGTAGTGGATGCCGTTGTCCTTGAGCAAATCACTCTGTACTGTGTAGTCCACCGCCATTATGCGAGCCCAGATGAAGACCATGACAGGCTTTAGCTCCAATGAGGCTGCTTGGAGAAGCTTCACCACATAAGGGAAGATCCCAATGCTCAGGGCCAGGTGAACAGCCCATGGTCCAAGATCCAGAAACTTGCTAAGCAGAATTAACGCCCTCAACCGATGCACCTGACTAAGGAGAACCTGAAGAACAATGGGGAGTTGATCTGGAGCGTGGTCTTTGGTAGGTCCCGAGCTGAGATACACCTCAAAGGCTGTGAGTTGTTCTGAGAAGAATGTAGAATGTTGATATTCGTAGACACGCTTGCCTTCCTCTGCCTCTCGTAACATCGGAAGTTGTGACATGACCATTTCAATGGCAAGATCCCAACTCTGCCATAGCGGATGTCGATGTGTTTCCGGAAGAGGTGGTGATGATATTGGATGACAATGATTTGCTCTCATTATCCGTTCGCTCAAGAGAAAGTTGCGGAAAAGAGCGGCGACCATGAGGTCTTGACGGAAAAGTTTTTTGAATAACGGTCGAGGGAGTATGTTCCATGCAATTGTATCTGTAATCGCCGTAAAAATCCAATTCAACTCGCCTAGGGGACTTCTACGATCCTGGAGGCGACCCGGGACAGGAATTTTTCCGTCCTCCAAACCCGGACTACCAGGAAGAGGGTTCTGTAGGACGAAGTATCTCAATGCAATATCGATTGGAGTAGTGAGACAACATGTGAACAGATCGGCGGGAAGGTCAGGGTTAGTCGGTAACATCTCGGTTCTACCACAAGCTGCCAATTGAATGCAGTCTCCGTAATTCTGAACCGGAGCATTTGGATCGCGCTTGTTGAGTTCCTCATTCTCCTTGTCGTGCTTGGCGAGGAAGGTATCAAAATTGTGAACAATATTTCCCGCATGAGAGACATCGTATACGAATAAGCTTGGACCCCCTAACCATGATTGTAGATCGTAAATGCCGACGGGAATATATTGGGTATAATTCTTGTTGAACACCCAGATCTCACCAGATGCGGTAGGGAGCGGTACACCGTGACCGTTATAGTGGAAGAGCACTCTCTCATCTTTCGCATTACGTCGGAGGGAGACGCAAAACCGCTTTGTTTCATCGATGGAAGGATCCAGATACTGTTTATATCTCGTGCGCAAACTAAGTGACTCGTATTGTTCTTGCAATCGCTTCCCGATTTGTTCCATCGTTTTTGTAGTTCCGCCACTGTTGCCGGTTGGGTCGACCCATGCTTCGAGCTTCGCCGTAGGATTTGTCTTTATCACATCCGGAGGATCCACGCCGATATTGAGGCAGATTGCCAGGGCAGCAGAAACGGTCTTCATACGATCTTTCATGCGCCAGTCCACACTAGGGAACTTCTTCGACTCCTCCGATTGTGAGCCATTGCTCTCATGTCGCTTTTCGGTATAATACATGTAAAATGTTGCATGAAGTAGAGAAAGGTACTCGTTAGACGTATATTCGTCATCCCAGCCATGTCTGATATGTGCCAGTTTGTCGTCTGAAGGAGGGGTTGTCGGTCCATCTTTGCGTCGAGGCCCGAAATCACTCTTGGTACGCTGTAATAATGCAGGTCTTGCAGTAAGGTAATCTTGCGCTTCTTGAGGGATGATGCGTCGTGAAGAGAAATCATTCGGCTGCCCCAAGTGGATGCCATTTAATCGAGGAGACTGCTTAACCCCAGAGCTTGAATGGGCTCTCGTTATATCATCCGTCACGTCCCTAATTTGTCTAGCCTGGGCATCTCCTTGTGTGGCAGGCCGACGTCGCTCGATGTCACATAGGTTCGTGTCTGAGTGTCCGTTCATCGTCGCCATTCTGACCTCTTGATGTATTTCTTGAGTATTTCCCGCCTAGAGAGGACTCGGAAATACCCAGAAAGACATTTGGCGCAGCGGGCACTTGAGAGCTGTCGCTAAGAGAAGAGATGTGCGCAGGCAGCGTTGTCAGTTTGGTGCATAACTTTGTAGGTGAGAGCTGCGTCTGAGGTACGTATGTCGTGAGACGTTGAGAACAAGAAGGTGGCAATCGGCGAATCAAGAGGTATAGGAGGCAGATACAATCATTAGCTCGGCATGATTGAGTAGAAGACGGTATGACAAAACTTGTGAACCAGACTGAAAATGAGCTGGCACCTGGAAGACAAAAGCCGGGTGTCGCTGCCTTCAAAAAGTCATGCGGGGAACCCAAAGAGGAAATCCAGAGTGGCAGGGAGCGAGGAGCAGGCCTCCCGATAGGGAGATCACGTGATTCGGGCATTGACAAGGCTGAGACGATGAGGCTGTCAGCGGACCACACCATCCTACTACGTGTTGAGTTGTTCACAGGAGAGTGGTGAAAAGAGACACGTCATTAGCGGAATACATCAGTATCAGGAGACCAATATTCAAGCCTAAAATTGAACCTACAGCAAAACTGAGAGAAGTCAAAGGTGTGTACGCAGTATCCATACTGGTAGTACATTCATTTTTGAGTGTTCTTTTCCTCGCCCCTACCAGCAGGTAAAGTATATAAGCTCCAGATAGGACTTAGGGGCTCATTCAGTCTCTCTCTTTCCCCTTTCATTGTCTGCCTTACATTCTTGTGGTAAGTCCACCGCGCCGCAAGAAAAAGAAGAGGGTGTTCATTTCATTATTGGCCCCCGATTTCCCCCTATTCCAGACTTTCTCATCCGACATAGTTACATTTGGGGAGACAGAACGTCATTCCCAGAAAGACAATGCCAATGGGTACAATCGGTGTGTGAATAGTAATAGGGTAACAAGACAAAGCAAAAGGCAACAATCGAAGATAAAAATGGAGGGTTGAAAAAATTGAAAATCTGTTCAGAATAAACACCCATCAAAGACACCAGGTCATAAAAAGCCATCTTCACATTTCCATGGCACTCCCAACAACGATACAATTACACCACTGGTGTTCTCTTTGCGATCTTCTCTTCCTCCTCTAGGCGCCTCCTCCAATCCGCTAGGCTGTCACTGAGCTCGGCTCCATGAGATTCGGTGGTTGGAGTCCTTTCTGAATCGAACTGTGTGCTGAGACGATAGTTGCTGCGGCTTGTGTTTTCCCACTGTGACCTAAGTGTCTCCAATTCTGAGGCCAAGTTGTCCAAGGCTACAGAACCACGTTCATCCCGCGATAATGTCTCGTCATTCACCGAAGCATCCGTCAGAGTTGAAGTGCTCTCGTCCCGACTGTGGCTGATGCCATTGATACCATGTGGTAGGGGCTGTAGCTGTGACTGCCGTCGATAATTGCCCACAGATTGGCCGACCTGATCCAACAGCATAGTAACTCGTTGCTCGGCTTCTTCTGCACGCTGCTCGAGCATCGAATTCTCCGTCTTGAGCTGTTCCAATTCTTTGCCAATCCGTTGAGCATTGCGTGTAAGTTCAGCATGACTACTTGCTTGTTGTTCTCGCTGGGATTGAATAGTTGTTAGCTCACTTCGCAGCTTGGCGATGTTCGACTCCAGTAGTGCCACATGTTGAGCTGTCTGCGTCTTCATCTCGTCAATGGAAGACTGTAGTTGCTTTCGCTCAGCTGCCCACGGTGAGTTATCACCCTCAGGTGCCGGCGAAGGGCTACTCTTTGCGGTTTCGAGCTCTGTTGTTAATTGAGAATTTTGTTGCTTATATTTGGTGAGCTCTTCTTTCATCTTCTTCAACATTTTCTCGGTGCCCTTGACATAGTGCACTGCAGATTGATAATCATTCTCAAGCTGTTCCAATTTCTCTTTATAAGTGCTGTCTGCCTCTTGCATTCGAGCTTCGAACTGTGACTTAGTCTCCTCATGTGATTTGATGCTGTTCTGAAGTTGCTGATCGAGCTCACGGAGGCGACTCTGCTCGGGTGTACCAAAGCGAGAGCTGGGCGAATGATCAAAGATAGGAGAGCGTCTCACGTCAGATGCGTTTATGCCTCGTTCCCCGAGTAGGTCCTTGAGCGCACTGTGTTGAACCGCCAAGGCACTTGCATCTCGTTGGTTGATCTCAAGATTTGCACGCGCTTCTCGTACTTCTTGTTGATAAGTTTGAGCGTCTCTCAAAGCTGCCTGCAATTGGCGACGAATCTGAAGACCTTCGCGACTTGATTGTTCTTGGTAGGCTTCGAGACCGGCAATCCGTTCCTCTGCACTACGGAGCTTTTGAGAAGCAGCATCAGCAGCATCTTGGTTGCGCTTTGCAAGTTGTGACGACTGTTCCGCGGATTCTCGTAACGCTGCCATCTTCTCTTCAACGAGCGAGTCGTTGGTCGATGACGAATCGTGGCTGGAAATCTTAGCTAAACCTGCAAGTAGGGCTGCGCGATGGGTTGATGCTTCCTTTGCGTTGGTCTCTGCAAGCTCCTCAGTATCTCTAAGGCGCTTGGACACGTGTTCCAGCTCGTTGGTGCGCTCTTCATGCTCGGCTTTGAGTTGGGCGAGTTTCCTCTCAGATGCTTCCCGTTGCTGACGCTCTTCTTCAATCTGTCGTTCGTAGAGAGCAACCTTACCCGCGGAGGCCGCGACAGCTGCTTCTAGCGCTGCCATAGAAGCAGTGTGGCTTTGAAGTCGGGAATTCGTCTCCTGATGGCTTCTACTCAAACCACCATGGTCAACTCGTAGTGTTCTGAGCTCTTCCTCAATTTCCGTGCGCCGCCGAGCTTCTGCGCGAGCTTCACTCTGCGCTTCGTGAAGCTCTGCGCGTAGGCCTTCAATTTCCGCTGGGTTTCTACCCTTGTGTAGCTCATCATACCGTTGTTGAAGCGCATCAACGGATTGCTCTGCAAGTTCCTTGGCTCTCTTCTCTGCACTGAGCTCATTATACATGGAGTCCAACTTGGCTTTGTATTCCGCCTGTGCCGCCAAAGCTAAGGCAAGGCGTCTTGTGAGGTCAGTGAAGCGTTCCTGTTCATCAGTTTCACGAGAAGCGTCGGGTTGTGGAGTACTGCGGGTGCTTCCTCCATGAGCAGCAAGTTTTGCTCTTGCGTAAGCAGCTTCTGTTACCGCAGCATCACGCTGGTGCTCGACTTCAGCCACTTTTCGGGCCATTGATGATGCTTGTTGTTCCATGGCCTCTTGCATCTTGATGATTTCACCGCGCATTGTCATGAATGCTTCTACCAAAGGCCGATCATCGTCAGCGACTTGACTTACAGCACGCTCATCGAAAGCTGGGCTCGACGAAGTACCACTCTGGAAGCCTTGCTTTCGAGCCAGAGCCAATTCCGAGGCATACCAGGCATTGGTCTTCTTCATGGTTTCTAATTCTTTCAGGAGAGCTTCTTGGTGTGGATTCAGCTTGGGAGATCTCGGCTCATCTGGGACACTTCGCAGGCTTCGATTGTCGGATTGAGAATCACCATGGTATCTTGCGGATGAAGCGCGTCCGAGTAACCCATCCTCCGTGCTGTCAATGGAGCTTTGAGCACGCTGTGATCGCAGAGATCGTTGTCGAGCAACTCCGCTGCTCATTAAAGGAGCGGCTTCACCTGCGTCCATCGCCATCGCCTTTGCTCTACTGTCAGTCCGTTGAATTGGAGTTCTTCGACCATGAGTGCTGGGACTAGCCTCTCTACTAGGGCGAATATTCTCCTTCTGAATATCTCGAACAGCGCTAGCCTGCGCCGGCTGCTCCGTGGGCAGATTTCGACTTGAGTCAGGACCAGCTGAAAGGGCTCTGGCATCAGCAGGACCTGCATTATATTTACCCTTGGCTCCATTGGCGGGTGACTGTACTCCATTAGCACGGGGATTGGGTGGTTGTCCTTGAGGAGGAGGCCCAGCAGGAGCCTGTGCCACAGAGGCGCGTGGTAGTCGGGAGGCTGAACTGTTCTGCGATGATGGTTCGGGCCGCTGGACCGGGCCACCAGAAAATTGGTCGCGGCTCGTGGCTTGCCCCATCTGTCCTTCTCGAGATGTCGACCTCATAGGAAGCGCATTGCTTTTAACATCAGTGCTCGGTCGTCTCGTGGGACTGGTAGGGGCCTTGCTGTCTCCAGGTGCATCATTGGGATAGCGAATCTTGGCCGTGTCAAGGACATATACCATGCTCAACTCGCCTGGGTCACGCGGTGCTGAGCTGGGTTCACCTGCGAGAACGATGATTTTATCTCGATATGCGGTCATACTGTGTCCAGACCGTGCGGATGGAGAAGGACCCATGTTTTGAAAAGTGTACCACCTCTTGGAAGGGATACGGAACGCGGCGAGATCGCCCAGATCGGTGCCTTCTTCAGTGCGTCCTCCGAAAATGTACATGACATCGTTGACTAAGGCAGCGGAATGGCCTTCGCGCGGGGCGGGAATATAGCCGATACAATCCTGTTGTGTCCAAGCATTGGCAGCAGGACTGTAGGTCCAGACATCATTGAACCATTGTGTGCCGTTCGTACCGCCAAACCTGGTAGTGGTTAGTAGTGTGAAATTGCATCTCCGCTACCGTGGACTTACAGAAATAGTTGGTCGTTATAGCTGATGATAGTATGGTTCGTTCTAGCGGGAGGAGCCTTGCCTGATTGTGTGATATTGTTGGTTTCGCTGCTATTCGGGATTAGAAAATCCCATTGGTTTACAGGATTTTGCAGGGCGTTCAAGTCGAAGGCCACTAGATCATTGAAGAAGTAGCCCTCGACTTGGCCACCAAAGATGTAGATTTTTGAACCTAGAATGTTCAGAGTGTGGCCGTATCTCCCTGCAGGCTTTGGACCAGGAGGAGAGGCTCTCGACCATTGGCGGGATGCTATCATCATCAGAAACTGATCTCAGAGAAAGCAACTCGACTTACAAGTATTAAGAAGATACAGGGTATCGTCAAGGACATCAGAGTCGTCCATCTTGGTGTCGCCACCGTAGACAATATACGCGTTTCCGACGAGTAAACTCGCGTGACCAACTCGAGGGCCGGGACCTTCAGAGACAGTGGCGATGGGGTAACAGGAAAGACTTCCACCACCAGACTCGACCATCCAAAGGTCGCCTCGAACCATTGAGCCATTGATCAAGCCACCCATTATGTAGATATCACCATCTTTGGAGGCCACGGCATTGACCGCTGCGCCATAGCGAGGGAAAGGGTTGGACTGGGGAGTAGGGAAATTTAGGCGTCTTTGCGACCACGGATATAAGGCGGCGTTGGGTACTTGAGTTGCAGCAGCACCCAGATTGGTGGGACGGGTCTGTATGACGGATTAGTCTTACAGGTTTTCATTGAAGACATGGAATGGAACTCACCCCGGCCTCGGACTCTGATCTCTCGCGACGAGCGAAGCCAGGGCCTGGCGCACTCGCCAACTGAGAGCCCATTGATGAGATTGAGCCGTTGGGATTGTTTATACTAGCCAGAGGGGGAGGAGAGGTTGTGGAGCGACCATCCGTGGATTTGTCTATGGAGCCATTTTGGGTGGAGGAAGAAGGGATGCTTCCATCTGAGGTGTGAATATTGCGGCTGGCGGGGGGGAGGGAGGCATTGGCGGCAGGAGGGGGCGGCGCGTTCTTTTTGGATTTGAATAGAAATGCCATGGTCGCTACTGCCCTGTTCGGCGCAGATGTGGGTGAAATAGTAACACCCCTGTGACCATTCGAACCACAATGAGTGAAGCTGAGGTTAGGTGAGACGGATTATATGCGGAATTAATGTATCTTGAGGACGACCATGCAGGCGTGAATCAGGAACAATCCATCCTTTACTCCAGTCGTACAGAGGTATACCGAGGATGAGGAGAAGGAAAGGTCGAGACAGCGATGCGAAAAGGACGAGCCGGTTGAGGGTGTAGAGACCAGAAGAAAAGGACGAGGTTGTAAAGTTGGTCGAGGCGCAGCTTGATTTCCCAATTGCCAAGGGCGGTCTTATGCAGGAACCGGAGTGGAAGTTCAAGTTAGAGGGCAGAACGCAGAACGCAGAACAGAACGCGACTTTGATGATGCCAATGGTGTCTGTGCGGTGAGTGGCCCGAGGGTCGACAACGCGACAGGAGGAATGGGATTAGAAGATGAGGTTGACATGAAAGACTGGCAACAGTTACGGAGTATGGACACTCCGGGAGAGGATACGGAGTAGATAGCGTAGTGGTAGGAATACGGAGTTATGTGAAGATCAGGAGAAATTATTATTACTGAACGGCAATGATAATCGCTGGGCGCATATACAGGTGGCCACGCTACTATGTAGCCAACTAGCCAGCACTTTTACTACAGGGAGTTAGCAAGTACCAGGGCACCAGGGCCGAGGGGCTGCGGGTGTGGGTGTGGGTGCGGGTGCCGAACCCAGAAGTGAAGGTTGGGCACGGGGGGTTGGCCACGCTGCAGCCTTGGACTGGGACTCTAAGGAAGGCCTGAGTGTTGGTGATGGTGGGTGGCAGCACAGGCGCACAGTACCGTGTATGGTAGTTGGTAGTTGGGGCGTGGTAGTGGTAGCCAGAGGCCTTCCCTTGGTCTGTCTGGTACCATTACCTTCATACGAGTATGCACTCCGTACTCCGTACTCCGTCCGTAGACTCTCTCCTTCCTGACTTCAGTGCCAACAGCCGCTCCAACTTCTGGTGTTTCAGCTGGCCAAGATCAGTTAGACTGCAGTGGCGCTCCGCTTAAGCGCCCCTCTTTCCACTCTTCCCCACTCTTTCTTTCAGGGATCGCGCCTGCCAAAGAGGCTCCCGTTGACTCCCTGTTTTTCCTGTTTGCCCACCTTCCTCTATCCTCCTGCACAGGCCTGAGGCGCCCCTCGCCCCCAGCAGAACCATTGGCGAACTTGCATTGGTCTTCACCCCTATTAGAGATGGAACCCCCGAGAAGATTGGATGCAGCCCCCAGGCTGTGGCTCACTGCGATGTCAGCTGTCACCAGCCTAATTCCACAGTCCAAGTTCTTTCGTAGTGCAAACCGCACGTTGGATCAGGAGTACAGATCCACGAGTGGTTATTTTGATCTCTACACGCACTCCGTACATAGTGAAGAACCGGCATTCTCAAAGGCCAAGTCTCGTGCGAGAGTGGTATGGTTTTGTCACGGGATTTCACGTGACTTGACCACCTGGCACGGCTGCGGCCACCTGACCTCCATAATTCTGGCCAACCTTTCAAACCTCACAAGCGCGAAAGTGGGAAGGAGGCCGTCATCGTCATCGTCCGCGGTGCAGGATGACACTTTATCATTCATTCATTGGAGGGTTCGTACACCCCAAATCAGGTACAGTGCACTTATCTCTCCAGTAAGTTCAAACTACCCAACACTGCCGTGAAACAGAGAAACCAACCACAACAATAAGGCAAGTCATCAATAATCCCCAACATCAGCTCAACACGACACACATCAAAAACATTCTCTGTCTGAGGTTCTCAAGCTCGTGTCATTTTCCAAAGAGTAAACCATCTACGATTCGCTGGCTGGCTTGCCACCAGCCGAAGATACCGTATCCACCCAGGACTTGTCTGCCTGGCCCTCCATCCAGAATATCAAATCAAATTATCGCATCTCGTTGCATCCCCATCTAGTCTCTTATCTCTCAGTCAGTCATGGCCTCTTCAGATCTCAAGGCATGGATCGCCGGCATGCCCAAAGCCGAGTTACATGTTCACCTGGAAGGTAAGCAGAAAGCATCCGGAAAACCAAACCCGGGGTTGTTCGTTTCATGAATTAAGCATGATCATTTTGACTCATCGTCTTCATCACTACTACGGAGTACTCGGTACCAAGTATCTCGTGCTGTTATCCACCATCATTCTGGCCACTATGGGTAACTCGCACCCCTGCCCCTACCCTGCCCTCCCAGGCACGATGTCTCCTATTGGCAAAATCTCCATGCGGACAACAGGAAATGCATGACATTTATGTGGAATGAAACTACAACTTATGCAACAACATGAGACCCCAAATACTGACCACACAACAGGCTGTCTGACGCCCCAGCTGGCACGTTCCCTAGCGGAGCGGAACAATATGCCAGTGCCAGCATCAGTATCGACGCCTCAAGAAGGCCAAGCACCACAGGCAGGCTACGCATTCCACGACCTCGCCTCCTTTTTAGCAGTCTACTACCCGAACATGGCCGTGCTGCAAACGGAGCATGACTTCCGAGACCTGGCCCTCGCGTTCCTCACCCATGCCCACTCCCAGAACATCAAGCACGTAGAACTCTTCTTCGACCCACAAGCACACACAGGACGAGGCATCCCCTTCGCGACCGTGCTGCGCGGCTACCGGCTCGGCCTAGTGACTGCACAGCGCACGCTCGGCATCTCCGCGAGCCTGATCATGTGTTTCCTGCGCGACGCCTCCGCGGAATTCGCCATGGCGACACTAATGGAAGCCCTCCCGTTCAAGGACTCGATCATCGGCGTGGGGCTCGACTCCGATGAGCGCGACAACCCGCCCGCCAAGTTCGCGGCGGTCTTCCAGCGCGCAAGCAAGGAAGGCTTCCTGCTCACCGTGCACTGCGACATCGACCAGCCAAACACGCTGACGCACATCCGGCAGGCCCTGACGGAGCTGCAGGTCGACCGGCTCGACCACGGGACGAACATCGTCGGTGACGAATCCCTGATCTCCATCGCGCTGGAAAAGGGCATCGGGCTCACGTGCTGTCCGGTGTCTAACAGCGTGGTGACCTCTGATTTCAAGGGAAAGGAGATTGTGAGCCTGCTCCGCCGCGGCGTCAAGGTCACTGTCAACTCTGATGACCCGGCTTATTTCCGCGCCTATGCGAATGAGAACATGGAGAAGATGGCCACTGAGACTGATCTGACCAGAAAGGAGCTGGTTCAGTTGCAGCGGAATGCCTTTGCCATCTCGTGGATTTCTACTTGGCGCCGGAACCATTTCCTGGCGTTGTTGGATGAGTATGAGCGCTCTACTTTGACACCCAACTTAACTAATGGTGTTTAACTGTTAAATATGAACCGTCTTTGAGCCGGAAAAGAAAGCTGGTGGACGAACGGTCCTCTATCATGAACAGAGGGTATCGATGCGAATTTAAAAGACAACATGATATGCTATGCTATATACCGAGCCACAATACCTTTCATTCTTTGTCCTTCACTTTTACGTTGAGGTCAACCTCGTCAAAGAAGGTTGCGCGGAGCTGCACCATGGCGGCAAGCTCCAGGATAAATTCTTGTAGGATAATGGCATTGGTGATGATATGGCTGACGCTGGCTTGACTTCGAGGCACGGGCTCTTCTTGCATGCTTGGAGTCACTGTCCCAGAATTCTCACTCCCAGGAAGAGCAAGCCGAAGGTTGCTAGGTCCCGGACTCGAGGTCTGCATGCGCCCGGCCAATACTGGCAAGGATGATGATGCTTCTTCAGGCGCATGAGTATTCACAAGCTGCACCTGTGTCCTCAGAACCGCGGCCAGTTTGCTCTGCGTGCGAAGTGATGCTTCAAGCTGGTTTTCCGTTTCTTTACTGGCGTCCGCTGGCAATGCTGGTCGCTGAGGCGATCGGCCAATTGTATGCTCAGCTAAAGCCATCCGGTGACCAGCTGGCTTACTGATGGTACTATCGATAGAGCCAAATTCCGTGGTCGCAACTTTTCTACCTCTTGGTGTGGTCGGTCTGGACTGTGATTGTGTAGGACTACTTGATCGTGAATCATGATGTTGACTTGTCGTCAGAGTAGTAAGGCGTGTCTGCTCGAAAGGTCGGTTTCTGTTTAAGTTTCGTTCTTGTGGCTCTTCCTCCGCGAGATCTATTCTCCTTCGAGCTAGTAACTGGTCCCATTCCGCAAACTGTGACTTCCACTGTCGAACTTGTTCAATCAACTCGCTAATGATAAAGGTGATGTTGTACGAGGAGTTATCCTCCACATGACCCTGTCCTTCTGTCGGTAAAAACCATCCTACTAAAGACAAGTGCTCACATGCAGTAACGGCTATGATCGCCTCGGTAAGATAGAGATTGGTGATGGTATCGTTCGCAAAGAAGTTGCGTAGCAAAGAGACGATCGCCTCGAAAAGTTTGCAATTACGACCGATTGATAAATCCCGGTGGCCCTGATCGAGCTCGTCAGGACTGCTTGAGAGACAACTGTGCTGTTCAAGGATAATTTGGCCATCGAGTAGAGCCCCTTGATACGAGCTATCCATCCCGTCATATTCAGATATCGCGACCGCATAGTCAAACAGCTGAATCATATTGCTGTTGAACTGATTGACTCCACGCTGGAGCTGTAAATTCGATGCAGGTTCCAGGCGGAAGAGATTCGACAACACATGAGAATGGTGTTTTGACACGATAATGGACAGGAGCTTCAAACAGGCGTTGACAGTTTCGGGGTGGCTGGATTTCAAACTTATCACCATCAAGTCCAGGAGGTTGAACAGATTTGGGGAAGGAGTGTCGTCAACCTCTACCAAAGCTTTCAGGTGGTCTATTGATTTTCTGCGACTGACAGACATCCTTTGCCGTCGGTGTCCCTTTTCTCTTGGCTCAACCGGCACATTCATCGATGCCAAAAGATAGCTCAAGATTCGGTCGACCAGCTGATAATGTTCGAGTGCTTGTAACAGGCGGTAAAGATGTGAGATCACTGCAGCTGTGGAGCCTCCTTCAACATCAGAGGACTCCAGCAGCGAAGGGTACAATAGTTGCTGCACGAAGAGTACCTGAAAATGGTCCAACAAAGTATCTCTGACTTCGACTGATTTACAATGATTCAGCGTATCTTGCCAGAATGCCAAGTAGGAGTAGAAGGATTTGGTCTCGTTTTGAGCGTCTGGATTGGGACTTGAGATCGATTGTAGGGGCTGTGGTTTGTCGGACAGTGCGACGATGGGAATACAAGCTGCTCCTGTGCCCAGAGAATTAGATTGCCTGCTCAATCTGCTATACAAAGCACCAAGACCACTAGCCATTTGCGGTGCTAAATCACTTTCGATCATCCAAGTCTCCAGAGGTTTGAACCTGGAAGCAGTTTCAGTCAAATATAACAAGGCGGTCCTGGCGAAATCGCCCACAGGACCATCATGATGGACGTATTGCACCAGGACATAGAATAAGGGAAATTGACTTCTCCTTGACTCATCTGCACTAGTGCGGCCTCGGGCGTTCTCACGCTCTGGGAAGAACCAGGCGGGGAGGATGTCCGGGTCAGACCTAATCTTTGTCGCAATCTCGAAGAGCAACTCGACTAGGTCGGTCTGCAGCCGTTCCTCAACGATGACTTGGCCTCCTATTGTAGCATAGCATACTAGATCCAGCAGTGACCTCGTGAATAGTTTGCTATCCAGAAGTCCCTCGGCTTCGCCATTAATGAGGACGTGGAAGAGTTGGGCGGATAGACCGATGATCTCCACGTCCCTTGATGAGACGGCTAGCTTTGTGATGATGATGTAGGTCTGACTCGAGGCTACATATCTGAGGCAGGAATGAGGAGCTGCTCGGCGGGACTCGTCATGGAGGAGAGCTTCGAGGCGGTGGAGGAGTTTTGCTGTGTAGGTCAGGGCAGATTCATCTTCTTGCTCGACCTTCCCGCTACGCCATGTGTGCTGAAGCGGTCAGTTACTGTCGAGCAGATGACATGGACATCAGCAGACCTACCGTCAAAGCATTGCATATGCTTTTGCAGGTTGAAAGGCGTTCGGCCGGGGTATTGCTCTGCCGCTTGGTTGGAGAGTTGCCGGAGCCTGCGATCAGACGCGTGAGCTACAAACGAATGCCCGTGTTAGACTTGACCTCGCACAACGTCAAGTGGAAGGACATACAAGATCCATAGTGTCTGTATCTGTAGCTGGTGACTCATATTGCTAGTACCCAAGGTTGACCTGCGCCACAGCAAGGATGGAAGCAGAAGGGGAATCGATGGCCTTCTGACACAGTAGTCGCAGTCTTGGGGTGGATGTGGTGTGGATGGCGGCTGCTCGTCAGGCGTCAGGCGAGTCACAAGGCTGTCAGCATCGCCATTGCTCTCGCCATTCGACATCTTCTTATTGAGGTGCACTTGCCGCCATCTACGCAAGAGGTCTCTAATCTACACTGCTGGTCTAAGTGCACCCCCTCGTAACTTGTACGTATGTCGTATGTCGTTTTGAAGCAACCGAAGCGAGCTTTTCCTCCCAAGGCCCCAACTTTGACTTGTGGAGGCAGTGTCAAAACATCCAAGCGCTAGGCTGAACCACACCGCGTGACGCAACTGAGCAGGCTTGTGGTCTTCGTCCTTATAGTCCGTCATGTCTGCTTCGAACGACGATGCTCGAAATAAACGGGTCGACTCAGAGCCGGCTGAACCAGCAGGGAAGAGCAGCGACAATAACGTGAAAATGGGAGATTCGTTCTACAGCGACCACCATTCGGATCACCATCAGTCTGCCAATGAGATCCAACCAGGCAAGACAGCGACAGGACTCTTTTCTGAACATGGCCATTCTCTCGGTCAAATTCGCCCCATGGCCAAACACTCGGGCACCTCCGTAGCAACCTTCTTCAATGGTCTATTTACCACCATAATCGGTATCTCATCCTTGGGAGCAAGTGTCACATTCTCCTACGTTCTATCCAACAACACACAAGATCCGCCCTCGAGGAACCCAAGATTCTCAACTGAACAAGTCCAGCAATTCCTCGCCATCAGTTGGCTTCTCTTTTTGCTTGGACTGGCATTCGCCTCCTCTGGTTCCACTTTGTTGACCTTCTTCAAGAGTCACTGGATAGCCGATTGGGATGGAATCAACGGAAAGACAAGTCAATGGCAAGTCCAAATGTACGCTATTCTGGCGAGTGGTCTTATGGGTGGCTTGATCATTGGCGCATTTGTCATTTTGTGTCTGGTCGTGGTGGCTTATTCGCCCACGGTTGGCTGGATTTCTGTGTCTTTCACTGCCTTCTTCGGTCTGTTCATTGCTATGGCCATCGTCAATCAAGCCCCTTGGCCATGGCGTGACAATACCACAAGTCCAGCACACAGACACCAGACGGCCTGAACAAATTCAAAAGGTTAAACAGCATATCCCATTGAACCAACGGACTTGGTCTTTGAGCTGAACGGTCCAGTATTGTGGTGTTATATTCAGGCGTGAGGAACTATGCTGTCTGATATCTTCCATCAGCACTTGCAGTATCCTGGTTCTGATATGAATTTTGTCGTGGCAGGCATCTATCTTGGACGGATTGGGAATTCGTCCGAGCCCGGATTGCCATGATGTTAAAACAAGCTTGTATCGTCATGTAACTCCAAGCTGACGTCTGATTGAGTGCATCATCTATCACTGCGTGCAGGCATATGCTGACGCTAAAAATACCATATGTAATTCGTATCACATACAGGAGAAGGGATCGGGTCGACCGAAAAACTGTTCAGAATAATCGTGTACCTTTTCAATCAGTATCATCACTACTGTTAGCTTTCCTCTTCCTTCCTCCCTTGCCTTTCTTCTTGGGGGCAATGTCGTCTTCGCTGTCTTCGCTCTTTGCTTCGGATTTGGCTCGTCCCTTTTTAGATCCTTCATCCGGGACGTTTTCACAAATGTCAGTTAAGAAATCGTATTGGCCGTCTTTCATCAGGGCTGCCTTCAGATGTTGAGCAGTGACCCGTTTAGATCGATTGGCTTTTGCTTCCTCAGCTCCCTTGCTCACCAGGGCAATCATGAAAAGCTCAAGAGCTTTGGCTGTGTTGTAGTCAGTCATCGATTCCTAGCTGTTTGAAGAGGAAGCTTACCAACTGCAGTGGGGGTCGCTTGGGCGACTTTGCCCACGTCTTCATCGGCCTGCATAATTCGTTTGATCCGAGCAACGGGGAATTTTGTTCTCACGTCGATGCCATGAGCTGGGTCGGGCAGGGCCATAGGCATGGTGGGCGGAAATGACTCTGACTTGACAGGCATTGCCTGTCTTGGTGGACCGCGTGGGTCATAGTTCAGGTCGAGCTGCTCCTCTGCCCGCTGCTGGCGTGTTCGAGGCATCTCTCCGTATGATTGGTGCAGGGCGGGAGCCTGCAAAGGGTAATGTTGGTTAATAGGTTCTGGCTGGAGTTGGGCGTACCCGAAATCTGGTTGATAAGGATGTTGTGGTTGAGAGAAAGTTGGTGGTGGCGGAGGGTTGTGATAGAATGGACCTGGAGGTTGAGAGTAGGGTTGCTGTTGTGTTCTGAATGGTGGTGGTGAAAATTGCTGAGGAGTGGTGGGTGGTTGAGTCCTAGGACCGAAATAAGAAGTCGAGGGAGTTGTAGTTTGTGGAGAAAAGAAAGGTGAAGCGTCGTAGGAGCCACGGGGCGAAAAAGAATAACCAGCAGGAAAAGAAGAGTCTGGATAGGATGGAATTCGGCTCAGTTTAGGCGGTGGAGGTGGCTGCAGCGCACTAAGGTCTGGACTTTTCGGCCTGTAGTTTTCTTGTTCTTCGTTGCGGTTCATGTCTTGGTGATTTCCGTAAGTTTGGTCTGGGCGATTGCAATTCTGGTAATACTGAGGTGGCTGGGGCAGTTTGAGGTGCGTATCAACGACATTTTGGAATGTAAAGGTAGTATAGCAATGCAACGTTCTGGCACGGTCTTCACGTGGTAGCGTGCATGGTCACCAAAAATGCAAGAGCAATGCTGAATGTATCTAGATATCACGTGGGAACTTGGTCCGCTGGTGACTGATGGATGACGAGGTGGAAGGATCAATGTAGATCCGGGAGATAAGATAAGATGTGGTCACTGGGTGTTTCGGAGAGAGACTCGGAAGTTCGGGGGATCCTTTCCCAAGCACAGATCGGATGCCAGAAAACACGCAACCACAAACACAGGCTGAGGTGAGGGGCTTCGGCCCAGGCGAGGGGCGCGATGGACCTTATAAAATCTTTGGCCTGGTCGTTGGATCATCCCAAAGAGCTCCAGGGTGCGCCAGGCTAACTCTAAAACAACCCTGCCCGATCGCATCAGCCATCCACAGCGCGCCATTTGCCCTGTGCCATCCCGCTCTAAACAGGCCAAGTCCCTGCTTGACTATGTTTCCTTCCCCACCACTGCGCTCCCACCCAGTGTGTACCGCACCAATCTCGTTCTCGACGCGTATCAGGACTCAGGAGCCAGGCATAAAGATTTGGGCCTTTCTGGCTTTCCGCCCGTCAGCCTTCCCTGCAGATCATGGCTCCTGTACGAGTAGAGATTCCATCCTCAGCCTTACGAACTCCAATACTCAACGTTGAGTGAATACATGATTCTGCTGTACCATTTTCCTGACTCTCTATGGTCTACAATACCAACTTGTTGACTCAAACAGCTGAGTTTGCCGCTGTCATGCGATCTCTGCCCATGACGAGGCCTCCCTGTATTGTAGACGCGCCTGGCGGGTCTTGGCCAGTTCGCGTCATGACTGCCCGCCGTAACTCCGGACGCTGGGACTTAAACTTGACTTCAGACAAAATCCATCAACATCTGACTAGCCAAATGATGACAGAGCAAGCTGAGGTTGAGTTCTAGTTAAGTGGCCATGCAACAACCCAGTCCAAGCTGTGGTCGTAGCTGGTCACAACACTAGAATTATTCCATGAACGACTTTAAAACTTGATCTAATCTGATGGCATGTCTAATGTTGAATCGAGTTCAAGTCTCTTTCGACGCCTTTACAACTTTTGACGCCATACTCGAGGCCATGATGTATTCAGTTATGATGTCAAGCCCTGACATTCGTTCCTCTCGACTTGCCCCGAGAAACAGATTGACGACCGGCCAAGCGTGAATCCCAGCTTTATGTTCATGTTCCTTTACTGCCGCCCCATTGGTCTTCATATTTTTGATCATCTGATGGATACCAGGCTCAAAAACTTCCTCGCTCCCATACACAATCCGATAGCCGTTGATCGGCGATGCGTGCTTCCATCGACCTGTGCTTAATCCCGGAGATATAACTTCATCCGTCGTGGTTGATGTCCCCGCATATTGCTTTGCATACAGATGCAGACTCTCTCGATCTAGGTAGTCACTCGGCGTATTCTGGTTGAGTGATGAGACGAGGTGAGTCCATGGAGACATCAAAATGGCCAATCCAGGTTTGTGCAGTGCTTGAAAGTGAGGATCCTGCTCCAGGTGTCCTGGCTGAAGCAACATACTGAGGATAAGCGTCGCCCCAGCAGAATCTCCACTGACGCAGATTTTCGCGGCCGAACCATCGCCAAAGGCATCTTGCAGGAAAGTGTAGCCAGACCTGGTCTCGTTAAATTGCGTCGGCCACTGGGCATCAGGAACCAGGGTGTACTCTAGAGCAAATACCGCCGGATTATCGAAGCCGCTCTCCTTTAATCGAGTAGCCCAAGCCATGAGAAATTCGATATAGAAGTATGCTGACCCCATGGAGAAACCGCCGCCTTGTCAGAGATATTAGCACAACCAGGCAGCCTTCCAATAGGTCAATGTATTTACCATGTGCGTAATATATTACAATGTCCGGATCGGAGTTTGGATTATCAACTATCCACAAACCTCTTACGCCACGTCTGATGATCTCTCGATAGTACATGGGACAATGCAGATAGCCATGTCGAAGGAGCCTGAAGCGAAAGAATGGATAGGCCACCCATTTTGAAAAGAAAACCCTTCCGATGCTGGCGGGAATGTTTGCAAATGCATAGCGGACACATCGGATGACCAGGTCCTGGAAAAGAGTGGCATTCCTTGTAAATGGAGACTGTTGGCTCTTGTTCGTGTAGCTCCGTTCACGTATTAATTGAAATGGCAATCGGAAAACTGGGAACGTTGTTAACGAGGTTCGTTATCATTGTGAGCGGGTATCGCTGCTTACTCAGAAATGGTATCACTTTTGCTATGACAAGAACAAGGGAAAAGATGCCTGCTTGGTACAGAAGCTGAGGAATGAGGATTATAACAAAAGCCAAACAGTCGAGGAGACTGATTGGTCCTAATATCATGGTTGAAACCCAATGTGGTCGTTTCGATGTACAGACTTTGGAATGTCTAGTGAGTTTTCCCAGCACAATAATGTCGGTTGAATGAAACGAGTGTCAGAATAGATAGAAACAAGAGAACAATGTAAGAAGGGCAAATGGAACCCCAAATATACCTCTCAATCAGCTGGAGGCCCTTGAACCCCAGTAATGTAGTTCATTGCCTTTGTTTCTGTGCGAACACTGTTCAAGAAATATGGATCGTGACTTCATCGACTTTGGAGGGCGGCTTGTCTATTCGGTACCTTGTAGACGCTCGCCTTGTCGGCCGCATTTCATCAGGAGTTTATCAATCATCATTGCGTTATGAGTCTTCCGTTCGGGATACCTTAGGCTCCCAGTGGCTGAGGGGCTTCCCCAGGCGGCCAGGCACAAGGTGGAGGAGCCCTGGGCGTCAAGTTAGTGATAAATGGACCGCTAAAAGCGGTAGCAGGGACGCCTAACTAACTCAGACCGCAGTAGTCGATCTCGGCTGTCGGTCGCACCATGAACCCATCTTGCCTGCTCTTGCCTGCTTGGGTTGCTCTTGCGACTACGGCTGCCTTTTCGGCTGGACGAGTTTGCACCTGATCGGCTCTCCATCAAAAATTACATGCCATGATACTTCTGGCTTCAGTATTACACCACAGCCACCACAACATCTCTTCTATTTTATCTATCTCCCTTCACGACTGACTCGAAAACCTAAATGAAAATGCACTCCTTCACCCTCTCGTAATGGCGCTTTCTTGCCTTGTTACTCCAATAGCCCTAGACTGCATCCACGTCTCGACCCTGCGCCGTTGCAGCCTGCCATCCATTCCTTGTGTCTTCCAACCCACACAGCAAGATGGCTGATGCGGACTTGGTCGCATCGCTAGCCGACACGGTCAGGTGAGTTACCTCGCGGACTCCTCGAATCCTAGATCAGGAACTAATCTGGACAGCGCTTTGGGCCTGGAGAAAATTCCAGATCGACTTCATTGTAATGCCTGCCACAAGTTCAACCTCAATGCGTATAAGACAACATGTTGTGATACAGTGATTTGTGAATCATGTTAGCTGGAAGCTTCCTCGTCATGAACCTCTATTAACGGGCCCCAGGTTTTACTTCTCGCTGCGACATTAGTTGTCCCATATGCGATCATAAGCCTTTCAACAGCGATGTGTGCAAGCCTAACAAGGCCATGCGAACGACGGTCAAATCTTACCTTAAGACGATAGAGAAGGCAAAAGCAGAGGCGAAGGTCGCAGAACTGAACTCAGCAGACAATAACGTGCAGTCTGAGCAGACAAACACTGCCACAAACGGGCATGCAGAGGTGAATGGGTCTGTGGTCATGGTGGCAGACGCGATATCTGCAGGTACAGGGGAACGCGAGACCACTCCCGCGAATGATGTTCAACCCTCTATAGAAGTAAGTCGCGCCCTCCTCACTTTCAGCTTCTCTCACACAAATGCAGGATCCTGAGCCAGACTCCTGCGAACCAGACGACGATCATGTCGAGATTCAAGTTGAGCCCGACGAGGACCAGGACGACATCCCTTCGCAAAAAAAAATCATCATCGAAGATCCCGCCGAGGATCAATACAACGCTGATCTGGAGAAAATAAACAACAACAAAGGTACCTTCTCCAACAGTCAAGACCAAGCCACTACCAACGGTATGGACCCAAACGATTTCTCCAATATGATGAATGGTTTCAACAACATGGACTACAACCAGATGATGCAGATGATGGCAAATGGCATGGGCAATTTCAATCCAATGATGGGTAAGTTCGACCTGCACCACCGCTACGCAAATTGGCCAACTGACAACCAGCAGGAATGCCCATGGGAATGAATTCAATGTCACCAGGCATGTTTGGTGGATTTGGCAGCCCCAATGGAGGCATGAATAATATGAATGGCATGGATATGGGAATGAACTTTAATTCCAACCAAGGGATGTATTCTGGCTGGAATAACGGCCAAAACAACAATATGTGGCAGAATAATAATGCAAATGCATTCTCGAATGGCATGGGTGGTGACTTCGGTTCCAACTATGGTTTCAGTATGGCACAGTCTGGCAATTTCCAGCAGCAATACCCCAATGGTGATTTCCAAAATGGCTATTCTGGCCGTGGCTATGGCCGCGGTCGTGGTCGCGGTCGCGGTGGCTACGGTAGAGGCCGTGGTAATTTCAACCAGTACTCGCAATTTCAGCAGCAGCAGCAGCCATCTTCTAGTGGACCCAATCAATACGACAACCAAGCGATGCGTTCCCAAAACACAGATGATTATAAGAATGGCACCTCTGCCAACGAACCATCAAACACCAACATCGACCACTATGACCACGAGCACGACGAATTTGCTCCCGGTGGGCAAGACGACATACAGGAAGCCTTAGGTGAAGACTACCAAAAATCCACTAGTGCTGATAATGATAAGAAGGCCTCAGATCCCCTTCCAGTCACAGGTGAAGAGACTCACCAGGAGATAGGCTCTCAAAACAAACCAAATGCCGAAGCAGAATTTTGCGCCAATGGTTCTATCAAGAATGTCGGCGATGCTCCAATCCCAATACCATCGGTAGCTACAGATGACCCAACGCCAGCGTCTGATCAGCCGAAGCCCATACCCGCAGCATACGAGGAAGACCTCCAAGGCCCCATGCCACCACCGTCTGCGCCACTAGGGCCTGCAGCTCAGTATGACTATGGCTATCGCGGTCGCGGACATGGTAGATTTGCTCAACGTGGTCGTGGTTCGATCTCTATGCAAAATGGTCATTCTGCTCCCCAAGTAAAGCCCAACTCTCAAATGCCCCTGGCTGCCCCTGGCGTTGTAGGAGCTCCTACGGGCCCAAGAGCTATGCGTGAGCCACCCGCACCTTCAAGACCAGTTTCCCGCCCTGCAAGTGTAAGTTCGGGTTTTCATTTCATTGGCCGGGCTTCGATGGGCTCTCCCAAAAGACCAGAGTCCCATGGCCTTGAGACATCTGCGGTCAAGACACCCACTTCAAGTGAGCATGATGACTATAAAGCAAAGGATGATTCGAAGACATATCCTCGACAGGAAAACTACGCAAGTTCAAAATATGATGTCGACGAACAAGATGGCAATGAGCGAGAGAAGGAGAAGGACAGACCATATAGACGATCGTCTAAACGATCGTCCTATGATGATTACGACCGAGACGAACGACAACCTTCAATTGATGCTTCAGATTCTGCCGATAGAAAGGCCTTGAGGAGAGGTCGTGGTGACAAACCGAGGGCAACATCATCCAAACTCCAACTCTCTCGCTCACGGGCATACCATGAAGACGCCAATGGTGACCATGAAATGGAAGACCACGAGGAATCCAGTCGATCCCACCGTGATGGACGCGATGGACGCGATGGCGGTGATAACAGGAGCAGGCACCGAACCGGTCGCTCTTCCAAATATGACGACCGTGATCGAGAACGAGATCGTGAGAGGGAAAAACCCAGAGATCGAGATCGAGACCGAGACCGAGACCGAGAGAGAGACCGAGACAAAGAAGATCGATATCGCGAAAAAGAACGCGACCGAGATCGAGATCGCAAACGATCGCGGCACGATCGACATCGAGAAGACGACAAGGACTATGACAAGGACTATGACTACGAGCACCATGATGATGACCAGGAATCTCGGCATCGGTCACGAAGGCATAAACGGGACCATCATCGCCAACAAGAGAATGAAGAGTATTCCAGTACAGCTGTTGCGACTACTAGCCGCTCACATCGATCCAGCGCCACAGGCACCCCGACTCCCATTGCCTCTGCTGCCGTTGTAGCAATGGATAAGGACCCGCATACATTAGAACGTGAAGCAAGGAACCGCGAGCGCATGCTCAAGGAGCAGCAGCGGAGAGAGAAGGCTGCCGCAAAATCCGTTTCCGCTGGTGGTGGTGGTGGTGGCGGCGGCGGCGGCGGTGGCGGTGGTGGGGAGCATCACTCCTCGCGAGGAAGCCGGCGTGTCACATACAAATACGAAGACGACATCGAGCGCAGTCTGGCGGAGAGTGAGCGATCGAGTTCTAGGTGGAGGTGAGATGTGATGTCTCTGTGTTATGTACTTCAAGCCTTTGGTTCGAGGCCCTTGGCATCCTGTAACACTCGGGTTTTCTTCCTCTTGCGTTAGATGAAATGCTGCTCATAATGGCAACACGATAACCTGGAATCCATACTTCGCCATCATACAGCCGTCATACCGCACAATGCGCATCTGGGCTATTAATTAAGACGAAATACTCACTTGCATGAAATCATGTTCTACAGTTATTGTGTTTTAATTTGCACTTCCTTCCTTCCTTCCTTCCTTCCCTCCTTCCTTCCTTCCCTCCTTCCTTCCTTCCCTCCTTCCTTCCTTCCCTCCTTCCTTCCTTCCCTCCTTCCTTCCTCGTTTGGCGTGAGGCGTGTGCTCACAATTACTCCGCGTCCTGCTCACCACCTGTAAAGGACGTACGGCGACCTGTTAGAAGAAGCGTAGAAAGGAGAAGAAAGCAGAAGGCAAGAATCTCCGCGTCGCGGCCTCCGGGTCCTCGATTTCCTAGGACTATTGTCTCACCTGCGTTCTCCCAAAACAGCCCCCTCAATCCAAGCCAGGGAAAAGAAGATTGTTTGAAAAGGATGAAAATTGAGCCAAGATAGACGAATAATATGATATGCTATGCATGTGACATTCATTCCAGCACCCGGTGTTCCCGTCGCTGCTAACTCCCTTTTTGAGGGAAAATCAAAACCCAAAACCCAAAATTCAAAGCACGTTCAGAAAACATAAAGGGGCATATCGTCGTAGCTTCGCGTGGTTGAAAGCCCTTGGGGGGGGGAGCGGGCCGGTAGAGGTAGAGGGGGTTGATTTGAACTCTAAAAAAGCTCGTTCGTGCCGAGAAGGCCGGCAATCGCCAGCATAATCCCGGCTGGAGTGCTCATTCCCATCACCAAACCCTTCTGCCTGCTCCCGGCGCTCGAGAGCGAGCTCATGCTGGTGGTCGCCGCTGACATCGTCGCAGAAGCTGTTCCTGAGCCAGACGCTCTCTCCTCAGCCGCACCATCTGTCGAGCTCGCCGTGGCCGTGGACGAAGTTGGCTTTACCGGAATGACGGTTTTGGTGATCTCACCGTTTGTCTGTGTCACGGTCACTGGGCCAGTCGCTGTCGCGAGGATATCCACCACCTCGGCGTTGCCGGCGTCAGAAGAGTATGAATTGCCGTGGTCGTCGCCGTTGGAGTCCGTGTACGCGATGCCCACGCAGTCTGCCCGCCATGACCCTATATGCTCGGTTTCGCCGGTGTAGAAACAGGTCCCAGCGGCCAGGAGGAGTCCAGAGATCGTCGAGGGGCTGCATGTTGCTGAGTCGTAGGTGCGCACTGGTGAGGGGTGAGTTAGAGCGAAGCTTAGGCAGGGCAAAGGCAGAAGAGATGGCGCAGATATGGAGTTTTATGAGTCAGGAATACATACGCGTGCACCCCTCGTCAATGTCAGAGATATAGATCGCGACCGACCCATTGGGCATCTGGTGACAATTCAAATCGGAGGTGAGCGGGTTGGGGTCGGTGAGTTGATAAAACGCTGTGCCGGCATTGCACGAGCTGTGCTCGAAGAAAGAGAATTGGCTTGACGCGTAGACTTGTGAGACAAGGGATGAAGAAATGGCCGTGGAGATGAGGAAGGAGCGCAACAAGTGGCATGATGGTGGTGTAGGTGTTCGCATCCTTGTGACTTTGTCGTACTAGAGAGTACAGTGGTTTTAGTTGGGTGGACTTCGACTAGAATATCTGCGATATCTCTTCATGCAGCAATCATGCGGAGTCTGGGGGTGCTTCTCGTTCATGGGACTGCGAAGTCGTCAAAGACGGGCCCGAGGGGTGTAGAGCAAGGAATATATTGGCGGCAAAAGCGCGACATTGATCTTTAGCAACTGCCATTCAGGGGAGACTCAGCAACTTTGAAGGGCGAATAAGGCCGTCGACGTCGAGCACAGGCATTTTTCTTTTCTTGTCGACAATTTTGAATGTTCTTGACTCTTTTGAGATAATACTGGGATGTGAGGTGTTGGCACATTCCATACCAGGACATCAGCACAGAGCCGTGGTTCGCAAATTGCAAATCTCGCGCCAATGCACGTCAACTGTCACTGCAAGGCTGCCACCCAAGAAATCCAATCTCCAGTCATCAGATGACTTCATTCTCGCGATTGCCCACCTTATTAGTGGTAGCTTTTCCCCCCCTCCCAAGTGTGTAGTGTAAGGTGTTAAGGCGGGAGTGTTATCCTCGGTACATCCCCCTTGTCGCAGTTGTTCTGGGCGCCCTATCGCCTCTTCTGTGATTTAGTCCACATGGCTACAAAATCAATTTTGTCTTTAACTCCCAATCCGACTCTCTTGACGCGTCCTAATCTAGCTAAAGCCTCGGCAATCTTGTCTAGAAACGCTCTTTCTTCTTTGGTTGTAGGGCCCTCGCCTTCCTCGCTTCCAACTAATGTGTCGGCATCGCTCGCCGCACCATCCGATCCCAGAGTGTCCAAGTAGTTGGCATTAAGGGAAGAGCTCTTCGCGATTGAGTCTATCGATCTCTTTGACACGTTGAATATAGCTTCCGCAATCCGGATGCGAATGCAATGTGAAGGCTTGCTGCAAAGGTTCCAGAGAAAGGAGAAATAGTTGTGCGGGATAGGGGTAGTAACATCTGCCGGTGTATACCTCAAACTGACTGGGAATACCTTGGTGCGAGCTGATACTGCAAGAAGACTAGGACTCATGGGAAGGATGCCCCTCCCATTCGTTGTGGTACATTCCGGGAAAACAACAGTAATGCGATTCGAGTTTCGCTTCATGAAAACATCCAAGTCGACAAGGTTGACTCCATCCGGGGGATAAAGCTTTGGGTGTGTGAAAGATCGGACAACGGCTTGGAACAGCGATATCGGCTCCACCAGCCGAGTATGTGGATATGTAGCCACGAAGACAGGGTCAAAGATGGCAGCAAGGTAGAGTGCGTCAATAGGGGAAGCTCTCGACGAGGTAATAATGGACCCGTTTTGAGGAAGGCGGGCGTTGTTCTGTGCCAAAGACCTGTAGATATCAATATCAGTATGCGCTCTGTACCGGTCAACAAGAATTGCTCGTCTCTTACCCTTTCTTTACGCCATCAATCTGTAGATCGATCCACCATATTCCCGGTATTCCAAGAATGCACCACAGAGATACCTTTCTGCCAAAGACGCCGATTGGCATCCATTGGAGGAATGCAAAGTACGAGAAGGCAAAGAGTAAAAGGAGCGGCACACGACAGACGAAGAGGAAGATGTGAAAGGGTAGTTGAATTCCTTTTGGGTCAGGTGGGATCGGGAGAAAGGGAGCAATACCAGATCCTACGGTGACTGTCAGTGCGTGCGAGCTAATGTGGCAGGCTTGTGAGAAATATTCACCCTTGTCGCGATACTGCGAGAACTTCTCCATTTTAGGCAGGGCAAGTACCACACAAAATTATACAGTCAATCGTAGAATGCTCAGAGGCGGAAAAGAAGGCGCAAGAAGTAGTAGGACATAGCCTAAGCAATGTATGTCTTTCGTTGCCAGGTCATGTGTTGCAATTCAGAAAGCAGGTCGGGGGGAGTAATTAGGCGAAGTGCCGGTACCTGTTCATCAGGACGAGTTGACTATATATGAGAAATTGGAGAAATGATGATGTTGGGCATCGGCACCGCAGGCTTGGAGAGGGCTTTGTGGGTAGGATAGTGGCTTTGGTTGCAGGCGAGGTTTAGTCGACTGGTTTTAACGCGGTGGACGGATCAATGAGCGACGAATAGACCGTGAGAGAAGACACGGAGAGGGTAATGATAGCGGTCAATAGCCTGTTAGGCGGGCGTTAGTAGAAGTTATAGTCGCAAGAGAGTGGAGCGAGAGGATCACAGCGATGATGGAAGAGACGAGAGCTTTGGTTTTCACATGTCACCTTGACACGTTGAAGCCGGATGAATGACATTGCTGAAAACGGGTTGGCGGCTTGGCATAATTGTCAACGTCCTTGGATCCTGCCGCTTTTAAACGAATGCTCCTGCCGCTCCAGGCTCCGTCTTGGCCACCAACTTATCAAGATGATTCTGATAAGAGCGCTGTTGTGTTGGGCTGAAGTGAGTGCGTTAGGTCCTCCCTCGCCAATTCCAATGGAGCGAAGAGCTGGCACCCAAAGATGTGGTGGATGATTTGCGCAGGGTCGCAAAGGGGGCCACCACTAAATGCAGCATTGTCGCGAGGCTAGATCACGCGGGTAGTCTGTTCGGAATGAAGAATCCATTCAGCACTGACAGTCTCCATCAGATATATAAAAAATACCGGCTAGCGGTTGTCGGATATTCTATCTGATGTGCCGTTTATCTTTGTTTCGCCTATGCTGCAATTCAAGATGGTGGGAGTCACGTCAGCGGCCGCGGTGCTGAGGGTGGTTCCAAGTCCTCCAAAGAACCCGGCTGGCCATTCCCGTGTCTGTATGCCTCTCGCATATGACCGCGGTGTCCTGTCTCTGGACCCAGTGCAGAGGCAGCACGTTCTAGCAGCTGGGTAACAACTTGCCCATGGCCGCGCCTCGCGGCTAATGACAATGGTGTCTGACCAAACATGTCTCTGGAGTCGAGGTGAACCCCATTCAAACACACGACTGTCCAAGATTGGATATTTGGTGAAGTCACTGAGCATTGGGTGCCATCCGTGCACATTTCAATGCAGAACTGACTCCAAACCCTTGCTTGCGCAGCTACATCACGTTGCAGACTCTTCGACAGAGTGGTCATCCGCATGCGTATTCATATCCGCCCTTCGTCCACAGATTTCATGTTCTTGGACTCATCTGCGCCATGTAATCTACCACGTCGAAGCAGGCGCCTTCGTAACCAAGGAGAATCCTTGAACTCCTGGGGACTTCCCTACCTCCTCGTACGAGTGGTCGCTGACAGCCGGGAACGAAGTGATACGAACATAGGAGGCAGCAAGAGGCAGAAGCTCACTGCCCCTTGTTTTCCTTGCCAGTATTACGACTAAACTTACGTATCAGGTGTGTAGTTACCAGGGCTCGAGCATCGAGTGTTTCGGATCCGTTGGACGTTATGTACGCCCGCAGTTTAGAATGCAGTGAAGCCCTGACCCCTGGTGGTTCTGGTCTCCACTCCTTCTTGCTCCAAGTCGTTTTTCTTCAAAGTCAAGCCGAATCTGAGACTTCGTACTTATAGAACCAACCCAGCCTCGCCCAAGAACTCGACACGCCGAGTTCGCCCACACAATTCAGTTGTCGCTACGAAAATGTTGTATGCATGAAACAAATTCTTTTTGCCCTGCTCGTAGTTACTTTCAAAATAGGAAGTCTGCTAGCCGAATCCACCCGAGAATCAGCCAAAGAAGTCTCCATTCCGTGGGGTCCCTTCGGTCATTGCGCATGAGCAGCGAGAACATGTCCAAAGTACTTTGGAGTACCACAAGCGTAAGACCGTCAGTACTCCAAAGCTCTTCAGATTTTGAAGGCAGTTGCCATTACCAAGGTAATGGAACAGACTTCAAGTTCCACCAATTTCATGCAGTGACTCGAGAACACAATATGTACAGGGTAAACAAGGTCGTATTCTGGGCCACACCGGCCTGAGAAAAAGCACAAAATAATTTCTGAACTGCCTGCCACCTTTTTTTGAATAAGAGAAGCCATTGCCCGCCAACATAACCTCGACGTCCTTACGATGGAGGATAGACCATGCTTGGCAAGGCTGTGACTCCTTTTGTGTGAATCCGGTGAAACACTTTGGCCGCTTAGACTCACCATTCAGCACCTGGCCAGCTGACTCCCCCAGCAGCATCAATGATGAGTTCCCACCTCTCTTATCGGACTAGTGCTTAAGCAGATGCACCAAGGGTCCAACAAGGTGGATTCAAAAAGAGAAGTGCGAATGATTTTGCTTTACATTTTACACTGCTACTTAGGAGCGATCTAGTAGAACAATTTTAGCTCGCGCGCCAAATTGACTCCGACCTCAGCTACCCCATAGATCCTTCAACAAAGTCAAGGACTGGGGCCAGGATGTATATCTAAGACTCTGCGATACACTAAGAGTGGATTGAGAGGTAGCCAACCCCAAAAGATAGAAGGACTAGAAGTAGGAACTAAAGTTGCAGAACAAGAGTAGAGCAGCTCAAGCAAAGCGTTTAATGTCCAGCTGTCAGTTCCCGGTAGCTCTATTCGTTCTTGAGCGCTGCTGGTTGCCTGCATGATTGCCGAAAAGAAGGCCAAGACGTTCACTGGAGGCTATAAAATTCAGATTTACCAACACAATACGTTGCTCCAAGATTAATTACAGGATAAATATCATAATGAAACTTGGCTGCATGCCTGCCAACTTACTGTGGTGGCCTGAAGTTGCGCTCTTCACTGTTTTCCATCAATGTTGAAGGACCTACAGACTACAGTCTACCTGAGCTGATTGGTCTACACGCACAGGGAAACCTTGGCTGGTGGCATTGAGTAGATTAAAAGTGATACTCGATGAAACACAGCTGAAGCTACCAGGTTAAGGAATTAAGTTCTGCTTGCGATCTCCATAGACTTTTCCTTCTTCACTATGTGATAGATATATATCATCCATACATGAATTTTCTTTACTACCACATGAATATATATCCACCAAGTTATTCCTCATCGCCTGAAGAACCCAGTAAAAGTCAGTGGATACAGAAGCACATTCTTCAATTACTTCTTGAAGTAAACAGGACTGCTCTTTAGATAGCGTACTAGGTAAGTCTTCCAATTTCCAAATATGTCTACGTTTGATCAAATGTAGAGCAGTGATAAGAAAACTACAGCAGCTAGGAGAATTTTGATTGTTACCCCTAGGCGTTTGTTCGTATAGTGATTTGCACCTGCACCGGACCGCAACATCACAATGCCATGGTTCTGAAAAAGAACATTTTTCACCAACAAAGACAGGCAAAAAAAGGCTCTCCAGAACCTCTCACGGCTACATGACTGAACACCACCAGCGTCTACCTTTTTCATTAGGTCCTTGGTCAAAATGAAAACTCTGGTCCAGAGGGCATTCTGGTGAATCCCAACCAGGGAAAGAATCCTCGCTATCAAACGTAGGATAGGATTCTGGCGCTTCCCCGCTCCGAGAATCCATAAAGACCCTCACGGCTCGGGCAAGGAGTCTAATTAGCTGCTATATTGTGGATATAGCTCGTCATTGAAACAAATTGAACATTACCTTGATCCTGCGAATCTAACGTACTTCCTCGATTAAATTCTCCGTAATGCTTCAAGTGCTGGCCAGCTGAAGTTTGCTCGAGATTGCAATGGTTGGCGACCTCGTCATAGATCTGCAGTGCGAGGCCAGAGGGATAACCATAGCGGCTCGCTATCAGGGCCAGAGCTCGAGATTTTCGCTCTTCGTCCTTTACACCAATACGCAATGTCGCAAATTCGCCAGGAACCCCCACTAAACCATGATGATAAAATATCGCGGCGGACCAAGTTAATCTGCTGTTAAGACTGTTCGCTTTCCACTTATCAATGCGTTCGAGCTTGTCTTGAATCCCATATGAATCTAGCCTATCCCATTTCGTGGTTACGATAGTGACATTTGGCATGTAACTTTCGCCACCAAATTTATACAACCAAGTGAAAATCTTTTCAGATTTGACTGTGATCCTGTCTTCCTGCATTGCGTCTAAGTATATAACACCTCTGAACCTGACATAGCGGTAGAGAGAGCCATTGCTGTCATGAGCATTTTGAAGATATGCCAATCTTCCAGATCTCTTGTGCTAAAGCCAGGCTTGTCGAGGAATAGATACCGCTTCCATTCAATTATGGCAGGAACTAGTGCGGTAGTAGTCGTGCCTTGGGTATATTGATAGAGTCTCAAGTGCACAGCAGAAGAATTTGGCTCTTACCAGATATGAGTTGAGATCCAACATATAAGTCTTCACCAGTTACAAGCTTGATGAAGGATGACTTCCCAACTCCACCTTCACCAGTCACAATAATGAGATCAACTCCAATACTTATGAAATGTTTTAGCTCTAGTGATGCAGTGGAATGAACCAAGCAGGGGATTGTTGCTTACTATTTGTCCATGAAATCTCAGACTGGTTGGGTCAGTCCTTGACTTACGCGTTCTGAAAACGCTTTCCAACCATTTGTGACGGCATAGAACCCCTCCTTTACACCATTGGTTAGAGACACCATCCCCGAAAGCTTAGCCGAAAATCGGATTTAAGACGTCGGTTCACAGAGATACAGTGGTACTGTTTCGCGATCTTGATTCTACTATGGCTAACTGGGCGCAGAACAAAGAGATGAATGTGGACGCGGTGATTCAGCAAGGCTGCAGAATTAAGAAAAAGAAAGATTACAACAAGCCAATGATCGGATATGATCATTCTTATAGTTCTCGGTAAGTCCCATCCTACTCATCTCTTAATCCAAGAGGACTCGGCTTCGACCGCAGGGGTCTGAGAGGTTAGCCAAATTTGGAATCCTAGCCTACTGAGATACCAACAACATGGGCGGAGTGTTTACAACTCAGCACCAAAACCAGCCAGAGATCGCAATTGGATGGAGCTCCTCGTATTTACGTAATCGCGATTCAGGCTCCTTTGCCTGATAAACGGTGACCAAAGGGCTGAAGCGAGGGCACCCCTGTTCTATCGGTGTCAGCGCGAGCATATACACTAGTAAAAGAGCCTAGTTTGTGGAGGGGAGATACTGATGCCTAATTAACACGCTGCTTCAGGGATGCTCTCTTCCAGCAGGGCAAAGACACAGTGCTGGTGAAGATTTGACACTTGTCAATTGCATGGCGGGGAATGCTCAGAACGACATTCGAGAAATTGAGGAATATAACATGGACGGTGGATTACCGGTTAAAGAACCAAGGGACAGATCAATCCTCCATCAGGACGTAGACACGTAGGGTGATACCCTTGCCGCTTGATGTCTACAGACTAAATGATCTCAACATTTTCTCAGATTTCCGGCGCTTGTTATGGTTCACTGGAGTCCATTTCCGACGATGCTTCAGCTCATCAGTCTGGGAGCGAGATGACTGGGGACTGCACTGCAGAGGGAAGAAACTCAGAGTTGGACTGCGGGCTCTTAGCAACATGCACAGCAAGATTAGCGCCGGCTTAGCGGAGATCTGCAATGGAGAGTCTGACAACGGCCAGGCTCTGCTACGTACAGCCTTGAAGGTCAATGAGTCGGTGGTCGCGACACAACACCACCGTCAGATCCCGAATCTCCTGGCCATCATGACCCTCCTCCGCACAGATGGACGAGATCGCGACTACAACACCCTGACCAATCCCCTTTCAGCCCACGCGCTCGAATATCTACCTAGTTGCGATCCACGTAGGGAGGTAATTCCTGTCTTACCGCGACTGCCGATGGATAAGGAAGGGGGGCTCTACATAGCATTTGACAGCTTTTGTCGGCATGCTTGGATGTCCGCTGTTGATGGCGACCCGCTGAAAGCGTATTATTCTTACAATCAAGCAAGCTTCACCAGTTTTTATGCAGGTGAATTTTACAATTTCTTTAGGAAGAAGCAAACCCATGAAACCCAACAAACCCCCCGCAATGCTGACCAAGGACTTGGGGAAGAGAGCCACGAGGCATTCATGATATGACACACTGTAATTCGATACCTCATGGGTGAGAAAATGAATGCAGATGCCGAGGAGGTCGTCCAGATTTTCATTAGGCGGGCATTTAGACGCGGATTCGACGAGAGATACCGTCAGGAGCAGCCGCAGTATAGCTTGGATGTTGCGTTGACCTTTTACCTATTGGGTTCAGCGCAAGAGGAACCAAGGGAAATCCTCCATAGCGATGAAAAACCTCGCAACGTCGATTTATATGCGGGGCATGGTTGTTGAGGGAGCCGCTTGGGATGCAACCAGAAATTCGGCTTTGAAGGGATTAGAGATGATTGCTGGTAATCTGGCGTAAGCTTGAAGGCGAAGTTAAAGCAGGCAATCAACAGACGATTACCTACTCACATTTCCTCATGATGCTGCTAGCGAGAAGATCGTCGAAAATCACAAATCGGCTCACCAAAAGGTGACAAAGTTCTCCCAGGCGACTGAAAGTCAACGTCATTTGACTTAAAGAGGAAGTGGACACGCTTTTGGTGCACGTCTGTCACGGATCGCCGTGACAGAAGGAATAAGAGATACCTATAAGGGTGCCAAGAGGCACGTGACTCGTAGGTATATCGCATACGGGAAGCATCCGGAGCTCCTACAGCTCCTTACGCTTCGAGTCGATGTCACTTTAGGGTACATAGTTGGATAGAGAACCCTTAGAAAGACTCTAGAAGATCTCGCTCATCTCGTTCCTGACATTTGAGTAAAATTAAGGGACCTCACCTCACTAGGTATGGCAAGGGACTAAGTGACCACCCATTTAGTACTTCCCGAAGCCTAGATAGATATAATATTTATTTAATAGTGTATCGTTTACAATCGACCATAGGATCTAGGATATAGTGATTAATATTATTATTAGGAGGGGGGAAGGAGTAGGTAAAGTTCTATCCTATAGGTAAAGGTCTACCGTATTACTAACTATTTAGTATGATAGGACAATATAATAGAACGGCACCTACCTACCTAGGTAATCCTTACTGCGTTTTCAGGCGTAATCTATACCTAGGGCTTTACAACAGCGTCGTTTGAAAGCCGTGATATTCGGTGGAGAACGAATCTCATACTAACTTGGCAGGGAGGTGAGTGGCTAACCATGGCTTGGCTGATTTCGCGCCCCTGGAGATTCGGGCTAACCATTCGAGCACCGGAGTCATTCCCAAGAGGGGGAATGGGGGTTGATCAGGCGGTGCGAGAGCGGCTGTGATTGGGTTAGGCCTCCACGTTTGCGAAGCCTAGAGCGAGACGAGCCTGGCGGAGCCAACGACAGCTCTCGGTCACTGACCTCAACCGAGTGACAATGCAGATAGGAGCGGGGCGCAGCGTCCCAGTCGACAGTGGCGCCTGAACGCTGTTCTTTTCACCAACCAGGCGCCGTCTCGACTTTGACCAGCTGAGGTGCTGGGCTGCGGTTGCCCTTGTAGCCGAAGAAAAGAGCGCATTGTCAAGAGACAGGCAGCTCGTTTATCACTGTGCACGCAGCTCACCAAGTTTCGAATCTCACCTGTCGCCTTCGATCTTATCCCCTGGCCATTTCCGAGTCGGAGAAATCATCCAGGCATATCTCACTCTCCAGCAATAGAATAACATCAGAAGCATCTAGACACGTTCACTCCAATTTAAGGAAACTTGAACTTCAAGCCCAGGCTACCCCAATATGGCCGCTGAGTTCGCCACAGCTACAGCCGCCTCCGGGCTTCTGGGACAGCTTATTGATCTCGTGGGCTACATCCAAGATGTCCAGAACGCACCTCAAGACATTCTCCGGCAACGCGAGTCTCTCGGTCGACTCCAAAGTGTTGTAGATATGGTCAAAAACGATCGGCGTTTTCAGACAGAAGGAGTGGAAAAATCCCTTAGTGCAATTAACGAACGCGTTAGGGAACTGCTTGTCATTCTGCGCAAGAATCGAATCCTATTTCCTCTGAAGGACAAACAAATCACAAAGATACTCAAACAAATAGAGAGCGATAAAAGCAATCTCATTCTAATTCTAAATTTGTTGCATATGTGAGTATACTTGCCCACTCTTGACTGGTGACCTGCAAGATGGCAAAATAAGCTTTCAAAAAGACTAAAGGATGTTAGGCCACACCTAAGTCTACAAAGTACCGCCGAGGTCGCCGATGACGAGGATGAATTCTGCCGGGAGCGGTTCTTAAGTATTAATCAAGATGATGATCGTGAATCTTTCAAGACATCAACAGGTCATACCAGGAAAGGCGCCAACACATGTACTTGGATTACGCAATGCGAAGAGTACAAGCGATGGCAGGATGTTGATACTGCTTCGCAATTTCTTTTTGTGTGCGGACGACCCGGCCAAGGCAAGACAATGCTGTCAATATTCATTACCGAGCACCTACAGAAACTTGTTGAACGTTCAACCACGAACAGCTTGGTGTATTTCTTCTGCGACCACCAAGTGCGAAATAGTGGTTCAGCCATTATCAGAAGCTTTATCTCTTCCTTTATTGGGAAGGATGACTCTCTTCTACAGTATATTGCTCCCACCTTAAAGAGGCTGAAAGAATCCCTTTTCGAGGCTGGCTCATTCGAGACACTGTGGAGGATTTTCACCGATATTGTGGATGCTACAAGATGGAGCACTATATACTGCGTTATAGATGCAGTTGATGAACTCGAGCAGCATTCATTATCACTCCTTCTTTCAAAGCTGCGACAATTCCCCAATCCTAAACTACAGCGGCTTAAGATGATCATTTTTACCAGACCCACCTCGGACTCCGTAAACGAGATCCTCTCTATGCACCCAACCATTCGACTGTACTCTAGTACTGAGGTGGAAGGCCCCCATAGCCATCACACGGACCAAGCTGAAGAAGAGTTTAGAGACTCGTACATTCACGAGGTTGAAAAAGACATTGAAAGGTATATCCTTGAAAAAGTTAATGAACTCTCCCGATTCAAGAATTATCCTCCGAAACTCAAAGAATACGTATTGAGAACTATGCAGGAGCGTGCAGAGGGTACTTTTCTTTGGGTAGCTTTTGCAGTCGAATTCCTTCGCAAGGTCAGGCTCGCAGGAACCGAGGCGGCACTAAAGCAATCTCCACCTGGCCTCGACGCGACCTATGATCGCATCCTGCTCGCTGTCGATAACCAGGACATGGGTCTCGTTAGATCCATGCTTACTTGGGTTACTCTGGCAGAAACGTCTCTAACTCTGTCCCAACTTGGGACTGCATTGCAACTAAAATCAACGGAGTTTATCAGCCTAGAAGAGGTTACCAAGGACAAAATCAGTCTCTCGGGTGACCTTCTCCTAGTCACTGATTATGGGGTTGGCTTTTACCACAAATCCGTAAAAGACTATCTTGTCTTTCCTCGCCTGGATGGTGACAAGAGATTAACGGTCTTCCGAGTCGATAGAGATAGGGGACACTCGGAGTTGGCTCTTAGGTGTATTGAGTTCTTGAATACTCGTCACGATTTCTCTCTTGATGCAGACGACCTTAATCTTGGTGACTTTTCCGGCGATGTGGATGAGAATGGCGACCATATCTTCCACTTTGGGATCTACGCGGCGCGCCATTGGGTCAGCCATGCACGGAGGTCACATACTTTCTCAGAAACTTGCTCTGATGCTTTCAGCAGATTCTTTGATGGACCGCTGTCTAGAGGATATCAGTGGCTTGAGGCATGGTCCAGTATGGACACAGAGCTCCATCCAAATTTCTGCAGCTCTCTATTGGAAGAACTCAGGACATTCCATCAGCCTGATGCCTTTGGTTTCGTCGTTGCAACACTTCTCGGCCTTTCCGGACTTGCGAAAGCCATTTTGAAGCAACAGAATGGTTTTCAGGATAATCCTAGCTGCCTATTCTTGGGAGCAGTCGCTGCTATTGGCATGAATGACGAGGAAATGGTACGTTTACTCCTACAGACTGGCATCGATGTCAACGCTGGAACTATCGACAACGAAACACTGCTGCGCGTGGCTGTGCAGGAAGACGCTGAAAATATAGCTCGACTTCTCTTGGAGAAGGGTGCCACTTTTGATGATGCGGACAGGGGAGATAGGACTACCTTTCGTTTGGCAATAGAGGCGGGACACAACAACGTGCTGGGAATCCTGCTACAGTTCGGAGCGAATGTTTCGGCCCGGTATTCGGGAGGCGATACTCCACTCCATATCGCAGCTCAGTCCGGGAACCCAACCGCGGTCCGCGACTTATTGAGCAAGGATGCAGATGTTCATGCTGTGAACGATTGTAATCAAACCGCTCTCCATCTCGCTGCTAATTCTTTTTCAGCCAGCCATGCATCGAAGAAAGCCACATTGAAATACTTGGAAGAGCTGTGCATCGATTTCCGAATGACCACTGATAAGATCTTCCAGACCAGCAGCGCTCTTGTTACATCCTGTCTATTAAGATCTGGCGCAAATTTAGACGCACTTGACGATCAAGATAGAACCCCACTGCACATGGCTGCAAAATTCGGAGACTTAAATGTAGCGAAGATACTCTTGAAAGCTCGCGCCAGAACTGATATCAAGACACGACAAGGAAACACGGTCGTACATGAAGCTGTCAATGCTTGCAACCCTGTTATCCTCACATTGGCTCCATATTTTGACCTCGACTTTCAGTTGCCAAACAATGAGCTTGCAACTCCACGTGAAATGGCAGAGAGGTTGAAACAGGAGAAAGAACAGAATTTAAAGAAGCACCCGGATTCACACTGGTTTCTCAACGACCCCATGGAAGAGCTGGAGGTTTGGTTCTTAGAGTTGACTATATGGTTCTTGGCACAATTGGAGGCGGCATGACCTACACCAGACAACTGATGCAGTGACCCTCTCACAACGGTCTTGACCATACATTTCAAGGCCTCAGCAACCCTAGAGACGGGTGTGTCTTCGAATGCAGAGACAGCAAGAACGCAATGTAACCCGCGAAGTTCAACATACGGGCGGGAACAGCCCTGTCGACACGACCAAGCGTAGACCCCTTTCGGTGGCATTCGAAGGGAAACACCTGGCAGGTGAATATGTACGCAATGCGCCTTATCACGCCCATCTTGTTGTGCCATAGTCTTGCAACCTCCAATCGGGCAGGAGAACACCTGTTCGATCCTCTTGCCAGTAAAAAGTAGGTTGAATATCCGCATCCAGGGTGAAATGACATCTACAGGCATGCAGAACAGGTGTGGACTGCTAGATTACATGGCTTTGCAAGTTGCATCCAAGTCACAAAGTCTCCTTTAATTTGTTGGTCCTTGTAGGGGAACTTCTACAACCGTGAGGGGACGTGAAAGACATTTCTTGCTATCTAATAGGACTTCGCATACTTTTGCTGGTTCGATAATGACGGTTGGGAAGTACCAACGCGACGACGTTTGGGCCATCGTGAACTCGATGGAGGCCGCATGGAGATACAGTCTCTGGGACGAGAATCAACGAAAATGCATCCCCATGTGCGAAATCTGCGACTACGAATTGTACAAGGTTGGAGGGAAATCTCTACTTGGCGTGCTAGGAGCAGAAGCCAGTGTGCTGATCTATTACTCGTCTCCAAGCCGTTGGTCCATTGTAATGAGAAGGGGACATGGTCATTCCAAAGACTGTACGAGGGACTCGTCAGACTGTGTAGTATCCTAAGTACGTACCCGACTAGCGCCTGGGCGCTCTCGGGTCCGCTTCGGGTAGCTTCAGATAGCTCCCGGAGCTAGTTCGGATGTAGCGCAGCGATATAGTAGACCAGGGTCTTTGCAATCGCTTGGCATCGCTAATCACACCATAGCCCGCAGATTCGACAGGTCGTGGACGTTTGGGTCGTCAGCTCCTGTTGGATCTATACTTGGCAACTTAGGCGAGTCGATGAGGAAGATGATTGAGATCTCTGTCTCCTTTAATTCTATCATTTTTATGGTCACTATTCTAGCTTATATAGATGATTGAATTGTGAGGCAGAACTACTCGTAAGGCCGTACGTACAGCAATCGAAGCATTTAGGTTCAGCCGTTATGAGTCGTGCGAGGTCCCTCGTCGTTGGAGACGGGGTGGAGACACTTACTCCTTTTGGCCTATGTGGCAGCCCTTCGGCCCCTTGGCCCAACTTCCACCATACCATCGCCTGTTTGCTCGCCGCCTACAAGGCTAAAATTGTCGTCAGAAACAGTCAGAGAGTGTCAGAATGCATCACGCTAGACTTGGCCAGGCAAAGATAACAAGACTTGTAGCGGCCCCAATTTCTATAGGCATCCATTTCTCGACGTTCCATCTGTACGAGTAAATCCTCGGACTCCTGCACTTTTGATACAGTTCTGTAGGAGAATCAACATGGAACCAGTATGGAAACCATCCATGAAGTCTTTGGAGGATGACTGGACGAGCATAGCAGATCCTTCGGACCAAGGGAGTCCAGAATAGGCTCTCGCAACGTGCAAGACGTCGGTCTTCTAAGGCTGGGCGACTGATATATTTCCCGCTGCAAGTACTGAAAAACTCATGGCTAGGTCCTAAGCTCGTATCGAGGCGTAGCAGGCGCCTGGAGCACTGTTCTTGCCGGGCTGCAGACACTTCAGACGCCGCCGGTACCAGTAACTTGACTCTGGAAACTGGCACGCTTTCCCCAGACTTGAGCACTCTCGTCCCGTTCATACCGGACAGCATCGTACAGGGCCCAAATGACCCCTGACCCCATTATTGACAATGCATTCCTGTTCATCCACCGCATGAGCAGCACGGGTGCGTTTACTTGCATTGGCAACGTTCTCAAGCTGGCATGTCAGCAGGTTATTGGATTGATGTCCGTGAGCTCAATTGCAACCTGCCCTCGGCCATGGCGCCGACCACCAAGCAGCTCATGGTACAACACGAGCCCTACGTCGACATGGTCCCGTAGCCTTCAATGCGAGACAAGATTCTGGAATATGCCATGCCGGTTGATGGACTCCAGTTGATAGGGGACTTTTTAGCCAGTGACTTGCAGGTCTGGGGCTCCACGCCATGGGAGCTGATGGGCTTGGAGATAGGGCCGAAGTTTGCTAAGAAGTGGTGGTTCATGATAGAGGATGGGATGATACTCACTACCAACCATTGGAGGAGCCAAAGGGGAGAACCACTGTTAGCTCTGACTTTCCTATGCACAAGCCCTGTGTAATACGGAGCTATTGCGGCGGACGATTCCCTGATAGTCAGGATCTACTAGCGCGATGCATTCTGACAGTCATCTTTTCTACCACATAACACGCCATAATCTATCAACACAGTCTCACAGCATCCCCACATGGAATGTTTCCAATACTTTATAAAGCCCAGCATATACGTGTGCCCCATAGTGGCATGGAATCAAGGTCGACCAAGTTGTCCACCCCTACAATCCCTAGTTCTAGCCCTTGACATATATGCATAATTCGCCACGGGAGGTTTCCTAGCACGGCTCTTGCCACCGAAGCCAGAGTCCATGGAGGAGCACGTCTCTTCTCTTGCAGGCAAGGTTTTCATCGTTACTGCAGGTCATTCTGGCATTGGCCTTGAGATTGTCAAGATATTATACTCCAATGGTGGGACGATATACATAGCCGGACGCTCGCAAAGCAGGATCACCACGGCAATCGAAACTATTAAGGCTATTCCAACGGCAACGCCGGGAACCCTCAAAAGCCTGCAACTTGACCTCAACAGCCTCACCACCGTTCCAACCTGTGTTTCGGCCTTTCTCACTCAAAAATCTCGACTCGACGTTCGCTGGAACAATGCAGGTCTCAGCCGTGCACCGTATGTTGCAGCCATGCAAGGCTTCGAGGGTCACATGGGTGTCAATTGCGTTGCCCCAAGTCCTCCTAACTAAACTCCTCCTCCCTGTCCTCCGCCAAACCGCTCAGGCTGCGCCAAAGAGCAGTGTGCGTGTCGCCTTTACCTCGTCAGGGATCATAGACATGACTGGTCCTCCGGGCGGCGTATCCCTCGACGAGCTCATTGCCGATATAGCCCTTCGTGAAGTCAAGCTTGGAGGCATCGCCATGATGGCGACCGATTTAGGTTATACACGCGTCTCCGAGCTACGATGTCTTCAAGAGAGCCAGCGAAATGGACTTTGCTTTTGCGGTAGAACGAGTCCTCGCTGCGACTGGCGATGACGATGTGACGGACCACCGTCTCCCGGTATGCATATGCATCCAGTGCCCTGCAAAGTGTTCGCTTGCTGCAATCTCGAGGTTGAGAAGCAAGATGTGCACAAAGCAGGTTAGGAGACTGTACATTAAGTTGAGGCCGGCGTGACCTACCGTTCAGAGCCTAGGGCATACTTCTTGCAGTGACCTTTGCCCACAGGGGCGCACGCCGCAAATACGAAGCGAAACTTACGTTCCGACCCGAATGATGAAGGGTGTCACGAAAACGGGAACTCGGGGACCACTACCTTATGATACAAGGAAGGTTATGATCTACCTCTTCGTGAAGCAGCCAGCCACCGGGTGCGATGAGACAATATGTACCATCACTCCACATACAAATGGGGTGAGCGTTTGAAGGATATTAACGCGACACATTCATCTTAGACAGCGAATTGACACCCCATTGCGCGAGATATAAATACCTGGGGAAGGGGGAGGGGGAAAAAGACATTGTTCTTTAAAAATGCCAAAGGAGAAACTCTTATATTCATAAGAATTCCAAATTCTATCCGCTCGAGCATACACGATATATATACATACTAAATGGATAGTCGTGGACCAGATAACTTGAACTTAGCCAACAGGGAACCAGTGTATAATGATTGGTTGGATGACGAGTCGAAACGGTTATTGCGAAGTGCCGTGAAGAAATCAAGTGAAGCCAACGATGACGATCAAAAAGGAGATCAAGAGGACCATTTAGCTGAACAGAGCTTTGAGGATGCAGACCAAACTCAGCTGCTTCTTATGAGGTCTCAAGTGAGACCTGGTGATCCGATCTATGATCACCTGGTCAAAGAAGTCAACGACAAGAGACAGGAAGGATGGCAACATCATCGCAATGCGATCAAAAAGCATAAGGACGCTGCATTCGCTCGCGGCCAGTCGAACGGCTGGGGCAATGAAGCGACACGAGTCGAAAACGAGCGAAAGAGCAATGGTGTGCACTGCCATTTCAAGCACAAAGAATCAAGAAACATGGGACAGCATTTCTGTTGCTGCTGCCAGCAATTACCGCCAGCAACAACTTTACAACTTTTACACCCACACCTTTGGAGAGGAACTTGTTGGACTTGCAGTACATGAGACGTTTTGACGACCGCTGGATTCTATCTTCTTTCTCAATAACACGCCTTCGTCGACTCAAGGATCAGGCGTCTCAGGGGTATCAGAATGTCTAGAGGTATATCTCGCCATCATTCTCAAACTACCGTAGACACAAATATGAGAAAGGCCAGAGCGCCCGATCGGTGTATGTACACCAGACACGACGACAAGGTGTCGTGTTTCAGTTCGACATGGTTATTTTTGGGACTGGCTGGACGCGCCGACATCCCCTCTCCCATTAGCTCTCTATTTCCGAGTCCGCTGCCAAAACGGCCAACAGGTTGGGAAATGGGCTTCGGCAAAACCTTCAAGACCCATCTGTGGTCAGGGATCTTAAGAAACGTAAGCGAGAAGCAGGGGTACTTTCGTCTTCAGAACAGCGTGACGGCCCGCAGTTTCGCCTATTAAATGGGGTCTCTGCACGATCCGTAAATACTAAAATCGGATCCCCAACTTTTTCTTTGCATCTGCAGCCACAATAGACGAGATTCAGCTCTCTAGTGTAATATCACCTGATGCATTCAGAAAGTTGCCAAATGATGTTCTACTCGCACACTTCTCCGACACCACAATGCAAGGGTAGAGGGAATTTCCTACAAGCGGAGCTCACCGGCAAAGGCTTTTTCGTGAATTCCTCGATCGACAAGCTCGCGTTCCTATATGACAACGATTCACTGAAAGACTCATGAAACTTGATGTACTTCGGAAACGGTATTACTTTCGAGCAAGTTACATTAAATTCCGCTAAATCCTGTTTAGTTTATGAAAGCACGCTAAATTCTACAAAGCAGTTGTTTCTTTTTGTTTTGGTGAACAATCTCTGACACTGCTTTACCGTTCTTGATGCTCTTCGGCGCGATAGTAGATCCTACGGAGCAGCCCTACTGCACCCATTGCTCCTGTAATCAATCTAGTCATATGATGTTGCTTGTACCCCAGTAGCTCCTTCCCTAAGATATAGGCGCCAGTAGCCTCCTCGAGAAGATGTATTGTATAATGGAGACGTTGGCTATAAGCCCACAATGCTCCCCATGAGAATACTCGCCATCAGATTCCAAATCGGAGTGGTGGCTCTGGGTGAGACTTCTTCATTTGGAGTCGATGCAACGCTCCGACGACAACAGCCGCCCCCACTGCGGCTTTCAAGTAATGATTTCCTCTGGCTTGGTCGTCATCCGCAAGTGCTTTGCCCAACTCGTTGGCTGCGTATAATGCAGGTGGGATGATGTCGTTGGAGCCCTGGGCTTAATCAACACAAGTCGGGCAAGTCCAGTGCCCACTATTCCTTCCAAGGGTTGGCGTACAAATCTAGAGGCAGGTAGGTCATCATGGCCACATAATTTCTTCCCGGGAACCCATCTGAACTTCCGCGGGGCGCGCGTCGTGAATAAGTCATCTCGTTAACTATCTTGCCTCCGCCGATATCCTTAGATCCGTAGATGCCAAACCCGGCCGCCAGCGTTACCTCCCGCCCGCATTGCTCAGTAACAAGGAAGCTCATCGACTTAGGCCTCCCGAAAACATGTCAAGTTGAGGATAGCCTCTTCCATCTGTGTGGCCTATCTTGGCATCTTTCCAAGGGAAAGCGAATGACCACGGAAGCCAATCAGTAAGGTACGTTGATGTGCTGTGGTGGTGCTGTGGTGTGATTACCTCGCGATTTTGTTTTAGAATCAGGACGACGAGGCGTCTGGGTGCAGTGAACTCAGACAGGAGACCACTGCCTGTTGAGGAAGCGAAGATTGTGACCTGTAATGCCGAGCCTTGGTGTAATTAATACGACTCGGATTTTGCAGTACAGTAGGACTGGAGCTGAGATTACCCCGGCTGATCTGAGAACCAGTTTCAACTATCCCACCTCTCGCCTATTCCCGTGTGTCTTCACGAGTCCGCTTTTAGAAGGCTTGCTATCAAAATGGCAACCACGGCTTTTTAGATGGTGTGATGCTCGGACTGCATTGATCGGACGGAGCCTAGGCACACCCTCTAACCAAGGGTTGTGTCAGTCGTAATTTTGGCTTGCCGGCCAGTCTTCATCGCGTTTGCTAAAACAAAAGGAACCTCCTAATGCCCATAGGCGACACTCGCGGTGTCGGGCTAGCCATGGCTCTCACATGAGGGTTTCTTGGGATCTGGTGACACTTGCAGAGCCGATGATCCAGACAAGAGGCCAACGAAATGCTCACCAGCACATTTTGATCTGCAACGCCTTGGTAGTACTCCGTACTGCAATCCCGCAGACTTTTCGCTTGCTGGCCGCGAGGGACGAGCCGGCGTGCCGGTTCCCGTTAGAGTGACTAGAGCTCGCTAAAACTCGCCTGTTAGAGATCGCCGCGATGCAGGCAAAGGCAGAGTCGAATGATGCAATTGTAAAGTGGCAGTATCGTTTTCGGCATCGGTGCTAGGATATTAATTGTACAATCCACCCTGGGCGGAGACAAGACAATTTCATCAACAACCATTCTACCTTACTAGTTCATCCTTTCTAACCGTTATCCACTCTATCACGGCAGAGTGTTGTCGAGCACATGTCTATACACGCAGCAGCGAATGGACAGCTGGGCCTTAGAGAGCAAACGGCCTTTGAGTATGTCTACGACAATTGAATCTATCTTATGGCAGCGGCTGAAATTGAGTAGCATCATCGCGATCCCTGCTATCGGGGTTAGAAATGCCTGCGAGACATGGCGTCGACCGCCCAAAGGGGAAGGGCCGTACAACTTCATCTGGTCAGGGATGAAAACCCCTCGCATCTTTTTCTTCGAATTTGATCAATACAAACAGCCTGAGGTGACGGGAGATTATGGGATTACCGAGTGGGCAAAGAAGCTGCTAGAGGCTTTGAGGAAATGCAAGGAAATCACAAACCGTGATCTGCATTTTGCTGCTCATAGGTGAGAACTCACGGCATCGTACAAACAATTGAAAGCTGACCCTATCCTGTGCAGCACCGGAGGTCTGGTATTGAAACGAGCACTGGTAACTGCAATGGAGCACGCTCTACGTGAGTCCAGTGGGAACCCAGCCGAGCTCGCCCTATCCGCCGAAGACGGAAATACATACACGTCAATAGTCGAGCATTGTCATAGCATTGCATTCTTTGGCACCCCGCGTGAGAGCACCCTACCCGGGTAAATAGGATCAGGACTCACACTCGCCCAGACTATAGTTCGACAGCACTGTCGGATGGTGCTTGTGCAGAGAGCATCTCTCACGAGCTCGACATCCCCATCCCTTATGGACCCAGGCTCCGCAAGCAACTGAGAAATACTGAGAATCTCGACTGGATGGTTGAATTCTCTCGTCAGTTTGCTCCGCTCACACTCCACCTCCTGAAAATCTGGAGTTTTTATGAGACTTTAGAGACTCCCTTAAGAGTGAAAATCAAGCCAGAGAAGTCTCCAACAATGACAGAGACTACACTTTGGACACAAGTAGGTGGTCAATCAGATAGTTGTATGAATCTGGTAGCCATGTGCGTCTACTGATGCTATCCAGATTGTGGACAAACGCTCGGCGACCCTTGCTGATGAGTACTATTACGTCGGCTGTGAAGAGGTAATTCCCGTCGGGGCAACACACGCCGGACTTCCAACATTTGACAACGGCAAGGACAAGTGCCGGCTAGATGGATACAGAGATTCTCTGAACAGAATTATGAAAGACGCTGATTTTGAGAACCGCGGCTATGATATGTTGGCGCGTACGATTCACGTAGAATGCCATCAGTTTCACAAATCGCTGGCAAACGTTTCGCGCAACAGCATCAAAATATTGTCCGCATCTCCAAACCCGACACTATCCCAGGTATTCCAGCAAGGTCCAGGGCACTTCGTCGAACTCAGACGGACCAAAGCCCTTGCCCCTTTGGCAGATGCTTCAAATGAGTTGAATTCGCAGCCGTATGCAAATGCGAAGATCCCTTCTCCCATTCAGCAGTCTGATGTCCAACTACCCATGTCACCAAGCAATACGACTGCGAGCGCTAGCCCATGCATAGAGAGTGGGGAGGAAGAATCAACCCGAACAACGATTCAAGAGAACTTGCTGGCCTCGTCATCCAATGGCGAAGTAGGGTTGGGAACAGTTGCCGAAACAGAGGGTTCTGAAGGCTTGCTTAACTTCTATAGGGTCCCAGAGCACGATCAGTATACGTTCCGCTGGATCCATGTCCCTTCAAATGTCATGCACTGGGCAGAAAAAGTGCTAAGAAGAATAGAAATGGAGATCGCAGACTCTTCTTGGCAGGAAATTCTCGAAGATGCCGCTATCCAAAGGGACGATCGCACCGCGCCTACTCCGGAAGATAGCGTCTGGAACACGGAGCACTCTGATGAGAGCTCAATAATCAACGATATCTTGGAAAATCCCCTAGCTTGTCCCGCAGGCCCAAGTCTAGCGGTTGGTGCCCGAGTGGTAGCCAAGGAGGAGAACATAACTCCTGAATGTGTCCTTTCGGAAGTTCTTCATAATCCTCCTCGCATTGCCCAGGTACTCCAAAAGGGCCAGATCGGTACCCAGAAAGATCGTGTCAAGCTAGCAGACCTAGGGCCTCTCATCGAGGACGCAAGGGAGCGTATCAGTATGGTCAAAGCAGCCCACACTCTTCCCAGGACTGCTTCACCAAAAACAACCTGGGTGACACTTAACAGAGCTGTCATCCAAGAGAGAAGAACACCTTCAATTACGAGCACTTTACTCAAGCCAATCTATTGGAATTTCAAACAGAAGAGGGCTGGGCACGGCCGTCCACATGGCCGGTACATGTGCCCGTCTTTTCAACTCTTCTATCCGAGAGACTCGATGGACGAGGACCGAGCAGACATAGACCCGAAATTCAGTCCTATAAACATATTACAAGCATATCTATACGTAAGTCACCCACATTAGAGTTGATATGGCTACTGCTAACGGCGATACCAAAGTTCCCGTACCTTCATTGGGATACATTCGGCGCCGCGAAGGCTCGAAACCGCCTGCTGAAAGATATTGGATCTACTGATCGTAGCGATAAATATCGAAAGAGACTTTTCAAGACGGCATCAGACGAGGAAAAAATCATTTGGCAATACGGATATGATCCCAGTGAATTGTTTCTCCACCCTCGCCGAACATTAGACCAATATGGATATTCAGACTTGGAAAGTACTGAAACCCGCGACGCTGATCAAGTCATATTTCGATGGGCGAAACACGTGTACCGGAAAAGACGCTCCGCTGTTGAGCCACAAGCGGAGACACAGAAAAGTCAACACCAAAGAGAAGTCGACCTTGACGCAGATGATTCCAGCCAGGAACCCAAGGCAGTCAGCCCCATATCCAACCAGACAACGGGTGAAGAATCGCTTCCTTCAGAGGTGACTGATAACTTCAAGGTCTTGATGGTGGATCAACTTTGGTCTTGGATTGTGGATGACAAGAATGTGGTGACCTTCTTTCCTAGAAAGGACGACGCTGTCCATTCTGAACACAGCTGTAAGTACACTTGTAGCGTGTCAGACTGCGGTCGAGAACAACGCACCAGCGAAGCAGACTTGCGTGATGCGATATACTTTGATCTTAACGGTGACAATATCTTCCAATTCACCCACAAGACCCAGTGTAATGATTGTCTTGACTTCATGGCGTCTGCAGTCTGGCACGCAACGACACTCTTCCTAGACGCGGATAAGCCCGATAATCCGGTCGCAAAGGATCTTAGGGTCCTTCGCATCTTTAGCGAGAGTTTGTGCAGTGTCATGGATGAATGTACAAAAGCATTCTCTGATTTCAAAGCCACGCAAGACGGAGTATGGAATTCGATCCGAGGCAAGAAGAATAGCCATTCCATGAAGGAACTCGAAGATGCAATCAAACAGCTCTGCAATTCGCGTGACTTGGCTTGTCTCATCAACGTTCGAGACATCAAAGATGAGCTTAAGATCTTGACGAAATTGTTCTCAGAGCAAACAAGCGTCATCGATACCATGGTGAAGGTTTATATCGAAGTCGATGAACGGAGCTGGAACAAGATTCAGCACGGCCGGGCCATTGGCTGGCTGGAAGAGGCTAAAGAAAAGATAGCAAATCACCAGGACCAAGTGGACAAGATGAAAAATGATTGCGACGAACTCTGTGAGAGTGTACGTTCGGCGTTGATCGCAATCATGGTAAAAAGAACCATAGCTAACTTCCCACAGTATCGCAAACTCCTCGATATGAAACAGAAAGAGGCAAGTGTGGTTGAGGCTGCGTGCGCCAGAGTGTCAAGCGACATGGCCACCAGGCAAAACTATGCTATGATGACGTTCACCGTTGTCACGGTACTATTCGTACGTATCTCGACCGAAGTATTTCTTCCCAGGGTTGACGTGGTGCAGGCTAACTGTCAAGCAGCTTCCGTTGTCATTCTTCACATCGCTTTTTGGAATGAACGTCCGTGAGTGGAGTAAATCCGAGCACCAGGAGAGCCTACGCGCTGTAATGGTGCTCTCTGGCGCCGTTTCTGCGGGAATCATCGTCCTGGCACTTGGAGCGGCGTTCTGGACATTCTGGACACCTTGGATTTTGCGGCGTCCTTCAAACCGGAGAGACGAAGCCTAGACAGTAGCAATGTGGGAAGACGTTCTGAATTAAGCACAAAAAACGATGGGTCAAGACCACACGGAAAAGTTCGGTCTTACTCGACATCACATTCCGACCAAGAATATCGTCGAGAAGAACAGAATTAGAGGTTAATACAACTAACTAGCTATTCCTAGGGGAATATATTAGGGCTAATTAAGACTTGACTAGCGCGCGTACTAACTCCATAAGTATATAACGTACTAATCAATAGGTACTCCACTATGATAGCGCTCCTAGAGATTAAATGCCTAGTTAATTTGTATATAAGCTAGAACAGAGTCCATAGGATGGAAAGAGACCGAGATCTCGTACATCCTCGAGTGACTTCCAAAAGTGGCCTTGTTCAGATATCCAGAAACTCCCTACTACATAGACGATCAGCCGTCCCTGCTTTTCAGTGTATCCACACAATGTTACATTTAATTTGCAGGTTGTAGGAGCCGTTTTAATTGGACGCTATATAGGTCCGTCGACCAGCACCCCCACAGACGCAAGATAAGATCGAACGGTAGATCGGACGCGCACGCACATTGAGGGAGATTTTTCGACGCCTAAGCATATCTAGCCTAAACAACAAGCACCAAACCCATCTCAAAGCAGTATCATCATGGGCACAGAAGAGTCGCTCTTCCGGCGTATTCCATGGTGCCTGAGTACGCTCTCGGACAGCGGCTTCGCGATCGAGCCAACCCTAACACGCACGCTGGACCCGACAACGGGTGAGAACGCGCTCCTCGCGCGGACACTCAACAACCACGACACAATCGAAGGCTGGTGCTCGCTGTACCGACGGCCAGCACTCTCGGCCCGCAACGCGAAAGACGAGTGTCGCACGCTGCTGGCGCTCCGGGCAGGGCTCGACGGGTATCCCGGGGTGTGCCACGGAGGCATCACGGCGACGGTGCTCGACGAGATCATGAGCATCCTCGTCGCCGTTTGCCGCGAGTCGCAGGGGTTGGCGCCCGATAACCTCACGGCGGACTTGAGGGTGAGGTACCTCAGGCCGGTGCCGACGCCGTTGGTGGTGTTGGTGACCGCGAAAATCAGAGACATTCAGAAGGACAAGAAGTACTTCGTCGATGCCGAGTTAGTGGATGAGAATGGGGTTGTGCTGGCCAAGGGGGAGGGACTCTTTATCCACAAGTCGGTTGAGCGTCTTTGATGAAAGGAGGAAGGAAGGACGAGAGAATTCTCGTAGATACATCCATTATTCTCATTGGAATTCTTCTCCTTGTTAGTACTATTGTAAACCTAGCAAGAGCCGGCGTCTCTACGCACCCAATGGGTCAAACAGATCGTTGATCTAAACTCGATCCAAATGTTCCAAAACCGATGGAGATAATTGGAGGAATCACTCAGTCCTCGATAGTACTCGAAAGTCGTGGGGGTATTTAGCTAAGTATTCAGAGGAACAACTGTACAACCATCGTCTCCCAACCTTTGAAAACGGGGGGGGGGGGATAAACACTAGGGGAATGTTCTCATCTCCAATGATCTCCATATAGCCATCCATCATCCGCCCTAACTATGTCTGTTTCACTTTGCTTGCTTGCTCCAAAATATAGTGGTATAATAGTTTCATATCGCAATCCATCTCCTGTGGGTATGTCTCTTTTTTTCACGCCAGTGTCCTTCCCTTGCCCCTATGTAGGAATTCCATCAGGAACGTTGTCTTTGTACGTATTCGTAACAGTCGTGTAGTACAAAATCTACCGTCCAACACGCACGGTCCGGTTATGCCTTTATCCTGAAGTAAATGCATCCAGTGACTTAGATCTCATCTTATCATGTAGTCGCAAGCCGTGCAAAATGCAAATGCAGAATACAAATTATCTCACCTCACCGCACCAATTTCGCTCCAACACTCACAACCACAAACTCGATGTCACGACCTGCAGAGCGCCATCGTTCAACACCACCAGATACAAGCCATGGTTGTAAGTTCTTGCATTGACTTACGTCAAGCAGTTGGAGTTTCTGGCATCCTTCGACGATGCTCTGGACCCCCAACCCGGTGACGCGGACACACCCTCGAACAGCAAGTTCTTTGAGTTTGGTCAGATGAAGACCAATGGATCGTAGACTCGGGTCCGAAACTGCACTCCCGCAAAATGACATGTTAAGATGGGTAAGATTCGGGCAGCCTAGAGCTAGCACTTCGGTTGCCGTATCGGAAAGAGCACAACAAAACGACTAGATTCAATGTTAGGTACGACCGCACTGAGTTGGCTGGCCAAGTACTTACCAAGTCCAGGTGTCTCAACCCACTGCCAGCTCCGTTCACCAGCCAGACGATACTCTGATCGCTCAAATAAGTACAGTCTGCCAGACAGAGCTTCTTGAGTCGTGGAAATTTGACGTTGCCCCAGTACTGAAATCCTGCATCGGTGATTGACGTACATCGAGTGAGGTCAACATTTTCAATGCGTTCCTTAGCATGAGTGGCAATATGCGCCATCGTTCGATCCGTGACATGTTTGCAGTAACTCAACGTGATAGTCTTCAGTGAAGGACAGCCAAAAACGGTACCAGGAGCAGGTGGATTGGTGATACTAAGCTTGGTGTTGATAACAGGGCGTTGTCCGATTGCCTTGGGTCTTGTCGATTGATTCTGTTGATTTCCAGTCGCAATCCAACCGATGATCCTTGCCAAAAGGGTGTCGCTGACTTTTCGGCAATTGCTGAGGTCCACCTCTTTCAAATTACGTGCACGATTGGCCATCTCGAGTATGGCAGGGGCGGTGACATCCCAGACACTCTTCATCCGCCATGTTTCCACGTTTGCTCCACATGTAGTCACAAGCGCAGCAAACCCTTCATCGGTCACATGAAAACAATTGCTTAAATCAACAAAAAGAGGGCGCTGACCCACAAAAGGACAGATCCGATTGACTAACAGATCATCGGTGACTTTCCGATTGTACTTGGACAGATCCAGCTTATGGAGAAGGTTGGGTGCATTGTTGAGAACATTTTGCCAATGTAAGGAAACAGCTTGAAGGCGCATAAGTTCGTGAAGTGCGAGATGCTCGAGTATCAAAGGCAATAGTTTTTCGGGTATGTTTCCCCGATTGAGCCCACGGCTAGATCTTGATTTCGGCCTCGGTCTTCCACCAGGAGAAAATGGGTCTACAAATGGAAAACCCAGTCCTTTATGCTCGGCTATAGGCGAAGGCGTGCCGGAAGCAGAACTTCGAGGGGATGGACTAGCCGTGGTTATAGGTGAAGACCTGGGCGACCGTCGCTTCATGTCTTTCAATTGCTCATCTGGAGATGGAGGGGCGAGGGATCCTCTCCTCGAGCGAGACTTGACCTTTTCTAAGCCCTGGCTTAAGAATGGATCAGGATCAACAGGCTCCAAGGTGCTGGGTTCTTCAGGCTGAACAGGTTGAACAGAGTTTGATATCTGTGCCTCATTAAAAGTGACTCTAGGACCGAGGGCGCCCTTTCTCGCGGAGGCGTCTTTGTCGCCGATGGCTAGGTTATGAATGCTTGGGGCAGCATCTGTGTCGTTCATGATCACATCGTTGTCAGATGCCGTTTTGAGTCTCTCCCTGGCTGTCTCCTGGATCTGACGTAGAATATTAGGTGGACAACGACGCCAAAAATCAGCTAGGACATTCTCTGAAATCATGAGACATTCAACTTGGGTGACCGAGCGAACAGTAGCTGTCCTCCGATCTGCAAGCGACAGACTGACCACCTCGCCAAAGTACTGGCCTGGCTTGAGTCGTGCCTTCACGTATGGCGTCTTTGGAACGCCATTAGGAACGTTATCTTGCCGCCCTCTCGGACTGGAAGCATGTTTCTCATCAATGACTTCGACCTCTCCACGTACAATGAAGTAGATTTCTCGACCTCTGGTATCTTGTTTGACAATATCGGAGAATGGAGCAAAGCTCCTTGGTTGGGCGCTAAGGCCGAGGAAGTGGAGGATATCAGATGGTAGGGAGGCGAATAATGGTAATTCCTTCAAGGTTGCTCTGATATTGACCAGTCCATGGCCCAGTGCACTTGCGGTTGAGACCTCGGCCGTGCCAGGACTGGGAGATTTCCGCCTCTTGGACGAGATGGAAGACGCAAGACCATCGTCCATGTCGACATCCTCGCCGAAATCATTGCGGGCGCGCTTCGATCCGCGTCGCTCATGCGGAGGTAGGTCTTCGGTTCCCAAGAGGACCTGTCTTTTCTTCTTTTCCAACTGGGTCAATCGCTCCAAGGCCTCTTCGCGGATTGCTCGCTCAACGTCAGGATATTTGGGCAATATTGTCTGCAGGTCCTCCTTTTTCAGGACCAGAACCATGCATCTGGAGCGAGCCACCACTGTGGCGGTCCGGGGTCGTTCCATAAGAATGCCGATCTCGCCGAAGAAGGCGCCAGGCCTCAATTCGGCAAATGTGCTCTCACCGTCACGCGAAGTGACTGCTACGGCACCTCGAACCAGCCAGTACATTGCTTTTGAGTCATCGCCTTCAGTAAGGATGTATTCATTGGTGTTGTGCAATTGAGGTTTGAGGAGGAGGCAAATGTCGGCAAGAAAGTCCTGAGAAGTGGATTGAAAGAGAGGGAAGGAGCGAATGCGATCGATCAAATCCAAAGGCATGCCCTGGATTTGAGAAATTGCCAAAGGAGATTGTCTGACAGGTTGTGAAGGATTGACTTGGGAGTCAAAGCTGCGAACTAAAGATACCTCAGCGGAGGGAGGGGAGGCGGTCCGTCCATGGTATGGGGACAGGGCCCGTCCATGATGCCGCCGCATTTTCAACTTGTTCTTGTGTCGAGCGCCGGTTCACGAAGGATGACCAGCTGCTCGTTGTAGAGTGCCCCTCATCCCCCAGTCGCAGGCATGATGCGAACCTGGGGACTGCGGAGAGGACTTACTGGAAACCGTAACGCGAGATTTCGGCGAGGGGCGAGGGGCGAGGGGCGAGGGGAGAAGGTAGAAGGTAGAGAGGTAATAGCCGATTTGGCGGAAGGACGCGCAGGTTGGGAAACTGTGGTTTCCGCTGTGCTTGTTCCCTGGCTTAGTCACTGAGAGTTGGTTTGCAGATCTGGCAGCAAGGTGTAGATTCAGGTGAAGGCGCAGGCGCAAGCACGAGCTGTCCGAGGAGTTGCGCAGTTAGTGACGAGATGGTAGGTGCTGCGGATTGGTAGTTGGCACAAGGAAGGATAGCGAGAGCGGTCTGTAATGGCTGAAGAGAATTGGAGATGAGTGCTTCATGGTAGGGATACAAAGACAAGCAATGGAAGAGGGTGGTCGATAAGAAAATTGGCGGGTACAATAGAGGGGCCTGGGGATGAAATTCGTGTGGGTAGGTCTACTGACTACCCAACTGGGAGTGCCTTTCACGAAGCGAGGGACGAGGATGGGCACGAAACAAGTGATGCAGGATGCCGTTTGGACTCTGGAGGGATATGGCCCATGGCTATCTGGCTTGAAGCCTGTGGATTCTGTGGAGCATCAAACATCCCGACCAGGACTATCAGCTTGTTTCATTCGAAGAGGACAACGCCTTGTCTTGGGACTAAGGCTACTCCGTATCATACTTGGTCTTGAGGAGAATACTAGTCGTAGTCGTGGCGGGGGACCTGACTCTGCTTCTATGACGGAGGCTGAGGGGCTCCCAAGAGATGGGCAATGTTGCTGTCTTCCCACTTCCCGCAAGTATTCGTACTCCTTACGACCCCTGGATCCAGGCCCAAGCAGGGTTACGAGGACAGAGAATACGGTCAGCAAAGTTCTAGTTAAAGGGACCCTAACAAATATGTACTTAACTCCCCAGGTGTGCGTCCTTAGGTAAAGATGTCAGTACGGGGACCTATCCATAGCTGCAAGGGTTCGATCATATCGGTACCCATTGCGCACACACAAACTCACACTCGCATGAAAATCAAGCGGCCGACCAAGCGTTACTCGTACTCGTGGATGTGTCTGTGCGTTAGCACTCGCAGACTCGCCCAAACAAATACTCTCTCTTCGCTTGCCGGGCCTTGGGATCGTTTGTTTGTCGCTAAGCGAACCAACCGCCCCAACCCAGAATCCTGAAGCCACTCCCTTGCCCTCTGTTTGTTTCCACACACCACCCTGGCCCAAGGCCCGGCGCTGATGGGCCCACGGCTCACGGCCCACGGCCCACAGCCATTGGCCTTCCGGGCATGCGGCTGATCGACCGGGGTTGCGCTTCAACTAGAACCCGCCTAGAACAATTCTATGCGGTTGCCCACCTCCCTACCTGTAGCCTGAAGCGTCTCATTGGTGCTGCCGAAATGCTATCCAGCGCTTAGTTGTGTTGCTGCTGTTGTTTATCTTGCATTCAGCTCCTCAAAAGAGAACAAATCCTTGGAGCTTTGAGATCCTTGAAAATGTTATTGCAAATGCAGCAGTAAATGGTTGAGGAGTGACCAAAGCCTCGAACCTCACGTGACTGAGCACTGGTGGATGTCCTGGGTGGAAAAATTGGTTGCCATCTATACCCATCGATTCCAAAGGGACGGCCACGGCCAGGTCATTAGAACGCATGAAGTGCTTGGCACGATTCCGGCTTCCTCAATGCGGCCGATTGTGCTTCAGGCGCAGTATGACATTCGATAACAAGGTCGAGCTTGGAATTGAACAAGACCAAGCGCCTTCGATTTACAGGAAGCTTCAGCCCCCCAGCCACGCAATGTAGGCAGGAGGCTTTCCTCGGAAGCTTGCAACCAGGTCCTGAAGGAAGCCGTAGGCAAATGAAAATCGAAGAGCAGTCCGAGCAACCTTGGCCGCAGCAAAATAATCCAATCCATTGGTCCAGCTGTACACCCCAGAAACAGCCATCGCAGCGACCACGGTGCTCGCCACATCTCTCTGCCCTGGAACCCGGTCGTCATCTCGCTCTTCGAAAAGACGGGCCCTCGAACGATCAATCAGCTCCTCAGTTACCATGAATAGAGACCACCACCCCGTGCATACAGCTCCGTATCGCGTGCCTGCCTTAAGACCACTGATCATGGCGCGATAGTTTTTGGTCTTGTGATATTGGTACCATCCATTCTTTTCGGTTGGCAACCGATGGGCATTCTCAGCTCGAAAGAGATCTCCTCCTACCGTAGCTCCTTTGGTTGCCCCCAAAACGAAGCCCGGTATGAAAGCTGTGCCCATCATGATAGGAGCTCTAATGGCAAATGGTAAAGAGAGTCGCTCAAGGGAAGGTGGTCGCAGAGCATCGGGTGCTTGATATGCTGCGGGTTCAGGAACTCTTGCAGGGGCGCTGGTGGACACTTGGTCAATGCCCGGCCCTTGGACCGCTATCTGGGCAACTAGTTCAGGCTGTGAAGCGTTTTTGAACGGCCACATCGTCACTAAAAGAGCAGAACGCGCTTTCAGACAAAAGAAGCAGGTGTGAGGTGAGGCCAAGGCCTATCGAAGGAGAAATTGTGTGTGCCAGTTAAGACGATTATTCGATCGTGCAATATGGGCGGCGCATATTTTCTAATCAGTACAGAAGAGCGCCATGCAGCGATATACAAAGAGATCCGCAAACCTCTTGTAGGACAATGGATCAGATGGTGAAAAGTTGGAGACAGTTCGGAGTTGCCAGGCATGCTACTGTGCTACTTAAGGTAGGTGGCCCGAGTGCTAACACCTAATACCTACCATACTCAGTAGCCCCTCCGGCTGCTTCAGTTGTGTATGTACTAAAATATGGAGTATTATCAATTGCATGACAGCGATACTGTGATCGTACACCGCGATCTAATAGTTCATGTGATTGGCATGCAGTTAAAATATCAATTTGTCCAAGACGAGAGCAGTAGAGAATCGGGATAGATATGCCTCCTCTTGCTTCTCCACGACCTAATATCATAACACAAGGAGAGCTCAATACAAGACGAACGAGGGATCCCACTAAACGACGGCTATCATATCATAAACCAATATAAAGCCAGCATTCCATCCCGCTAAATCCTCCCAACAACCCCTACCGAGTTCATCTATTCATCCAAGTATATCATTAATTCATAATCATCCATTCAGCTCATCAGCTTGTGGAGAGGGCATTCTGCTTTTCGACCGAACCATTCCACGATGCACTCCTTGTGAAATTTACAAAGACATTCCAACCTTGCCAGTTCATCGCCCACATCGTACTCTACCATGCATATCGAGCATTCTTGATTGCTGCCGTCCTGCCCAACGCAGTCCTTCTCCGTCGCAATAAACGGCAGCATGTGGATCCGTGCTTGGAAAGGTCCTCCAGGACTGCCCTCGCCGTGGTATGTAGCGTCTCGAGCCATGAGACAATCAATTATATGAGCTTCTCGTGCAGACTCATCCCCATTGGGCCCTTGGGGAGGCAGGGCTCGGCGGCAAACTGGACAAACGTCACTCTCAGCCAGCCGTGGCCGAGTATTCATAACAAATGGATTCTGTGATGGTCGAGGTCGCTCGCTTCGACCAGACAAATTGTTTTCGTCAAGAAGAGAAATTCCTCGGCTTCGATTGGGCATGGACGATGCAGTGCTCGTATACTCGCCACGAGGTTGCTGATTGCCAGGGTAGGTTGGTCGTACCGCAACCAACGATGGACTGACGGACTGTGGAGTGTACTGCACTTGTTAGACAAACGAATCATACCAGGAGCATGCCCTTACTTGGGAATTGTCAGGCTGCTGTTTCGGCACCACTGAACCATCGGAACCACCTGGACGAAATCGTGCTGGTGAAGAGAGTCCCACAACAGAGCCAAACCAGCCAGGTCCAGAGTTGCTGTTTTCAAGGCTGCCATAGCCAGAGTATCGGCCAGCCCTTCGACCTTGACCTTGCTGTCGGAGTTGGTCACCTCTTGGACCCTGTTCTCACCTGTTAGTACTTGACTGTGGCTTTGGGAGCCGGCACTTACGGTGGCGTTCCGTCCTTCAAACGCTCCTGAGTGCGAAACTGTCTGCCTGTGACCGGGCCTTCCCGTGTGATTGGAGTTGAATCCCTGCGCGAGACCACCGTTCCACCTAGAGTCGCGGGAAGTGCCATCACTACCTGCTGAATAGTAAAGAGGTGGCTCTGGTTGAGGATCGGGAACACAGGGATTGCACAAGCGAACTTTCTCGCCCCCTTCCAACTGACGGCCCGATACCCCGTACAGACCTGGACTGGAGGGTGAGCGGAGGTTTTCATCATCATCCTGGGTGAGATCTATAGAGTTGACATGCCGGCTAGTGGGTGATGTGGCAAATTCCAAGGTTGGTGGGTGTATAATATATTGGCGAGGTATGGTGATACGGTGGGGGGAACATTCATTGCAAACGACTCGGCCACATTTTCTACAGTGGTGTCTTCGGAACATCCAAGTAAATGGGCGGTGGCATATAGGACAGTTGTTCACCTCCGAGTCTGGCTGCCAACGAGGGCCAAGAGCTTGCCGGGTGTTCTCAGAAGGCGTTCTGACTAGCCTTGTGTCCTGAGCAGCATCCTCGTGTAAGGGGGGCGAGGAGCCTGTCAAGTCGATTATCTGTGGAGGCACAACAGTGGTAGACGAGGCACGACTCCGGGCAGACGACGACGCAGCAGCGTCAGTACGCTGAGTATCTTGGGCTATGTTTCTTTCAGGGAAATTGGTGTTGTTGGATCTTCTTCTCGGATCGCCATAGTCAGGGTTTGTCAGCCTTCTCTTGCGGTCCAACGCAATGAGACTGCGTCTTCGGTGGTCAGCAGTTTGCTCCATGGGATTTGGGAGTGGTCGGTCTCTCAGGAGGGCAGAGAGCACATCTCCGCTATGACCCGAATCTGAATGGTGGGGGAGGTCTGGTAAGGGTCGATTGGACGATGTGCCGGACGGCGCTCTGGGAGGAACCCGGTCGGGAGGGCAGGGGCGGCGGGTGGCGGCAGCAATAGGTGGAGGCTCGAAACTGCTCTCGGAGCTGATGCTATCGGAGGAAGACATGGCTGAAACAAGTAATGGAAGGTCAAAATTGATGTCGAGTAGGATGTTGTCAATGCTCTAACACGGGCACGTGGGGAGAAAGCAGGGCACCATCACTGATAGAGGATGGACGGGGTAAGAAGCAGTCAAAAGGAATGTAGCAGTAACCGTATACATAATTGAGAAGAAATCGCCAAAGAGCTAGGTTTCCATTGTGCCAAAGCGCTTCAAGTGAGGGCAGGAAGACAGAAAATGGAATTTGAATTGTTGATGTCTGAGTTCCTGCTGGAAGTCACGGTGGCGGTAGTCACGGTGAACTTGCTGTACATACGCATCGTTCGAGGGGATTATGCTCCACCGTATATTGAGAGGACAATGTTCTACCGTAGTGACATGTCATCCGGCGCTTCCACCAATAACAGTCCAGAAGTCACATGGGGCCCCTGCCCCATCAATCCGTATTAAGAAGTGGTCTAGCCCGTGTGTCAAAAGTTGGGATTATTGGCGGAAGGATTAGGGCTCGCATGGCTAGTCGCGATCCTGAGTAGTCTTCCGTTGCTTAAATGCTGCTGTCGTTGCAGCAAGTGTCAAGGCCAACCATCTTCGAATCGATATCTGTTACACGGATAAGGTACGGAGTGCCATGTAGAAGATTACTTTAAGCAGGAGGTGGGTTGTGAACCTGTTGTGTTTAGGAAGCCAACCGAGATCACAACATGAGGCGTCACTTGTGGCAGACCCATGTCTCCGCCAGGATTTAGATGGCGATGTGGGTTTACAAGATGCGATGTGAATGCTAGAGGATCAGGCTTGGTGTGCATTTGGGAGGCAAGGGATTCACGCCAGAAATAGCAAAGCGGGCCTGGCTCCCTGGCACTAGTCTGGATAGTCCCGGCAAACAGTGGGTTCCTTCCGTCATCCAACGCCTCCCAGTGGTCGCTCCGAGGGCGTTAGTGCATGTCGTACCACGCCTTCGTTTTTGGTGTCACTGTGTCTCGGTCGTTCTGCAAGACTGCCAGACTGCCACTTCTGCTTCCGCTCTGCTTCTCCTCTTCCGAGCGCCTGCGCCTCTTTCTGCCTGTGACCTGTGATCGCAACCCAACACACCCTCAACCATTTTTTATACTCCATCCTCACTAATTCCTCTTCGTCATTTGCTGCATACCGGTCATCAACCACTGCATCTGAAACATTTACGATTTCCTCACCTTGACTTCCTCCTTCTGTATATCCGCACCTGCTGATCTCTCTGTAATCAACAGTCCACAGCCTGCACGCTCTCATTGCAGATTCGATCCGATCACCTTCCTTTTCTTCTCTTCTCACTTTTACCAGCTCCACGGAATTCGCTGCGAAACCCGAGGCACCACTTTGAACAATGTCCTGCCGTTGAGATGAATCCGGTCCAAATGAAAGATACGGGCTTGCATACCATGCCACCCGAAATGTACTCGTCGAATACCGGTGCCTCCGCTCAGCCTTCTCCAACTCGACGCCTTCGAGTCCTTCTGTTATCGAATCTCAGCCACTCGCTGGCAATTTTCCTCTGTCTGTTTGGCGTCTGTACCTCCTTGGCGAGCGCCGCCCGCGTCGAATTTCAAAATTGTCTTGACAGAAGCTATATCTCATCAGTTCCCAGACTCCTCCAGTTCGATCCTCTCCAAGCCAGGGCTGTCTTTGTCAACACGGGCGACAATAATCTCAATGTCACCATCTACGGCAACGTCACAGGGCGAACCACCGACGCACCCTATCCCGCTCCTGATGATCCTTCATGGTCCAATCCGAATATCACCTTTGGGAAAATCCCCGACTTGAGTGAAGCCAACAACAAGTACACCACTCTCTTTGCTAGATATACCTTCCTGAGCTACACACCTTGGATTGCCGAACCCAGCAGATTTTGTGAGTCGGTCCTTCAAGAAGAATGCCCTCTTGCGCCTGCATTTTATGTCAACTCTTCCGATCTCAGCCAGCTTCCAGCCTTCTCTGTCGCCCACGACTTATTCTCCAGCTATGCCTTTGCTTCTATTCAAGCCACCCTCCAAATTCAGTCAGGCGATGCCAGCGGCAATTACCTTGGTTGCATCACTGCCACTATCACTCCCGATCTTGGAAGCTATCTCAAAGGTCTTCTGAGGTATCTGCCTCTAGCCATTCTTATCGTTGTTGGCGTCGCCACTATTTCCGCCGCCGTCTTCAGTCCTTGGGGCTCCAGCGATATCTTTCATTGGTCCAGCAATTTTGGCCGGGATGAGGATCTCTTACGTCTCGTCACCCCCGGCTTCGGTGACTGCCTTCAATACATCCAATTCGTTGTGCTGACTGGTAGCCTCAGCCTGAACTATCCTGGATTTTACCAACCGGCCGTCAGCCGGGTGAGCTGGTCGTCTCTCATGTTTAACATGAGCTTCGTCTCGGGTGGCAATGGCACTGAAAGTATAGTCGATGGCATTTATGAGCTTCGCAACGATACAAAATATGGCCTTGACGGCATGAGTCAGCTAGTTGGTATGACTTCTGACAGAGATATTTGGGCCGACATGATGGTATGGCTGGTCGTTGTTGTCGCAGCCGTCTCCATTTTGACCCAACTTGGCTTTGCTGGACGATATCTATACCGCCGAGTTGCTGCCGTTGAACCCGAAGACCTACGCTCAAAGAACATTCCTTTCACCATCGGCAACATCGTCCGGGTTGTGCTCAACTTCTTCCTCCTTCCCCTGACATCTTTGTCCTTCTATCAACTTGTAATCGCAGGACGTGGTCCCACTTACTCAGTGGCCTTGGCCGCGGTGTCACTGGTCTTCGTACTCGCTTTCTCTGCTCGACTTGTCTTTCTATTTATCCGAACAAGGCCTCGATCTTTCCTCTTCGACGACCTCCTAACTCTTCTGGCGTATGGCCCTTTGTACAATACCTATTGTGACGACGCCGCAACTTTCGCGCTAGTCCCTTTGATGGTCAATTTTCTGCGTGGCATCGCAATTGGTGCTGTTCAACAATCGGGGGTGGCACAGGTGGTATTACTTGCCATCTGTGAAATTGTCCTGATTCTCACCATTAACGCCTTCAGACCGTTCCCATCTGCTACATCCATGAACATTTATCACACTTGCTTCTCCGTCATCAGACTCATTACGATCCTCCTGTCCATAGCTTTTGTACCCTCATTGGGAGTTGCAGATTCCTCTCGAGGCTGGCTCGGATATGCTATTCTAATTATCCATGCCTGTACTCTTGTGTTTGGATTCTTCTTGAATGCCATACAAACACTTGTTGAAGTGATTGCCCGGCTAGCAGGTGCAGGAGGCCGCGATGAAGACACTGGCGGTGCTACAAGAGGTGGACTGAACAAGGTTTTTGGCATGCGACAACTATCTCGTCGTTTGCCCCGTCGAGAGCACCCCCGTCACAGCATGTCATCCAACGCTGCCATGCTCTCGGCTCTTGACAATGAACAGAAACAATTGCAAATGGCTAAGACTCGCTCACGAAGTGTCTCCGCGACTTCAGGGGCGTTGATGGATGGACCCAGACATTCCAACAGAATCAGCTCAAATCTTGATAGTCGCACCATGGGCCATTCCACCCCAGACAACGGAAGTACCATTGGCAAACGACTTACACAGAGATTGAGTGGAACAAGTTCAGTTGGTGCTATCGTCGGTCTTCACCACAAACAGACAGAGTCAAAAGACCCCTATTATCGACCTCCACGTCGAAACACCATGGATGCCCTCGGATCAGCAGACAGCAGACCAAGGATACCCCTCGCGGGTGCAGGCAGGGGTGGTAATAACGATCTAGCCGTGGACGATGACATCGGAGAGGGAACCTCGACCCCCGTGCGAGCAGAAAATGATGACTTCGAGGATGCCATCAGTGAACGACCCGGCCCAAAGAAGGACTACGCAGTCAGGGAGGTCGACTTCTATTATGGTGTTCGAGGGGCTGCTCTTTCAAGCGGAACCAGAAAGCTGAAGACTGGTCCGGCTGATCCCACAGGGCGCGTGTCGACGGCAAGAGGTTGGTTCAAGGGCATCATTGGTGGAAAGACCAAGGAAAAGAACAAAGGCTTTGAAGTTGTTCGAAGTGCTCGAGCACCTCCTCCGGGTCTGTTCCCACCAACCCCTATACCGGAGGGCCAGGTATCAGAACCATACCACGACGAAGATCTCCCGCCGCATGGTGAGAGCAGTCGAGCAGATCGTACCAGCATCAGAGTTGCGTCACCAGTCCAACAGAGACACAGCCTTTACGATGACATATCAGTGGATGATTCTGATGAGGATGAGCGACCTGTGTCAACTGTCCCGAAACAAGCGCCATCCTTGCCTTTGATCGACTCGGTCGGTGCAATAGAATTGCCTAGCCGTATTGGCTCTGAAGCTTCACGGAAATCTCGCAGACGACCGCCGGCAGGAGAAATCCCAGATGTACCGGCTCTACCGGCTCTACCGGCCGTACCGGCCGTGCCTCGAAAGAGTTCCCGAAGGCAATCAGGAGGTGATTCTGGCGACAGGTCAAATGTCATGCGGCCTCGAGTTGCTGCCGTTGGTCCATCTGCATACACCCACCAAAGTCCATACAAGAGAGACTCTCAAGGTTTGAGTGCGAGTCGAATTCCGTTCTCTAACTCTCAATCGCCAGGGCGAAACAAGCGCTACTCAACGGGAGCCGAATCAACCAATTCAAGTGTACTGCGGGACACAGATGAGAATCTTCAAACACATCCATCTTTGACTACACAGTTGCATCACTCCTCCTCAGCCCTGGGTGTACATGGAGCTGATGTCCGAGACGATCGGCCATCTAATATGGGATTTGTTCAACAACACCGAGCAAGCGACCATATACACTACAGCCCAGATTCACCCGAGTTTGAGGGAAGCGCAGCCGAGATATATGGCCGACCTGCCTGGTGAATGCCACGCGTCCTACTGAACGACATAGCAAATTTTCCCCAGGGGCCGCCCAGTCAGATTTTGATGAGCTACACGAATCTCAACTTGTAATCAAAATAACACAACTTGTTATAGGGTGGATGGTATACCAAGCGTTTATGGGCACTTGCCCTGCACTACAACGTCAGATTGCCTGCAAGCCGTCGAGCCTGTGAGTGTTCTGGTGAGAGCTTTGCAATTTCTGGATTGTTTGAAATACTGGGAAGCCAACTGTTACGACCAACAGATTGTCCATTCCATTTCCCGTTTTTTTCTGTTTCTTAGCGAGGCGTACACGGAGACCCAAAAAGAGAGCGGATCGGATCTTTTTGTTTTTTTGGCATGACCTGTCTTTAGGGGAGGGTTATATACTTCGGCATTTCATGCGAAAGCTACGCCTCAGGTTCGTGGGGAGTAGGAAGCACGATAATTAGCGTGAACAGGGATGGGATCGGAACCCTGAGATGGGTGGATGGTGGATATGAAGAAGCATGAAGGTGAAGAGTTCGCATCAAGGGAATGCACCAGACCAAGCTTGATGGAAATACATATACTACACATAATACCACACAAACATGACATATGTTATGCCTAAGATCTGTGGACACGGCCACCTGGCTCATTTCGATCCTCGGAACCAAGACGTCTTTGCACCGAGACTCCCCGCCTGGGATGTAACTGTATATTGCAAAATTTATGTCTGCGGAACCAGGCAGTGAACGTGCTTGCCACCGGCGTACAGTAGACCTCGCCCAGGTCCACATACCGCCAACTCAGCTACCTGTACCATCGAGTGGCCATGCCCTCTATCGCTATATACTATATAATAAGGGGTCCCTCCTCCGTATCCGAATCTCACAGCGCCATGTCAAACGGCTGTATCTACGCAACCATCCCGAACCCCGGCCTCCCACAACGGTAGGGCACCTCGCGTTGTCGCCCATCCACGTGTACGGTACGTGCCAGCCTGCCGCCACGCACCACCGTGAGGCAAGGTCTCGCGCCAGGCATGGGCGAAGGACCCAACCCGGTATCTAACGCGATGGGATGGGATGGGATCGGATGGCCAGACAGCCTCCATACCCGTCCAACAACCGTGGAGGTTTCCCAAGAGTCTGTTCCACGGAGACCTCGTCGGTGGACAGCTGGTAAGGATCTGTGCACCTGACGGTGAATCTGGCCGAGGCACCGCGCGAGCTGCGTACGAACGTTCGCCTGCATCAACGCGTGCTGCTGTTGCCTTCGCCGCTTGTAGTTAGTGCCGCGCAAGGTGTTGCTTCGTATTGCGTTGCTCTTGCATATGTGTGTGTACCTACATCAGCGTCACGTCTCGTAGGCTCAGATCAGCCGATGGCCAAAATCTCCCTTCCCCTTTTGAACGGGTGCTCGGGGTAGATAGATAGGAAGGTACCTGAGTATGTGGCTACGAAGTCACGTATGTGTCACTCACGACACCCCAAAATCCGCTAGAGTAGATAGTAGTTTCCTTGCGGTAGTGGCTGGCGAGCCGGCGCAAGTGAGCTTCGGGCTCACCACCTACTCGTCGGTATTAACTGCGTACGGAGTACTGCGGCTTACAAGAAACCCCGTACTCGCGGGGCCTGGACAGGAAAGCTCGAGTATGGCGATCAACCGAGCATGTGAAGTGCGGGGCAGAACGGAATTACAGGCCTCGCAGAAATTGAAACTTGTTTATTCCCGGTGGGATTGTGAAGGTGGGGTAGAGTACGCCATCACCACGACAAAAAAGCAGGACCAGAAGCCAGAAGCTTCGTGAGACGAGGCAATCTTTGCCTTTAGTATCTAGTCTGGTAGGTAGAATCAACTTTTCATTTACCGACTATTAGAAGTATGTCGGTAAACCTTGGACGTCCTCGCTACGTAGTCTTAGTCTACCTGTTGAGGACGTGGATGGAGATAGAAGTCCTTTTGTATCACACACTTTTGACGGGTTGCGATGACCGCCGATATGCAGTTCCAGTCTTAATCTTAATTCTCGATGCCGCAGACCGATGTCAGCTTGTCATTTCCCTTCCCGGATTGATTTGATTGTGGAAACATCAACTCTTCTACTGGGCACCACAGTCCACGATGGTGGGCTTGAATCTTGTGCTGACTTGACCACTGCCAGAGCCTAGGGCCTCGAGCTCTTTGACGACCTTCATGCTGTCTTCGTCGGCAACCTCACCAAAGACGACGTGCTTGCCATCGAGCCAAGAGGTGACAACGGTGGTGATGAAGAATTGAGATCCGTTACTGTAGGGATTGTGTTAGTAGAGAGGTAGATGAAACACAGAATGACTGAGGTCTGGGGAAAGGATGGGGTCAACGAACGTGTTGGGACCAGCGTTCGCCATGGAGAGGAGACCCGGTCGGGTGTGGGCTTTCTTGAAGTTCTCATCGGCAAACTTTTCGCCGTAGATGGATTTACCACCAGTGCCCTAGAAATCGGTCGATCAGTATGTGGTCGGGTAAATAGAGCTGTTTCTCTTGATATCACATCTTGGTGTGTACTAACATTACCACGGGTGAAATCTCCACCTTGGAGCATGAAGGATGGGATGATACGATGGAACGCGCTGCCTTTGTAGCCGAAGCCCTTCTCACCAGTGCAAAGAGCACGGAAGTTCTCGGTAGTCTTGGGAACTACATCGTCGTAGAGGTTGAAGTTGATGCGTCCTTTTTTGGCTAGAGGGAAGATGAAGGTCAGTGACAGGTTCAGACAAGAAAGGCGAGCTCGTCATAGAAAGGAAGAACCGGGTAGGAAGCGTAGATAGAATCGTAGGCAGATGGGTTACATGGGGTGTGGACTTACTCGCGCCAGGTTGAGCTTTCTCGAGCTTCGGATCGCTGTATTCGACCTCGAAGAAAGCGGTGATAGTCATGTTTGCTGGAGAAGAGGAGAAGAATCTGGCAGATGAAAGTGGATGGTTGTTGAAAAGAGATTGACGAGGAAGAGAAGTTGGTAGACGTAGCGGGGTGAGAGTGTGGAATGATTTGAAAGAGTTGACACGGAGGGGCAGGGAGTTCATTTTTGAATCAAGGGCCAAAGGGCAGGAGCGGCAGTGGCTGTGAGGGGAGGGGCGAGGGGCAGTTGCGCAGGGTAAAACTGTCTTGGCAAGTGGGATTGGGATTGACTGAAGGACGAGTAGTAAGCAGGTGTAGCGCTGAAGCAGGAACGACTCTCGAGCTGGATCACACCTTCAATCGAGGAGAGCTGCACGTGATAATCACACGTGACAGTAGTGTAACTGTGTCCCAGAAGTTAGCATCACCAGTTGTCTGATAGCAATATCAACAGTATCCCATTCACATATACTCTCTAGTACACTTATGAAAACAATGGGAAGTAGGATTCCACTCACTATACCAACTTGACAATCGCTAAACGACAATGTCTGTCCAAAGATGTCAAGCTATTGAAGGCCTAAGCCGCAAAAGAGAACGGGATGCGGTGGTGGTGGAATGAACTGGGTGATGATTTTGCCGCGGAGCCGATCCGGTAGAGTCCAGGGATAATCCTGCTGCAAATAGGAAATACGGCGAGATACGAATCCAAAATCTATGGTACAAGAATGCTTCGACTTCAATGGTTCGGCAGGGTCAATTGGAGTTGGAGATGGAGTTGGGAGCTGGGAGCTGCAGCCCATGCCAAACACGTCAAATAAGGGAAAAAAAGACCACTTCTCCTGCCAAGTCCGGTTCCCGAGTCGAGTCCATCAAAAGGTGCATAGCGTCATGACTCGTTTTCAAAGAAAAAGGGGCTGTCTCTGGTCTCTGTCTATTTATCCTCCACCTCGGAGTTTTGATATGGTATTAACTTATCTGGTGGTAGTGATGATACATTAAAATACATATGCACTTGTTGATACCGGATAGATCTGTCCCAGTCAATCCCCTCCAGCGTTGAACGGGTAATGTTTGGTGCTGAACCACGCTTCAGCTAAAATCTTCGTCGCGACCAGCCTCGATTGCCATGATCCGTGACACGAGCTCCTTGGTCTCACGCGCAATCTGGAATGCCATAGGTGGGAGTTTTTGTGTCGATTCTCGACCCTCTGTCAAGCTTGTCTGGAGAAGGTTGTGGCGACAGTCTTGGAGTATTTTGAGAATTGGTCCAGACTTTTCTGCTAACAAGGCCTTGTAAGATGTCAGTTCGCCTCCAGTCCTTTCTACCGAGCTGATGATATTCTCAATCGTGCCTGCAATGGTCGAGATATGGTTCTGGATTGTGTTCGTAGGCTCATTGCCGCGGATCGCATCGACCAACGAGGTAATGGATTGGACTAACCCGTCCGTCTGGTCCTCGAGATACATCTGTTTGGGGTGTCAGTGCAGCAACAACGATGCTTCTTGGCAGTCTTACCTTGAGGTCCTCGAGGTCAGCTTCCTCTTGGCTCGTTCCAAACCCAGCTGTAGATTTAATCCCTAGTCCAGGACCATTGATATACGCCGAGCCACCACGCTGATAGAGACCCGAGCTGGCTTGATTGCTGTTCGTTCTAGCCTCGGATGGGGTACTCAGCGCGCTATACACGCTCTCCACTGCACTCCGTCTTCTCAGCGACTCGACAACGTTGAAATATCCGTTGCTCTGGAGAGGCTCCAAAGTTGGCTCATCATCATCTTCAAGTTCCCCTGCAGGTGTGGGGCGAATCTTGACAGTATGGAGAAGATCCACCACAGCAGCTGTCAGATGGGACGCCGCTGCATCTACGAGACTGATAGGGGACAACCCTTGTGCAGAAGCAAAATTTTTCGAAGCTGTGATCAGATTGTTCGCTGTGGCCGAAACTTTGCTCTTCAATTTCGCCCTTCGTTTCGTCATCTCGTCCTCCTTGTCTGTAGACGGTGCAGCATCAATATCCGACGTGATGCCTCGGACGGCTAGTACGACAACTTTCATGTGATCAAGTACCGCAGCGGGTGTTTCCGATCGGGCAATGCGAAGTAGCTCGTCGATGGCAATTTGGAATTTAGTGACATTGACGTCCTTGACCAAGCCCCCTTGGTCCTGTAGAGCGGCTCCGTGTCGAGCAACATCAGCCCGAGAGATTGTAAGACCAATTGAACTTGCTCGAACACTTCGGAGTTGGGTCTTGGTCTTGACATAGCGACCTTTCCATTCCTTGACTTCCTCCTCGAGCTTGTGCACTTGTTCTTGGAGCTTCTCTTCACGCTCAGAGCTGCCGGTCCCAGACTCCGCCATATCTCTCATTTCCTGAAGATACAACTGGCCTTGCCGACTGACTTCATCTGTCAAGTTCCGCTGCAGGTTGAGTTGCTCTTGCAAAACACCATGGTCGTGGTCAAGTTTGAGGTACTTTGTTTTCCATAGTACGTTTTCTCCGCTGTAATGGGGTTGCTCGGCTTTAAACTTCTCGATCTCTTCTTGCATTGACTTGTTCAAGTTCTGGGCTTCCTCCAGTTTCTTCTCCAAATCTAGTTTGGCCGCTTCCCATTCAGTGCTATCCGCAGTCAATTGGCGGATTTGTCGATCCTTCGTTTCCACAGTGGATTCGAGTTCTGCCATCTTCTCTTGCAACTCCGATACATTCGTCTGGCCAAGCTTCGAATTATAGGGCAAGCTAGCGCCGCTCTGAGAGGTGGCCGACGTGTCTCGATCGCTTCTCGGGCTCGCAAGCGAGCTTTCTAGCCCGAATGCATCACTTGAGCGGTCATAGCGAGAACCGGTTGGTTGTGTGTCATCCTCGTCCTCTACCATGGTGCTTTTGTTGGGAGTGATTGTATTGCTCTGAAATTGCTTTGCCATTGGACGACCGAATTCAGCAGCAGGCTGGTTGTCAAAAGGTGGAAGGCTTGAAACAGAATCTTGTCTCTGAGAGAACCCTTGCGACCCAGAAGGACCAAAGGTTTGCGATCTTTGCGGGCCGGGAAAGGCGGGAAGTCCATTCGCCGACGAGACACTTCCGGGGCCTCGTGATCGTGAACGGCTGCCAGGCCTGTTCGCTGTGTCAGGTCGGGAAGCAAATTGCGGGAATCTCCTTTCCAGTTCGCAGAAGACGTCCGTGGAAAGATCCCTAAAGCGTGGTGTCTGCAAGGAGGACAATTTCTGTCGGGCTTGGTTGCGTTTTTCATGAAAGTCCGAGCGTGGTTGGAGGAAGTTGGGGACATTCTGAACGCGCGGGGGTCTCCCCGGAAGCGCTGCACCGGCTTGTCTTCTTTGCAATTCATCGAAGACATCGGTACTTAGTTCGTGAAACTGGACAGGCGAGAGTCGCAGCAACTTGTCTCTGGCTTTATTGGGACGCGGCGGGACCTGCGAAGCACCTCTTAAGTAACCCTTGAGGATCGTATAATGCTGGAACAGTTCAATCTCCATCTTCTTATATTTCCTGCTCTGTTGGTCGGATATCGTGCCATCGCTAGAGCGCGAATTCGCGATCGATGCAGCACGGGATGAACCTCGCGAGCCGGAATCAGAGGGACGACGTTGACCCAAAGGTTCGAGCTGGCCAGGCCCGCCAAAACCAGGAGGACCATTGATGGGAGGTGAGCGGAGCGCGGGAAGTGCTTTGTTGGGACCATAGTCGTCTTTGGGTAGAGAATATGCGTTCAGAGGAGCGTCGTTTCTGGGGATCTGATTGTATGCATTGACTCCGGACCATTCACTGCCAGTGGTCGAGACGGGCGACAGTTCGCCTCGACTTAAGGGCGGTAGAGTTGCGGCCTGCATACCTGTGGCCGTCTCAGAGAATGGAGGAGAGTCGAGGGAGGATGTAGAAGGAGAATGATGAACGGAAGAAAGGCGTCCCGGGATACTGCCTGATCGAGGTAGGGGAACTGGACCAGGTAGATCCGGCCTAGTCTTACGAGTTACCGAGTAGGGTGTGAAAGAAAATAATGTGAAGCAGGAGGTGTCGGAACGTCCTGCGACAAGGGTGCGAGAGCGACGGATGTGCAGGCGCGATTGGGAACCAAGCCTCTGAGGAGGGTACGGAAAGAGGGAGGGGTTCGAGGTCAAAACGTCACAGATCCAGACTGTCCAGCAGACGGTGTACGGAGTATTGGGCTTGATTAAACGAATGTACGGCTCCAGTGGTGCGCGAGAGAGATACAGATGTCGAAAAAGAGGAAGACACAGGAAAGAAGACGAAAGGAAATGTGTGGTGAAGACCGAACAAGGTAATGGTTGGTGAAGAATTGCAACTTGCAAGGGGTTCGTGAGGAAGTGGAAGCAGGTGAAGGGCCTGGCGGGCATTAGCGAGACGAATGGCAGCTCCAGGACTGTCCAAAGTTAGGCGGTCAAGTAGCAGCTAGCTATCTTGACTACGAGTAGCTTAGCTAACTTGGTTAACTACACTCAGCGCCGACTACCGAGTCCTTACCTAAGTTCCTCCGTTCTCCGTGCGTACCTTGGGGGGAAGGGCTGCCACTAGGAGCCCGAGGCACCAGTATTACCACCTGGACGAGGAGGAGCATTTGCTGCACGTCGAGCAGAAAGCAGAGACCCTGAATAGCATCTAGTGTTTACCTGCGTTAATCGCCATCTTCGTGCGAGCACATTCTATGCTTGAGCATTGAGGTGCTGGCTACTAAGGCGACTAACAGCCATACCACCTAAAGTGCATGCATACGAAACCCATCCTTTGTTTGGTCCAGGACCGGTCAAATTCCACAACAATGCCTTTTGATTCCTAGGGGTACAGCCGGATTGCATTCCTTTGAATGTTTCTGCCCTGAGCAACCAGTACAACCACTCATGCAGCCGGATATCTTCATGCGCGACATGATCTCACTCAGCCACGAGATCTTCCATCTGTTCCTGCACTCCCCCCCCCTATTCCCCTTATCCCTTAATCCGCATTATGGGCGGTGAACTCTGAAGAGCGCCGCTTTGAGTCTAGCCAGGGCGTCAACCCCTCCATCCTGACTGGTTTATCCACCCGTCATCCCCCAATCTCTTCCGCTTATTCGATAATCACTGCTTCTATGGGTTCTGGTGGCTTTCGACTTGCCGCGGCTTAGCTCCATTTCTCGTCCACTTCCACGCAGATGCTTCATCCACACGTTTGCTTGGTGTTCCGCAGCCTTGACGCGCCGTGGCCAATCCCATGCTGTACTCAGTGCGAAGGAGAGCACAACCTCATATTTATATAATTCAATCATGAACCACGTTTTTCGCTATCCGAAAACTTGACCTCGTGTATCTGTCTGGGAAGCCTTGTAGCGTTCGCTATTTCCAGAACTATTACTGCCACTTGGTACTCCGTACTGGTTACTAGCACTAGTAATAACTGGCTATTGAAGCCTCCTTTCTTGGTGGCTTCATCGTGCTGCCCATGCAGTGCATCACAGACACTCCGAGACCAGTGTTCCAACACATTTGTTGGCGCCTGCTTTCGCATCCAAGTGTATGACAACCATCCGACTGGGCGACTAATGACTCAATACCTCCCAAGGTGGTCGGCTGCCTCGAAACGCCATACGCTAAAGTCCCATATATACAGTTCCATTGTAGGTATAACAACACCCAGGCCCTTGCAACCTATCGACCATTGGTCATCTGTAATGAGGCACGTATATTGGATCCTCCTTGTGCGCGTATAAAAGGCTCTACCGCCGCAGAGACCGGCGTAGTTGTCCGAGTTGGTACAGCGCTACGGTTAAGCGCCATGTGAGCTCTCACCAAATGCCCTGCAGCCAGAGCTCCGCAAAGACTCAGTTCACCTGCCAGCACACCAGCTGCCACAATCCTCGCCAGTTGCCGAGCGTTATTACCAGGTGTGGTCGGGTGCGAGCCACGTACACCGAGCAATTCAAGCATGGCCGATTGTGCTTCGAGAATCGTGCCACCACCAATTGTGCCAACCTCGACCGAAGGCATCGACACACTGATCTGTAGGCTGCCATTGTTGCTGAGAAGACATTGTTAGCCATGTGATGCCGTTGAGCATGATTAATCGACTTACTTTTTCATGATGGTGATGCAGTTGGAGCTCTCCACGTTCTGAGCAGGATCCTGACCAGTGGCCAGGAACATGGCGGTAACAATGTTGGACGCGTGGGCATTAAACCCACCAATGCTGCCTGCCATGGCGCTGCCAATTAGATTCTTGGCAATGTTCAACTCCACGAGTGTATCAACGTCAGTCTTGAGCACACTGCGGACAACATCACCGGGAATGATGGCCTCGGCTACAACAGCTTTGCCTCGTCCATCAATCCAGTTCACTGCCGCCGGCTTTTTGTCGGTGCAGAAATTGCCTGACAGTGTGATGGTCACCATGTCCTCGAAACCACAGTCCATTGACATGACAGACAACGCTTTCTCAACGCCTTTGGAGATCATGTTCATTCCCATAGCGTCTCCAGTGGTGGTCTTGAATCGAATATAGAGATATGTGCCTGCCATTGCTGTCTTCATCGACTGAAGACGAGCGAAACGACTCGTGGAATTGAATGCATCCTTCATCTGGCGTTGTCCTTCATCCGAATCAAGCCACACCTTGGCTTCTCCGGCTCGTGCTAGCGTGGGAAATGCCACACATGGCCCACGAGTCATGCCGTCACCGGTAAGCACAGTTACAGCACCGCCTCCTGCATTGATGGCTTTGCATCCACGACTAACACCTGCAACGAGCACGCCTTCAGTGGTGGCCATCGGTAGGAAGTATTGCTGCCCGTCGATGACAAGAGGACCAGCAACACCCAGAGGAAGCGGAAGGTATCCAATGACATTCTCACAGCAAGCTCCCTGAACTAGTTCATAGTTGTAATCTTTATATGGAGTCTTGGAGGTCTCCAATCCTGACGCAAAATTCTTCGTGGTAGGAGTTCGGGACACGACAGCCCTTCGGACTTTAACCGCACGGACAAATGATTCAAGACGTGTCATAGCTTCTGGGTTCTCCAAAGTCTTCTCAATGGCATATCCTGGGATTTTACCTCGCAGGGACAAGTCGATCAGTTCCTCGTCTGTGAGATAAGCAGCTTGTCTCTCTTTCAGCATTTGCTCACATTCCGCTCGTGATCTGGTAGAGCCCACTGGCAAAGCAAGCTTTGCAGGTCTCTGTCTAGGTGTTTGAGGAAGTTCAAGCTGGGGCGCTTTGAAAGCTCCGCCGGGTGAGGGTGCAGCAGATTGCGGCTCTTTCAGACTCCATCTTGCCGCATTGAATAGATAGCCATTCAGAATGAGGCTTAGGGTCAATGCAATCAGTACCCATTTACTGAGGACAGGATCTTCGAAGCTCTTGAGGACGCCCTCGATGACGCGTCCTCCAACCACGTTGAAGAGCTGATCGGTATACTGATAGTCGAAGAATCCAAGCTCATCTCCTAGGCCGGTTGAATCTAAAGATGGGTGTAAGAGCTCATATTTGATGGGCGACAGAACAGTGACAAAGGTCTCCAACTTCTTGCTCTTCGCTGTGACATAGATCGCATCGAGACCATTCTCAGCAACCTTGAAAGGGTCAATGGGTGAGGGAGTCAGAACACTGGGGATTGTGGCTCCTGCAGATTTGCCCGCAAGTGTGGTGCGGAACGGGATCGTGCACAGGTTGATAAGGTTGATGATGACGAACGAAGTGACCATCCATATCTTGAATTTAGGCACGCTGCTGGCCTTAATCTTCTGGCCGAATATATTAAAACCTCCAGCTTGGTCGGGTTGACCACTGGGCCAGTCATTGTTAGTGGCCACATTCTCGGCAACTCTGTTGCTGATTCCATCTTCTTCCAGGGCCTTACGAAGAGCAACATGTCGCTTGATTCGGTTGATTTCGAGCTTGATGCACAAAATGGTGGTATAGAAGGTGAACAGAAGTGCACAGTCGAAAAACAAAATCCAGGCGGCGAGAAAGCAAAACTGTCTAAGGCCGCCTTGAATTCCGGAAGCTGCGCCCAGGATGAGCAGGGCAATCTCAATGGCATAATCTCTCACAATCTCAAAACCTGTGTCTTTGACGGCTATCTGGATGGCATCTTGAATTGAATGCGGCTGATTGGAGGCGGCCCCGATGGCGTGACCGTTTGCTGACCCATTTTCTTGGGGTCGCCTCTTGGTGTCATAGGAAGCCGACAAAACAGCCTTGGTTAGAATAATTGACTTCTCGAAACCAATGGTGACCACTAGAAATGGTAGACCCTCCGACAGCAAAACCATATTAATGGGCACTCCAAGCTTGGTGGTGGTAACCAGGCCAAAAAGAAAAGCAAACAGGCTGGAAAGCAAGACGGAGATAGCCAACCAAGCATTCGAGCCAAGGCGCTTCATAGAGAGGAAAAGAGAAATAAAGGTCAGGTGCATGGACAAATAGCCTAAAGACATGATGATGATGTCCAGGGTCTCTGCATGCTTGAGAAGGTCGACGAATGAGGACCAGCCTTCGCTGAACCAGGTCTGGTATGCCCCACGTGAGCCATTTCCATTCAGATGGGCAGCCTTCATAATCCATAGTGTCTGCTGATCATCGGAGGATGTCTGGTGTGCTGGCAGTGTCTGTACGGCACGTAGGAAGTCGGCGAGCTCGGAGAAATGAGTATAGAAGGCTAGGGAAGTGTCGTGCGATATCGGCGAGAGCAGGTTCGAGGTAGTTGGGATATTAGTGGCCGTGACATTGGCCGGAATAGGAACAGCATGAGCATCTGGATTCAGCTGGGATGTGGAAGAGTCTGGAAAAATGAATGTGCTGAGGGCATAATGGTGGGGGCCCTAGTAGACAGCCGTGTGTTAGTTTGCAAATGTGTTGTAAACTCGGATGCGTGACCACGTACCAAGGATGACTCCGGGACTGTCGAATCTTCGGAGAACTGCCATTTCCAGGCAGTGCTTTTGGACAGCTCTAACGTCCGGCTTCCTTTCAAAAGGGCATCCACGTCGACTCGACCATTGTGTTGGAGGGACTTGACTCCACTGTCGAACAAGCTCTCTTGTAGCAAGCCAACGTATGAGGTGCTGGCCAGCAAAGCGATGATGACGATCGTATGAATGGGGTGCTGACAAGCGGTATGCGACAAAGCGAGGAGATTAGAAGTGAGGGTCCGGTTTAGCCAGCTGTCGCTTTTGCCTAGAGAGCGAAGTTGTTTAGGGAGGAGATGGGAGCCGCGCATTTTGGCAGGTTGTATAAAGGAGGTCGTGTGGAGGATATGTAGGACGATAGGCGACTAGTGAAGGAAAGACTACTCTGCCATGCTCGAGAGATACTTTTGCAGGCAAAAAGTGCTAGTAATACAGCATCCTGGGACAGGAAGTTGTCAGTGATAGACTTGAAGTTGCAGGGAAATTTGGGAAGGGGCGGGCCTCCATGCAAATGCAAGTGGCGGTCTAGGTGCATCTGGTGGGAAGCGGGTCTTGGGCGGGACATACCGACAAGGATCAATTATGGAAATGTTGTTGGAGGAAGCTCAAGGCGCGAAGGACGTGAACGATAGAACAAAGGAGAGAATTCGTATCGATAAAGAGAGGGCCTTGTGACTCGAGGGAGGTAGTGTTGAAAGGGGGAGTTTAATTGACGGCACGAGGTACTTGATGGTGCAAGCTGGTATAGAAGGAGAAGCAGGCAAAGGCTGCAGTTCGTTCACTGCGGATACCAAATAAAATTTCCCAGTCGGTTGGAAACAAGGCTAACCCAAACTCGGCAAACTGGCGATGGAGGAAAGAAGCAGACGGCGAAGGAGCGGAGGAATGCAGAGAAGTAACTATGTACGGAGTACCAGTACTGTTTCTAACGTGCTCGAGGGTCTAAGTGGATTCAACGGTAACGCGACTGTACGGTACGGACATTTCGCAGCGCGCACTTGGTGCCCCTGTAAGCCAGATCGCCGTATGCGGCCTGTATTCGAATATATTATTTATTCCTATTCAGTGGTGCGCCCACTCGGCTCTTCTGACGCCTGCAGGGCGCGCGTGTGTCACATGTCATCGGATCCCCCGCGTCTTCCACAGAGGCTCTAGCACTCCGTACCTGCATCTGGCTGATGTCCAATGGGCCACTGCATCAGACTGTCATCAACAACCATCTCCATCGTACATGCAGCTAATCAAAATCGGCCGTTAATCATGAACCCGCCTGGAAGTAAATGGCTTAGACGCTTGGGTGACGTGTCCGGACCTGTTGGTACGAGTACGAGTTACTTGAGAAGCACCAAGTCATCGATATACCAGGTTTGTATTCCTTCTGGCCACCATCAGCACCACCCCTAGCCACCAATTCTCGACTACAATTTCGTCAGAGTCGACCTAATAAGCCGCTGTTGCCCATCCGGAATATTCTCTGGATCAATCCGTGCATGCTTTTGCCTCTGGACTTCCTCCACTATCCACTCCCTCCAGACACCATCTAGCCACCTGGCTGTCGCTTGAGCAACCCGCAAAGGCACGAATAGAGCCAACGAATGCTCCCCTTCAACAAATTCCTGCTGAATCTTGTTCTTCCTACTCTTTCTCGCCAATGCTGCTTCCATGACTCGGTTTCTATACCCTTCATCACTAACAAAAGGTCGTTCCGTGTTCTCCCATAGGATAAGCAGTGGGCAATGCAGCCGTGAGAGCGATTGCTTGGCATGCCACGACATTTCTTGATACCATCCGGCCGGGTAGTTTGCGTCTTCTCCCCTGTCACTGTATTCTTCTGCCTCTGGGTATCCTGGCAATGGCGGCGACGGTCGCTGGAAGAACTGGAATGCCTGATACGGGGGAGTCACTAATTCAACCCGTCCATCATCCAGATCCCGATAGTCGAACTCGAGAATCTGCTGCAATACCCGAGGATCATATGCCGTCCACATTGGAAGCTTCTGCATCGAGTCAGCCAATGCCTTGCGGCTGCTGAAATATCGCTTTCGCTTAGCGATTCCCACTGCTGCCACAGCGCCCTTTATTCCCTTCAAGGAATCCAAATTACCCTGGGCTGCCTGGAAATGGTAATAGCCGTTCTCCAGAATTGGCTCACTCAATACCAACGCCTGGAAAAGCCGAGGACTCCACGAAGCAGCCATTGCGAGCACCGCTCCTCCCCAACTCTGCCCAAATCCTACCAACGGTGGCTTCATCTCGGTCTGGAAATAATTGACCATCTGCAGGATATCTCGCGAAGCATCGAACCAATGTGGTTCATCTCCGATTTCTTCTCGGTTCAGGAGGAATGATTGTCCTGCAGATGCGATATCTAACGCCCAGATCGCTCGAATCGGTGGCAGGTTGGGCTGGGAAAGTAAGTCCTGCATGAATGGTTCATATGCCTCTTTGTTGTCTCCCGGCGGTTGCCCATGCTGTACAATCAATGTCATAGCATGTTGACCGTCTCCAAGAGAACTTGCACTATAAGGCACGTATTGCTTAACGTGCAGCCGAAGCCTCGATGTCTGTGGATCCCGCACACCTCGTAGATATCCCCTGGGATGCGATGCCGGAATGACGTGTTCGTTGACAGTCCATGAAGGCGTAGTTCCAGCCATCGAATCCGACCGATGCAGATCTCAATATTAAGGCGTTGACAATTCAAGCATGTCCAACATGCAGAATCTTGATGCGCCTGGGCATGGGCAACAGCTTTTTATATGACATGTCACTTTGGATAAGCGACTATGCTTAGGTCTTTCCCTTGGCGGCCTAGTTTCCTGCGTTCGGTTGTGCAAAGTGTGGGTCGTATCGGGCCCCTCTGGCCGTACTTATATAGACGAATGCTACAGTACTTTCTGATGACAGGAACAAACCCCCTCCACGACTCTGGCACGTGCATCTTTTGCCCAATATCAATTCTCAGAATGGTCTTGATTCTAGTAGGCCTATGATGGCTACAACCCCCCGACTTTATCACAGTAGCCACATTTCATAGCCTTATATCGCACACGTTATTTTCCAGACTTAAAAAGCCCTGCGACTTGGCGCCGCCACCGAAGTGCTCCTGGAGACACCCCCCACTCAAGCCGCCCGCCCGGCTCGGATGAGCCCAGGGCTTACTCTGCTGACATTGTGCCTAATCAAAGCCCATCTAGTTCACGACCTGTTGACCAAATACTTAGGTACTCGTAAGTCGGGGGGAGTGGTCAGGTGTTTTTGTACCCGGCTAGCTTTAATTGATACTCTCCACTACTTCGAATGCTCTTGACTTTTTCCTTGACGTCAACAGTTTCGGTTCAGCATCGCCATGAGAGTCTACAAATCTTGCAACTACTTCCAAAAAGAGTATTGGTCAACGAGCGTAATTTGCTGTCGAAAATTGGATCTCCAGACAAGTTTTATCTAAATCCACGACTTTCTCTCACCGGAAGATCTCTTGCCGTCCCGTGAACTCACAACAGTGCACTCCAGTCCATGGCCTTGTAAGCATCCTTGACCGTCGTCAATTCGGGATTTCCACGCAACCCAAGGTCGTCGATGGTCACCAGTGGCTCCTCACCAGACCAACTCTTGTCCCTGAGCTCCTCCCACATCACCATCATCGAGCCCATCTCATAGCCCCAGCCTCCAGGGAAGATGTTGGCATACTCCTCCAGCGACGAAGCTTTCACATAGTGTGACGGCTTGCCTGTGGCCTCAGACCAATCCTCCAGGAGTTTGCCTGTGGTACTTTCCTCGTTAGACGCGAATACGAAGCGCCCCGGGAGAGTCACTTCCGGCTTCTTCAACACCGCGAGCGCAAAAATACCGATGTTTACAGTTGGGTTTCCGATTGCTCGGATTGGTACATCTGATGCGACTGGAGACAGCTGCACATATGTTCCAGGCAGTTTCTAGACGTCTCCAAGTTAGCATCTGTCCAATGGTCTCGTGCGGGCCGCTGCGACTTACCATGAAGGTGGGTGTGAAGACTGCATACTGGAAGTTGTTCCCGTACCAAGCAATCCACAAGAATGAAGTCTTGGCGTACAAGGCTTTGTCCGCTTTGATATAGTCATCGATGCGGTTTTTGGCCACGAAATGTGGAATCATATGCTTGCCGCCCGACAGCTTGCCGCCGTTGGGAAGTGTGCTCCAGATATAATGTTCGAGCGTGGGTGTGTTGGCTGCGGCCTTGGCCATGTTGACGCCCTGCGCATATTCAATTTCAATAGCCTTCTCAGGTCCGTACGTATTGAACGGCTCGAAGAAGTCCGTCGTTGCAAAGATGGCATTTGAGCCCTGAATTTGGAAAAGTAAGTGTCAGAATGTCACGGTGTAAAGACAGGAGCGAGGTTGGAGCAAACCTTGAACGCATCGACCAGAGACTCTCCATCATTGATGTCAGCCCTGACGACTTCAACTCCACGCTTGCCCAGTTCAGCTGCTTTCGTGCTGTTGGGGTTACGTGTCAATCCCCTGATTTTATAATTGCCGTCCTTAAGCGCGGCATTGATGAGCGACAGGCCTTGAGTGCCTGTAGCACCGACAACGGTAAGAAGTTTGGACATTTTGTTTGGTACTTGTGGCTCTTTGGTAGATTTTAAAGATGAATTGAAGTGATGTAGAGTATACCTCAGAATGCTGAATCCTCTTGTCGAACGCTGCTGCTGTTGTCGCCAAAGTTGGGATGAATTGTGCTCTGCTTTGATTCCAAATTCGAGCGCGCCATTGCAGTCCTTAAATAGCTTTCCACAACGATGCACCCCTGTGCCATGGTGCTGCTTGCATCCATGTAAATTCTGAATAATGGAACACGAACCAGGAACGCTGTCACTTTGACGAAGCAGGCACTCTATCCGCATTGCAGTGCCAGTGACGAGCTCGGAGGATTGTTGCTCATCTCAATAAAGCCTAGTCTTCTGCAGATGAATAATGCATGCAACTTCCATGGTATCCCTTGTGTGTTCAGACTGTAACATACTTGCATGTGCGGGAAGGAGTATATGCGGTGGTATTGAATAAGGAGGAAAGGGGAGTTTGAGATGGCATGTGGTTGGCTTCCGCGGACTTAGAAAACCCGGGTTTGCAGGGAAGACACATCATGCTGCTTTTAGAGTGCTGCAAGGTGACGTCGTTTGTTGAGCTCGCAGCCTGGGGACAACCGTGAACCGCTTTAGAGCATCGCGAATGCCTGCCTCTTTAACAATACTATACTGCCAAAGCAGCATTTGATTATGGCATACGAAGAGTGGAGCACTTCTGGGTGACTTTCTTCGTATGCATGTTTGTTAGTCACTCTTTATTTCCTCTCGTTGGTACAGTTGGTGAGTCCTCGAGATCGTGCGGAGTTCAGCCGAGTGCATTTTGGATATCGAGAACGGCTTGGCAATCGCCTGTTTCGGATTCCCTGTTCCTGGACTGTTGAAAGCTTACCCGCGGAAATGATATGCTGCTGTCAAAGTCTAGGGCGTGAGTGATTGACCAAGTCGGGTGGCCAGGATAGCGGGAGTAAATACCCATCGAGACGACAAGAACTCCCTCACACACTCGACTAGTCAGGCATCCGACGCCCCTAATGGACTCTTCTCGTTTCCTGCGTCTTCTGCATTGCGATCTGGTGAGAGAATTGCATGCAGATACTGTCATGGACATGGAATCTTAGAGATTGAGCTTGACGTCTCCCCTTTTTCGTGGGCGCCAATAGTGACATCGGTTTCGGCGAGCGCCATCAACCCATGAAATAGTCTAACTCCGCCTGCCCTCAACTTTCGCAACAGCAGATCATGACAGATGGATAAGCAGATCCTGCCACCAAGAATCGTCGGGAAGCAGGTCTTGCGTAAGACGAAATCCCTAGCAGAGTGCGACCCAGAGCACTTGTGCGCAACACATATCGGATCACGCGGGACTCCACACCACCAAGAGCTAACTTCTAGTTCTCAAGCCACAGATTGGGATACGAGCCCACTCAAGGCCATGACTCCTTCGAACTTGGGGACACTGTGGGATACTGTGGGATACTGTTACCAGTGTCCAGTTCATGAGCCAATCAAACGGTGGCCTGACGCGTATCTTCAAGAAGGCAAACCGTGATGTCAACTTCCGTGCAGATGCTCAAGACATAGTTAGACGATAGAATAGTGAAACAGGAGGGGAAGACGTGCAGTGCGGTGTTCGAGAAGATCCAAATGTGATCCTTGCGGATCCTGTCTCGCGCGGAATCTGCTCTATGGTAATTACACTGGCTGCAATACGAGTTATATCGGTCAAACCCGCTGCACTTAGCTGGTAGGAATGGCGAGTTCCGTGGACGACTGGTCCCAGCAGCTCAACGGTCTCACTCCCGACGAAATCGCTCAGAGCCCAGTCAGTTATCCGTGGGGTTTTCGCGCCACTATAGAAATGCAACCAAATGCCTCGGACACGAAATGGATGCGCACATTTCTCTGCAAATTCGATGCCCCTTCACTCACGTATCAAAGTTGGTGCAGCACGGTTCGAACACACGCGCATCACTGGCGACGGTGGCACCCATAGTCGCATTTGAAGCGCCACAATCAGCCACCAAAGTCTCGAAAGTGTCCCTGTGGTGCTGCGGCAGTAGCAAGACGCCTGGATCGTCCAGGGCAGCCGTGTGAAGCTGCTGGTATCCAACTCGCAGATGGATATCACTTCGACCAAGGCTTCGCAATCTTCTATGGATGTCTGACTTGTTGCTTGCTGGAGGAGCGAAGGGAGAAAGGGAACAAGCCTCTGGCCGGACCACCTGCCCATGTGGGATCGACATTCAAATATAGTATTGCCGTCTCATGCAGAGAAACCGTCTCTTGAGTGATAACACACGACAGTGGCCGTTAAATGACCTGGGAAATTCGACGAAGGTAGCTTTACAGACGAAAGAAACAGGCCGTGAAGCATTGCTTATGCTCGTCCCAAGGGGATTGAGCCCCGTAACCTAAGATAGGTGATTTGCAAAGAACTCCCGGTGCATAAACGCTAGTTCGTATAATTAGCAAACTCTTGCATCTGCAAGGAACTGCAAGCCTCCTGGTTAATATTGCGTCCAGGTGGCCGAGCTTGATGGTTGTGACTTGAGACATGCTCGATGAAGGGGCATCTAGTATCTCAGCCATAGACAGACTCGATGAGTGACTCATCGGCTGCAGAGATCTCCTCGTCTTCACAGCCATTCTATTGGATCGAATCAGTGGGGTGTATGTAGGGCTGTGGGTGAGTTGAAATGGAAGAACCAGATATCGTCATTGTTCACTCGTAGTCTGCATTCAAGGGGGGTTGGCTCCGTGACTATCTAGTTAACTATCTAGGTGTCTACCTATTTGGGGCAGAGAGGGTTGGCCTTCACTCAACTTAAAGTTGGCCATTTGGTCGAATCAGCGAAGCAAAGCGTGCATCGACTCATACGTCGCCTATTCGTGTTGTGTGGGCGCTTTCACCGTGTGCTTAGCAATTAACCCAAATCACACATTTTATTCCCGCCTGCCCTGATCCTTAGGACCGAGCTTCCAAGTTCCCAATAATTAGGGTTGTCCTACTTCCGCAAAGAATCTCGACCACTCTGTGGGAATGATGGGGTAATGTTGATGATGCCAGCGGAGGCATTCACGTTGTTGCTGCAACTGCCCGACGGCTACGTCGTGCTGGATACCATTTGTTCGAGAGAAACATTAGGGCACCACGCGATGTTGAGGACGCTTGCTTGTGGTGATGTTTTCGGTCTGGTCTGCGTGTGTTTGTAGTAATCCGTTAGGAAGTTTGGTGATGACGATGCCTCAAGGCCGGAATTGATTATCTCTTCTTTCCTCCGGGTTTCGGCTTGACTTCCTCAGGCTGCACGCCATGCAATATCACTTTGCTGACATTCTGTGGAGTATTTTTCTGATATCCTTGACTCCAGTCGTAGCCAACCGCATATGCAAACACCGTGCCTTGTCTATTAAACGCGGTCGCGGTGATGGGTCCTCCGACTGCTGGGTAGCCCTTCAATCTGTGCTTGGCATTGCCATCCCAGAAATGAAACGTGCCGTCACTACCAGCAGTGGAAAAGGTGCCATGGATGGGGTGGAAGGAGATTGCGTTTACGCTGTAAACATTGGCCACATTTTGATTCGGGCCAGTCGTGGATGGTGTGTCACGGTGGCACTTGAAGCTGAAATTGTTGGTCGAGTCCTTTTCTTCGACATATTGAATGGCACATCGCCCTTCGACACTACCGACAGCGAAGCCCGTTGCATCAGTGAAGCACGATACGACTCTGGTTTGATATTTCAAGGGTGATTGCATGGACTTGTAGAACTTCTCGGGAGAGTTCAGGTCGACGATGTTGATGTACCTATCCGCAGTACCGATGACCAGGAGTTTGTTTTTGACGTCCATTGTGTATACCCGTTCTTGACATTGCAGTGTAGCGACTGGATTTTGTTGCCGCAGGTCCCAATATTTGACTGTCTTGTCCCAGGATCCAGTGATAAGGATTTGTTGGCTATTGACATCTGCGAAGCGACATGATCGAATAGGTTGCTCATGAGCGATGAGGGTTTGAGGGGTCATATTGCCCGAAGCAGGGTCCAGGATCCGGAAACTCTTGTCGGTGCCAGCGCCTGCGACCTTCGAGCCATCCTGAAGCAGATCAGTATGAACCTTCGGTCAAATACCCAAGAAAGAGAAGTACTCACAGCAGACCATGCGCAGCTCAGAACCGGGCCATCGAAGTCCATCGAGAATTTCCCTTCGCTTTGGCCATTTTCGCCGACCTGATATATCCTGACTTTCTTATCCCATGATGCAACCGCTAGGAAGTCTCCTGTCGGAGAGAACTGAAGGTCCGAGATGGTGTCTTCTGGAGGTGTGACGAGTGCGACATCTTTTGAAGTATCGCCTGTGGTGCTTGTGGCTGCGGCTGTGGAAGAAGCGCTCCCAAAGAGGCCAGACATTGTTGTCGCAAGCTTCAGGCGCAGTGTTCTTGATAACGCGTAATCCAACTAAAAGAGACGGTGAGAATGAGAAAGACGGGCAAGAGTCAGATGCTATCAACATTACTGGTCTCGAAGATAAGTTGTTGACGCGTGGGAAATACTAAGTAATTATTTATCGTTCTCACTCCGCAGAGAGGAGCTACACTTGCTGCCTGCGGATTGGCTGCCTTGTGCTTTTGTCATCTCACGTGGCAGTGTCCGTTTCACGAAAACTTGGGGGCGCACCGCCTGATCACGTGGACTGAACTACCTCAGCTCTGGTGCTGATGGAAAGGTTAGTTTTCAAGTCTCATCATATTCATTAAGGAGAGTGTGGCTATCATGGCAAGCTATTCTTGGTACAGTCTTGTTACAGTCTTTATAGATTCGTTTTCATGTCATCTTCTCTTGCAATGCTTTTCAATCATAGATTGTCCAGTCCATTCCCACGTTCCACCGATGCAAATACTTCCCAGTATGCGTGTTTTCACGCCTGGACTGTCACCAATTAGATGTTTTGCCATGACATCCTTGTAAGGAACGTTGTTAATGTTGCACTCTTCAAGTCAACTAGATTCCCAAAAGGAGTGTTCTGGCAAGGGTCCCGACCCAAGTGGAATCAAGGAAATTCGTCAATGGTTTATTTTGTTGCTCGCTTGTTTTCAGTCCGGAATGTCGCTGAGGCAGTAAGATGCGGCAATAGTGTTTTCGTCTCGAGGAACACTTGGGACTTCGGCTTGTGCTGGGACCTAGCGTCTGTTGCGGTACGCGATCTCTGAGGCGGAGCCACGGAAAGCACGAGAAGATCGGCGAGGAAGTCTTCGCTTCCTGAGAGCATCTTCTCTGAGTTCAGCAGCGACTTGAGCGGGAGTAGCATTGTCGGTAGCTGTATTGGCGCTAGCGATTTGGTCTGCTGATGCGGTATTGGCGTTGGCAGTTCCGTTGGTTGCAGCTCCAGTGGCAGCAGCAGCATTGACAGCTGCCCCAGCCATCTGAACGGGTACAACACCGCCAAATGGACCAGCTCTGGCAGGGTTCTGGCATCGCACCATGCAGACATTGTCTTGTCCAGCAACGGTTCCAGTGCACTCTTGGTTAGCGGGGACTGCTGCGGTGAGAGGCTAAGATAGTCAGCAACTTGCTCAGCTGGATATGATTGGTGCTTACGAAGTCGGTTTCCTCGCCATCTCGGTCTCGGCCTCTTGAACCGGGAACTTGTTGCGTGACAGTCATCTAGGGCCTTGTTAGTGTGGAGATCAAGTCGGATCAAATTACCATGGCTCACCTGAGTCCAAGTGGTACCTGTGCCATCATCGTTGATCATGCAGGTGTAGGGACCAGCGCCGTCACCGTTGACTTGATGCAAAGTCATCTGAACTTCTCCACCCGGAGTAATTTGGGGAAGTTCGTCGCCAGATTCGGCCATGATCGCAGCTGTACCGGTCTCCGGGTCGTTGTCACCACCCTGAAGAGTCTCGCCGAAGGTCTCGGCGGCATCTCCCTGGAATCGAGTAGTATCCTGTTGGAATGGACGTCTTCTAGTTCCATCGCGAGGAGTGGAGGAATCGATTCCAATAGCCGAGCCAGTGCCACCAGCGTCACCGGTAGCGGCAATAATGGCACCGTGCCCTGCAACGAGGTCGGCAACAGCAAGAAGCCCGAAGGTCAACAAAGACGAGTAGGCAACCATTTTAATGAACTTGGTGTACTAATGTAATAAAAAAAGGACCAGCCCTGTAGATGTAATAAAAGACTAAAAGATGGGAGTGAAGTAGTTGACTTGAGTGGAATGCCTGAATGAACGCAGATGAAGAACTACAGCTTGACGGGAGAGGACACTGGTATTTATGTTTCTGTCGCCGTGCTGGTATTTCCATGCTTTACCTGCTTTTGGTCTCACCTGGTCCTCTTGAACGAGTTCCCGATCGCGACCCGCTTGAATGACATCAAGATTTGGAATGTCTTTCCACTGTCTGTCGCGGATATGGAGTATCAGAGACCTCATATTGTTGAAACAGTCGTTCACCCAGCTTAGAATCAGCCGTGTGAATAGAGTCCAGAGTATTGCCGAGGACATCTGCAGACAATTCCGGCTCCCATTGGTAGATCGGGGACGACAGAAGCTCAGCAATGTTTTGTTTTTCGAATAAGAAGTTTCGAACATCTCCGTTGTTTCGGCTCTAGTGGTTCACAAGACAAGGCCAGGTGCTTCTCTTGGTCCGATATGTCTGAATGTGGTATGCTAGAGAGACCAGCCATAGATAGGCCTTGTTCAGAACCCTCAAATGTGTCTGAGATCGTCAGCCAACCTGCTTGATGTGTATTAGTTGATTCCAAGGCATAGTAGTGCATGGCCAAAGCTTTTCTAGACTAAGTATCGAGTACGGAGTACAATTGTAGTGGCAAGTGGTTAGCGAACTATTAGCAGGCTTTTAGTGCGAAGTGGCTTTGGTAAGTGGGAGCCTCGCACCTAGTGCACCACCCTTTTCTTACAAAAAGTTCAACCACTATTGAGGCAGTGCCAGTTAGCAATTTCTTCTGGAGGCCCGAATGAAAGAGAGCTCTGCCTCAAAGAAGATGGTTGGCGTGACATTGTTGATATCCAAGGCATGAGTGAGGATCACGCCCGTACATAATGGTATCAAGATATGCTGTACTCTGTACGTAGTAGTAGCCCGTACGTCGGGCTCCGTAAAAGAGTAACCACTAGTCCTGCCTAGCTGGTGCTTCCGAACAGGACATGCAGCCTCGACCTGCTGTGATCTGGTCCTAGCCGTTAGCGGCATACTTGCGACTCTGGGGAAGACAGGGGTTGTTTCACCGGACGTTCAGACACCAGTACGAGGGATACGAGAATAGCACAGCCCACATGAGATGGCGTAGAAGATATCACAAGATCTGTTCTCCACCTGGGCTGGGTTTCATCCGCTTTGAGACAGTGGGTTCTGAGCCTCAAGACTGAGTTTTGGACAGTCTTCTCGTCCGTCTGGGACCGCACCAAGAGCGGCCTGACACTAAAGGTGAGTCTTGCCCGCTATCCCTATTCGCCGCAGGACGTGATATACGGAGAATGCGGTGATGATGTGATCAAAACCCATCAAGTCGAACTCTAATTGGAACCAAACGGAGTGCTAGAGACACCTCGAGGAGGCGGGTAACGAAGCCGCTGTGGACCTCGCGTAGAATAGCAGGGTTACCTGTTGCGGCCAAAGACAACGAGCGGGAGGTTGGGCATATCGATAAGCATAGCACAATGCAGGCTGACCACCTCGCTCGCATCAAATGCTGGCTGGAATCAGAAGCGAATGAGGCTCGAAACAAAATGTGTCGAGTCCGGATCGAGCCCGCAAAGCCAAGGAGGAGATACACAGCCACCACTTAAGCGAGCGGAAGCTCCTCTATCCGTTGCAAAAAGCTCCGTATGGGGTTGCTCACGCACAAGATGAGACGAACAGAGAGTTTCTAAGAGGAGGAAAGAGGAATAGTGGTAGACGAAGGAAGAATGCACCGACCAATCGGGCAGGGCCGGTGGTGTTTCGAACTATATACACCGCCACCAACCCAATCTGGGTATGGCGCCGTTTCGCTTCCAGCCTTGGCATCAAGAACTCCTCCTCGCTTGGGGAGAAACTCAAACACAACTTATCCTCCCGAACATATTATCCGCAGCTAGAGTGCCATAATGACTGTTTTCGTCCGCAAGGTTTCCACCAATCAAGGCCATATCAAGAATCTTCGAGCCGAGGACAGGACTAACAAGCCTCAGAAGCTTTGGGCTTACCGAAGAAAACACTCGACCAGAAACCAGAAAAACTCCTCTGCTGCTTCACCTAAGTTTAGTCACAGTGAGCAGGTCTGCCGCGCATGAAGTTTCGACATGATTTGAGAAAGTGTTCTACTCAAGCCATCAATCAGATGCTGCAAGCACCATCGTGCACAATCCTCCGGATGAGACCTCCGACCATTGTGGATCTTGTGTCCGGGTCCGTAGATCCAACACACTTGGACAAGCCCAGCCGTATGTGTGATCTGAAAGACCTCATTGTTTTCGACTCTGTATCAAGAAGCCGTGCAAACGCCTGAGGTATCACTACCACCCAACCGGTAACACGTGTAGCCTGGGAATGTGGGAAAGCCAGATAGTCAGGCGGCAACCCAAGTCCATAGACAATGGATCATCATAGGGAATGCATTTCCTGGGAGCTTCTCCTCTAGTATTAGCCTCTTTATTCGTTATGTTTACATCGTCAACTGGCTTCTGGAAAGAAGTGATTTACGAGAATACTGTTGTCCTCGCACACCCTGTTTATCATTTTAAAATTACCACTCAAGTGGAAGTCAGACTGGTTCGGCCACTGCGTCCTTGGGGCCTTTCGAGAGGCATCGACCTCTACTGAAAATAAAATAAGGGTACCTTACGGGCAAATAGACATGGCTTTTCATCTCCTCTCTGCCCTTACCCGTCGGCCATTGATCTTCCCTCTCACACTTCTTAGAACGAGTTAACATGTCGTCAATTTTGTGAAGACAGGGAGTCATTGCCCCAGCTCCTTCTCACAGTCTTGCTCCATAAATGCCTGGGGTCAAGTGAAGAACAAAGCACAGGTCGATGGAGTCCTCGAGAAGATCAAGAGATATGGCATCACTACAAATAGAGCTTGCCTCTAGCCAGCCCGGTCGCTAGCACGATTTGTTAACGAGAACCTACTGTTATTTGTTGGCCTCTGCACGTAGTGGGAATATTATACATGTAGAGGGGCTCGAGGTACTAGGCTCTTGGGACCGATGAGTCCAGGTTTTGGCTCAACGCCTGTCAAGAGTGTAACCTTTATTTCCAGGCTCATAGGTCTCCTCGAGAAAGAAGTCCACTGAATGCTAACATACAGATACCTCGTGCTTATTAGGTACTCAAACGCTGCAAAGCCCAAGCCCAACCCACCAAGTTACAATTACAGCAACTGCGGTCCCGAGCATTACTGAACCGTGAACCATTTATAACCCTCTACCAAACCATCAGCGAGCTTGGAAATCGCAACCCAGTCAGGTACATAATGTAGTACCTCGTCAAAAGCAGGTATGGCGCCATTCTGGTTGGCGTCGCTCCATAGGCAAACGACTTTGCCCTCTATGGTTCCGTTCTTGTCCTCAGAGCTATCCCATGACACATCTACTGTCCAGGTACGGTCCCATGTTCTTGACCACAAACGAATTTCTTTGCTGCCACCTTCCGGCACCGGCGGGTACCTCTTGTCCCGAGGCGCCTGTCCTTGCACACTGAACGCCGTGATGGGAGTGTCGAAAATCAACTGGCATGCCCTAGTGTTCCTTCCGGACACCACAAAACGTGCTTTGTTGTCACTGTCACTACCATTGACTCGAGACGAGTTGAAAGAGACCCAGCTTTTGTACTTGAACTCCGAAGGCAATCCCGAGGCAGGATTTACGACATTAGGCGATAGTCCTGTCCAGGAGCACTTTCTGAGGCTGTTGTAAGGGCCTGCCTTTACGCATGTCAATTCCTGCCCGGCCGCGCTAGGTATTTGCGCGATTGCATCTTGCAAGAATGGAGGAACACCTTGTAGCGACACTGAATTATTGCCAGTATCGAGGTCAACTTGTTGCTGAAAAAAGAGCTTGACCCTGTTGTCGGCTGAGAATGGAAACGCAACTAAGTTGTAAACAAGGCTGCCAACCAAGACTAGAAGCAAGAAGATCGGAATGTGCCAGGTGAAGCGGTGTAGAACTGGAACCAGTGGTGAGAAAAGCACTATTGTCGAAACTGCCATCATGATATAGACCAGGAACATGGAACTGCCATCCTGACCTGTCTGATGAAGACCTTCCGTCATGTACAGTGCGATTTGCCCAACAATAATGACGTTGACGGGCACCAACACAAGAAGTTGTACCACCCACCATGAGGTCCACTGGGATTTACTCCATTCTTGCTCTTCATAGCCATCGGTGTCTTCATCCTTGCCTGTTAATTCGGGGCTCTGTTCATCGGCTGGTCGGCTGTAACCTTTGAATGTGGACCGGCCACGGTTCTTGAGTAGGCTCGAGGTTTCAGTTGGCTCGTCCTCGCCATCTTCTCCTGTGTCATCCTCCCGGCCGGAGGCTGATGCACCATGGTCTTCTCGAATTGGACTCGCTGAGCGTGGCGAGGAATACTCTTCGCCAAGTTTTCCCCGACAGTATGTTGACTTTTTGGGCAAAGAGAATAGCTCAATATAAGACAGCCAGGTTGCAATGCAGACGGATGCAGTGTAAATAAGAACAAAGTATGTCCCAAGAAGGTGGAAGTGTTCCTCGAACACAGTAGAGGCAACCAAGATAGCCCACCAACCGACCCACAGCCAAGACAAGCCGTACGCACGGGCTAAAGACGAAGGTCTTCCAAAGTCCGCTGCTCTGCAAAGGAACCATGCCACGACGATGAAGGAGGATGCCATTGTGCTCCATACTGCCCACTCACTACTATGGGCGATGAACCGGTTTTCCTTAAACAGGAGGTAGGCGAGAGCAACTGGGACCGCACAAGACACGAGTAGAATTAGTGGAAACCGGAAGAATCCACGCCAGCCCTGAAGCTGAACCGTGTCGTCGCTATTTGGCATGTGGTATGATCTCGAGCCGGAGAACAGATACAACTTATCGGCACGATAAAGAAGAGCCAACGTAAGAACCAAAAATATCGGCCCTGCCACCAAAAGGGTGACGGAAAGTGCGAAGAAAGTATGTGTCCGCAAGATGGCGAATCCTCGGCCAAGAATGTCAAACCAAACGGCAGAGTGCCCAGGAGTATGGCCAGGTTCATAATTTGTAGTTATAGAAGCCTCTGTCAAGGCTTTGGTCGTGGGAACAGCTGCCGAAATCATGTGCCATAAAGAACTTCTGCCTGTATGACGACTGTCATCTTGGTTGGTATGGTACCTGGCACGAGGGCCAATGAAGGCAACATCCAGGCCTCGATATCCTAGTTTCCCGTTGAACACAACATAGTCGGTCTGACTACGCACCAAGCCTCGATTGAATCCATCATCAGAGGTGGCTGTGCCAAAAGGATAAGGGCTTTTGGCATATGCTTGAGTTACAGCCCCATCTGTGCTTCGAAAGAGAGCGGCTCGTCCTCCAGCACCAGCTCCTTCAAGATTGAGGAAACTGCTGATCACCTTGGACATGGGATGCTGACTGAAGACATTAGCACCATTTAGAAAATCCTCCTCACCATTGTTTAGCAGAAGCACCACGCCATTCTTAGGCTTATTGCTGGCGGTTGTAAAGTACTTCACGAGCTGCAAAATGCTGACGACTCCCACTCCGTCATCAGTCGAACCAAAACCTGTTGAGACGCTGTCATAGTGAGCATTGACAAGAACCGCTTGTCGAGAAGAAGGTTTTCCGTTTGGGTCTTTCCACCATTGTTTTTGATCGTCTTCGGAGCCTGGAACATAGACGATGATATTGGTGCCTTCGAAATAGACGCTCACTCCCGGGGCAGGTGGAATCCCGCTGGAGGACATGGTCAAGTTGGAGGTATTGTCTTCAAAGACATGTGCAATAGGAGTTGAATTTGAGGATTTCAGGGCTGCAGTGTTGTCTGCAATAATAGATCGTATCCTGGCCAGCAGCCAGCTGTGGACGTGGTCATTTTGTCGACTGTTGTAGGGATGGTAGGATGAGGAAAGGAGCTGCAGGTCCTGCCAGGCTTCTGTCAAGTTGATGCCATGGATGGGAGTGGGTGACTTTGGTGGGGAGGGGACACTGGTCTGAATAACAACGAGGGTAACGATGATTGCAAGATAAATCAAAGTGGCAATGATAGTAACGGGACCTCTTGTGAACGCGAAGGGATTCGATAGCTTTGCCATTGAAGAGGGTCGAGATTAGGTATGAGACATGAGAATAGAGAGTATGGAGGAGGAAGAAGGTGGTTCCAAGGCGGGTGCAGGGTGCAGCGAGGCGTGCACCTGTTTCCATCGACCTCGACCTTGAAATACATTGAAACTCCGCAGAACATCAAAGTTTATGACCTCAGTTTTCTGAGGGGCATGAGGACTACCAAATGGGTCTTCTTCGGAGCGGATAAACTAATGCCCCGTGCTATCAGGAAATCATCACGTGCTCGTAGAGTACCATGGTTCCTCGGGTCATAGTCGACTAGTCATAAGGGGTAATTGGTAATCAACGGAGAATAGTGATCAGAAAATATTGACCCAGGGTATCCGAAAACCCCAGGGAGGCAGAGAATCGTGAAGGGCGTAGAATTCAAAGCCGCGTCGGTTCCATGAGAACTCAAGGGGGAGGAAGCCAGATTTATATCGCGAGATGCATCATGAGTGGACATCTATTAGTCCTGGTCTCGGCAGTATCGTACGAAAGTGGAAGATGAAGATTTCCCAATAACGGTTCCCGCCAGGAACTCACCACTGCCCGTTGGTCACCCTCCGCTAGGCAGCATTCATATGTCTATTTCATCAATCGATGCACTTATCCGTTGATATCATACTTCTTGAATTCCCTGGCTTTTAGTCCACGCTCAAACATCAGGTCCACTTCTTTATAAGTTCTCCCCTTTCTGTATCAAGAATTAGCAAGGGCTCCCCACCATCTGGACAGCAAAACAACACTTACAACTCTGGTACTCTGAGCCAAGACCATGCTAGGCACACTGCTGCAAGCCCTCCGAAGAAGAATCCCAGCTTTCCACGCATGTTTGCCTGGTCTGGGTTTATCCTGGATCGGCGTCAGCCAAACTTCGGGAAGAACATCATAAGGACCTACATATATGGAATAGCTACCGTCATGACAATACCGGCCCCGGCCTGAACGGCCGTTGCTAACGCGATTGTCTTCGAGCGAACACGTGTCGCCGACACTTCGCTGATTAAGACGAAGCAAACAGGTCCAATTGACCAGTCGTATACGAAATTCCATATGAGCATGAGGACACTCTGTGCCCAGGTTATAGAGGGTCTGTTGTCGTAATTCGGGGCACAATCGAGAATGCCGATGATGAGCTGAAGCACGGCCAACGTAGCCAGTCCAACATTATATATCCGTCGGCGACCAAAATGGATTAGAAGCACCCATGAAAAGCAAGTTCCAACAAATCCAATGGCAAGGAACCCAACTCCCATGTTGAACGCCTGGTCGGTGGGAAGTCCTGCAAGTTGGAAGAAGTATGTTGCATAGCCTACCAAGTAGATCCCGCTGAGAACCTGGATAGTGTAGACACCAATGGCGATTTCTGTTCGGCGACGATTGATCTTCTTGAAACAATCTGCATAGGTTGCTCCGGCTTCCATCTCTCTTTCTATGCGATCAGTCTCAATGATCATAGCAAGCGTAGGCTTGATGTCAACTTTTGGTGAGGCAAGTCGCTTTAATGACTTCTCGGCATCTTCAAATCGGCCTTGCCTCTGAAGCCACCATGGACTATATCTTGTTAGCCTATTCTAGTCTGACGCATAATCAAGAGGACTTGCCTCTCTGGAGCGAATGGCAGACCGATTAGGATCACCAACGGCCAAACCCATTGCACCGCAAATGGCAAGCTATAGGCCCAATGATTGTCCAATACGTGAGTTCCAGCAATAACTCCGTTAGCCAACAGCTGACCAGTAACGAATGCAATATTTACGCAGCTGGTAAGAACCCCTCGAAGAGCCAGCGGGCAGACCTCGGAGGCATACGCTGGGGCAATGACAGCGTAGCATCCAAGTACAAGCCCTCCGAGCAGCTCACCAGCAAGGAGAACAGGAAGCGATCTGGCGAAGAACTGAATGAAAATGAATCCAGTAGTGAGGATTACGCAAGACCCAAACGTCTTTTTGCGGCCAAAATGCTCCATGGGGTAGGCGCAAAAGAAGGCACCAACCACTTGACCGATCGGGCTGCCCATCGATAGGCCTGTCTGCCATGGTGCTGAGATGATGTACCCGTCCTCGAAAAGATATCCAAAATCCTTCTGGAAGGCTGGGGTCGCGTAAAGCTGCCCTAGCAGTTGCGGATCAAAGGCACACCTGATGGAAGATCTTAGAAATAGTGTCCTCCATTTTGGTGCCGGTGGTTCCCGTTGACCTACATGATCACTCCCAAAGAGAAGTACAAGGACCATCCAACAGCAGCGGGGTACAATCGTATAGCTTCGAAGAAAGTGTGAGAATGCTCCTTGTCGGCAGCTACACGTGCTTCAGCATTGATATCCTCGACAGAGGCGGTAGCGATCATCGCCGCGACGTCCTTTCTTTGTTCGATGTCTTTATCCATATCTGATTTTGCCATACTGGCGATGTTAGACGGCTTCACTTCTGGATACAGAAAGAGATGGCTGTGAGCGCAAGATCAAACAACGTGGGCGGCCGGCAATTATAACACCGGAAAGCGACTTATCATCGCGTGTAATGATAAGAGATGCGAGTTGCATCCCTTGTTAGGGTCCAACCCCTCTTGGTGGTAGCGAGTCCAGCCCACCCGTGGCAGAAGTGCATCTAGGGTGGGCATGGTAGCATCCTGATGCTGGAAAACGGACAGCACGATTGCCAGTCCAGCGCCCAATTAAAGCAAAGACACTCACCAGAATACCATGGCTGCGAATCACCTGGATTGTGGCCCAAAAGAGGGAGATTTTCCTCCTCCACCCTGATATCATCCATCCCGTTGATTTCAGCTTGTGGGCATTCGATAACGGTTATGGATAGAAAAGCCACAGGCAAGCTAAGCTTCGCTCATGAGAGGACAAGATACAACCTTGTTTGGAGCGCTTCTTTCACGACCACTCACCGAGCACCTCGGCCATCCTTATCCTTAGGGCGGGGATGTGCGATTGCTCTGAACGTTAGTGATAGACTGATAGTTGCACGCCGACGTTGCATTGAAAGATGGGGAAGTTGGAGATAAGCTTCGAGAAGTTGGGGCTTCCAGGTGTGCAACGTGACCCCGGTACCGTACAGGTATGTGACAAACAATACCTTCGTGATGGGGGACGACTACAGTCAAGCATTGCTACCCTGAAAAGCAGTTGTGGCAGCCTCGGCGCGAGGCTTTGGTCACCTCAGCATCATGGTGACAATCGATGGAGCCTTTGAGTCGGTACTAGTACGGGGGTCCTCGAACGAGTAGACTTCTTCTTGACCATCATAAGCATATCTCAAATTCTTTCCTCGGTGATAGATTAGGAGCTTCACTTAAGAGCCACAAATGCAAACAATAGCACTTTGATGATATTTACTTGTGGTTCAACACTATATTTGCGTTGATCTGGGCCAGTTTGGCCCTGAAATATTCTGGTGAGCACGTGGAGGGTGCATTGATCAAAACTATTGGATGGCTCGGACCACCATCCTTGCCCCCACCTCAAGTAGTATGGTTGCTGCATCTGCACTGGATGATTCGGGCTTCCATGGATCGACAGCTGCCAGTGCAGCAGATGGGATTCCTGGGGCCTGCTGGGAGATGTCGATCTGAGGCGATGAAGAGGAAATGGAGGGCTCTAACCGTGACTTCGGCCGAAATCATCCGGTTCGACAAGGGAGCATTGTTAGGTGAAGACCATCGACCTTGGACACAACATCCGTTTGGGACGCCTCAAAGACATGAACCCGGCTTAGATTCGTCTGCTTCCTCATGTTAGCCAATGAGTTGCCTTGGATTTTATGACCTGACCGAGAGGCTCCTGCCGGGGACAATCAGGCGAGCGGCAATGATGTCAGAAACTTGAGGAACGTTAAGCCAACATCTTCTCTCCAGGAATGTACATATTGCAACGGTCCAGGCGGGGTTCGCAGCACTTCTTCTTAGATAACAGAGAAAATGAGTTCCTTTCTGCAATTCTTAAAGGAGACATTCCCTCCCAAGCCGACCCTCACTGAGCAGGAGCTGGGTGACCAAAGCGGAAAGGTACCGCCATCACCATCTAGACATGGGCTGAGAAGCTAAGGATAATCAGGTCTTCATAGTTACTGGCTCAACTGCTGGCGTCGGCAAGGAACTCGCCGGGATTCTGTACTCCAAAAATGCAAAAGTCTTTGTGGCAGCTAGGTCGGCAGAAAAGGCAGATAGAGTGATATATGCGCTCAGGAACAAACATCCCAATTCGATAGGCGAACTCATCTTCCTCAAGCTTGATCTCAACGATCTGAGCTCTATCAAAAGGTCTGCAGAAGAGTTCCTCTCCAAGGAAGACCGCCTTGACATCCTTTGGAATAATGCCGCAATCCTCATGCCACCAACAGGATCAAAGACGGTACAGGGAATCGACCAGCAACTGGGGGTGAATACTCTTGGGCCATTCTTGTTCACGAAACTGTTGACTCCACTGTTGGTCCAGACGGCGAAGATCACTGCTCCAGGCTCCGTCAGAGTAATGTTTGTGGGTTCTTCAGCTACGTACTTGTTCACCCCCAAGGGTGGTCTAGACGTTGCAAAACTCGAGAGTCGTCACCCATACAGCACAGGGGAGATGTACGGTATTTCAAAAGTTGGGAGCGCACTTCATGCTCTACATTTCGCAAGACTTTATGGTAAAAGCGGTGTTATTTGCACGGTAAGGAGGGAATCACATAACTGGGACATGGCTCCAGTCTGACGCATGTACTTCTAGAGCGGTAATCCTGGGAATCTCGTGTCCGAACTCCAGCGCGAATTCAATTGGTTTAGCCGATGGCTGATGGCCCTCATCTCATACGATCCGATCTATGGAGCGTACTCAGAGTTAGGCGGGGGTTTTTCGCCGGAGGTGACTCTCGAGAACAACGGAGCTTGGATCATTCCGTGGGGTCGAGTTGGTAAGCTGCGACAGGATATCTTGGACGGCGGCAGAGGTGAGGAAGAGGGAGGAACAGGTAATGCAGAGGCCTTTTGGAACTGGAGCGAGGAGCAAGTCAGGCCTTATCTATGAGCTGTCGAAAGTAAGGCTTTGTTGATTCGCCCCAGAAGATTGGAACTGAGTCTTTAGTCAGTGGCTCCCGCCGTGATTCAAAATGAATTTTATATCGCACTGCCACAATGGATGGATCGAGCACAGACCGTTTGATTCAAAGGTCATTGGGATTTGCCTTTTGAAAAGTGTGAGTTTTATTTGATGCACATACCTTATCTTTGACTTACGAATTCAAGAAATAAGCGTGTCATATGAATGCGGAAGCCATCAAGTGATTACGTTATGATTATCGCCACCTTAATCGTTGCTCTGTGAGAAGGACTGGCCCGCAAGGCTGGTGAACCCCTTGACACATCATTATGCCTCGGTACATAACTTGGCTGGACAACTAATTAATTACTCGTAGCAGCCATTCAACCCAGCGGATCACTAACCAACTTCTGACTAGCACTCTTCTCGTAGACCCGCGCCACTTTTACCGGCAGGATTTCAGGCCTCCTGTACAGCCATGTAGGACGCTGCCCCTAACAATGTCGTGATCTTAGTAATTCTTCGATTTGTCGGATTCGCCGAAATTGTCCCCCTCGAGAAGCTCACCGGAACCTCATTGACATATAGGTGCAGATCCTGTAGCCTTATCATCAAATAGAAGGATCGCGGATAACGGTAAATTGCACCGACGGCTGAACCCTCACGTCCCCAAAGATGTCTGAGGAAGCGGTGCTGTTTCCCTCCAAACCTCTGTTTATGGTCGATAGAAGTTGGCAAAGACGTGGCAGGAAGAACTCTCCGAAAAAAGACTTCGAAAATTCATCACGAGTGCCAGAGATCACGATAACTGTTCTACATGGATCCAAGACCTCACAGACGGCGAAACCGGGACCAACAAATCCCAAATCGAAAGTTGCTTCCAAGACACCACAAAATGTGAGCGTGCAGTTCTTGAATTACCATCCTCCAGCAACTGCTGGGGAAGGCGGCCACAATAAAAAGAAGCGATCGTGTAAGAAGAAGGGGAATGATGCTGAAGAGCCATCGACCAGGCAACGAAATCCGGTTCGCGCTGCTGGTGGTGCTCGCGATGGAAATGATGAGTCGGGATACCCTTTCTTCCTAACCAGATCAATCCCAAACTCGACATCTCCAGTGTACACGGTGATTGATCCGGAAGTAAGCACATTTGAGAAGTTTCTCGCTTATTGTTTGTCCTTTTCTCCCCCTCCAATCTGACTTAGCTGACACCTCTCAATCAAGACCCCACACGGCTGGCGAATGCAATATTTCCGATGGCTCAGTATTTAAATTTCGAATACAATACGCTACAGAAAATCTGGTTACCAGTTGCTGTCACCGACGAAGTCCTTCTGCACACCATCCTCTTTGCGTCTGCTCTCTATTTCCACCGTGATGATTTTAAAGATGCAAGTCTATTGATGAAAGTAATCCTTGATAGGCTGAATCGAAGACTTCATAACAAGACACTCTCTGATGCTACGATAGGAGCCGTCTCCTGCTTAGCCATGTGCGAGGTAGAATTGCTACTCAACATATCCCACCACTGAACTAATAGGTTGGCAGAACACTCTTGGCAAGCATCAGCGGTACGCAATGCACATGTCTGGAATGGCTGAGATGGTCCGGGTCAGGGGAGGCATGGCAACCATTCGGCGTGAGCTACAGATGAAAATCTATCGGTATGCTGAATAACATCATGGCTTCACAACACCCAGTGCGACTTGCGAACTTGTACTGACGACGTAATAGGGCGGATATTGCGGGGGCAGTCGACTCGCTATCCAGTCCCCGCCTATCCAGTCCAATGAGGGCATCGAAATCGCTTTATCAGTTGCTAAGCCTCGAGAGAATGCATAAATCGCCGCTTGAAGTCATGCTCGAGGCCAGTGGAGTCTCGCAAGGAACGATGGATCTGCTCGTGGAACTTTCTCACCTGTCCTTTGCCATCGAACATGCAATTACTTCTCGGATTGTGCTAGACCCCCTATCATTTGATAAAGAAATGCTCTGCGTTCAGTCTGATCTCCTTAATCTCGCCATTACCAGTAAGGCGGTCCTCGATGGCGCCTGCGGATTGGGTGCATTGATATACTTGCAAACTCTTACACGACTTGATCCATTCATTAAATCATCTTCAGAGGCACTGTCACGAGAACTGCAAGTCGCACTTCAGTACCTCAACATCGCCGAAGTTAGCAGCCCGTTGATATTTTGGTTGTTGATCATGGGAGGCCTGGTCTCCTTCGAAACCTCGGACAGGAGCTGGTTCAGAAGCAAGCTTCGGAATCTGCAAGTCTCGTGGAAAGGTGTCATTACTTGGGAAAGCATGAAAATCCAACTTATGTCGGTTATGTGGATCGAGAGAATTCATGATGATTTTGGGCAAGCACTATGGAAAGATGTATATCCAAGTGTGGAAACCTAATTTGGCCAACTACAACCGCGCCGAGATATCACTGTACTCGCCTCCATCAAGGAACAGGTTGATATGTGTCGCAACCAAAGTTGGATATTGCCACAAAAACCCGTGCCCGGCCTTTGGGTAGATGATCAATTGGGCGTTCGGGATTTGCTTAGCCAATTCCCAGCTGCGGCTTGATGGAATCAGTTGGTCGTCATCGCCGTTGGCAACCAAGACTGGCATCTTCAGCTCACCGAGTCTGTCGAAAGAGGCCCTGGGATTTATCTTGAATGAATCAAATGCTGCTTCCAGTTGTCGCTGACCTCCGGTCTTGGCGTCCAAAAGATCCAGGATGAGAGGCTCTGCTGTCCTTTCCAGTACTCTGCGCCAGTACCTGTCGAAGGCAGCCCGACCACGGGCATCGTCGTAAAAGAAGGAGAATTCCAAGGATCTGATTCCTTCCTCCCGAGTCTCAGATTCGCTCAACGCTTTAATTGCTGGGCCTGATGCATTCTCTCGAGGCCAGACGACTCCTGGAACGTGGTCGGCCGAAGGTATGGAGGCGCTCGTGCCGCACAGGACCAGTCGACGGACCAAATGCGGAGCCGTCAGCGCAATCATCTGAGCGCAGTAACCGCCCATCGAAAAGCCTAGAAGGTCGAATTCTTTGAGCTGGAGAGCTTCAAGGAACGATATTGCTGAGTCGGCCCACCCCTGAAAGGTGAGCGCAACTTCGCCGGTGCTGCGACCAACTCCAGCGTTGTCAAAGATGATGACTTGTCTCGCCTTGACCAGACTGTTGATGAATAGAGGGTCCCACAGATCCATGTTGGCACGGTAATGGATGTGCATCACGAGAGGAACCCCAACATTGTCGCCAATGCGTCGATATGCGTACTTGAAGCCGTTGGCGGCCGTAACATATTGAGTTACTGCTGTTTGCGCAGACATTGTGAGATGGATGGTCTCTGTCGAGATCTGAAACTATGAGACTTTCAAGAAAAGCGGAGTTTTGGTGTTCGGGGAGGGGGGGAGTGCTTGAGTTGAAGCTTGACAGACCATCATTCCATCTGTGGCGTCGACAAGGCTTTATATTGGACGCAGTCCTTCCTGCGCTCATGGGGGCAAGCGGAAATCATGCGAAGACTTACAAATCCTAAGAAAAAGCATCATAACAGCAGTTCAGTCAATTCTGTCTACAATGGAAATACGCTACCAGATAAGGAAGTATTCCATCTCGTAGGGCCTTGAGGATTTGGTCCTGAAGCCGAGTGAAAAGCACTCGAGACCCACCAATGGCACCTCAATGTCTACCTCGGTACCCCCAGAAAAGGGATATTGGCGACTTTCTAATGTCGATGAACTCCTCGTCCAGTGTGCCCACATCCACTTTGGATTGATTTCGTTTGACAGAAAGCCCTGATCAGAACGCTACATGGATGCGGACTGCCAGCCTTTGATATTTGGCTATCCCAAAGAGGAAATGTTTGCCAAACCGGGTCAAGTCATGAAATATGCTCGAAAGTTACGACGAACTAGTAACGACCGGTCATGACGTGTGTAATCTATTGCCTGATACCACAATGTCAGTCTAGCAAGAGCGAAGTGCCCATCGTCACTGCCAACCTGCCCACCTGCCGCTTTGGGTTTATGGCCTTTGGTTGGGCGCCACACTCCTAAGCTCCCCTCCTCTTAAAGTTAAAGGAGAGTGATACACGCCTAAAATCGTAGTTACACCAAGAGAGTGAGAACTGGTGCGAGATGATAGTGATGACTAAGGCATTGTAACACTTCGAGGAGAAACGCGCCATCTTTGGGGTTATAATATAGAAAACTCCATTAAAAGCCGGTGCATTCTCTTAAACTCCAAGTAGTTAGTAGTGTTGATTGGCATCTTGGTACGCAGGAATACCTTGGGTATCTGGATACTTCAACGACAGTTCAAGTAATCCTTCGGCCATGGGTTCCTACACAGCAGCCCATGATCAAGAGATCCACACAATCCACATACCGGAGGAAGTGCGCAAGTCGGGGATCGCTAGTCTCGAACTCATCGCCGAGGGCGCTGCCTTCCTGCACAAAGATGGTATCATCGTCCTCGACAACGCCATCGACGTATCACACATCGACACCTTGAATGCAAAGCTGTCTCCCGAAGCCCTCGAGATCGCCAATGATCCAGAGCACCACTTCAACTTCGGCAAACACACGAGGAACATGGACCAGGCGCCGCCGCCGACAAGGGATCTCATGTTCAAAGATCTCTGGTGTAATCCGTTCGCGGCGGCCATCCTAGCGGCCGTGCTCGGTCCCAAGCCCGTCATACACTATGCGAACGGAAACACTGCGCTAAAGGCGCCGCCTCATGGCCGCCAGCCCGTCCATTCGGACTGCGAGTTCGCGCACCCGGCGTACTTCCCCTTCGCGTACGTCATCAACATCAATCTCGTGGACGTGACGCCCGAAAACGGCGGCACCGAGGTCTGGGTGGGCTCGCACCACGTCAGTGTCCAGGAGGCTCACAACCCGGCGGAGGCTTGCGAGGAGCTGCTGACCATCAGACCTGAGCTGCTCGAAGAGCGAAGAAAGCATTCGCCTCCCATTCAGGCCAGCACGAAGCGTGGCAGTCTGATCATCCGCGACCTGAGGCTGTGGCACGCAGGCATGCCCAACTTGACGGACGAGCCGCGCGTGATGCTGGCGTTTGTGGCAAGTCCCGCGTGGTGGCAGGGCCGTAGTAAGATCCTGTTGCCCAAGGATGTCAAGGAGATGGTTGAGAGCTGGACAGACCTGGTATTCGCCACCGAGTATGTAAATGGCGAGGTGGATCACAAAAAGTTGAAAAGCGCGGGCGTCGACTTCGGCTCGAAGAGTAAGGTGTTGGAGAAGTACAGGGAGGATTTGAGCCGCTGGCCCTCGTATACTCCTCGATGGTATTGACAGCAATCTGCGTATGCAGTATGCAGAATGGCGTGGATTGTGGTCTACGATAATATTAAAACACTTGACACAGGCTTTGCGCGATTTCCAAACGATTGATTGTATGTTCTATACCATGAACCTTTTTGTATCTAAATTCCAGTATTTGATGGCCGTCCTGCGGTCCAATCCACAGCTTCCGTCTCCTGACTCCCGCTCACTGAACGGAGGATTTCAACCACATCCAACCCTGGTCCAAGCCCCATATTGGCTGTCTCCAAATTCTAGCACTCGATCTCAGTCTGAACTATCCAATTCATCGCCTTCGCCCGCTGGCACACTGAACTCGCCATTTCAAAACCGGTCAAAGCCCCATGCTGGCTGTTTCCGATCGGCAGTAAAGCCCACCTAGAACTTCCTGTCGTGGCGAGCACGCTTGCTCTCAAGCAACGTGTATGGCCCTCTGAAGAGTGCGAAGCTTCCATTGCACAGGGTTCCACAAGCCCAGTTGCTCTGGCTTACGGCTTCTTGGCTGATGAGCATGTCCCAGTACAGGTCAAAGTCGTCCACCACACGGTGGTCTTCGGCAGCCTTGTGTCCTTGATATTCGATGCGCCACCGCATCAAAGCTTCGTCATCTGTCTCGGGCCGTTCCAAGGGAAGCGCTGGCCATTCGTATGGTTGCTCGAAGGTTCTGAAATTAGTCTCGTGATCTATCAACTCGTTCTCGAGCCGTTGAGGGATAAGCTCGAACCACGGCGTAGATTGTTCGAGCGTGGGTGCCGGGTGGCGAGGCCAGAACGAATTTCTCCACCCATCAAGTACCTCGATCTGCTTCTGGAGTGGCACTGGACGCCGAGGGTTGTTTATTCTTGCCCAGTGAGCCTGCGCGTAGATGCAATGCTGCAAATGCTTGGTGAACTCCGTTGGGCCCCCTGTTTGCTCATGGGTATACATTTTGTGGAAATGATACGGTAGTGGTGAGTGGTAGTTCCAGTAGTAGGCACATCCTTCACAGCGAACCCCATTGACAACAGTAACATTATCCTTGAAGGTGCCGTCCGTTACCCTAGCTCGTTTGCGTGTCATCGCGGGTTGTCGAACAGCGCAAGCGTGTTGCCTGTAATCTGTTTCAGGAGCTGCGAATATTGGAGATGGGAGCTTCATAGCAGCAGTGTGTCCTCGGCGCTCGTGGAGTCTCGTCCTCGGTCTTGGTTGAATGCTTCGATGATTTGATTCAAGTCGTACACGTGTTCGCTTGACCTTATAAGAGTACAGTGCAGGCGTAGGATACTTTCCTGGATAGTTCAGAGCACGATCACCTGAAACCTTCAACGCTGTCTGATAGTCGACAATGATACCTCGGAGGCTGGGAAAACCCCAGAAATCCTTCTGAAGGATTGTTCTGAGCTTTGGCAGTTTTTCCAATTCTTCGTCAGATAGTCTCAGGAATTGCTGTGCGTATTCAATTGTTACGGCCAGCAGCTCGCGTTCCTGGGACAGACAGCGGAAGCAGCACCTTTTGAGTTTCAACAAGTGGAGAATGTCGCCGTGTTGGCCGCATAGTTCACATTTGGTTGTGAAGAGAACGTTGATGAGTTGACCTGCTGTCCACAACAGACCTGCACCAGTTGCTAAAAGAGCTCTGACAGCATCCCCGCCATGAGTGTTGATCAACTTGAAAGGTTCCCACTGCTCAATGATATATCTGATACGAGAATTGGTGGCACGCAGTTTGAAGAGATCCGAGATTGTCGTGTGGCGCAGGACATTCACAATGCCTTCGAAGGGTAAGGTGCCGATGATTCCAGCGTCCACACTTTCCGTCTTGGGCATTGACCAGGTTGAGGGAGAGTCAAGACGGATCCGCCGTCGCAATTCGGATACATCATTCAGAACCTCGTTGTAGTGGCAGTCTCGTTGATGGAAGCGAAGGTGTTCGCGCTTTAGCAGGGTAGGGTCATGGAGTCGAGGAAGAGGTGACGCCATGTTGGCTGTGGTTCCTTCTTCTTGATTGTAGATGAGAGATGATAATAAAGGAGATAAAATACGGGAGATGCGTCTTCTCACTCGGTTGGTGTTTGTGGTACCTGGGAACCAAATCAATACTGGAAAACAGGGGCATGAGTAGGACGTGTTTCTGAGAGGCGTATTATTGTTGCAAGGACACGAAGATAGAAGTAGAATCTAAAGATGTTTTGATCAGTTTGACCTGAGATCCTCAAGAGGATACTAGGTGAAGATCAGAACCTATCACTGAGCATCACAAACCTTGATACCCACTTTGTGAGGCAGAGCCAAGTTGTCGGAGACATGAGTCCAGCAGGATTCACTGAGAAGAACAATATGAATAGGATCTGGTTACCGACTTTGCGAACTTTGAATAGACTTGAATAGACTCGGACAACAATAGTGGTTTGATACAGTCACTGCAACGAAATGATATCGATGCGAACAAGTTCATCACGTGACAAGGCCTGCGGAGGCACCATGTTGGCCCAAAATGGTGATACAACTCAGTATTCTTAGACCATAGTCAAATGTGCGATGGGAAAGGAGATCGAACACAGAATGAGCTGTGTTGCGAGGTCTGGAAAAGCAAGGGACGAGCCAGTGCTATGGCTGCTCAATGATGATGCTTGTCTAGTCCATGACTCGACTCCATCCGATTGCGCCAATGGGTCGCGCCGCAGTATGGGCCGAGTAGCTTGACCGAAATAAGGACATAACAGAAAGATAAGCAGGTGAGGCCACGCCGCGGAGGAGCAGGAAGCTGTACAGGCTCCGTACTGTAAGTGCAGAGTTGCCTCAAACTTCGATCTTACGACGCGGCTTGTTGTTTGTCTACGCTATACCTGCTATGGTGCTCCTCAACTCCCGCCAAGCTAAGCTCCGAGCCCAACAAAGCTTAGCTCTATCACGTGTCGCTACGAAATTAATGCACGTGGTGGTCTTGGTGGCCGCTGGGAAACGATGACGTCGTGTATGGCACCTCCCTCCTTTGTTTCTTTTCTTCCTGGCCAACTTGATCAACTTCCCTTCTCTTGGCCATTTATATCGCGTAGACACCACGCGACGGTCGTCCGTTTTGAACTTTAGAAGGACCACAATAGATCCATCGTCTCTGCCGTTGCGCTTTACATTGTCGATACCTTTACAACATGGTCTACATCAGACAGCGCAATCTCGCAAAGCTCCACGAGTATAAATATGCAGGAGTGGACAAGTCTTTGGTTTCGAAGTACATCCTGAAGCCATTCTACACAAATGTGGCCATCAAATTCTTTCCCATGTCAATGGCGTAAGTGGTTGTCCTCATGACACAAGACCTAGCGCTAACGAATGCTTCAGACCAAACCTGGTATGCTTCTAGCCAAGTCAGTGACCGAGTTTGCAGCTAATTCGAGTCCAAAGATTACCTTGACAGGTTTTGGTTTCGTGATCGTCAACATATTGACCATGCTGTGGTACAACCCAACTCTGGATACGGATTGTCCTCCATGGGTATACCTGAGCTGGTCAATTGGGCTCTTTCTTTATCAGACTTTCGATGCCGTCGATGGCACACAAGCACGCCGGACACATCAAAGTGGACCTCTTGGCGAACTCTTCGATCACGGTATGTTTCTTGTTCTGCAACAAGCTTGGATCGTCTAACGAAACCAGGTGTGGACGCATGCAACACCAGTCTTGAAGTGCTTCTCTTTGCCGCTGCCATGAACCTTGGCCAGTCCTGGAACACTGTCCTGACACTGTTCGGTGCAATCATCACCTTCTACATTCAGACCTGGGACGAGTATCACACTCATACTTTGACCCTTGGCATTGTATCTGGCCCTGTGGAAGGAGTTTTAACCCTGGTGGTTGTATACTTCATCACATTTCTGAAAGGCGGAGGTAGCTATTGGCAACAGCCAATGCTACCGACGTTGGGAGTTCCAAAGAGCGATTTGATACCTAACTCTGTATATCAGATGGCATGGAGCGAGTGGTACATGCTCTACGGTGGCCTTGTTTTAGTGTTTAACACCGTCTCAAGTGCACTCAGTGTCATGAAGGCTCGAAAGGAGAGAGGCCAGGATCCATACAAACCACTGTTAGGCTTACTTCCGATGATCATTACCTGGATTTTGATCCCAGCTTACCTTGCGCTCAACCCGGTTATTCTGCACCACCATCTCATACCGTTTGTTATATTCGCAGGCTTGGTCAATGCTTATTCGGTTGGCCAGATGATCGTCGCACATTTAGTGAAAGCCAGGTTTCCTTATCAAAATGTCTTGATTCTGCCCTTGGCTTGGGCAGTAGCCGACAGTTTGGGTCCGAAGCTAGGATTGTGGCCAAGTGCTCTCGGTAGCGATACCTATCAGGTTGCGTTTGTTTTCCTTTGCCTGGGGCTTGCTCTCGGCATCTATGGCAGCTTTGTGCATGATGTCATCACAACGATTTGTGACTACATGGACATCTGGTGTCTCACCATCAAGCACCCTTACGTGGAAGGCAAACGGGACGGGGAAGTGAAGAAGTCGAAATGATTCATCTCTAGAATGGTAACTACCATTTGCGATGAATCACATAAATTTTGCCCTTCATAATACTGCCCTTGACTGCTTTCTCCGAATCATTAATGGGTTGACTCACCAAATCCCAATTGCTCAAGCCGCGTCACTTCATTTCGACTATATATTGTCCCATCCTGTCCGGTGTTTCCATTTTCTTGTCTTTCTTAAAAGGGCATCAGGTGTGCCTGTTTGACTTTCAAACGCTTGTGTCGGCCTTGCACAAGAGTAAACATCAACCAACGTCCAATCGCCATGCCAGGCAGCGCTTCTGAAGACACAGGCTTAGATGCCGGTACGTTTGTCAAAAAGATCCAAGCCTGGAAAGCCCGCCGCTGCAAGAAGTCACTAACTCGCAATGCAGCCTCGAACGTGATGGTTGTTGGTACGCGAGGGGCCGAAATTCAGCCTCCAATACCAGAAGAAAAGAGCAGAAATCTGGTTCAATTAGGAGCCGTACAGTACTACAATAACTATCCCGGAAATGCAGGGCAACAAATGTCATGGACGAACGATCCTCAAGCTGGCCCTGCTCCCCCGTTGCAGGGCAATGCTGCTTGCTTTCCCTACCCCGTGAATTGGACCCAACAGGAGGAGGCTGTGACATCCTTCGCCCTGGAAGCATATCAAGGCTACCACGGATTCGCCGTGTCACTCAAGCCAGAAACCTTCCTCAATCTCTCGCGGGAGCAACAAGCCGCAATTGTTCGTCTTGGAAGGGGAAACAATTTTGATTCACATGTCGCCCCGGCTCCACCTCCGAAGGCACCAGTTATCCTCGACTCTGCGGCCGACGCAGAACCACCAAAGCCAGCCACCGAGCAACAAAAGCCAAAGTGCGTGGAGTGCGACAAGCAGATCACGATCAACATCCTGCCCCAACATTGCAACTCTGTGCCCTTGTGTGGCCCTTGCTATCACGGCGCCATGAGGCAGTGCAGTCTTCAGTACAGGTACACATGCATGTTAAACCTCCAGGGGCATACCTTGCTATCTTTGTGTTGGGGTTCTTGAGAGGGTTGGGAGAGTTCTACTGAGCTGATGAAAGATGTATCAGTTCTTGGTTGCTTTGGGTGTGGGCGGGTTCCATTTTCGAATCACAGCTACAGCGGACGCTTGTTACTACGGGGAGTTAATTGCACAGGCGAACAGGGTCTAGGCATTTCCTTTTCTTTTTTCTTTTGGGCAGATTTCATCGTTTTGTCTGTTTTCGTGACTTTTTAATCTTCCTAGCCGTAGCTGAAGCACTTTCGAAGCCACGCAAGTCTAAGCAGCAACGTACTCCGTTCCATTTGAGTCAGAAATGACCTGCAATGCCATCATGCATCATCTCAATTGCATTCTGCAGAGACACTCGTGTTCTTTTATGCACACTTGAGTCATGCCCTCCTTGCAAACCCCCACAACAAGTCGAAAAAGGCTTCACACACATTCAAGTCCTCGAATGTTCGTTGATCTGATCGGGTGCATGAAATTTCGTGATTGAGTTCTTTGGACCGAGTCGATTAAAAGGAAAAAACAAACCCGCGCCACATCCAGCAGCATCCTCCATACCTCAACACCACTGATCCAGGCATTCCGCACTCCTTCCCCGTTCAGCTTTTGAGAGATTTTCCTCGAATGGAACTGCCAATTTGCATGCAAAGTCGGATAATCTAGACACAAGCGCCGAGTGGAGATGAGATTCGGAAAATGGATTGTGGATGACGAGTCTGTCGATCTGGCATGTCTAGTAGCCCAACTTGGCCAACTCCTGCTTCGCCTTGCTGTCCGATGAGGACTTCTGTGCTTCGGCAAGCTGTCTTCGTGCGGCCTTCTTTCGCTCGTAGTATGCGGAGCCCTTGACTTTTCTTCTCTCCTCGAGTCTGCAGAGTAACCACCGTCAGTAAATGACCCATCAAGTTTCATGCGAACATTCGTTACGAACCTTGCAACAACGTCTTGGTATTTCCAGCCGACCTCATGAGCCAATCGGCCAACTGTGCAGTACTTTCGGCCAGGCTTTAATCTGAGGACACGGAGAGCCTGGGGAACCACGACTCTCTGCTTCTTGTCGTATGGAGGAGGAACACCCTCGAAGACCTTCAGTCTTTCCAAGGCAGCTGCTCCGCGGGCGGTCTTGTGTGGGATCATGCCTCGGACGGTCTTATAGAAGATGCGACTAGGGGCACGGAAATGGAATGGACCGCCTCGAGTGGGATTGTAACGAGTGATCTTTCGGAGGTAGGCATGGTACTTGACTGCGAGGGATCTATGTTAGCGCTTTGCCTTGGTCTGACTGAGGCAGGATGTCATGCAGAGTGGTCGACATACGCTTAGCACGGAAGAATTCGCCAGAGATGTTGAGGGCTTCGGTTCGAACGACAACAATCTTCTGGCCATTGAGAAGTTGCTTTGCGACGGTACTGGCGAGACGACCGAGCAAGTGTCCCTTGCCGTCAATGACAACCTGGAATTATCAAATCGATATCAGTTTTGATCCATCTCAGTCACCGGGTTTCAATGCGCTTCAATGAGAGCAGGAGCAACTTACGACGGGTTCGAACGTCGACATCTTGCCCCCGAGTCTCCTGCAAAGTTTCAAAGATAGAAAGTTCGCAAGTACGCGAGGTTGTGGAATATGGTGGTCGTCGTGGTTGAAATTCGCAACTTGAAGTTCCCGAAGGGATAGGCCTTTGCAAAATGCCAGCAAGTGCGGTGCGCCAAGAATCATGTGTGTGGGCTGCGTTCCATTTCCTTGGCGGTGCCCATATCACGTGGCTGACTAAGCGGCTTGCTTCGTGTCCTCTGGGTGCCTCTGGGGTTCGTCTAAGAAAAAGTTTTGTTGGACATGGATGGGTAGACCCAATTTGCACCATTTCATTCAAAGCTCTTTTCTTCCCTTGCCCAGCCGGTATTCTTATCTGAAAATGAATGACTTAGGCTCCTGAAATTGAGAATGCCTACGGAGAGTTTTATTGCAGCGACGCTAACAACAAATAAAGCTGCTGCTCATACAAGTGCAGCATTAAAGGATGTAGGCGTTTTCCTCTACCAATATCAACCTCAAAATCTGTTCAGCCATGGCTACAAGAAGAGCACAAGTCGTTCAGGATGCGTTGCCGTCAGTGATTCGCATATTTTCGCGGCACAAGCGGATAAGGCAGTAATCAATGTCTACAGCAGAGAGCGAGGAAACCAAGAGGCGACAGTTCCCTTTCCCGAGCGGATTCATTGCATCGCTTTTGCCGATGGAGCTGCTTTACTTGTTCTTGGTACTGAAGAAGGGAAGCTGATTTTATGGGAGGTTGCTACGGGACGTTTGACCACTTCTTCGGCTTCTCATCTTCAAACTGTGTCCTCCCTATGCGTTACGCCCAATAATGATTTCATCATTTCCGGTTCTGCAGATACCAGTATTCATGTTTGGTCATTACCAAGACTTGTATCATTTTCCCAAGGCTCGGGTGGGTATGAAGATGGTGAACCTACAAATACTCCTGTCCGCACATTTAGTGCACACCGAACCGCCATTACTGCCATTGCTTGTGGCCATTCTATGACCGATACTAATTTTGCTATATCTGCTTCCGATGACGGAACGTGCTATCTTTGGCATATCGGGACATGCCAAACTCTAAGAACGATTTTACTACCCACCAAAGCAATCTCCATTGCCATTGACCCTGCTGATCGTGTTCTGTATTTTGGCGGACAAGATGGGCATGTTTATTCCTGGGACATTTTTCGACACTTTAGCAGCTGGAAATCGATGCCTATTGGTTCTTCTGGAGTACCGGCTAGTCAAATTACCAGCAAGGATCGATGGACTACCCCATCTTCTGAGCGTGGTTCTACAAATTGTCTAACGTTATCATATGATGGCACGGCTCTTGTCTCGGGCCATACCAATGGCAACCTGATACGTTGGGACGTTGCCAAGCATAGAATACTGAACGAGTTGACCAACCTTGGACAACCGGTTACTTGCATCAAAATGTTGAAACCCGATGGCATACTCATCAAGAAGCTACCAGGCTACAAAATCATCAACATAGTGAAGCCAAATCTCGAATTCTCATCCCAGCTGGAGAACGGTACGGTCGGAATTCCTTCGAAATATAACTTCCATGGAATAATTACGCCTTCCCAAGTGCCTGAGGAATGCAACGATGTTGAGCAAGCTCTGACAGGGTTAGGGTTTCCCCAAGCAATGATCGATGACGCCCTTCGTGCACTTGCTGCCGGTTCTGCGGCGACTTCTTCTGCATCAAACGGCGAAACCGCGGACTTCGAAACACAAAAACTTACGGAAGAGGTTACCGCCCTAAAGCAGCAGCTCGCGGCACTCAATGAAGTCGAGGAAAAACGAAAGACGAGAAGAATAGCACGAATGGAGCAACGAGAAGAACTGGGTATGAAGAAGCGTGAGGCATATTTCGAGGCAAAGAAAAAAGGGAAAGACGGCGATGCGGCCATGAAGAAATGGGAGGAAAAGGAAGCTGAACTCGATGGCGACAGCGACGCTGAAATTCAAGGAGATCATATGACCACGGACTGAGCACCTTTGTCAAATTTGGCCTGCATGAAAGATTGAGCTGTATCCATACTCAATCAAATCGATATGGCTCCAGTTGTCTTGATTGCAATCTGGAGCATTGGACCAATCCACCTGTTGAAACATGCTGGCGGCCCTTAACCAGGACATAGGTATTACCTAGCCCGCAACAATGGCTCCAACACTTGTTGGGGCTTTCAAGCATCCCAAGCCTCCGACACTATTGCGTAAGTTCAAATACCTTAATCACCATAACTAGTAGATACTCGGGCGGCGAGGGACCCTATCGACATGGCGGGAGCAGTTCCACCAACAGAGCAGTAACGGCGCCATGCGCAAGGGCCACGCTTCTGCTTTCCCTACTCGAGCAGCTCCACTCTACCACGAATCCGAGATAAGTGCACACTGATACGTATGCAATCGACGCAGGCTCATTGTGAGGGAAGCAAGCTGGCTTTCGCAAGCATCGGCGAGATCCTATGCCGACAAAAGTTGTCGGTCACCTATGTAGTTCTTCAAACAACCGATAGAACTCACTATGAAGGAGAACTCCATGGCTTCGCATTCTGCAGAGGCCGAATGCTGGATTTGATAGAGCTCTAAAGCCCACCGTTGTCATTTGCTACCAAGTAATATGATCCACCGTAACTTCCGTCTTGGCATTTCTGTGGCTTGGAAAAAGTTTGGTGGCCGACCACGATGAGCCTCACTCATTAATACCAACGTTGACCTCACCATTAGACCCTGGCAATAGGCCAATCTTCGCATTCATCTCGAGCGCTTCTTGCGTCGAGACTGCGATCCGTGTCACTAGCCACGACTCCCCCAAGCTTCGCCGCTAAACTCTTCACTTCTTCCCTCCGTTTTTCTCTTTGTGCAGCCGGTTCTGCTCTTGAGCCTTGCTCGACAAAACCTCTTCATATCCAAAACCTCTTCCTTCTTAATTGCGTCTCACAGCGTCGCACTTACTCCAAGAAGAAAAAGATGCCTCCCAAGAAACCTGTTGAAGAGAAGAAAGTCCTGCTAGGCAGACCAGGCAATAGTCTGAAGAGTGGAATCGTATGTAGGGACAACTTATTCCCGACGCCAACCCTCAAGATTCATATTAGCTGATACTTTTATGCATAAAAGGTCGGACTGGCTAATGTCGGCAAATCTACTCTCTTCCAATCCATCACCAAATGCTCACTGGGCAACCCTGCAAACTTTCCATATGCAACCATCGACCCAGAAGAGGCTCGAGTCATCGTACCGGACGCCCGGTATGATTGGCTTGTTGACCATTATAAGCCCAAGTCACAAGTACCAGCAAACCTGACTATCTACGACATTGCCGGTCTGACAAGAGGGTCCTCCACCGGGGCTGGCCTAGGAAATGCTTTCTTATCACATATCAGAGCCGTGGATGCCATTTTCCAAGTGGTTCGGTGCTTTGATGACGCCGAAATCATCCACGTTGAGGGAGATGTCAACCCAACGCGAGATCTGGATATCATCTCCGAGGAGCTACAATTGAAAGATATCGAATTTGTTGAGAAGGCGAGGGAGGCTCTTTCCAAACTCACGAGGAGAGGTGGTCAGAGCCTGGAAATGAAGAAACTGAAAGAGGAAGAGGCAACCGTCGAAAAGATCTTGGCATGGTTGAAAGATGGCAAAGACGTACGAAAGGGTGACTGGGGCCCGAAGGAGGTAAGAACTCTCTTCTTTTCCCGATATTTCCCAATCCATCTTCCGACACTTTTGTATCATGATGAACAAGAGCTATTAGCTCGACATAATCCCAGCTCGTCGACAGCAGCCTCATCATATATCTCACGTTAGAGGCTGCAATGAGAGGAATTCCAACCCTGAAAACAAAAGAAGAAGAATACCCCACCAACCGTTGTCTACATTTTTGTACGGGGCATTTTTACTGACAATTCGGAAAATAGGTCGAAGTCATCAACCCGTTGCAACTTCTCACAGCCAAGCCTGTCGTTTACATGATCAATCTATCTGAAAAGGACTACATTCGACAGAAGAACAAGTATCTACCCAAAGTCATGGAATGGATAAAGACCAACTCACCCAACGATCCGATCCTACCCATCTCAGTCAGTTTCGAAGAGCGCCTGGCCGCCATGTCGGACGCAGAAGCCGCCGAGGAATGCAAGACTCTCAACACCAAGTCGGCGCTCCCTAAGGCCATTGTTACCATGCGTCAAGCACTCAACCTGGCTAGTTTCTTCACCACCGGTACTGATGAAGTGCGACAGTGGACAATACGTAAGAACACTAAGGCTCCAGCCGCTGCAGGTGTGATTCATACCGATTTCGAGAAGACCTTCATTCAGTGCATCGTATACAACTTCGAGCTGCTGAAAGAATACGGCGATGAAAAGTCCGTGCAGGCCGCGGGTAAAGTCATGACGAAAGGAAAAGATTATGGTAAGTCATTCTTTTTATTTGAGCTCTTATCGTTTGTAGTCTTGGGAACAGGCGTCGTGAAAGGAGTTGGAAGAAATAGCTAACGGGTTGTTTCCTGACACAGTGGTCGAAGACGGTGATATTATTCTCATTAAGGCCGGTGCTGCCAAGGCATAGACCGATTGATGGATGAGAGGAATCGACTTCAATTTTCCTGACGCCATTGGACAGCCCTGTCGACAGAGCCTCGAAGCAGGAGTCTGTTTCCCACGGATGACAGCGACCCGACCCGTTGTTGCGTGTAGGTGCGGGTGCGGGCGCCGGCACAGGACTCATCCGCCCCGGCAGAGGATAAAGCTGACCAAATGGACCATGTGTGTTACAGAGTATACCACCAACCTTGCACTTAGTAACTCCCTGTTACAGTGCCTCCCTACGACGTGGCCGACTTCATAAGTTCGTTAGGCTAAGGACAAGGAATGGAATATGTCATATCATGTCTTTGCTCATCCCCCAAAGCCTAAATAAATGAAATCTCATCCACAATAAGCTCTGTTTCTTATAGTCGTGTTATCTGCAGAAGTAACTCGACATCGCGCAGCCATGAGTCTAGCACAGCTCGAGGGTCTATCCAGCTCAGTGACTGTCCATCAATCAGCCGCATGCACAAATCATAGAGTCCGTAATCCACCGATTTGTCGCTGCACCGTCTTTCCCTTTTATACTCAGGCAAGATGAACGATTCCTTCCCTCCCTTTCAACATTGCACATTACACACCGCACATTGCCACCAAACAGCACTGAAGGCCGATCTCGATCCTTTTCACGAACTCGAGCCATCCAAAACATACCCGCCGTACCCATCCCCACCAAACGCGCGCTCGACCTCCTGGTTCCATCCCGGCTTGGTATCCAACCAGTCACCGCCCAGCCACAAGCGGATGCACGTATCCCGGGGTTTCACCTGCGGGCTCTCCATGGGGACCAGCTTGTAGAAGTTGTCGTCCAGACCGGTTGGCTCGCATATGCAGCGGTGTTCGTAATAATTCTTACCGTTGTTGCTGGGAGGTGGAGGTGGAGGACAGTGCCTCGCGATATCATGCTGGTAGCCGATATCCCTGAAGAACCAGACCTGATCCTTGCGGGCGAAAAGTGCCAGGCTCAGCGTATGGACCGGAGCATCGCCATACCTCTCGTAGAAAAACCCACCGCTGCGATCGAGGTGGTCGAAGAAGCGTCGGTTCGGCTCCGCGCGCCAAAACGCCAGCGAGCCGATCTCAAAGTTGCTGAAGAATTGGCAGTTGTTGTACTCCATGCCGTTGTGCGGATCCAGCAGCCAATCGACGTCGGCGTCCGGGTGGACGAGCTCCGGGTTCTTAGTGATGAAGTCGCGGGTGACGCTCCACAGGGACGCGAAGCTGCGCGCATCGTCCAAAATGGCCATGTTGAAGCCGTACACGAGATCGTTCTCGGCGAGGAAGCGGAACGGGTCGTAGGGGACGTCGCAGAAGAAATGCACGTCGGGCTCGACGCGCCAGTACCAGTCGTAGGCGTCGAGCGCCGGGTGTTGGTAGAAGAATCCGGATTGCCACCGGATCATCGCGTGATAGCTGAGCATGTGGCCCTTGCCGACGCCGATGGTGCCGAGGTAGTCGAGGCTGTCCATGTAGCGCGTGGGCAAGATCCAGGAGGGCGTGGACCAGTGTGCGCGGGGGACGAGGTGGTATTCTGTGTGGGAGGAGGTGGCGTTGGTGGTTGCTGCCTGAGGGAGGAGGGGCACCGTCAGTGATGTGAACGTGTTAGCATGGTACGACTCGAATCAGGCGAAGTCTATGTTTAGCTGGACGATCAGTCTGTAGAAGCCGCCTAAGTTCCTCCAGGACTAGCACAAGGGAGAAGAGCGATGGCGTCTCATCAGCACGCCCACTCATTCACGGACTCACCTTGAACTCATCACTGAACGACTTCTCGTTGAAGAAGATCCAAGGATAACCGAACCTCCGGTTCCAGTGCAGCTCAAGCTGCCGCATACTTTGGAGGATGCCGTCGAGCTCCTCGTTGCGCACGAGGCTGATAATTGCAGCGCGTGGCCGCTGAGCAGGAGAGGTGCCGAAAAGTCCATAGCGTGCTGGGTGTCCACTGCTGCCGCCGCCGGTACCGTCGTCGAATAGGCTGGGGTATGAATTCTCACGGAGCCACCGCTCTGGGTTGTGATTTTGCTTGCGATTATTGCCATGGCGAGAATCGTGGGGTCGGAGCAGGTTGTGTTGTTCTGGTGGGAAGGAGAAACCCGGGTCATAGTATTGGGTTGGGGCCGGGAAGCCTGATGAGTGAAGGTATAGTTGGTGAAGCGAGTAGATTGAAAGTGCCACGGCGAGGGTCAGGATGAGCCAGCGCCAGATCCATGGCTTGACGGGGCGGAAGAGCCTGGTGGAGATGGGGATGCGCCGTGGATGGCTGGTACTGTCCAAGGTGGCAGACCTGGCTGAAGAAGTCGCGGTAAGAGGAGCTGATGGTGTTTGAATCCAAGTGGATGCGGACAGTGTAGTAGTTGTTGAGGGAGGTAGGAGACTCTCGGACCGGGCGCGTGGGCGCTGTCTTGATGATCTGCCTGCGATGCGAACCATGGTGTGTTATTGAACGTGAGTTTGCAAGAGAAAGAGGAGGAACCAAGTTTGATGAACGCTGCCTGGGTGCTAATTGTGGTCCCTGTTGGTCAGCCAGTTAGGTGTCAGTGCAATTAGTTGCCTGGCTCTTAGAGTATATCATGCCGATGGCTGGGAAATGATGGATGAGAGATGAGAAGAAGGATGGAGAACAAGATCAAGACAGCTAGAGAGCGAGGCAGATAATATCGGGGAAACCAAATCCCTCTGTCGGCCAAAAATACATCTCGTCCATTTAGTCCAAGTCATTGATACACGCTCCCAAGTCCCAAATCAGATCTGAGTTCTAGAAATTAAAGCTTGGTGCTTTCTTGAAAGCCTGGTGGATGCTTGTTCGAGTTTCCCCTAGCCCATCCAGTCGCTGAACCGGCAGTCAGGGCGTGTCGATCTCTCTGATCGTCTTGGCGGAGTAGGACTCTGAACCAAATCAACCTGTGGTGGTACTTCACCTTGACCACGCCGTTGCGCCGACGCTGAGTTATCAGTATCAGTATCAGTATGAGGATTGCCCTACAAGACCATAGCTTCTCCATCCATCGCCGCCGCGTCGTTAACAAGACCAAGCATTTTGGCAAAAGGAACCGTAATTCGTTGCAGGTCGCGATGTTTTCCTAGACGGCTTCGTCAGTATATCACGCTTCTGGCCATCAGGTTGACTAAAGCACTTACCGAGAAGGAGGACAACATCCTTCAGGAGATCCTCTCGAGGCCATCCGCAGATGGTCTTGGAGTCTTCTTGCCAATTACGGCCTTCCACCATGTTGATGTTGGCGGCAATATTTTGCTCCTGCTGAGGTTGTTCCACGATCCCACCGACAAGTGTGCGTAGCAGCTCTTCAACTTTCAACCTCAATCCTTCTGCGCCAAGTCGTTTCGCATACATCAAAGTGTAGATCCTAAACTCATCTTTGGCCCCAAGCATCAGAGCAGCTGCAATTCGGTTTTCAAGATGTGCAATAGACACCCCAGACTCGAAACTCTCAAATCCTTCCCGTGATAGTAAGACCTTGATGAGCCTCTGCAAGAAGTATGCCCGACCACGCAGTAGTGTTTCCGACGTGGTATTCCTTTCCAACCACGGGATAACTCCGGAGGACAAATCCACCGTCTTTTCGTTACTGGTTTGTGCATTGGACCGCTGAATTGCACCCACGGATGTGTCAGTGGTGTTCCAATACTGGCTACCAACTGCCCACCAGACCTCAGACAATCTCTGCCAGCAGTACATCTGTGGGGAGTATGCATATCCTTCACCATTTGACAAGCTGAGAATAATCCGCCCCTCGGAATTGAGACGAGCTTGCGTAATAGCTGGTGCACCAGTGGGATGGGCCGCCAAAGAATGAATCGCTGCATCCAAGACAGGAGCCAACGAAACTGGTGGATGCGGTGAAGACATGGTTTTGACGTTCCAAACATAACACATGCCCACCGCTGTTATACATAGAAGCCAAGATCCGTACGAAGCCAATATGACAGGCTGTGCTTCCATGACTATGGCACTGTTGAGTCGCCGGCCGTAGGGAGTCCACATGTATATTGATCCAGTTTCATCAGCAGCTGCCCAAAAGGATTGAGTGCCAGTGACCAGAAGAACCGCTCGCGGAAGAAAGTCTTGCCACAGAGGCTGATCTTTTCTCGTCAGCGTGATCCGACAAGGCTCTCGATCCTGGGCTCTCTGAGTCAAAGACGGACCAGAAGGATTTCGAGCTTCAAATACAAACTCGGCCCGCGATTTGCTCACAGCATCAGCTGAGACGTCGCCAGGCTTTCCAGATGAATCAATCCCTTGAACGATATGTGCTCTGATCCGAGGCACTGCCAGTCTCAACTGACTGATACTCAATACAGGATTGATGACAGCTGGACGAATAAACTCAGGAGTCACTTGTTGACCATTGACTGCCGGTTGAGGTTGAGCAGGCAACAGTCCATCGGCGCCGTTAACAACGATGGGTGTAGCTCCTTTCTGACTGGCAGCAACCACCCTCTTCTCAGCCGTACCCTCCTCTTCGCCCTCAATCTGGGCGTACTTCCTCTTGTTTCCTAGGAGGAGTGCAGCGAGGCCCCCTTTAGGAAGACCATCGAACGGTTTCGACAAATCAAGGACTGATTGTGGTGCATCCAATGTTTGGACATTCGTGCTTGCACTGACCAATTTTGCTTGGGGTAGAGAAGATTCTGCACCACCGGCACCCGACACCAGCAGCGGACGAATTCTCTTCTTACCATCCTTAGTGATTTCTACCCTATTTTTGAGTCGCTCAAGTTTGGCTTGATTCTGATCGTCTTGTGATTTTGCTGCTGCTGCTGTTGCAACGCCATTCGTCGTGGCCTCCGTGCCGTTGACTGGAGTCTCTGTTGCCGTGGTCCCATTTGTAGTCGGCGCAGCAGAGGTAGCGGTTCCTGTAACTTGGGATGCGTTCAAGTCGCCCATCAAAGCGCCCATGCGGCCTTCCAACCCTTTCAATTCCCCAGCTTTACTCATCTCCTCCAACAGAAGAGCATCCGTTGTTTCTGGAAACCCTAGACCTTTCCTCGACGTACCGAACCTACTAAGTGATCGATCGTTCTCCTCGACAGGCCTAGCATAGCCGAGCTCACCAGGTTCAAACATAACAGTGAAGATTGTGCCGTCCAAGGCAGTGAGAAATAGGTTCTGCCCATCTGGGGTCCAGGCCAAGTCTGAGATGGGTTTGCTGGAAACATCTTGAGTGACGATCAAGGGCCGAGGGCTGTTCGTTGTCCAGATGCTCAGAGTTTTGTCTGCTCCTCCGCAAGCAATCACTGTCGTATGTGGTGCTTGATGGCCGTCTTCTGGAGGGCGATTCGACGGATCTTGCCCGTAGAGTCTAGGAGAGAACGCGCACACCTCGACTGGACCTTCATGGCCTATTAAAGTGGTATCACCGTCCCATGAACCGCGATTGATGATAGCGATGGCGCTCACCGGCCCATTGACAGCATTTGCTGCGGCAATATGTTGTCCATCAGGGGCCCAGGAGCATCGTCGGAAATAAGTTGTGAGAGGCGAGTTCACAAATGGCTGTACAATTGTCTGTTCGAGGATGAAATTGTTCACGGCATCGTGAGTGGAATAATTTTGAGTGGGCGAAGTGAATCGAAAGACGCGAATAGTCCGATCATCGCTGGCGGTGGCGAAGTATTTATTGGCAGGGTCGAAGGTGATGCCCTTGACGTGGCTGGAATGATTCGGGAGAGTCTTGAGCTTTTCAAAGGTGAAACCCGACCAGACGACGACTTTGGAATCCAAGCCGACCGAGACCAATATGGTTCCATCATAAGACCAGCCCAAATCTTGTACATCATTGTCATGCCCTATTAGTCTTCGAAAGATGCGCCAATTTTCGACGGGGGGAGCCTCGTTGGAACCTAGACAAATCAGTACTTAGATCTAACCATTTCACAACAATCGTTTATTCTTTTTCCACATACCAAAAGTCGCATGCGCAGGAGGACTAGGGTCGAGGGAATAGATGCACACAATCTTGTCATCTGCACCTGAGGCCAAGAACTTGCCTCCTGGGGAGAAGCGAACGGTGTGAATGGTGCCTGAATGGTAGCTCATGGACGCCAGCTGGCGGGGCTTGTCGTACTTTGCGTTCCCGGCATTGTAGATGGCTTCGGTCGACCAAATGCGCACATAGCCGTCTTTGAAAGGGCGAAAGGTTAGCTGAAGACGAAAGGATAATGAGAGGAGAAGGGATGGGAGTAGACTTGGACATACCACCAGCGGCTGTGACCAGACGTTGGCCGTCGGGGGAGACGTGGCAGGAATAGACCTCAAAGTCCTTCTTTTCGCCTGCGGAGAGGGATTGTCAGTACATGGTCGGCCATTGAAAAGATATGCGACGACAACTACGCGCTTTGCGACGCGTTGACAGACACAGATTTTGTTCTCGTGGTTGAGGCGCAGGCAGGAAGTGGTACCTCCATGGGTCAGCCATATGGGCTTAATGATGTGCATGGCGAGCCTATCTTTGTGGTTGTTGGGGTTTCATGGCTAGAAGATAGATGAATCTGGAGTGAAGGCGATGAGGGAGGGCTGTAGAGCAATTTCGCTATTTCACGGAGAGTTTGCGGATGTTTGGTGAAGTAGTGGAAGTGGAAGTTGTAACTGCTGTGGCTATTCTTGAAGTTGAAGTAGTTCACCTCGCTTCTCCGCAGATGGAGCAGCGACCACTTATGGGGACCAACTAGTCATTCTATATCACATGCCGGCAACAGACCCTAGTAATCATCTTCAAAGGGACAATGATAATGGCAGTGGCAATGATGAGGCTTGAGTGTTTTATTTATTAGTATACAGCCCGCTATGGACGAATGGGATCAAGTATGTAAGAGACACCCTTTTTTGGCTTGCTGTTAGTAGTACAGGAAGATAGTAGTCAATCAACACCCAGAAGTCAGGACTGAACAATCAACTCAAGTTCTGACCGCCTGCTGCTTTGCGCTGTTGAATGAGCTGAATGTCCGCAGGCACAGTTTTGTCCCTTGATAAAATTCCAACAAGTCCTTTTCTTGCTTTCTCCTCTTACTTCCGCGCCCGAGCGGTCTTCTCAAACGATTCGAGGACTGCATCTTTGGCATCAGCAGAAGAAGTCTCAGCATATTCGCTGGAGGGCGCGGCCTCGATTGCCCTCGGCTGCAACACCTTCCTCTGCCCTTCGCTCACTTTCCCGTAGACTGCCATGGCACTGGCGATCATTCCACCCATGTCTCCCACATTCCCTGGCACCACCACAGCAGTACCCTCCTTGGCCAGTCTGCCAAATGCTTCGACATACTTCTCTGCCACGCTCAAGCTGATGGCACTCTGAGCATCAGTAGAACCCTTCTGGATGGAAGCCGCAACGGCATCGATTCCACGCGCTGTAGCATCTGCCTTCAGCATGATGGCTTCGGCTTCACCAGAAGCTGTGTTGATCTGCTCCGCTTTTAGAGCCTCGGAGGCCAGGATGACCGACTGTTTCCGACCTTCGGCGATGTTGATCGCACTCTGCCGTTGACCTTCAGACTCCAAAATTTCCGCTCTCTTCGATCGCTCTGCGGTGACTTGTCTGTGCATGGCTGCCACAACTCCTTCTGGTGCATGAATATCTCGGATTTCGTATCTTAGACATACCACACCCCACTCCTGTGCAGCCTCGTTGATGGCTTGTGTAATATTCGAGTTGAGATTCGCCCGTTCCTTGAGGACATGGTCCAACGTCAACTGGCCTATTTCCGATCGCATCGTCGTCTGCGCCAATTGTCCAATAGCATATTCCGCATCTTCGACCCCGTAGCTGCGAGTGTGTTAGTTTCATCATCGAATCATCCTCCCCATCACAAAACCAACCTTGCTTTATACGCATCAAAGACCCTTGTGTATAGAACACCATCAAGCTCCAACGTTACGTTATCCGCCGTAATCGCACTCTGACTCGGGATTTCGATCGCCGATTCTTTCAGTGACTGAACATAGGCAATGCGCTATGCAAAGGTTTTGTCAGCAGTCTTCTCAATCTGCCACAGGGCAAAGTGGTACATACGTCGATAATGGGCATCAGGATAGCCAATCCGGGCTGTAATATTCTGTTGAATTTACCCATGCGCTCGACAATCCAGGCTGTCTGCTGGGGCACGAAGCGGATAATGGTATTTGCGGGCAAACTAGTCTGCCGTTGGAAGTAGGTTGGAGAGGAGGATCCGGACGAGCCACCGAATCCCAGGCCAGGCGGACCTGGGAAGCTGAGGTTTGAGCTGGACGACATCTGACGACGGCTCCATATGGCCATGGGTGAACATGCGAGGATGGCAGGCGACAGCACCGCTCCATTTCGAAGACCATTCGAGGTGCGGATGAAATGTGAAGCGGAACGCCGAGGTAATGATCGGACCGCTATCCTTGAGACCTCCATCTTGAGTTGGTCTGGCGCAGGAGGACTACGCTACGGGAGGGAGGAATGGTAGAGAAAGAGGAAGCCAGAATGAGGTGGAAGAGGCACAAGAGAAGAGATGCGCCACGATTCTTTGGGGTTCGTCTCGGAGACTCGCCCGATTAATTACGTCCGAGCAAAATAGCACCGAGATGCAAGTCTGGGTTCGGTGGATTGTCAGCTAGTTACCTGCCTTCTACCCAGTTGGTGCCAGTATGGGATCCTCACCAGTGGGTATATGATGCTCTTCTATAGATTTTCAAAGACGAGATATCATTGGAAAGTGGTGACACTGGACACGTTGGTGAATATTTCCACACTCTTCTACCAAGCATTCTACCAAGCACGAAAGAGGACACGCAACCAACGATATACGTTGGCGACAAAATCCCTTGCCACACCCAAAATTCTAGTATAGTAGTGCTTTCAGTTTCATTCTGTACATAGTTCACACTGTAAACCAGAACGCACGGCAGAATAAACGATGTATAGTTTCACTGCCATGCGAGATTCGCCCAGCCCACGCCACCGTGCCATAAAAAATAAAATAAAAGAATAGTTGGGTAGTGGAAGGTGCTAATTCCTTGTGCTAATTCCTTTTCCCCTCCCATCAACTATTTCCTATACCACAGTCTCGTAATCCGAGTATGTCTCACTAAGAATTGGGGTTAGCGATCATTCCCTCGCCCATCCAGAGGGTATTGCAAATAGAAAGTGGGATTCCGGGAAGGACATACTCTTCTTTTGCAGTTGGAAAATGCCATACATCAGCGCCTCACTCGTCGGCGGGCATCCAGGCACATAAATATCAACGGGGACAATCCGATCACAACCGCGAGTGACCGAATAACTATAGTGATAGTAACCTCCGCCGTTGGCACAGCTACCCATGGAAATCACCCAACGAGGGTCGGGCATCTGATCGTAGACCTGTCTGAGGGCGGGAGCCATTTTATTGGTGAGCGTGCCGGCCACGATCATCACGTCCGACTGTCTGGGCGAGGCCCGGAAAATTATACCGAGTCGATCTTGATCATAGCGGGGTGTGGACAAGTGCATCATTTCCACGGCGCAGCAGGCCAGACCAAAGGTCAGCGGCCACAGAGAGCCCTGGCGTGCCCAATTGGCGATCTGATCGAGTGTGGTCAGGGCGTATTGCATGGCACCTTGCTTCGGTTCTTGACTGGGTAGAGGCACTTCGCGACGGATGCCACCCGTCACTGGGAGGCGGGAGGAGTCGCCCGCTGTAGCTGGTGTTGTGACTGTTGCTGATGTGGCGGACTTCTGTGAGGAGGAAGAGATGAAAGCGGCGGGTGTGGCACGGACGAGGGAGAATGGCATGGTCGTGGAAGCTGTAGAGGCGAACAAATCAATATCTCGGTGGTGGCTCCAGGAGCTCAAATGCGTACCTCGCAGCGCTCTGGGAGCGACCGATCTCGATAAGGACATCATCTTGCCGGCAATGGTGATGTTCCTATAATGGAAGGGACGACAAAGAGGAGAGGAGAGAGGGTAGAGGGGCAGCACGTAGACGACCACGACAATTGAAATGTCTATGATGGAGGATGTTGGATGGCCGGACAAATCGTCCCCACTGAATAAATGCCTTTGTAAGCTTCGTCATTGGCTGAGCTTTGTGGGCGTATGCTACGAGTCATGATCAGGAAGCCGACGCGCAGTCGCATGACTCGAAATTTATACTGACGTGCTTTCCTGTAATCTACTATACTGTTAAATTACAATCTCATGCTCAACCGTCGCAATGGCACTCAACCTCAACGCAGTCCCGTCAATAGCAGCCATAGGAATCATAGGCAAACATGTGCGTTTCCCTTTTCTCTTCTCTTCCCAAGTCACCAATGCACCAACGGACCAGCCATACATACTAATCACTCTCCAAAGGACAATCCACTACACATCTCACATTTCCCACCGCAACCCTCGGACCCTTTACCGATGCTATTCCTGATCAACTCATGCCTTGACATCTTCGCGCTGCGCGCATCCACCAGCACGGGCAATTCGTCACTCAGCCATGACCTCGGCCTCCTCCAAGCAGTCGACGAGCGTCTATCGTGCTATGGATGGCAGACCAACACGGGGATCAAGTTCGTGATCGTCATCGACATGATGGGCGGGCCTCGCGACTCTACTGCATCGTCCATCGTCTCGCCCTTGTCCCCGGCCGAGGAGAAAGACAAACGCAAGCTGCCCGCCGCCGCCGTTATGGGTCTGCGCGACGCCGATCTGAGACCTGCTTTCCGTGCCGTCCAGACTGCTTATATTCAACTCATGCTCAACCCTTTCTACTCGCCTGACGACCGTACGCCCTTGCAGATTGCTAATTACGGGGGAAAGAGTCCGGAAATTACAAGTAAGAAATTCATCAATGAACTAAAGAGGATAGGGAAAGTCTGGACTCCCGGGATTGCGGCCGTATGATGATGGTGCGCAACGCACCAGACGTACATGCATGTTTCCGACTGCCTAAGTATCTCACCATGGCTGCCCAAAAATAACAGGAATCAAAGGAAAAAGGGGAAAGGCTGAAGACTTAAGACTCTACAGACTCCAGCCGATACGCAGAACTTTTTCTCAACATTCCACTATGCGTACTCCTGCTCTCTCATCTACGGCTTGGGCAACCCATCCGCCGAATCAATCTTAGCCGCAGTCTCACCAACTTCGGCGGCCGTGTCAGCTGCTTCCTGCTCCTCCTTGGACGGCGCCTTCGCCAAAGGCACCTCGTTCATCTTGACATCCGGGTCGGCTAATTTGGCTACTTCCTCGGTCGCCGCAGGATCATCGGCCGGTGGGGCGGCCACAGCTGCTGGGGCTCCGGTTTCGGTGAAGCCTTCTGTCTTGATATACTCGAGAACGGCATCCAGTGTCTTCTGTGGGCCGGCCTGTTCGTGCAACCGAATCTTGCCTTGCTTGTCGATCACAATTACGCCTCGGGCGGTGGATTTGCCTGGTCCAGGCTTCTTGAACCCAATGGCGGATGTCAGCGTGGCATCCGGATCGCACTGTTTTAACCAGAAGGCGCATAGTCGTCAGCAAACGCGCCGAGATCAGGAAGAATGCAGGGGAATGAGCAGGAGACAGGGATGCAAAGGGCCGGATCGATCTCACCAAGAGCGGGTAAGGCAGCTTCTGCTTTGTAGCAAACGTAGTGTTCGCCTTGGGACTATCTGTACTTAGGCCATAGACCGCGAGAGATGCACCGGTGATCGGCGCATAACTGTCTCTAAACAAGCACGCCTGAGTGGTACCTAGAGGCAAGTCAGAGAATAATTCCAACACATTTCTCCAACACAAACTTCCATCAAAAGGAAAAGGGGATGAGGAAAGGAAACTTACATCCAGGAGTACTGGCTCTCGGATACGTGAAAATAACCACGCCAGCGAGACTTTCATCTACAAGGGTCTTCAACGTGACGCCCTTACCATCGTGGGTTTGCACCGTGCCGCCGAAGCCATCCAAATTGACGGTCTCGCCCACCGCAATCTTGGAGGTACCCGAGCCAGTTCCATTCGTAGCCTTGGTTGTGCTTGCAGCGGTCGTCGCTGCTGGCGTGGGATCAGCAACGGGAGTGCTGGTCGTGGTCGTGCCATTCTCCTCAGTGTTCTTCGGGAGAATAGCCTCCTTGGCCTTGCCAGCGAGCTTCTTCACGGTGCTGCTGCTGCCGCGTTTGGCCGTCGGGGCAGGCGTGGCCGTCTCTTTTGGCGGCGGTCTTTTGCGTAGTTCCACGGGCATGGTGTTGGTTGGGAAGCTTGGTTCTGGTAGAAAAGGGCGTGTGCGTCAAGTTGTGGTGCTTTGAATTATGTCGAATAGCTTGAGTTGGCTCACTCGTCAGGCTTGGTGGTTTTCAAGTTTCTCTAGGGAGCCTTTTTTATAGAGAACAGTGGATCTGATTGAGCTTACACCCTGCCAGGGTTGGCGGTTAGCCTTTAATTCGCCAATCCTTAATTTGCTCAATTGGTGCAATTGGTGCACTATTGTGTGCTTCGGTTTGCAGCTGGCCTTGAACAAGCACTATTAGCCCGTGTCCTCCGGGCATACCTGTATCTCGAACACCATGGATCTGTGAATGTATATTGCGGGGTGTACGGAGTACCATTAGAGTCTCAGGATGGCCAAGACCCTCGCTGCAAAGCATAGTTGGTCATGGCTCAAGCCTTGAGGCCGAATGAAGACAGCGTTGATACTCTCTGATCTCTTTTCCAACCAAACCGATCGCCCAGGTACCATCGTTGCAAAGCGATCAAAAATAGTCTTACCCTGTGGCATCGCCGTCTGTAGGTCTTCTCCTTGGGGGGATTGACGTAGTCTCGTGCCCAGATGCCCTGGGGCAACCAGAGGTCGCCATAGAGACTATCAAATTGGAAGGCAGCTTATAGAAGGAAACTCACTGTGGTTTTTTTTTTTGCTACGCCGATAACAGGACGCACGCCCTATATAATCTGCCTAATGCCAGCTTCGATGGACCTGGGTCTCGTCAGAATGACCATTGGCTGGGCTAGGAAAGATAAATCGCGGAGGGGAGTTTGGCTCCGAAGCAAGAGATTATCACATACAGGAATCATAGAATGCGGTTGCCGACATAAGATAAGATGAATATCTTGATTCCGTGAATTATGGTGATGGTAGGAGTTGTGCAGAGTCCGGCGAGGTTGGCTGGGGAAGGTCGGTGTAAGGTGTGAGGCCGTCCCTGCTTCTGCACGTCACTGACACTGTCGGTGGTAGAAGCTAAATTGGTAAGCAAGTTCCCTCAGAAGGGCTCTCAGAGGAGGGACCTTCGGCCATTACTACTACTGTCTTGCATAGTACTACTACGAGGGTCTTACGGTTCTTCCTACGATCTTCCTACGAGGTACGGCGTACAGATGATTCCTTGAGACTTCTGTGCGGCTTAAATCCGCACAGTCAGCTCCCTCAAGGCCACCAGATGCAAGTTCTGTTCTGCCCTGAAACAGGGCGAAACGCAGTCGTCCAAGGCCAGCAGGTCGACCCGGACGAACTGATCACCTAACTTCCTACAGTAGTAGGCTTACCATGGGCCCGATCGGCCAACTTTGTGGTTGTGGCTGTGGTTGTGGTCCTGACAAGCTTCAATCGCCGCTATCGCTGCTCGTGTTTGAATGGCTGGTTCCGAGCGAGCTTGGACACCAGCTAAACCTGGACACTTACCGTGCAAGTTTGTGGGGCTACGATATCCGTATTCCTAACCGCCACTGATGTACTCCGTACTCTGTAGTTGGATTCGCCTATTCACCGTGCCAGGTCCCATCACCTTGGTCCGCCTTCCGCCATCCGCAATCACAATCCATAGACCTTGCTTGGTTTTGGATTATCGCCCGCGTCTGCATCGCTCTGAATGGTGTGAACCCACTGAAGACTCAGTGTGGAGCGCGGAGGAGTCAGTAACAATATCAGAACCAGGAAGCACATGTGTTAGCACATTGATATCGTGATTGACTAAGCTAGATGGGTCCAGGACTCTTTCCATGCCTGTCAGGAAATTATGTTGCTCTTCCAAGCAGTACAAGTACTGGTCATAAACCTCCCCGGACGCTGCCCATAACAATTCCTTCGCCAGGTACCCAAGGTACTTGCCATTCCCTCATCAGAAACCCATAGGAAGTCACAACTCCCAAAAGGGCTGCCATATTGTTGCATCTCTTCGTCTGAGGTGGACATACTTCAAGCTTATGCTCCTCTCCCCTTGCCCAGTACTTCTTAAATCTTCGGTGGTATGCGTGTTGTTAGAAGCCACAAACAAAAAAAAGGAAAACGTGCTATAGGAAGGTGAAGGTGGTCGGTGATGAATCGCAGTGGTTGTAGAGTCGATGACTCCATAGGCAAAAGGTACACCGTCCGAAATATGGAAGTAATGTCCTTAATCTCAGATCAGTAGTGGTGGACAGCAATGTCTGATGCCATGTTGTCGTATGTCGCTAAACTTCTTGATATTCTGATGCTGCCTCAAGGCGTCACGCTAATGAAGCGCGATCGACCCCCCCTAAACAATTGATGGTTGTCAATTGTCGCATGAGGTATTGAGTTGAGAGTCATTCAGATAAAGTCGGCGTTCCACATATCCCATTCCGGACTTGCCATGTGCTAGAGCAAACCCCGCGGGGGATCCGACATTCCCATGGTATGTTGTTGTGAAGACAAGAGCCTTCGTAAGATTGATTGGAGAAACGAGTTCAGCAGTGCCGAGAACACGTAGCCGTCATTCCGTTTCAACGATAATCGCCGTTGCCGGTGGTTATCCTCGTTCCGGAACGAAGCCTAACGTCGAAGACTAGAGTATTAGTCAGATGCTATTTCAACCCTCTACGCAAACCGGAGCAGAACGCAGAGGAGATCCCTTACACGGAACCGAAGGTTTCAGTACTCACATCCTATCACTGCCTCCTTGGTCGTTGCCATTGCCGCGTTCGATGACCTTGCGTCGAGTGCTGGAGATGGCCGCTGGCTTACCGGCTTGAGAAGTGTGTTGTGGAGTGGGGGCTCCAGTGGCGGCCGCAGTGCCAGGGTGTCCACGGCGCGGTTGCTTCTCTTCTTCCTCCTGAGCAGGTTGATTTCCAGCGGCTTGAGCGATGGCCTGAGCATTCTTCTGGTATTTGTACACAGTCCAGTCAAAGACATAGTCGTACTGGAATGATTCGCGAACGAAAAGATCACGGAAGATCTTCCTTAGATAGGAATAGTCTGGCTTATCGTCAAAGCGAAGAGATCGAGTGTAGTTCAGATAGATGGCGAATTCGTTGGGGAAACCACGGCAAAGAACCTCGGTGGGGGTGGTCATCTTCTTCTCCATGATTCGATCGTACTTCTGCTTCTTGGTAGCGGCTTTGAGACCTTGCCAGGGAAGAGAGCCACGACAGAAGTAGAGCATGACATAGCCAAGAGACTCCATGTCATCCCGTCGAGATTGTTCGACGCCAAGATGGGTATTGATGGAGGCATAGCGAGCCGTACCCGTCAAGTTCTTGTTCTCACGGTATGGGATGTGGAAATGAGTCTTGGGGTCACGGTATTTCTTGGCTAAACCAAAGTCAATCACGTTAACTTGGTTTCCTCGCTTGCCAATTCCCATGAGGAAGTTGTCTGGTTTGATATCACGGTGGATAAAAGACTTGGCGTGAATGTATTCGATTCGAGAAATGAGTTGATCGGCCAGAAGGAGTACGGTCTTGAGGGAGAACTTGCGGTTGCAGAAATTGAAGAGGTCTTCCAAGCTAGGACCTAGAAGGTCAAGAACCATGGCATTGTAGTCACATTCGGTTCCAAACCAGCGGACGAAAGGAATGCCAACACCACCGGCGAGGGATTTGTAGACACGAGCTTCATACTCAAGTTGAGGGTGTTTAGCCTTGACGGACTCGAGTTTGATAGCAATCTCTTCTCCAGAGATAATATTGGTGCCCAAGTAGATATCACCGAAAGAACCACTGCCAATCTTTCGACCAATACGGTACTTATTGCCAACACGCAAATCCTAGGCAAAACAATTAGCTCTGTCCATACCGTATAATCAGTGTCTTTGTGATCATTTGATGGAGGAGACTTCTGATCCACCCCTTACCAACCGTCCGAGATGCGAACTCTCCAAGGTTGAAATGCACGTACCATTGTCGTCATCTTGACCTAATTATGGCAGCAACAAAGCTGCAATCGAAGGGAATCTGGAAGGAGAATCGATGGAGGGTGGTTGAAGGGTGGATTGAGGTGTTTTTCAAGGGTGGAGGAAGCGAAACGAGATTGTGTTGATCTCAGCCTGGTTTCAGAAGGATTAGCAAGGCGAGCCCAATGTCACGAAGGGCACAGTGCACAGGCAGTTTGCAAACGAGAACGCCCTTCTCGAAGAACACGAGATGTGTGTGCAGACGGAAATGAGTGTTTAAGAAAGGAGGATGGGTAGAAGAGAGGGCCGAGGTGCAGGTGAGGTTGAGAATGGACGGTGTGGGATTTGGGTTGGGTTTGGCAGAGGGCGGTTGCAGTTCCGGAGCGGCAGTGCCGAAGCTGTAAGAAGATGACTAACCTTGCAGCGGAGAGATGCAAACAAGAGAGAATAAAGACTTAGGGACAAGTGAGTCGACACCCACCGGCCTTCAGGTTGTTGGTCTGTAACAACAGACCGAGATGGGATGGACGAAGTGGACGAGAAGAGGGGATGAGGGATGAGAACAAGAGAGGAAGCAGAAGCAAAAGTTGGGACCAAAGTTGGTTAGGACTTTAGGAGAAGGTGCAAGGGCAGAGGCAAGGGCGCAGGCGCAGGCGCAGTGTGCCGGTGAAAGGCGAAGAGATGAAGGTACAAGGTGCAGGGTGAAGGCGGTGGCTCCTGGACAGCACGGATAGTACTTAACTAACTGCCTATCTAAGCCCTTTAGTTAACGGATTAACTGGTTGGCAGCTGGCCGCTGGGGTGGACTTAGGTGGGCTTAGGTGGTAGGTGGGCACTTTCGCTTCCGCAATTCGCCCTTGACCTTTCACTCTTGGGCCCACTGTCCCTTGGGACGGGGACTTGCCAGCAAAGAATGCCAACTCAACGGCAACTTCACCACCACTACTATTATTTCCGACGCCCGGGCTTGCCTTCCACTCCAGTCAGACTCGCAATGTGGGTGGTCTGCACCAAGGAACGCGTTTGCCTTGCGGAGACGGACGCCTGGGCGGTTCAGTTATTGTCAGCTAGCCGCGAACTTGCACACCAGTGTTTTAGGTGTTTTGAGTCTCCCCATCGCTTCCGGGTGAGAGGTTCTTCTCGAGCCTATAAGGACGGCGCCACCTCTGTCCCCGAGCCTCGTTTAGGTCGTTTAGGTACCGAGTAGCCCGAGTGACAATCCAGAAGTCCAGCCTCTCCCAATTCCATGACTTTTATTCACCGTTCATCGCCTACAAGGCGTCAAGTTTCAACTGCGTAGAATTCGGAGAAACTGGTAAAGCCTTCCAATTCCTGTGGTGCTCCTTGTCTCAATGCATGATCCACTCGTCCATTACTTATCAATCAGGAAACCTGGCCATGTGGGCTGCCTCATCGGTTGGGCACCAGCCCTCCAAGCAATTCCTGTCTCAGCAGCTATTGGGCCTGAGATGTGATTTTCCTTATTGCCTCATATCGAATAATCACGAGTTCCTGCGTCACCATAAGCTGAGTGGTGAATTATAGCGGAAGGACTCGTAAGTAATGCATATTGGGTGCTCGCCTTTCCCCCAACTTCGCATCAAAGGTGGTCATGACCGAGTCATGAGATATGTGTCAAGCCGCTCAATCAGGTTCTCCCAGCAATGTGTCGATCGTACGCCAGACTTCTAATCAGACAACCCAGAAGATCCAATCATTCCCATTCTCGGTTTATGGTCCAACTGATCAACATGCTAAAATTGGTGAACATGGTCCGGACGCCGTTTCGCTACACAAGTTCCATGTCAATCCGAGTCTTAAGTCGTTCCAGACCGCTTCCATCCACGCACTTCGTACTGGTACTCAACCAACGGCAGAGTGGGTTTTGCCATGCTCCAACGCGTCCTACATAGGTATGCATAGACGTTTGGATGGAATACACTTCTCGGTACTCCGCACAGTGGTCTTTCTCAATATGAGGGGACTGACTCAAATACCCAACGCCAATATGTTCACCAAGAAAAGGAGTAAAGTCCAGAGGTACCCGTGTCGAGGAACGACGAGTACCATATTGCAGCCAAACCCCTCCCCTAAGGCATGCATGCTGCAGAGGACGCTGAGGGCCTAAAATAGCAGACAGCCCCGTGACATTGTCGCTCCAAGCGAACCGAGAATGCATGAAGCTCCTGCCCCTTCCAGCGCTGCCAGGCATCCTCTCGGCCTTGGCACAGCTAATCCCTCACTGACCTCGCGGTGGCTGAAAACTGTGGCTCATCCACAAAGCGGTGGCAGTGATGGTCATTGTTGAATTCCGAGGACTTACCGAGGATCCATGTCCCTTGCTCCCCCACAATGACGCAGTCTCACCCGGATCAATGAGAACACCATGAAAAGTCTATTGCCTCATTGATTCATGCCTTCATTACGAGGTAGAGACAAGATGTGTTCTCTGTACACAAGTTGTCTCGTATATCAGAAATATCCCTTTCGGTAACTCGCAGTCAAGCCTCCATACCACACAATGTTATGGGGTGGCCACAAATTGAACCATCCAGTCCCCACCTTACATATCTACTTCTGTCATTCTTTCTGATAGTGTTCGCACTATTTTCAGATCTGATTCGAAATCGTGCTCATTTAGCAGAACCTCCCTTAGCCACCTTTGCAGGCATTGCATTTGGTCCTAAAGGGGCCACTGTCCTCAACCCAATTGACAACTGGGGTTGGGGAGACAGCATCACCCAAGAGCTCGCTCGAGTCATCACAGGCGTACAGTGTTTTGCTGTCGGTATCGATCTCCCCGCCAAATATGTGAAGCGCCATTGGAAAAGTATTGCTCTTCTCCTCGGACCTAATATGGTCGCCGGGTGGATGATCTCAGCCGCCATCATATACTTCGTACTCAATACAACATGGGTCAATGCGATGATCATCGCAGCTTGTCTTACTCCCACAGATCCTGTCCTGTCAGCAAGTATCATTGCAGAGACGAGGTTTTCGCAAAGAATCCCCAAACGGATCCGAAACCTACTGGCGGCGGAATCAGGCTGTAACGACGGCACAGCCTTTCCATTCTTATATGCCGGACTATATACTCTCCTTGCAAATTCAGCTGTCGAAGGAACAAGGAAATGGCTGACAGACCTCCTCATCTGGCAGTGCCTTTTCGGCGTTGCAGTCGGCGTGGCTATCGGCTTGACTGCAAATAAACTGCTTCGGTATAGCGAGGCCAGAGGGTTCGTTCAAGAGTCCACGTTGTTCGTCTTTTATTTTCTCCTTGCAATCTTTTGTGTTGCGGTAGGCAGCACCCTTGGACTGGACGACTTTTTGGTCTGCTTTACTGCAGGGACAGCATTCTGCTGGGATGGCTGGTTCTCCAAAAGGACTGCGAGAATGAAACTGCCCAGCATACTGGATCTTCTGCTCAACTCGGCATTTTTCGTCTACTTTGGTTCCATCGTCCCTTGGGATCTATATCGTGACAATCTCAATATAGGAAAGATGCTGGTCTGCGTTCTCCTGGTTCTGGTCTTGAGACGACTGCCTATGATGGTCGCCCTGAAAAGGGTCATTCCTGACCTACACACATATCACGAGGCCGCGTTCACTGGCCACTTCGGTCCAATTGGAGTAGGGGCATTGTTCCTCGCAATCGAGGCAAGATCCAGACTGGAAACTGACTCATCATTGCCTCTGCCACATCCGCCAGAGGACTCACCTCACATTGTGGCTCTGAAGACTATTTGGCCAGTTATCTGCTTCATAGTCCTGTGTTCCATTATTGTACATGGGTTTTCGCCGTTTCTGATGAGCCTTGTTGGACATTTCTCGAGACATCCCAAAGAAAGGGCACCCTTGTTAGCAGCCGAGGAGGAGCGACTTTACGGCATGGCGACCGAAGAGAGGACGATTGCTGTAGATTCCGATGACACCGATGGAGACATGTCATAGGAGACGTTGAGGCCATCGGAATCGCAATTCTCGAAGCAGTCTTGACTTCCTAAATTGGGACAACGACCTCGCTCGTGGTTCGCTGCCGCGGTTGTTTCCGCCACATTTAATCGTGAAGCCAAGCAAGGCCGGGGAGGACGGCTCATAAAGAGAACAGCCTGACTTGGCAACCTTAATTGCCACAGCTACAAATTCCCCAAATAGCGAGACAAAGTTCGTCAGGCAGAATCATTAAGTCGTGCTCCACCTCCTTCGGGAATAATTGAATTTCCGGCATGTTGAATAAGGTTTCAGCGCCCACCGCCACGATTGAAATGATTCCGCCATATTATTGTACGAACTGAGGACATCTCCGACTACTTCGTCGCCCATTCGGAAGTGGAGAATAAAGATTGGTTTCTTCCTGTTCGCGAGATAGAGCTCGTCCTGTACATAGTTTTGTAGAAAAGATTGGTGTTCTGTCCAAGTACGTTTGTACATACACGAAACAAAGAGATATATATATACACATCTATCAGACTGTCTATCTACGTATCCATATCTATACTGTTTCTCCTTTATCTATTATCTCTCGCAGTTCAAATGGTCAAGGTACGAGCAACGCAGTGCACGAGTCACTCATACGTCCTCAAGACTCCACATGGCAGCCTTAAGGGGCTGGAGCAGAGGGACTTGTCTGGGAAAGCAATTCTCCATCGCTTCACCAAAGTTCCCTATGCGCTGCCGCCGGTAGGAGAACTACGATGGCGACGACCTCAGCCGCTACCGTCTAACTTCGCCTTCGACAAATCCGGTGAACCAGGAGACTACACCGAGTTCGGACCCGTCTGCCCTCAACCAGCGTACGACCACACACTCGCGCAGCTGGACAACCCTGACGCTGCACCACCTGTGGACAACGTCCAAGATGAGGACTGTTTGTACGTCAACATCTGGGTTCCAGCATCCCCAGCCCCGGAAGGCGGGTGGCCCGTTCAATTCCAGATCCACGGAGGCTGGCTTCAAATTGGCGACGCAATGCAGCAGACGGACCACGACCCATACGATCTACTGGCCGACACCACGCCGCGGATCATCGTGGCCCCGACGTATCGCCTGAATCTGTTCGGGTTTCTTGCGGGCGAAGAGCTCGCGTCGTTGCGCGAGGACCCTTCCCCTTCAAACTACGGCCTCTGGGATCAACGCGTCGCCCTGGAATGGACGGCCAAGTACATCTCGCACTTCGGCGGCGACCCGAAGAACATCACCGTGGGCGGGCTGTCGGCCGGCGCGAACTCGACCTTCTTCCAACTCCACTACGACAGTCTTCTCCCGCCCTCGCAACGCCTGATCCGCCGCATCTACCTCTGGTCCAACGCGGTGGCGATCCAGCCTAACCGCGCAACCTCACCCGTTCTGACAGCCCAGTTCGACGACCTGTGCTCGCTCTTCTCCATCCCAACCACCGCCAGCGCCCACACCAAACTGGCCTTGCTCCGCAAGGTCCCGTCGGCAGACCTCGTCGCTGCGATATCCAAGCTGAAAATCCACACCTTCCGCTCCAGCACGGACAACGACTTCATCCCGGACACTTTTCTCTCATCCCTGCACTCGGGCTCCTTCACCACGCGGCTCTTCCACTCCGGCGTCTCCGTGCTGCTAGGCGAAGTCAGCGACGAGAAGGAACTATATAAACTCGTGAACCCACCCTCCACACATTCAGCCCTACAGGTCCAACTAGCAAACTACTACCCAAAGGCCGTATGCGACGCGCTCGTCCGGCTCTACGACATCCCAGCACCACACACTCCCAGTGCAACGCCGGCCGCCTACGCCGAGGTATTCAGCCAGATCGTCGCGGACGGCCAAGTGCACGCGTCGCTTCGCGGCCTTACGCACATCCTTCTCAACCCGCCGCGCACAAATCCAGCCGTGAGACCTCTCCCGCCGAGCCGTGTTCACCGCTACCGGATCTCATGGCGCGCAGCTGGGCTCGACGCATGGCTCAAGCCCGAGGTGAAAGTGTGCCATGGCGGGGACATGCCGATCTGGTGGGCTTCGGGCTGGCGTGCGGACTTCACGGGCGCGGACAAGGCCGTGGCGAAGCAGTTCCTGTCGCCGTTTGGCGACTTCCTGTATGGTCGCGACGTTAGCTGGGGAAGAAGTGGTGGTGGCGCGAATGGCGGCAGCGAGGATCGACTGAGGTGGCTTGATGCAGATGGCAAGATCCACGAAGACCATGTGGATGAGCTGTGGGCCAGGGGCATGCAGATCTGGGACGCTGTTTGGGAGGCGCAAAAGGCGTCGGTCGCCAGGGATACAGAGCTGGATAGTCGGCTGTGACAAGATGCTGAGCGGGAGTTCTGGTTGTAGGGGGACAAGACTTGCCTTGCCTGCCTGCATCCGCAGATTTCTTCTGAACCCGTAGACCGAAAAGATTGGCAACACGTCCCTACTTTGAATGTGAATGGGGCATCTTCGACATATGAATCTTAGATGCTCGTATGCCTGTCTGTCATGTTATGCTCTACGATTCGTTCGCCTCAGGATTTCATCTGCGCAATCGCCTGCTTCAACAAGGAGGAGAACTCAATACTGGATTCTTCTATTGCTACGGCAGCTACAACACCTCGACGATGCTCAATGCCGCAGCTCTTGTTGCTTTCCCAAAGTCAAATTCAGGCAGGTCGGCTTGTTTGACGGGCGGCGGAAAGATTGCTGAACCACTATCATCCGCCGCCGCCGGAGCCCATCTGGGAGTCAAGGTTCCGCTTCTGCGGTCTTCGAGGCCGAAGTACCCTACCCTGGTATACGAAAATAACTGTTCATCTGATGAGGACGAGGAGGAAGGACGCTGGGTTTGGGTGGAGGATTGACCTGTTGCCTTGAGAAGGACACCTTGAGCTGCAAGGAGGACCTTCTTGCCGACATGGTCTGACGCGACATCTGTGAGGTGGTAAGCCGTCGTGCGAATGATTGCGCCGGTATATTCTTCCCCTGCGGGAATAATATCGCTAGTGTCGACCCGGATCGTCAGTTGTGGGACCGAGATGTGATGTCTTCTAGGAACCACGATCCAATTCCCGTCCTCACTGATACGGATTTGTATGAGAGGAGCTTGCAGCGTCATTGTGCCTGAAGTGACCACCCCGAACTGTTGTGGCGGTGCTGTGCATTCGTTGGATATCACGTTGCATTGCACATCTAGGGCCCGTGCAACGATCCAAGAAGCATTGAATGGCGGGGCGTGTATCACGTATCCATCTTTGGATGCCCATGACCATGTTGGTGCTCTGTATTCGGATGGACTTGCGGTTCTGGTGTTGACTCGGATGTACCATAACAAGCCCTCCATCAGATGTTGCCGCCAAAGTCCTGCGATAAAGTCATCTCTCATGACTGTCCCAAATAGTTTCGATACACCAGCAATCGCAAGCAGCTTGTCTATGGGAAACGTCAGCTGGCGAAGCGAATAGTGCGCCACAAAATCCGTCCAGACTTTGTATAGTATTTTCTGATCCACTTGATTCAGAGTGAGACCGGGCAAGTCGTCCTGGTTAGAGTGTTGTTTGACGAAGGATAGCCATGAAGTGATTGGTTCAAGTTCATCGTCATCAAGAAATGTTCCCTTGTCTGTTGTGGACTTTCCTATGTACACCTGTCGCTTCGGGTGCAAAGATGGATAGGTCTCACATGATCGAGAGTGCAGGCAGTTCCATAGAACCTGCCGGGAGCCAAAGTATATAGTGCGAGGCGCAAGGACTTCTTCCTGCAAGACCCAACCCCGATTGGTAAGCGGCATGTGAATGAGTTCACCACGCCAGAGTTGCAGATCATTGATGAGGAAGGATGTATTCAGCTGGAAGGTGGCCTGATCCAAGATGACGGAATCGCTGTTCATAATCTCGGGAGTTCGCGTACAGAAGAGACCATTGTCTTTGCCTGAAAGGGCCGAGATATTGCAGATTGCACTACCGTAAACTTCAGCCATTCGAGTGGCTTCTTTCTGGATGTCTGTCCGTTCATCTTGAAATATGCCTGCACAAAGATCAGAGATATGATAGATTGGAGATTCTCGGCAGGCACCAACATATCGAATCGATCCAGAGGTATCGAACGTTCAAGTCTTTCACCACCTTGATGGCGTCTTGATAGGTGCCGGGTAAAATTGATAAAGGCATTCCACCCAACATAAGATGTTGGGTACCTCGTTCTAGTTTGATGGTACCTGAACCCCATCTATGCGAGAGTGTCATGAACGGGCCAGTGAGGACTTCGTCGTGAACCTCGACCAACCTCCAGAAGCCAGAGGAGAAGCCCTCGGGTGCAACATCAATCAGCCGGGTTGGATACATCTTGACGTGAGCAGAGTGACGATGACATAATTCGTGATCTGACAACGAAGAGCATGTATTGAGCCAGTGTTGTACCAAGGAAAGCACAGCTGGATCTGAAGTCGAAGTAGCATGTTTGGCAGCAATGGCAGGCGAAGGGATAGCCAAACTTGGAGCAACAGCATTGTTAGATACTATCATCTGGCGTTGTGGTTAAGAAAGACAGTGGAAATCACAGTCACAGAGTTTAGGAGAATCTATCCCACCTTTCAATATTACGCGGTAGAAGTGCTACCTGCAGATAGCCATATGAATAGCTCTTCCCTAAGATTTCCTCACTAGAGTCCGTGATCCCATATAATGGAGTCAATTTACAACCCAACCTTACGAGGATATTGTTATCTGGGACGTGGCAATGAGCCGACTTGTCAAATGAGACTAGATTGGTTTTGGGGAGATGCGAGGAAAGTTGCTGCCATTTCTGGTCTCCAAGTTCAATATGCAGCCTTGTGCACAGATAGCATTTCGAGGCAACAGCGGTCAGGAATTCTTGTGTAGAGACTTCTTGCTTGATGGGCGTGGGAGAGTCGGCGAAGTGGAATTCATGATCTGCTTGCTGCACTAAGCGACAGCAATCGTTGCATAGCATGTCGTTGGTATGACATATGGTAGGCTTGAAGGTGTCAACTTATTGTTCGAGGTCCCAAGGTAAAGACGTGTTGAAAGGATCCAGACACACCATAAAGCGGCAGCAACGCGCCATGTAAAGCAGCATCATGTTTCCCGTACTCCGTATTCTGTTTTGGGGTACCCACCCCTTTCGTTGCACGGCCATGATCCCTTAAGGCCTGGACGATGGGGCCGGAGGGCCCCTGAAATCATTATTATCAATTAAGCTGCGCCTAAGCGCCCCCCGGGAGCGTTGAGTCTGACCCGGTCGCAGCCTGGACTTCTGGACTGGGAGTGTCTGCTCTAGTGCTCAGTGATCACGCAATTTGGGTCTCATCTCATCCGCGCGCCCAAGTCGAGCGTGTGGCTGACCAATTCCAGCGGTTGACAGCCAACACTGACTTGATTTTGAGACAAAGAGCCCGGGCAATGAGCACATTCCTCACACCGAGTTGCAAAGAGTTGAGCACATTTCCATCCATAGCCAATTTCAAGATAATTATACTCCCTACTTGTTGTTTAGTAGCAGTAGTCTTGTAGTATGTACGCGCTCGTCTTACAAATTGCACCTTGACAGAGACCTGCCCCAGCATCCTGCCGGTACCAGGAGCTATATCAGCCTCACGGCACCCCTCCTCCATCGACCGTCGTTCCCTCCCAACAGCCTTGCCTCCCTACCCGTAGCCGCTGAGATTCATTCTCAACACCATCTTCTACTGTACAAACAAATATCAGGACCACATTCCTCGGTCTCCGAACCCAGAGCAAGCAAACTTCATTGTTTCAAACAACAGTCTGCGCACACATACTTAACATAACGACAAACTCGCCGCTCATCGCCGCGCCTCTTCTCCTGCCCTGCGCTTTATTACAAATCCACTTTCACCCATCCCGTCGCTCCAGCCCGAACACCAACCCAGAAGGAAACCACAACGACCACAAGAAACATGTCTGGACACCAGTACAAATTCAACGTCAGCATGAGCTGCGGTGGCTGCTCCGGCGCCGTGGAGCGTGTCCTGAAGAAACTGGACGGTGAGCCTTCATTCCTCGTCCCTCCCCCAGCCCATCCAGCGTGCTCCCTCTTACTTTGTCCCCAATTCCCCGTCCATCATCTCTCCTTCTACTAACGATTTCTCCCCCTCGCAGGTGTCAAGGAGTACAACGTCTCGCTCGAGACACAGACCGCTGACATCACGGCCGAGGACTCGCTGTCCTATCAGACGGTCCTAGAGAAGATCAAGAAGACCGGCAAGACCGTCAATTCCGGCGAGGCTGATGGTGTTTCTCAACCCGTGTAGACAGAAACTGTCTGAGCAATCGCGGTATTCGCATTAGCATGCACGCAGCATAGAAAAGAGAAAAGACACAAACAATCTATACTCTGGCCCCCTCACAACAGTGGCGTAGGAACAGCATAAACTGGGAGGCCGGTCAACTTAGAATATATGAGTTATCAGCGATGGACAATGAGCATGCTGTATTTCACATGCAATTCCTGGTGCATTTCACTTCTCCATTACTCGCTATCTGTAATGACTTCGCAACTGTCAAGTATTGAGCTGAAAGTGTTTGGTCTGTACAATTTGGCCCATCAGGATGAAATGGCTTCCGCCCTGCCATCCATGGACCTCACTCGACACGTGTCCCAAAATCTTCGTATGAACTCCAGCATTCGTCATCCCCTGTACAGAAAGGTGGGTATCTAGAATAAAACCTCCATCACAATGATGAGCCAGTACATCCTGGCATTTGAACACCTTCGCAATGCAAATGAACAATTGCTCCGGTCCCTTGGTATGCTTGTAAACACCTGATAAAACTCCAAAATGGGTCATTCCTGGCTAAAGGAGTGCCCGAAGATTATTCCGTCCTGAGTTGTTGTCAGTAATGAATTTTCTTTCAGTAGACGATAGCGTGTATGTCAAGGCATGTCCTGAGCTCTTACCATCATAGGACAACTCGTCGAAAGAGTTCACAATCACTGATGACTGGATAGAGCATGCGACCGAACTGTACTTGGGGGATACTCGTACTCTACCACTCGCTGGCGTGGCAAAGGATCAAGGGGTTGAGGTCGGTACGAGTGCCGGATTCGACGCTCTTGAGAGAACGGCTGGGCAAACTCCTTGGCCACACCCATGTTACGTTCCCTCGCCGCACGATTGTCGCAGGAGCGTGTTTCATTCATAGAATCGTGAGCCCGACTTTCATACTGCACCGGTCGCTGAATCACCTCCATTTCTGGCAATCTTGCCGTTGATTGGACAGCACGGTTATATCCATAGTCCTGGACAACAGCTCCCTGGTAACGAGTATTCTCACGCACGTCTTCTGCAACAAACGTAGCTCTATCAACAGCTGTTCGAGTGTATGGTATATTTTGAGGATCACGAAGCGGCTGGTGGTTAGTATATCTTTCCGGTGCCAATCTGGGGCTTATGGGTTGGCCAAAATGATCCCGAGGTTCAATCCGAGCGTGGGTCATCTGATCCCGTGACCGATACGTAGGCTCACCGTGCCTAATAGGGGAGGCCTCTCTGAGCGTGTGGTATTCCTGAATGGGCTGGTGATAATCAAGGTTTTCCACACGTCGCCTCTTGTGTACATAGTCAGGGCCGTTTGGGTATTCAGCAGGCACTGGATCACGGACATGTTGGTGGTCATAATTCGGGCCGTTCATATCACGAGGTTCAGAAGATCTGTCAAAGGGAATGCGGCGTTCTCGGGGCGATAGAGGCAGACCATCACTTCCTTCAATTGAAGGCAGTATTGTACCATACCCTTTATCGTGAGGGTTGCCATAGTGCCGAGTTCCACGGGATTGGAAGTCTTCAGGAGATGAAGGCCGCGTCCTTACCAGCCTAGCAGTAGGCAAAAGATGGGGTGAGGAGTTCGCAAAGCGCCCTGAAATTATTTCTGGTACGTAATCTCGTGGCCGCCTTATGATTCGCTCGTACAGAACGCCGTTATGGTCTCGTATGAATGAAGGAGGGCTTGGAGCTCGGGTCGGATGGGGCTTCAAATGATTAGTATTTTCAACTTCATCGACAGTCCGGACCAAAAGTGATGGCTACTTAAACAAAGGAAATCTGACACTTACCTCATAATCCATCCGAGTGGCCGAGGTGGGTGGGATTTGAGTACGAAAAGCAGGTGTCGAGGGATGGGACATCGGAGGATCTAGAGGCACAAGAACGCGAGATCTCGGGGCAATCTCAGGTTCATAGATTCTTTCTAGAACCGTGGGAGCCCGTTGAACAATACTAGAGCGATAGTCTTGTTTAGCTTGGTCCCACACTGCATACCTACTCAGGTCGCGCTGTGCAATCTCGTCCTGAGTCGGTCTATAATGGCGGGCTGCTTGAGAAGCAGTGCGAATGTGTTGACCGGGATACTGTATTGAAGGATCCGGTGAGACCTGCCGACCAGGAGCAGGGGCATAGGCAGAAGTCGCAAGTTCTTCGACACGAACGTCATCATGAACAACTGGCTCATAAGATCCTTCGCTGTCGCTATCATCTTCGTCGGAGATAACTATGACCTCACGGAGGGCATCAGCAGCTGCATGCTTGGTTGCTTCATCCGCTCGGTCGTCGTCACCCCGCCATTCAACAAGTCTAGCGAGGGTACTTTGCTCCACGGCATGTCGAGCATCATTGTAGGCTACTTTTCTCAGGAGCTTGTCATAGTCAGTGTAGACATGTCGAATATGAGCTACAACCGAGAGTTGAGCTCTTCGGACCAGTGGTATTTCCTCTGCCGTGCCAACTTTACCATCTCCCAATTGGAAGGCGGTTTTAATGATCTGGAACAAATCTTTGTCGGGGATGTTAGGGAACAAATCTTTGATCGTCTGCTTGGCCTCAGTGTTGATGGTAACCTGGTCCTTAGGTTCATCAACTTTTGGTCGCTCTCCTCTCTGGTACACTCGCGAGAAGAGCTGGTCATCCTTGGACTCATCAATCACTTTGCCACCGCTTGTGAGGCGGATACCATAGTAGCTACAGACTTGGGCGACGACTTGGGTAGGAAAATGAAAACCGATCCGATGTACCTCTCTAGAAAGCTCGTGTCGAGCAGCATGTGGCGTGGTCTAAGAAATTAGTGGGAGTACAGGGAGCAGGGAGACCAAGCTTACCGTAACAGCAAAGATCTTGTGATCTCCCTGACGAGAAAACTCCTTGAGAGCCGCTGTGAGCTCTGGGTTTCCTGCAGGAATAAATGTGTAACCTTGAGGAGGTTCGGCCTTGAACGTGATCTGGGAAACCGGGTGAGTAGTACCTCCAGCCGCATCGCGAGTCTTTCTTACGACACTTTGTAACTGCTTGCCCTTGTCTTTTGGATTTCCTGGGAGAACAACTTTATGCCTATTGCGATCCTTTGCGACTTGCGCACCTCGATTTGTACCCTTCCGGGCAGCTCTTTTTTGACGCGTCATAACAACGGCAACTCCTGCCTACACCTAGAGAACAAGGGAATAGGGCGGTAACATGGAGTAAGGAAATGAGACGATCCTGGAGAAATAAGCTGGAAATTAGTTCAACAAGGAAGTCGTACAATTTGAATGGCACAAGGGGCGGTGTCCCGACAGATGGCAGTTGGCAGTGGGCAGTACGCAGCTGTGGGAAAGAAGAAAGCAGATGCAGGCACAACTAGGCAGTTGAGTTGGGCTTTGACTCTGAGATCCGACTGCAGCAGAGAGCAGAGGTCTCATGCAGGAGACGGACTCTCGCTCGAATGCAGAAGATATCTCTAAAGCATCCAGCAATAGCAACGGCAACACAAGGTATCGACACCTCAAGGTTTCTGCGTACTTCTAAGCGCCGTGAGAGTAATAAGAATGGATGTGACAGGGGAGACGAAGGAAGAGAAAGCGATGGTGGCTGCGCTTGAAACTTGAAACCAAGTGGTTAGTGGCCAGATCCGCAGAGTGAGGTAGGCCTTGGCAAAGACTGTGCTGACGCATACGGCGAGTCATAATTACGGGAGCGCACTCAGCTTCTACCGTGGAGCATCGGCGTGGTAAACGAAGCCAATGATTCTCCAAACTGCGCAGCGGAAAATGTACCTACAATCCCATCTTCCCATTCGGGGTCTCTTACGAGCAACGTTGATAGGCAATAGCCCGAGCCGTCGTCTCGATGAACAAGAAGGCGGTTCTACGCGCCTACCGTCACCTCCTCCGGGCGTCTCTAGAAGCATGCCAGTACACGACGCCTGCACGGTATGCCGCTCGAGACATCATCAACCAGGCATTCAGAGAACAGCCCGCGAGCGCTTTCAGCCCGCTTCGGGTCAAGAATACCCTCGCATTTCTCAAAAGAGCCAAACGAAACACGGGGTTCGAGCATAAAATACTTAAAAATATGGCCCACATACGATATTGGCAAAGGACGTCAAAAGAAAGGAACGTGTAAGTATATTGTAACGCCATTTGTAGCATTGTCGTTGACTCTTCGAAGCATTACCAATAACAACACCGATTATACGCGTGATATCCGCCTACAGACACGGCTTCAATATTCTGCCACTCTGACCATGCTGAACGAAAGTCTCGGTACTTGTCTTGCGATATGAGGAGGATTTCTATAACAGATGCGATTTGGAAGGCCCGTCCTTATCTACCGTGAGGTCCAGACGTAACCCTGGCGGATAGATTCCCATGAATCCCCGCGACTTCGTCAAGAGAGCTGTAAGGCTACGGTATACCCCTGCCTGGCGAGGCCCTCCGTCTTGACCGCTTGATCATCGAACCTGCCTCGAGAACACCCCATCGAGTCGTGATCGGAGGACTGCCACAAGCTAGCAATGCTGCACTGCAGTGCATATGGTGCTTGCAAGCATGCTCGCTCAGACCCCGTGGACAGATACCGCGTTCAAAACCAGTCTCTCTAATTCTGTACGGGTGTTAATCGACATTGAGCAGCATGTACAGTAGCTCGCTTGGAATTCACAGCGCCCACAGAAGACGCTAAAACTGCGCTAAAATCGAAAACGTTGATTCCGAGCCTTTTGCCATGGGACCCAAGCAGCATTGCGGAGGCCATTTCCCTTTTCAATCTGGTAATGCACGTTCTGGGGCTCATGACAAGGATCGCGATGACGACGAAGCCACAAGAAAACGAGTTATTTGGTGTGCTCTTTTATCTCCACCTCGAAACAGAGAAGAGAACTACTCGATCGGAACAAGACGAACGCGAGTTTTGTCTGTATGAGGATTCATCACCAAGCTCCTTTTGTGGACAGTTTGCGGAAACTCCCATTGAGGTACTCACCACTATATCAGGCGATGTATCCTGTTCTCCGACACCCCTGGCACCTACACGCGTATTCTGTACGCAAAACCTTCCACCGTGTACAGTCGTTGAAACTGATCAGCACAAGCCTTCCGAAGAAGGCATGTCTTCTAGTCTCTGTGGGCCGATGATCCGCTCACCCCTTGGCTCCGGAAAGTTGTCGGCATTGCTCAGCGCCGACAACCCCGACAGCGTTGTATACTCCTATATTTCAAAATCACTACTCGTACTACCTTTTCCGTTCTGAGTAGTGCGTAGCCTTGTAACCATTGACTTTTTCGTGACGGAAATACGTCATGGGTGCAACTGCAAACTTCGAGGGCAGGTTGAGACAACACACTACTCTTGGTGGGGGTTTAACTTGCTACATTTCCATCGTAGTTCAATAGCTTGTCTAGTTCTATATACCCCTGTAACATTGGATGCATGCCTGGTGGTATCTGCAAGAAAACGGGTCGCTTTCCTACTCGTACTGTTTAGTGATCATACCTTGAAACCAAATGTCTTACTACCTATGTACAGTAGGTGTGGATAATACTACCACTGTAAACCGGCAACAAAAAACAGCGGTGACATGCTATAGAACACCCCGGACCGTAAACTTTGTGGACACGCTACTTATCCAGCAAATCAGGAGAGAGGCAATGAATCTAATCTGGCCTGTCCAAATTGCAACCCTGTCCACTGGTGGCATCGGCATAAAGCCTTGAGCCAGCCAAGACATCAGCGATAACTCCCTCCTGACGCAAATATCGCAAGAGGTCAAACAACTCCAAGTCGGTCCCGGGCCTCCCAACCAAGCTGATCGAGACGGGGAGAAACTCGGTCTGCTCCGTGACGGTCGAGAAATACGGCACCTCAGCCACCGGCACCGTATAGTCCGGACACCCCACCAGATACCCAAACGAGTAGATGCTGAAAGTGTCATTGAACAACACACTGCGATCGGGGACGTCGTCGCGATAATCCCGCCGTCCCCAGGACTGCGGAAAGACCAACAGCGTGGTTTGCGTCCACGAGCGGAACGCCTGCATTGCCTGCAGGGCGGCAGCGATCTGCACCGGTTTGAGTGGCCGGGCGTGATCGAGGCGCCGACTGACGAGTTCGGACATCTTCGGCGCTGCGCCGTCGTTGGCGGTCTGGAACTCGGAGATGAACTTATCGAGCCCGCCGTGGATGGCGGATGCGGTGGTGACTGCCGAGTAGATGTGGCCAACCGCTTCGTCCAGTGACCTCGGCTGCCCGATCGGTGGTGTTGCGCGCCACAGCTCGTTGATGTTGAATGCGATCCGCTCGCAGTTGAGCTTGGATTCGAGGTTGAGTAGCATGCCTTCAATTTGCTTTTCGGCCTCGGTCCAGAAGGCCGTGTCCACCGAGGGGTGAGGGAACCAGCGATGTTGACCGCCGTGAATTTGATAGGGAGTCTGGGTTTGTGATGCGCGAGTCGGATAAAGCAAATTGTACTTCCGGACTTCGGGTGTCGGTTGTGGAAACTTTCGCGGATTGACGAGGTATGAGCCAACATCAGAAAACACCCGGACATCCCTGGCAAATATGCCGACGGTGTTGAACAAGTCAGTCGCGCCAAGCACGCCTTCGAGGCTCACAAGCCCGTGGGAGGGTCTCTGTCCATACACTCCATTTACACCGGCAGGGTGCCTAATCGAGCCTCTTGTATCCGTACCAATAGTGAAATCTAGCCATTCGTAGGCAGCTATAGCAACGGCGCTGCCGGTGCTCGAGGACGATGGCTTTTAGTGGCCGTCTCCTCTAGGATTATACGGACAGACCGCGTGAATCCATTCACTTGGGTCGACTCCTTCCACGAATTCGGTGGTTTTCAGCTTCCCAACCAAGGTCGCACCAGCATCCAGGAGCAGCTGGATTGCAGGGGCTGTCAACGTCGCGGCCGGAGACGTTTCGAGCCAGGCTTGGCTGCCAAAACCCGTTCGAAGGCCGTGTATGGAAAGTGTGTCTTTGACAGCAAATCTCAACCCGGCGAGAGGTCTGTCATCCTGTGTGAGATATAACCTGGAGGGCACCGGAATGCCAAATTTCACCTGTTCCGTTATCAGCTGTTTGGTCAAATAAGCATGCTGTGAGATATACTTACGGGTACTTCATAGAAAGTAGATTGTGATTTTGAGATTGGGAGGAGCCCACTGACGAAAGCTTCGTGAGTATCCGGTCTGAGTCTAGAAACCCGCAGGACATGGCCAGTCGATTTCTCCACCACGTATGGCCCTTGAGGCAATTTTGGTTTGGATCTGTCAGCAGAAAAGATCCGCTTGGTTTTGGCACCCGCCTTTATGTCCGGTGGTTGCAAGAGTACAATGACTTGAACAGTAGCGCATCAATGGAGGTCCATCGCTGAGAACTTCCCGGGTATGACTTACGCGACAGGAAGCTGCGAGTCCACACATCGTCCCGCCTCTCGAATCCCTTGCAGGTTGACTCGAGGTAGGTCAGTTGGTTCGAAAACAGGCTGTTCCCACTGCAACAAAGTCGTAGGTATGTATTTGTGATCAAATGAAGCAGGTTTTGGTATCAAATGCTGTGGAAGTGAGGCGTGTTTGGACGTGGAAGATATGTGGTATTGGTGTTGACCTATTGTTATTAGCGTGGCTGACGCAGCCGGGGCCATATCCCGACTATGCGAGCACGATCAAAATGAAGGGAAGAGTAGATTGAAACGCAGAATTCATAGATATGGAAACGTTCATTCGTCAACCTCGGCGCTGCAGCGATAAAGTGCATGATCAGGGTGCACAAACACATGGGCGATCTGGCCCTCATCATGCCTGGTATCCTGAAGGAGATTGTACCGTACCGTTGTTTCCATTGATGGGTGAAAACGACACCTGAAAGACGCAATTGCTCTGTCCATTAGCGGGCCGTTCCATGAAGACACTAGTCACTGGTGCCCAAGGAATCTGCGACAAACTGATTACAGTAGCTACATCAAAAACGCCTTGATAGATAATTAACTGAGAGGTGGATCAAACCTAAAATTGGTCCCGGCGCGTGATAAGAAAGTCTCTTGGCATAGACTCGTCAGTACCAGATGGAGAAATAATAATATCATGATTCATGTGTCCACGAGTCTCGCCGACATTGTCCCGCCTTGTTGACGGAAATTTCGACCGACAACTACATACTGGTTAAATTGACGCCTGAAAGATATGGGTATAGGTGTAGATATAGCCCCCAGAACTCTGGAAGCAAAGTCAAGGATAGTATATCTTGAATGTACCAAAGTCGGACTGCTAGCCAGTCTCGCTGCATCCAAATAAATAGGGTCAGCCTCAGTCATCCTCCTCGCGGTTGGAAGCCCCAGTTCTTCCCATCCGCTGACCGAGAGTCATGTCACCGGCTTTCTTATGAAAGCTATTGACAAAGTCTGCTCTTCCACCATACCTGGCATTCTTCGCCCTCGAAGCATCGTCACGCTCTTGTTGTTGCCTGTCTCGCTCTGCAATGTCAGCCAGTCTCCGCTCTCTCTGTTGATCGAGTTCTGATGCATCCTGTTGCATAGCTGCAAGCCTAGCAGCTAGATCATCGCCCTTCGGTTGACCATCCGGGCTGGATGACTTTCGGCGTTGCGGTCTCGAGGTATGCCAGCTCTGCGTTTTGCGGAGAGTGTTGCTGTGGTTGTTGTGACGCGGTGGTGAATACGATCGAGACCGAGACCTTGGTCTCCAATTCGCGTCCCTGAACGATCCCCGTCTTCTGTAGGGCGATCGGGACCTCTGAGATCGACCCTCCCGCCGGGGTGGGGAGCGTGAGCGGGAGCGAGAGGACGAAGAAGTGTTTGCGCTTCGTCTGTTGTTACTGCTCCGATCATATTTCTCTCCAGCATGCGGATCATACGAATGGGATTGCGCAATCCCATTCCGATCTCTACGCCTATCCCTCTCCTTCTCCCCTCGCTCTCGATCCCGATCCCGGTGACTATGCCTCTCTCTGGCGCTGTCTCGGCCCCGATCCTGAGCCCGGTCACGTTCGCGATCGGGATCATCCCTGTGGTGGCGATGGTGGCGATGGTGGTGCTTTCTCCGTTTGCGATCTCTTTCAGACTCATCCTCCTTCCCAGCCGCTTTTAGTAGTAAACGCCGCTTGACAGGGTCGTTCATCATGGCATCGTAGGCAGCCTGCTCCTGTTTCTTGATGGCCAGCATAGGATCTTCCCGAATTTTCATCATCGTGTCCCTTAAGGTGTTTGCATTCTGGATCGCCATGAAAGAATCCTCTTTGGCCGACTTCTCCAACTTCTGGTTCTCGGTGCCTTTCAATAGACCATCGATCCTCCTCTTTCCCAGAAGATAGCCTTCCATCTCTTCGGTCGTCCCGGCCTCTCCGCTAGAAGGGCCAGAATACATCCAATCCACACGTGCCTGTCGTTTTGCACCGCCCGCAGCGGCCTGCAGCTCCTCGAGTTCCTGAATCTGGCGCTCCTCGGCTCGCTCTTTCATAATCTGGTCGATTTTCTTGCGTTCTTCTAGGGCTTTCTGTTCTTCTTCCCACACCTTTTTCTGGTTGCTCATGAGCACGGGATGCCATGATTTCTTGAGGTTGAGATCGCCACCCATGATGGTGTCGCTGCCGCTGTCGCGGCTTGTGTAACTCAGTCGGAATGAGTGCAATCCAAGGTGATCAAAGGGGTAGAGGGTGCTGGTTTTGTACGTGGAGGACCGGAGAGGGAAAGCGGGTGTGTGGTGGTTGATGTAGAAAGGTGCGGGAAGAAGGGCAGTGGGAGGCAGCCGTTATGGAGCACAAGAAATTTCGCGCAGGCAGGAAGGAGCCTCCCCCGCAAATGACGAGGCCGTTCACCTGGAAAGCAAGCATCGATCAATTCGATCAATCAACTACTAATTACTAAGTAGGACATCCACAAAACACGACAGATTTTTCTTCCATTTCTTCTCTAGCACAGTCATTCCTGCATTCGTGTTAGCCGGAAATTAGAGATCTCTTTGCTTTCTTTGCCCAGGTTCCAGCACTGCCAGACCGCACGAACAGGCACCTCATACAAACCGCACCCCACGCTCGCTGTTCCAATTACTACCACCACCATCTCACCATGTCGGACGACGATGATTTCATGCAAGAGTCCGACCCAGAGCAGTAACTTCCCCGTCTCTTAACGCTCCATTCCCCTCGCTCCCAGAGACCTCTAACACTCAACACCTAGATACGACTTCGAATACGAAGATGACGAAGACGGCTCCACCGGCGACGTCGACATCGAGAACAAATACTACAATGCAAAGCAACTGAAAGGGGACGACCCATCGGCGGCGGTCGACGAGTTTCTGGGGGTACCCGCACTTGAAGATGAAAAGGGCGACTGGGGCTTCAAAGGGCTCAAACAAGCAATCAAACTCGAATTCGCGCTGGGGCGCTTCGACGCCGCCGTCACACACTACAAGGAGCTGCTCACATATGTGAAATCTGCAGTCACGAGGAACTACAGCGAGAAGAGCATCAACAACATGCTGGACTACATCGAGAAGGTGGCGACCGACCAAAATGCGTACAGGTGCATGGAGGAGTTCTACTCGCTAACGCTCGAGACGTTCCAGAGCACCAACAACGAGCGGTTGGCGCTCAAGACGAATGTCAAGTTGGCGAAGTTGTACCTCGATAAGAAAGACTACAGCCAGCTGACCAGCAAGGTGCGGGAGATCCACAAGGCGTGTCAGAAGGACGACGGCACAGATGATCCGGGAAAAGGCACCTACTCGCTAGAAGCCTATGCGCTAGAGATCCAGATGTACGCGGAGATGAAGAACAACAAGCGCCTCAAGTCCCTCTACCAGAAGGCACTGACCGTGCGTTCAGCCGTACCGCATCCCAAGGTGCAGGGCATCATTCGCGAATGCGGCGGGAAGATGCACATGAGTGAGGAGAACTGGAAGGAGGCACAGAGCGACTTCTTCGAGTCGTTCAAGAACTATGACGAAGCCGGGTCGATGCAACGCATCCAGGTGCTCAAGTATCTGGTGCTGACGACCATGCTGATGAAATCGACCATCAACCCTTTCGACTCACAGGAAACCAAGCCGTACAAGAACGACCCGCGCATATCCGCCATGACCGACCTTGTCGATGCCTATCAGCGAGACGACATCCACCGATACGAGTCGATCCTCAAAGACAACCAGGATCTGCTCGCGGATCCCTTTATAGCCGAGAACATCGATGAAGTCAGCCGCAACATGCGCACCAAGGCCGTGCTCAAGCTGATCGCCCCTTACACCCGGTTCACGTTGGCGTTCATTTCCAAACATATCAAAATCCCGGTTAGCGAGGTCCAAGACATTCTGGGTGTGTTGATCGTTGATAAGAAGCTGCACGCGAAAATCAATCAGGAGAACGGCACGGTGATCGTCGATAACACTAGTACTAGTCGAGACTCGGAACATGTCCAGCGCTTACGCGAGTGGACCACCGCAGTCGAGACATTATGGTTCTCGGTTCTGCACGACGGCGAGGGGTTCAAGGTTGACGATACACAGAGTGGAGGAGCTAGCTTCGGCTCCATGCTGAACTTCTCAATGGGCCTCGACACCAATAGCAACATTCCCAGTCGGGCGGCGGGGCGGCGAGCCGCTGGCCACGGAGGTGGGGTTCGTGGTGGACGTGGCGGTGGAAAGGTGTTTACTCAGGTTTGAAACACAGCCGGGACGGGCTGCTGTGGCAATCTGATGCACGAGGCAAAAAGAATCATTGAAGCTCACTGCACACCCGGACTGCCTCTCGTGCGTCCGACTGCAACAGCCGGCAGCGGTCATGGTGCGATGACAGACGCGTTACGACTTCAAATCAATCACGGTTTGAGCATAAGATCCGCATAGCACCGAACACTTTGGGGGATAGCGATGTGGTATCATGCCAAGAGAGAGTATATGAAAGAAGGAGCTGTGCCTTAGAAGGGACAAATCGATTGTAACACCCGAAGAACAATTCCCTGTCTGTGGCTCTCCAATCCTGGCAGACACGGTTAGAGCATACCTGAATGGGAATGAGACTGGACTTCCCATAACAAGCATGCTTGATGCCAGGCAAGACTAAGCGGAAGCAGTTGGAGCTTCCTCAGAAAATCCACCTCACCCTCGCTTGTTCATCCTCTCGAGAGGCCTTCCGAACTTGGCCATGGTGAGATGTGATCGATGATGAGGTAGGATGAACGAATGAGGTCAAGAGCCGACCATTTTGGAAATGGTGGCAAATCTAGCAGGAAGCGCCCTGCGAAACCAGCCAATACGAGTTTATTGCCGAGCAGGATAGGTGATCTTGTTCTTTCCCTCGCTTGTGCTCGGTGCTTCTTCAGCTTCTCACTCGAGACCCCTGTCAATGCAAATAACCCCAAGTCAGCGTTGTGTCCATTGACAAAATGGAACCCCTGACGACGATGCTTGATGTTTGCATGCTTCGCATCCACTCAGCGGTGCGGCTCTTTGCAGCCCATGTAGAGCTAGGGGCCATGGTTGCATGCGCAGAACATGGCATGGCCAGCGAGTGAACCTGATAGGTAGATTTCCAGAAAGCTCCAGACAGCGCAGTGGCTGGAGAATATGATATCACATTTTCAAGTAGGCGAGGCAGCCTCCTTCGTCTTTAGTCAAGTCAGCCAGGTATACCGAGAAGCGGCGACTGTGCTAAGACTAACGGGTTCCGGTGGTGGGAGTCATGCAACGTCAAACCGTGAATTCTCCACCTGCTTCCGTAGAGGACAGGAACAGTCAACTTTCGATAGGTTCTCTTGGTATCAATATGTTGTTGCACAACCTGAGCAAGGGTCTAGAGTCTAGACGGAACGGGGAGTGGATCTTTCATTGGTGGCAGATGATATCCGTAGTGGGTTGCGCGCTTGCGTATCTAAGGGAACAAAACTGCCGTGCATCAACGAGGATCGGCGCAGAGAGAGCATGAGGAAGTTGGGGCGGGTCTCCGTAGAAACTACGCGTAGGTTTAGACCGGCAGGATGACCATGGCCATGACCCTGTGTACATACATAGAAGCACGAACCGCGAGTCTCAGGTGATTAACTTGGTAGGCCCGGATGCAAAAGTGGATACACACCACCGCAACAGCGAAGGCAAGCAATGAGTACGGGTAGGCGAGGATGGATAGTGTCCCTGGGTTGGGTTAGCACAAGTCTGTCTAGGAACAAGGGATCAAAATCGGGAATGTACGAGGTAGTCCGTACATCGTAGAGGGGTTCTTCTGAGGAATTTCGCTAGTCGAACGATGATCCGTCGGCCTTGCCTCGCAGACAGGAACTGGCAGACATGATGACATGAGTTTGACAAGACCTCGGATGGATGGTTGAGGATGGAGGTAGCGCAGTACGAGTCCTGGCCGAGGAATCTGCGAAGGCAAGCTAGAGGCGGGGCCGCGGGGGTGGTGAAGGAAGCAGGGTGCATGATGGGAGGACGAATGGTAGAGGATGGAATTATTTCACCGCACCTGAAGTTGTTACGCAAGTATGGAGGATAGGGAAGGATACCTAATTAGAGGAGAGGGTAAGGGTAAGCCAGGGACAGATCTGAGGCTTGTGTGAGATCGAAGCTTGGAAGATGTCATGGTGCGGCCTAGTACTGAAGTGGTTTGGGTCGTGTTGGCAGGCTGAAGGGAATGGACTTGGTGTAATAGAAATGGTCAGAAGGGGACTGAAATTAGCACCGGCCAACAGCAGGACGAGGCAGGGCTTGTGTTCGAGCCTTCGAAAGGATGGCAGGGGCCCCGGACGATAGGACGATAGGACTTAGGAGTGTGGCGTTGTACTTAGTCGTAGCACTCGCAGCTGGCCCTTGGGTGATGAATGTTGAATGAGGGCTGACGTTGGAGGGCTCCAGCCTGGGAGGGGCTCCGTAGAAGGGCCAGGCTCTGGCAGAAGCCGAAGGGCTATTCTGTGGCTGAATGGTGCCTCGGAGAAGGGCCTGGCTTGAACCATTGAACAAGGTCCGCTGTACTCTCGACAGTACTGAGGACTTAGTAGGGATCTGGAGATCAAACTCAAAAGGTGTGATTCAGTGCAACTGACGACACGTCAGCTACGGAAGACAGCCTGACTCGAACAAGTTGCGATGCCTACGCAGTGCAGTACACACGAAATACCCGAGCAGGGCGTGAGGGTGAGCTTGATGGCTTGGGCCTGGTGCTCGTGGCCCGTTGGCAGTTGATTGCGGGAACTAATTTGGCCGGCCGATATTAATAGCGACCATGGCGATCTAGAGCTGGAGCAAAGGCAGCGCCGGAGGAAGAATGGGGAGGGGGGGGTGTCGAGGGAGGCTGTGAGATTGGGCGGCAGGAAGTGCAGCCTTTGTTCCCCGGAAGCCACGTCCGGGTTAAGCGGGAGCCATGACCAAAATCCACGGGTAGCTGGGTCGAGCCAGAGGTAAGAGGTACGAGATACTAATTAGAACGGAACCCAGCGTCCAGCGTCCTCCGTCATCCGTACCTGCCTAGGCACCCGCTAGATACCTAGTACCTAGTAACTAGGTAGGATGGGGAAGATGGGGAATGCATGGGCATGATGGTAAAAATGATAATGTGCGGTGTTTGCACCTACGGATGGTAGGGAATTGAACTGAGCTGGCCCTGGACTCCCTGTACCCGTGCCGGCACCTTGCCTAGAGTTGACAAGAGCATCGCATAGTTGAGAAGCCTAAAGCTGACAGGTTGCAGGCGGCGGCAAGCAGCGGCAGGTGCGACAGGTGCAACAGGGCTTTCCGTGGTGCAGACTCAGTACGGAGTACGGCGTATGGAGTCACCCTCGTCCTTACCTAGGGAGTCGTGTATGTACAGGCGTGTACCTCGTACCAGTACGGTGGCCAAACATGAACATGCACCGTCCCACTGGGTGTGGCGTTTCGTTGAGTGAAGGACAGAGCAGGTGATACTGCGACTGCCACAGGTTGATGACAGAAAACGGCAAGTGCATTCATTCAACCATTCAATCAATCAATCAGCGAATGGTTGATCCTGTTCCGAGTTCTGTAATGATATCCGTATATGTGAACCTGACCGCCTGGAGAGGTCGCTGATCTTGTATTACACTCGTATCATACTCGTACGGAATAGTACCCGACACTGTGCCTAGGTACGAATACTGCCGCCCAACCAAGCGCACAAAACACATTCTCTTTGTTCTGCCCGCTATGTAGTCCATCCTCCGTACAACACGAAAGACCTACGACTTCGGAATTGCTGCGCTGTCTCATCATCAATCGACTTCAAGCTCGTCCGTGTCCTCCTCTTCCACCACCTGAGCGATCGGCCTTCTTCGTCCTCATTAGGCTGGTCGCTCAAGAGCACCTACTGTCCATTATTTGCGCGCCTCCACGAGGCCCTCGCCTTCCCCTCCCCCTCCCACCGCAACTTCAGATCATCTTGTCTCCATCCACTCCGCCTCCACCTCCACATCCACAGCTACACCCCCCTGCCATCTCTCAACACGCAATCAGCTGCAAGAGTACGAGGGACTTTCCTCGATCATCTCGATTGGCTCCGATACTTCCACTCCATTTGTTGGCAACGCTCATCCTCCGTATCCGAACCGGGGCGCTACCCAGCTCCGAAACCCTGCTTGCATTGGCGTTCAAGTCTAGCAACGCCCTCGTTCCATCTCTCCTTCCAACACTAACCCAAACCTACTGTGTCGATTCAACCTGTACGTCGATTGCTCACGGCTTCACGGCTCTACCCTCTCTGTTCTGCTCACCCCTCCTCAACCACTGACTGTATCTACTAGTCCTCCTTCGCCTGCACATAAGTTCTCAACATCCACCGTACTGAGCGTTAGCTTCCTAGGTCAGTCATCACCAGTATCCTCACCACCCTCTTCACCGAACCGTGGGTTTCTTGCAAATAACATATCTACGGCCTTTGCCTTTTTCCTCTGCTTCACCATTCACCTATCTGGTCGCTTGACCATGGTTTATCCGTTCTGATCCGACCACCACTCGTCCCTACATTCTGCCCATGTGCTTGACCTTCCATCCATTCCGTTGCTTCCCTGCCATCATTGGCCACTTACTTCCTGACCTCATCACGAGTTGAGTTTCCGAGTTGATAATTCCCTCTCACTCGTCTTGGGGAGATGCCATCTCGCTTCTACTATCCACCACCTCACCGTCGTTACCGAGAACAACACCCTCAACAGACTCCCGTCCACTGGCCCTATAATTGCCATCATTGCTACCCTCCTCCATGCCAAAGTATGCCCAATGCCAGGACTAATGGTGCTTGGAATCAGACCCCTGACTATTTCACTCCTCCACCCTCCCATTACTCAGGTTCCACCATGGCAACTCCAGACGCCGACGAAATGGAGCAATTCCAACGCCTGTCCGATCAATATCAAGCAAATCTTCCAGTACGGCCCTTGACCATACCAGTCATCCTGACACTAAATCGCCACCTAGGGCCCTCTGATTGGAGACAAAAGGAGTTTATCCGAGCTCGTAAGCGAATATGCTCAAGCCGATCCCACTTATGTACTCAAAACTACTGTACGTTTCTACTCTGGTCCATTACGGCCGGTTGCTAATCATCCCCAGGCCCTGGCAGCAACTCACTCCGCATACCGCCCGATCAAAGGCGATGGTCAATGCGGTTGGCGAGGTAGGAGTGCCCGTGGCCCCGCCCTAGGCTGGCCTGTCTGATCAGAAGCTTTGACAGGTGTTGTTTTCGGTTATTTCGAAATTCTACTAAAGTCTGGCGACCCTGACTTGATCGTACAAGAAAAGGTCCGCTTGCAGAGCTTTGAGCAGACTATGCGTGCTGTTGGCATTGACTACGATATCATTGTCGACATGTTCGACTACACCTGGGACTTGTTTGATGATATCCACAAAGCCATTGCACGTGGCGATCAGTCCGACGCGGTGCTCCTAGAAGCCATGAACGACGAGAATAAATCAAATTCCATCGTTTACCACATCAAGGTCGGCTAGCCACACTTTGCTCCTGTGTAACAGCCGCCTCACTGACTTGGGTTGAAATAGATGATGACAAGTTCATTTATGCAGCTCCAACCAGATCGCTATGAACCTTTCCTTGAAGTCTCTATCCACCAATATCGCCTGACTAGGATTGACCCGGCTAATCAAGAAATCGACCATATTGGCTTACAAGCACTGACTGATGCTGTTATTGCCCCTGCCTGTATTGCTGTTGAAGTCTCATACCTGGACCGGAGTACCGGCGATGAAGTGACTCCGCATTCCTTCGTTCTCGACTCTCCACAATGGCCTGCTATCCGGCTGATCTATCGCCCGTGAGTTTGTTGCCAGCCCATATCTTTTCATTGAGACGAGCTGATGCGTGAGTCTAGTGGGCATTACGACCTCATCTACAAAGATGATAGACCAATTCAAGTTTTGTTGCAAACGCACAATCCTCAATATGTGTCATACGCCACTGAAGAATTTCGAGGAGATGAAGAATCCCTGAATTTGTCATCCTATATGTTTCCAGGATCCAACGACGTCTCTTTGCATGGCATCCCTCCTACCCATTTTCCCTCGGGTAGCCCGAATTTTGGCTCCAACCACAGCCATTCTCCTCAGACAGCTTTCCATTCCACATCTATGGCACACCCATCTTACTTCTCCCCGGCACTACAACCTGCCACTCGCCGCCAGCTACCAATAAGATCGCAATCTCTACCATACTCGTACTACCCTTCACCAACCATGGCTCAACATCCACCGCCGTTCCCTCCTTCCCCGCAGAGTCCTCAGCCACCGTCACCTGTCACTCCAAGTACCAACTTCCAAGTTCCGACCAGCACTCCGAACGCGAAGGAACCACAAATCAGACTGAATAAAAGCTGTCTTGATTATCATTTGGGGCGCCATGAAACCATCCCCCTAGACCCTGGATCATTTGGGACATCTGCTTTGAGTCAAGCACATTTTACAAACTCGGAGTTCCAACCTCAAATGTGGAAGGCAGATGAGGAGTATGGAAAGCACGTCTGATGGTTATCGCTGACGAAAATGGACATCATGGTGACGACGACGACGACGACGACGACGACGACCATGTTAGAAGGATGACAATTCGGACAGACAAGAGTGGCCATTGATGGCCATACTGCTCTCTGGCGATCGCCATCGTGGTTGAAGGCTGAGCCCTTCATGTCTCCTGTCTCCGAGTGTTCTAAACTCTTACCCGAACCAAATCGATGCGAGAACGATGGTTGATATGAGTTAGGCCTAGATGGTCTAGGCAGCACGATTTCTTTCTACTTGGTGCTGCTTCAGACACCGATTGCCCTTTTTGGTTTGCGACTGAGCATTTACTGGCGAACTTGACGTGTCTTTGCCGAACGTCTTTGGAAAGCGATGCATCTGTTGCGTAAAGCAACGCCGGGCGTGCCCGTCCTTACCGCATTGCGGAGTTACTCTGCGTTTTACTTTTTTATGTTTTCACTAACTCTGTCGTTACCGCCAAACAGAATTTTAATGGGCCATTTCAGATCACTGATATGGAACGACTTACCGGACTCCTCGCATTTATTATGCAGAGTGGAGAGTAGCAGCAGAGGGCAGTAGTGGTCTAGCTTCCGAGCTCTCATCCTGTCCTCATCGACACCGACGATAGATGGTATCAAACGTAAAGAGTCCTGAAATCCCCTATACGATTCAATTCAATATCCAGAGTGGTGTAAAATTACCTCCCATTCTAGTATCCTTTCAACTGAGTACCTGTGTGAATGCCTTTACAACGTTTGATACGCTCGCTGCCCTTAAGCGGCTTAAACTTGGCGTTACGCTGTTGGCCTAGAGTGCAGACCAAAATGCTACCGGGTGGTACAGGGCCCTGTGAATCGTAGTACCTAGTACCAAGCACCGCGTAGGGCTGGGCAGGCTCTAATCCATGACCGCGGGGTACATCTATAGCTCGTGGGAAGAGAACATCTGGTAAGGCGTATTATGCTTGTGCATTTACTCATCAAGATCAATCCACATACTCAGTTGACTTACCTATATAGGTACTGAGTAGTTCGACTAGGCACGAGGCACCTAGTCGGAATCTTACCAGACAAGGGGTGGACCAAGTGGGGACAGGCTCATCCCTGAACATTCTTGTACAGATACTAGCCACCTCGTATCCTTCCTGTAGAGGATGCCTATGAGATAACGATGCACTCCCTACATAGCCGGAACCATTTTCCGGCCTTCCTCCAACTCCAGCCTCCGGCTCCGGCTCCTAGTACCTCCTACTCCCAACAGTTTAGTCGTTGGTGCCGAGTACCACAATGTTGAATGCCGCTATTTGTATTCGGTGTAAATTCAGACTCGATCTATCCTAAGGGAGGAGATAAGGCTTCGGGGGAGCAAGCGCTGTCTGATCAATGCACGATGCTTGTAGCCTGTCCCCGACTTGGTATGTGATCGAGGTGCAACGAAGCTGACAGAGAGAAATTGAGAAAGTTCATAGTCCATGCAACAGGTCCAGGCGTCAGCGGCGAGTGGGACGGGCGCAGGTGTTCCTTCTTGAACGGCCTGGCCCCCAAGACTTCGATCCGATCGCACGGAGAGTGTCTCTTGTCTGTAGGGTACGACTGTTCCTTTGCATCCATGTTTTTCTCAATGCTGAGGATGATATGTCAAACTTGGCTCTCGCAAGTCCAGCGGATGTGCAGCCCTCGTACTCCGGAAGTCATGTTCGCGGATGAGACGAATTAGATTCGTATTTGGGAAAGACTTGGAAGTGGGATCGACATTGCGTCTAGTCAAAGGCTATATGACACTGACACCTGAGTGTCCTGGCCTGGACCATCGGTGTAGTGATTCGCATGCGCAATCGTATCAGGCATGCGGGGACAAGGGACAGCCAGCGACCAAAACCGGAAAAAGGGTGCGGCAGCGCTCTCCCAAAGCTTTTGGATGTCCTTTCTGCAAAGTGCGATTGCCTAAATTTCTCAGCTTCGGTTGTCATTCGTGCCGTGGCAGGAGTGAAATCAAGAGAAAAATCAGGCAGGCGATGAGTGGCGCATATACAGTTCGGTCCCAGCTGTAGATCGCGTAGATCGCTGCCCTTAGATCTTTCAAAGTGCCCTTCTGTCTGATGCCTCATGGGATGGGATGGGCCCCATCCTCACCCATTGGACCTATTGACTATCCGTTGCAGGAGCATTAGGTCTGTAAACGACATTGATCGAGATTTGGGGGGTTGGTTGCTAGGAGAAATCATCTAATGATTGCGACACAGTCCTTTCAAGCACCCTTCCCGTTTTGTAATCCCTCCCTTATGTTGCTAGCTCGTCGAGGCGGTACACACCCTGAATTTTCTCTTTTCCCGGCATGCTCATCTCGTTAATGCTCTTTGCGATCTCTTTAGCGAAGACATCCCCGACAGAGGACATCAGGTCCGGAAGACCAACGCCATCATCGTCAAACCTGGAGAGCGGGCTTGTCTCTGACTGCTCACGTGTCAACCAAGTCACGCTCTTTCCCTCCAGCCCGCAGGCCACAATGCGGCTGAAGCCCCACGAGAGGTATCCTCGCGTAGCAGAGTCAGAAGACGGCGATGCCTGCTGTTCCCTGGTAAACTTATACTTCTCGCGAGCCTCGACAGGAATCGCATGATCAAACACATTCAGCCCGACTCCGTGGCTGGTAACCCCCTTCGACACCTGCACGCCAATGGCGCAGATCTTGCGATCGCTGCCCTTAATCCAAACGCCCGGGTCGTCGGTGCGCGTGGTGTTTCCCACACCAAACGGAGCACACGTCCGCATAACGCTGTTCTCTAGAAGCCTTACCCAGCATCGTGGCGTGATTCCCAGTCGTCGGAGGTCTCCCACGACGTACCCCGTCAGTTGGCCGGGAGCATGGTACGTGAGAAGCCCGCCGCGCGGAGAGGCGTGGAAAGTCGCGGCGCCTGACGCGGATAGGAACGCTTGTTGATCCTCGGATATCGGATTTGTCTGCAGGTGCCGCCGCCCGACGGTGTAGGTCGGCGTGGTGGAGAATGTGATGAGTGTTGGGTCGGGCGGACTGATTGTGGAGCCGCATTCAGGCGAAGATGACATTGGCGGTATCGAACCTCCATCAGTGGGCTTTTCTTCCTCAGAAGATGGCGGGCGAGACGAGTGGTGGCGGGCTATTCCTGGCGTCTCGTCGTCATCTTCAAGCTTCGTCGCGCGGCCGCGAAGCAAGTCTTTGTGCCGGAAGTGCCTTTCGAGTAGTGCATTTTGTAGAGCTAGTGATCGCGTGTATGATATTGGCCCATGGAAGTGTGCATGTGCTAAACGCATCGCAGTGGCGGTCTCATGACCGTGAGCCTAGCCTAGCTGTCCTTGCCTAGAATTCTTCGCCACGCCAATGTCAAGATGCTGCCTCCGTTGTGGGTTAGCAAAATGGGCATTTCCTGTGCCAACCCTCCGAAAACGTTCGAGAGATGGATTGCCGTGGCAACACGGTATGAGAGACGATTTTTTCCTGCAGTACGGCGAGATGATGTGGTTGTAGATAGAAGAAGAAAAGCTTCAAGGACGATTTCGTAAGCTGAGATATGTAAGCTTGGGGTTGGATTTCTGCGCTAGCAACAACAGCAGCGAGAGCAATTAAGAAATTTTAAGTTTAAACGGGGGCCCCTTCAGTGCCTCTCAGGGGGTCTGGGTGGGTCGGTGTCAGGGTCTGGCTACCTAAGCTTTGACTAATGCGTGGAGACCCTCCCTCGATATTACCTAGGTATATATGCGTATCGCTTAAGTATGAAATTCATTGAGACCATAGCTGAAAGTGGTCCTCGACCACCATCCCGTTATTGTTAAATTGCATAAGATCTATATCCTTGGCTGACGGGTTATGGCCTATCATCTGCGCGCCATGTCCGCGCAAAGTGCCACTCCACCAAATGCCGTGATGATGGTGGTGGTACTAGAAGTCTGAATAAGCCATGTAAAAGATATCACCTCCTTGAATCTACTTCGCCCAGTTCGGTTTCCGGGGGATCGAGCTTGTAAGAAGAAGTCCCATTCTTCTTCCAGGAGTATTGATGCAAACAGCATAAGCAAAGAGCCAAGATAATACTGATACGCCTCGTGGCTGGGGATGGTGCTCTTGAGTCCCTCTGAGTACTCGCAAAGGTGGAAGATTATGCGTAGCTGGTGATGGGAGACTGATGTTAGTCATTTGGAATTCTGAAGGTCTGATGGTGGAAAGCAATGGACACACTGTTACCATGGCCAGGACTGCGTACAACGTGTATAGCAATAGCAGAGCTCTGGATTTGGGTTTCTGGGTCAGCCCTTCATCCCGAAGGAGCACCATGTGAAGCTTAATGGCAAAGAGTGCGAAAATAATGATAAAGAGCTGCTGGATGCCCACGCCAGCCGTATATATGTGAAGACCTGGCAATATTCTGTTAGTGACTTGAAGGCTGTCCTGAATGGAGAAGTCTTCCCAGTAGAGTCTGAGACTCAGTATTGTTGTTACTCGTCGCAGTGGCCGCTCCGTACACCTGAATGACGAAAGCACTAGAGCACCCTCAGCAGCTGTTATTGTCTTGTCGAAAGAGTGAACATACATGGTATCCAAAATCACAAAGGAGGCGCCAAATCTGGCTGCCTCAACCCTGAATAACGTTGCTTGCGCCATTCGCCCCATAACCATGTAGACGAATGCGTTCATCCAGAGTGGTGCCACCTTCATTGATTAATTAGAGAAGCTGAGGCAGGAAGAAGGGAGAACGCTGGAAGATAACAATACCAGTATGACGATCAACCATGGGGCGTAGTTCCCGGAATCTGCAGGTTGTTGTATACTGAGAATTCTGAAGATATAAGAAACGGCTTGCCAGAGCGCACCCTATCCTACCCGAGAGGCAGTGATTTAGTCTCGAGGAAAAATAGAGTTGCATCTGAGGAAGTGTACCCACCATGGGGATGGCCCAAATAGGCTTTGCTCGATGCGCCCTTTCGGCGATGTGTACAGTCAATGTCAGGCTGGACAATGTGATAAAGAGGTATGCAGCTGCTGAGGAGGGACAGAAATCCCATAAAGTGTCGGGGGTAGTGACGGCTGTGCGAAATCATGCAAATCAGCAAAGATCTATGGTCAATACCAGGATGGGCTAATATGGAGAGGTACCTTTGCAAGTTGCCGCCATTGTGGGATAAAAATATGATTTCCACGGTTCCACTAAGGGTTTGCAGAATAGACCGGCTGGCAATAAGATGAGAAATAGTCGAGAAACCTCAACTTCTTATAACTCAATTTGCAAAGTCGATGATTCCGTGTATGAAACTTTAAGTTGACAAAAGTCGAACTTAGCTTTCCAACCAATCGCGTATGCCACCTAGGCGATCCATTACTTAATACCTGTTGCCTAGACGACGATTTAGAATGACGATACTGTAATTAAATTCATGGATATAACTATAATATCGAACCTTGACGCTGGGTCGTGGTATACTGGCTTCATTAGGGCTCCTGGTGGACCTTAGTGTGCGATTTTATTCGACGGCTCGTACGGACAGCGGGGCTGGCAACACGTGCGGTTTCAGGACCAGCCAATTTAGACTCTCGACCCCCTGAAGATGGCCTTACGAGCAAACTCTTCATAAGGTAGCTACCCAGTTATTCTCCCTATCTCCTCGCTATCTCGCTTGGACACCTGTGGCGATCTAACATAGACCCCAACGAGCCGTCGGTGCACAGTCCAAGCGAGTTGTATATCACTTTTGAACCGCTTTTTGAAACGGATTGAGTACTGTAGTCATACGAGGTATTCAGGATGCCTATAGAAAAGCCGGGTGAGCGCAAACGGTCGTATGCTCCTAAAACCTGGTCGGGTTGTATAACTTGCATGTCCGTTGAAACCCCTGACTCCACGCCTTGATCATTACGCTAACTTGTTAAGTGAAGGAGTGAGGCCCGATATTTTATATGCCAGGTAGTTGACTGCCGATCCTTCTCTGATATAAAGTGCTGCGTCTAGTTCATCGAGTGAGATCCAACGAGACTAAACCGAGCTGCACGAGGTGTTTATCCACCTTTCGTCGTTGTGATGGATACGCTCCCGTGGTTGGGTCCTCAGCCGTCACTGTCACGTCCTGACCATGCTGGCTGACGCTACCACCTTCGCTGGTTAGCGTATCCACACCTGAATATCGAGCCCCCCATATCTTCCAGAAGCGAACTAGCCCGCAACTGTCTGGCTTTTACAGTTGCGAACCTTGGAACGCCATTGTTCTCCAGATCGCAAGGCAGGACCAAGGTGTCCAGCATGGTCTGGTTGCTCTCGCCTCTTTACACGAGGACTTTGAGGCGGAAGGTGCTACCTCTGATCCCACTTCCGCCGGCTGATTTACACTGGTCCAGTATAATCTCGCGATTCGTCGATATCTAGAACAGGTTCAGCATAGAGATTTCTCGGTTAATGTGGAGACCCTCGAAGCGCCATGCTTGATCTTCATCTGCATCGAGGTTCGTTCTCTCACCTCCGCACTCTGATGGTCGGGGAGAACTCTGACCAAACGACTGACTAAACATCCCACAGATGATCCGCGGTCATTTAGTGTCCGTGTTGTTCCTTGTGAAAAGACTTCGTGAAATATTGAACGCACTTGTGACTGATGCTCTAAATTCGGTTGCCCAGAAATCGCAGGCCTTGCTCGAGGTCTTTGAGAGTCTGTTGGAAAGGCTTGAAGTCCAAGCTACAGCGGTAAGATAATTTCGGATATCTGCGATCTCTTCGTCTGGGGGTAAGATCCTTCCATTGCTGCTCGCATGGCTGAGAGAATCGTGGCAATCGAGGAGGGGTGACTTGGAGTAATCAGGACCTGTGCGGACGTGCCGGACTGGGCGCGAACGTCGTAGGCGTGTCCTATCTTTGATCCAGAATATAGGAAAGCAATTCTCTGCTATCAGCGGGCGGGGAGTGTGGATACGAGTATTCGAACACCGTTCCGGGAGTTGATGCAATGGTAATGCTGATGAGCGTCGCACACTATGAGAACATTCATGTTAGCAATCAACTCTATGTTGATTAAAGGCATCCGAGCCGTCCGTTTCCAGGAGATTGCAGTTTCGAACTTGCCTCAATCGGTATGAAGAGCGAGCTCCATATTTTACCACTATGAGTCATAGTATTTGTAAGGAATTTCTTTGCAAACTAAAAATATTCTGTTGCGTCGATATCCCTATATCGCCGTCGTGGCATCAATTCAGCTTGGCTCACTCTGTGATTGCTCTCCTCCTGAACCATGCCAATTCCGTCATACCACCCTTCTCGGAAAGGGCCGCCCATACTTTGAATGGCGTCGCCTTTTTCGAAGACATCTACATGCAGATAACCGTCCTGTTCCCGGCTGCTCGAAAATCCGTACTTGACCATCGGATTTCCCATGACGCGCACAATCTCGTCGCCTTGAAGGAGGCATCCAGTGTTACCAAGTTGCCGTAGAAGAGAGTGATACGCCTTCGCGATCGCGAGATGGCTGTCGTCCTTGATAATGGCGTGGTTTGCCCAGGAGATGACCGCCAGCAATGTCCAGAAATGGATGAATGGGATCACCGCCAGAATTGAACCTGCAAACCGCCAAGTCACATGGAGATATTGGGCAGCGATCGGCCGATCGGAACTAGTCACGTACTTGCGGGACGCGGCGCTGGAGTCGTCCATGAAGGACACAGCGCCCATCGTGAACCCTGAGATCAAGTCGGCCATATCTGTCTCGTTGGGAGTCTTATAAAACCCTATTTCGGATGTGTTGGTATAGGTCATGTACAGCGACTTGCCGTCCGCAGACGGCACAGCGGAGCTCCAGCCAAGGGCTCCGGCTAGCATTCTGGCTGTGAGATCCGATACGGTGTACTCTGGCTTCACGTCCTCGGTATCATCTCCAACTTCCGGTACCGTGTTGTTGCACACAAAAAACCGGCCTTCGTAGAGGTCAAATTTGTCGCCGTCGTCAACGAGTGCGGTTGGGAATGATTCTGCCTGAAACGCATTGATGTCGGTGCAGCGTGCCCCACATGTAGAATTGAATTTCGAGAAGGTCAGTAAGCCGCCTGGACCCGGCTGTGCTGATAGCGTTTGATTGACGTCCTTGGTACCATCATTGTAAATAATATAGGACATGTTGCCATACTGTCCCTCTGTTACTCGATAGCCATGACAATATGCATAGGATTCGATATAGCGACTCGTGATGTGACCTGTTCCCGTGTCATTGGCATTCTGATCCTGGAAATAGTAAAACGTGTGTCCGTCATACGTTGAATAGTAGGTCTGGCTATATTCCAATGCGGCATCCCAGTCTAATGGGGTGGTGACCTTTCCACGAACGCCCCATGTCTGAACGGCGCCTAAATCTGAGAGAAAATTGCCAGTGGAGAGTGCGTCCAGGTCAAGAATAGATATCGTTCCCTTCCCCAATATCACATAATCCGTCGAGGTCTCAAGATTATAGTTGAGACCAATGATACCAACCAGAACCGTGATCGCAAGATGAATCAACAGCCAGAAAAGACATAGCAGCTGCGTTTTTGATGGAAGCCATTTACTCCTGCTGTTTTTCGCCTTGCGCAGAAGTTTCAGGACGTTTATAACGCTGTCACAGCCCATGACAAGGTCGAATGTCTCTAGCGGCCGGTGGCATTTAGCCAGCATCCTCCAACGCAGTAACTTTGCGTAACTTCTCAAAGACGCGGCCAGGTTGACACCCAGGAGAAGGGAGTTTCCGGTCGTCAAAGAGTTGAAAACCCTCCGTTGCGATTTATCGATGTACGCCATCTTGGAATAAGCCCAGAGGATTCCGAAATATGTGACACATAGTAACAATGAGTTCACCCATTCGCCGATTGTCAGGCGTAGCAACCTTTTGCGCTGTTTGATATGGCGGTACTCTCGCGACGTCCCACGGGCGGATGCATCCTTTTCTATCAGATTGTGCAATGACGGGTCCACGGACCCATAAAGTCGCCGTGTGAGAGTACTGAGTGACGAACGACGCCTTGCAGGTTCAAATGTCTCGGAATGGTCGGTGCGCTGAGTATTTGTACCTACCACACCAATTAGGGAGACACGCACCAGGAAAATGGAACTACTAACGCTCAACTCGTGGATGCGAACTCGTCGGATGCGCAGCAGTATCTGTTGGCTCCGGAGGGGAGACGGGTTCGTCGAGAGTTGGTGGTGTGATGGATTCATTTGTTGGATCATGATGAGGTTCCTCTGTACTTGGTACTCGTGTGTAGGAACTTGGCTGTCCAGCTGCCATCATTGATGCTAGTCAAGACAACGAGCACAGAAGGCAAGATTCAGCCACAATGCCTCGAAGCACATGCCGCGAAGGTCAAGCGTCGAAGAACGGGTAGAAAACATTTGGGGCGGATCCAAGCTCAGTCAAATACCCCGTAGGCATGGAGTCTTTGATCTATTATCCGTGCAACCATGCATGAGGAGGGATTTATTCGATTGCAGATGTTGCACGATACCTAAATTGGTATCGGCGTTGAGTTTCAAGTAGTAGAGATGCAGGGGTTTTTGCCCCTCAACGACAAGGCTTGAAATCGGCCCCCATCGTACGCGCAATGTTTCTGAACGCTGATTCAGCATAAGGTTTGGCTCACAAGGCTGCAACCACGGCTCGACAATTGGACTTTTAAGGAATCTGCATGGTTGGACGCCATTGTGGATGGGGGATTGTCTCTGAGTGCGCGATCAGATAGGCCGGATCCAAGTGCTCAGGGGCTTCGGCGGGGATCGTTGTCTCGCTATTATTAGCGTGAACTGGCAGGGCGAAAGCTTACCGATTTAGTAGGAACTCAGAAGCATCAGCCTCGAATTTTGCCACTGGGAACGGCCGTGACGAAACCCGTAGTACTCCGTGCGGAATATGGATACTGGCAGTACAATCATATACGCGTTGTGTGGTACCCAGGACGTGGTATAAACAGCCTGAGGAGGCCCTGCCGCCCATTCTCCGTGAGACGCTGCCAGCGGCGAGTGGCCTTTACCGGTTAATATTTTATACGCCTCAGACTACGGATAGTGGCATAGCTTGGCCCTGACCAGGTCCGGACCGTTCGGATGAGTGGACGCTGCCGTGCTCAAGTCGACTAAAAGGTAATGCCTTACAGTACCGAGAACGACATATTTAAAGATTTCGTCAAGCTGAGCCTCACCCGAGTATTGGAGTGCGTATGGGTTTAGTGCTCAACGCGTCGTCGGAGATACGTCAAAGATAAGTTAACACGTTGCCAGGCTACTACATACGTCTAAGAGCGGGTCCTCTTCCTTTGGACTAAACCGTGTTCTCATTGTAGGCTTCGAGTTGCACAGTATTCCACGCTCGTAGACTCGATGGAAACTATCACCACAGCAGATTCCACTTCAAATGGTAAATTGAAATACCTTGTGGATATCCTATTCAAGAAACAACCGCTTGCACTAGCTTGGCCACCATATGGACAGGGGTGACAATATCATGTGTTTCATAGGATGAGTTGAGTTTGTCATATCGAACCTAGCTAGCCTAAAGCATATACTGTTAATTGCAAGAATTAGCGAGCGTTGCTGTCTTCCCCCCCCTCCCCACGCTGTCAGATATAGCAACTTACCTTAAACTCCTTATTCTGGCGATCTGTGAGGTCCAAGAACGATGAGTCGCACATGCCCTGGCCTAAATCTCCTCTTTCTGCCCTCCTCGAGTTCTCCCGATGATAGATAGATGCTAGAACAAATATGAGGAGAATGGCCAAACCTAGAACAGCAATAATAGTTATTTTCGCAGAGATGTAGTCCGGTGGATTAGTAAATGTCAATGGGCCTGTGGAACATGTTAGACATTATCTTCTGTCCTTAAATTTTGCAGCATGGTCTGTACCAAGAATGTTTCCAAGACAAAATGCCCTACAATAATGTTAGACCGCACAGATTTCGAATTTGAAAAGGGACGTTGCTTCCATACATGAGAAGAAGAGCGTTCATTGTCACTTTCTTGGTATGGCCAGCAACATTGGCAGCGACCCACGAGTAGATCAGTGGCGTACCTACTAGATGTCAGAGTTTATCATACCAAATGTGATGGCTTAATACTGGAAGGGATTGTGTTGGTGAGATAAGTTCCGAATAATCGCCCAATTTTGCTAGAGATGGGTAGAAATGCCATCAAGGAAGCGCCAATGATGCCGGGAACTAGGAGAGAAACAATGACAAATGAACGGTTGCTGTATCGATACGAAATATAGCATGCACTCAACATGGCGATGATCCCGATAACTCCGCTGGGGATGTTGAGTAAAGCTGCTTCCTTCGGGGTGAATCCAAGGCTGTACGATCAGCATTTTTCATATTCATGATATGAAAAGGGGAGTAATACCTCAATATGATTCCAGCTTGGAAAGTACTGACAGCGGCGTTTGGAATATTGATGGCCGTCGTAATTACGCAGATGAGCCAAGTATGCGGGTCTTTCAGGGCCTCGAACATTTGGGAGGGCTTGAAATTCTTGTTCTCAACACCCGTTGTGTCTCCTCGGAGTCTCTCAATTGCCAGGACTTTTTCCTGGTCACTCAGTTTGGAGCTCATCGGATTGTCGGGCAGGAAAACCACCACGAGCAACCCGAGGACGATCGTAACAAGACCAAATAAGAGGAACATGATCTTTCACAGGTCAGTATATGTACCGAGGTCTCATGATAATTCGACTCTTTAAACATACTTGCCAGGATTTAAAGCTCCTCCCGACGTAATGTTGGAACCCAAACGAGCACAATGCTCCGATGATGATACCAAGGCCCACAGTCCCGCACCAAATGCCAACACGGAGTGGCTGCTCTGTAATCATGAGGACCAATACATGCGGTAATACTGTCATTCACCTGCTTACCTCTTCTCTTGTACCACATACAGGTAACCAATATCATCCTTGAAGCAAAAGTTAGTCTCCAACACATAGACGTGGGAAGCAGTGATGCCTACGCTGGTGATACGCATGATTCGAAAACTCCTAACAGTACTCGTAGTGCAACAAGAGAGGCGTAGTTCTTGCAAACACAGTTGAATGTAACACATATTCCCCATAGAACCACTGTATCATACTCGTTAGGTCGCACTGCGTCAAACCCACCTAGGAGACACCTACCATTGAAACCCAGATATTTAGCCACTGGCAGCTTCTGCAATAGATACCCTGACAGAGGTTCAAACGCGAGATACGATACCCAGAAGGACAGAGCAAGGTGGGAGAATTGGGCTGGAGAAGTATGAGTGTCTTTGCCCAGTCCCATAATGTTGGCGAAGTTGACTTTATGCTATTAGATATAGCACGAATGAAACTTGGCTTGAGAGCATACTAAGATTTTTATCGATAAATTGCATGAGATAGACTGCTGACAACAACGGCATGATCATCCAGTCGACCTTTCGAACGAGTCTCTTTTCTTCCTCGGTGCTCGTCATTGTGACGGTAGCTGAGTGCAAAAACGTCAGCGCGGAGTCTACCGTGCCTACTTTCTCTCCATCAACGACCGGTATGTGTTTCGCTGCAGCTTTGACATCTTCATGACTTGGATGCATTTTGTGGATTGGTGGCAACGACCGCCGTTGATTGAGTAATATTTTCGGCAAAATGCTTAGATGATACGACGGAGGCGGATGTACTTGAGAAAGAAGCTTCTTGCTCTTCGATAGATGCCTCTTCTGTTTTAAAAAAACTCGGACCTCATGTTTCTTATGCATCCTTATCCGGGGTAGATCTGGGAGGAATTTGCGGGATATGTCTGGGGTCGCTGGTCTAGAGCCCATTGACTTTCTCTTTTGCCTATCCGTCGGATGGTTTGAGGAGACAATTGGCCAATCAATGTATGGGTTCAGTGGGTACCGGCCAGTCACCTTTTAACGCCATCCGACGGATGGCTAAGCGTTTACCAATAGAAATTGCGGCCTCGGCGCTATTAAGCCGCATTGTTTGATATGCAGTCTGAGTGATCGAATTATCTATCCGCCGGATAGGTTCAATTCACTCAGGTGTAAATCCATGCGGAATGTCTTGTCGAGTCTCTATCGCCAGAGAGGAATTCGTGACTTAAAAGACCAACAACGTCCATTTTTGGGGTGCGTAGAGTAATAATAGACAAAAGTAGTTGACTCCCCTTAGCCTGGCAATGCCAAAATTCACGCTTTTCAGTCACTATCTCCCGGCGGCGGCGAAAGCTGCATTTCTTCATCTGCTCGGCATCTCGGAAACAGCATCAATTTGGGACATCAAGACTGCGTTGCTGGTAGCTCTGCTTAAGGCAACATTCACCGATCCTCGGCCGGGAACTCTTCTGGATTCCCAGCAGGCTTCACTTCGAGAGGCCAAAGCCACCATCCCAATTCACCTTTTGAAAGTCGAGCTTGCACTCCCAGCCGACACAGACCTCAAAAACGTTGCTTTTGCCGCCATAAAACGACTGGGTAGTGATAGGGAGACATTTACAGAGCCAACTCTAAAATCTATCAAGGCAGAATGGGTTGGTCATCGAAAGACCCTTGAAACTGGGGATGTAGACGGGTCAGAGGCAGGAAAGTTTTCGGCTCTAAAGAGAGATATGCTGAATCATATCACGATACTATACCTCCATGGTGGACAATTTTGGTAATGCACCTCCAAGATATAACATTGATACAAACATAGCTGACATACTCAGGCGCATGGGAAGGTCACTACGAAAAATTACGGATTCCTTGGCCAAGGAAACTGGAGGGTGTTGCTTTGCTGTCCAATATCGCCTCTCTCCTCAAAACCCTTTCCCTGCTGCGTTATTAGACGGACTCGCAGGCTATCTCTGTTTACTCTATCCACCCGAAGGAGGTCTACATGACGCAGTGCACGCAAATGACATCTGTTTTGCTGGCGACAGTTCCGGTGGAAACCTAGTCCTCGCCTTGATACAGCTGATCCTTGAAATCAGGAGGCCGAATGGAAAAGGTGGCATTGTGTGGCAAGGATCCCAGAGAGAGTTGCCACTACCAGCTGGGGTTACAGCTCTTTCACCATACAACGACATGACCCGTGCTTTGGACAGCAGCGAAAGGTCGAACTATAAGTACGATATCATCCCCCGGCCTGGTCCACCCTTCTTAGGATTTGACCGATGCAGCATTTGGCCAGCCAGTCCTCCACGACACCATGTTTATGCTAATGATGATAGTCTGGCTCATCCTCTGGTATCCCCAGTAACAGCCAAAGACTGGTGGGGCGCACCTCCTACGTGGATTTGTGTTGGAGAAGAGTGCCTGGCAGATCAAGGACTACTGGTGGCTCAAAATATGGCTTCGCAAGGAGTTACTGTCGCCGTGGAGCAGTACCAGGCTATGCCTCATAACTTTGCACTGATAATGGACCATCTAGAAGCATCCACAAAATGCAAGGCGCAGTGGGCATCGTTCATTCGAGACGTTGTTGACAACCCCCTTTCTATTGAGACACGAGCGTCCAAATGGTCTGACAGGGGACGCACGAACACCAAGCTGGATATTGATAAATTGGTGCCTATCTCTCCGGAGACCTTGGCGAAGAATATGCATTCTGAGATCGAGAAATGGGGATCACCACTACCCTAGGGCTCCTGCAAGTGCGAAAGAGCCCTGCTGGCTTTTGACTGCTAGCGAAATCAGATTACGAATCGATCACATACCCTCTGATGCCGATACAAAGAACATTGATATAAATGCTATCTCCTCACTACGCTCACGTAGCCCATACTGTGCTTTTAGTAAAGTATTGGGATATTGTCCACCACTCTGATAATGACGGCGGGCTTAGACTGTACTAAGGGAACAGGCACTGGACTGGATGGATATAGACCAGCTCGTCCCATACTAGGCAGCTGAGGCCTCCACTCTTTAGACACTCAGTGGCTCAATTACACATTCCGTCAGATGTCCATAAGATAGGTCGGGGAAGGAGGGGTTTTGATCTACAGACGTATGTATGCCGGGGAAGAGCGGCAGCATTCCGCACACCGCCGCAGCTGGGTCAAACACGAAAATATAGATCGACATTTCAAGGGTGAACATTAAACTTACACCTTCTCAACCTTGTAGCATAGTACTAGTAACCCCAGATTCTGCCCAGAGGAACAATGTCCAAAAATGCGCGCCACGACTGCCATCAGTATTCCTCACAGGTCTATAAACGAGGTGATCGCCATTTCCACCGCATCTACATTGCATGTGAGAACTGTCGCAAGAAAAAAGCCCGCTGCGAGCTTGGTGGGAACAATCAAGGTATATTCGCGTTCTCTGGACCTCCATGTGCCCGCTGCCGTCGGGAAATGCGAGAATGTATATTCAGCGAAGAACGCGGTTCTCGAAAACGCCGTAAGATAGAGACGCCTGCAACCCAATTCATTCACAGAGGTTCTCTAAATTCTCAAGCTGATCTTGCACGTCACGACACCATCTCCACAGTCGACAGAGATGGTCTTGCTGTAAGTCTGGATGACCCAAGATCAACTCGAGACTTCATAGATTTGGCCAGTTCTACTCCAGGATCACAAGAGATGGCTGGACATCACCACGCCATCATGTCGTCGCCAGTCGCCTTGAGGAGTACCTACAGTGACTCTACTGGCGCACCAAATTCGATGGTTGATACTAGAGAGTCGTTCTTTGATGCGCCTGAGTTGCAGAGTGCTTCATCACCTAACGACAAGCATCTGAATGAGGTGCTTATTAACAAGGTGATCGCCAAAGGCAATGACCCGATCGATTTGCTTTTTGAGGCCGCAGCGGGAACTTCTCAAGAGAGTTCTAGTTATTCGGAGCATGGGGATACTGAACGCCAGCCTTACCAGAGCGCTGCGACATTTATTGGTGGAGGTGGGAACAATGCAGCCGTGATCAACGGATCATGGCCTTCCTCTCGTGATAATATTGCGCAGAATTCACCCGCTGATGCTAGTTCGTTGTCTGCCTGGAATTCGTCCAAATGTGTGACGATGGGATTTCTATCTGCAGATGAAGCTGTGTCTTTTGTCGATGCGTACGTGTCTTCTCCTTGAAGGGTCGAATACTTATTAAGTCTAACCCATTGTTATTGCCAGATTCTTCCAAAATCTGGCACCTCATACTCTTATCTGGACCGAGCACTTCAGTCAAGACAAAATATACCACCAGATCCTACCAGAGGAGCCTTTGCTCAGTGCCACCATCCTCATGATCTCGACCCGCTATCACGTTCTGCATGGAAGCGCATCGAGGGCCCTGGCGATCTATGATGAATTGTGGAAATATGTCCAGACATTAATACAATGCATTTGCTTTGGCCAGAGCAAAATCTCCGGACATATATTGCGTTCAATATCTTCGATCGAAGCACTCCTCCTTCTTTCAGAATGGTATCCACGAGCCAGCCAACCTAGAACCACGAATAATGCGTGGGACGTAGACGAGCTCCCTCTGGACCATAACGTGAATGCTTTGCCCTCAAGCTCGAAATCTTGGCTGGAAGATATTTTGGAACCTACAAAACAGGCTGATCGCCTGTGCTGGATGTTACTAGGCACTGCACAGTTACTCGGACACGAGCTCGGCGTTTTTGCCTCGCACGAACATCGAGACCAAGAGGAACCTGGACCAAATTCAGACCTTTTGCGAAAGCTGAGAATGCAGGAAATATTGTGCATCTATGTCACTCAAATTGCTGCAAGGCTTGGGTTTCATTCCATGATTGCATCTTCCTGCAGTCACGCAGTTCTCAGCAAATTCACCAAACCGACACACAGGGTGACTGGGGCATGGATAGATCTGATGAAGCTCACAAAATCTATCCATGGGCTCCTCTTCTCATCCGAAGCTCGGACGCGAGAGCTCTTACAGTCCCAAGGCTACGTTGAGCTCCTAGAGCACTTCCAGCCGCTGCTTGAGCTATGGCATCAACAGAATCTGGATGACCATATCGATGTTCGAGATCCAGCTACAAAGTCCCGGGAACCACTTCGAAACATCCTTTTCATCGAGTATCATACAGTGAGGATGTACACGAATTCTCTTTCCATACAAGGAATGATCCAACACACTCTTGGCCAGGACACTCTTAGACCTTGGCGATATACGACCTCCAACTTTTCAGCCACCAATCTCGAACAGGAGCCTGGATTTCATTTTGTTCAGGAAGTAATCCAAGATGCTAGGCAGATTCTCGAACGGGCTATTGCGCTAGCACAGGCTAATCTTCTTCGCTTCCACCCTGTTCGGGTGTTCCACCGCGTGATCGGCGCTTCTATCTTCATACTTAAAGCGGTGATTCTTGGTATCCGGAGCATCAAGGCTGACACAGGGGCCCAACCTGTTAGTCTGCCTGGCCTTCTTGAGCGGACCATCGAAGCTCTAAGAGTGTCTGCGGTCGATGAGTTTCATCCGGCCGCGTCCTATGGTGTCCTCCTGGAACGCCACTTCACAAGCACTCAGTCGAAGAGCACCTCATTAGGTCCGGTCAAAAGCTTCAGGTCTGCAGATATACCTGGAAACGATCCACCAGTTCGGTCGACCGATCCAACCGAGACCTGGTACTTTGACATGTTCAACCCGTATGCTCAACTCGATCTCTGGCAGGAATTTGAAAACTTGCAAGACCTCGACTTGTCCTATGACTTTAGAGACTATCAGTTCTGAAATGGGCCACACAGAAAGACGCGAAATCGAGGACAAGAAGTTAGAAGGTCAAATTGCTCTCCAGCTAACTCAGCGGGAGCTAATCAATTTCTTCAAATTTTAGATGTGTATCGCCCGCTCCCCTCGGAAATGCAGAGGTGTCGATATAGCTGCACTTTGAAAAGCTTTCGGCTGAGGCGGTCCAACACGAGGTGACTGTCGATGAAATGGTGATGCAATGAGACCGCGACTAGCTTTTCGCAGTGGGCAGTCGGCATAAGCTGTTTTCCCATGGTATGCGTACTCAGTACCTAGCGTTGCATAATGAAACCCCGGCAATGTGAAGAATCCCATGCGTCCCGGGGTCTGTGCTGACGAAGGGATGGCAGATCTGAGATGGGCGAGGTTCCAGCACGAGGTAAGCTGACAAGGCTGAAGATCGGTTGCAAGATCTCAATCTGCGTAGAAGGGCAATGATATATAGTACATTCTGGCTATCAATAGCCCCACAGCCTCGCCAGACTGCAGGCTAGGGAGGCATATGTTGTTTGCCAGTAATAGGTCGGCTCATAGGCTTCAGACGAGCCCACGCATGCTGAGTAGAGATTTCCTCCGATAATCTACAATCCACGGTCTCATCGACTCATTTCTCGAGAAATCATAATTCCAAGATCTTCTCCTTCATCCTCGCCACCATTGACAAGCTTGATCTCAGAGTTCCTAGGGGCCCATGCGCCATCCTACCAAACAATGCCTCAGCATTGTATTGTTGCGTAGAGGTCCTTGTGGTGGTGGCTAGTCCGCTAGCAGTTCGGTAGTCGTCGGCACACACTCTGGTTTTTGAGGCGGCGCTTTGATCTGAGCATGCTTTGGAAGCGACTGCCATCTGCCTCTGCCTCTGCCCTGTCCTTTCTACGCATACCGACCATGCTGAAAGACTGTTACTGGTATCAACTTCTCCCTCTGAGGAGCATCGATTCCAAATGGTCGGCAGCCCATCATAGACATGCTGAATAGAAAGCATATCGGTGGTGCTGTCCCTTACATCTCTGGTCTTGCAGTGTCTTGTCCACGAGCCATCGATGCCTTGCCGCACAGAAATCTTCTGTGAAGCGCACAGTTGAAGTCCATTGGTATTGTGCGCCGCCACATGTCGTCCGTAGTGCAGCATTCAAATCAACCCTTCTTCTCAGTACCACCAGCACCGCCTGACTCCTGGGGCATGCCCTCCAGGCCCAAGTTCTTCCATTCGTCTTTAGCCATCAATCCCTTCTCCATGCGACAACCGAGGTATTCTTTCGCCAACAATCTGCATTCGTCGGTATTCCTGCCTGGTGGGTTCTGTCGGCGGAGGCAACGCAGGTACGACGAGATGATGTATTTGCATTCGGCATCGTGATCGAGTGGGAAGGATCCTCGCTCCGGAGGTGAGGGTTTGACGTTGACCGCACGCCCGCCGGGGGCTCCGAAGCCAGACATTCTGGTCGTGAAGGAGCTCGGCGATACGCGGTGCTCTGAACGAAGTTGGAGCTCCAAGCCACGGAAACGCTTGTGTGTTACAGAGTTCAATGGCCAAGATGCTTTAGTTTCGATTTAACAGATGTACACAACTTGTGATTGTTTTCAATGGAAGGTATTTTATGAAGATGAGAACTCCTTCCTTCAAGTTGCGCATAGGTGTATAGTGGTGCCACTCTGGCATCGATCACGTGATTCAATAATTGATCAAAAATAGCGGAGTAGATGTATATTCCCTGAAAGCAGGCGCTTTATACTCCGTAATGTTCAACCGGCTTCAAGGAACCGTCATATGTAATTTGCATCTTGAATTATCTATACTTGACGAAGTTGCTGCCATAGACCTGGAATACAAACGGACGTTTCTACCACTTTGGTCTTGCTCCATCAACCCCTTGCGTCGGATGACTGTAGAAGACAAATGAAGTATCACATTATATTACTGGACACTAGAAACAGTCAGCAATGAAAGAGGCAATCCGTCAGCAGGGAAAAAGATGTGGAGTAATCATTGTCAGTTCTCCAAGATGATGTATATTCGACATGAGAATTCAGCAAGAACACAGCGAAAACAAGAGATCATCATTAGGACAGAATAATAGGCGGGGAAAGCTTACCACGGCTCTCCAAAGGAGAGAATTCTCATGCAGAAGAAATCACAGTACCTAGAAATACAACAGTCAGTCAACCGAATCTGTGGTTTCTCAGAGCTCGAAAAAGGATCAAATGCGCATCTAGTCAGGCTATTAGCTTATTGTCAGCGGAGACACTTGGGCGTGATGGAACAACATACCTCATTAAATCAGAATTTTCAGTGTATACGTTCATGCCCAAGTATTGACTCGGTTCAAACAGTGTGAATAGTGTTCATCATAAGATGCTTCGCAGTAGCACAGACAAGGAGAGTATGTGGTTACCTGCGCATCAACCTGTTAGCAATTCATTTGCGATAGTCCGAACTTATTCCAGCAAGTTTTGTTTTGCCCGATCAGCTGACGAGTTCTCAACAAGTGTCATATCACTCGTGCAGCCGCAGGATTTGTACGTCCCGTTTGTAAAGATGCACGGTGAGATGCACGCAGTCTGTCCGCCCGTTCGTTCAAGTATTCGTCATGGAAGGGAAAAAGGCCGTGGAGATGGGGTGGATGAAGTACCTGTTTGAACACAGTATTAGCGAGGAGTCTCCACAGAGAATTTCTCGAAGGACGAGAATGGGGTACTGAGTCAGACAAGGCTGAAACTTATAGTTGACAGTTTCCACATAGAAGATTAAGTCTGAGGAATGCCTTTCGTGTCGTATGGTCATCACAGAAGCAAGCGGTGGGGAATTGTGGATGGCTGCACGTACCTTTTTCATGGAAATTTGGTTGATAGGACCGCTACCTAGCGCAGAGCTGAAAACACCTACAAAGGGCCTTTTGGCGATGTTAGCTTTGTCATCGGTTGGAGGCAAGAGAGAAGTAATGCAAGTGCTGATCAGCGTAATTCTAGAGTAAAGATGTTCCTCAGAGAAGGTTCTCGGAGTTGGATTGTAAAAGTTCATCATGCAGTGAGAAGGAGATGAGACCGAGGAAACTCACCAAAGCGGAGCATCAAAGGACGTCTCACTCAAACGACAGACAGCAAACTCGGCCAGCGGTTGAGGAGGTAATGGAAATAGCTTGTAGCAGTCAACAAGAGGAACTTCTGAGCGCGGCTGGAGTTATTGACGGTCGAATTTGGAGTCGAGATTTTTTTAAGGTGTTCGGAGCCGCCAAGATATGTTAGTCCTGATTAGAACGCGGCTGACGCTGCCCTAGGCTTAATAAATCGCCCCAGTCTTCACTTCTACACAGCAGCAGCGATGAAAGTGAGGTCAAAACATAGTATTCATCTTCTAGGTCTGTGGCCTGTTTGTAGTGTGATGTTTCAACTCTCGGCTGGCAATGTTGATCCAAGTCGTGTTAGGAATTCCAACACTTTGGTGTTAATCAACTGCCATTGCGCCAATGCAAAAACTCGTGTCATTTGGCTACGCTACTCAAAGCCTCGATACTCATAGATACGGTCATTTGCGCAGGAAGCTTTCCCATGCTTCTCTCGCCTAGTACCAAGTCTACGTAGAATAAGATGTCATCCTCTACGGCCCGAGCGTTGACATCAAGGCAAACGTGCGCCGAAAACTAAACCCCTATTTGGATGATCTTGAAGAGGTGAAACCGTCGTCCAGCAAGGGTTCCGATACATGGTAGACCTTTCTTATTCCTTTCGTCCACGTTCAAGTGTTTCCTATCCGTAAATATGGCTTCTTTCTCTCTAAATAAAATGGCAACAAGTTTTAAAAATGGAGAGATCAACAGGGACCGAGGGGCCACTCGGCACGACGCGCCCCGCTCCGAAGATCCTTGCTAAGAACAACCTCCGGAGTAGTTACAGCTTGCGTGGCTACGTTTTGGTCATTGGCCTCCATCATTCATGTATTCTCTTGGGCTTCGCTTGTCAGGGTGCCTAGAAATTACCTAGTAGACGCAGCCTCAGCGTCTATACCATGTGAAATCCGCTTTGTTGATACCCTGTGCGCAAAACCAAGCATAATGACTGCAGGGGACCACTTACCACTTCATCGTATATTCCCATGGCAGCCCTTCCGGCTCGATGCCTTGGGGTTGGTTACTTTGCTTGGAGCAGAAGAAGTTAGTCGCGCTATCGGAGGGCTTCAGCACAGCCTGGTAACGGAATATCTCCCCTTGATGGGTGCGTATTTGGTCGCCGCCAATAAGTTCACCGACCCTCTCCCAGGTTACAAGGCATACAACATTACCGATGGTATTATTCCTCCATCATTGAACGGATCCTTTACCCGCTGGCTCGATAATCACATTTCCTCGGAGTCTCGACGCGACGACAACACCACCATCGTGACCTGGACGCTGGCGCCAAAAGCTGACCTGGACAGGCTATGGCGTAAACACTGCCTACCGGTGGCAATTGGCATTATCCTGAATTCCGCCCTACTGGCCATTACAATCTTGATGGCCGATTGGTATGGGATCGCGAATTCGGCGGGGATGATCTTATCAGTGGCAGTCAGGTGGTTTCTACTGCGTGAGAACCGGCTCCAGCTTGGGAGATGGGCAGAAATAGCGCGTGCCAGGCTTGTGGCAGACCCGGCTAAGCCAGAGCACCTGGAAGAGAAAAGAATCCTTGTGGAGCCGCCCAGTAGCAGCAAAATTATTGTCAACAAGCTCCCAGGCGCTCTCATTCCATGCCTTGTCGCGCCATTAGCAAGCCCCCACCAGCAGAGCTACAGATTCGCGAGATTTGTTGGTTGGTTTGCGTTCGCGGTCCATATCATTTGCATAGGCCAGTCCAGCCTGGTTGCGCAACTAATTGCAGTCGGGCTCCTGATTTGCGGTACCATGGGAACCATATACCGGGTTGGATGTGACGAGGGAGAGTTCGGGCAATTCCTCCTAGCTACCACCAGTTCGTCGAAGCAGCAACGACGAGAATGTTTCGCCGAGTTGAACCCCACAGATGAGGAAGAGAAGGCTCTGAAAACCTGGTCACTCCTCCCCCTGGAGGTGCCACATACAACAGACTGGTATAAAGACTACACGGCAAAGAAAGCGGCCCACGTAGCAACCGCCACGCCGGCTGCAATTGTTCATCTTTCAGCTTCCAACGCGAGCAAATCCGTGATAGCTGGCCAAGTAAGTGCTTGAAGGCCTGGCTACCATGGGAACGTGTCTCAAGGGGTATTATATCATTGTCACATTTGCTTCAAATTGAAACCTGGAAAATGATGTCAGTTTGGGAGGGACCGAGGGCCGAAAAACGAGATGGCACCGGTTAAGTTGCAACGTGATCACGCCACAACTTATCCAAGCAAGAAGTGAAGCCATTGGATATCGTTTTATAGAAGTTGCAACGCATCTTGAAATGAGCATAAGAAGCCCATAAGTTGACTCCCAACAAATGATGTAACAAACAAATTTCAGCCTGACAGAAGCCGTTGATAGCATTTGAATACAGTCTTCCGAAAAGCATTGAGAATGACATTTGGGAATTCCAGGATGGCGTTTCAATCGATAGCAATGCACGCAGGAAGAAAGCAGAATTAGGAGCACACGGCAATGGGAGTTTCTGGGTTGATGAACCTGAGGAAATACGTCATCGAAAAGGCTGTGGCACAGCCTCGCGCTAGTACTTTACGCTACTCCGCTTGCTTCAACTTCATGACTCTTGACGGAACTTCTAAACAATTATCGACGCAAACGTTGTCGAAGATAAATTGGACACAATGCAATGTACTATCAATGTGTATAAAAGGTAAACAGCCCTTGACTTCAGCTTGGGGCTGTCCTTCTTTTCAGATCTACTAGCCCTTATTTTTCAACTGTGCTCTGGTACCCAGACTGGACCGGTCGCAGCGCCACATCATCACAAGATCCGTTTGTCGTGATGACAATTGGTTCGCCAACTCTGACTCCATGTCCGAATCTATCTAAAAGAGTTAGACAACTGCACAACGAGGAAGCGGCCATCGAGTGGGCCAAGCTTGGCTATTCTCAGATGACCAAGGACCACAACCTGTGTGATGAAAACGAATGTCGCGCCAACGACCTCCACACGGTCAAGTACGTAACGAAACATACTCGAGATGGGTGTCAATGCTGTTTTCTACGCACCGATCCTAGAGCTCTGAGGCCTATATACGATGCTGGCACTTTCCCAGTCGTCTCACTGACGACAGAGAACGGATCGGCCTCTCTATGTGTTCGCGCTTTCCAGCCGGGCGTAGAATACATTGCTATCTCGCATGCGTAAGTGGACATGTTCTGCTCTCTCGCCCACAATATGACCTAACAGCTGTACACAGTATTTCAGATGGGAGAGGAAATGTGAATGACTCGGCCTTGCCGGCATGCCAACTCCTTGAAATCGACGCGTACGTGCGCAAGCTACAGAGCACGGCAAGACCAAACGCAGAACCTGGCTGGTTCTGGATGGATACGCTGTGCATCCCCTCGCACCTCATAATCAGCACCGAATACAAGGCGGAGACCCGAGCATCATTCAAACAGAGTACCGAGAAGGCGGTGGGGACTTTAGTCCTCGACGCCGATATCCGACAAATGGGCCGGGGTTTCAGCTATTCAGAAGCCTTCCTCCGCATTCAGTTCTCGAGCTGGTCGTCGAGGATGTGGACCTTGCAAGAAGCGGTTTTGACGCCCAAAGTTTTCTTGCAGTTGAAGGACGATGTTGTTGACCTGGATGTGATTATCAAGGCACATGACAAAGATGCGAATAACCTGAACCTGCCGGTTGAGCCGTTCGCAGTATATGGGAATCTGCGGAAGTACCTGTCAGGCTTGGGGGGCTACTCGATCAGAAGCCCTGCTCACCTTGCAATGCTTCACCAGGCTCTACGAGACAGGCGCACGAGCAACGAGGTGGACAAGCGCTTGATTGTGGCCAACTTGCTGGGGATGGATGCCAGAAGCCTTTCGGAGGCTATTTTCGATCAGGTACTGCACCGGGAATGAGCCAGCGATTGCACATGTGCATCAAGAATACGACACATGCATTGGAAGTTATGTTCTGCTAGTAACATCCGAACCTACGGCCTCGAGGGTTCAATCCTTGGAGCATAATCGCTGGGCTTGGCGGCGCAGACACAGCTCTTCCACGGGCTACTGGATGAAGGCCGTTCCGTCCGAGTCAGCATCACGACCCTGATAGTAACGGGTTTTTTGGAAGCCGATACAGAGATGACAAGGACAGAACATAGCCTCCGAACGTGCCTAGGCTGATGGAGTGGGCTCAAGTCGTACGCCAAGCTGCTTTGTCCAACGTTGCCTCCAGGGAGGAATTTTAGTAACGCATCCTTGACGTTGTACGAGAGGCCCACCGGAAGTGAAAATTCGGGATTGATTTACAAGGCCTTCATTTCGACAGGCGAGATGTACACGTTTCTGTGGGCTGTGAGAAGCCCGAAAGCTCCAAAACTGCCATCTCGAGTCCCACAATATGCTTGTCCAACGCCAGGCTATAACCAAACATGACTTTTCTTCGTTTCCGAAACCGAATTTCACCTGGGTACATTGGTTGCACCGGGTGCTTCATCTAACACTGTTTGTTCAGTTGCTTCGCGTTCATCAGGGAGACCGGCACCGCTGATGTTAGGACCAGACTCAATGTCTCTACGACGCGCAAACTTAGCGCTCTCCCATCCTTCCTGGCCAACATAATTCGCGCGACCAACGCCCAGCCAGAAGGCGCGATCCCTGCTTCTTGCGCCCCAAGCCCAGCCAGATCCTGAGCGAATTGGCAGATGATACCAGCGGAATCCAAACCAAGCGGTGAGTATTCCAATAAGCGAGCCTGAAATGATATCGAATCCATGATGGCGGTAGTCCGACCACCGAGATGCGGAAATGTAAAAAGCTGCACCAACCGGGACGAATGCGAGAATCAGAAGATAGATCGGCGGGGCTGCCGCTTCGTTTCGAGGAGGCAGCTTAAAGCTGGCGGAGCGTGCTGTTGGCGAAGAGGCTCTTGACGAATGCTTTGGTCGGGTTGGTTCTTCCTCTTCCTCATCAAATGTAGAGATAAACTGCTGACTAGAGGATGCTGATGAAAGGAAAGGTATGTGAACCGCAAATTTGGCGCAGATGAAGAAGGTCAGATACAGCAGCCCGGCCCAACTGAAGCTTGCGTGTCCAGAAGGCCAACTGGCGAAAGCATTGCGCATCTTGCCTGCATCCGTACTGCGACAAATATGCCAGTCGACGATAACAGGGACTGCCGAGTCAATGGACGTCCCGAGTCCGCCGACCTGCCATCTCCGGAGGGATTCAGGGCTGAGATCTGGATCGCAAACAGCCAGCATGAAAGGTCGCGGTTTGCCCGAGATATCTTTCAGCCCTTCGGTAATCATGAAGGCGCTTGCGAGGGAAAGTCCTAAGCCCATCCACGCTGTGTTCCATTCCCATACCTTCCTCCGCCAGACAAGTGCCTTTGGTGTTGACCGATGTGCAGTGGGGCCAGGAACAAGTAATAGTGAGATGGCCGCAGTAATAACGCCAGGTGCGACAATGACCACAAGCAGTAGAGTCCCCACAGTTACAGTGTCTTCATGGTAAGGGAAGGAGATGTTGAGATCTTGTAGCGAAAAGCTATGTCGAGCGCCATCGACCAAACTGAGTGCGCCGCCAACAGCTGCGGTTGCTCTGTGATGGAATGATTAGCCACATGCTTTGAACGAGTGACATGGTGAGATCGAGGCAGACCTACAGAATGAGTACCCAGTCTAAGACATAAGAAGCAACGAGTCGTTTGGAAACATGTCGAGCACCAGCAGCGAGACTGGACACTGTTTTGGCGGGAGCGACCATTTCGGGAAGGTGAGCACGCGACACCGGAGGGAGACAGGAAGATGCATGAAGTACGTGAGGTAATTCGCAGGCGAGCCACATATAACTACTCGGCTCTCCCTGCGGAGTACTCGGCATGCCACTGTTGACAGGACTGCAGGAGTTTACTGTAGCCACGCCGGCGAAAGGGGCCGGACGGAGTCCCTTCAGGCGTCATGCCAAACACAGCCGGTCCCCTCCCAAGTCCGGGACGGAACTCCTTTCTGCTGCCTGGGAAGTCGCAGGTGCCGCAGGTGCCACAGGAAGGAAGGAGTTGGGGGGGAGGTGCGCGGGTCCCGCGGGGCGCCTTCCTTTCCAAACAGCTAAAAGCGTTCACCCCTTCCTTGGCGTCAGCGCTTCACCAAATCACAAATCCTGGGCGTGATGGATCATGGCCGTTATCCACCTCTGGTCGAGAGGCTTGAACTTGACTTGCGACGATCCTACCTTAAGACTTGCATGCGACAGGAGGCAGTGCACACACCCACACGTCAGGACTCGTAGCCATTCATGACGTGGACACTGAACTCTACCAATAATGTTATGTCGGCCACCGCAGCAGTCTATTTCTTTGTCCTCCGAAAGGCTCGAGAAATGCCCGCCACGACTCAGGGCTACGCACGAACTGTAGTAGACGCTAGGCGGCGTTGCAGTGTACTTGATCCATGGCAGATGGCCCACCAAGTAGAGCGTGACACCCGATCGATGGCAAAACCTGCGTCTGTCTATTTGTCCATCTCGGTCCAAGTATGTATGTAGCAGGAGCGGGAATCAGGTCCCTTTGACACAAGATCCCTAGCCAGTAGCAAGGGCATACTCAACTATTCCCCGAGTCGCCAGAAGACTTGGTCAAATGCGATTGCCTTCTGAATTGAATGCCCAGTTCAAGGACACAGCTTTCAATTAACCTTGCCATCGAGATCTGCATAGAAGTTCCAACCGAACGACTCTGAGGGATCGTTGAATCGGAGTTTCTTGTCGAGAGCGTCGATCTTCTTCACATCTTCTGCATCAAGCTTGAAATCTCCTTCGAAGTTTGCTTTGATCCGGGATGGTGTCTTCGACTTGGGAATCACGCTGCGGCCTTTCGCGATGCCCCATGCCAATGCCACTTGGGCGCCGTTTTTGCTGTACTTTTTCCCAATGTCAACGAGAACCGGGTCATCGATCAATTTGCTGATATCCTTGCCCTTGTCGTAAATCGGATTGGAGTTGCCAAAGGGCGAATACTGCGTAATATGGATCCCCTTGCTTTTATGGAACTGGTCAAACTCGTGCTGAGCGAGGTATGGGTGCAGTTCAAGCTGATGAACCGCCGGTACAACCGAAGTCTCTTTCAGCAATCGCTCTAATTCGGATTTTGAGAAATTGCTGATGCCGATCGCCTTGACTTTACCCTTCTCGAGGAGTTTCTCCATGGCTTTGTATGTATCGACGTAATCGGAATCGCCGGGGGCAATTTGGTCACCGTTCTTCGGCCGCAACTTGTCACCTCTAGCAAAGGGACTTGGCCAGTGCATCAAGTATAGATCCAGATAATCGGTCCCAAGGTCTTTCAAGGATGCATCGCACGCCTTTTCGACGTCCTCTGGGTGATGCGAATTGTTCCATAATTTAGTGGTGACGAAAATGTCTCCTCGAGGAACGCTGCTCTTCTTAATGCCCTCTGCAACTGCCGGCTCCGTACCATAAACCCTCGCTGTGTCGATATGCCGATATCCACTTGTCAAGCATTCCAACACCGCGTCAGATTGCTTTTCCTTGTCCTTCAAAACAGGTTTAGCATTCTTCAGCGAAAGACCTTGCCGTTATGGACCTCACCTGCCATGTCCCAAACCCTATTAATGGTATCTCTGCACCTGTGTTGAGCTGTGCTTTTGATTTAGAATACCCTGCCATCATTCTTATCTGGCTGGGAAACTGCAGAGACACTTGCGCTATTCTCGAGCATGTCCGCACACTCAACCGTGATAGCATTGTCGAGGTCGCCATCCTGGGATAGGAGTTAAGTTCACAAGCTCAACCCCCGCATTAACTCAGAGTAGATTATGGAAGGACAAAGATTCTCCTTGTATAAACAATCATACGCCAGCTTGAAAATACAAGGTGAGATTTGATATATACACGATCTTCTTCTGCCGATTCGAAAGTGGTGGTGGTGGTGTGTTCTCCTCGGCAGTAGTGACATCAATGGTGGTGCGGTCGCTGGTCTGTTTCTCCATATCGGAGTTCAACTCCGCTTGTCGGAAACCTGCTCTTCCTGTTACCCGATCAACGGCCCTGGTAGTCTCATCAAACTATCCTCGTCTTCTCCAATCCTCAACGCTGTTACCCCTTCTATCACTAAAAAAAGATTGTGCACCTATCATGCAGTTCTGTTTCTCAATGACATGGACTTCCACAAGGTTCGATTTGTCCATATCTGTGCTGATGATCAGAGCATAGGCGTGTACCCAGTGATGACCCAGGATGAGGCGGCGAAAGACTGAGACTATGGACCGTTCTAGCCAGGATGTGTGATCGCCTCGATGGCACATAACGTCGGTGTTCAATGTTTAAGTGCGATAATTAAGGTACGAACAGTATCAGCGGCCAAAGTTCGGCTACCTGAAAGCTTGGAATCCTTACTGTGTCGATGCATCACCACGCCGTGAGCGGACTGTACAACAAACTGCATTGTTTTCAGTACAAAAGATGTCGGAATCGAAGGCGGCTCGAATGTTCCAGCGCCAATCATGGCGCACATTCTTTGTCCGTTGCCCCGAGTGGCGCGAGCACCATTCTTTGTAACCGTTGGCAGGATGAGCTCACTGATCACAGATAAGTACGAATAAAGGCATGCTGATGCTCTGCAATATTCTAGATGCCGATCTTCTGGAGTCCTATTACATACATATCTCCAGTCCAAACTGATGACTGAACCAGCCCACACCGATCCGGTTATCCGCCCTGTCTCACGGTTTTCGACCTCTACGTCTATCAGGATGGCGAACACTCAGGGGCATAGCGGAGAAGTGGTTCCCATGCCAAAGTGGTCCAGAATAGTCGGCTTTGCTAGAGTTGCTCTTGCAATCTTGGTTCTGGCATTCACTGCCGCAGCTACTTCCATCTGGGGAATTTATCCTGCCTTTGGGATTGCGCTTTTCACTGTAAGACTTCCAGTCGCAAGCCTGCTCGTGAATCTATGCTGATGCTGCTTGCCCAGTCGTGTGCCACTCTCTTGATCTTTAGCTACTATATTGTAGCCTTGTCGCATAAACCTGAATTGTACAGTCGCTGGGCTGTCCTTGGCCTCGAAGTTTTCGGCGTCGTCTTCTGGCTGGTCAGTTTCTCCCTTTTGGCCAACTTCACAAGCTGGTACAACGAAAGCGACTTCTGGTACGGCGCGGGCGATAGCTATGGCTTTTGGAAAGCTCCCTACACCCCCGAAGATGTTGGTTTCTCGAAGAGAGCTAGAGTGGGGAAGTCCCATAGCAAATACCACGCAGGTGTTGCTCTAGCCGGAACTGCTGCTGGTCTTGGAGCCCTTGAATTGTGAGTCAAATACCGAAGCTTGTAAGCGTTCTCCTCTGACTAACTTTTGAACAGCGTTCTCTACTCCGTGACCCTACTTGTCTTCGGATTAGCCCTTCACAAGCAGCGAGTTGAAGCGAGGCCTGGGCGCACAGTCGCTGCTGTTCCTGCATCAGCACAGCCATCAGCGAAGGAAGAGACTGAGGCTGTTGGATCAAAGCTAGAAACCACGACAGAGATTGTCTGAACCGCCTGGAGAGAAGAACAAAGGCCGTGGATCAGGAGAGGGTGCGCGAAGCGGAGTAAGAAGCGCCATGGTCTGTCCTATTAGTAGAGCAAGTACTTATGATAGAAGCGCCGTACTAAATGAAAGTAAGCATTTTGTGCACTCGCGCCATAGCGCACACCAAAGTCTTGACAACCCCCCCCCGCAAGCCTAAGCATGGAGCAGCAAATGATCGGATATCCGACTCGGACGATCGGATTTGCCGGAGATAATCGGAGGAACCCGGATCCGGAGACCAGCCAAGCGTGCTTACATCTCTCCCCGTGTTTTCATTAGGAAATCGATGACATTTTTTCAGCTTCCCGACGCCATTCCGAACAAATGAAGTAATTCTTCCACTCTTGATTCGATGGACGGTAGGTATCATGCTTTGGACTTCTGGTGGGCTCTCAATCTTAGCGTCGAGACCATTGACCATGCTCTTGGCTCCTTTATCATCATGTCTGGCTGTCTTCATGAGTACGCCAGACCCGGGTGACTGTTCCACCGATACACTCAGCAGACCTAAGGTATCTAACTAAATTTGCTATATCTGTGTCTCCTGCTGTCCCTCGTTTATCCTAACTCATAGCTCAATAACAAATCCTCTGGTCTTATACAAGCAGAACCCAATCGTGCGTGGGACCGACCACTCCGTCCCTGAAGTATGGCCGCTCCCGACGAGAATGCCATTCGGCAATCCTCTGGATCGAGCATCCCAAACGCGCCCGATAGAGACCCGTCCTTGGCTGAAAAGGTAGCCACACAGCCTGATGTGGAAGAGTCCCTGGAAGCTCGAATCGAGCGCCTAGGGCGAGAACGACCGCCAGCTTTCAAATCTCTATTTCACGAAATCGCGTTCGCCTTCTCCATCTACATGTCGCAAGTCTTGACGGAGTACTTTGTCTCCGGGTTTACAGTCATATTGCCTACTCTCATTACGGAGCTCGACATTCCCCAGGCCTCGAGCGTTTGGCCTGCCACCGCGTTTTCCTTGGTTATTGCAAGCACGCTCCTGGTCTTCGGCAGACTGGGGGACATGTGGGGGGGATATCCCGTCTATATCGCGGGCCTCGCTTGGCTAACGATATGGAGCATCGTCTGCGGCTTCAGCACAAACCCGCTGATGCTAGACTTTTGCCGCGCTCTCCAAGGACTTGGATCGGCAGCTTTCCTACCCACCGGTGTCATGATCATGGCGAGCGCGTACCGACCGGGTCCTAGAAAGAACCTCGTCTTCGCGCTTTACGGGATGTTCGCCGTGGGCGGTTTCTTCACTGGAATATTCTGTGCCGGCATCGTTGGCCAGTACGTCCGCTGGTCTTGGTATTTTTGGATCGGGGCCATTCTTGCAGTCCTTGCAATCATCACCTCGATCATATCAGTCCCCAACGATGCAATAGAACGACGCCAGAACGGAATCAAAATGGACTGGATAGGCACCGTCACAATTGTCTGCGGTCTTGTGCTGGTAGTCTTCTCGATTACGGAATCAGCACATGCCGAGCACGGATGGCGGACACCGTATATACCGTCCTTATTCGTCGTTGGGTGCCTGTCTCTAGTGGCAGCCGTCTACGTCGAAGGCTGGGTGGCGGAACAACCTCTCCTCCCCGCCGATCTATTCGCGATTCCCTGCGTCACGCCTCTCTTGTTCGCCCTGCTCTTCTTCTACGGAACCTTGGGAATCGTCCTGCTGTACGGCACGCAATACTTCCAGAACATCTTGCATGCCACGCCGCTGCAAGTCGTCGCTTGGTACGTCCCCATGGTACTGGGCGGCCTCGCTTTGGCTCTCATCGAAGGCTTCATCTTGCACCTCGTGTCCGGGCGGATCCTTTTGATCATCTCGGCCTTTGGTGCCCTGGGATGTCAACTGTTATTCGCCACTCTGCCAGACCATCCCAACTACTGGGCCTGGCTGTTCCCCGCGATGCTGCTGGGGACCATCGGCATCGACCTCTCCATCACTCTCGCGTCCGTCTTCGTTACCACGCAATTGCCCAAGGCGAAGCAAGGACTGGCCGGCGGGCTCCTGAACTCGGTGCTCCAACTGGGCGTCGCTCTACTCCTCGGCGTCTCCGACATCCTGCAAGCCAGAACTGTGGACGCGGTCGGTTTAAAAGCCAGCTACAAAAACACATTCTGGCTCGGCGTCGGCTCCGCAGTGGCCGGTCTGGCCGTCGTGACAATCTGGGGAAACGTTCCCCGCGCGAAGAGCGACATGACCGCCGACGAGAAGCTGGAGCTCGAGCGCGAAGCTACCCGGCTTTCGACAATGCCTTCTCATCCTCAAGTGGCCTGAGCCGGTTTTCCGAATCAACCGAGTCGAGAATTGATCGGGAGAATCTTTTTTGCTTTTTAGTGGTTTCTGGGTCGTTTTCTAAGCGTGGTGTTAAGGCCGGACAGCACATAGAGCTCCTTTATGCGTCATCATGGTATCCGAGGCATCACCATGAGCACAGGAGCACCAGGAATAATGCAGCATACTGTATATACTATGATAGACATGTAGATCATCCCATTCAATCGCCCCGTCTCGCAGAGTCAGCAACCATCCCCAACCGCACTACGCTTGGACGAGGCTTCCGCACGAATTTTCCCGTTTTGAATACATAATACATTTCGTGATAGTGCTTCCGATTGGGAGTCCTAAGATAGATGCAATGCGCTAGGTAAGCTAGCCGATGCCTCGCTACATTGAAAGGATAAACATGGGGCATGTATCTCAATGGAAAACGACTTGACAGAACAACGAGAAATGGAAAGCTGGGAGAGAATTCTTCCAAGATTGTGCTCCCATTTCAAATGGGTATCATTAATTGTTATAACTTTTGGTGGGTTCCCCGTTTCCCTTCGGGGACTTCCAGGCACTAGGACTTTCTCTGTCCGCCCCTTCAACGATTCCCAGAAACTCAGGGCCAAGCAAGATGCACTCACTACCAATGCCTAATGGTGACCAAAGTCTTATGATTCTCACCTTTCTCATCCTCGACGGCCTCATCATAATTCAAGCCCATCTTGGTGAGCATGTTCCAGACGAATTTCCTTTTCAGGCCCTCACGCACGGCGATGCGCTGGAGGGCCTCTGTGCCATTGAAATACTTGACGAACTGCGGCCAATGGCGGCGGATCTCTGCCGACTCGACTTCTGAAGACGGCGTCGAGGACAGGTCGGTGCGCGAACTCTCGGTCGACGAGGCTGCGAATCTCGAGGCGATGCAGGCCAGCCAGCGGGATTCCTCGGGTGAGGCGCGGGGCGGGGAGAGGATCAGGCTCGCGGCTTTGGGGTTGTGGGTGAGCTGGCGCCCGCGGATGCTGGTGTGGTCCGTCGATATGGATTGCCGGCCGTCGCTTGATGGGCGGCTGATCACGCTGGGACGCTTGAATGGCGAGGACGCTGGATTGGCGGGATGGATACCTGGGGTGTAGGGGTGTGCTGCGCTGCTGCTGAGGCTCCTGAATAGCTCTCTCTCATTCTCGCTCAGATAAGGAGATTTCTTCTCGATTGGGGTCTTGACGCCCCGTGATTCTTCGCGGTCTCTTTCCCGCACGGTCTTTTTCACTTCGGGGTCAACGCGGACGTACGCGAAGGTTCGAAGTTGAGTGACCCAGCCGTCGCGCATCAGCCATGCTAGGACTCGATAGTATTCTTCTTTGTGATCACTGCTGGGGATGAGGCTGCCGTAAGGGATTGGGGTTCCACTCAGCGAGTTCAGCATTTTGGGTAATGAGGGCATCATTGGGAATGTGGTCTCGTACGTCTTGCAAGCCGACGCTAGTTTGCTCATGTCGGCATTTGGGGAGACAATATAGGTATCTCGCTGATGGAGAGGTGGAATTGCAACGGCTCTTCGCCAATAGACAAGATGTCGAGCGAGGTGTTGAATATCAGTCAATGGGGTTTGAGACGCGATTGACATTTTGTAGAAGGATTTAGTAGGTTTACTTTGGGCAACGAAGCTAGCCAGGGGGTTGGCCAATGGCCCTCCAGCTGCTTGGATGTCTTTGAGAATCTTCTGCGGATTGGACTTCAGAAGAAGGGAGAAGTTCTTGGACAGTTGCAAAGCCCCTGTGACGGCAGCTGAATCCATATCGGAGGCAGTGGAGATCGGATCAGTGGCAGTTGTGAGCCATAGGCCTGGTTCAAGCGGTGGTTCAGACAAGGATGGGAGGTAGGAAGTCGACGTTACAGGAGGGACTTGTAGAGAGACAGAAGTGTTTGGACCGAGGCTCACTGCAGCTATTCGGGAGGCAGATATATTATCGAAAATCCTGGCTATTGCAGTGGCCAAAGAAGAACGCCTGGCCATTTCTGTGTAAAGAGTAGCAACTGGGGATTTCTGATGGATATGGGCAGATTTGATTGATTGTAAAAGTTCTGATTGTTTCCATACATAGTCATAGTGGGACTGCTCGTACTTGAGTACTTTGGAAAACTTGCGCACAACGTGATCATACATCTCTTTGACACGGAGGGTGTGCTCCAAGGGTGGAGGATCCATGACGAAAACGAGATGGAACATGGTCAGCTGGCTCTTGGAGGGCTCTCGGCTACGATCTTTCATGGATTTCTGCTGCACAAGAGCTTCTTGGAGGTCATCAGTAGTATTTTCGTCCGCACTGTCGCTTACAGCGGTTTCGGAAGTCGGTTGGTCTTCACCATCCTCAGGAAGCTTGGGCTTCCTGGGTTTGGGACGCCGCCAAAAGCCATCCTCACGAGCATAAACAGGTCGCCCCAAGAAGACCATCTCGTTGATGCCAAGTTCAAACCTGCGTTTGTGCCAGGCACGGCCAGGAGCTAGCAAACTCACCAGCCCATCTTCTCCAAGACCCAGCAGCGGCTCCCATGGAGGCTTCCATTCTCCTTTGCCCTTGACGGATCTTTTCGCACTGTAATGGTCCTCCTCCTCATCAGAATTCTGCGAACGGACTTCTTGACTGGCGGTGAGATCACTATTTATCCGCTTCGTGAACAGCTCGAAATCTTCTTCCTCGGAGGAAGACTCTGAATCGCTGCTGGAGCTTTCAGCCTCGTCATCGTTGGCATCCTGCGAGACGCTGGCAGCGCAGGCAGCGACAAGCGGATCTGGAGGATAGTGGAAGATAATCTGAGCGCCCGAGCCGGTTCGACCTTGGGTAACGAGGAGGATTGCCAGTAGAGATGGGGATCTCGAATTCGAGGCGTTCGACATGGAGTGCAGGGTAGCAGCCTCAGGGGGAAACACGCGAATACTCAGCTGTCTTCCATCCCACGGGTACGATTTAGCTAGCGAGTAGTCGTGATCGCACCCACTGCTGCTCTTGAACTGGTGGATAGCCGCGGATTGTCGCGGTCGCGGCCTCGGTTGTCGTGACTCGTGACATTGGAGAGAAGTGGGTTGCTGTTGGAAAGATGCCAAGGCCAAAGCCCAACTGTGGGCAACTCGTAAAGAACACTAGTACTAGCTAGTACTAGTGCAGTCTAAATCCACCAACCCTGAGGTGGCAGCAACCAAAGGTGGGAGGGGGGAATTGGCACCAGAGGCATTTGTCGGCTGACCATTTGGTAAACGAGTCAAACAGGAGCAGGGAAAAGTATTGTCTCGGTATGGAATAAGACGTGGAGTCACAGAGGAGGAGTCATATTGTGGGTGGTGGATGAGGGTGATAGGCAGAGAGGTTGCTTGCAGGATGCGAGAACAGGATTAGTGGGAGCATGGTTGCAGTAGCAGAAAGCAATGCCAGGCAGAAGACAGGATAGGATAGGATGCTAACTACATAGGTCAATCCGGATACTCGATCGGATCCACGAATACGGGTGACGAGGGTGGTGACTGTCGCCATTGTACTCGTAAGAATGGAAGAAGTGAGGGGAAAGGAGACGGGTGCAAGGGGAACGGGCACGAATATAAACATGAAAGTCGGGGTGTATCTGTGCCATGTGGTTGGTGTCGGGCAGGGCGAGCAACCAGGAGTATTGGTCTCTTCGGCGACTGCGCTTGGTAATTAGTCAGTCTTGTCGAAGATAGAAGGACCTCGGGATGGAAGGACGAGGAACAAAGGCCTCGTGCTGCTTGACAATTCCCGGAGCGAGGGGCCTTGGGTCATCCGGGTTGTGGGAACCCTGAATGTCACCAGAAAAAACTCGGATGCACAATAGAGGACGATGGAGCAGCGAACCAGAATTTCTTGCCTCATTGTCGTTTGCTGGCCGGGTGGAGGTCCCATAATAAAATTTCCATTTCCATTTCCATTGAGAGCTCCAGCCTTCCAGGGCACCTGCACCCAGACTTGCGCCTACTGCGACCCGGTGACCCAATCTTATAGGCACCAGATAGGCACTAAAGAGGCACTAAAGAGGCCTTGGACACTAATATGCTCCCTTCCCCTCTTGCACAACATGGAAAGAGAAGGGACTTTGATAGGCACTGAATGGGACTGAAAGCATTAGTTATACGGGCACCTGTGTACTACCTAGTTGCCAGCTACTGCTAGTGCCTGACAGCCCCCAATCTGCTCCGGGTAAGGGTGCCTCTCCGCCGCTTTTTGCTCCCACTCAGTACACATTTCGGAGGATCGCAGGAAGCTGTACTCCGTACACAGTGTGTATTGCTACTGACACCACCGCACCGAAACCACCACCACCAACCACCTCAGCAGCACCACCTTCAATTCTTCTATTCCATTCCTATTCTACCCACCCATCTACCGTCCTACCATCTGCCTCATAGCCTCCTCCTGACTTACCTACATAACTCCCTGGATTCCTACCACTTCAATTGTCCTCCTCCACAGTCTGCCGGGCACTCTGCCGCTTTTCTTAAAGTGCCGTGTGGTGTAGCGCAGTGCAGCCCAGAGTTTCGCGGGTCCCTGCGTTTTCTCGGCACCGGCAGCCCTGCTGTGATTCTCTGACTGCGTCGATTCAGTCTCAGATATCACCTCAAAAAGTTTTGGACTCATCTCCCTCACTTCTCCTTCACCACGAGTCACCCTACACACCCTTCACTGTCCTCCGAATTTCCCCTGCGTCCCAACCTCTTTGACTTGCTGCCAATGGTCTTGATCGCCTGATTGAATCTGTTTGTCAGATTCTTTTTTCCGCAGTCAGGACCCTTGCCGCTGCCTGCGCCGACTCCAGTCCCAGGCCTTCTTCACAAAGACTTTTGACGCCGGTCCTCCCACCGTCATCCTTACGAGACAATTCCATAGCCACTTCTCCATTGCAGAGGTCGAAGCCGTTGCAGGGATCGCCGTTTGTCGCAGACCTGTGTTGAAACACCAGCACTTGCTCCTCTTTCTCTCACTTGTGTGCCTTGGTCCTGGGTAGACTGCTGTCCGGAGAAAAGCTTGAAACACCTTTTCTCCTGCAAGAGACGATTTTCTCTGCTTCCCAAGTATTGGCTTCGGGGAGAAAGAAGAGCAGATTTATCATATTTATCTGCTAGACTATTCAGAGGATTGACTTTGGCACCGCTCGTCCGCCCGGTTGAACATTCAAACTGCTACCTCGGTATTTGCGATTGCCTGCAAATATCTTTTGCTTGTACTGGTCGCTTTACACCAATACCAGCTTGTGCTGGTTGGGGTTTCGAACCGTGGTCGTGCATTTCCAGGCACAATTCCCTCCACAAGTGCTTTGGGATCATGTCAACCTCAGCAGGTGCTTCCGCGCCGGTCTTTTCATATGCCCAGGCTGCAAAAGGCCTGACCCCGGCAACATCTACCCAAACCACCTCGAGAAATGAAAGCCCAGCAGCTTCAGAGAAAAGCACAAAGGATAGGGCCCCATCGGACTCTGCGAGCAATGCGCCCAGCAAGGCTATCAAATCCAAATTCGAGTCTGACAACAAACCAAATGCAGACTCTACTTTGAACAGGGCACATCCCACGCCCTCATCCAAAGATTCAGGCGACAAACACGAGCTGTCGTCTTCGCACCTCTCGCAGCACAATGAGCACGACGACAAGACGATGAATGCCGATGGCATATCATCCCCGAGTCAGATCAGCCAGCACGACGACGCTAGACCGTCCATCCGTAGCAGACGAACAACGTCTGCCGATCAGTCCCAAGAGCTTGCAACGCGTGACAAGAGTATTGGTGAGAAAAAGTCAAAGGAAGTTGAGGATGACTGGGAGAAGGTCTCAGTTCCTTCTGTAGCTGCTGAAAAAGAGCTCAAAGCTGCCCCTATTCCGATAGTCAACATATGGAAGCAAAGACAGGAAGCTCAGGCTGCCAAATTCAAAGAAATTCTAGGTCAACAACGAACTTCATCCTCTGCACCGCTCGCTCAAGCACCTAAACCCAAGGCTGCCGCCGAAGAATCAAAGCAAAATACATCAAGTCGAGACCGTGCTACTCAGGACAAGGAAGGGAAGACTACTGATAGTGGCCGTGGCGGCAATCGCAGGGACGTGCCTGCCAGAGCCTCTCGACCTGTCTCCCAACAGGATGAAAAACGGGAGGCTGAGACTCCTCCTACTGTAGGCGATGCACAGTCCTGGCCAACTCCGGAGAACTCGACCGCGGACGAACGACGAAAGTCTTCTAGCTATGAACGCGTCGATAAACCAGACAGCAAGTTCACTGTGCAAAAATCCCATGGCAAAAGCTGGGTTCAGGTTCCTTTTGTTCCCTCTGCCAAATTTGAAACACAACTACCCCCAGCAGCCGCGCGAAGGGGCGGTCGAGGTGGAAATCGAGGACGAGATTCTGGCGGTCGAGGAGCCCATTCAAGTGCCCCATCTGAGAAGCAAGAAGCATCAGGACTGATGGGCCCGCCTCCAGTGCCCAAGCCTGCTGGTGAACAGGATCGCGGTCGAAAATCTGAAGGTCATCGTGGCCCTCGAGGTGCGTCCGATCCTACCAGCTCGACCCGACCAATCAGTGTCGAGGATGGAACATCGACCTTCAAGCAAAACCATACCTCTGGGAAGCCTATCAATACAGCCGATGCGACCGCTCCCTCAGTATCCGCCAATCAAGCCGGCGATGAACAGGAGAAGGTTGAGAGAAGCTCCAGGTCATCCTCCAGGCACACCGGTCGCCCTGCTGCGCGTGTCAATGGAGACACGAATGGTCATGTCGAACATTCTGTTGCTGCGACTGGAAACAGTGAACAGAGTGGTCGGCCCTCCTATTCGTTCGATCGATCCAAAGGTTCTGGAAATGGCATATCTCATGGTAGCGGCGACTTCAGCAAGGTTGGTGCAAATGCAAGGAATCGTGACTGGTCTCGAGAGAAGGTTGAGTCATGGCGTGATAGGGATACAACTGGTGACCAAAATGGCCGACGAGAGGTCCGAGGTGAACGTGGTCGAGGTGGCTACCGTGGCACTCGTGGTGGTCACACCTACGGTTCCTCATTTACCAACCACGCTTTCACCTCGCCTCTGCCTCAAAATGGATTCGAGCCGTCCAGATCGAATTCACACACCGAAAATCGATCACGCCAGACATCGCAGCCGTTTGCACCAACGCAGTCCACATCCAGCAACCGCAGTAACCCAAGGTCACAATCGATTCCGGTTGGGATGATCAATTATTCAAATTACTACAACAGCCCCACGAGCCTATCGCATGGTCTCCCCTTTTTGCAGACTGATGTGAATTATCAACAAATGCAAATGCAGCCTGGCATTATGAGTGCGATCCCTTACAATGACCCACTCAACTCGTTTGCCTTGATGTCAATGGTCATTGCCCAGATGTAGGTCAAAATATACCTTGAAATCCCAGAAAGGCATGACAATTGCTAACCCTTTATACAGCGAGTATTATTTCTCGATCGACAACCTCTGCAAGGATGTCTTTCTGAGGAAACACATGGACAGTCAGGGTTGGGTACCACTCAGTGTCATCGCAAATTTCAAGAGGATCAAGACCCTCACTGAGGATAACATGACTCTCGAAACCGTCCGCTATGTCTGTCAGACTGTGAAAAGTGTTGAATTTCTAGCAGGACCAGGCGGGGAAGATTGTCTTCGACGTCGTGATAATTGGAGGGATTTCGTCTTGCCCTACGAAGAGAGGTTTGAATCTGCGCGCCACGAAGGCCCGACCCATAACCCCGAACAGTACAACCGCTCTTCGGCCCCTGAACCGAACTTATCGGTCGAAGTCCCTTTTGCACTGAATCATCTTCGTAGTCCACCGAGTGGTGTTGTGCCTACAAATGGATTGTACCAGACGAGCTCGCCAATGACTTACGTCCCCAATAGCCAGAACGAACCTCAACTCTTCAATGGAGCATTCATTCCACCCTTCGAGGAGCCATCTGCGGAGAATGTGCATAGGCCATCTATTCACTCCACGCATTCTCACACATCTAACACGATAAGATCTCCAACCCAGGCGGCAGCTCCACCGAATGGTTTCATCAATGGTCACCACCGGCACACTTCCAGGTCAGACATTGAGGCCAACACTTTCCCAGACGAGCAGATTCCCAACATTAACATTCGTATGCAACCGCGTACTACTGGCGAAGGCGAAGCTCAACAAAGTATTGCGCGCATGAATTCAAACGAGCTCCCTGGAAGTGAAATTGATCCATTGGATCCCGATCAACCTCGTGCACCAAGCTTAAGGGGTGGTGCAGGAAGCCCACAACAGTAAGTCAGCTTCTACCATCGCCTATGGCCATCACTCACCAGAGAATAGGCTTGAACAACTCCGTAAGATTTCATTTGGGTTTTCCAATGGTATACCGACAATGGATGAAGACTCGATCATCTACTTTACCAAGGATGGGCAGGAGACACAATTACCGCCTCCAAGGCCAGGCCAGTATGATCAGACGTATCTGTCCCTGCATGACACTGCTTTCCAGCAGAAGGAACTAGGTGTGGAGGGGGCATTAGAGCCATTATATTCATTCTGGACCGATTTCTTGGCCGACAAGTTCAACTCCGGAATGTATCAGGAATTCAAGGAAACCGCCCAAGGTGAAGCACAAGAGGGTAACACGGCAGGACTAGGGCACTTGAACCGCTATTTTGCCAAGCTATTGAGCGGTCCCATTCCTGTGAGCGAACGTCTAGCCTCGGATATGGTTGCCCTTGCTCGTGAGGACAAGGGAAGCGATCGGTCACTATTTCAAATCCTGCGTGGCGCATGGCGCAACGGTGCAACCAACATGAAGACCATCAAACGACTAGGAGCCGAGTTCACTGTCGAGGAGAAGGAGCAACTCGACAAGAGTGGTTGAGCGGGCTGCAAGGCCCCCACCACATTCAGATTCATATCCCTAACTCATGTTAAGGTTGAGATGTTTTCCAGTCTACCAAAAGGTGTGCCATGACAAGCCACCATTTGAAAGTTTCATTCGTTGATAGCCTGTCGGAATGGCACCTGAGCTAAACTCTGGGTGGGTCGAACGTCAATATGGGCGAAACCTTTGCAAGTCAAAGGCCTTTTAAGACCATAGAGATCAACGATATCAGGGCGGATGTTGCTAAAAGACGACGATGCCGATCACTCACAACCTTTTTTTTTCTTTTCGCAATGCACTGGGGGCGCTTTCTACAACTTCGGGTCAAGACAGCGACCATTGCACGAAGCGGCGCATCTTGTTGGCTTGAAACTACGACCGATCATGATTGAGATACCATCATACCCGGATTTACTGTTTTCTGTCAGATGCGATATCCACGGTTCTTTCCTTTCCTTGTGTTCTTGCATAAATCAGAGTGTCATGGTGAGGGAGCAGAAAGGCGAGGAAGGAGAAAGATGAGGGAGGAGACAGAAGCAGAATGAGTGGATGGCGTTCGAATCTTCCCCGCCATCGACATGGAGTGGTGACCCATTAAAAGTGAGCTTTTCCCAATGTACCGTGTTCGATCTCGAAGGAGTCTGGGACTCGTTCAAGTTGCTTATTGCTTCACAATTCAACATATCGAAATTCATTTCACTTGTCGGCAAAAAAAGGCATAAAGCGCAGGGGGCTGTCCCAGAGCATGGAGTTACCCACTTCCCCCAATCATCCTCAATTAGCCTCCACGCACAGAGAAAGACAAAAGTTTGTACACAGTATTCATTAGAACAATCGAAATCAAGGACATGTCCGGTGTTCGACCGTTCAGCTTGACTTAACGGTAGTAGTGCTGCTTGATCTAGGACGCCGCAATGAATGCGGTTAGACCATTTCAAACATGACAACACCTACGGGTTGGCCATTTGATCTGACTAGATAGTTGTGGCATACTGCATCGTAAGTGGGTGCTCTTCATACCGTGATATACATAGTACTCGTCGAGCGTAAACTCCCTGCTCGTATTTCCTGAGCAACTCGAGCGCACGTTGCACAGTCTTGATTGAGGAGGGTCCTCTCTATCAGTGCGTCGATTCCATCATGTCTCGTCAATGGATATCATATGGCTGAGGGCCTGTCCTGGCCAGAGCCGATTCGGGACACAGTTGCTGCCACCGGTGGTCTGGTCTGGGTCACGCCCTCCTGCACTACAATAACCAGGCTTGAGCAGAGCCCTCATTCAGAGATTTTTCGTTCAACTCAGCTCCAACTTCCACAAGCCATCGCCCAAGTAATGGCCCGCACTCATGGCCACGCCCTTTTTCTTCGCCTTCATCTCCTCCGTCCCGACCTCAAGCTGCCCAATCAGACAGATCTCGTCCTTCCCCTCCGCCGCAATCGCGACGATCTCGCCCTTGGGCACCTCCTGGTCTTTCTCTGGCAGCCAGCCACCTTTGCTCGTCAAGCCGGGCACCATCAGCGTCGCACCAGAAAGCACGAAGCGAATAGCCCCGCGATCGATCTTGATTGTCTTAAACGCGTGCGGGTACTGGTGCACCACCTTCAGGTGAGGGATGATCGGGTCGTCCATGTGTTGGTAAAACAGCGGGGCATTGTCGAGGACATAGAGAGAGACCCGGTCGGGCACCTTGACCACGTCGAGTTGCGACTTCTTCGGGATGATCTCGTCGATGTGTGGTTCGAGCAAAGGGTATGTTTCGAGTACTTTACTCCGAATCCCGCGCTGCACACTGGATTTTACCTTCGATTTGGCGCCCGCGGTAAGGCTGCATGGTTGTGGAGTTGGTCCGTCAGTCAAGGGATTTGTGTTGAGTAGGGCGGAGGGATTAGACGGCGGAGGGAAGAAACGTACTCTTTCTTGAACATGATCAGGGCCCAAGATTTATCGAGGACAGCGTGGTGACACGTATATACAAATGACTGCGTGACGGCCGCATCTCTGATGGAGGGGGAATCAATCATGCCGCTATTATTAAACTTTTCACGTGGCATGGAGGGGGACGCAGGCCTACTGTGCCAAGAGCCTTCCCAAGCACGCTTCACCCTCAAATTTGAGCTGGCTGGCTCGAGCACGTGAGCTACTTCTCCTTTTCATCCGTGACCTTATGCGTTGAATACTGTTCAGTGTCACTACTACTGCTCTCCGTGCGACAGTCGGGCAGGAAGACTACACAGGAATTCCCATGCTGAGGTTCCATTGAACTCCAGCGAGATCAGACCTACTGCTTCACAGGTCAGCTCATGGAAAGTACAGCCATGAACACCAGACCAAACGCGGAATCCTTAGCTTATCTGGCATACTTACAGAGCGTGTTGCAGACGCTCTGACCAAAGGCTCATTCGCTTGACACGTTAGAAATTATCGGCAGCGATGCTTGATTGAGGAAGATGGCCGGTTCACCTTACCAAGAAAGTTCGACAAACCATGTTACTCAAGTCGGGCCTTCAGACCAGTCTTACTGTTCCTATAGGGATTTACAGTCCCTAATCAGCAAAGCTTTGGGCCGCTCTCTTTTCCTTCTGATATACTTTAAGCGAACGAAGACATCTTTCTAGCTATCGAGATCTACTCCCAAACCGTGGAAAAGCCTTTGTACTTAGTTCCAAGATTCTCATCTTCATACACGCCAATCGAAGTTCAGTTAGCGAAGAGAAACAAAAAACACTCTCTTAAAATCAGGGAATGGCCCCCCTCGCCTGCAGCTATGCCGGTTCAGACTGACTTGCCTTCACCAGTCAAGACTTCTTCGCAAGCTCGATACTGTCGAGCACTTCTCCAATAAGGGAAGTGTCATGGCTCCGTCAAGGGTATCACACAAAGCTGCCGCCTCATTGTCACTATCACCGGTCCCCGTCAACCTAATTGCGGGCTGTAACCTCCTCTTGGACAAGTTCTCGCTTCGCTGGTGCTGCGACAGGATAGCAAAGAGGTCAATTGTACGTCCTAAGAAGTCAGAATCGTCCTCTCGAATCATGAAATGGTTGTCGTTTACCTCCACATTGGTAAGCGAAATATGATCTGGAGTTGTCCCTGGCTCCTTGCAGTTCTGTCAATACCGAAATTTCTGCTTTCAACTCGCTCTTGCATTTCTCAATGACTGTCGGTGAGATCTTGTGGCCCTCCTTTCTGTACAAGTCGCATCTGACTGTCACTTCCGCGAATGAATGTGGCAGGAGCGTTACTGTGTACCAGACTTCGCTATGCATTTCCTTGACCACGCTCAACGGACCAAGAAGTGCGTCCTGCTTTGTTTTGCAAAGCCACTTCGGCCTCCATAAAGCACTCTGAGCACCTTGCGCATGCTTGGAGAATTCGTTCGCTGTCTCGTTAAGCTCAATTTTCCTGTAAAGGAAAGTGACTTACCGATATCTTTCCAATTACCGGTAGATCTTACATCGAAACCATCCATCCAGATCGAACTCCCAAGGTTGATGTGAGATTTTACATCATTAAATGGTAGATTCATTGTCCTCGCATCAAAATTGACAAATATCAATCCCTCCCTTGTCAATATAAGCTTCACTTCGAACAATCCATTTTCCTCGTGGTTGAATCCTGGAGATTCCTCAAACTTCGGAGCCTTCACCAGCTTGCCCTCGTCGTCATACTGCCAACCATGATACTTGCAAGAGAATCGGGTCGAATTGCCACAGGATTTTCTGACCACAGTATAAGCTCGATGCCGGCAGACATTGTGGAATGCTCTAATCTTTGAATCTTTGCCTAGCACAACGAAGAAAGAGATCCCCGCAATATCAAAGGCATGATAATCTCCAGCTTTCGAGAATCTGCTACGGTGGCATACGAATAGCCAAGTCTTCATTTTGTCAGTACACCAATATCCATATATGGATGGTCCATATGGAACTCATAACCTACTCTACTAAAGAAAGCCCGTCTTTCCAGTTGAAATACTTCTTCATCTGACAATGATTCGTCTCTTTTGAGGCTTCCCTTTTCCACTAAATCAAGTGTCGATCCTGTGGGAGCAGCATCTTTCCGGTCGACACCTAGGAAGAATGCAGCTTGAAGATATTTTACAATCAGGCTGCTAAACAGGTATACCACACATGAGAAGGCAAAGATATAGGCTGGAAGAGGTATATCAGCCAGAGCTTGTGACAATATTAGCACCATTCTCGCTTTGGAGCATACCTGCGACTGTTCGTGAACAGCGAAACGGGAGGAGAAGCCATCTTTTATGGATACTCACCCGATGTCGGGCTTATCAATGACACCTCTCGCAAACATGCAATTCATTTGACATTCATCAGCCGGCGGAAAACTTCTCCAGCATTTTGGCGTACCATTGGACGGAACTGTGATGACCAGCAATTCTGGAACCGATACATTCCCAGATAAGAGTCATCCCGGCGAGGAATGCCCTCCTGACATATTGCTAAAGTTGAGATGGAGTTCAGCGACGTCCCAATGGGGCAATGCGATCCCGTTGATGATCGCAGAATTACTAGGATTATACACCCCCTCTTATAGCCTTCGGACCTCCATCAACAAGATCTGGCCATTCCAGAAGGCTGATTATCACACGGAAACCGACTACGCCTGATTATTTGACCACTGTTGCGGATTTCACACTTGACATGTGCGAATGGGAATTGATGCCGAGTATGCCGTTGATCGATGACAGCACAATCGGTATTTGGATACCATTCTCGGGATGGCCTTTATTGGGGTCTCACGGCTATTACTATCTTGTCCGGTGCTGTCCTATTGGATGCTTTTGACGGCCCGATCTCTGATTGTGTTAATATCCCTCCACCCCCTTCTCGACACCGTCCATCCCCTTCGTCACTATGGGGATTCAAGCAATCGTTGTATAATGCAAATATCCCAACATGGATGCCACGAAAACTTTGCCCGCCTCATGGTATTGCTCACAAAATCTATATCAACTTGAACAACGTGCCGTCTTCTACAAGGCTTGGTACTTTGTGGGTGCTGTGCCCAGATTCTCCGTCGAGAGAGAGGTTGAATATGAGTTTGCCGGAGTAGCAATTACAGTGCGTCATGATGGAGAGGAGAATTTCAACGTCACGAGAAAGTCTGATGTATGTCTGGTTCCCGTCGCGTGCTTCCATATTTTCGGTCAACACCCTTTGCGGTGCCCCTTTTTTGACAAGATTCCCAACGCATCTGCAGGAGAAAGAACTGGCTCATTATCTGACGCCGACGGGACTCTTATTTGCAACCATTGACCCATTAGCTGGTGCATTTGAAGAATGGTTTCCGGCCTCGTTCCTAGAATTGGCATCGCGGTACAACTTCCGGCGACTGCCACATCGACGCTCGATCAAATATCCTGGCCGGTTCAACTGGAAGACCATGGTGGACGGGTATCAGGAGTGCCTGCACTGTCAATACACGCACCGGACCTTCAGCGTCAAGTACCCGCCAACCTTTTACGAGGTCCACAACCACGATACCTACAGCCGCCACATCGCGGATCCCAACAAGCCAGACGATGGGTTATTCCTGTATTTTTTTCCTGTCTGCACCTTGAACCTGTATGGCGGTGGCATGAGCAGTTTCCGCGTGTGTCCTGGTGAGAAGGTAGGTGAGACGCGGATGGAATTTGACTACTATTTTGATGACGGTACGGGCGGAACTGAAGGGTTCGAGGAATACTTCAAGTTCGTGAGGAAGGTCGCGCTTGAAGATTTCGAGCTTTGTGAAGTCGCTCAGGAGAACCTTGAGAGGGGTGTCTATTCGCAAGGCGTCTTGAACCAGGTGAAGGAGAGTGGTGTTTTACGTACGTTGACTCCATTTCCTGTTTCTTCTTCCGTAGTTTCTTCCCAGTGTATCCGCAGGGCGGTAGGATGCGTATCCGATACCTTCCCGGAGGAACTCCCCCAAAAAGGACCCCGCGGATCAGCCATGCCTTTGTCAGTCCTTGTGAGCCTTGACTGACTGCAGCGAATTCCCTAGATTACCAGCAACTGACGAAAAAGATGGTGATGGAGAAGTTCAAGCAAGAAGAAGCCCAGAAGAATGCCCTCAGCCAGGGGGGTAGTAGGCATAATGCAGCTGGCGTGGGATACAGTGTCGCGGCTCCAGAAGAGGTCCCTATCTTGGCTGGAGTTTGAGATGGGTAGAGTGTCGGAGTTGGCTAGTTTCATTTCTTGCTCACGTCGATCTTTACTCGTAGTCGCTAGCAGCCAGCCAGAATGCTCACCATCTTTCGCTAAAGACGCGACTATCGCCTATTATGCAGCACGCTCCTTTTCCATTTCCAGTTCCATTTCTCGTTCCTCCGCCTCCGCCTTGTCAATCTGCTTCAAGATGAAGGCAATGGTCGCATCACGCGCCTTCTCGAGCTGTCGCAGCCGTGGCATTGGCATGTGACTGTAATCCATCGCTTGGGGTTTCGTAGCACGCGCGCCCGTTGGGGAACTACTACTGACAGCAGGAGCTGGAACAGGAGTAGCAGCAGGAGTGGATTTTGCTGCCGCATCGCCATCGCCATCGCCATCGCCGTCTCCTCCTGCGGACAGCGTGGGCGGGACTAGCGTCCGGGAACTCTCGCCACCAGGATCAGCGGCATCGGCATTGCTTACAAGCCTAGTAGGCTCAGAGGAAGTAGGCGGGGACGGTACAAGAGCCGTGGGGGAGGCCGTGACTTTGTGCGTCTCCTGCATTGCCTTCCTCTTCTCGGCCAGCAACGCCCGGAGCACCACAATGCTACTGTCTCGATTGCCCAGTTGCTCGACGAGCCGCAGGCGCTGCCCTTCCTCCGCGACCGACAACTGCTGAGGTTTCGAGTCGCTTGGGGAGATCGATGCCGGTGCCGGTGCCGGTGCTGCAGCACCGGCAGTGGCACCATCATCGGTCTTCAGCCGCTTCCCCCTGCCGTCATCACCAACACCGCCACCAACATGCCGCCTCCACTTCGCGACCGCTTCCCTCGCCACGTTCTCAATATGCGTGAAGCGCACGGGTCCCAGGAGCACACCGCCGTACCAGCGCGCGACGACGACCGTGCCCTGGACGTTCAGCTCGTTCAGCACGCGCTCCAGCCGCTTGCCCGCGTACCTCTCGCCGTCGTCGTCCGAGTTGGTCGTGTACGTGACGTTTGCGCCTGGGTCTGCCGGGTTCGTGTTGTTGAGAGGAGCAGGCACCAGCGTCCGCTGTGTAGATGCCCGGCGCCACGCCGCGATGCGGTGGTCGGCTGTCGCGAATGCGGGGTGGTTCTGGAAGCTTTTAATCGTTTGGGTTAGAGATGTTGGCTTTCCCTTGGTATGGAGACTGTTCGGCCTCGCGGCCGGGTTTGCATCGTGTGGGTGGAAGTGTGCGATGAAGGTCGATGCCCGGTCCGTTATTGGAGATGACTTGAACACATTTTGTTGGTTGCCGCCGTCGCCGCCGCCGTCGCCGTCGCTTAGTCCGCGCTTGTTGCAGGCTGTGCTCATCGTGGCTTAGGTGTTGGTTGATCTGACGAGTGCCGAAAAGTGTATCCCAACGCCCGGAATTGGGACCATTATATCGTGACTGGTGCACAATATACACGGTTGGCCAGTGTTTGTATCGATCTTCTCTCTTTTTATTTAGTGGCAGGCTGCCTAATGTGGTGGGATCTTGAAGTGGAAGTCGTTGGATGATGAAGGATTGATTAATTAGGCAACAAGGCTGCCATATCCGGACAAGCGCGAGCCGGCGAAACCTCTATATTGAGAGCTGAACATACTACCAATGCGTCAATGTGCAAGTGGTGGAAACGGATATCCTGAGTCCTGAATACTATGGACATGTTGTTTAATTGATCGACCGTTTGATTCACGGCGGCAACTTGAGGGTTTACATGAGCCTATGTACATCTGCTGCCTGTCATGAGGATTACAGGCCAGAGTCTCAACGCCACTCATCAAGTGCTATTATGTTGACATTACCTGTCGGATGTTTGTACATTGGGGTTGTCAACTCATTGTTGCATCCTGTGGTCTGATTGGCACTGATAGCCTTAAGGTCTTCGAGCATATAGCAGCCGAAAGAAAGAAAAAATGAATGCTCTCCCGCCCCTCCCATCATTATCGTTATCATCATGGTTGAGATGTAATCATTAGCCCGAAAATTAGCATGCTGGCCGGTAAGAACTTGTCTTACTTTAGGACCTTCAAGGTCTCACTCATTTCCATGTCCTCGGGAATGTGGATACATGGTAACCCCTGGCGGCTCAAACCTCGAATATCGCTGCCAAGCTGAGATAGATGGGTCAGTCTCACAATTACCACGTCTCGTCTCTCCTATACCACCATCAATCGCCGTTGCCATAATGAAGCCCAGCTAATAAGCCTCTGAGTATGTTGTTGAGAGCATGACTGAATTAGATTCACCGTCACTGTGTGGGAAAAGTTGATTTGGAGGCAGACAATGCCGAAAGGATATTACCGCCTCGCCGTGCAGGACATCAAGAGCAAACCTATTGTAGCCCCGAGATTCGTGAGATTCAAAATTCGTGTCATCGTGATTTGCGATGCTTCAATACGCCTAGTTATGTCCCAGGAGCTCACGGTAGTTGTTTACGATCCATTCCGCGATAGAAAAGTCGCATGCTCAGACGCAGCCTGGTCGTATTGTGCTTGCAGTACCAGAGCGATATCTTCCTCCACACGAAGGTTGCGCTTCTTCCTTGCACTGACGCGCAAGGAACAGTGTCTCTTGAAAAGTATCCGATCGTGTTGAAGACAAAATGTGAGACGCCACCTGTTCAGGGGATGACATAATGCTGGCCATTGGGTCACTTCCACTGCCGGCAGATGCACTCAATTTCTTCAGCGAAATTTGTAAAGGTTCCACAGCAGACAGTTTGGACGGTGAGTCCATGCTCTTTGGCGAATCGCCAGAAGTTAGAAGTCCAGCTGGTTTAGTGCGTCTATCCTCAAACTCTGTCTCCTCAAATTTCTCCTTGGCGAATCTTGCGGTGGATCCACTTTGCTTCCGTTGCAGCTGATGCCGTTGTTGTGAAGGCACTCGAGTGGCCATCCTGCGCGACTTGCCTCGTTCGAAAATCGCCCTCTTAAGTCCACGTGAACCATTCCTTTCATTGGAAATGGTACGCTGTCGAGTGAGCGTTGGCCTGGCATTCGATCCAGTTCTGGATATTGATGCCTTTTCCAACTGCGCGGCAAGATTGCTTGATTGAGTGGCCCCGCCAACTTCCAGCATATCTGTCCAGTCTAGCTCATTGTCCTCATCATCGTCAGAGGCCACTGCACTTTCGGTGGTACCTATCATATCGAACTCGCAAGGCTTCTCGAACTTGCGAGCTGGTTGGGGACCAGTCTCTTGTGTTTCTTGAATGGCAGCCAGCCCAATCATTGACGCTGTACTTCCTTGTTGGCTAAAACGTCTGCTGAAAAGGCCGGAACGATTTGTTCTGGGATTGAACTTTTGGTCAACGTCACTATTTGGGCTTGTCATGCTCAGAGAGGATAAGTTGGAGTCTCTGCGATAGTGACCGGACCCTTCCTTAAATGAGCTGTTGGCGCTGGAGGTGGTCGAAGCGCAGAATCCACGACTAATCCTAGTACCAGTCTTCAAGTCGAGATATTCTTCTGCCACAGTAGGTGGACGGCCCATATCTGAGCTACGTGAGCTAGCAGCGCTGTTTGTGCGAGAATGGTGTGCTTTGTACATTCTCCAGGACTGGTGGTCAAGACCAGCAGGGGGATCATCTCCAAGGTGGCTCACAAAGAGGCCTTTGACATCATAAAAGTGACGCTCAAGATGCTCCATTTGCCATTCCGGTGGGGCGTCCACTGACCTCCGGAACCTGCCAAAGCCGCTCATCTGAGGCATGGGAGGAAGTGGCTGTTCATCAACATTCCAGACATTACTCTGGCTGTAATTTCTCTTCAATTCATCATGCGTCAAGTCACGAGCAGTGATGTCTGGTGGACCGCAGGGGGATTTCAATATAGCAGTGGTTGGAAGGAGAGGCGAGGAAGCACTTCTCTCGAAATGAGGCGGTTGCACAGACCGAATGGAACCCTCGCTCCTTCTGGGATCTGGATTGGGAGTGTTATGCCTGGTGTAGATTGACGGCGTTGCTGATCACGTTGGTCAATTTGATTCAGGGTAAAGTTTGGACTCTTTGCTTACGGCTGGGTGTGTCAAGTCGGGGCTCATTAGTCACCGCTTTGACATTCTTCATGATTTCTTCAACATGCTTGTACTGGCGCTCGAGCTGTTTCTGTTCGCTTCTCTCGGCCGTTCCTTTGTGGCACATCAGAATGAGTTTCCGGATGTGAGCGATAGATGAAGGACATCAGCTTACCGCGACCAACCACAAACCTCGCAAGGTTGTCCCAGGCGAACATCTTTGCGTTCAATGAGAGATCCGGAGAATTATGATAGAATGCTTTGTGGATGACGCAGCGGGAGCGGATTTCTGAGGGGAGAGCCGCTGAGGTGGATGACAAGTACGTATGAAGTCTAAAAGACTAAGTAGAAGTCGCGTGGAGAAGGGGGGGACGGGAGAGGTCAAATCGGGACAGGAGAGAAGAGGTAGAGATTAGAAACAGCGGACTTGATTATCGTCGACGGCTCGGATGGAAGTAGAAATTGTGCGATGCAGTGACATTAGACGGTAAGGACAGGTGAAAGTAATGCAAACAGTAAAGTCGACTTTCGTATTCATGCGTCCAACGCTACAAACGGGCGGCTGAGCGAATGTGAATGCGAATGCGAATGTGAATGCTGCAGAGGAGTGAGTGAATATGGGAGTGGGATTGAAAATGAAGGCGACGGTGAGGGTGAAGCTGAAAGAGAGAATAGTAAAGGTGCAGGAGGCAGTGAACGTGAGATTAGAAGTGAAGGTGGAAGTGAATGTGAATGTGAGGCGGTCTTTGCAAGGCTGCTTCCGATTGCCACCCATTGATCGCTCCTGCCGATGTTGCTGCTGCTGTTGATGCCAACGCCAACGTTGAAGGGATCCTTCCCCCGCCGCCTTTGTCACCGTTTTGCAAGCCTTGCGAGCCTTGCGAGGCTGCAGGAACAGCAGCCTCAACAGCAACCCCAAGACAAAGACGATGACGATGAGGGGGTGGTAGCGCTTCACCGTCTGGATCTGGGTGCTCTTTCTGATCACTCGCTCCTTCCAACCAGCATCATTACACTGCTTGTCAAGCTCACAATGTTCAGTGGTTGCCAGTCGAGCGTCAATGACAAAAAGCATTAAACAACAGCACCAGGAAAAGGTCAATCAATGGGCCTGGCAGCAAACTTCCTATTCCTTGATCTGGACATGTCGGTAAGGCACATGAAGACAAAGAAGTAGGAAGGAAAAGTACTTATTCCCCATGTCTCTCAGTGTTGGTCCCCCGAAGCCAGACCGACCATCCCTGAGTGGTTGACGATGTGGTACAAACTCCAGACTCGCCGTCCGTCTCTTGCTGGTCTCACTTTCCCTGTTTGAAATGAGGCCAGGGATGAGCAGGAGCCTTTGGTTTAGCTCCAGTGCTTGGTTTGGTTTGCAACACCGTCCCCATCAGCCAGATCCCTCGGAGGCTGAGACGGCTGTTGATCAATGGCAACCACGTCGTACACTGACTTCTCGCTGTGTACATACTAAAGTTTTGCCAGAGGGCTGTCCATGTTACATCATATATAGGTAGAGGGGAAATTGGGTAAGTGGCCTCGCTTAGTGAGGTTCAACCAGCTTGTACAACTTGAATGATCAAACAAACAGGGATCTACGAGGATGAGATCCTATTCCAGGGATATCTGCGGCACACTCCACGGACAAAGCATTGGATAGGATATGACAGGCTGTGAAGGCAGACGGTCTGCAAGGAAGTCGGAAGATAGGTTGGTGGGTGCTATGGAACCAGGCGCCGAAATCCACGAATGCAGGAATCGTACGTGCGTGTTTGGGGTCTCGTAGAATGGAATCTGGGAATCTGGGAAATAGAGCAGAAAACCCCAGATCTGCCACGTCCTTTGCAGTCGCTGGACACCAAGGGAGGACAGGATGGGGATGTGAAGAGCTGCAAGAACCCGCACGGGGCCATCGGAACCACATGCCGCTGATATTGGCTGTCCTTTGTGCCCAGCCAAAGCTGATAGGTGGCTTATCGCAAACGAACCGTGTCAGTGACAGGTATGATAGGTGCTGTGAAGAATCTGGTCGTTTGGAAACGGGCAGCCTGCAGCAGAAATAAAGAAGCAGAGATTTTGAAGGGAAGAGGTGGGAGGCCGTGGGAGGAGGCCGGACTTAGTGGGGTGGTCCGGACACTAGAGAGGAGAAATCAACCCTAATTTTAAGGCTATCAGATGTTACGGAGTCCGGATACGTGAAACAGGGCTTAGTACGCCCGCTACGGGGCACTAGTGCAGTTAGTGCGTGATAGGCGAATCTCACCCGCATCAGAGTTCGAATCCTCAGGAACAAACTTGGCATCTCATCACGCAAGTTCAACCGTTGGTGATTAAATCCCCAACCACAACAAGGCTCGAAGTTTTCAGTCAAGGAGCCCGCAAGTACGACAGCTTCCACCAAAGTCTGCTCCGTGGTGAGGTATTCAAAGACTAGGTTCCCTTTCCTCCGAAAACTCCTACCTTTCTCCTAAAGGTCCAGGTCCTCCGCAATTAAAAGGATACACCGCCAACCGCTCGCTTATCGAGGAACCACCGGCACAATATGGCAACGTAAGTCCCAGTCCTCCATTGCACAGCATCATTCCGCTGCCCATTTCCCTTATCCTTTGCAATGTACCTGCAGAAGGAGTCTTCAAACGAAATCTGTCGTCGGGCCTATTTTCTCGTCAAGAACTACCGTACAATTTTGTCCTATTACAACCCTGGCCTTTGCGTTTGACCTGGTCACCAACAACCAGGACCAGAAACCCCACAAATACACATTCATTTCAAATCATGACATATTTCGCAAACAATGTGACGTCAGGAGAGATACTTACATGCTCCTCTAAAACAGCAACATCCACTACCACCCAACGCCTTTGACGCCCAAGATCCGAGCAGGACTCCGCCAACAACAGGGCCTGACGATCTGGCTGACAGGACTGTCCGCGAGCGGCAAATCGACCATCGCGGTGGCGTTGGAACAGGCACTGTTACGCAAGCCGTACAACAAGGCGGCCTACCGGCTGGACGGCGACAACATCCGGTTTGGGTTAAACAAGGACCTAGGGTTCTCGCCCAAGGACCGCGAGGAGAACATCCGGCGCATCGCCGAGGTGGCCAAGCTGTTCGCTGACTCGGCCACCTTCGCCATCACCAGCTTCATCAGTCCCTACCGAGCGGACCGCGACTTGGCCCGCCAGTTGCACGAGGCTGAGCGGCCCGGCGGCGACCCAGGCGTCCCCTTCGTCGAGGTCTGGATCGATGTCCCCGTCGAGGTCGCCGAGCAGCGCGACCCCAAGGGCCTCTACAAGAAAGCTCGTGAGGGCAAGATCCCCGAGTTCACCGGCATCAGTGCCCCCTATGAGGAGCCCTTGAAGCCCGAGATCCATATCCACAGCGACAAGACTAGTGTCGAAGATGCTGTCAAGATCATCGTCAAGTATCTCGAGGACAAAGGCTACTTGACCACTCCAGAAGCTGTGGACGATGAGGCATAGAGTACCTGCTACTGTGTGGTCATGCTCTTGGCGCCTTCGGGTCGAGGTTAGATGAAAAAACCAAGACGGCTAGGGCTATTTACGTAGCTAGGTAATACTGCCGGTATATACAGTCATCGCTCGCTGTTCGTCTCATATATATCGTCCTGCAGGGGGGACTTTACATCTTTCTGCCCCTAACTTTCCACGTTTGCGCCAGCAACACTTCTTGTCGTTCCATACCTCTCCTCTCGTTTCTTATTGCCCTCCACTCCCCTCCCCCACTCCCCACCTTTCTTCCCCAACTTTATCATCCCCCAAGCATGCTGCCATCCAAGCTTCGGAGGCGGCTCAGAGCTCGTGCGGAATGGACTAGCATAGTGCTTGAACAGTGCATCAGACCTTGCGTTAAAATCTCCACTGGCACCAGCCACGGCATCATTCGATACACTTTCAGTCGCGGCCTTGCCGACAGTCACAGGCTGCTCCCACGTTCGAGACTCTTGCCCAACGGGTCTCCACCATTCGTCAACATCCCTCCCCCGACGCTCATCCCACCATCTCCGCCCACACATTTCCCACAATCGGCTTCTGGCCCGCTTGTACGCGAACCGCTCATCTTCACCCGTCAATGCGCTCGTTTGCGTAAAGTCTGGCCCTTGCCTCAATTCATGCTCTGCCATCCCTGCCGGTCCTAGATCTAGATTGGTTGTCCCAGAGGATGCTCCCTGGCTACGTCCATTCCCGTATGTAGGCCCAAAGTCGGCGTCTTCATCCGCAAGCATCGAGCGTAGAGAAGGTGATTCCAAGGATCTTGTGAATGATAGTTGTGATGGAATCGCTGTTACGTTGTTCCTCTCCGTGTAAGATGTGATGTTCGGGCGAAAAGGGGCAGTCGAGTCCTGGTACATCTCGGAGAACGCTTCGGACGTGATTGAGTCAGAATCACTCTCTCCCTCTGAAGGAAATCCACCAGGAGGAGTAGGGGCACCATCATTGGAGTAGCGTAATTTTCGTCCCCTCTCTGGAAAGAACAATTTGTCCGGGGGAGCCTCTGCCTCGACGAGTAGACGGCATCGTGCCTCATAGAGTGCATCTAGCAGTGTAATGAAGCGTCGGGCTTCGTTCTTCTGCAGAACAGTCAGGACTGGCACGTCTGTTATGATAACGGTGTGGAATGTCGAGCAAAGCGAAACGTAATCCGCTGGGCCAAGATAGCTGGTGCATAAGGAAGCGAAAGACTCTTTCAGAATGCCCGAAGAAGTGCAAGGCAAATGCAGCTGCCTTGCGTAGACGGTCAACGTGCTTGGGATCCAAGTATCGGAGGGGTTGAGGGACAGAATGTCTTGGTGGAGGGATGTGGTTGTTGAACCCGGTTGTTCGACCATGGCTATGTGATAGTGTTGTGGTGAGTCTGATGAGGATTGCATTTCCTTTGTGAGAGCCGTTGTAGCTCCTTCGGACAAAAAGGTCGTCGTCGATTCGACAGGATTTCCGGTCGAACATTCCACATCTGTAGCATCTTGACTCTCCGAGTTTTCCGGCGCATAAACCTCATCCTCTTGCACTTCACGCCTCCAATCCCTTTCCCCTTCCATCTCCCACACCTCACACCTTGCCTTCAGGACTTCTAGGAACATACCAAAGTCGCTTTTCGCCTGCAGTTCCCCGGGACCCTCCCGTCTGGCACCCCATCCTAGGCCCCAAACCCCTCCGCCGCCGCCCCAGCCTTTTGCGCCTCTCCCGCCGAACTCTATTCCTGCCGCTTTGCTCAATTCCTCGGGCATGCGGTTCGAACTGGCGATCAAGACTCCACCCAAATGAAAAAACGCCGTGAAGAATGAGTTTATGAGTTTCGACGCCGTCCGATCGGGCATCTGGAACTCGTCAAGGAACAGGATCGGACTATCGCTTATAGTATCCTTGGCGAGGCTGAGGACAATATGCTCGTTTTCGCTGATGCCATTTCCAGAGCCGAACAGCCAGTAACCGCCTTCATTCCCGGCAATATTCTGGAACTCGAGTCGATCTATTCTCGTTGTTTCGATTCGTCGGTATAAGTCTAACATGAACGTATTATAATGCCAGCGTCGCTTTTGCCGTGATGGAAGAGAACTGTACAATAGGTCCAGGAGCATGGACTTGCCCCGCCCGACTTCCCCGTAGAGCAACATGCCTTGTGGTGAGGATATCGTCAAGGCTGAGTTGTGCAGGGGTGCTGTACGGATCAAGGCAAGCGTTTCGGAGGGAGACGCCTTCATTAACGCGGAAAGCCTGAAGCCTCTTGACCCAGGCTTGTGATCCCGTCGAGCCGAGGCGGACGATGCCCTATCCTGCTCCAAGACATCCTGTCCCGGTTCATTCTGGCGCCTCCTGATAACGCTCCTTCTTGCGACCCGTTCTAGACGATAGCGATATTCCACCTCGGGAGCATAGTCCTTCAGGCGGAAGTACAGCTTCTGGAGTTGAAGAGCAAGACGATGTTGAGCTGGGTCGGGTTTGATCTTCTTGGTAGAAACAAGCGCCCGGTAAAGCACCAGTGGATTTGTTATACTCAGACTCAAATTTGCAGCCACTCCAGGGGATGCCGAGCGCATTGGGACGCCGATTGCCAATGCGGAGTACAGACGGTTTTTTGGGGGGAATGGGGGCAGAGCTACCCGTAGGAAAGAAGAGGAAAGAATAGGGATTGATGCTATAATTTATTCATGCATGACGGAATATATCTGTATTAAACAATGAGCGTCTAGAGGTGTTGTAGAAGAGTTGAATACACCCGGGGTAGTCGAGAGAAGATGATATCACGCGAGGATTTGTCTCAAATGATATCAACACAAAGCAATCAGATACTCCCCCGTAATTTGAACGGCGCGCAGAGTGGCCTCTGCACGCAACTGCTTCAGCCGTGTCACGTGACTTGGAATCACTCTTCAAATGTTGTGTTCAACATCTTGCGAGACTCCTCCCGTGGGCCTGAAGAGTAGAATATTTTTCTCCTTTGTTTTCACATCAAGAGTCCGGACTGCCTGTGAGTCTGAAAAGGGAGTACGATCAAACAGTGAACACAGTCATAACCGCAAAGATCTATGGCTATCATAATAGTCATATTGATCCGCGATCCAGATCGCACCTCCAGGCCGCCACAGTGCGATGTTGGTTGGCACAAAGCAGGAGCAACCATGTCGATCCGCCACCGTCCTGGATTTCCTGGCCTCAGAAATGCTACATCGATTGCTAATTCGATTCCAGCCCGCCTCAGACGTCCAACAAGGCGTGAAGCAAATGCGTTCTCAGTACTGGCCGGCTCTCTTGATTGGCAGCCTATCCAAAGAATGCCTTTTCAACAGAGCTGCTGACAGGCACTTCTGCCTTTACCCTCAAAACTCTGCGAGGCCTCTCCTTCTTGCCGACGACATCGCGTCCGTTGGTGGTCCTGGCCCCAGCAGATGAGCTGGGTCGCTCCGGAAGCTCTGTCTTTGCATCGGGGTTCAGGTCGCTGGTCCTCAAGCTTCGTGTCCGGTGGTGTGCTGTATTCTGCTTCCTTGGGAGAAGTTTGTCGTTACCGCCATCACGTCTTGCTTCAGACGCAATACCCACCGCCGAGTCAACATGAAATGGGGGCAGCCGCTTGGCTACCCTTGCTGCTGTACTGGGACCTAAGAGTAAGGCCCGTGGTTGAGGTTTATTCTTGGAGACCTCTAGCTCGTCGTCTGAATTTGAGGGATCTGAGCTTTCGTCTCTGGCGCTGGATGATTTGTATGCTCGGCCGAGACTTCCCCGTTTCGATTGGTGTTCTTGTGCTGGCGATTTCAGACCCGAAGCAGACCTTCTGGTGCGGTATAATTGATGTGAATAGCTCAGTTCCTCGGTTTTAAGCGGCGAGTCCAGGGCGGTGCCAGCAAGTGTTTCACCCTCCTTCAACTCCACCTCGTCACCGCCCTGCTCGCCATCCTCCCCATTCCCGAGCACTTCTTCCTCGTCCTCTTCCTCGTCCTCTTCCTCGTCCTCTTCCTCGTCCTCTTCCTCGTCCTCTTCCTCGTGGCCTCTCTTATAGTCTTCGTCGCTGTTCTCCTCGTCTGAATCGCTTTCTATCCAATGACTTTCGATTTTGGATCTAGAAGTGCGCTTGGAGGGAGTTTCGGCAAAACTAAGGGAGCGATCGCGTGAATTATTCGACTTGCTACCAGTATTATGCCTTACCTTGCGCCCTTGGGGAGTCGTTTTCGGTTTAGACTCTGTAAATTCTTGTTTCTTTCGTTCAGATGATCTCAGTGGAAAGCCATGGGCTAATTCCTTCGAGTTTGATGAAGAAGAGCGCACTCGTGTCTCGTCTTTATAGCGACGCGTCATGTTTTCCGCGGAGCGAGATTCCGTAGCATTGGCAGGCGTACCGCCTCTATCGCCGGTTCCAGAGTCGGCTATCAAAGGGCTGCTCCTTTGGAAACCTGGAGATTTCTTTCCGAGAAAGTCATAGTTTGGGGAGGGTGATCGATGCGTGGGAGTTTGCTGGGGTATAAGCCCATCCCACTCCAGGGAATCATTCCTTGGGAACAGATCTTCTAGTGTCTGAGGTGTCTTACTCTCCAAACTCTCTATGAACGTTTTCAATGCGTGCTGCCACTCAGGCTTCAGTCTGCCGTCATCTGAGATTGTTTCGTAAGGGGCTAGAAGCATCCAGCTCCAGACAAGCTCGACAACGGACATTGCCTTCTCGAATTCGATCCGATACCATTCTCGGTGTTTCTTCACTGGCGCACACTCGCACATATGGAGATCATATCGATATTTGGAAAGAGCCTTATGGACAATCTGCTCGCACCTGAAGGCTCCAACAAACCTGCCTGTGTGTTGTCGATTTATGAGTCTGAACTTGCATTTTTCGACGCCCGCGGATTGTGAATCATTATACAAGTTCGAAAACCCAATTTTGACAGATCCAGATCTTTCTTGAACTACATAAACAAAACCACTCTTCTTCTCCTTCTCCCCTTTGAGGTCCTTCCCGACCAGTTTTATTACATCTTTCACGTACTGTTGTTCCAGATGGTTCACAACCTGATAGTAGCTCTTTCGCGGGGTGCTATTGTCGGAGCCTTGCGCCTGCCTCCCCAATTCCGGCATCGTGATCTGATCGAGTAATTCTTCGACGCAATCGTGAAGAAGAGGAAACAGGAGTCATCAAATTTTTCCACACCTCTGAGTCCGAGGCTGATAATGTCGTTCTTCGCCAGCCACCGCAGGCAGCAAATGAATAATGGGGGAGGGGAAGCTTTGTCCAGCTCCCATGATCCAAGAGGCGAGGCTACATGGTGAAACAGGGTGGCTGGTAGCACTTGGGGCTATTTACTTACCTCTTCGAGCTTGTAGAACCAGGTACATATCTAGTCCCGCAGCCAGATTATCTGTCCACAAGACCAGGCGAGACCAAACCCTAGCACACCAGGTTGTCTCATCGACCTTACGAGTAGTAAGGAGTATTGGGGGCAGATAACCTTCATACCTCTACTTCTGCGAGCAGTCTTCACGTAAAATGAGCTTATTGGTGTCCATGAACCTTGAGAAGTGCATATTCCTGTGGCGTTCAGTACGACTCGAGTCCAAAGCCATTCGTACCCTCTCGCTTAAAAGGAGTAGTGAAGTGAGTACGGAGAGCGAGTGCTAGGAATTGAGGTACTTTAGCCGCGCGCATGACCCTAGAGTGGGACCGCGAGGAAAGGACCATGATTCAATGGTGTAGCTGCATTCGTTGGAGGCGGGAAGACTCCTTCCGAGCAAGGGTACCTGTAGAATAATTCGAGCGCTATGTTTAGCTGGCACTTAACTGTCTTGGATATACTGGACGGATACATGCTCGTAACCCTTTGTCTTCTTGAATGGGACTTCAAGTCTGACGGGAATGCACGGTTGACGAACCAGCGTTGATTTTCATGCACTCCTTCGCGATACGCTTCTAAAGTCGTCTACTATGAGAATCACAATCACCGTAGGAGAGGAATGAGCCTCGAGCGCCGTTGCCCCTGTGTGGTGCGTCGTGCATGAGACATGCAGGGTAGTGGAGATGTGGCTTGGGGCGATGTCACCATACGGCGGCTCTGGCTGAGATATGGAGTAGATTTATCAGAACCAAAACATCTCCAAGGTCATGCGCATAACCTCGCAAAGGGCTCCGCAAGGCAGATACTTGAATTTGGCGATGTCTCGATCAAGCGGGTCAATTCGGCGTGCAAAGTCAGCGTTGTAGCGCAGATCCAGCGGCTTCACTCCGGGGGCCAAAGCCAGACGGCGAAGCCCTGTGCTGATTTGGACGCATAAGTATCTCCCAACACAAGGATGAATTGAGGTGCAAGACTGTCTTTCTGTGAAGGAACAATTTGACCACGCGCTCTTGGTTCCTCTGCATGGCTAGACTCAAAAGATGATATAGACCATGCTCCCGAACGAGTTGAGGGCTGTGGTGGAGACAACAAGTAGTGCGGTGGGCCCTCATGCTTCCTGCCATCGCTGGACTAATTACAGGGTGAAAATGACCCATCAGTCCATCAGTATCCTGTAGAGAGCGCTCAGTATTCTACGTAAGAGCAGTGGGAGGAGCTCGGAGCTCGAAATGCATAAGTCTTTGCAATAGTTCCACCAATCAAGCTTCGCTCAACCTCGAAGGCTGCCTGAAACCACGAGACTAGGTAGACAAAATAGCACGAGTGCTTTCCAACTTGACAGGACGGCTCGTACCTCACACCGAGTCTAAGAGCGAAGAATTGCTTCCACAAGATTCCCCAAGTGCAATTGAAAAGGCAGGAAATTTGAGGCCGAGTGCAAGACAGACGAGGGACTTACGAAGTTTATGAGCCAGCCGTTTAACGGCCTCATTCAATGAACTGGCGTTCGTCAAGTTTGCGATGTGACCATATGAGGAAACGCCGCCCACCCGCGTCTTCTGCCCTTAGGCCCGAAAAGCTGTGACAAGATGTAGTCCAAGTTGACCGGGACCAGGGGACGAATTGGTGAGATGACTGACTCGATGCACATGACAGCAACTACCATTTTCGCCCCCGGTTGACCTTATTCTCAGTGCCCTCCAAGGCGGTGATATTTCACGTCATCGGCCCATAATCAAGTAACGTGGGGATTTCACAGACCACCTGTTGTAGACGCAAAGATAACAACAAAAAGGTTCGCTGGCTCCAGGCGCTAGTGTAAGCACAGGCCTCTGATGGCTTGGGGTGACTTGGGAGATCACAACAGTCCACGCTCGGCGCCATACTTGAAATCATAACACGAACCTGCTATCAAGGACTTAGTAGGCGATGAGGCTGATATCGAGCAAGATGAGATACTTCATGAACGTCCCAGCTGTCGCGTGCTCTCGGAATCCCGTTCCCAGACCTTCACGCAATGACCGTGGATGCCTGCCCACTTTCCGCTAAGGCCCAAGCGAGCTGAGACAAGGATGGGGTTTGGATTGGGGACCCCCGCAAACATGTTCCCTGAGGCTGCCCATAGTTCTCACAGACTCTCCCATCGCCAAATACAATCCTGAATACCTAGCTAGTCACTTGGTAGTTATCTTAGTTGTGGAAAGTTCCGAAGTCAGCAACAACACGTCGAGTTAAAATTTGTGGCCGTTGCTACCATGAAAAGAAAGTATGCCGACGGCTCCAAAACCTTAAAGAGACACCGAGTTCATCACTTTCTAACCTCCGACATCGACGTCCAAGCTCGCAGCTGAAGTCATGCAGTACTACCCCATGTGATTGTGGAGGGTAGCCTCGGTTAATGGCAAATCTCAAGCAGATCACAATTTGGCTTCCGGTCGCCAGAGCATCTGACTTGTCAAAGCAGTGAGCTGTCATCACAAACACAAACGCGCTTCAGAACCCAAAATCGGGATGCAGAGGTGAACTTAGACACCGAAGGACCTGGATACCAATAACAGATGTATCATGACCTCATATCGACTCTTTTGAGTTTCATTACTCGGCTTGCGTCGAAGGATCATTAGGTCTGCTAATATGGACCTCAGTTTGGGAGATCATCGAGGAAGACCCCTCCTTTGGCGCCCGTTGCGTTGAGCAGGACCGGGAGATTCTTTCGTGCAGATTGGTCTCAACTAGATCAGCAGCTAGGCTAGTTGTACTCAAAGCAGAAAAGACGATGTCCGAGCGTGAACAAGCAGCCAACGAAATTGCATGCCTGAAGCATAGACTTTCCACAATTCGAAGCCATGAGAGCCCTATGCTCATTTGTTGATGGGTGTCAATCTCCTTATTGGCGCCCGTTGCTTCCGTGATATCAAGTGGGAGCAGTACCCTTGAACGTTTGATCGGTTATTGAAAGCACCCTGCCAAGATTAAAAGTGAATTGTGCTCATGCCACTTGTTCGCCTAAGGATAGCGCACCGACCTCGAGCGTCAGAGCATGTTCCTTTGACCTCTTATTTAGGAGCCTCGTTGAGGAAGACAGGTGACGCTCTCTGTGAAAGGTCGAGCTTGCGTAAAACTCCTTGTTTCCAGATATCGTGGTCTCCTATCGGTCCAGCTGATCAAAGAAAGGGAATCATATTCTCAAATCTCATTCGACGCCACACCAAGACGAATAGCTCTCAATGTCCTGAAAGACTATGTCAACGAAAAATCGTCTTTTGTGACTGGGGATGGCATGGGAGGTCAAGCAAGAACGGGTGGTGCTTCGCCTACGTAGACGAAGCAGAATTTGATGCAGAAGAAGACCTGAGAGTCTATAAGAGAACGAAACCAGATGACTGCGGGGAGACGCTCTGCAAATTTGTCAATTCGCAGCTACGGAAGAATTCAAACCTGAAAGGGTCGAAGGGATGGTGGGTGGCCAACTCAACAGTTTGTCGATTGATCTTTGCTAAGCTGAAATAGGCAATTTGTATGTCTCATTGAAGATGGGAAGCAACACAGTGTACCAGTGCATAGACGGGATCGAACACCGCGGACAATGCTACAATGCTGCTGTTCGAGAGAGACATCCCCTGCACTTGTGCGGGCAGACAACATTCATTAAAGCACTCGAGCGAGAAGAACCTGAAGAATGCAATCGAGATCGAATCGCCAGGCTCGCGCTCAGTCAAGGGTGTCCATACTCCTCCTCCTCAGTATCGAGGCCGGCTCTCAACTTGGGCAACCTTGTATGAGGACGATGGGACATATGTGCAGCATAAGGCATGACGGAGTGAATGGGCTGCCCGCGGCAGTCTTTGTACCGGGTGTGCAGTCCGCGAAGAAGTCGACTACCCTCAAGTAACGAAAGAAACGACATAGAAACGAATGGATACTAAACGCCCTTTGGCAACGACATGGGCATGGGACTGGGCCATGAGCTTCCAGCCTCAAGTAGCGGCACATGCTACGTTAATGATATATATGGCACTGTCTCCAACTTTATATTTAGAAACTTCCCAATCTACTGGTACAGCTTCTGTTTTGGCCCGTGCAAAAGGGCTGGGGTACGAGTCCAGCCACAAGCAATTTCAAGGTAGTTATCGTCTACAATTGGTATCAGTGATGATCAGCGACATTCAAGCTATAACAAGAGCCAAAAATTTCTACATCTTGCCACTATACAATACACTAGTTCCCATTGAAGCCATCAGCAGCTTACCACTACTATATATTCATCCACAGCTTGTTCGCGCACGTCTAGGCTAGAGTTTGGGTGTTCAATGTTACCAGATCACGAGGCTGAATGCCAGCCTTGCCAATGGCTGCGTGGGGGAAAATCCATGCGGCTTATCCTCGGATCAAGTACATGCGGAAAACCGGACGCTGTAGCAAGCGTCCACATTTGCAACACTTCCACAGAAACAAACGACGTTGAGATTGGAAAAGACTCTAGATTTTCCGAGTGTCTCTCATAGACGACGCATTCCTTCAGCCGAATACCCACCATCAGGTTTTGCAGGCCAACACGTTCCGACATGGGGCTCGACGAACAAAAGGAAGAACGAGAGGTTCTCGACTCCATATTCCCAGATGAAATCACAGGTCAGTTCATGGTGGTGTTGCTCTGCCGTTTGTTTCCAGGCTGATAATACTGCCTACAGATGTTTCTGACTCCTCTTATCGGATATCGATCACCCTCGACGTACCAGAAGACCCCTCTGATGAGGATGCCGAGCCACCTGTTATTCTGCTCAATGTGACTTATCCAGAAGCATATCCTGATGTGGGACCTTATTTAGACATTACGACCCCGCCCAATGCCTACAGACACCCCGAACTGGATGTAGCAGAGGACAAAGCCGAGCTGCTCCAGGCACTTGTGCCGACGATGGAAGATTCACTTGGAATGGCCATGATCTTCACGCTGGTCACAACCTTGAAAGAAGCAGCGGAAAGCCTCATTACCGATAGACTGCAAAAAGCAGAAGCGGTCAGGGACCAAGAACTGCGCAAGAAGGAAGAGGAGGAGAATCGAAGATTCCACGGTGCGCTGGTGACAAAGGAAAAGTTTTTAGAATGGAGAGAGAAATTCCGGGCGGAGATGCAGGAAAAAGAGAGGAAGCAGAAGGAGGAGGAGGATGCGGAAGACAAGAAGAAGAAGGGCGGCACTAAGACAGACGAGAAGAGGCTGACGGGTAAGCAGCTCTGGGAGAGTGGGCTCGCCGGTAAGGGAGAAGAGGACGACGCCGAGGGCGAGGATGCCATTGCGGCGGTGGAAAAGCTCCAGGTCAAGGGATAACGATGCGAATTCCGAGGCACGCATATTTCCCCTCGTGCAAGTCTACAACAGACCAGAGTTGCTCTATCGGCATTCCCTACCCAGGGCCACATTGTCATCAAGGCGAGCTATCTATGCTAAGCTGCCTGCATTTTTGTCTACGACTGGCTGAAAGTACCGTTTGCGGAACGGGTTCAACTCGTCAGCTGTCCGGCCAGTTTCTATGATTCTCCCATCGGAGTTTCCAAGTGCGAAAGGTCTGTGAAGCCTCTCATACACGAGTAGCCTGCGGCTCCACTTGTTGAACCGCTGTATACACTCGTGTTTGAGTTCCAGGAGGCTATGTCTGGGGATCACGGTGGGTATCTCCTCACCGAGCTCGTTCTCGTTGGCGCTGGGCATCCAGAAAGCGATTCGACCACCATCGACCAGTGTCCTTGCTGCAAAGTCGAGAATGTCATCGAGCATGCGCGTGAATGAATATGGCCTTTTTGGCGCGACATACCCAGGCAATGTGTACCCCGGCACGCCACCTATCAGATGCACGGGAGTCGTCGATTCTTGGGTTGAATCCACGCTTTCCCCATCACGCAGGGCATGCAAGACGATGGCTTTTCTTGTTCCCAGTACCTTCAGGCCCTCCCTGACCCCATAAGGAGGGTCACAAACGATGCCATCCAACCACCTCCTATCGTTCAACTGATGAGAGCCAGCTATATTTCGAAACGGTGTGTTTGTTAGATCCGAGGTCAAGCAGTCCCCGAACAAATGGTGCAGAGAGTACTTTTTAAAGTTTGCACCCACTCCAGATTCAATTCCGGTGCCTTTGCCCTTGTAACTTCGCCCATCGATATCCGATCCAAATGACATGGCTCCCAGTTCGGCCGCCGCGATCATGAAACCCCCGGTTCCGACGAAGGGATCCAGGAACAGTTTTCCTGGCGCAGCCAGTGCCAGGCTGGCAGTGATCAAGGCCAACTCTGCATCCATTGAAGTGGTCGAGATGTAGGGGCGCTTCTTTAGGTCGTGCCTCTCTTTTAGATGGCGACTGGACTCGCCCAGCTTGCGGCCCAGAAATACCCTAGTCAACCTTGTGCCAGCCACTGAGTCAAATGAATCCGCCGTAGCACTGTCCATTGCAGCTGTAGGCCTTGACGCAGCCAGAGCATCCAGCCACTCTTCCATGACAGCAAACTCAACCTCAGGATTCCTCATACTAATCTTCCCCTGGAATCCCAGAAAACTAAATGAGTTGATCAACTCCCTCTGCTTCGACACCCCGCGCGTGCTTCCGTAGCTATCGACCGAGAATTTGAACGACGACTGCCTGAACCTGTCCCACAGATGGCCACTCTGCTTGCGCACATTCTCGTGAAGTTCGTCGTAAGTCTGGCCCTGGCCCCACAGCTCGTAAATGCTCTTGGAGAGCACAGAGCGAGCCTCAAATGCGCGGATAGTGGCATCGATGCGCTCGAGTTGTTTAATTCTAGAGGCTAGACCGGGGAAGCGTATCACGCAAAATGGCGAGTCCGCGCTGTATGATATAATCTCGCATTCGGTCCCCGCTAATCGTGACAAGGCTTCGATCTCGGGTTGTCGGAAACTTTCATGCACTTGCGCGAAGCGGATAAGGTACTCCATCTCACGTTTGGAGAGTAAGCCATGAACTCACTCAGTTTGGCATTGTTCTCTCTAGTAAGACAATCGAAAAGGCCAAATACCAAGAGTCAGTCATTGAGCTGCAGGAAAGGGCTTATTCAACAGGTTGAAAGGAACATTTTTGGTGTCTTGGCGGCTCAAGCAAAGTCAAAACTGCAGATATAATTAACTCTACCTCGTGTGGAATTTGCCAGCTAGAACCGAATTTTTGAGGTGCTTGTGGTTGTACCGCGCATGAACGAGAGAAAGTAAGTTATCATTCTAATTGCTACGAAAGCCATCGTAATCTATATATACGAGTCGGAACCAGCTTTGGCATTACAGGTAGTGCCAAGGTATTTATCGGCGGTCTCCGTGGTACGCCGAGGCCAGGCGTCATTAGAAAAGAAAGACGAAAAATCACATGCTGCTTTTGACTTTGTCACGTGATGTCTTGGGGTGAGCGAGAACAAAATAGAAACTAACCCCAGCTCACCGTCTTAAGTCACAATCCATTCGTCGACGTTGGTCGACCCTGCAATGATTGGCCTCGAAAAGAGCCACAGGGGCCTTAAAGACTGGTGGGAGACGGCTCTCGTTTCTCTTCCCCCCATCCGCAAATCCTACATCTGCCTGTACGCAAACCTGGCATGCCCGGTTTCGAGTGACTCAGTCGCCACAAGAGCGAGTGCCCCACACTGAAAGTCTTCGAGGTGAGAGCTCCAAACATTATGACGAGCTAAAAGGCGCTGTTTGTCGCTGGAACGACGCCACCAAGCTTGAGCAAGAGTGAATGCTGAACTTCTGGGAATAGTGAGGAGATATGTGTCTGGCAGGCAACCGACCTTCGCATGCTGACTGGCATTGTAGCTGGTGCACCAGCAGAAATAAGAACGAGGAATAGCCAAATCGCCACGTGCAGCTTTCGGTTGTCTTGTGTAGAAGACCCCTAGCGCGATTCCTCCGAGACAACCTCGAAGTCCTACAAGGCTGCCGCAGAAGTGAATAGTCGAGCTTAGTGTTTCTTCACTGCCCCATGGCCACGTCGTTTCTCAAGACATCCACAAAATGAAAGTCGATACGCTTTGAATTCTGTCTTGTCATTGTACTGCACTTTCGATTTCGTACTGCGTATTGGGCTCAGACCGATGCTATTTCAATATTCACAATTTGTACTTTTCGAGAGACTACAGCAGAGAAAGCGATTGAGACAACGCTCATTAGCCAACATGCACTTGCCTTGTTTATCTGCATCCTCGGCTTTTGGATGTTCTATCTGTCCGTGCAGCTCATACTCCCTCAACCTGGATCTTTTCTGGGCCTTGAGAGGGGTCAGGAACGCAAAGGTCCCAGGCGGCATTGAGGCAGTCCATCCTGCCTGACGGCATACCACTACATATGTAGTATTGCTACGATACTAGACATATTCTAATGAGCCGACGTCCAAGATAATGACTTGTTTGGTGGCAGAGGCTGAAGCACTTGGCCGACGTGCTCCAAGCTCAGGAGCTTACATGAATAAAGCGGACCTCACAGATCCTGATTGGAAGGTCCACTGCTTTGGCAACAATTATGACCAACTTCTGGAAATAAAGAACCAATGGGACCCCGATGGTGTTTTCTGGTGCAAACCCTGCATCGGCCATGACAACTGGACGGTAGGAAACGGATTTGGTGATGAAGGAGCCATTGGCCAGAGAACAGGGAAGACTTGTCGCAGACACTAACACATTCTCCAGTGGCTATTGGTAAACGGGACACGCGCCTCCTTCGATACGTGAGGCCATCCACCGACTCCATACTTTGGCCATATAAAAAGTCTTCGCCAATCATAAAGGATTACGTCCGAGAATTGAATATACCGTCTCCGTCCCACCCAGCGATTCGTGGCCGTGACCACCTGTACATCCCCCGTCCAGCCTGGCATCCTGGGTACGTCCGAAAGAGCACAGGTGACCTTACTAGTAGCTGCCCGACGACAGATCCAGGAAGGGAACTTCAGGAAAATCCATGCTTGGTCCCTCGAGCAGCTCCTCGTGCTTCGCCTCGAGTATTTCATGGAAGAACGCTGCAATATATTCCCGCAGAATCGTCAGTATACGGATCGAATCAATCGTTCCAATGAAAGCTTCAACAGCCGGATCAGTCAGGTTGGTCCCGAGGAGGCTTGACAAGATCGGGAAGTCGGTTAAAGTGTTGTGTGCCGTACCACTGATCTCCAAGTGCCACTTTCGGCCCGTCAGGTAAGGCCAGTTCTCCTCCAAAGATGTATCCGCCGCCGGGTGGTTCTCTGCAGTAAGTAGTAGAAACGGACGATCATTGTTCGTGGTAATCTCCTCTCCCCAAAGGCCCCCATCTATATTGCAGCCAGCCCGAAGTCGGGGCTCTACCAGCATAGCACCAGCTGCTGTAGCGCCTCCCAATGAGTGCCCGAAGACAGCCATTCGCTCAGTATTAAGCGTAGGTATTCCAAGCTGCTGGCACCGCGTACTATTAGTCACCGCGTTCAATACGCTAGAAACGTCTGCAACGCGAGGTGCGAGTAATGTGAGGATCTCGTCGGGGATTGTGACATTGGCATATTCCACATAACTGCCGTCCGGATACTCAACAATTGCTCCGTCATAGGGGTGATCTATGGCGAGTATGTTGAAGCCTAACGAGGCAACCCACTGCAAGACAACAGCATATACCACGCGAGGGGCTAGGTAACCGGGAGAGAAGAATAGAAGCGGCGCATCGTTGTTCACTGGGGTCTCGGGACAGACTTGTAGCTGGAAGTTGTCGAAGCTTATATTTGGTAGGTAGGGACCAAACACCGTTTTCAATGAAGCCGCTGATGTCGGCGGTATGTAGGTAATGGCTTCGTTCTGTTGACAGGTGGCTGGCTGGTATAGTGTTACCATCAGCCGTCGTGGTTGATTGCAACACGGTGCAAAAGGGTCGACACGATTTGTATCAGTCAGAGGGAAATGAGTGATGTGAACATTGGCCGATCCCGGGGGACTTGGAAGCAGAATTGCTTGCGCGAAGGTGCCAAGAAGAAGGCAGGGCAGTAGAACGAGAGAAAGCATGATGACCGTGACACTAGAGCTATTTGGAAGGGATCAAAGGTTCTCGCAAGCTGCCGATAGTCTTCTCGGTCCACAGGCGATTTGAGGCCAATATATAGAGTACGGGGCGCCCGCACCGTTCACTAAAGGCCGCGGAGTAAAGTCACTAATCTTGAAAGCAGGTGGAAAAGAGCTCTGTAGTTCCAGTGGTATTGTGATGACACTAGAAAATAATGGACAGGGACCGCGACCGGCTGTGAGCGAGAAATCACCTGGCTGACCATTGAACCATGGGATATGCGCAGCATCCCTGCCTGGGCTACCTGAGTGACAAATCTCGATCCAGAATTTCTGTCTTCCGTCTTCCGTGGCCCATGACCAGGGGCCCCAGAGGACAAACCGTTTCGAGATTCGCCATTGGACACCTGGGACCATAGCCTATAGTTGTGGCAATGGTACCAGAAGATGATCATGGCCGGCTGTCAATGTGCTCGCCACGTTGTTGATCAAATAAGGTTCACAGCCGAGTTAGTTTTGCATGTTGGATGGGTCGGTGTCGGTGGGTCTGCTCAAACAATGTGTGATTGGTTCAGAGGTATTGGTGGTTCTGACAGACCACATGCATAAGCATATCCCGTCAATCAATAACGTACATCTTTCAAAGGGTTCTTGCTTCTGTTGCTGATAATCAGTGTCTTGACACGCTACTTGTACTGATCACAGTTATCATATCACATTATCGCCGAGCCCTGCTGTCGGCAGGTTGGGTCTGCAACATGGGGCTCGGGGGCTGCTGGCATGCACATTCCTCCCTTGGAATTCAGATATTGCGGCTATAAGGTCGTTTCGGAACACTGTGCTTTTGGGCAGGTACTGTGCTTTCTAAATATATACTTCTTTGACCTGGGTATATCGTGCTGCATCCCTTGTAAGGGCAAGCCCTGGTCTCTCGTTGTCTCCTGAACAGTTCACCACGTAGAGACCGATGGAAGAACTAATTCCACCTTTGGCCATCGATTCCTACCGGCCTACAACTTTGCATGCTCATCTGCATGGAGTTGTCGTCTTTCCGGCCCTCCGCGACTTCCATCGCCTGGGAACGCATTGGCCACATCCTTGTACTCAGTGCGGAACCGCCATTTCTTCGCGAGAGCAGGCTCGAGACTTTTGTGGAGCGCAAGGGTTGTGTACTTGCCCAGTACTGGCAAGAATTTGAAGGCACTGCATTTGGAAGAGCGCGGGTTAGTAGATCCAAAATCGACACGCATACATCGCCATGCAAGAAGGAGTTGTGGAAGGGAAATACGTACTGTCCACTGCCACCACCGGCGAGGAAAAGATTACGATAGTCCGGGTGGTAGTCCATGATAAAGTCACCTGTGGGTGTGTCGGTGTACCAACACACGGCCACCCGTTCAAACGGTCGGTCGGCGAGTTCGGGCAGCAGCTCCTTGAGGCCGTCACGTAGTCGGCGTTCCCCGTCCGACGGGATGTAGTTCTTGCGTCTATTGGAAACGGCCAGCGGTGGCGTCGACACATCAGACTTGAGGGTTTTGCGCTCGGATTCGTTCGGAGAGCGCTCATAACCCCATCCGTGCACGGCCATCTTCAACAGCGACGTGTCTTGGTGTGGTGGAAAATTGAACCATCCCGTAGCGAAATTGACGTAGATAGGCAGTCGCTGGTACTTGGCCATCTCCTCCGGCGACAGACGGAGGTATGCGAGCACTTGGCCGGTTGAGAGAGTCGAGTTATACATGGGCGCCAGGCTGGCCGCCCACGCGCCAGCAGCCAGGATGAACAGGTCGGCCAAGACCTCAGTGCCAGCAATAGTCCTGGCAGCGCGGATCGTCCCTGAGGTGGTACGATCGAATCCAACAAGGGTGCCAGCACGACCTGACACGAACGAGACCCCTCGGACGATGCACTCGTCGCGGAGGCTGGCGATAGCTTTTTGGGCGTCTGCCCAACCGGCCTGTTGGTTATGGTAGCCTATGAAATCGGGTCCGGCGAGGGAGCCACTTATGGTTGGGTACAGACGTCGCGTGTTGTCAGCGGATTCTAACCTTGCCCACGGGAGGTGCGCTCGATCTAGAGCGCCGGTGGTCTTCTGGATATACGACCTTCCGACCGGATTATGGTTGCTGGTTAAGACGACAGGCGCGGGGTTGAATATATCTCTATATTTCGGTGACTGGGACCATTTCTGATATGCCTCGTAGGCCAGCTTCAGGTAGAGATCGTCGGCGTAGTCGAATCGGATGACACGTGAGATGTCCACGCTGGAGCCGTCAGGGACCTGTTGAGTCCGTAGGTCAGCAGAGTCTGGGGTTGTGGGAAACGACCTTTCTCTTCTTACCGGAGGCACATGGCGATCCAGGACGGTGACATTGCGGTATCCTTGCAACGCGAGCTCAAGCGCCGTCGTCAGGCCAAAAACCCCGGCACCGACCACGACGATGTCCCAATCTTTCTTCATTCTGTCGCTATGGCCTACCAGCTGCGTTTTCGTCCGGCCCAAAACTTTGGTTCCAGAGGGGCTTCCCCGGTCGAGGCCAATAAGACCATATCGGCACGTGATCGAGCCCAGGTTTAAGCACCCTGACCGTGAGCCGACACCCGTGGTCCGGGGTGATTGAGATGCTTTGGATGGGGTGGGTCGCCATCCTTTCCCACGGAGAGCGGTACTGTGAATCAGGGTAAGCGGAATAGCAAAAACGAGTAAAGGTAAAGAACGACCCTGCATCTCGTGGCTTTCATTCGGCTGAAAAGCCGGTTTAGTCCCCCATAACACGGAGTTAGGAAGCCGGAAGCCGGAAACCGGAAACCCCACGATTGGCATCCAGATGTCGTGCCACAGGAATTGTGCCCTTGACGTCTTCGGCTCTCCATTCGTTTCTTGGGCAACATCTACATAATTGTCCGCGCTTGAGTGGCATTAGGATTTTTCTAACTGAAAAACCAAATTATCGCACCCAACCGGAAGACACCACCACAATTCAACCATGTCGAATGCCCAAGTTTCCAGCACGGCGGGTGCAGACCGCTCGGCGGTGAAAACTCCTCTTCTCATCCCTGGTCGTGGTGATCCTGTCAAAGATGCTATCTTGATTTTTTCTTCAGGAAAGATCGACTATGCAGGGCGTCTATCTAAGCTCCCCAAGTGTCTGAATGTTCCCCAGGAGCGGACAGTCGAGGTGCCTGTCTTGCTACCCGGCCTCTGGGACTGAAATGTCCACTATATTGGGCATCTGGAACAGAGTATGGCCGGCATGGTGGATCCCTCGCCATTTCTAGCCGGAACTCGTACGGCACACGACGTCGCAGCCACCTTGAACGCCGGGTTTACCAGTGTCCGCGAGACGGCAGGCTGGGGGGTCGAGCTCTCACAGGAGATTGAGGCCGGTCGGCTCATCGGACCCAATATCTACTCAGTGTGTGCTGCGATCAGTTGCACGGGGGGGCATGTCGACCATCACACCATGCCAGAGCACCAGTTTCACGAACTCGGCTGTCATGGCCTTCCGCTTGTCGTGGCAGACGGTGTTCCTCAGTGTATCAAAGTGGTGCGGCAACAACTGCGCCGTGGCGCCAAATGCATCAAGATCTGCACCAGTGGAGGCGTGTCCAGCGATCGTGACGACCCGAAGCATCAGCAGTTCTCTGACGAAGAGATCAGGGCCATGGTTGAGGAGGCAGCTCGGTCCCATCGGGCTATGGCGGCGCACGCCCACGGTTTGGCCGGTATTATAGCGGCGATTCGCGGTGGCGTCACCACAATCGAGCACGGAACCTATTTAGACGACGAGGCGATTGCGCTGATGAAGGATAAAGGGATCATCCTGGTCCCTACCCGCGGAATTATAGAAGACGGCTTAACGACAGCTGAGTCGTGGTCGGCCAGGGCATACGAGAAGCTGAAGCCAGTAGCGGTGCAACATGCTAACGCATACCGGGCCGCGGTGGCTGCTGGTGTCAAGATCGCCAGCGGGTCAGACTACGGCATCAGCAAGAGAGGGACTCCATTAAGTCACGGCCACAATGGTAGGGAACTAGAGCTGGCGGTTCAGGTGGGCGGTATGACCCCCTTGCAGGCAATCGAGGCTGCCACTGCCACTGCCCCAGAGGTCCTGGGCCCTCAGGCCCCCAAGACCGGCATCTTGACGGAAGGCTACGACGCCGATTTCATTGCTCTGACGTCCAACCCCCTGGACGATATCAGTATCGTCGCTAACCCAGACAACGTTACACATGTTTGGCTTGGGGGACAGCTAAAGAAGTCCCCAGAAATGACGATTGTAATCCTAGGCCGCACTAGGGAATGATAGGGGCTCTTGACGTATGCAATACGCAAACAAGTTCAACTTTCTTGTCGAGCACCTTCCAAGCATTGCTTGTAGATCTTTGTGGTAACACACATGATGGAAATGAATGCAGCCATACCTCGATCGTTTTGATGAATAAATAAAATCCAGGAAAGTATTCTCTGGTGATAAAAAATGAAGTGATATATAAAGTTGATGAGGTATCCTACGTTGTACCTCAGTTCCGCGGCGTCATCATCCAAAGCCACGTCTGATCTCCCTGTATTATGTATTCATCTCCCTAAGTAAATCTGTCAGGCTGTCAGCGCAAGTTTCACTGCCGTGGCCTGATAACGAGACACGGTTTTTCATTGTCGTCTGCGCTCATGCTTTCATACGTACCATTGATTGAGTGTGATCCCTGCCTCTGGTAATCCTCAATCGCAATACACTTGGCTTTTGACGTGGAGCCGCCCGAACCGGTCATCAATACCACTCCGTGTCAGTCTTCCTAATGCCGCATCCGTGTTCTGTATCCGAGTTGCCGCCTGGACGAACTTTTCCGTCAGACTCATCGCCCCAGCTCGCTTTGCAACCAACACGCTATATAAAGTATAAATCGCTCGTGAAACGGACGGTGTTGACAAGATCCACTAGACTCTTCAATTTCGAACGCTCTCTGTTGATACCCCTAACACAATCGCTATCGTTGTCGTCTCCATGAATCACAATGCCATGGACAAAGAAGTGGCGGCATCGTCCTATGTCAACGTGGACCCAGTAGAAGAAGCCAACAAGGAATCGGTGATCGCTCATATCGATGCGCCTCCTACCAACACTGTGACCTCGGCCGAGAAACGACTCCTGCGAAAGATCGACTGGCGGGTCTTGCCCATCCCTATCCTGCTAGTAGGCTTGTCATCGATTGACCGAACCAACATTGCCTCTGCCAGGGTTGCAGGGATGGCAACAGATCTTGACTTGGGCGGAAACCGGTACAATGTCGCCGTTTCTGGTAAATGGCTTCTCTCTGTCCCCCCCCCTCTCTTGATCTGTCGTCGATTTGTCCTGAACGACGCTGACCGTTCCACGCCATGATAGTCTTCTTCGTTTTCTACGCACTGTCCGAGCTACCGAGTAACCTCATCCTCCGGCCGATCGGCGTCGTCCCATACTTATCGTTCCTCATCTGTGCATGGGGCGCTGTCGCCATGAGTCTTGGGTTTGTGCAGAATTTCGTCCAACTCACCGTTTTGCGTCTTCTACTGGGTCTTTTTGAGGGCGGACTTAATGTAAACACCATCGATACTCGTGCCCCAACTCACTCATACTGACTTGTCTCCCCAGCCTGCTTGCGTCTATCTGATCTCCTCGTGGTACAGGCGTTACGAGACGCACACGAGGATCGCAATCTGGTACACGCTCGCCAGCACGCTCGCCGGATTCGCCGGCGTCATTTCGTACGGGTTCAGTAAAATGGAGGCAGTCGGGGGACTTCGGGGATGGCGCTGGATCTTCATTATGCCAGGCCTGATTACGATCGCATGTGTTGTCCTCGTTTACTTATTCGTTTCCGAATTCCCCGAGAAGGCCAAGTGGCTGAAACCGGAAGAACTCGCCCTCGTGCGACAACGGCTCCGAGAAGACCGCGCGGAAGAACTCGACAACAAGACGACCTTGAGAGAGTCACTAGCCCCATTGAAAGACTGGCGGATCTGGGCCATGTCTATGTTATACTTCTACCCGGCCGCGGGATACTACGCTCTGACTTTCTTCATGCCATCCATCCTCAGCGCCTTCGGGTTTTCTGTTGCTCTGACCCAGATTCTCCAGACTCCACCCTACGTACTCGCAGCCACCTGCTCTGTCGCGACGGGCTACTACGCTGACAAGATCCACCGACGGTCACCGTTCATGCTTGGCCATGCGATCGTGACCATCGTCGGTTTCCTCCTGATGGGTTGGGGTCCGAACACGGGCGGCAAACTCACCGGCGTATTCTTCTCCATGACCGGAATTCAATGCATTATCCCGACCGTTCTTACCTTTATGTCCAACAACATCGTCTCGGTCAAGGCTCGAAAAGTGGGTATCGCCATGCAGATCGTGGTAGGAGCCGTGGGTGGCATCGTCGGCTCCCAGATCTTTCGAGTACAAGACGCCCCTAAATATAGGCCCGGCATGTACGCCGCATTCGCCCTCATGGGGGTATTCATGATCAACGTGGTCGGCATCACTGAGTACTTCCGGCGTCAGAACAAAAAGGCAGATCAGGAGGGTCTGATTATCGATGGAGTGGAGGGATTTCGATACACACTGTAGGAGTTGAGCTTCGGAGAACGCGATCTGTTGTTCCATCTGCACGGTTATCTAGATTATAGCCACGCTCAGAGAAGGGAGAGGTTATCTAATCCATACAAGGTACATAAAGAAATCAATGCTCCTGACAAACCGCAATGCCCGCTATCAGGCGCAGATGGCAATGTTGAGCCTTAGCCAAAAAGACCACACGGAGTTCGAGAACTGGGTAGTCGTATGAGTTGGCCCTCCGTGAGTCATTTGGCAAATCATTAAACCCCGAAAAGTGAAGCTGAGAGAGCTCTATGTGGTCTTCTATTGACTCCGACCTCGCGATTCTGGCACTTGATCTTTGTAGGACTCAGCAGTGCGAGGTGGAAAAAGCAAGACAAGTGCAGAGTGGAAAGATCCAGGCTCACGAAAGTCTGCCCTAGTCAAGCTTACCTGGGCCGTGGGATGGCATCTCCGATTTATTGCATTCTAAACACTGAATGCCTCAATTGTTAGAGTCGAAATATTGGCGGAGCTATGCTGGTCCCTCTGAAGAATACGTCGACCATGGTCGGCCAAAGAATGACCAATCATTCGTAACATTTGGGAAGATGTCGAAATCTTCGTTCGGCCAGTCGAGTTCTTCAGGCACGGCCAGGGGTTCTGAACGGATCTGCCGAGTTTCGATGACAGTCGAGTCATTGGACGTGGATATGATACTTTGCGGGACAATGCTCGAAGCTAGATCGAAGGCTTCGGGGGGGTGTCGTAGAGTCGACTTCATAGCAGGAGATATCCTCTCCTGTTCAGCGGAGAGTGCCGCATAATCAAACAGCTTCGCCATGAGATCGATGTCCTCCTGTTCCACGTTCAAATCTGAGATCTCCTTGGAAGGTATTGCCCCATCGTATTCGCCATGTACGTGACTGATGCTCCGGCGACTGTGAAGACGGACCGAGATACCCTCGAGTGCGCTTAGCTGTGACTATCAGAAAAGATTAAACTGTCGCTACGCCCGAACTTACGATGTTCCCTACGTTAGGCCATATCTTGGTCGTCCTTTGGAGGTAAGCATGTGCTTTGTCGTACTTGCGGCGGGCAGCATTTGCAACCTTCGGGTTGTCGTTGATAGTATGTTCCAGCTGGATACTGGCTGCAAGTGCAACTAGATAGCCGATGAAGGGATCGTAGATGCTCATTCCTGCTTCATCCATCTCGATGATGTGCCGGATTACCCAGTTGGAGTGGATCATGGAATCCTGATGGGACTTTTGCAAGGTTGTTAGAGGGACTTGATTATGCTGTTGACGAGTCTTCATGAATAGGATGAAGGGATGATGCCTAGTATGATTAATAGTAGGCTCGCCATCGTGGGAGGCGCACTTACAGGCGACATCGTGTGGCCGAATATAGAATTTGGTAAAACACCCAGGCAGAAAAGAAGGGGCGTAGGTGAGGTTCGTGTACAACACGACGGGGAGATCCCACCGCGGTATAACGGTGTGGGTGAGCTTCTATTCTAGATTAGTGAGGTCTGAGTGCTGGTTTCGTTCCACTCACTCATCTCAAACTCCATCAGACGGCTCTCAATGGCCGCATGCGTGGAATCATGTCTCCAGAAAGGAACGGGCGCAGACGAGCTATCGTCAAATACGTCCATGAGTGCGTTATGCCATATATCAAGGAGCACAATGTTGCACGAAACGACGTCCAAGGACCCCGCCCGCAATATGTCTCCAGGAGAAGTTGGCAACGTGATTTCTTTAGATGTAGAAGAGCCTTCGGGATTTAGTGGAGCACATTGCATCAAAAAGAGCTGAAAAGAGGAAGCCGGGACGCAAGAGGATCTCACGTTTGCGCCACTGAAAATGCGATCCATCATGAACAGTGTCCACACGACTGAACGCCAGCTAAGCGACAAATGCTCTTCTTCTGGTATGGCGCCTTCTTTGCGAAGCAAGCCACGTGTTTGAGCGAGCCTCAAGCCAAGAGCAACCTGAGCCTGCGCCCGGTGCGGCTTGCCAGCTTGGAACTAGTTTCAGCACGCGACAGCGGTAACGAATTTGACACTTACTGGCAAAATCGACCTGGGCTAGTAAGCAGAGCGCCTGGAAATAAGCTAGATCAAAGTCGAACTTGGAATATCGAGCGGCCAGAAGGTTCCAAGCTGCTTCTGATAACATCCCACACGTCTCGACAATGGCCTCTTTGCTGTGGAAGAGAGGGTTCTGGCAGGTACGCAAACTAACAGCCAGCAAGGGGTACAGCACGAGCTTAGGATATACAGCCACGGACGCTTGCGCATTATCGCTCGTTTCCATTAAAAGTGGGTACGGCTGGTTATGGAAATGTTGGAAGTAGAGTAGGATGCCTTCTTCTATAATCTCATCTGGGATCTCGTGTTCGTTTGTGATTCTAGGCATATTAACGGAATTCCACTAAGTAGTATAATATAGCAAACCGGAAAGGGCCAGAGGGAGAGGCTGAGTCTATAGAAGCCATCTCATTTACGTGGTGTTGTCCTTCTCCATTATCCAAGTCGACAATCCCCTTGGCTCTGGTCAAAAAGGTCAATACAGCCAGACGATACGTTGAAGGACGACCCTGGAATGACCTGAGTCTTCGCATACTGACCCTAAAACCTGTGCCAACTCACAAAGCTTGGTCTCGACTGCGCTCAATCGGATGGACTGCGACCAGACATGAATCGGCGATGATGAAGTATACGCTCAAGGTTCTCACCTCGTACTGTCCTTGCGCGAGGGGGAAGATCGGACGAGTCTTGCGACCTCGACCTCGCTCCCCTTTGTCAGGCCGCGGCGCCTTCTCGGCATAGATACATCGCTGTCTCAGGCGTATGCAGAGGGAGCATCGTGGTTTCTCGCCTGGACACCGTGACTTTTTGCGTCTGTCGGGTGTTAGCGAATGCTGGTCCTTATCTCCAGTGTGCTCATCCTTTGCAAGGGGTGAAGCTACCGGCAATTCTCGCAGGCCTGGCTCGCCCGCTTGATGGGCTCGACAAAATTTTCATCGGCAGGCGAAGCCAGATCATTCGCCATGAAATACTAGCAGGTGAAATTTGACCGACAGTTAGCAGCCTCGCGAGTCACCTAGAGGTCGACCGTAGAAGTGCAGTGAAGTCGTATAAAGTTCCTCGCGTGGTGGGAGCGGCGGCGGTCGATGACTTGGCAGTCACGGGACTTGACTCCACGGGGGGGGCTTCCGAGGGGCAAGTGATATTTCGCGTACGATGTTTTGTATTTCGCGTGCAAAATTAACTGCCAAGACAGGTACCATTCCACATCTGGTAATTTTGGTGGCCGCTAGTAAATATCTGCTCCTTATATGGAATAGTGCCTCTTATACTATTAGGTTTTGCACGCAAAATACAAAATATTACACGCGGAATATCACTTGCCGTTCGAGGGCACCGGGGCCCTTTGGGGGGAAGGGAGTGAGAGATTTTCGTAGAATTTAGGCCTCGGTGATTAAACCTCGCCGTTATCTCTACTAATACGGAGTATTTACATAGCTAGGCGCAGGTATCTAGTTGATCCCTCTAGACTTCTCATCTTTGCATAGCCATGGAACATCAACGTACGGCTATTACTCTTACAGCGCGGTCTTTATCACCGCGGTAATTCTAGTCACACTACCTTCTAGCACCTCGCTAGATACTTAGCTAGATCAATTTGCCTCCTGAACCCTCCATTCCCTAAGCTCACCTATTTTCTGCTACCGAATTGCTGAATACGACACGCGGGACACGGAGCACGGCACACGGAACTCGGAAATCCGTCTGGAGATTTGGCGCTCAGGTTCTGGGCTTCGACACACGCCTTTAGTGATGCGCATTTTGACAGATGGTCACATTTACAGCCAGATGGTCTCTCACTCGTCTCGCTAACGGTCGGTCGTGGTCGGTCACCGTCGTCGAGGTAATTACAGTCCTCCGTCTAGGGCAACAAAGGTGTTTCTCTCAACATCGATTCAGGCTCATGGTTTGCTCAGCTCTTGTCCGAGCGAGACTGAGTGGCAACAGGGATAGGCATAAGCCAATCAGATTCGGGTTACCAGCCAGCATTCTCTGGAAGTTGACCTAAATTCCAACCACGTTGCTGCCGGTTCCGACTGCGCACTGCTTTGGGAAGCGGTAGGCCAGCCAATCCAGTTCTAACCTCGTAACATTGTGCATGCATGCATATATCCTGATCCTCAACTGGGCTGAGCAGCCCTTTCTGTCCAATCCTGCCATGGCCAAGTTCTCTCCATCAAGCTCTTTTCTTCTTCGTGATTGGCCAGTAGGAGATAATCTATCTTAAGCTTGATTGACGACTTTGAGAGTCTCAAAGTCACCTGGATCGACTCTCCCATCCGCAGGTAACACTCTCTCCTTCTCAAACGCTTGCATGATGGACTGTACGTAGTCAGTATTCTCTAACTCCTTGTTGTGTCTCTCCAAGTCGTCTTGTCCAAAAGCAGTTGGCCACTGTGGCAAGGCAGACCCCATCTCATTCCAGCGTTCCGCGATTCGAAGCAATGAGGGCCAGAGTTTGTACATCTCACGATTCTTCCATGAGCCACAAACTGCTAGCAAAGGTTCGATGAAAGGGGCTGTGCGCGGTTCGTTGTGCATGATTGCGGAGTAGAATCGATGGTTTCTCTTCGTTGCGAGGACTCTGTAATCTTTCTGACAAATCCGCTTTCACGAATCTTCTCCGCCGCTTCTCTGGCTTCTGCATCTAGACTATCGTATTTGCTTGGTCTCTCTGGCAAGACTAGTCCTAGGGATGGAGGTCTAAAATGTCGAGCCATTCGAGGTATCTTCGCCTGCGAGATAACAGTGGCAACTCTAGAGTCTTGTCAGTCGATGATACTGGTTATATCAGTCGTCTCAGGATCAATAAAGATATTGCTCAAGTTGAGATCGGGGTGCGATAGACTTCAATCCCAATATATTCAGAATCTTTTGAACATCGTGAAATGTAAGGGGCGACCAAGAGGTATTTCTCAAGAAGCGCAAGCATCTCGCTGGGTTGTTCTGGTTCGTCATCATATCGAGACAGGAGATTGTAGTTTCAATACATAATATGTAGTATTGGAGACCTCACTGATCAATGCCATTCGGTGCTTCTGCTGAACTAGAGTTTAATACATGGTCCTCCCGGGTCCACGAGACGTCCGGCGATTGTTGCACTTAACATCACCGACGTTCTTCCACTCGTGGTATTAATTCCCTCTTGAGAGTCATGATCAATTGCTCAAGCATCCACTGGGCTTCCGATTTCCCGCTCTTTAGGTAGCTTCCATTAGTCAGCCAGTTCGATGAACTTGATCCATTACCTTCTTCATAAATGCCTGGTTTGCCAATATCTCGCGATGTAACCCATTCAAACTCGTCTGGTATGTTTGCTCGAGAGACGCCAGCATGTTCACCTCTGGAGATCAGTGCTAGAAACCATGCCCACTCATCATACGTGAACTTTCGTGAGGGTGATGTAAAGAGGTGTGCAGCAACATTGCTGATTTCCTTTATCAGCAAATAATGATAGTAAGGCTGACCTTTTCCGAGGCTAGGTCCTATCTCCTCCATTGGGTCTTTTGAGCCATGCTCTATGGCTCTATTTTCTGTTCCAATTGGAGGTTGTGTCGATTCGTCGCACATCTTCCCCTTTGTCAAAGCACTTCTTCTTGATCCAATGGAAGGTGAGTTCTGGAAGGGGCTCATCCGGTGCTCGGTGTCGAGAGTCTTCCCTTCACATACACTCCTCGCAGAATACTTCGAGCTCTTCTTTCTGCTGAAATCTCCAAATTGCTGCACAAGGTTTCTCAACCGTGTCGAGTTGTCTTTAAGCCTTTTGATGATTGTGTCCCCCATGGAGCTGACTAGGATAGTGATAGTGGGTACTGCTAGCAGCGACCAGAATACGAAGAATGCTTTGCCGGCATTGCTTACCGGATAGAGATCTCCGTATCCTATCGTCATAAGAGCGATGAATGTAAAGAAGAGTGCTTGAAAGTATGACCAGTTCTGGACGCTTTCCGTTCGTTTGAATATCGCTGCGCTAAGAAACCAAAGCACAAACCAGGCAGTTCCTGAACCAAATAGCAAGATCCATCGGTGCTTTTGTGAAACTCGCTCCTGGATATCACGGAACATTTTGAAATCCTCTTCATTAATTTTTCCCTTCGACTTACTGAAACAAGTTAGCCCTTTTTTCTGGGAGGTAAAAGCGGAAAGAAATTGCATACCTCGACTGCAGGCGCTTCAGTAAAGCATGTTGTGTCTCCTTCATTATACTACTGGTCTTTCTTTTCTGGCGTTGGGTCAAAAAGGATTGGATGGACGCGATCATTAGACCTAACAGCAAGACACCGCCTACGGCGTAAGGGATAACCAAGGATCGTCCGAGGTGTGTCTTGGGAGCGTAATCCCCGAGCCCAATGGTCAAAATAGTATTGTCTGCCCAGTAGACTGCGTCCAGATAGTTCCACTTTTCGATGTTCGAAAATACCAGAGCACCAATCAAGAGATAGGCCTTGAAGATGATTGTTTGGTAGGTGAGTGCAGTCTCACATCTGACACACTTAGCTTCTTCGCTGTAATAGCCAGATCGAGCTGCATATACAGAAATGAGCATAAGGGAGGAGACGATAAAGTAGAGCCCACAAGCGAAGCAAGCATAATAAAATGCCTGTGAGAAAGAGTTGCCCTGTGTAGATGGAAGCTGAAGAGATATGGAAGCCACGGCAATCGCTGGGATTAGGAGAAACGATGAAATGTACCAGCCAACGATAACTATAGAATGACCAACAAAGGAAGCGGGGCCGCGACTAAATTTTGATATCAATGTCAGGTTCGCTGTGGCCGCGATGGCAAGCGAGACAGCATTGGTAGCGATAATCCTATCCGACATCAGGTTTCATTTCAAGTATTCAACCCGACAACTCACCAAGTGGGATTGGGTATGTTAACTCCCCCATCTTCCATCTCGTCCGACGGGGTTGATTCCCTCCAACCCTGCGTGAGAGCGCAAACGTTGAATGCACTTCCCATGGGTCCGAACGCGCCCTGTGTATCTGTAAATATTTCTTGGGATATTAGTTCGCCTGTATAACCTACAGCTAGCAACGGAAAAGCTGTCGCAGTGAACCACCACTGACTACGCAATAAGTCAACATCGGTCGGCCAAGAATTTCCCAGTGGGGTCTGTTTTTACCTCGAAAAGCCGTTCTTCCGTATCTTCCCTTCATTATCTTCCGTTTTATTAGTGGATGGCGCCGCAGGATTAGCTTTGTCGCCGTTCCGGCTCCAATTTTGGGGACTATTCATTGTCAGCTATTCCAGGAGATCTGTGGGGTTGGATAAATAGAGAGACTTGCAGACTGTCTAAGTAATTATCATCTAAGTTGGCACATGCTGAAAAAGAGGTTGCTTTCGTTCCCGTATTGTAAGTAAATGATTGGCGATCCTGAGATGCTATGTAGTCTGCAGAGAGTTTCAGACACAATTGGGTCTGAGGGGCAATGGCGGCGAGCCAGTTGATTGAATTGGTCAAAGCTATGACCATAAAGGATTGGTTCTCCCGAATTCAGCACGGTCCACAATTGCGCAATAGTGTCGGCACCCATGATGGCCAAGGATAGGTTCAGTGTGAAATTGCGCATGTGCAGTGGTCAGACTGTTCGTATAGGGTAGGGCAAGGGCAACTACTGACATCCCTTAGCGCCACTGAAACGCCATGCTGGAAGTTATGCTCAAAATTTGACCATGAGCTCAACAACGAAAATCACGAGACAAAAGGTTAGTTTGCCGACCTATGAAAAAATATACCTCGTACTGCGAATGAGTCTAGACCGCTCGGAATGTCATTCCCCCTTGGAGGACAAGTACGAGTGGAAACATGGAGTAGTACAGGCTTGCCATAAAGCTTGGGCGGATTGACTTTTGTGGGGGTCCTGTGTAAAGTAAAGTAATGACGGTGGTAGGTATAAGCAAAATGACTCGCCCTGCTTGCTATGCAGGCCCATAAACTTGCGCAATCTTATCGAGCCACATTCCATCCTGAATAACCCCTCACCCGGACTTGACACGAAGTGGTCGTGTACCTTGGCGCCCTCTTGGCCGCATCGACTGCCATTTGAATATTTTCTCCTTCGCGGATGGTCTGCTAATCAATCGGTGTACGCAGGGGGCATTGTGACAAGCGTCTTGAGCTGTCCTGAATCAATCGCGAAATTGGGAATCAGAATGCATTCAGAGATATTTGCAATCCTCATTGCTCCATATCTCTTGATTGCTGATCTCCAAGACCACCGCACACATTTAGAAAAGACGGTCATTCTGTGCCTCCCTGCCCTTCTTGTCTTCTTTCGGGTTACTTACAAGGAAGCTTTGCAGTGCGAATCCAGCATGTCGAAGACAGGCCTTCAACCAGGCTGGGAGGTATTTGAGAGTGAGGATCGACCATTTCTTGACCCTGAAGGTATAATAGAAGATAATGGTCGCAGAAATATTGAATATGATGTAGGCCCACAATAACCCGAAATTTCTCCACCTGGCACTGTAGTAGATACCGCTGGCAGCTAGAACCTGATCTGTGTTGCGTAGCGGACAGTAGCTACAATTTGCCGTGGTGGTCGGGTTTTCCAACCTGCCGGGAGCATTGGTGAGGAATGGAGTTAAGTATGTTTCACACGTTTGACTTAGAGGGGGGTCAAATATACTCAATTCGTCAGATGAGCATTCAATTTGACGCCCAGCCATCGCAGTTCCGGTAATACCTTGGACAAAGTATGTGAGTGGAGAGACGCGCCACATAAATATCCAAAATACAGGCAAGGCGTCCGGTGGTTGCATTACTCCATTGAAGACCAAGGACAGTGAGAACAGCACTGTTGCTAGCTGGCCAGCGGTCTCGGCATCAGGAAGCCCTGCGATAAGCATATGGGCGAACGTACTTGCAAAAAGGAAAAACTCGATTAGGAACAATAACACCAGGCCTTGTCGCTCCGAGGATTCCACCCCGAATGCTGGATAGTAATATGCACCGAATACCATGATCCCCAGGAGAATTTGATAGGGAATCTCGGCTAGAATATTGGCAAGGAGAAATGCAGGCCAACTATATACCTTAGAGGGCCGTTCTCGAACCTCATATAGGGACCTTTGAGTTACAAACCGCGGCATGATTTGTTGAACCAGGACCGAAAAGATGGATAGAACCAGGAAGTTGCTAAATATCGCGTTCTGGAGACCCTGCACTGACTCATCAATTTGGAAGAACGAAAACCCAATGAAAAGTCCAGATACAACACCAAGAAAGAATTTCCCATAGACATAGGTCGGAGTGCGCCAATACTGTTGAAAAACGCGGAGTGAGGTGTGGTACAGCTGGTGGAGAAATGGCATTGCGAACTCCAACCGATCGGTTTCCGTATCGTCGTTCACAAGCGGCCTGTTTGAAACCTCTTGGTTGATTCGGTCAATCTCTCTGTTCATGTTCTTGTAAGATTGACTTTGCATCCAAAGTGACGCCCAATCCTGCCGAGATTGCCCACTCGCCCCCGCGCCGATAATTTCGAGCATATATTCAGCGGGGTTTTCGGAGATGTCGCTCTTACGGGCGCCTCGACTCTCAAAATAGTCCAAAAGTTCTCTCGCATTAGTGCCGATATTCCCAAAGTATACCGTTCGACCTCCTTTAGCCAGGAACAGGAGCTGATCAAATTCCAAGAACAACGTAGAACTTGGTTGGTGGATAGTTGCAAGAATAGCTTGTCCGTGGTTTGCGAGCTTTCGCAATAATGAAACAATGGCCCATGAACTTTGGGAGTCCAGGCCCGAGGTAGGCTCATCGAGAAAAATTAGTACTTCCGGTTTCGCCGCAAGTTCAACACCGATGGATAGGAGCTTCCGCTGCTCCACATTGAGGCCTTCGCCAGGGACACCTACGACGGCATCTGAGAATCCATGCATGTTTAGCATATCAATCACGCTCTCCACGTGTTTATATTTATCTGTTTTGGAGATGGTCTTAGGCCGGCGTAACATTGCTGAAAACTGGAGTGCTTCCCGAACAGTAGAAGTCTCAAGGTGTAGATCCTGTTGCTGAACATAGCCCATCTTACGTTGAAAGCTATTCTCGAGACTCCTGCCGCTGATAAAAATATCTCCGGATATAACTCCTACAGAGATACGCTGCGCAAGCGTATCGAGCAGCGTAGTTTTGCCGGCACCAGACACGCCCATCAGCGCTGTCAACGTTCCCGGTTTAGCGTAACCCGAAACGTGATCAAGAAGTCGTCGAGGCTCGCCCTTGATAGTGATATCATAGGCCACGTTGCGCCAGGTAAAAACATCCTTTTGCTGTGGAATCGGCCTAATTTCCATGTCATCATTCCGACCAGTTCCAACGGCGGTCGCAGTTTCCATCACCAACTGTTCCACATCAGATTCCTCAGCAGCATTCTCTGTGCTTGATGCCTGCTTTGAGGCACTATGCCTGCGGACGACAAGAACCTCTGCAGTCGAAGACGTGGACGAATTCAATTCAGTAGCCGTCAAGTAGGCGGCAAGGAAGAAAGCCAGAAAGCCCCAAAGGATGCCGAAATTGCGCCATAGGTGCGAATAAGAATATTGGTAGCTTACCTCTAAAAAGGCATCTCCAGATACTGTCGTTTCACCGGGGAGAGCACCGCGAACTGAACAGATAAAGGTATCTCCGACAAGATTTGGATATGAAGGAACTAGTGACGATGTTGAACACGGAAACTGTATTCCGTGAAGTTCATTGACAAGTAAACCTTCGAAAGCGTAGGCCACAGGATTGATCCAACTGATCCATGCAAACCAAGGATGCATATAGGGTCGCGGAATAGTGAATCCTGTTGTTCTAGCTTTAGTTCTTCACCCGAATGGTGATCGTTTTACTTACCTGTGTATATCACTACTCCCAGTACTACCACCCCTGCTATCGCGAGTGCCTTGGAAATGGTCTTCGTTGCGGCTCCTATTGTTCTAGCGACGCAAGACATTGTAACTGCCGCTAAGAGGTTGAATATCAAGAAAATAAAGAATCGAGACGCTTCCCGTTTCAGATTCGCGAGGAAGTAGAGAATAACGCAGAAGAATGTTACCGAGACGATTTTGATAGGGAATTCTGATATCAGAATACCAAGTGCTTCCGCAAATGGGCGATAAAATGCGTATGAGGCATGCTTTTCAATGATTGGGCGTTGATTGTAGAGAGTATTGACTTCTACAATCGCGTTGAGAGCGTTGAATAATATTGAAAAGAAGAGGACGGATCCTTTTGCAAAAAAGCTGTCCGTAGTTTCTGGCGTTCCGTAGTATATAGAACCGATGATCAGGGCCATTGCGATTTTGGAGGTGACCATGGTTACCGCCGAAGTCCTATCATTCCACAGGCGCTGATATGCACGCCTTGTACAGGCCTTTACCTGTGTAGGGAGAGAGATGGTATAAGGTGATCCCTATACTGGGGTTAGAGCTTGATGTGAAACCATCGGAGAAGGCTTACCTGTGGCATATACTTCGATTGCATGTCCTTTCGTACTTCCCGAAATTCCGCTAGGGAACGAGCATGATCAGGGTAGCTCGCTTTATAGGCTTTAATCTCTTTCTGGAGGCTGGCATATTCTGGAGATGATTGCCAATAGTTCTTGAATTCATCAGGGGTCCGAGGGACACGGTGCTCATATCCTGGGCGGGCCCGTCGTGCTCGCTTATTGGTGACTGCTACGAGAAAGTCTCCGGTGGACTGTCTAGAAGGGCAGTACCAACCCATATGCTCAAAGTATGCTTGTGCGGACTTGGTTGACCCGTAGTAGATCTCTCGTCCTTCATATAGCACGACCGTCTTGTCAAAGAGCTCATAGATCGCTTGGGACGCTTGGTAGATGGCGACTAAATGGCAAGGGCCGAGAAGATCAGCCGACATTCGGAGCGCCTTGACAAATTCTAAAGCGGTTGCAGCATCGAGGCCGCGAGTACTATTGTCCCAGCAAGCTAAGGGAGATCCTGCCAGTGTCATCTCGGCAATGCTCACGCGCTTTCTCTCCCCCCCAGACACTCCTCGCACATAATCGTTGCCAACCTTGGTGTTATAGGTGTGCGACAGACCGAAAATTGCCATTACTACCCGGGTAAGGTACCTTGCGTTTTCTTTCCTTGAGATCTCCCTCACCCGGAGTCTCGGCGTTCGGACATAGGAAGCGAACTCGAGAGTTTGACCAACAGTAAGATGTGGAAAGTGGCGATCCACTTCCTGATTATACACAATTTCTCCTTTAAATTCTTTCGCCATAATTTTCCGACCAATACCTGCAAGACGGCATTAGATGGGTTCAATGCCTAAGTGGACGGGGTCATGGCACCATTGTATTGAAGGGTCGAATTTTGGTCCACCAGGAGGCCATGGAGATTACCTGAAATCGTTTTCAGGAGAGTTGAGCAACCGCTCCCAGGTCTGCCTAGAACGAGAAGCATCTCACCGTTCCTCAAAACACCCTCAAATTGCCTGATGATAGTCTTCTTCGCTCTTGGGTAAAGTATCGATCTCCAAATGTTTGCTGGTTCTCTTAGGGGGAACCCGACGGTCTTTTGGAAACCCGACGCTTCGTTGGAGCAATAAATGTTCAGGTCTTGGAAGAGTACGCTCATCTTTCTCTGTTTGAGACCCTTCTTTTGACCAGTTTCAATCATTGATTTGGCCCATTTGTACGCATCGAACCGTGGATTTGAGGGGTCGATAGCACTCCCCTCATCCTCTATTTCATCGGCTGTGGGATGCTTTGATGATCCATAATCCCGTGAGAAATGCGAATATGTAGTAGTGCGACTGAGAGCCAATGCTAGATTCGCGACTTCTCCAGGATGACCTGGTTGTAGAGGTTCAACGTTCCAATCTTGAGCCATTTTACCAGCAATCTTATGTTCTAGCGAGGCCTGATCCTATGTGGTTGAGGAGGCTTCTGCTTGTACTTACCAGGTATCTCGTTCGAGCTCCAATGCGCCGAGCGGCTAGACTTAGAAACAGAAGTTTCAAATAGACGGGTGCCGTCCACATCCTCCAGACTCGCGCACATGCACTCTTTTGAGATTCTCAAGCTCGAACTCCGGTTTTGCTAGGAACCGCTCGAGAGCTCCTCGTGTATGTAGTCCAAAGGTTGTAAGCGATTACGAGGAATTGAGTGAAATGGATGGGCCGTATGATACGAATAGTACATGTCTTTACAAATGTAAGGTGCAAACAGCCCTCAAAGCTTCAAAGCCTTGGTCAAATATCAAGAGTAAGCAGGCTGAAGAAAGGGGTGGGCTCGGAAACCGCAACACACAGTCTCGCAATACGTGGGTATTGCAAACTTTCTTTCTAAATGCCAAGAGCTCATGCAAGTGTTAGCATCCCTGCTGCCTTCCTTGTCATCAACCCGGGCCCAGTGCTGAATGGCCCACTTATTGTTATTGGGCCCAGACAAGTTTAATTAATTTGGAGTACATAACATGAGAGCTACTGGATGTGCCTTGCCCGATGGTCAACCAGAATTAAAAAATGGCGCTGAGTCCGATCATGAATGCACTCAAGAAAGTCAGTGTAGTTAACCTTGCGAACAGCTTTGTTGCCCCACTCTCTGCATTGGCTGTTAGGACAGCCTCGGGGCTGTACAGCAGAGGTGATGTGCTGTTGATGGTACCGTTCCAGCAATACCTAGTAAAGCAATGCTGACATACCACTGGAACATCCGTACCTGTTCTCTCGAGACTTCTGCTAAGGATTGAACAGCCTACACAGGCTGGCCAATCCATATCGATTGTACCATTTGCCATGGTTACCACATTATAGCCATTTTGAATAATAGCGTTTCGTTCTGTGTCGTTGAATTGTAGATCAAATGTCGAGACATTTGATTGATAAGAATACGGAAAGTTTGGAATATAGACGATTAGAGGACTGGGTCCTGTCATATTGCTCGAATCACAACCAAAGAAGGTCGGTCGTGCATTCAAACCGAGGTTGACAAATGTGTTCTGATCGGGAACTGAGGGGAAGACAGTCCCATTTGCAATGCCTGTAAGGTTGAGACTGCGACGGTAAGTCGCAACCATACTTGTCCCATTTGGCCAGAAGGTTTGGGTGTCTGCTGAACTGTCAATGGCGAATATTACGTCAACGGACCTTGCTGGCTGGATAAGCGGATGAAAGGGTACATTCTGGAGATCTTCGCCACCATCTACCAAAAAAAGTGTTGGTGATTGTGCATTAGCATTGGTTTCGTTCCGGTAGAAGTAAAATGGGTTGGGCCCGTATAATGAGATGTCGTTGTTGTCATTCCCAATTTCCTCAAGGATCGCCGTCAAAGCATTTGTCAAGATATTAGCTTCGCTCGTACCATTGATTAGCAGAAAAGCCTGGTTGAACAATGAAGATGATGTCCCCATCATAAATCCAGCATTGTCGAATCCACGAACACATTCCTCATCCTGAGGAAGTGTACCAGCAGAGAAGTTCGACCCAAGGTACTTCAATGGAACAAATCCGTAAGTAGTAGGATCGAAGGTCCCAACTTCCCAGGGATTAAACTCAAAAATTGTAGTATTTGGGGCTTTCAATAGGTGAGCAAGCGTTCTTATGGCAATGAAATCTGGCTGGATGCTTCACTAACTTACCTATTGCAAGCTGGCCTGGTGCACGTTCATCCGCAATGACGATGGGCATCGGCATTTTTCCATCTATAAATTCCGGCTGCAGGGCTATCGAAGACCAAGTGTATGCTGGCCCTCCATCTGTAGCATTAATGAACTGATATGATAATGCTCGACCCCTGCAACAGTTAGCATTCCTGCTAGAACAGTATACGGTGGAGACTAACCAGTAGTCGGTAATTGAATCATTGAACCCAGCATTAGTCTTTCCGCTTACTGTGTCAATAAGTTGCCTGTAGTAGTTCGAAACCGTTGCAGGACCTTGAAGGATAGAGTCCTCCAAATTCCATAAGCCGCTTGTACTGTCACCTAGTATCGCCTGAATGCTAGTGAAATTATTAATATAGATCGAGCCCACAAGCCAGGAGCCTCCGCTTAGTCCCGAGAAGTAGGTTGCAGACTGCAAGAGGCCACCAAGCTGACCTGGCCCAGTTGAGTTCTCTGTCCGGGAGTCAAAGGCAGCCACTGCACCAGCGCCATTGAGCATTGCCCTATAGCCACCACCAGAAGCTGCAATGGCGATATTTGGCAAATAAGATATGTTGTCGGCATTCTTGTTCATATATGTTGCAACATCGAAGTTGCTGATGTTGAGCCTGGAGAGTAGATCACTCATGGTGTTTATAGTGTGGTTCCGCCGGATCCCAAGCCAAGAAATCTCGCTGGGGGACAGTTCACTCGCACTACGAATGACGGGTCTGTCCGAAGGACAGCTACCCCCCTCTGGTGTGTAGCCATTTGGTGCATCTGGGGAAGCTCTTCGAATTGCAGTATTGAGGTCTTCAATCTCCGAGGGCTCGCCAGGCAAGAAGTTGGAGGCTAAGATAATTGTTAGGGGTATTCGTGAAATTTCGTGGCCAATGTGCAACCATTTACCTTGACACAAAACAACTATCATAAACGAGATCGTTGCAAGAAACTGCATCTTTTACAAACCCTCCTATGCAGTAGCAGAATATTAATATGCGGAGACAGTGTTTGCAGTGTCTGCTCCTATTTCGCCTGGATGGGAGTCACGGATATATTGAATTATCAGCGGCGTGGGCCATGGCCGCCACGACAGGTAGGTGCAGTAACAAACTTGTCTCTCAAACAGGGCAAGAGTATTTTGGACCAGTGCGTTTTCTACAGTTTGAGAGGTGACCGGCGTGCAGCATTTCTCTCCAGCGAAAAGCGGGGTCAGTGTCATGCAACTTCACGAGACGTCGCTAGCTATCCGCATAGGTAAGTATGTGCTTGGTAGTAGGGATTGGTGTAGTACCAAATAAGCCAAGCATTGACCAATCAAGAATACGAACCGAAGTAGCACCCCTGCAAGCCACTCGTAAGCGAGCTGATATCACGATGCGAGGGGCAAGAAGAGGCAGGACCCTGGCTCGTGTTCATATTTGTGGTGCATTGACCTTGTTATGTAGTTTATTATACGAGTTTTCAGCTTCCAGTGGGAAGTTGAAAACAAGTTCCCTTGTATCTATGGTGGCCGATTCAGTGGCCTGACTCTTTCCCGTTTCTCTGTTACCCAATCTTTTACGTACAGAAGACCGTTTTAAACTCTCCCTGGCCTAAAAACTGATAACCACTTAGAAGCCAAACCATTGAATTTGAACAGCACCTTACAGTATTGGCTCTGGGAAATACTCCAATTGCTTCAATGGAATGAAGACTGAGACATTGAACTTCGACTCATCAAGATATCAGATTGTGTTGTCACATGCTCAACGGCCCAGAAATGAAAGTAACCGAGAGCCCCTCCGGTGGATATCAAGATGCACGACGATGATTAACACGTGATCCACAGCTTCGACCAAGGCCAATCAAGCAAGGTGCCAGCGTGATGAAGTCCAATCTTGAATTTAATTTTAGGGAAACTTAGTATCTATGCACATCACCAATTGACAAGGTGGTGAAAAGAGGTATATTAGAGAGGATTCTGTGTGACCTTTTGAATACACAGTAATATTTGGTCGCTCTCCAACAGAGATACCTCTGAAATTTCCTCACATTTTGCCCACATGGCTTTAGCAACCCAGCCAAACAAAAGCTAGAAACCCAGATGGAAGGGGGTTTCTACGCGGGTTGGTAGACATGTGAAGGTTAGAAGCACCCCAAGGGGTCTTAATTTTTCGTTCCCACCAAATACACGTTTGCGTTGATAAATTCCTTCCTTCTTGACTTCTAATGAGTTACTTGTAGCAACGGCATCCACTTCTCTGTTTCTGACCTGTCTCCTCCTACATCTCATATCCTGCAAACCTTTCACGTACACCTTGTAGGGATGTCCCTTTACATTCTCAGTTTGATGCTAAAAATGGGTCTCGCATCCCAATTCAATCGTCTATCATCCGCGCCGTTGTGGCTTCATTACTCCGTTTTCAAGTCGTCTGTGCTGACCTTGGGGTACCCAAGAACCAGGTCTGCATTATTGCGGCTGAGGCAACACGTGAGGCTATCAACTCGGCTGAGTTCGTTACGACGATTGAAAAAGAAACAGGCCTAACGATGGAGTTACTACCAAAAGAAGAGGAAGGCAAAGTCGGTGCCTTAGGAATTACTAGTAGCTTCTCCCATGTTGGCGGCCTTGTGACGGACCTGCGTGGCGGAAGCACTCAAATCACTTAGATGATCGCAAGTGAAGGAAATATAGAGACAAGCCCTCAGAGGGCGTTTAGATTAGCGGCCGCGATGACTCGGACGTTGGACAAGATAAGCGCTGGAAGTCAATGGATGAGGCCGAGAAAGCTAAGGCCAAGTTGCGAGAGGAGATGAAGTCAAATTTTCGCGATGCGTATAAAAAGCTCAAGATCCCACAGGGGCTCATTGATTCTGTGAAAAGTGAAGGTGGCTTCCATCTATATCTCTCCGGAGGAGGTTTCCGAGGCTGGGGTTATCTGCTTCTTTACGAAAGTCAAGTGCACGGCCACCATTACCCAATCTCCATAGTGAATGGTTTTTTTGGCTGCCAAGGAGCACTTCGAGGACACAGAGGGATACAAGAAAATTGCGAAGACTGCACATAAAATCTTTCGAGTGTCAGACCTGCGCCGATCCCAAGTCCCTGTAGTTGCATTCCTGGTCAACGTCCTGGCCGAAGCTCTCCCACACGGCATCAAGGAAGCTCGTTTCTGCCAGGGCGGTGCTCGGGAAGGTGTACTCTTTCAAGAGCTACCAAACAACATCTACAAGTATTCTTCGAGCACTCTAACCTTGCTAAAGAGTCCTCCTCGGGCGCGGCGCTGTACAGTGACACAACTAGTATATATTGGCTGCGGCACACGGCATCTCCCACGCTGATCGCGCCCTCCTGGCGCTCATGTTCGAAGAGCGTTTCGAAGGCGAACTACCGCCTCGCGAGATAGACTAAAACCCTCTGTTCGGGGCCTCTTGACCCCTGAACAGGTGTGGTGGACTCGATATCTCGGGAAAATTGCGACGATGATGGCCAGGATTTATCCTGCCAGGGTGATCGAAGAAGCTAAACCGAGAGTGCGAATTTCGGCCAGGTGGGCTGCTGGCTGGGGAAACACGGGAACGAGGATGGGTTGGAGGTGAAGGTCTCTATTGCAGGACGACCAAGCGGTTCTATCTTGTTGAAGGACACCATGATAGAGCTTCTACGAGTCGTTGAAAGCGTGGGGAGGAGGAAGAATTGGATCGGGGGAAAAGAAAGATGGGGGATGACTGTCAAGGTCATGGTGGAAGAAGAAGATGAAGAAGGTTGGCAGCTTGAAGGTTGAAGGCGCTGCCAACAAGGCCAGCCGAAATAGCTGAACAAACAAAAGTGAGCTTCTACGGGTGTTCAGATGTTATCTTATATATTTCAAACTGTATACGCTTCTGGTCATGGTTTCCGAGAATCGGTTCTCAAAAACACTCAAATGTAATCTTTTCGTTGTTTGCTCGGTATCTCAGATCCATATTATCAATGACCCTCCTTACTTCTTCATTCAGGTACTCGAGGTAGGACACTAAGGCACTAAAGTGAGGGACATTCCAATGCTGACTTGTAACTGAAAGAAAACTCTACAATCATCGACTGCTTTGTCGCTGTTCAAGCCTGCAAATTTAATTACTAGTAGAGCAGTCTTTTTCACTGAGCTGGTATTATTTATGAGATTGGGCACCAATATCTCACTCATGATGAACCCTCAGGATATTACGCAGGAGAGCGTAGTAAACCAGCCAAAATGGCGACATCTCCATCAAAAAAAGGAGCTACAAGAATTGAGATTGGCAACGACAGCTCTTTTGCCCTTTGGTCGGGTCTCTCAATTTCCAAGTCGAAAGCCTCATGAAAAAGACAATATTGCGAAATTTTTTGTAAGAGTTTAGCACTTGGTGACCCTCTTTTGGCTCAACAATATTCTCCAACCATAGCTGCAGATTCCATTAAAGGGTCAAGTCTTGTTCGCCAGTAAACCAAATTCGATGGACACAAATACCGCGTCGATGCCCATCAGAAACGTACTAACATGGCGAAAGCAGCACATTGCCAGGATATTGCCCTATCTTCATTTGCCGTTGCATGGTTTCGATTTGATGGATGAGAGAATCTCGCAGTTGAAGTGGGTAAGAGGGGAGGAATGAGAAACAGTACTCAAGATGTGATATTGCAATTGCTAATATTTGAGAACGATGCTCAGCCATGCGCACCGTATCCGAACTACCGATATTTGGTTTGGACCTATCAATGGAATGCTATAGCAAGGCTATCCAGCAACAGTTTTGACACCTCCTTATTCAGCTCCATCTTTTAGCACTTCTTTCCGCACGTCAACCAATATCAAGCACAGCAAGGCCATGCCAATGGTAGTCACGCCCGCGACAGCAACGATAAACAACCCCCAGTGGAAAATATGCAGTCTCTGCTTCCGCATGAAAATCATTATAACGGCCAGGACAGCACACATCTCGGCGGTGACAATTCCAGCGACGACTCGAGCATCGATTTCAACCTGGCCTTTTTGACGATTAATGCTAAGGAGGGTGCCAGCCATGACCAACATGATGTACGAGAATCCAATGAGACCATTGTAGAACTGGAACAACTTGTTTTCGAATGCCTCTTGTTGTGGGTTGAGCTGCTGCTCCGGAAGTCGTAATAAAACGTTCGATCTTTTCGACCCGGGTGGTGTTGCCGGCCGATTCCTGGAGGTGCGAGGTCGGCGAATTGTCAAGTCGTTATCAAGTGAACCTGATGATTCCAGATCAGATTCAATGGCTTGCTGTCCGAAAAGCAAAGGGGTTCTTTCTGCTGCACCCTGAGAGTTCTTCTGTTTCGGCTTGAGCAACCAATCTATCAGTTTACTTTTCCCTTCACTGAAACTGTGGTACACTGCTCCAAAGGCATTCGACGCCGTCTCAAGCACTGGAAAGAGAGGCTCATTAGGGTCGACATAGAGTATGTAGCCTTCCTCGGAATTAGAATCTGAATCCCCATCGTCATATTCATTCCAATACCGTCGGGGTGGCTGGTATCCATCATCAGCTAAAATTTGCACTCGCTTCTTCCTTCCACTCCCCCTCGGGCCAAACGTCGACTTCATGGATGAATTGGGTTTCGGGTTTGATTCAACTCGAAAGACATTGCTAAAGAAAGTCTACACGTACCCAAGATGTAATTTTCAATTTCACCCTTTACTGTCCATACTTAAATCGGTCGTACGATCACTGTTGAATGTCGTCATTACTAATGTAAACCAGCCACGGTCATCGCACGATGAGGGATGGGAATGCCGTTGAAGCGGGCTAACAATAAATCACGTAAAAGGTCAACATTAGGCAGTTGGTGGCTCGCTTAGTTCAAGAAAATGCCCTCCTTTGGTGTGGTCAGCATTGCCTTAGGTTGAGTACCCTTGCATATTGAATAAACTCTGTCAATTGTGTTGGTTATTCTCGGATTTTAATTACAAGAATCCAAAATACTTCCTAGCTTAATCGAATGTAAAAGTTCTGACATCTGGCAGAGCGGACGTAGACTTCGCCACTCGTATTAATTAATGTAGACAATCGGCGATCCAAGTTTATTTGTACGACCAGGGTGGGAATTGTTGTTGCACATGTCCGGAAATGCAAGCAAGCTTCCGTTTGTTTCCAGCATCGATCCGATTGGCGGTCCGATGAAGGTATGACTGAGAGAGCTTTAAGTTCTCCATCGGGTTTGGAGGATTTGCTGCAACAAATACGCATTAGTTTGCTTTGACGTGAGCAATGCTGTCATTGGGCTGACTTACAGAGTAAAATAAAGAAAACGGAGGCGAAAGACTAGGGCCCCGTGGGCACGTTCCTGGTCGCTTAGGCTGATCGTGGTATCAATGAACAAAAGCCATGGCCATGATAGCATGATCCCTGCCTAACACGTAAGCATGCTCGCATAGTCAATCGGTACCTCGAGTGGTGGCTGTGAGGTGTCGATGCTCGAAATACCCTACGATATTTCACCACGGAAGGCATTTCATTACGCTGCAGATCCAGAATTGGGACGTGCGCCTTAACGCCGGCGCGCCTCGATGTCAATGTAAATCACAGAGAACCCGAAACCAAGCGCAAAGGCGGTCACAGCGCAAGAGGCACATCAGCTCCTGAATGATGAGACGATAACGGTGGAATCGACCTCCGCTGTGTACCATGGACACGACATTAGTTCCACGAAGGTTCAAGCCTTGAGTCTGCTCATCACGCGGTAAAGCCAGGGCATCGAAACCATCCGAAGAGAGCTGATTAAGATCGAAGCGGAACAAAGAACGCTGAAAACCCTTAATGCCGAACTATATTAAGAGCCTCGCTCCCCACGAGCATAACTTTAGTCATACTCCGCGGCAACCCCTTTCACACGTTCCTACGCGTCAGTGGCAGACAGCACAACAGCAACCCAGTCGACCACGAGCAATACCGCTTCTAGAGGCAGCGAGCGGACCAGGAAAGAAGTGAACTGCCTTCAGATTAGCACTCAGATGAGCCAACAAAGTAGAGAGGTAAATAAGAACTCATTTGCGCGACATCTTGCTATAGCGAGAACGAAAGACTACATTCAAAATATCTTACGCTAAACGGAAATAATTAAAGAGGCCAAAGTAGTAAGAGTAGGAACAACCAAAACTGGATATGTGATCCGCTTCAAGGAGAAACAGTCGTTCGCCACAGCCGAAGCCAACACCGAGTAGCTAGATAGGCTCGGTAGTGACACCAAGTTAGTGAAACTCCGGTTTAGCGTGGTGGTCTGCCGCTTCCCCACAGATAGTGTCCCCTACCAGAAAACAGACAGGATGGTCCCTACGATCGACGAGACTGTCCTCCAGGACGCGAAGCCAGATGTATCGACTGCAACGGAGCACATCCCACAAAAGACAAAGAATGCAGCAGACCATCTAGCGCGGATTGTCGACAATGAACCAGTCCAATCTTCGAATACTTTAGATGAAAATTATATCAACAGACCTTAAGCAGCAGTGACTTACGCAAATACAGCCTTATCTATGTCAACAAACGAATTCCAACTTCAGCACACCGGCAAATTCAGTGAAGCCATCCTGATGTCACCGCCATCAGGGTCTGGAATGGTGAGAGACAAATCCTCCTCATCTCAGTGTACATTGAACTATAGTGTTACGGACTAGGTCACTGGAAGGGTCGCTAAGGGCAAGCCACCTACACCTAAAAGAAAACAGGGAAGTTAGCCGATGGAGAACGAGGCTACGTTACGTGACCTAGAGCTAGACTATAAGGGACTATAGACTATACGAATAGTCTAGGTAAGTCCATAGTCTATACTAAGTATTATATATATACGCTCCTTTACCTAGATAGTATAGTTCGTAGTTAACTTCGTTAGTAATCCTATACCTATATTTAGGATATAGTTGTTACGAACTAGGTTACTTGAAAGGTTACTAAGGGAATTAAGGCACCTACCTAGGGAAGGAAGTTAGCCGATGGAGAACGAGGCTATATTACGTGACTAGGTGAGGCTAGATCCCCTAGATCCCTTAGATCCTATAGGGTCTCAAGAGATCTAGAGGGAGCTATAAGATCCAAGAGAGCTATTAGTATTATATATATACGCTCCTTTACCTAGATAGTATAGTCGTAGTTAACTTCGTTAGTAATCCTATACCTATATTTTAGGATATAGTCCGACGAATAAAGTATTCCCTTTATTATCTTAGTTAATACTCTAGTACCTACTCTATTAAGGAACCCTACCTTAGTTAGAACTACTTATAGCTCGGATTATAATACTTTAACTACTACTTAATTAGTATTAAATATCTAACGTAGGATTATCTCGAATTAGATTTCTACTACCTAGCGTACGTCTACTTATAGCCTTAAATAATTCTTTAAAGACTAATATCGTTTAAGATAGTAGTTCTAACGAAGACTTAGACGTAGATATAGTTAACGTACTAAGACTTACTAATATATCTAGAGATAGTATTAAGGTAGAACTATTCTATAGAAATAGGAAGAAGCTAGAATACTTCCTTATATAACTTAAGACTACCTTTAAGCTTAATTTAACTAAGTATACTCTAGTAGAGGATAAGGTTATATTCGTAGTAATATATCTAAAAAGAGTAGCGTTCTATTAGTTTAAACTAGTATAGGACGACTACCTCGAGTCTTCTAGTCCCGATAATAAAACTAGAGTATACGTTAGGAACTTTATATAGTTCGAAGTAATAATTAAATAGATCTACGATACGATTAATAAGACTATTATAGCCTCTCGTACTATATATATCTATTATAATCCGAGCTATAAGTAGTTCTAACTAAGGTAGGGTTCCTTAATAGAATAGGTACTAGAGTATTAACTAGGATAATAAAGGAAATACTTTATTCGTCGGACTATATCCTAAAATATAGGTATAGGATTACTAACGAAGTTAACTACGAACTATACTATCTAGGTAAATAAGTATATATATATAGTACTAGCCTAGACTATAGA